CGCCACCGCCAGGTCTGTCCCCGCCGCCTTGTCCGCAGCCGGCGCCTCGTCGTCTGCTGCCGTCACCACGCCGCCGCCCTCCAGTATCGCGCGTATCGACGCCACCTTCTCCAGCTCGGCGGTTCCCGCTGCCGGGCGTTCATCGTCCACGGGTGCCTCAACATCAGCATGTTCCACGGTCTCCAGCGTCGCCATCTGCCCCAGCAGCCCGTGAGCTGCCACCTGCACCACCTCCGCTGCCTCGTCCTCACTCATGCCGACGGGCTCTCCTCCGCGAGGGTGACCGACGCGCTCCCCTGCGTGCTCCGCGGCCTCAAGCGTCGCCATCTGCCCCAGCAGCGCCTGCGCCGCCACCTGCACCACGGCGGCGGCCTCGTCCTCGCCCATCCCGCTCGCATCGCTCTCCCGCCGTGGCGTCGCCGCCGGGCTACCCACGCTCTCCCCGTCGTCCCCCTCCTCGGTCTCCCGCACCACGCCGCCGCCCTCCAGTATCGACTTGATCGACGCCACCTTCTCCAGCTCACGCGCCGACAGCCCCTGCGCAGGTGTGGCGTCCACGTCGCCCGACACCACGCCGCCGCCCTCCAGTATCGACTTGATCGACGCCCCCTTGTCCAGCACCGCGGGCCGCTGCGCCTCCGGCTGCACAGCGGACCTCTCGGCCAGCTCCTGCGTCGCCATCTGCCCCAGCAGCGCCTGCGCAGCTACCTGGACCACGGCGGCGGCCTCGTCCGCGTCCATGCCAGCCTCGTCCTCCGCGCGAGGCGTCGACAACGGGCTTCCGATTTCCTCGCCATCGTCGGCCTCGTTCTCCGATACCCGGACAACGCCACCGCCTTCAAGGATGGACTTGATCGACGTGATCTTCTCCAACAGCGCCGCGCGGTCGTCGTGTGCCGCCGGGGCGTCGTCGACCAACTCAACGTCTGCAGACACCACGCCGCCGCCCTCAAGGATCATTTTGATCGACGACACCTTGTCCAGCGCTGTTGGCCGCTCCTGTACAGGCTCTGAGGGCTGAACTGCCGCCCGCTCGGCGGTCTCCAGCGTAGCCATCTGCCCCAGCAGCGCCTGGGCCGCCACCTGCACCACCTCCGCTGCCTCGTCCTCGCCCATCGAGTTCTCCTGCCCCCTGGACGCTGCGCCGCCGCTGCCCGTGGCAACAATATCCACCAGCGCCCGCCCCGACTCCGTCGCACTGATCGCCACCGCCAGGTCCGTCCCCGCCGCCATCGCCGACTCCTCCACCCGCGCCATCGTCCGCAGCTGACCCGCCGCGCCGTGCGCCGCGGCCTGCATGAGGTCGATAGCCTCCCCGCGGCTCATCACGTCCGCCGCCTCGCCCGCCAGCGACGCCGTCGGGCTCCGCACGCCCTCCGACCCCTCGACCTCGTTCGTCGACGTCACCACGCCGCCGCTCTCGAGCACCGCACGAATCGACGCCACCTTCTCCAGCTCGGCGCCAGCAGGAGCCGCTCGTGCCTCCTCCTCCGGCGGCGAGCTCGCGGACTGTTCGACGGCCTCCAGCGTCGCCATCTGCCCCAGCAGTGCCTGCGCCGCCACCTGCACCACCTCCGCTGCCTCGTCCTCGCCCATCGCAGGTGCGGCATGTGCTGGATCGTCTCCAGAGCTCTCCGCGCCCTCCAGCGTCGCCATCTGCCCCAGCAGCGCCTGCGCCGCCACCTGCACCACCGCGGCCGCCTCGTCCTCGCCCATCCCGCTCGCATCGCTCTCCCGCCGAGGCGTCGCCGCCGGGCTCCCCACGCTCTCCCCGTCGTCCCCCTCCTCGGTCTCCCGCACCACGCCGCCGCCCTCCAGTATCGACTTGATCGACGCCACCTTCTCCAGCTCACGCGCCGACAGCCCCTGCGCAGGTGTGGGCGTCCACGTCGCCCGACACCACGCCGCCGCCCTCCAGTATCGACTTGATCGACGCCACCTTGTCCAGCACCGCGGGCCGCTGCGCCTCCGGCTGCACAGCGGACCTCTCGGCCAGCTCCTGCGTCGCCATCTGCCCCAGCAGCGCCTGCGCTGCCACCTGGACCACGGCGGCGGCCTCGTCCGCGTCCATGCCGGCCTCGCGCTCGGACTCAGGCCCCGAGGCCTCCGCACGGCTCCCGACGTCGCCGTCATCTGTCGACTGCACAGCGTCATCGGCCTGCGGGCCCGACGGAGGCGACGGCGCGGTGTCCGGCGCAGCAAGGGACTCCTCTGCTGACTCTGGTGGCGCGTGCTGCTGTGCGGCTCCTTCAGCCTGCTCGAGCGTCGCCATCTGGCCCAGCAGCGCTTGTGCTGCTACTTGGACCACCTCCGCCGCCTCGTCCTCGCCCATGGCGTCCCCGACACCAGACGCGCCCGCCGGCGACGCCGTCGGGCTCCGCACGCCCTCCGACCCCTCGACCTCGTTCGTCGACGTCACCACGCCGCCGCTCTCCAGCACCGCACGAATCGACGCCACCTTCTCCAGCTCTGGCGCCGCCACCTGCACCGCCGCCGCTGCGTTCTCGCCCGCACCGTCATGCGCGCCACCTCGCTCGCGCCTGGCCCGCATTTCGTCCTCGGCAGCCTCCATCGCCCACATCTGCCCCAGCAGGGCCTGCGCCGCCACCTGGACGACCCGCGCGGCGTCGTCCTTCTCGAGCGCTGCATGCGCTCCCGGACCGTCGACATCGCCATCCTGCTCTCCCGTGCCCTCGCCTGACGCGTCGGGGTCTGCCGGGCCCTGAGTCAGTTTCGCCGCTTCTGCATCGCCTGCCCCGGCCTCCTCGGCGCCACCCGCGGCTCGCTTGGGCAGCGCATCGCTCTGGGACTTGCGCCCTTGCACTTGCTCCTCGAGGATCGAGGTGACGGACTCCACCTTTTCCATCAACGCTGCTCGAGCCTCCTCCCGGGCCTTCTTGACCTTCAACGGCGCCTCCGCGAGCTCCAGCGACGCCATCTGCCCCACGAACGCGTGCGCCGCCACCTGCACGACCTCCACCGCGTCGGCCTCGGCCATCTTGTCGAACGCGTGCGTCGGGGCCCCCTCCGCTTCGCTGCTCTTCAGGCACGGCGTGTCGAGCGCCCCGCCGTCGTCGTGCACTGCGCTCGCTCGCTGCGTGAGGTCGTGCCCGGCCGCGGACGCCACGCCCTCCAGTTGGCTCATGGTGTGCAGCTGCCCCGCCGTAGCCTGTGCTGCGGCCTGAACGACGTCCGTTGCTTTCTCTCGGCTCATCTCCGGACTGCCGGCCTCCGTCCACCCGTTTGCCGCCTCGGTGGGGGCGGCAAGGGCCTCAGAGGTGGGTTCGCTGGACGGAGTCGCCTCTACTCGGCTCCTGCTGCTGTCTTGCGCGTCCGTCCCGGCCGCGGAGGCGACGTCAGGAGCAGCCTCCGCAGGAACATCCGCGTCATTGTCGTCCGAGGCTGCGTCGCTCCGGTCTGCGCCGGTCCCGGGCCCCAGTGCTCCGTCAGAGGCTTTGCTGCTGCCCGCCTCGAGGGCCGTCGCTTGCGCTGCGCGCGCGTTCCCCTGCGGCACGACGGGCGCGAAAGACGCGTGGGAACCGATGAGATCGAGGCGCTGTTGGTCGCCAAGGTCCTGACAGCACCAGTTGGTCTGACCAGACGGTTGAAATGCATGCATGGGCGCAAGCTCTCCCCGGTCGGCTGTGAGCAGGCCTGCTGCGCTCGTCAGCGGCTGTCATCGCCCTTGGAAGACCGCTCGTACAGTAAGCTGTGTATTTCGAGGCGGAGCGGTCCAAACGTGCGTCAGGTTTGCGCGGAAGACGGCAGTCGCACCTGGCCAGGAGCGCCATCTTGCTGGTCCTCCTCCTGGGCCGAGCTGTGCGGCTCCTGACTCCCGCCCTCGCCCGGTCGAATCTCGTTGGATGATGGCGTGTCGGGGCGCGGCACGGCGGCGCTCTCGACCAGCATGCTGAGGGTCTCGTCGACAGCGAGCGACGTGAGGGACACGCCGCTACTGGGCGCTGGCATGGCCATCGAAGTCATCCCGCTCCCTGGCTCGCGGGGCAAGGATACTGTCTCCCGTTCAAGTCCTTCCTAGGCTGTCTGCTGCGTCAGCGCGCCGTCTCGGAGCGGGCATGCTCAAGCGAAGCACATATGAACGCACGGCCTGCAGAGGGAAGAGTGCGAGTATCTAGTCGGCCCAGGAGGTTCTCTGTCTGGGTATCCGGCGCTTCGAACGTTCAACGTCGAGCGCGGATCCCCCTGTAAGAGAAGGACGCAAGATGCACCAGCGGAGCTGAGCTGTGCAGCGCCTGGCGCGCATGCCGTCGCAAACCCCCGCGTATCGCGCAGGTTTCAGGAATTCATCACGACAGGGCCCAGGGCGCACCTCGGAATTCGCCTACTTACGTTCGTGCGGGCTCCAGGCCAGCGGCGCTAACTTGACTGCCGGGTGTGCCGCGACTCAGCCGCGTGACACGGCCACGACCCGACCGCGACTGAGGCCTGCACTGCGTCTTCGAGCGGCGCTGCCCGCGATCGCCCCAATCGACGCCTCGCAGCGGCGTCACCGCCGGCACACGTTGCGCGCGCTGCACGGACGGCTGCGCCCGCGTACTTGTGAATTATCACCTCGGCGCGCGTCGGCGCGTCCCCACAGCTCCAATATGTAAATGCCAGGGCGAACTCGCCAACCTCGACCCCGCCCTGCGAAGCCATCGACCGACTGTCATACCTGGGGGTGTCCGGCCTCGGCCGGAGGGCCCGGGGCCCAGAAGTTGGCGAGATGCCTCAGCCCGGACACGCAACCCTTCGCCAGCACCCTGTTGGCAGCGGAACCGGTCCACCGCCGGCCCCCCCGCTCGGACCCAACAGACTAGTGCACGTGCGCGGGCGCTACCCGACAACATGTGCAGACCTCCCGCCGCCCCAGGAAGCCTGCACGCATCCACGCTGCCCCTCGCGCCACCGCCGCGGCCTGTAGCCGGCCGCCACGGGTCCGCGTTAACGCTGGGAAGCCGTCACCATGACAGACTCACAGGGCGGGGGGGCTGGCCGCCTCAGACGTCCCCGGAGCTCTGCGGGTGCACGACGACGTCCGCCGCGAGCCACTTGTGGTCGGATAGGGAGAAGTCGTGGTTCCCGACGGACAGGTACACCGGGTCCATGCCGCGCAGCATCAACCAGTCGAGCTTGCCCTGCTGGAGGCTCATGCCGCAGCACTGCCCGAGGGGGTGGTCCAGCGTGATGTCCTTCACGGGGTCGAACGGGTCCACGAATCTGCGCGGGCTAGCGCCGGGAGGGGAGAGGTGAGAGGGGCGGGGCGTGCGGCTGCGCGACGCACGCGCGCGGTTGGGCGGTAGCGGAGGCGCCGCGACGTGCGCACCCGGGGTTCAGAATCTGCCGGCACACGTCCGCTGGAACGCCCCACTTGTACAGCTGCTCGTTCTTCGGCCCGCCGCCCGCAAGCAGGCCATCGCGCTCCCCAGGCCGGCCCGACGCCTGCACAGCACACGCGCACACCGCAGCGCTCAGCTCGTGTGCAACATCAAACGGCCCACGTCATCGACACGGCGTCCATCAGTGCTGCGCGCCGCCACAAGCAACATGCCAACGACCCCCCCCCCCACTCACCGAGTGCCCGTGGTCGCTGCTGCGCCGCGCACCGCGCCGCAGCCGGCTGGGCGTGTCCTGCGAAGTCCGTCGGCGGTGTGCCGGCACAGGCGCGTGCGCAGACCCCGCCACCAGGTCCTGCAGTTTGCCGACCTTCTCCTCCATCAGTGCCAGACCCTTCCGGAAGACCTGGCTCCCGCGCGGCGTCTCGTACGGCATGGGCGAGTCCCCGACTTGCGGCCGCGGCGGCATGTGCGCGGCGATCCCCACCGGCTTCGACGACGGCGGCGGCCGGCCGTTGGACAGCCGCGCGACCGCGTCGTCGATCCGAGCGTGATCTGGCGTCTCCGCGCCGCTCAGGCCCCCGCCCTCGGCGTACCGCGCCGTTCCCGGTACCCCGCTGCTGTGGACGCCCGCGCCGGGCAGGTTGGCCGCGGCGCCGCGCAGCGTTGCCGTCAGTGCGGATATCTCGCCGCTGCGGCCGGCCCCGCGCGCGTGCGCCGGCTCGCCCGCGTGGCGGCCGTCGTCGGCCGACAGCGACGACGACGCGCGGCGGTGCATGCCTTCGTGCGCGCGGGGCGGCTCGGTCCCGAAAAGGCTGCGCACTGCGCGCATGCTCTGGTACACCATGCCGGGGAGGCGCAGGACCGACCGCGACGTCGGGGACCGCGCCGTGGGCTTCTTCGGGAGCACGCCGCCCGCGTACCCGAAGTCGGGGTCCTGCCACGACATCACGTCGCGATCCCAGATCTCGGACTCGCACGAGCCCCAGGTGCGGAAGCGCATGCGGTCGGTGGCGAACATCGGAGAGAAGCGCGCGAGGCCGTGCGCGAGCGTGTTGAGGTCGCCCGCGAGGACCTGCGCGTACCGGCCACGGCGGATCTGCGCCCGCGCGTCCTCAAAGACCTCCGAGAGCTGCACCATGCGGTCAATCATGCCACAAAATACCTGCGGGGAGGGCGCGCGGTGGTTGAGAGTGACCGATTGGGGCTGACCGTGGGCGGTTGAAGACATGACGTGGTACACTGCATCACGCGCCGTTGCGCTTGTACACATGGGGTGTTCCCCGCGCCGGGGGCGCGTATCAGGGGGAAAGGCGGCTACAGATGATCCACAGGCAGCCGGACAGGTGCGGGTTCTCGCGGGGCCGCGACCGTGTGAGGAGGGGCGTGTGCGAGAGCGCAATTGCGCAGCGGCAGCGACTGCGCCGCGGGTGCCGCACCTCGAAGTGCGCGGAGTACACCACGACGTCGCCCATGGGCGTGCGCACGAGGCACCCGAGCGTCACGCGCCCGCCCTTGCGCGGCTCCAGCCAGCTCATCAGTGCGCGCCGTCGGTTCCAGTCCACCGGGGTGTGTTGGTGGACCACGCTCCAGGACTCCACGATCTCGTGCTTCGTCAACACACCGTTGCCTGCGCCGCGAAGGGGCGCCGAAGCGAGATCGTCTCGCGTGGGCGCGCGCACTGGCGACAGCAATTGATGAATATTTGATATCGGTTCCATTCGGCGTGGTGACGAGATTGCGACCGGCGTTGCTGACGCCGTGGTCGCTGGATCACGCAGCGGAGCGGCGCTGCCGGTGATACAGAGCGTCGTCGTCGACAGGACAGCGAAGATGTCTCGAGGTGTCGAAACACCTCAGGCGCGGTCGGAAGCACGGCAGCCTGGGCCGAATCCTGCCCAGGCGAAGGTACGGCGAGGTGCTCGTGGCACGGGGCGCGCGGGGCGCAGGTGCGGGGGCGCGTACCGTGCACGCCCCCTCCCTGAGAGGAGGGCTTTCGAAGCCACGACCGGTGCTCCTCGAACTCGCAGACGAACGCGTAGCTGTACCCGAGCTCTTGAGCGATCCGCAGGCCGACGTCCTCCCCGTTCGAGCGGTCGCATCCCCAGTCCAGTTCCTGCAAAGGTGCAACACCAATACGTGTTTCGGATTTTTTTGCACAGACTGGTTGGCTGTGCCTGTCTGAGAGCCTTCAAGTGCTCCTGCTGGCAGGCCAGGCGTCGAGGCGGCCGTGGAGCGCTGGCGGACGTGTGCGTGGTGCCGTGTGACGGGCGCGGTGAGGTGCCGCGGTGGTGCGTCGTGCCTGCAGCGCGAGGATGTCGGGGTCCAGGTCCCGTATCTCCTCGATGATTCCCTCCAGCTGGTACCCGCGCTCGATGTTCCACTGCGATTCCAGAACGTATGCGCGGGGTGGTGGGCTCAGTGTGCACCGGGTGAGCCGCGTCGCGTGCGCGCGGTGAAATCATACGCGGGCTCATGAGAAATGAGGAACGCTGCCACGGGCCAACGTCCGCAACGAGCTGGCGAGTGTGTGCGCGCGTGTCGGGCCTCTCCGCCCAGGTGCACTGTGCGCCTCTCCGCGCTGACCAACGGCGCTGCGGACATAGTTGCGTCATGGGGCCGGGCAGCCTCGCTTCCCACAGGTTCCTCGCTACGTCACGCTGCGTCGCGCACCCGGGCGCGGTGGAACGCCCACTGGCGCGCGGCACCACTGGCGCGCACTCGTGGCCGGGCGCTGCATGTAGCGCGGCGATCCACGCCGTCCATTGCCCCGTCTGGCGACACAAAGGTGGCATGTACTTCGAACGTGCGCACCTGTAGGAACCGCAGAGGCCTAGGTCGGCTCTCGTCCGCACCGCCCTGCGCTGCGGCGCTCTCCCGTCTCTCGCGCGGCCGACAGTCCCGGTGGACAATCTGGTACGGCTTCGGGAACCTTCCCGCGTGGCCGTCGGCCGCTTCTACTTGCATGCCCTCCATGTCCCCCCCGCGCGGCAGAACGAGCCCGGTGCTGCACCCGCTGAGTGTGCTGCACCTCGCGCTCGCCGCCGCCGGGGGTCGCCCTCCGACGGGCCGCCCTCTCTGTCTCTCTCAGTACAGCCACCTCGAACAGAACCCCTCGATTCGTGCGGCCTACAAGCCAGCCGCGCGGTGCTGCCACTGGTGTTGGCGTATGCGCCGGGAAACACAGCGCAATGCGGGTTCGTTGTATATCGGTCGACGAGCGCTGAGCGCGGTGAGCGCAGGACTGCTGCCCAGTACACGGGAACGCGGCATCGATGGCCGGCCGTGCGGATTTCGTGCGACCACGCCACGCGAGGTGGGGTGTCCGCGGGGTGTCTCAGACAGCCACCTCTTCGGGGCGAGAAGGGCGGGATCGTGCTAGGGTGTTGTGCCACTTCGTTGATGTGCGCGGCGGTGCGATAGTCTTGACAAGGCCGCGAACAGGCGGCGAGTTTGTAGCAGCTTGTTGGCGCGCCTGTGCCGCGCACCGCGGGCGTGGCTCTGATACCCCGGCCGGAGCGCCGTGACCGCAGTAGGCTGCAAGTGAGGTCGCCAGGACTGGACGAAGGAGTCGTCGCCGGGCATGAGCGACGACGAGGTCAGTGCAACAAGACGGGCCTTCCCGCCGGCCGCTCCGCCAGCGCCTGCGCAGGCACATGGGCGCTCTGGACCACCGTCGATGTGTTGACATGGCTGATATCTCACCAGCTGTCGCGCCGCCCTCATGCGCGCTCCCGGGGGCCGAACGAGCCCACTGCTTAGAACAGCGCGCTGGCTCGGCAACGCAAGGACCCTGCTCGCATAATGACTGCATGCACGGCTAGGGTACTCCATGATGCCTACTCGTGACGCTGCGACGGACCTCGTCGCCTCGCGCAGCCCGTGCATGCGGCACCCGTCGTCATCATGCCAGACTGTCGCCGTCCGTTCTCCCCGGGACCGCAGGGCGGCGCCGCGCGGAAGAGGAAGGCCATGGAGGACTCTGAGGATGAAGCCGAGCCGGCCGCAGGTCCGCCCGCGCCCTCACGCGACACCCTGCAAGCTCAGCCCGGCGCGCAGTCCTGTGCCTCATGCGCCGTCCCACGCGCGCCGCCCCCTCGCGCAGGCCCCCGCAAGGCACCCGCGCTCGAGGACTCCGACGGCGAGCACCCCACGGGCCGGCGCGCGGCCAAGAAGCGCGCCGCGGACTCGGACTCGGACGACGATGACGACGAATATGATTCCGAGGACTCCGAGCTGCGCGGACTGCCCGAGCTGGAGCGCGAGCGCCTCATCGCTGAGCGCGCGGAGGCGCGGCTGGAGAAGGAGCGCACGGCGCGGCTGCTGGCGCTCGCGGCGAAGGGCGACAAGGACCGCGGCGCCAAGGGGGCGAAGAAGGGGCGCGGGCGCAGGAGGGGGTCCGACGACGACGACGACGACGACGACTTCGACGACGAGGACGACGAGGAGCGGACCGCGAAGCCGCGGCGCGCGGCGGCGCGCAGGTGCGTGCCCCTCCGCTTGGTCGTTGTTTGATGTCCGTGCGCGTTGACGCTCGTCCGAGACCCGCGTGGGGGCGAGAAGGAGAGAAAGGGAGTTGGTTCGCGCGTGGGTGTGCAGGACGGCGGGGAACAAGGAGACGGAGGCGATGCGGGCGCTCCAGCGGCAGCGGCAGCGCAACTTGCAGCGCAAGGCCGACCGGCTGCGCGACCTGCAGGACGACGACGACGACGCGGGGGGCGAGGACGAGGCGGGGCGCGACGACGACAGCGAGTCCGCGGACGTCGTGTCGGAGCGCGACGACGACGACGCGGGCCACGAGGACGCGGACTACAAGGAGGCGGCGCAGATCTGCTTGCCGCGGTTCAAGCTGCTGGAGTGGTACGACCAGCCGCACTTCGCGGACGTGGTGCGCGGGTGCCTGGTGCGCGTGCTGGTGAGCGACGGGCTGCGCGGGGACGCGGCGGCGGCGGGCGCGGTGTACCGGGTGGTGGAGGTGCTGGAGGTGGTGTCGCTGACGAACAAGGTGGCGACGCCGTTCGGGGCGGTGAAGTCGCCGTACGAGTGGCGGCTGTCGGAGAACAACAAGATGACGTCGGACCGGTTCCTGTACGTAAAGTTCGGGAAGCACAAGGCCCATCTGCCGCTCTACAAGGCCTCCAACTCCCCGATGACGGAGGCGGAGTACAACCTGTTCTGCGACACGATCGCGAAAGAGGAGGGCAAGGAGGGGCTCCTCACTCTGCGGCGCGTCTCCGAGGCGCGCGAGCGCATCGCGCAGGCCAACGCTTTCGTGTGGCGCGCGGAGGACATCGCCGAGATGATCGCGAAGCGCAAGGCGGAGAAGGCCAAGTCGCAGGACAAGGCGCAGTGGACGTTCGGGGAGCTCGTGGCCGAGAAGGCGCGCGTGGAGTCGGAGATGGTCGTCGCGGTCGACCGCGACGACAAGCCCAAGGCGGAGAAGCTGCGCGGGCAACTGGCGGAGCTGGACCAGCTGATGCGGAAGAAGGGCGGGGCGATGATGCTGCAGCCGGTGGTGGTGAAGCGGGCGCAGGACGCGAGGCGGCCGCGTGCGCGTGCGAGGGAGGGGGCGGCGCAGGACGAGAACGGTGCGCGGGAGGCACGGAGGGCGCCGGAGCTGCCGCTGGTGAAGAGCGTGGAGGACGCGCTGGCGGCGGTGGACATGGGCGCGGTGGCGGCGCCGCCGCGGCGCGCGGGGCCGAGGCTGGCGGCGGGGTGGGCGCAGCGGATGTGGTCGGCGCAGTTTGACAAGCCGGGGATCAAGAAACACCACATCCGGGACTTCATGAGGTGACGCGGTGCTCGGTACGCCAGCCGTCGGGCTCTGGGACGTGTGTCTCAGTGGTCTCAGGAATGTAATGAAGCCAAAGCCAAGAAACGATGTTCAACGCGAATACCGAAAGAACGGCCGTCCGCCATAACTGTTGAGTACCACGATCGCCGTGTGCAGCGTGTGCGTTTTGCGGGACGTGGAGGTGCCCTGCGCGCGGCGGCGGGGCTTGACCGACAGGGCGCTGGCCCTCCGTTGCAGCGCACACGTGCTCCAGACGGGGCCCTCGCGGCCAAAGTGCGGCTCACAGCCTTGTAGAGCTCGCCCGGTCAACCGCTATCGCCTCGCTCCTGCCGCGGCACATGCCCGGTGGGGCCCGCGCCTCGACTTTCTAGCGTGCATTGGGCAGTCCAATTTGTGCGTCATTTTCTCGCCGTGGTTGCTCGCCGCTCCGATCCGACGCGCCCTCCCCGCCGCCTGACAGCCCCCCCGCCGCCCTCAGCGCCACTCCCCCCCCTCGCCCGTCGCACACCTCCCCGAACACCTCCTCCATGGCACCCTCCAGAGCCTGTTCCAACCGCGACCCCGGACGCGCGGCAACGACCCCGCGCGCGCCCGCCTCGGGCCTACGCGGAGCCCACGGCCGGAACACCATCGGGCTGGAGTGCTCCGTGTCCGGCCCGAACCCGACGGGCCGCGCGACGCCTTCGAAAAAGCGCCCCATGTCAGGGGGGGTCATGAGACCTATGTCGTACACGCCCGCCTGCCAGATGCGCGCGACGAGGCGGTCGACCATCGAGCGACCGATGCCGAGGAACCGCACGTCCGGCGCCACGACCACGTCCCACTGCACCAACGCACGCAGATACACATGCCAACGTTACATGCTGGACAAGGCTGGTATCGGGTGCGGGCGGGCGAGCAGGTCGTCAGCGGCGCAGGTGCATCGAGAAGCGTGCGCACCACGTTGGCGACCAGTCCGGCGTCACTGGTGGCGCGGGCGAACCCCACGAGACGCTTGCGCTTCCTGCGCCAGCGCAGCGACGGGGGCAGGATGGCCGCGAGCGGGCCCGGGTCGCCGTCGTCCGGCAGGTCGTCGTCGGCGTCGACGAAGGCGCCGACGACGAACGGGGAGTGCTCGAGAGCCCGCGTCAGGCGGTCCCGGCTCCACAAGGTGGCCGCAAAGGTCGCGTATCCCTGCGCGGCCTCGTCTCCCAGTCGGTCACGGACTTGCTGCGCCATCGTGACGGACGCGCGAAGTCCGTTCGGATCCGTCGGTCCGCTGCCGTTGCCGTCGGAGCCTGTCTCTGCCCCATCTGCTCTCTGCCACCGCAGGGCCAGGTGAGCCTGTGCTGAGTGGTTCTGGACCGGTGCGACGGCCTGGCGGTAGAGGTCGAACAGCTCCGCGGGATCGATGTCGCTGTGGCTGGTCGAGAACGTCACGTCGACGCGGGGTCTCGGCGGGCCTCTGCCATGCCGGTGCGCGCAGCAGCACGTCGCGCGGCGCCGCGCCTCGAGGTCGCCGGGAACTACGTGAGATGTGGGGCGGGGCGGGGCGCCGCCTCCGAGCAAAGCAGGCGCCGGACGCAGCCCTAGCGGACGACCGCGTCCAACGTGCGGCGTGCCAGTGCTCGCCACGCGCGAGCCTGCCGTGCTGTGCGCCATGGCGGCATTAGCGTGCCAGATCAGATGCACGTCTGCATGCGCCGCGTCAACGCTCCGGCCCACGCTGCGCAGTCGCTGTCGCGGGACGACTGTCCGCAAGGCTGGCGGTCTGGTGAATCGCCTGCTGCGCACGACTTCTCGAGATGGCCCGCGTTCTGCACCCGCGGGCCGCACAGCGAGCCTACGAGGCGGCGCCGGGGCCCCGACGGCGCGCACCCCCCCTGGTGGCGTGGGCGAGTCATCAGCGTCATACGGGAGTTGTCGGTCCGGCGCGCGATGGCGCCGCCAGGCGGGATTGCGGTGACGGACGACATTGCAGGTACGAAATTGCATTCGAGCGGTCGAGGTTCACGGCGCTCTGGGACCTCCGTCTTGGTCGTCGACTACTATCGGGGCGGGCTCTGACCACCAGACCAAAGCCCCTGTATCGCCCCGCACGCAGCTCACATGCGCTGTGGGGGGCCACCCATCGACGTTGCTCGTGTCCAGCCAGCAGCGAGCCGGAGAACCAACCTCGGACCCGCAGCTCTGGCCGCGTAGACTGCTGGTGAGCTCAGGTGCGCGCAGCAGGGGCCCGGAGGCGCGCACTAGCGACGCCATGCACGGGTGGCAACTACCTCTCTCACACCGAGGCCCGGGAAGCAAGAAAGCACCGGCACCCGTTTCCAGTCACGCACACAAGCTCCCACCTTGGGCAGCACAAGGGCCTTCAGCGCGCGTCAGGCCTCGCCGTTGGTGCTGAGGCCCAGCGCCGGTGGCTGCATGTCAGACACAGACGAGCTGACCGCGCACTTCGCCCAAACGACCGTCCGCAGGGCCGCCGGAGGCGCGCATGAACCCCAACCGTGGCATGTTCGCGCCGTTCGCAATGGCCGGGTAGCTCAGGATGTTCAGGAAGGATGCCGCCCCCAGGCTCACGGTCGGCAGACCCGGTGCGGCGCATCCCGCCGTCGGCGCGATCGCTGCAGAGCACGCCGCGCTCGGGCCCGGCCTCATCAGGGGCGCGTCGCTCTCGAAGCCGGAAGGCGCCGCGTACACCAGTGCGCTGCAGTCTCAGGCAGACTCTCTCACGGCAGAGGATGTGGAGGTGCCGGAATCCCCCCGCGTGCACCCCGTGAAGCCCTTCGGAGCCCATCGACTGCCCGCGAGACCCGCCCCGCACCCGCTGGCACCGCACCGCTCTTTCAAGAGCGAGTCCCCGGCCGGGAGAGCCGTTCATCTGGACGCCTCTGCGGCGACCGCCGTCGACAGCCCCGCGTCAGCCAGCCCGCGTTCGTACGCCCCAGGCTTTGGCAGGCCGACGTCCACCCCGCGCGGCAGCGAGTCGGGCGCCGTGGCCGCGACGTCCCCCGACAAGCACCGCGCGAGGCTCCAGCCCCTCGGCAAGCGCGGCTCCGACGTTTCGGACCCCGACACCGTCGGGGACCTGCCTCTGATGCCGGCACACAGCAACTTCCGCGGCAAGGCCTTCTCGGCGCCCCGGCACTCCCTCTCGCCGGAGCACCTGGTGGTCCAGGACGACCCGCGCGGCGAGAACGTCGCCGCGGGCATCCTCGCGAGCCCCGCGACGGTCGCGAGCCCTGCCAAGTGGACGCAGATGAAGGCAGTGTCCTTCATGAAGCGCCGGGGCGCGCAGACGACGGACCCGAACGCGGACCGCCTCACCGCGGCGTTCCAGGGCATGTCGAACCTGTTCCGCACCATCGGCGACCACCTGCGCATCACGTCCGAAGAGCAGCGGCGCATGACGGAGGCGTTCTGGCGCGACCTGGAGACCGCGGACGCCGAGGAGGCCGAGCAGCGGCTCGTGGAGCTACAGCGGGCGGTGGACCGGTACGACCGGGAGCGGGTCGCGGCGGTGCGCATCCAGCGCGCGTGGCGCAGGAGGCTGGCCCAGCGCCAAGCGGTGCGGGCGGCGCGGCGGCAGGAGCTCAGGCAGCGTGTGGCGGAGCACGAGGCCCAGCTGACCGCGATGTGGGACGAGGAGGACCGGCAGATCGCGGCGAGGAAGGAGGCGCAGAGGGTGAAACGCTTGAAGCAGGGTCAAGAGCTGATCATGAAGCATGTCGACCAGTACATCGAGAAGCGGCGCGAGGCGCTGGCGAGGCTGGGAAAGGTCATGCCGGGGCAGGGCGGCGCGGACGGGGAGGGGTTGGAGGGGGAGGACTCTCGTGCTGAGAGTGCGGGGGGCGGGGTGCCGACGGTGACGTGGGCGCAGATCACGAAGTGGCGCGCGGAGCGCAAGGCTGGGACGATCGGAGACGTGGAGCTCGTGCTGCTGCGGCAGTGGGAGTACAAGCTCGAGACCGGGAGCGCGGTGATCGAGGTGCGCTGGTGTCGCGCTGGCGGCACGCCCCGCGATGCGCTGGCGGCTCTCTCTCTCTCCTCCTCTCTCTTTTGCCGCTGCAACTGTGCGTCCGGGCACGTCGACGTGCTCGTCGACGCGTTCGCTGCCCCGGAGCGACAGCAAGAGCTAGGCGAAGTGGTTTGATTGAATGCGTGGTGCTTCGTGGCGTCGCCCGACAATAGACGCGCTCGTTCGTTCCGCGGCACCGCAGGACGGCATATTGTACGAAGTGGACGAAGTGCAGACGGCCTCGTCCGGGCCGCAAGCTCCCGACGAGCCCGCCACGCTGTCGCTGTTCACCATCGATGCCAACTTCTTCGACAGGGCGCGCTCCAGGACGATGGACCGCATCGCGAGCCGCAGCCGCCACGACGCGTATGCTGCGTCGGACCAGCAGCCCCCGGGCAGCCCCGCGCCCAGCACCGAACCTCACAAGGCGCCGGAGTCCAGCCACAGTGCGCGGAAGCCGCCCCCGAAGAGCGTCGCGTCCTTCGTCGGACGGATCTTCCAGGGCCACGTCCCGACGCGTCTCGCGATCGGTTCTGCGTCGAGGGGCGTGTCTGCCATGGACACGGTCACCGAGGGGGGTGACATCGCCCCGCAAACATCGACGGCGAGCCCGGGGGCGGGGGGCTCGAGGGTGGCCACGTCGCCCGCTGCGTCGTCGCGCAGGTCAGGGCATATACGTCGCGCGAGCGAGGCCGTCGCGGACGACGCGGGCGCGTCCGGGCCATTCAGCGAGGCGTTTGGGGTGCGGCAGGGGGGGGGTGATTCGCGGCACACGGAGCCGCCGGCTGACAACACGCTGTCTGTGGCGCGCGTCGGGCCGGTGCGGGACGCGAATGGCAAGAAGCTGCGCAGGAAGGAGGAGGGGTCGGACGCGGACGTGCCGACAGGGTGGGGGGTGTCTGCATGGAACGAGTCTGGCGAGGAGCACCCCCTGATCGTCGGGCTCGGTGGTGGGCGCCCACCGTCGCAGGGCGTCGTCGCTCCGTCCTCGGGGAGCGGCGTAGATGCGCCGCCGCAGGTGTTTCCGTCGGCCAACGACAATGTTGATGCTGACTCAGGATACCTGCGGTGGGGGGCGTTCGGGGCCGCCCCCGCCAGGACAGGGCCGTCGCCGCGTGCATCGACGTCGCCGCGGCCCAGGCACGTCGGAGGCGAGTCTGCGCGGCGCAGTCCCCTCCGCCCTCTGCATGACGAGCTCGGCTGGGCCTCGCCCCGCCTCACGACGGCGCCGGCGGGCGCGAACCGGCCGATCCAGATGCAGGGCATGCGCGCGGGGACAGAGAACCACTCTGCGAGCGTGCACGATGCGGCCCTGGACCGCGACCGGCCGCGATCGCGCCAACACCTGGGCTCGTTGCCAAGCACTGCGCCGGCCGTCGACGGGACATCGCTTCTGACGGGCGCGCTGCGACGCGGCGAGAAGCCGGGCGGTGCGCACGTGGACTCCGACGGACAGCACGTGACGGTCTGGGCGGCGGCGGAAGCGCTGCAGGGCGAAGCGAGCCTCTCGTCGCTGCACGTCGGCGCGCCGCCGCCGCCGCGGGAGCGCAAGGCGCTGATGCCGGGCAACCGCTCGCTCCTCCAGGCCGCGCAGCGGCCCCGGTCGCCATCGCGCGGCGGACCCGCGCTCGGATCCCCGCCAACGACGCCACGAGGTCCATTGGAGTTGGCGTGCGTGGCGAGCGCCCCGCAAGCCTCCGGCCAGCGCGCGCAGAACCCCCTTGTTGCCGTCGCGAACGGCTCGGCTGCGGCGTCGGGCTCGCCGTCCCGCCGGGCGGCGTCTCCGGAGCCTTGCCTTGACTACAGCCTCTCGCTGCAAGTGCAGCACCTCGGCGGGGCCGCGATCGGGCGGATGCTCGGCAAGCTGCCTACGCCTGACCGCAGCAAGGAGCACGTGGTGCGGATGGAGATGCGCACGCCGGAGAACAAGGCAAGGGAGCACATGCAGCAGGAGGCACAAGCGTTCTTCGCGGACGGCATGTCCGGGCGGTCGCTCACGCCGGAGGGCGTGTCGCTGGACAAGTTCATGCGGCCCTCGGAGAGCCCGCAGCGGAGGGGTCCTGGGCTGGGACTCATCGCGCGGGGGCAGCACGTGCGCGTGAATCGGAGGACGATGCCAGAGGTGCTGGGCGAGGGAACGGCAGTCGTGGACGAGGGTCTACCGGAGATACGTGCCAGCCATCGGCGGGCGCCGGAAGACGAAGCAACGGCGTCCGCGACGGCGGTGACGCCGCACGGCATGACGCACCGTGCGGCGACGCGGTACAAGCAGGAGACCCCCCCCTGCCTGCAGCGCACGATTCATTCGGCGCTGAAGATCGGCTGGCAGGGCGGAGGGTCGAACCCGCTGCCGCAGGTGCACCAGCTCGGGTTCGGGATGGCGGAGGTGGAGCGGGACACGTCGCCGGAGCACACGCGGCCTGCTTGCCAGGGCATCGTGGGGCGCCTGTCACCGGACCCGTCCACGCGGCGAGTGGGCAGGCTGTCGCTTTCGGCGACGCAGGCCGGGCTGCGGCCGCGTCCACAGCGGACATCGCCCCCGCGCTTCGCCGTTGCCCCGCGTTGAGCCCGGGAATATCAGTGTGTGGTTGGCCTGAGCGGGAGAGCGTTGTCAGTTGGGCAGTAGAAAGATGTGCTATCGTCGCATGCGAACGGTGCAGCCGAGGCAAAATGGTGCGGCTCGATGTGATTTGCATGCGTGAGTGCATCATGGCAGCCAGCGCTCCTCTCCTGGTAGCGACATGCAAGTTTTGTCTGGAACGACCTTGGCAGCAGCGAGCAGAAGTTCGCGGCACGAACGGCACCGTTGAAAGCGTGAGGATGCAGTGTCTCGAATCGTTTCGTTTGCGCTTCTGCCGCTCGCCTTCCCCCGTCATCGGTCGATTTGACCCATGATTGATGTTTATCTAATGTCGCCGGTCGAGCGACAGGCCCGTGCGATGAACGCGTTGCGTTCTGTTGGCCAACAGGACGGTATCTCATCACAAGTCGCTCACTTCGCCGCGGAGTCTTGCTGTGCCCGCGCCGCTACTCCAGGCGTCCGGCCAAACCAGTACTCGTTGTACACGCGCCGCGCCGCCCGGTGCAGGTGCATGTGTCGGTCCACGATGGTCGCATGGTCCTCTGCGTAACCCCCCCCGATCGCCGCGACGACGGGAACGCCCGCCCTCGCGCACGACTCCAGCACCAGCTCGTCGCGCGCCCGGATGCCATCCATCGTCAGAGCGGCCGCGCCGAGCGAGTCGTCCTCGTGCACGTCAACCCCTGCATTGTACATCACCACCTGCGGTCTGCCCCCGCCGGTGCTCTTGCGCGGCCCCCACTGCCCCTCGAGCAGCGGTGTGAGGTAGCGTTCCAGCGTCGCGACGTACTCGTCGTCAGCGACGCCTCGCGGGACCTCCACGTCGAGGTCCCCGGGGGGGTATAAGCACTCCCCTCGCGCGCCGTGCTTCGTTCCGGGCGGAGGGGGGAAGCTCTGGCCCGCGCAGTGCAGGGAGAAAGTAAACACGTCCGGCGCGTCTGCGAAAATGCTCGCGGTGCCGTCCCCGCGGTGCACGTCGCAATCCACGAAGAGAATGCTGTCGACGTCCGCATCGCGCCGGAGGGCGCAGGCCGCGACGGCGAGGTCGTTGAACACGCACCAGCCGCCCCCGCGGTCGCGGTGCGCGTGGTGCGTGCCCCCGTTGCACATCGCCGCCACGCCGAACTGCATCGCCAGGCGCGCGGCCAGCACCGCGCTGCCGACCCCGATCGTAGCGCGGCGGACCATGTCCGGGCACCACGGGAGGCCGAGGGCGCGCTGCTCCTTGGCGGAGAGCTTGCCGTCGAACACCTTGTCCACGTACTCGCGGCTGCGTAGCGTCCAGAACGGAGAAGCAACTTGTTTCCGCGGACCTGCCCTGACTGCCGGGCTCCTGGTGCCCACCCGTCTGAGAAATCAGGGCAAACTGACACGAAAGCGTGTATCCTACTTCCAAAGTAAGTAAGACATCTAACACCCCAGGTTCTGATGGAACGAACAATGCGAGCTCGAGGACGCGATTGTGAGGCGAGCCGCGTTCGCGTCGATGCGGCTCGAGCCCGCGCTGCGTTGCTTGCGAGCCCCTGGCGCGCACGTGTCAGTGCAGACGGTGGAGGAGGCCCACCTGTGCGCCAGGGCGAGTGTGTCCCTGTCTGCGTGCCTCGGCGTGAAAGTGCGGCCCGCAAGGCCCTCAGCGACCAGGCGCTGGTAGAGCATCTCGTCCTTGGGCATCGGGAACCTGCGCGCTATGACAGTGAGCTCAGTGCCCCTCTGCAAGCAGTGGAAAGGTCTTGTGCCCCCGAAACACACGAAACCCTTTTCCTCACGCAAGCAGATTTGCTTCGGTTTGCTTGTGCTCCCCGAGGCGTGCTTCTCCGGCGCGTGCTGCGGAGCGATGTGCACCGCACGCACCTGTGCCCCTCTGGGACCGGGTTGACTCGAAAGTCGGGGTGGTACGTGATGGGGTGGTCGATCCCACGTGGAGGAATGTCCAGCGGAGCGCTGGCGGCGCCCGAAGCGAACGCACGCGCCCGCAGAGGGGCTGCTGTGCCGCGCTGAGCAGCGCGCACTGCGGCTGGACGCGCCGCGACAGCGCCCATCTCTGGCGAAGCCGGTTGCGACAGGAGTCGGGGACTGTGTTTGCGTGAGTCACTTCAGGGTCCCTGTTCGACGGTGAATGCCGGAACGAGTGCCAGCTACAGCACAGGCGGGAGCCCAGCGGGAGCCCAGCGTGATATGGGCGGATATGTGGTGATGCCTACGCTACATGACTCATTCTCACCGCTCCGCGTCCCCCTGACGCCGACACGCCAGCTCGGCCCGCCATCGAGCCGCCCGTGGTCAGCACACCACACCCTCGTCCTGACGCACGTCCGCCGAGACGCACAGGCGGACCTCAACCACGGGACACACCACGGCGCCCTCACTCCGCGCTGAGCCAGCGACGTCCGACCTGCTCCGTCAAAATAACACGGTGGCGCTCGAAACAAAAGCGTTACGACGCACCCTCCTCCCCGCCGCCCCCCTCGCCCTCCGCCTGCCCTGCCCCCTCGCCGCCGGCGCCCCCCGCACTGCCCGCCTCGCCCCCCGCCTCCCCCGCGCTCCCCGACTCGTCCCTCGTCTGCGTGCTGAGCTGGCGCTCCATGGCGGCCATCTTGGCATGCATCCCCGCGACCAGCGTGTTCATCCGTCCGTCGAGGCGGTCGCGCCCCGCCAGCTCCTCCTCGCGCTCCGCTAGCCGCTCCTCGAGCACCCGCCGCTCCACGTACCAGTCCGCCTGCGCGCACTCCCGCAGCGCGCGCGTCGTTTGTGGGCGAGAAAGCAAGGAGCAAGACGCGGTTGACACGCAGCCAGCAGCTCGCACGAGGGCCGCGAGAACGACGGAGACACAGGCGAGGCACCGTCGCGTCCGGGCTCGCAGCGGCGGCACTGCGAGGTTCGAGAGCATCTGGCGCAGGTGACGGTGCACGGGGCGAACGCACCTGCAGGCGCTCGAGCTCGTACAGCTTGGCGTTGTACAGCGCAGACTCGGCCTCGCGCTCCTCGATCTCGGCCTCGAGGCGGTGCAGGAGGTCCCGCACGAGCGCCTTGACTGCGCCCACCACTTTGTCCGACTGCTCCACCGCGTCCGCGCGTTTCCGCAGCAGCCGGTAGTACTGCGACTTCATGTTTGTGTACTGCTTCACCTGGAACTGCATCTGCCGCAGCATCTCGCGCTGCTTCGTCGGGGCGGCCTGCTTGCCAGAAGCATTGGTGCCGCCACCGCCGCCGGACGGGCCGTACGTCGTGGTGTGCGCGTGCTGCTCCGCGACCGCGAGCTCGAGCATCGCAGCTCGCCGCCGCGACGCGTCCAGCGCGTACTTCAGCTGCGAAATGATGCGGTCCTTCTCCGTGAGAGCGCGCGTCGCCAGCGAGTCGGGCTCGCCGAACAGGTTCTCGCCTGCCATCGGCGTACCGGGCGCCGAGCGCCCGCCGTCCTTGGCTGCGGCGGCCGCGGCGGCAGCGGACGCAGCTGCGGCCTCGAAGTCGACCGGCGCAGAACGCGCCATTGCCGCGTCCGCCCTCGCCGCTTGCGCCTCCTTCTGGAGCTCCACGTTCTTCCGGTACAGCTTCTTCATAATCTGCACCGCGCGCAGGGCTCACTGCGGCCGTCACGACGCGCATCCTGCATCGCGGCGAGCGCAGCACATCAATGGCGACAAGTCCGCACATCGCGGGCCGGACACGCACCCCCTTCGACATCGCGCACTTCCGCATCAGCGCCTCGTTCTCGTGCAGCAGCTCCGTGTACTTCGGCTTCGTCCGCCGCCGACTCGCGGGCTGCTTCTCCTGCACGCCCGCCGCCGCACCCCCGCGCCCCGCCCTCGCGTCGTCCCCCGCGCCCTCGTCCCCGCCCTGCCCCGCCGCCTCCAGGTCCAGCAGCGCCTGCTGCAGCTTCTCCCGCACGTCGTCGCTCAGCTCCAACCCTGCCAGCTGCGCCGCCAGCGGCCCCGACAGATTCCACTGCGCCCTGCCAGGGCTCCCGGGCCCGTCCCCCGCGTCCTCCTCGCCCCCGAGGGACTGCCTCCGCGCGTGGTGCGCTGCCTGCTGCTCCCGCAGCTCCTCGAGCTCCCTCTGGATCGCAGCCAGCCGCTCCCTCTCCTCAACGATCTTCGTGCCCGCAGCTTCGAGCTCGTTGAGCGCGCGGTCGCGGTCCTGCACGGCCGCGTTGTACATCGCCGTCATCGTCTCCAGCTGCCCGTCCTGCTGCGCCACGCCCGCGCTGCACGCGAGGGGGCCGAGCACGGCGGGTGAGGCAGGAGCCCGCTCAGGCCGCGTCCAGGGGGCGTCTGGAGTCGCGTTTGCGCGACAGGGAGGCAGGACGCCGATACAGCGAGGGGCGGAGCGCGAGGACGCCGCAGAGCGAGCGGTGCACGGCCCGCGGCGAGCTTCCGACATGCAGTGCTGAAGGGGACGCACGCGCTGGAACGTCGTGACTTCGGGAGTCCCGTGGGCGGCTTCGGCCTCATAGCGGGATTGCCTTGGCCCAGCAGGACCCGTGCGGCCGCCTGCGCCGTCTCCACGTCCCCCATGCTGCTCGCAGACGCTCACCGACCTCCACGGCAAGGCAGGTTGTGCGCTCACGCCGCGCACGTAGCACCTGGCGGGCGCTGAGCTATCCCAGGAGCTTCCTTGCGTGCTACTTGTAGAGATGCGCCACTGCGCGCAGCATGCAGGGCGCGACCCCGCGAACTACCGCGCTCACACTCCAGCCCAGGCTCTCGAGCCCCGCACCAGTCGAGAACCCTCGTCTGCGGACCACCCTCGACGGTCCCACTCCCTGGGACCCGTCAGGCCACCGCGGACCCCCCTGCGAGCCCGCGGCCACGTTGCGCGCCGCCGCGCCCGCACCGCCACACCTTCGGCGCACAGACCGCACGTCCACGTCGCGGCGGCACCGTGCACGGATGACGCCGCACCCCGCGGCAGCGTAGCCAGCCATGGAGCTCGCAGAGGAGAACTCGGTGCTGCTCGCGGGGCACACCATGGAGGACCTCTTCCGTGACGAGTTCCCGGACCTGTACCCGCGGCAGGACGCCCCGGGGAACGAGGCCGAGGACGAGGAGGGGGACGGGGAGGCAGAGGAGGGAGCGCAGGCTGAAAAGGCGGGTGAGGATGGGGCGAAGGAGGGGGAGGAGGGCGGAGAGGAGGGGGAGGGGGAGGGGGGAGGCGAGGAGGAGGAAGGCGACCCGTACGGGTACAAGGCGCGGCTCGAGGAGATCGAGAAGGAGGTGAGTGTGGGCTGGACTCGAAATGCGGGGCGCCGCGAGAGGTCGCTGAGGGGTCCGCGACGCCGTCTGGCGCGCGCGTCGCGCGTGTTGAATTGATTCCTGCGTGGCCTGCCGTGCGGACGGCCACGCGACCTGTCTGGGAGGCGCGGGTCGCGTGCATGCTGCTGCCTCGAGCACTGCGCGTTCAGGCCTCCCGCCGCCTTGATTCCGCCTCCCGGAGGGCAGCTGCTGCGCCTGCGGCCAAGCACCGCTCGCCGGTGCGGAGCGTCGCAGCTTCGAGCGCGCGCTGCGGGCCCGGGCAGCGCGTCTCCTCGCGCCCCGCAGGCCGCATGCGCTCCGCTCAGGCGCCCGCCAGACCTCCGCGGATGCGCGGCTGTCGCCGTACGGAGGCCACATCCCCGGCTGCCTCGTTCGGTGCCGATTTCCGCCCGTGGCAGGGACGCGGCGCGCGCGTGCGGCCCCCAACGCATTCTCCGCCATTGACGACCCGCAGTACCGGGAGGCAATGGTGGCAGCCGACGACACGGAGGCGTACATCAGCGAGCGGGACAGGGCTGCGCGCGAGGACGAGCATCGCATGAACCAGCAGCGCGACCAGGCCTTCACGCGGATGTGGCGCATCACAGGTCTTCCCGAGAAGTTCACGCCCTTGGAGCTAGACTCGGGATACATGCGCAGCCAGGCCATGATCAACTCCAAGGGCCTCCTGCAGCGCTTCCTCATGGAGGTGCGAGCGCTCCCCCGCACGCCACGCGCGTCAACAGGCACACCGCGCCCACCGCCCCCGTCCCGCTCCTCCCGCCCCGCCAACGCCCCCACGCACAGACGCAACGCGCTAACGACAAGCCGGTCTCTCACTCTCGCGACCGCGCTCCCCGGCACGCCCTCCGCAGCGGGAACGGGAGCTCCAGCCACCCATCACGTACACCTTCATGGACCGCAACGCGCCCAAGGGCTACCAGACGACGCGTGCGGGGTCCCAGAAGAACATGTCCCAGCGGTCGCTCCTCGGCGCGCAGCCCGCGGGCCTCGAGACCGTCCATGGCACCACGGAGGCGCAGGAGGCGCACGTCGCCGCCATCCTGGCCGCCGCGGACAAGGCCATGCCGCCCCCGGTGACCACGGGCCTCGAGCAGCTGCAGGACGGCGGGCGGACGAAGCGCGAGGCGAAGCGGACGGCCAAGGGGGAGGGGAAGCAGACTCTACCCACGGTGCCGGAAGCCAGCGGCACCACGAGCTCGCCGCGGAAAAAACCGCGGCCGACGTACCTGCCGGAGCAGCGGCCTCGCTGGAAGGTACGCACGCCCCGCGCCCCTGCGCTCCGCCGCGCCGCGCCCCACTGCGCAGGCCCCGCGCGATGCAGCGCTGCTTGGCGTGCCACGACACGGCGCCGTCGGCGCGTGCGAACGGGTCTTCGTCGATGTGCCCGCGAGCGTCGCGCAGGACCTCCCCCGGGAGCAAGTGGAGGAGCTGGTGAAGCTGTCTGAGGCGCGTCGGGCGAGCATCCTCCGCCGCATGCCGCCGGAGCAGTACGAGCGCGAGATGCGCCTCCTGCGGCGCATGAACCACTCCCTGCAGTTCCTCCGCAACCCGCGGCACCTCCCCGCCGCGAGCTACAAGGAGGTGGCCCAGCGCGCGCGCGCCAAGGGCGAAATGGGCATGTCCCTGCGCCACAAGCTCACCGCCGACACGGAGCGGACGTTCAACGTGGAGCCCGCGGAGGTGCTCTTCCGCGTGTTCGAGCCGGGCTCCGTCTTCAAGACAATGTGCGCCCGCCGCCCCCGCCGCCCCCGCCGCCCGCTCCGCTCGTCTGCGCGGTTGCCTCGTGCTCGTGCCGTTGCTTCCACCTCACCGCGCGCGCCCGCCCCGCCCGCGTCCCCGCAGGGTCGAGCTGCGCAACGTGTCGGGCGTGTCGCGGCGGCTGCGCATCCTGCCCCCGACATCGCAGTACTTCACTCTCGACGCCATCTCCGTGCCGCACGAGGGGGGCCTGGTGGCCCCGGGGATGTCGGCGTCGTGCGTGGTCGTGTTCACGCCGGACTCGGTCGCGCAGTACGACGACGTGCTCGCCGTGGAGACCGACGCGGGCCGCATCGAGATCCCCCTCCTCGGGCGGAGAGACCCCCCCAAGCTGGGCATTCCGAAGGACATCGACGTCGGGCCGTGCCTCATGGACAACACGAAGACGATCGCCGTGCAGTTCACCAACACCGGCGGCGGCGCGCGGTTCTGCCTCGTCGACCCCGAGCCCAGCACGCGCAGCCAGCGGCTGATGTCGCCGCGCGGGACGGGCCGCCGGCGCAACTTCCGGCACAGCGTGGACCCGACGGGCGGGGAGATCGACCCGCGCGTGGCGGGGTCGGGGCTGAACCGCCAGGTGTCGAGCTTCGTCATGCACGACTCCACCAACCTGCACGCGCCCGACTTCATACCCCCGCTGTTTGGGACGGGGGGGACCGCCGAGCCCACCGCGGGCGAGGTCGGCGACATCGAGGACGTCGTCAAGTTCACAGGCGCCTCCGAGGGCGCCGAGAACCGCACCAGCGCCGCGTCCGAGGCCTCGGACGGGACCATCGGCCCCGAGACGGCGGGCGCGCGCCTCGAGGTGTCCGAGTTCTCCATCTGGCCGTCGCGGTTCGAGGTCACCGAGGGCGCGCAGGGCTGGCTGCAGGTCACCTTCCGCCCGCGCGCGCCCGGGCGGTGTCGCCGGCGGATCCAGATGGTCTGCGACAACGGCACGGTCCGCACCGTCAACCTGCTCGGGGAGTCGTGCGCGCTCAAGGTGCAGATCGAGGGGATCGACGGCCGCGCGCCGTCGAAGGAGGAGTTCGTGATGCGCACGACTGAGTCCATGCGCTCCGGCGACGTGCTCTCGCAGCTCCCCAGCGCCAACTCGGACGCGCCTGGGGCGTACATCGCGATGCCGTCGCGCGGCCACGAGGCCGCGGTACCGGCGTGGCTGCTCGACCTCTGGTTCGGCGAGGTGATCCCGGGCTCCTCCGTGCACCGCGTCATCCAGATCTACAACCCTCTCCCGCTGAAGCTGCCCTACCAGTGGGCCATCACGCCGCGGCGGCCGCGGATCCTCCTGTCGGACGGCACGGGCTGGACGCGCAGCACGGTGACGGGGAGCCGCCCGCCTGGTCGCCGGAGCCGCCGCGAGACGGCGCACGCGGCCACGGGCTTCGCTGTGTTCCCAGACGCGGGCATCCTGGAGCCGCACACGCTGACCGAGTTCAAGATCACGTTCGGGCCGATCGAGGTGGGCGAGTCGCGCGCGCTCCTCACGATGCTCGTCGACCGCTCCGTCGAGGGCACCACCGCGCAGCAGGACGACGAGGACCTGTATCAGCCCGACCCCATCATGGTGCGATCCAAGTCGACGCGGTCGGTGCACGCGGCGCGGTCGGTGCGGAACCTCCCGCCGCCGGTCGGCGGGGACGACCCGCGCGCGGTCGGGCAGGCGCTGTCGCGGCGGCGCACCGCGGCGCTCGGGCACGGCTACGCGAAGTTCAAGAGCACGGCCAGGCGGTCGCAAAGCACGAAGCGGCTGGGCGACGCGGACGCGCGGCCGGTCCTGACGAGCGCGCCGACGATGTTCCACAACTCGGACCTGGACGCCGCGACCACGCCGCTCGCGTCCTTCTCGCTGGCGGGCCTCGGGCGCCCGGTGAGCGTGCTGGTGGAGCCGCCCTACCTGCAAGTGCCGGGGTCGCTGACGCCCGGGCAGCGCTGGGAGAGCGAGATCACCGTCGCGAACCCGGGGCCCGCGCCCGCGGAGTTCACCCTGAGTCAGCCGCTGCCGGAGGGACTCACGGTCGACCCCCCCGTGGGGACTATCGAGCCGTTCAGCGAGCTGGCGCTCGCGCTGGACCTGGTGGCGCCGCAGCGGTGCGGGCTGCACGCCGGCACGCTCGAGGTGATCGTGCGGCACGGTGGCGTCGGCGCGGCACTGCCGGTGCGGTACGTGGTGACGGGCCCTGACGTGGCGCTGTCGACGCCGAAACTGGACCTGAAGCTCGTGCAGATGAACTGCGAGGCGACGGAGAGCGTGACGCTGACGAACACGTCGCCGTGCACGCCCGCGGCGTGGTCGCTCGCCGTCGGGCGCGTCCTGTTCCGCCGCGGCGGCGCCCCAGAGGGCCAGTGGGAGGTCCGCGACCCGTCAGACTGCGAGAAGCTCGTCGCGCTGACGCTCTCGGAGCAGGGCGGGGTCATGGAGCCGCTCGGCGCGGCGGAGATCGCGCTGGCGGTGCGCCCGTTCGCGGAGGGCACGATCAAGCTCGTGCTGGAGGTGTCGGTGGAGGGCAGCGCGACGCAGCACCTGCCCGTGCTGATCGACTGCGTGGAGCCGCGCGTGCGCGTGGTGTCGCCGGAGGTCGACCTCGGGACGGTGTTCGAGGGCATCCCCGTGCCGTCGTTCGTGCAGTTGCAGAACGTCACGCCGTTCCCCGCGCACGTCCGAGTGGACGAGACGCTGCACGGCGGGAACGACCGCATGCGCGTGATGGTCCCGGGCGGCGGGCGGCTGACGATTGCGGGGCACGCGAAGGAGCGCGTGCGCGTCGTGTTCCACCCGCGGCAGCTCGGGCGATGCCAAGGCGTGTTGGCGCTGCACACCGAGGGGTCGACGCACCTGGCGGGGTTCCGCGTCACCGCGGTCGTCGAGGGGCTCAAGGTGTCGTACGAGATGCGCACGCTGTCCGCGGACCCGTACATCGGGCCGGAGAAGGCGGTCGTCGCGCAGGCGCCCGCGCCGACGCTCACCCGCGCGCACGTCCACGGGCTGCTCGCGGCGCCCGGCGGGCCCGGCGAGCTCGCGCGGAGCGGCACGAAGCCGCTCCGGCTGCCGCGTGCCCTGCGCGCCAACTCGCCGCCGCCGCCCGCGGCCAACGCCGCGCAGTCCCGGCACGCCACGCGCCCCACCACCGCCAAGAGCGCCGCAGGCAACAACGCGCTCGGACGGCAGGTGCCTGCGATCCCGGGGCCGCCCCGCGCGCAGCTGGCGCCGGGGGTCACGTTCGAGGTCGTGGGCCGCGAGCCCGGCGCGCTGATCGACCTGGGCGGCTGGTCTCCGATCGGCAAACCGCGTCACTTCCAGCTCCTCGTGCACAACGAGTCAGGCATCCAGACGCGCGCGCGGGTGTGGCTGAAGAACTTCGGCGTCAAGGCGGACGGCGCGAGCGCGCGCCAGACGCCCGTGGAGATGGCGACGGACGCGAGCATGGGCCGCCGCGCGATGGAGAAGTTGCGCGGGATGGTGCGCAAGGCGGCGGGCAACACCACCGGGGTGTGGGGGTCTATTCTCCGGCGCGCGAAGACCGCGGCGGGGCCCGGGAAGCGCGAGCCGGGCCCGCGGCTCGCGGCGATCGAGCGGGCCGGGGGCTTCGGGTCGGAGCTGGGGCAGGAGATGGAGCTGGCGCGGCAGGTTGAGGAGACGAGCGAGCGGTCGCTGACGGGCGGGAAGGGGATCGCGGTGACGATCGCGCAGGAGGAGATCACGATCGAGGGGCACTCGACGGGGGTGTTCGACCTGACGGTGCACAGCGACATGTGCGGGACGTACTTTGACGTGCTGCACTGCCAGGCGGGGATGCTGCCGCCGCAGGCGTTCCCGTTCAAGATCGGCGTCGTCGGGTCGCCGCTCTTCCTGCACAACACGCGCCGCGTCGTGCAGGGCTACCAGGGCGGCCGCGCGACGGAGATCGCGGTGGACTTTGGGGAGGTGCCCCTGCGGCTGAACGAGACGCGCCCGGTGTTCGTGACCAACACGTCGCCGTTCCCGCTCAAGCTCAGCTGGGAGCACCGCAACATCGTCGTCCCGCCGCCGGAGCCGCCCGCGCCGCCCCCGCGCCCGCGCATCCCGTCGCCGACGCCGGAGCCCTCCGAGGCCCCGTCGCAGCCCGAGGACGGCGCCGGGAGCCAGGCCGGGAGCGCCAAGGGCGACGGCAGCGCCGCGGGCGGCACGACGCCCCCGCCCGAGGACGGCGATGCGGCGGCGGAGCAGCCTGCGGACGCAGACGCGCCGGACAAGCCCGGGGACGGCGCGGAGTCGGGCAAGGACGGCGGGTCCGGCGCGGGGAGCGACGCCGGCAGCGGTGCGGGGAGCGCGGAGGCCGGCGAGGTGGAGCCGGTGGACGACGGCAAGCCTGTCGTTGCGGTGGGCCTGACGACGGAGCAGGGCAGGCTGCGGCTGCTGGTGGACCCGGCGCACGAGCCCGCGGACCCGTCGGTGATAGACAGCGAGGGGGAATTCGTGTTCCCGTTCCGCGTGGAGCCGCCCGTGGCGGCGATCGGCGGCGGCGAGACGGCCCGGTTCGACGTCACGTACACAGCGCTGCCGGGGCGCGGGCCGCAGGGGTCGTGGGCGTGCGAGGCGCTGCTCGTGGGGCACCAGGAGCTGATCAAGTCGGACGCCGCCGCCGCGCAGGTCGAGCGCCAGGCCACGCACACGCGCCGCCAGGGCGGCGGCGAGCCGGGCCGCTCCTTCAGCCCGACCTTCACCGAGGGCGGGCAGACCGAGGGGGGCCTCGGGGGCGCGACGGCGGTGGCGCGACGGCAGCAGCGGCGGCGCGGGACGCAGGAGCACATCTCGCTGTCGCTGGTCCCGGGCAACGGCTCGGAGAACGCGCGGCTCAACGCCCTGCTGCAGGGGTCGTACCACCCGACGGCGGCGCCGCCCGACCTGTCGATGGGCGTGCTGCGCGTGAAGCTGGCGGCGAAGACGACGCCGTCGCGGCTGGAGCCGGACGTGGAGGGCGCGTTGAAGTTCCTGGTGTTTGCCAGCGAGCCGTCGTCGCACAGCACGTACCGCGCCGCGGTGACGCTCACGAACACGCAGCACGCGGCGGTCGCGTTCCGGCTGTCCGTCACGGGCCCGTGGCTCCTGCAGTCGATCGTGCCGTCGATCCCGCGGGAGATGGCGCTCACCGCCACGCACGCGGCGTCCGACCTGCGCGCGTCGCTGCGCCGCGACGGCGACCACGAGTGGCTCCTCCCGCCGCGCGAGAACGTCGAGGTCCTCCTGCAGCTCGAGATCCCCGAGGACAGGGTCAACGACGCGGACGACTACTGCCTGGACGGCACCCTGCATGCCGGGTTCACCAACGGCGACGCGCAGGAGCTCCCGCTGATGGCCACGGTCGTCCACCCCGAGCTCGAGGTCAACATGGCGGAGATCTCGTACGGGCAGGTCCACGTCGAGGCGCCGAAGCCTATCAAGGTCGTGCTGACCAACCCGACCCTGGCGGACGCCGAGTGGTGCATCTGCGAGAAGGGCGGGCGGCCGCACTTCGGGCGCGGCGTGGTGCCGTCCGCGACGTTCGGGACCGTGCGCGTGGAGCCCGGGACGGGCGTCATTCCCGGGCGCGGGCTGCGGATGCCCAACACGCAGACCATCACTATCTGGCTGGCGCCCAAGACGGTGGGGCCGCAGGTGAAGGACTTGTGGTTCGCGGTGCGCAGGGGCCGCGGGGCGCGCGTGGTGGTGCGCGGGGAGGGCACGTTCGACGAGACGTGCGAGCACAACGCCATCCTCATGGACCTATAGATAGCGTGGTTGTTTCCAACATGATTTTGGCGGTTGTTGTGACGGAGGGCTGGATGTGTGTGGCCGCTGCGCCGCCTCGCCATCGCGGCGGCATGGCTGCGGCGGGTGGCGAACGGCGGTGGCTCAAGACGGCAGCGCTGCGCTTGTGTGTCACTGGTCCAGCACTGTCTGTGTCTGCCAGAGGGGTACATGTGCCCTTTCTGCGGCGGTCCCTGCCGCCCCGGAGGACCTCCGCCACTTGCTGCTGGACTGCTGTGCCCCGGCGGTACGCTCTCTCCGTGAACGAGCAGGTCGGGCCGTAGGCTCATCTGGGCAGCTTCTGCTACTTCCGACCGTTGCTGACGCGCGTCTGCCGGCCACGGCAACTGTTGGGCAGCGCCGCCGCTTCCTCTCAACCGCCGGCTGCGCCAATGCGGTGCCGCAGGTCCTCGACTCGGAAGCCGCTGCCAACGCTGCCGTGCGTTACCTTTTGGACCTGCCGAAACAGAGGCATGGCGCCCTTCGCTCTTGGCATCGAGGATCTGCTATAAGCTGACGCCGTCACAGCTGCCGAGCCTGTCGCTACCACAACGGTGGGGAGCTGGCATGACTCGCCACCCAGTCGAATGATCTTTTCAGGTCCTGAAACCTTGTGGCCGACGACGCGAAGAATATGACCTCACCTCATGGCCTCAATTCATCATGCCAGCGACGGCGACGGCCGTTCACGGCACTCCACCGCCTCGAAAGCGCGGGGCGCTGCATGCACTGCTGCTGAGGAATACTCCGCACTGTCCGGGCGGGGACCGCGTCGCGCGCAGGCGGAAGCACGGCGCTGCGGCTGCCTAGCCGCTCTTCGCGCCCTTCTGCGCGCCGACGGCCTTGCGCGCGGACGCCCTGCCGCGGTACCACGTAGCCAGTCTCTCCTCATCAACCCCAAGCTTCCAGGCCAAGAGGATCGCCTGCGGGGGGCAGGGTTGGGTCAAGACGGAGCCTTTCCGGCTGGTACGATCTTGCTGCAGAGCCAGCGAGATAGCGCGTCGCGGGCGCGGCGTCAATGCGACGATGACAAGCAATCTGCATGTCACGTGGTTTGCCGGCAGCGGTGCGTGGAGATGGCTGATTTCGCGTAGCAGCGAGCCTCCACAGAGCCCTGCGAATACACGCCGCGGCGTGTGGGCGCGCACCTGGTTCATCAGCGTCGTCTGCAGCACCCCGAGGCCCTCCCACCTGCGCCCGCTCGTGGACACAGGCAGCGACGCGCGGACGGGGTGGAACCCGCTCTTCTTGAGGTCGCGCACCAGCGACACGTCCTCCAGCAGCGGGACCTCCCGGAACCCCCCGACGGACCAGAACACATCGCGATTCACGTAGATAGCCTGGTCTCCATACGGTAGCGCGAACAAAGCGTTGCGCGCGCGCACGCCGGCCTCGACGATCCGCAGCCCGAAGGACTCCCCCTCGATGGTCAGGGGGAAGTAGCCCCACGGCCTCGCGCGGGCCCGCGAGGCTTGGTCGGCGTGGGCGTCCGTTGCGTCGCTCGGGTGCCCGCGCGCGGGACCCGCGGCTCCGTCCGGAGCGCGGCCGTCGAGGGACGCGAGGACCGCTTTGTCGTAGTCGGGCGGGAGACGTGTGTCTGCGTGCAGGAAGAGCAGCACCTCGCCCGTAGCTTGCCGAGCGCCCGCGTTCATCTGCGGACCACGCCCGCGCGCTCCCGCGACGACCTTGGCCCCGCACCGTCGCGCTATGTCGACCGTCTGGTCCACGCTGCCGCCGTCCGCGACTATGACCTCGACTCGTCCGGGCGTCGCGTCTGCAGGCCGCGCACACGGGACTGGGACGACTGCTTAGCTCAGCGCGAGCGCGCGGGCCTGCGACGAGCTCGCTTCCGATTTCAGCGCGCTGGGCGGTGTGGCTGCGAGGCAGGGATCATGTAGACGACTGCGCAGGTCGGGAGGCGACGTGGGGACGCGCCGGCGGTCCGCTCTGTGCTCCTGATAGTTGCTTCGATGTCTTTCTCCTCGTTTAGGGTCGGGATGATGACCGACAGCCGGGATGGCGGCTTCTGGCTCCACAGAACCGATTTCGAGTTTCCCATGGCGACAACGTCCCTTTGCCAGCCCAGGGAGCTGCCGCGCCACCAATCGAGCACAAGGCCGGCGCCACGTTCAAGGCGAAAGAATATGCAGCTGCAAGCCAGCGCGACGCCCCCTCTCTGTTTGTGTCCTCCCTGCCTCCGTCCCTCGCTCGCATATATTCCGGCCTGGCTCCCCCGGCGGACATCAAGCATCACTGCCCCTCTGAGCCTTCCCACACCCGCCAGCGGCACATTCGGGCCTGTTCGTGGCGCCACCGCGCAGTCCCAGCGTCTCCACATCGTTCCGCGCGCGTATCCTTGCAACGACCCTCCTCAACTGCACAAGCTCGCCACAAGATGGGTCTCAAGGAAGACTTCGAGAAAGCCGCCGCTGAGGCGAAGGAGCTGCCGGCCAACACCTCGAACGAGGACAAGCTCGCCCTCTACGGCCTGTTCAAGCAGGCGACGGTGCGCGTCACCCCCCCGCACCCGCACCGGCGTGGCTTGCATCCGCCACAGTGGTTCCCCCGCGCGCCCGGCGATTCGCGCCGCTCCGGGCGACCGATGTCCGCCCCGCGATGACGAATCCGTCTTGCGGGCGTATCGCGCTCTAGATCGACTCCGTTCGCCCCGCCACGCGTGCACGCACAGCACGAGACGCGTGCCTGGGCTAGACGGGTGCGGCCCGTGGCCACGCGCGTGCAGGTCGGCGACTGCAACACCAGCCGGCCCGGGATGCTCGACATGGCTGGTAAGGCCAAGTGGGACGCCTGGGACAAGCTGAAGGGCAAGTCCCAGGACGAGGCTATGCAGGTGCGTGACAGCAGGAGGCGCGGGGGAGCGCGCAGACCCGCAGAGCCGGTCCTGTCCTGCGCTCTGTGCGCGAATACGTGCTTCCGATTGCGCGCAAGCCGTCTGGGCGACGAACAGGCTGCGTGCTGCGGCTGCGAGCGCGCTCCAGCCACGCGGAGGAGGCTCCCTGTGCTGGCGCGCCGGCACCGCCTGCTGACGCCCCGCTCACGGTAACGGGTCCGTGCGATCGACGCAGGACTACATCACGCTGGTCGAGACCCTGAAGGAGAAGTACGCGTAATCGAGGTTTTGTGTCTGAACTGTCAACGCAACTCGCGCGCCCGCCCACGGACGCCTGGGCCGCGCCGGACGCACCGCGAAGAGCATCCGTGTGATCCACGCGCGCGATCCGTGCAGCCGAGGCGCGCACCGCGCGTGGTTTCACAGTGGCAGTTCTCTTACCTCCAGACACAGATTCGCAACGTGTCGTGGCCGGCGTTCGGCAAGCGCATCGAGAAGGACCCCACGCTACTTCAATACCACGACGACGTGAAGCGCCTCGTCGCCACCGCACGGTTCTCCATCAAGACGGTCGGCTTCGACGATGCAGACCTGGTCGATAAATACCTGGCCAACATCGACGGGGGGCCGTGCCATTTGATGGCCTCCGTCGAGACGACCACACGAACTCGTGGAATTCGTCCATCACTTCGAGAAGTGGTTGTGTCTTCCAGCGTGTGCGTGTGGTCGTCTCGACGGAGGCCATCAAATGGCACGGCCCCCCGTCGATGTTGGCCAGGTATTTATCGACCAGGTCTGCATCGTCGAAGCCGACCGTCTTGCCCGCCGCGGGATTCTTGTTGGAGAACCGTGCGGTGGCGACGAGGCGCTTCACGTCGTCGGGGTATTGAAGTAGCGTGGGGTCCTTCTCGATGCGCTTGCCGAACGCCGGCCACGACACGTTGCGAATCTGTGTCTGGAGGTCGGCAATCAGCTTGTCCACGCGAAGAATGTGACACCTCACCTCAGTTGCGCTGATGTGCACAGCAAAGGAGGAAAAGAGATGCTGGGTGCAGTGCCGCTGCGGGCCGCAGGCCGGCATTCAACGCTGTCGATCAGCCACGTGTCACCGATCTCGTGCACACGCGGGTGCGGTCGTGGGGAGCAGCTTGCACGTTTTCATTTCAAAGACCGCGACCGGCAGCGTGCGCGACACGCTCGCCCGTCCTGCCATGACGCAGGCGCTGTGGAGCGCCGGAGGTGCGATGGGGCTCTGCTGCACTGCGGGAGAGACTCTCGGAGGCTGTCGGGGAGGTGTGTTTGGAGACAACCCCATGTGTGCGAGTCTGGCGGGGAGCTTCCCGCAGCGTGTGTTTGAGTGCGGTCGCGGCGCGGCGTGCGCACTCGGGCATCTCAGAGCTGGACGTTCGCTGCTTGACGCGTTCCCAGCTGACTTGACCCGCAGCGATTCGCGAGCCACCACTCTGTGGCCCCGCGGGGCGGGATTCCCGGCGCGAGACGGCCAGACAAGAGCACCAGCGCTGACTTGTGCGGTATTCTCGGGCCTGGAGGAAGCTGGGCAGCTCTGCTGCACTGTGACGGCGGCACGAGACGCGCGTAGCTCCCTTGCTACCAGGTACCTAGACAGCGACAGGTGCGGGCGCAGAGGCCCCCGGGAGCGGGAGCTGGCACGTGACGTCTGTGTATCGACGCGGGTGCACGGCCACGACGGGCACGCTTCCCGCGCGTGACTCGACGCGACAAAGCGCGGTGCCCTGCTGTGGGGCGTGCCCGCAGCGCCTCGTTGGCCCGTCGCTGGATTGCTCCGCATGCCTCATCTCGTCGATATGCTCTCGCTGTGTCACGCTGGTCGAGATCGAATCGTTTCCACCGTTGCAGTACAGGGCCGGGGTGGCTTGTACTGAAGATGCCAGGGCAGCGGCAGGCGGCCCGCGCGGGGGACGCGGAGCCGGACAACATGGTCAAGATCAACGTCTACGACCTCACGGACAACCGCGCGCTGCACCCGTTCGGTGAGACCACCGCGGCCGATCTGAGCGAGACCACCCCTCGTGCAGAGAGCCGTCGGCGATTCCAGCGGCCCAGCGCGGCGCAGCGCAGCGCCGACGGCGTCGCGGGATCGCACCTTCGTACGCGCCTCTGCGGCAGCGGAGCGCAGCCCCCGCTCATTCGCACCTGCACGCACCCGCATCAGACAGCCGGCGTACCTCGTGGAAAGCGATGCGACGCAGCCGACGCGCCCGCGCCCATCTCACCCCGCCGCCGCCACGACGTGCCGCCCAAGAAGCGCCACTGCTTCCCTGTCGCAGGGCTGGGTATCTACCACTCGGGCGTTGTGCTGTACGGCGTTGAGTTTGCGTTTGGCGGCCACGAGGGCCCCGGCACGGGGGTGTTCGCGATGCAGCCGGGGAACTGTCCGGGCCCGGTGCAGCTGCGGCAGACGATCAAGGTCGGGCGCACGAAGCTGTCGCCGCAGGAGGTGGAGCGCGTCCTGCTGGAGTTCGCCAGCCGCTACTCGGGACGGTCCTACCACCTCCTGACGCGCAACTGCAACCACTTCTCCCAGGCAAGGGCGCCCACGACCGCGCCCACGCTCGAACGCCGACCGAACCGCGGCGCTGTGTGTGCGGTATGTTTTTTTTTTACCTCGGCCGAAATTCGGCGTATACGCGTGTTTTCTGTCGCGCAGGAGTTCGCGAAGGCTCTGACGGGCAAGCGGGCGCCTGGCTGGCTGAACCGGCTCGCGAACCTCGCGAAGACCTTCCACTGCCTGCTGCCGGGGTCGTGGGTGCCGCCTCTCGAGACGCCTGCAGGGGGCGGCGTCACGGCTGGCAGCACGGGCATGGCCGCGCGCGGGAGAGGGCCAGCCGGCGCGCAGCAGGGGCCTGTGCCGCACCCGGGCGCGGGAGATGACGAGATGGTGACGCGAACAGATAGCATCGCCCTCGCCCTCGTGCACGGGCAGGTGCGGCGGTAGGAAGGCGGGCGGGCGGCGCGTGCATGTGATGTGTGAAGTACAGCGAGCGAGTGTGTCGAGCGTCTCGATAAGGAGGGGTGGTTGGATGCGCATGTGCGGGGGAGTGATGATTGGTTGAACGGCTTGCTGGTGAGCGACGTCGCGTGGTGGCGCGCGTTCCCTCGTGTACCACGCACGTGTTTGAGTTACCGCCGACCCACGCATCACGCCCCGCTGGTTTCGAGGCTCGTAATTCGCTGACCTAGAGGTTGTCATGCTAGTTCTTTGCTGACCTACGAGCACCCTCACCGCGAGGATGATGTTGTCATGCTGCGGGGGCGTAAAGAGCGGTCGCTCCCTGCTGACATCGCGACATCTTCGTCCAATCGTATCACATCGCAAGGAAAACGTCTTTCTCTTTCTCACGTACACGGCTGCGCTTCACTGCTCGTGCTCCACCACCCGCGTGGGCAACACGCGCTGTGCTCGCAGACCGAGCTGCGTTCCGCGGAGCGCAGTGCACTCGCACTCCGCCCACGCGCCGCTTCCTCAGCCGCGTTCCGGACGTGTCGCCGGAAAGCGGAGCCCGGGGCGTCCAGGACACCACCCTCCCTTGTGACAGTTCGTGGCCGCATTGGGCCACGGGGAGACGAGGCAACCGTGCGTGTCAAACGCCGGTACTGTGCGCCCGTGCGCGCGCCGCGCGTCCCCGCAGCGCCCCCTACTCGACGAAACCGCGAGCAATGATGTCGTCCAGCGGATCCCCCGTGCTCGTCCGCTGCGACGTCACCGACGGAATCCCCGACGACTGCCGCAGCCGCGTGAGTATCCGCGATGGCTCTGTGCCCCCCACGTTCGCCTCCGACGGCGTGCGCGGCCGTCCCACGACCGCAGGGCTCGCCGCGCCGCTCTCGACCGACTCGCCGACGGACACCGCCGCCATGCGGTCCGCGATGTCGTTCGCGTCCCTCGTGCGGCGCGGCCCGCGCGGCGGCGGCCCTGCCGGCGACGGCGCGCCGGAGGAGCTGCTGTTGTACGCTGCAAAGCCACCAGGGCCCCCGGGCAGCGGCTGGGGCGCGCCGCGGCCACCGCGGGGCATGCCGCGGATCGGGGGCGGTGCGGGACGCACGAGCTTGTTGATGTGCCAGTTCGGGGGCAGGAACTTCACCACGGCATTCTTGGAGCCCTCGGAGACCGCAGAGCGGATCGCGGACGCGCGCGCGGCGGGCAGGAAGCGGGCGACCCAGAGGAGGCGCTGCGCCTCGGTCTCGCCGAAGTCCCCAGGGTACCACTGCATCACTGTCGGCAGCGTCACCTGCGAAGAATGGGGGTGTGAGGCACAGGCTGAGTCAGGCCGCGGCGCGACGTGCGGGCGCGTCAGCTCCCGGCCCCCCCCGCGCAATGCGCGGGAGCGCAACCACGGACCAGTCTGCAGCCGAGCGGGGGTGTTTTCGTCTTCGTTCTGTTTCTTTTCCTTTTTACGTGCGCACCTCCACGCGGCCGTCGACCGACTCCTCGACGGTGACGATGTTCGTCAGGCAGATCCTCGTTTGCTCGTCGAGCTGCTCCTCGAGCCGCGACGGCTCGTACGCCGCCAGCCGCGCCCCGCTCCTCGTCCCGTGGTTGAGCACAAAGTGTATCCGCGGGTCCCACACCAGGACCGCGCCCTGCAAGCGGGGGTCCGACGGCGTGAACGGGCACCGCAGCTGCGCGTGCGGCCGGCGGTTCCCGCGCAGCACGCCGTGGTAGATGTCCGCGAGGCTGTAGATGGACCCGCCGATCGTGTAGCTGGTGTGGGCCTCGAAGTGCGCGCGCTGCGCCGGGCCGGACGGCGGGCCGATCACGAGGAACCCGTGCACGACGAGCATGTTGTACAGGTTGATGAACATCGCGATCTTCGCCGGCGTCGACGGCAGCGCCGCGGGGTCCACGCGCTGCAGGCTGGCCGCCGTGTCGGTCCACTGCTTGAACTCCTCGCTCAGCGCGAGGCCCTCGTAGTCGAGCAGCTCGCCGTTCGAGGACGTGTAGCCCGCGATGATCGCGACCAGCCGCTGCCGCACCGCCGCCTCGGCCTCCGCGGGCGACGTAGGCCCCCCCGCGTACAGGCTCTTCAGGTTGATGATCGCGCCGACCTCGTCCTGCCGAAACCGGTACAGCGCGTCGTCCGAGTCCAGGAACTTCTCCCCGCGCGCCACGTGGTAGAACAGCCCGGACTCGAGCCACCGCTGCCCGACGATCAACGCCAGCGAGCGCGACCCCAGCTGCAGCCGCGTCAGCAGCGCGTCGCACAGTGCCGCGCCCGTGAAGCAGCAGTACACCGGCATGCGGCCCTGGATCCGGTCCACGGGCGCCGTCGCGGCCCGGAGCTCCGAGATCACCTGCGCCAGCTGCCCCTCGTCCCCCTCCACGTCCTCCAGCACCTTCAGGATGGCCTTCTCTTCGTCCTCCTTCGTCGCCCGCTGCTGCTGCGCCTGCCACCCCTCGCGGATGTTCGTCAGCGGCGTCTCGACCTGCCCGGACGTGAACAGCGGCCGCTCCACCTTTGCCATCTCCGAGATGTACGCCTTGTTGGACGCGGCGCACCGCTGGAGGTGCGGCTGGAGGAGCGGGAGCTGCAGGAGGTCCTCGACCGACGCGCGGTCCTCGGGGTCCTTGCGGAGGCACCGGTTGATGGCATCCTGCAGCGCGGTGCTGTACTGGGGCTCGATGGGCGAATACTCCCCCCTGACGATGGCCATGACGAGCGCGGGGAGCGACGTGGCGTCGAACGCGTGGCGGAAGGTCGCCATCTCGTACATCACGCAGCCGAGCGCCCAGATGTCGGACTTGTAGTTGTAAGGCCGGCCCTGACACAGCTCGGGGGAGAGGTAGTACGGCGTGCCGACGGCGGACTGCGCGAAGCCGGCGGTGGTGTCGAGGACCTTCGAGAGGCCGAAGTCGCCGAGCTTGACCTGCGTCGGGTCGCGGGCGCGCGTGTGTGAGTGCGTGGGCGCGGGAGCTCGGGCGTGGCGTGGGCGGGGGGGCGTCGCGCGCCTGCATGCGCCTGGTGACGAAGATGTTCTTCGTCTTGATGTCGCGGTGGAGGATTTTGCGCTGGTGCAGGTGGTTGATCGCCAGGAGCAGCTGCGCGAAGAAAGACACAACAGTGTCCTCCGCGAACATCCTGCGGAGGCGCACGGGCCGAAAGATCCCCTCAGCGGCGGCAGTGGGCGCTGAGCGACGTGGTCGCGCGCCGGCCGGGCCGCGCGGGGGGCGCAGCTGAGCGGCGAGCGGGCAGGCAGGGTGTGCGCAGTCTCAGGGCTCGCGCACTTCGAGGCCTTCGTAATGTGGTCGGAGAGCGACCCGTTGTCCGCGTATTCCATCACCACGTTCAGCACGCCGTCCTCGATGAAGGAACCGTAGTATGCCACGATGTTCGGGTGATGCAGCTGGGACAGGACAATAATTTCGTTCATCACGTCAGTGCGGTCCGACTCCGGCCTGCATACGGGCGCCGCGTGGCGCTGCTTCCATGAGCCATCCTACGCCGCCGAGAAGCGCCGATCCGCGGCGACGCACGACGCGCAGCACGAGGCAGTGGCCGCTTTCTGGCAGGGCTGCGGCTGCAACTGGGCCGCACCGCGCCCGGCCGCGCAGGTCCGGGGCCTTTCCAGCGGGACGGCGGGCGCACAGGGACGTGCTACGCCCCGGGACCGCGTCGGGCGCGGCAGGCTCACCTCTCGTCCACGAAAAGGCGTTTGATGACAAACAGACTTCCGTCCTGCTTCCTTCGCACCAGAATCACGCTCCCCTGCGCCCCGCGCCCCACCGTCCTGATCTTCTCGAAGCGCTCCATCGCCCCCCCCGTCGAACGGGCCCCCGCGTCGCCCGATTGGGAGCGCTTTCAGCCGTCGCCGGGCCTCTGTCTCGCCGTGTGCAACCAGCCCGCGCAGAGCGGCGAGAAATCCACCTGCGCCGACGTCCCTCAGGAAACCCCCTCAATCGAGCAGCCACATGCCCCTCGGGCGCTTCCCGGACTCCCCCACCGCGTTTGAGCGGCGCGTGTGTTCAGAGGCTGTGTAGCAGGGCAGCCCCGACGCACTCGAACGACTAGATCGCGCTGGGCGGCGAGGGACACCGGCTGGCCACCGTCGCTGTGCCCGGCGGCCCTTGTCGCGCCGCGCACGCAGCGCCCCGCACCAGGAGCGCGAGCACACCTCCGTAGACATCCCCTCGCGCGACTTCCCAGCCACGACGTGACAGCATGCTCCGTCCGCGGTCGCCGCGCACACTTCAAGGCACCGCGCCTGCGAGCCGGGCGGAACTCGCGCCCCTGAACGTTTCGGAATCGCGACGTTTCCCCGGCACGACTCCAGCGAGCTCTCTGCGTGCCGGCACGGCGTCGTTCGAGCGCCGCAAGGCGGTTCCGCCGGATCGGGTGAGAGAAATGGGCGGAAAGACGGTGTCGAACACCGAGGACGGCAGCGCCACTGGCGCTGCTGCGCGTGAGCCGGCAGGTGAGCTCAGCTGATGCGCGGCCGCCCATGAGCGGCCCGCTCGCGACGCGCACCCGGCCCGGCCCGGCGCGCGAGCGCGCGCACCTCGCGCGTCCCGCACCCGCCTGTCGCAGGGTCGCGCGCGCATCGCGCGCACGTCACGGCGCGGCGCGTTTTCCGCCATCCCAATCCTCGGCTCTGCGCTCTGAGGTGCCAGAGCCACGTTGCCCGCGCCAGGCGCGTCCGGCGCCTCGCGCCGGGATCGCGCGCCCCGGCTGCCCCATTCCGTCGCATACATGCCCCACGCCCGTTTCGAGCGGCACGCGGCTGTGCGCGAGCGCGAACGCGCCGCGCGGTGCCCAGGCGCGCCTGGTCTGCCACTGCAGGCGAGCTGCGCCCGCGCAGCCAGTATCGGGCCATATTTGTGGGCCCAGGTCGCGCATTGCGCATTGAAGTACGCGTCGGTTGAACGCAAGGCTCGGGATTCCTTGTAGGCGCACCGCGCACGCGTCAGGGGATGCTGCGGCGCACGCGTTGCGCTGCTGCGTGAATCGCGTGACGGGCCCCTGGCCGTGTCGAGCAGATACGAGAGTTGCCCGGCCGTAGAGGCGGAGCTGTGGCGTTCGTGATGGACGTGCCCACCGTGACGGCCCGCCAGCGGCAACGCGTGGCACCAGCCTTGAGCTGGATCGACCCGCGGCGTTTCCCGCGACAACCTTCCGGTCCGCCATTGCCTTCGGGGTCCCGTGCAGATTTGACACCCCATGTCCGCCGTTTCAGCTGATTCGCGCGTTACATCACGGCTCTGCGTGCCGTTCGCGGCCCCCGTTGGCCTCGCCAGGACAGCAGTGCTCTCCGCGGGCTGGGGGCGATCGCCGACCCCGGTCTCGCGCGCGCTCCGCGTCGCTTGCAGGCTTCCGGAGACAGGCGGGCGCGCTGATCCGCAAGCAGGCGTCGTACCAGAAGCGCAACCTCTGCCAAAACCTCTCGCTGCTCTTTTCGCCCATCTTCTTCTGCATGGTCCTCTTCATCCTCCAGCAAGCTATCAACACCGCTTTCGACGACGACGCCTTCAAGGTGCGCTCTCACGGACCTCCTCTGCGGCCCCACGCGGGCGCCTCGCGCCGCGGAAGCGCACCCTGCAACCACCCCACCAGCGCACTCGGGCGCGGCTCCCGGCCAACCCCGCCGTCGCGCTCGGATCTCCGCGGTCGCGAACCTCCCCCCCGTACTCTCTCCCTCTCGCAGTGCGGATGCGAGTGCCTCCTGTGCTGCCGGCGAGAGAACAACCCGCTGACGTGCTACGTGCCGTCCCCCTTCGACCCGCCGTGCCTGTACCGGTACTGCCTGCGGTCGAACGAGGACAACTGCGACATCCAGTTCTCCGACGCACAGCAGAGCGCCTTCTGCGGCATCGACCACGCGCCGGAAATCCCCCCCATCCTCCAGGTGCCCCGCGAGAGCCGCCGCGCCCTCCGCTACTCGCCCAACCTGGGCATGCCGTACACGTCCGACGCGGGCACCGCGGCGCAGGCAGACGCGCTCGCTAGCGACCTCTTCACGTGAGCCCCCCCCTCCCCCGCGCCCACGCTCCACAGTCCCGCCCCGCGTGTTCCCGGCACCGTGTCACCACGCAGCGCGCTCACGTGCGTGGAATCGCGGCGCTGGATTCTCGCGCAGGCCCCGGACGCCCGAGGACCTCTGGCGGTCGGCCCAGCGCGTGAACGACACCTTCTGGGACCTCCTGCGGCAGCGGCAGACCCTGACGGAGATCTTCCTGGCCACTCCGCGGGCGTTCGACGACAACTTCGACGAGCCGCTGGGCTCCCGGCGCGACCTGGAGAACGTGCACGTCATCGACGACGCGTTCACGCCGCTCCAGCACCTCTACGTCCTCGCCGACGCGCCCACGTGCGAGCAGACGTTTTTGTACGTCGAGAACCTCGACAAGGCGTACCTGGACGACATCAACGAGGGCGACTGGCGCAACCGCTCGGCGCAGGCCAAGGCCGAGCGCGACGACGACGTGATCTACGCCGAGGTCCCGCGCCAGGGCCTGCGCCTGGGCTGCCTGGGCGTGACGCCCGAGCGCTACGCGGACGCCCGCGCGATCAACGACGCGCTGTACTGCGGGTTCGCGCGCGCGTCGTGCCCGGGGAAGCCGGCGCTCGAGACCGCGGAGTACCCGCTCGCGTTCGACTTCAAGTCGACGTCCACGGAGACGGGGACGCTCGACGTGCGCATGTTCTTCAACGACACCACACGCATCGGGCGCGGGGGCGGGCCGCCGGAGATGCAGCGGTTCGCGAAGCCGATCAACATGGTGACGAACGCGTGGCTCCGCCGCGCGCTCGGCCCGGCGTACAGCGCGCGCCAGCGGTGGATCAAACACACCCCCGCCCAGTCGCGCGCGCTCAACCTGGACTTCGCGAGCCTCCTCGGGCCGCAGTTCTACCTCTGGGTGCTGCAGCTCATCCTCCCGGTGATCCTGCAGAGCCTGGTGTACGAGAAGGAGCAGCGGCTGCGCATCATGATGCGCATGCACGGCCTGTCGGACGTGACGTACTGGTTCGTGTCTTACCTGTGGTGGTTCGCGCTCTCGACGGTCTACTCGTTCTTCCTCCTGGCGTTCGGGTCCGCGATCGGGCTCGAGTTCTTCCGGAAGAACTCGGCCAGCGTGCAGATCGTGTTCTACCTCCTGCTCGCGTGCAACCAGATCGGATTCGCCTTTCTGCTGTCATGCTTCATCTCCAACCCGCGCACCGCGCTCACGCTGGGCTACTTGTGGGTCATCGTCTCGGGCTTCCTCGGCACGTACATGATGACCACGTTCATCGAGCGCGAGCGGTGGTTCACGCCCATCATCGAGCTCATCCCCGCGTTTGGCGCCTATCGCGGGCTGTACGAGTTCGCCGAGTACGCCTTCCGGGGCACCTACGCCAACCTCCCGGGCCTGCGGTGGGAGGACCTCTCCGACGACAACAACGGCCTCGGGCGGGTCATGTACGTCTTCGTGCTCGAGTGGATCGTGTTTTCTCTCCTGGCGTGGTACCTCAGCCAGGTCATGGACGCGCAGACCGGCTCGCGGCGCCACCCGCTCTTCTTCCTGCCCGCCAAGTACCGCGTCGGCTTCGCGGCGCGCCGCGGCGACACCAAGGACACCCGGGACCCCGCCCTGCCGCTCCCGGACGAGGCGGACGACGTCCAGGAGGAGCGCGCGCGCGTGGAGGAGATCACGAGGAGCACGGGCGGGTCGCAGGCCGCGTCGTGGGACCACCCGATTGTGGTGCGCGGGCTGCAGAAGACGTTCCCGGCGACGGGGGGCAACCCCCCGAAGCAGGCCGTGCAGTCCCTGTCGGTCGCCGTGGACCGCGGCGAGGTGTTCGGGCTGCTCGGGCCGAACGGCGCGGGCAAGACGACGTCGATCTCGATGCTCGTCGGCCTTCTCGAGGCCTCTGGCGGTGAGCGTGCTGGGCTGCCTGCGCGCACACGCTGTTGCAGGCCACGTCGTGCATTTGCGCGTGTCTGGGGTGTTTCGGGGGCTCACGGTCCACGCGTGTCGCTGCGTTGCAGGTTCTGCGCTGATCCAGGGCTTCGACATCAACAAGGAGATGCAGAACATCTACTCGATCATGGGGGTGTGTCCGCAGCACGACATCCTCTGGGGCACGCTGACGGCCGCGGAGCACCTGCGCTTCTACGGCCGGCTCAAGAACATCCCGGAGAAGGAGCTCAAGGACGAGGTCATGCGCGTCCTGCGCCTGGTCAACCTGCACGGCGTCGCGCACAAGAAGGTCAAGACGTTCTCCGGGGGCATGAAGCGCCGCCTGTCCTTCTCCATCTCCATCATGGGCGACCCCGCCGTCGTCTTCCTCGACGAGCCGTCCACAGGTCCGGCGCGCCACGCCCTCCCGCCAAACACGCGGCACCCGCATGTCTGCCTGACCTGCGACGGCACACACCGCGGCGCGGCACGTCTGCGCTGGCGGTATCGATCGAATGCGCCCCGGTGCCAGCTTCCTGGGAAGCCCACTCCTCCCGCCCGCTCCCGCCTTCCCCGTCCGTGCAGGGCTTGACCCGGCGTCGCGGCGCAACATGTGGGAGGTGATCCGGAAATACAAGCGCGACAAGGCGCTCATCTTGACGACGCACTCGATGCAGGAGGCCGAGGTCCTGTGCGACCGCCTCGGCATCTTCGTCGAGGGCAAGCTCTTCTGCCTCGGCAACCCCAAGAACATCATCTCTCGCTACGGCGGATACATTCTGCTGACCATCACGACGCTGCCGGAGCACCTCGGCGCGGCGCGGAAGCTCGCGGAGTCGCTCGCGCCGGACTGCCAGCGGACGTACGCGCTGGGCGGGACGCAGAAGTTCCACTTCCAGGCGTCGGATGTGCAGCTGTCGCAGGTGTTCCGGCGGATTGAGGAGGCGACGAGCTCGGGGAGCCTGCAGCTGCTGGACTGGGCCGTGCACCACGCGAACCTCGAGGACGTGTTCCTCGAGGTTGCGCGGGGCACGGGCGCGAAGCTGACGTGATTTTCGCGACGTCTCGTTGCACGCACCCCTGGATGCTGCGCACGCACGTGCGCAGAGCTGCTCGACGAACGTGATTGATTGTTGGCCGCAGCGACAAGGCCGTGACGGCGGGCGAGGCTTGCACGCTCAGTCCATCGCGTGCTCCGCGCCCGTCACCGGCTGGCGGTCATTTGGCACACACATGCATAGGCCTATGCCCCCTCCATTGCCGCGGTGACTCTGTGACACACGCGACGACGTCGCTCGAAGCCAGGAATCGTCTCAACGCTCACGACCAAACAACGACGTGGCCGCTCTCGTGTAGCGTCAGCAGCCCACACCCCCCCTCCTCTGCCCCCTCCACCACAGCGGACACAGCCGACACCCCCATCGCTGGCCTGTCCCACGCCAGCCGCACCGGTTCCACGCTCTGCGCGCTCCGCTTTCCCCCTAAAAAATACATCGCGAGCTCCCCGAGCCGCACGCCGCTGCCCGCGCTCGCACCTTTCGGCGTGTTGCCGCCTGCGTGCGACGCTCCGAGCGCGGCGGCCGAGGTCCGCTCGCGGCACGTGTCAGCCGTCCGCCACACGCACAGCGCGCGCAGGCGGTCGAGCACCGCGCATCGCCAGGCCCCGGGGGGGACTTGCGCTGACAGCGGGCATGTCCAGTCCCCCAGGTCCCACGCGCGGATCTCCCCTCGCGCGCCGTCGCACCCGACCACGAGGCTCGATGCAGGGTGCAGATGCAGCGTCGAAGGCCGCCACAGCGCCGACGAGCCCTGCGAAACGACACCCTTGAGACGTTGCTTTTGCGGTGCGGTGGAAGCCGAGCGGAGGGCGCGGGCGGGAAACTGTCGAGTGCGAGGCAGTGTCGATCGAGGGCACACCTGTCGTGATTCGATCTCCCAGGGCAGCTCGTTTGTCGGGAGCGTGCGGCCTGTGTCGACCTCGACAGCGCGCAGGGCCCCCGAGAGCGGAGACGCCTGTGCGAAGAGGACGCAGCCGCCGACGACCTCTATGCACGACAGCGGGCCTGCGCCCGGCACCAGCGGCATCTCGAGCGTGCGCTTGCGCGTGGCGCGATGCGTGCCCCGTTCACCATTGGCGCTTCCGCCGCGCGCCTCGTTGCGGGCTACCGTGCACGCGACGGAGCTGGCCGTCAGCTGTGGGCGCAGGAGGAGGGTGCCGCCTGGGAAGAACCGGATGCCGGCGCAACGCGAAGGAGGAGGGATGCGCACAACTGGCTCGTACGTGCGCAGGTCGAGGACGACGAGGCCGTCGGACCCAAGCGCCGCCATCATGCCGTTGATGTCGTCGAAGTGGAGCTCGCTCTCGTCGCCCTCGAGCTTGCCCCGGAGCAGCAGCCTCGAGCCCTTCGCTGGGTGCCCAGCGCGAACGGCGTCTATGGAGACAGCCCGCACCGCGAGCGGCCCTTCCCCGTTCTCGTGGATCTGATGAACCAGCAGCAGCACCTCGCGCCGGAAGGGGTTGTAGGAGATGGCGGAGACGACCTCCCCTGCCCCGCGCAGATTCAGGGAGCACATCTTGCGCCCTGTTCGCCGGCAGTGCGCCGTCGCCTGGCCACCTCGCAGCAACACCATCATCCTTGGGAGGAGAATCCCGTCGCTGACCGGTCCAGGCGGGGGCGAGACGTCCTCCCCGGACAGTCCCTCGCCCGGCGGCGCGACCACGCAGGTCGGCCGCATCCTCGAGACCGCAAACTGCAGAAAGCGGCTGTCTGGGCTCGCGCTGCCGGTGCCGCACTCTCGCTGACGCAGCAGCGGGCACACCGCCCCGCTCGAGCACACGCGCGCATGGGATGTGTCCTCGTCCAAACGCGCGCGCTTCGCGACGGGCGCGCCGCCCCAGCTCGCGAGATCCATCCGCGCCCGGCCTGCCGAGAAGTGTGCGTGTCGAACGCTCGCGGACGGCCCTTGGTGACCGGGAGACCGCACGTCTAGACAGTCTGTCACACCTGACTCAGGGCGCCACACGTCGCAACAGTAGAAATTGATGTCGCGATCCCACTGCTGCAGCCGCACACAGGTGCTGCTGCAGCTTCGTCGATGCCAGGCGGTCCGATTCCAACCTTGAGGACCTCTCAACATCGTCACACCACAGATGTTCTTTTGACGCCAACGTCAGGCGCGCACCGCGGCGGTCGACCGCATCCGCAGCCGGCGCGCCACCCGCCTTCAGGCCCCCAGGTGCAGCTTCGCCTTGCGCGCCGCGGCCCCGCTGCCCATCCGCCAGGGCGTGAACGCTGCAAGCTGCTCCAAAAAGTGCTGCGAGGGCTCGTGCGCGCTGCCCTCGCCCTGCCGGGGCGGCGGCACCTCGCTGAGGTCAGCCGCACGGAGCTCGCCGACGTAGAACTCGCGCAGGTACAGGAACGACTCCCTCGAGGCGTGGTATAGTTCAAAGAAGACAGTGGAGTCGACGTTGAGGGCCTGCTTCGGGATGATGGTCGACCTGCGGGGCAGACGACGGACGTGGTCACGTCAGCACCGGGCGGCCTCGCACTCAGTTGTGATTTCACCCCCCGTGCGCAGCGCTGACGTGTGCGTCCCGAGCTGGGAAAAAACAAAAACAATCATGCACGTGTCAGGACGGGGTGTGTTGACCGCTGCGAGGTCGCCACTCGAAGCGTGTGGCACAGGCAGCGCGGCGTGCGCACGTACCCTCCCGGGTGCTCCGGCAGCCAGCGCTGCACGTCGAGCACCATGCCGTCCACCAGGAGCAGGCAGCCGCCCGCGTTGTTGGCCGCGAAGATCTCATCGAGCGCCCACTCGCGGATGCGCGCCTGCATGTGCCCGCGCTTGTCCGACACGTACTCCGCCTGCAGCGCCACACACGCACACACACGAGCAGTTCACCGTCAGCGCACGCCGCCGCCCTGCCACGTCAGCACGCGCACTTCAGTGCATTGCAGGTCCACGCACCAGCGGCCGCAGCCCGAGCTCCTCCGCCGCCGCCATCAAGTCGTCCAGGTAGTGCACTCCGTAGTCGGGCGGGTCGCGCCCCGCATGCAGAGCCTCCAGGAAAATCAGGACGCGGTCGAATGTGAGCGTGTCGACGTTGACGGCGACCTCGTCGCGCTCCTCCCCCGCGCTCTCGCCGCGCACCACGCCCGTGAGCCGAATGCACGGCCGCAGAAGCTTCCTGCGCACGACGAACGGGTCGCCGCGACCGCCCTCGCCGTCGGTCGTCTGCACGACGATCTCCCCGCGTCGCGCCGCAGCCTGCGCCCCCGCAGCGCGCTCCGCGGGGTCGACTCCCCCCCTGACGTCAACCCCACACCCCTCAAACACCCCTACGTCCACACGCGTGTCCGGGGACAGCACGCCGCGGAAGCAGTGGTACGTGAACGCGGCCTCCTCCTGCTCCGCGGCGTCCATCGTGTCTGTCCGCGCCACGCGCACCACCAGCGCCCCGCACCCCGCCACGTCCACCACAGTCAGCATGTTGGCACTCACGACGCGACCTAGCTGCTGCGCACAGAACGCCCGCGCCACGGCGTCCGCGTCGACCGCGCTCGGAGCCTCGCGGGCTTTGCGAGCGTCCGCGGGGTCCTCGTCGTCGCTGTCAGACGCGTCCATTGCGCCGTGGTCAGCAGCGTCGTATGCGGCGTCCGTGTGGTCGCTTGCGTCGTCGCGGTGGAGGCGGCCGCGAACCTCGAGGGAGAGCTCGACGAGGTGGATGCTGCCGTGGCCGCCGTGCGCGTCTGCGCGAAGATGTCGAGAGGGAAAGCGCAGTCGTGAAACAGTGGTTTGCGTGACATCCGTTTTGTTGCAAGGTTGTGTGGTGGGAGCTGGCCGCGCACCTGAGATGGATGCCAGGTCGAACTGCTTGAAATTCTTCGTGTCTCCCTCGGCGATGTGGAGGTTCCGCGCCGAGGCCTGGTCGATGCATATGGTGCCAGGCTCCACTGTGGGGTCGGGGCGCACCAGCACGACAGCATCGGAGCCGGGCGCCCTGACGACGTGCCCGCCTGCGCATCGTCATCCCAAACCGCGTTCGTCAGCGGAAGAGGCAGATTCACGCGCCGTGACACAGCGAGCGGCACTGCCCACCAGCACTCCAGACCCGTCCGTCAGCAGCGGTGCTTGGGGGAAAATCTGAAGCATCCGCCGCTACATGATGCCTGGATAGACACACCTTCCTCAGGAAGCCCGAGCGCCGCCGCGTCCGCGGGATGCACCAACGCCGGCCCCCCGAACCTCCCCGTTGGGTCTCGCCTCACGACCAGGGGCACCTCCGCGGCCTCGTCCCACGCCTGCGCGCGCTTATTCTCTACTCCCTGGTACGACAGTGGCCCTGTGGCCCTCCAACCCCCCCCCATGCTACTCCCCCGCCCGCGCGTGCCACCTCCTGGACTCTGCTGTTCCGTCGACGAACTCGAATGCGCAGCGACGAACTCGAATGCGCAGCGACGAACTCGAATGCGCAGCGACCAGCAGAGCGGCGCGCTCTCGACCGAGGTGGGACTGCCGGGCGCGCGTGGAGCCTCTGCGCGACGTGGCCGCGTCCAAGGGGGGGGTTGGATGTTCTACACACTGGAAGTTCTCGGGGGAGTGCTCGTGGCTGAGTCAGGGCGCTCCGTCGAGCTCGCTGGACGGCCCCGCACGCTGCTGCGTCGCGTACCACGCTGCGTGCTCTGTCGCGGCGGGGGCATCCGACGCCACACTGAGACAGTGCTATCCTGTGCATCATCAGTTACAAAACTCCAAGTAGGATTTGTTTTGTTACCTCGCCGAACAGACTGCCCTGCGCACCGCCCTCGCGGCGCCTAGATCTCGTCGAAGTCCGACCCCTCCAGGTCGTCTAGGGGGGGGTAGTCTCCAACCTTCATCTTGTCAGGTCGGACGAACCCGCCGTACCCCGGGGCGCACTCGAACACCTTCGTGCCCTTCACCGACCCGTCGTTCTTCCCCACGGGCTCGTCGTACTTCACCCCGACCCACCACCCCTGCGGCAGCCCCTCCACCTGCCCCACAAAGCACACCTCCCCACGCCTGCACCACACGCACGCCGCACAACCCCTCAGCACCACCACCCCCACACAACACCCCACATACCTCCCCGCGCACCATCTCAACGGCACAGCGCCCCTCAACAAGCACCCACGCGCGGCACACCGCGGGGCGTCGTGGCATCCTGCACGCGGCCGCGCAGGGGTCGCACCTGTCGCCCGGCTCGACGGAGCACCGGTCCCCCACGCTGATCCCCCGCGCCTCCTCGGCGCAGTAGTCCGGCCCGGCCTTCTCGGCTTTGGCCGGGGGCACGTACGGCACGCCGCGCCGCTTGGCCATCTCTTTCTCGATCGTCCACGTGGGGTCCTCCCTCAGCTTGTCCTCCTTGAACTTGCGGTACGTGTTCTCCCGCGCGTTGTACGCCTCCTCGGAGATCTGGTACTTCTCCACCTTGCTCACGTCCTCGAGCCAGCCGTTGGCGGACGCCGACGTCGGGTCGAGGTCGATGACGTGCAGGACCATGCCGTCTTCGGGCGAGTAGAACCCGAGCTTCCGGGCGTCGTCTAGGTCCGCGAGGGGGGTGTTGGAGGCGTCGCGGAGCTGGAGGCGCATCGTGCTGGCGTTGGTGCCCGTGTGCGAGACGAGCTTGTGCTTGACGGCCGCGATGGTCATGTGGAGGTCGAGCCGGACCTCCTGCAGCCGCGTCTGCTTCAGGTTGCTGTGCGTGATGTGCAGACGCACCGTGGTGTCGCCCTGCAGATGGTACGTGCGCCGGGGCGGACGGGCGCTCTCGGCGCGCAGAGCCGGCACAGGCGGGGAGCCCGGCTTGTGAGAGCCCCGGCGGACGCGAGGGTCTGGCCACGGCGTCGGAGGGCGGCACCAGTGCGGGAGCGCGGTGTGTGGTGCGCGACAAACGTGCTGGGCGCGCCCCCGCCGAACGCGCGGCTGATTCGTTCGACGGATCTCGGCACGGTGATGTCTGTGAGTCTGACGCTGGGCGTGGGTGGCGGGCGTCCGCATGCACGCTCGTCCTCGCGGCTGCGACGCCGCCAGGCCTGTGTGCTCTGCTTTTCTGGCCCGCCATCCACACTGACGTCGCATTCAGGCGCAAAATCCATCATAATACGGTGGAACTGTCCTAATCCACCACTTCGCGTCGTTGTTTCGCCGCAGGATCCGCTAGGGAGGCCGCGCTGGCGACGAGGGAGAGGAATGCGCTTAGAAGCTCACCTGGTTTTGGAACCCGCTGTCCTCCATGGTCACGTAGGCGCGCAGCGCGTCACGCTGCTCCTTCGTGAGGAAGGCGGGGTCGGCGAACGTAGAGCCCATCATCTCGGGTCCCTGCCGCGACGCTGGCTCCGAAAAGGAAGCGGTGATTGCGGGGCGGGCCGCGTGCGCGTTGGAAGCCGTGGAAGGTGCTGCAGCCGCTGCGATCGTATCGGGAACCCGGCACACGATCGTACGGACCACGTTGTGCCGGTGGCGGCGGCCGAGGGAGGCTGTCGACGCGGCGAGCGGCGCGGCCGGGTTTTAGGACACCGACACACTTCTACTGCCCTGCGTCAGTGCTTGGTGGCCCCGCAGGGGCTCTTCGGGGCCACGGAGGGCTGGGCACACACGTGTGCTCACGTTCCGCTGCCGAAGCGAACGTGTCGATTCGAGCTCGCACCGCTGGCGTCGCCCTCGACCTGGTGCGAGTCCGGGAGGCTGCAGAAGCCTGGCACGTTCCCTTGCGGCATTCACGTCCGATCCGAAAGCGCCTTTCGCAACCTCACGTGCGTGCACGAGCGGCAGAGCGTCGCTACGCACCATGAACGCGGCTCTCGCGCACGGCGCGGCGATCCGTTGCTGCCATGGGCAGAGCAGCGCCCGCGCGAGCCTTGCGGCGGCGATGCGCCCCCCGGCGCGGCGCTGCGGGGCGGGGATGCGAGCGATGAGGACGCGAGCGTCGTTCCTCGCCGCTGACGTGCGCGAGCGCGCGAGGATTTCCGCGCCTGCCCCCCAGCGGAGCGTGCGGGCGCGTGCCGGCAGCGTCGCGAGCGACTTCGACTCCGGGGTGATGGAGCCCGAGGCGAACGAGATGCTCCGGTGGCTGATTGAGGACAAGCAGGGTCCGGCTCAGGCCGTCGAGCCCCGGGCGCAGGAGGAGGTGCGAGAGCAGCTCACTGGATTGCCATGGGCCCATCCAGGCCGGCGGGACAGCGGGGCGACGCTGTCCTGCGCTGTGTCCGCCGCTGGCGGGTTGGCTGCTGCTTGGTGTGCATGGGGGCCGCAAGAGCGAGCAGCGCCGTCGCCATGCGTTGCCGTGCTCGCGGCGAATAGGAAACCAGGTTTGTTGTCGTCAACCTACCATCGTGAGACGGTGGCTTCCTCTGCTCGCGCGCAGATCTTCGGCAACCGCCTCGCGATGGTCGTCACGCGCGACGTCCCCGCCGGGGGGGTCGTCGTCGAGATCCCGGGGGACCTCTGCGCTACGTCGACCGACGTCTCCAACACCCCGGGGGGAGTCGCCGAGGCCGCAGCGGGCCGGAGCGAACTCATCGGCCTCGCGCTCTGGCTCCAGCGCGTAAGCAGCACACCCCCACCGCCGCTCCCCCCCCGGCCAGGACCGCCTGCCATGCGCCGCGCCCATCACCCTATCAACCTCCGCCCCGCCCCGACCAGCGACCTCCCGCGCCCGCCCACGCAGGAGCGCGCCCTCCTGGCCCGAGGAGAGTCCTCGCCGTGGGCGCCCATGGTCGCGGCGCTGCCGCAGGCCACGCTGTCGCCCCTGTTGTGGTCCGAGGCGGAGGTCGACGAGCTGCTCGCCGGGTCGCCGGTGCGCAAGGAATGCAAGGACCGCGTCGTGACGCTGCGCAGGGAGTGGGACGCGCTCGCGCCGAGCCTCGAGGACGAGACCGCGACGTTCGACGGGTTCCTGGAGGCCTTTTGTGTCGTGGTGGCGACGGCGACGTACCTGCCGAGCGCCGGGTGCTTCGCGATGGTGCCGCTGCTGACGCACGTGCGGCGGAGCCCCGCCACGGGCGCCGCGGACGTGGACTACGACGTCGAGAACGGCTGCGGTGAGCCGGACCCCCGGTCGCTTGCTGGCTGTTCCAACTGGGCACGCATGTTCTCCTCCCGACTGGCTCTGAGAAACGCACACAACCGCGGTCTCCGCTTGTGCTTTCCCGTTCAGCACGTCCTGCTTCCACCGCCTTGCTCCGTCACGCACGCCCACGATGTGTGCTCTCTCAGCGCGCGTACCGCAAGAAGCTGCCGCCCGACACGACCGCCGCTGTTCACCGATCATCTTCGTGCACCGCTGCCCCCGCAGTCGTCGCCGTGGCCGAATCCCCCCTGCGCGGCGGGGAGGAGCTGCGCCTGTCAGACCCGCGGCCCAACTCCGAACTCCTCCTCGCGACGGGCCGCATCGAGGAGCCCAACCCGGCCGACTGCATCATCTACCGCTCGTCGCTCGTCGCGGCGGACCGCATGTTCGAGCTCAAGCGCCAGGTCGTCGAAGCCTCGGGCCTGTCCGCCGACAACCAGGAATTCCCTCTGTTCGCGGACCGCATGCCGAACCAGCTGCTGTCGTACCTCCGCCTCTCGCGCGTCCAGGACCCCGCCGAGCTCGCGAAGATCTCGTTCGAGCAGGACGCGCTGGTGAGCCAGATGAACGAGTACGAAGTGCTGCAGCTGCTGATGGCGGACCTGCGCGACATGATCTCCGCGTACAAGACCGAGGTCGAGGAGGACGTCAAGCTGCTCCAGCGCCGCGACGCGACCCCGCGCGAGCTCGTTGCGTGCCGGCTGCGCCTGCTCGAGAATGCGGTGCTGCGCGGGAGCATGGACGGCGTGCGCCGGAAGCTCGCGCCGATCCGGGGGATCCCGACCAAGGACGGGCGGATGGAGGACCCGAACGCGGACCTGCTCGAGATCTTCGAGACGCTCGAGAAGATCCCGCAGGTGCCGGGGCAGCTGGTCAAGGGGCTGGTGTCGTGGGCGCGCGGCGACGACGACCCGGAGTGGAAGGAGAAGATCTCGGGGGGCAAGGGGGGCAAGAAGGGCGCGCCCGCGTCGCCGTTCGAGGGCGGGGGCGCCAAGCCCGCCCCCGGGCGGAAGAAGAGCAAGTACGACCCCAGCAACTTCAGGTGACGTCAGGGGGGTGTTGACTCGCTGCGCGGCGCACCGGGCTTGCTGTGAAGGAACGTGTCGTGGAGGGTGGTCCGTGGTGAGCGCGGGGGCGGCTGGGGGGAATTTGGAGGTCCAGATGGGAGAGTGGATAGGGAGGAGTATTGATGGCTTGTCTGACCAGGCTTGCCGTGCGTGAGGGCGTGCCGCGGCCGAGGAACGCGCCAACAGGCGCGAGCTGCGCCTCTGCTGCGCGCCCGCCCGCCCTCGGGCCCACGTCATCGATACCCCCCCCCTCTGTATGACGCTGTCGAGCGACCTGGTCCGACCGTCGCGGCCCGCCCGCGAGACTTCGGCGCGCAGCGCACCTGCTTCGTGCAGTACTCGCACGCCCGCTCCGTCCTCTTTTGCGCCGTCTACAATCGGCGGAAGGCCCAACGACGCAAGTTGCACACAGCGAGACCCAGCCCTGACCGAAATGGCGCATCTGGCGGCCTGTGCGCCTCTCGGCGCTTGCACCACGAAGCAGAACGCCTCGCTGCGTTCGCAATCGGCCCGCGTCGTGCCCCGTGCGCACCACGCTGACGGGGAGACGCAAGCAGCGTCCCCGGCGCTCACCAGGCGAGGCGCTCTGGCGGCCGGGATCGCGGCGGCGTCGCTCGTTCTCGACGCGCAGGAGTCTGGAGCAGTCGGGTGAGGCTCTACAGCCCCGCGGAACGCCTTGCCCGCCCGGGAGCGTGCGCAGTCGCCGCAGAGAGGCCGCCCAGGCCAGCGATAGGCACAGGGCGAAGCTGGACAACACTGGCTTCTACCGAGCCCGTCTGACACGGATGCCGCGCCACGAGAGTGAAGATGGTGTCCGAACTCCATCGCGATGCGGCTGAGGCGGAGCGAGGCCGTCCAGGGCTCTGGGCAGCGGCAACTGCTCCCTTCTGGGGCCTGCGCTGCCAGCCTCAGCCGCCACCGGAGCCTCCGGGCCGCGCACGGCCACGCCCTGGCGCTCCGACACGCTCCTTCTCATTCAGAGAACCTCAGTATCGGCCAAGTCGGACTTCGCGTCTTTCCGCAGGTTCAAGAAGGAGCTCAAGGACAAGCGGCGCGGGCGCACGAGGATCCCCGAGGAGGAGTACACCAAGGAGCTGCAGGTGCGCGCCCGCGTGCCACCGCGACACCGCTCCGCCTGCTGCGCGCGGCGACCGTCCGTGTCGCGCTGGAGCTCATGCGGTGCTGATGTGTGCTTGTGCGTGTCCTGCAGGACGGGGTCAAGTACGTGGACCTGGAGGAGGGCACGGGGGAGGTGGTGAAGAAGGGCACCAAGGTCACCGCGCACTACGACGCGTTCTTCCGCGGCATCGACGCGTCGAGCTCCCGGCAGGCGCGCTTCCTGAACGAGAACATCAACCTCCCGGAGCCGTACGACTTCGCCGCGGGCAGCGAAATCAGGATCAGCAAGTCCAAGGAGCTCCCCCTGCCGCCCCAGGTGCGCCGCACCGCGCCGACTGCGACCCTGGTGTATGCGCAAGCTGCAGTGCGAGAGACCGCCCTCGCCGCTGCTCGTTCGCGCGGCGCTGACTCCTGGGCGGCGAGCTGCTTGCAGGCCCTGACGATCGGCGTCATCGGGATGAAGCCCGGCGGGAAGCGCATGCTGCTTGTCCCGGCGGACCCGTGGGGCTACGGCGACAAGGGGTACGCGGAGGTGCCGCCCGGCGCCACCATCGAGGTGCTCATCGAGCTGTTGTCGATCGGTGAAGCGTGATTGGCTGGACGGGGCCGCGAGGGAGGGCGCGGGGATGATCGTGTAGCTGCCAGCGATGTGTGTGAGCGCGAACGTGCACTGCGGGGGTGTTTTGGCCGCAGTTGAGGTGTCGGAGCTAGCTGCGCGACCGAGCGTCGCGGCTGCGGGGCTGGGGTCGTGGCTGTTGCTGTGGCGACGGACGTGACGTGAAGTTGAAGTTAGGGGGGGAGTTTGCAAGATGACGTGTTCGCGCGAGCAGGCGCGGCGTTCGCGGGGGCGTGGGGGCCGGCGTCGCTGCACTCTGGCAAGCTGCGGGGCGTGCGTCGTGGACCGCGCCGAGGTGCCCTCTCGACCGGGTTGCAGTTTCCAGGGCTCTTGGGTCGCTGAGACGATGCCCGCGGAGACGCTTTGTGTGCTGATACCGCGCTCACGACCTCTCAGTATCCCTTCCATGACCGTGCGGGCCTGACTGCGGAGCTTGGCGGTGCTGCCGCCGACGCAGCGTGCTGCTCTGGGCCGCACCAGGCCGGGCTGCGATGGCGCAGAGCGACGATGACGCACCCCTGCGCGTGTTCAGCACATCGACGAAGATGTACCTCATACGCCGCGAAGGAGGCGTTGGAGAGGAGGTCTTCCGCGTGCTCAAGGTGGGTTGATGCGCAGGCAGCTTCTGTGGCGCAGCACGGCCGAACCGCTCCGGAACGGACGTTGCACGTCCATCCTTTCTGGAGATACGCATGTCGGAATGCTCCCTACGGACAATTGAGACGCCGTTCGATCCGCGATGTCCTCGAGCTAGCCGCACCAACTGTCCGAGACGGTTCGCCCCCCGTCCATCCCGCCGGGGCCCTCATTCCGTTGCCACACGACGCAACACGACCACCATACGGCCTCACTCGCCGTGCAGATCGACCGAACGGAGTACACGCGGCTGGAGTGCGACGTCGACCCGCACGCCTACACCTCGGGGCAAGTCAACGCGCTGCTGACGTCCATCGCCTCCGGCAACAGCGCCACTGGCGGCCTGAAGCCCGTTTGCAGCGGATACGGGCTGGTCGGCACGATCCGCTTCCTTCAGGTGCGCCGCACACGCGGAGCTGCGGGCATGATCTGGCGAGCTGCAGTAGCCCGCAGCGCTCGCGCATGCGGTCTTCCCTGCATGCCGATCCCGCAGTCGCTTCCCCCCGGGCCGTTCCCGAGGACTGCGCGCGAGCTGCGATGCGCGAAACGACGGGCACCTGTCAGGCCGTTGCCTTGATACCTGACGTCTCCCGCTGCAGGGCATTTACCTGCTGTTGGTGACGAAGCAGCGGCTCATCGGCCTGATCAACGGCCACGCGTGCTACGGCATCGACAAGACCATCTGCATTCCGATCAACAGCTGCTGCACGTTCCCCTCGGACACCAGCGCCGACGAGCGCAGGTGGGCCACGCCGTCCGCGCGCACCACCGCCGCCGGCCCCGCCCCGGCCGGCCCGCCCACCGCCGACGCCCGCCCCGCGCCCGCCCCGCAGGTACCAGCGCATGCTCACCAGCATCAACATCACGCGCGACTTTTTCTTCTGCGAGACGTACGCGCTCACCAGCACCCTCCAGCGCAACCTCCGCGCGCCGCCGGACCCCGGCGCGTGCCTCGAGTCGCGGTACTGCTGGAACGAGTTCCTCACGCGCGACCTCCGCGCCGCGCTCGGCGCCCCCGCCGCCGCCGCGTGGGCCGTGGCGCTCATCCACGGCGCGCTCAAGCAGCAGACGTTCTCGTGCTACGGCCGGCAGTTCACGATCACGCTCGTCGCGCGGCGCAGCCGCATCTTCGCGGGGACGCGCTTCCTCAAGCGCGGCACGAACGCGCAGGGCCACGTGGCGAACTGCGTCGAGGTGGAGCAGATCCTGGACTGCAACCGCAACAGCGAGGGGCGGCCGGGGTACGTCGCGGGCTTCGTGCAGATCCGCGGGTCGATCCCGCTGTTCTGGCACCACCACCAGGAGGCCGGGGCGATGGCCGCGAAGCCGACGATCGTGCTGCAGGCCTGCGACCCGCTGCACAACGCCACCACGCGCCACTTCGCCGACCTGCTGTTCGAGTACGGCGTGCCGTGCATCGCGCTGAACCTCGTCAAGCAGCGCGCGCACGAGAAGAAGCCGCGCGAGTCCGTGCTGGGCGACGCGTACCGCGCCGCAGGTGCGCTGCTGTCAGTCGCTGGCTGGCTGGCCGGCTGGCTGCTTGCCGGCTGGCTGGCCGCGGTCGAACACCATCACGCCTGAGCAGCAGCCGGCTGGAGCACACCGCTGCACTGCAGCGTTGTCGCTGCGGCGCTGGCCGCTGCAGGACCACGTCCGCGAGCCAGCCCTGACGAATCAGGTCCTCGAGCTGTTGCCTTGAGCGCAACTCAATGACCTGATTCGGGTGGTCCCTTGCTCCCGGACGTGGTCCTGCAGCGGCGAGCGAACCCTCACAACGAGACCACCAGACCCCCCCTCCGCCGGCCCCGACCCTCGCCGCTGTCTCCCGCCCCGCGCAGTCGAGTTCGTCAACCGCCGCCTGGACCCGGGGAAGCGCGTCACGCTGCACGAGTACGATTTCAGCCACACCGTGCGCGAGCCCGACGGCAACTCGCGCGTCCTGGACGACCTCTACCACCTCGGCCACCGCTGGGCCGCGTCGCTCGGGATCTTCGCTGCGTCCCGGCGCGGCCGCGACGGCGCCTGGCGCGTCCACAGCGCGCAGACCGGCGTGGTGCGGACCAACTGCATCGACTGCATCGACCGCACGAACATCGCGCAGTTCGTGCTCAGCGTCGCCAACCTCGGCCACCAGCTCCACGGGGCCGGCATCATGCAGGTCCGCGCAGCCACCGCCCCCTGCCGCCGGTCGTGTGCGTCGTGCGGCGATCATCGTCGCGTGTGTGTTGATGTGCGCGTGCGTGGGTCTCGCTGCGTCGCAGGACTGCCACCTGGGCCTGGAGTCGGACATCTCGCTCGCGCTGATCGACATGTGGCGGTCGGTGGGCGACGCGCTCGCGCGGCAGTACGGCGGCAGTGACGCGCACGCGCACGTCATCCTGCGGCAGCAGGGCAACAGCGAGCTCGACACGCAGCGGCAGCACCTCATGAACGCGCTGCGGAGGCTCGTGGCCAACCAGTACTTCGACGGCGAGCGGCAGGACCTCATGAATCTATTTCTGGGCAACTTCACGCCGGCGCGCGGGGGCGTGCAGATCTGGAACCTCGGGTCGGACCACTGGCTGCACCACGGGCCGCGGCAGGGAGGCACCGCCGCGGAACACCCCCCCGCGCTCAGGGGGGACTCTCTGGCGATCTCCGCGCCCGACGTGCAGGCGCTGCTTGCGGCGGTGAACGCTGGGGGGCAGCAGGGGTTCAGCACGCCGGGGAGGGACGCGCGGGGGGGGGAGGGCGGCGAGGGTGGGCGTGGAGAGAGGTCGAGGGAAGAGGAGTCGAGAAACGACGATTGGGACGACACTTCGGATCTCAGTCTGGGCAGCAGGCTGCTCGCGGTGTCGCCGTCGACGCCCGGAGGCTCGCCGCTCTCCCCCGCGCGGGGCGAGCGGCGCGGCAGCAGCGACGGCTCCCCCGCGGACGTCAGCGACATCCGCGGCGGCGGCGCGGAGCCGTCTGCAGAGGGGGGTGTGTCGCAACACGACCCCCCCGACCCCGCCGCTGCCGACTCGATGATCGCGGACGCCGAGGCCCTCGACAAGCTCCTCCGCGACGTCGGCGACGCCAACCCCGCGTCGGCAACGACGCCGGCGCCTCCGCGCGCGCACAGCACCGCCCCGGGCCGCGCCGCGCCGCCGCCTCCCGCCGCCGCGCGCCCCGGCGTCGCAGCTCACGCTCTTCGACGAGCTCGTCATCGACGCCCCAGCAAAGGTCGTCTCCGGCGCCTACAGCCGCCCCGCCGCCTCCGGCCGCGGGGTCACCGCGCACCTGGCCACCGACGCCGACACCTCGACCCTCAACGCGTCCTCGCAGCTCGAGCGCACGTCCGCGAGCCTCCGCACGGGCCTCGCGACGCCTCACGGCGCCCATGCGACCGCCGCGCTGCCCCCGCGTAGCCTCGGCCCGCGACGCACCGTCTCCCTGGGCCCCGGCATGCTCCTAGGCCGCGCGTCCCTCGACGGCAAGCCCGCGGCGGACTCAGCGCGCCCGTCGCACATGACCGGGCACTGGCCCGCGGGGCAGCCGCCTGAGGACGCGGGGGGCGCGACGTTTCTGTCCGGGGGCAGCACGCGCGCCTCGTCGACGGGCGAGCATGGCACGGCCAGCTTCGACACGTCGGGCGACGGCGCGGGCAACGGACGGAGCTTCCTGCGGCGGCTGTCGTCGCGGCTGCGCGACCTGACAAACACGGGCTTCCTGCGCCTCCCGGGCATGTCGCGCACGTCGTCGTCGGGGGAGCCGTCGTTCCTGCGAGACATCCCCGCGGCGGGGCAGGGCGGTGCGAAGCGCTCGTCCGCGCCGCTGAGCTCCGAGGACGTGCTGCGGAAGATGTACGACAGGATCTACGAGGGGGTTGGTGCGGGGGGGGAGGGGTTTGAGGGAGGGGGTGTCAGGGCCGCGCCGGCGGGCGCGGCGGGAGCGCGCGGCGGTGGCCCCGCGAGGGACTTTGCGCGGTGGTGCTCGCTGGACCCGCGGCAGCTGGAGGAGAGCATGCTGGAGGTGCGGACGCGCGCGGGGGGAGTCGCGGATGCACACCAGGGGGTGTTTGATGCGCCGGGGGGAGTGGCGGGCATGCTGGGGGCGGGAGGCCGAGGGGCGTGAGATGCAGCGCGGAGGACGCAGGCGTGGGAGCGGTGGAAAAGGCGCAGAATACGGAGAATGCTTCATTCATGCACAGGTGTGTCAATGGCAGGTATTAGCTAATAGGGAAGGTGGGGGGGCTGCTTGCTCCGGGCCCGTGTGCCGGCCTCAGGGCACACGGCCGTGGACGTGGGTATACGATAGGCGAGAGAGCGAGCGACAGTCGCGGCGGAGGATGCCAGCTGTGTGAGATGCGACGCACGGGGTGCTGTGACGGGCGGGGGGCGTCCGGACGGTGCGTAGCGGGGGGCTGTACGTGCTTGGGAGCGTCCGGGCGGCGACGGTTCCTTCTGGGCACCGCGGTCGGCAACGGGAGAGAGAATTGGTCTGCTAGCAAAGCGGCCCCACGGAGGGGCGGCTCCGCAGCGGGCCGCGCCGCACATCGCTGTTCAAGCAGGCCAGCAGCGCGCGTGCACGCTGTCGAACAGGGACGAGCGCGTCCGCGGGCGGAGGGGCCAGCAGGCCACGGCCGGTGCACGCACGCCACCGTCAACCGCCCGACACGTCCCAGTGAGCCGTTGACCGACGCACGCACGCACGACGACCCTTGGGGCATCGACGCGAGCGGCCCCCAACGCGAGACCGACGATTGTCATACCCAGCGACATTTCTGCAGTGTTACATCGGCCCCGGCCCGCCCGCGCATCGCCCGCCCGCGCCGGCCCGCCCCACGCGTCCTGCCACGCACGTCCACCCGCGCTGCGCGTCCTAGTCGAGTCTCCGCGCAGGCACCTCTGCGCGATACAAGTGCACTGTCCCCGGCGCCCTGTGCGGCACCCCGCTCGGATTAATCACCCCGGCGCCGTGGCAGTGCGCGCACTCGACGACGCCGCGTCCGTGGCACCGCGTGCACCGGTTGCTGTCCCTGTAGTTGACCTGCTTCTTGGCGCCCAGGAGCCCGAGCATGGCCTTCGCCTTCTCCATCGCGTGCCCCGCGAGGTTGTACCGGGCGTGGTGCGCCGCCTTCGACAGCCGGCCGGCGCCGCGGCAGTCCGGGCAGAGCACGCAGCCCTTGCCGTGGCACGCCGTGCAGTGAATGTCGTGCCCGCGTTCGAGCCGCGTGGACGCCTGCGCGACGCGCGGCGGGCGGAGGGGCACGTTGGGTGCATGGCGGCTTGCGTGGCGCGCGGAGGTGCGCGTCGGACGCAGAACGCGGCGCCAACAGCCGGAGAGGATGCGCGGGGCGGCAGAGGGCTCGCGGCGGGGCGCACGCGGGCGGAACAGCGGCGTGAGGACGCGCATTGGCGCGCAGAGGGCGAGGGGCGCGCGTGGAGGCGGCGCGGCGGCGGCGTGCGCCGTGGTGACGCGCCGCTGCGGACGGAAATTTGAGGAGGTGGTAGTTGAGCGGGCCACGCACCTGGCGGAGCAGCATGTTCGCGATGACTTCCGCGGCATTGCTTCCCGTGGAGTGCTGGTTGTGGTGCTCCTGGTACGCCCGCGCCGAGGACGCGCGGCGCGCCGGGCGGCCCGTGCCGCGCGCGCACTGTGGGCGCAACCGCTGTCCCACGGAGCCCGCGACGGGGCCCTGGCACCGCTTCATCGCCGCTCTACCGGCCGAGGAGGCGGGAAACGGCAGACTCGGCCCGGAACGCCGCGCGTTCGATCAGTCGGACGCGCCCACGGCCTGCTTGGCGCGGGTTGCCTAACCCAGTTAGAGGCCGGTCGACGGGGCTCTGTGTGCCGAACGCGCCGACGGGGCCGCGCGGACTGGACCGCAGACGGCGGAGTGAGCGCGTTTTCGCGGCGAATTGACGGTGCGAGGGGTCGCACGAGCTGCGGAGGGGCCGAGGGGTGACCAGGAGGTGGAGGCCGGTAATCCTGCTTCGTTGCGCAAGGAGAGGGTTCCGCGATCGCAGACGGTACTGCAGGCGCGGTCGGGCCCGCGAGGGCACTGTGCGCGCGCGTCGCAGGGCGCGGGGGGGCCGGTGATGGCATGACAGAGGGGGTATGAACGTTCGACGCGGGCGCGACAATGGCTGCCCGCGACGCTTGGTGCGGCTCTCTTTGGTTCGTACCTGCTGTTCTTGCACGATGGATTCCGGGGCGCCCAAGCTCGCGATCGTCATGAAGGTCATCGGCCGGACGGGCAGCCGAGGCCAGGTGCGCGCGCCGGCGGCGTCTCCGCGCGGCCACAACGCTGCGTCCTTCGCCGACGAATGCGCCTGGGCGTCGTGGACGGCGCGTGCGCCCGTTCGGGGACCTCGCTGGAGGCTGTTCGTGCGCTGGCAGGCTGATGCCTCGCTGTGGCCCGCGCCGTGCACTGCGGGCGCGTTTGCGGCATCGCCATGGCTGCATAGAATCGTTGCCCGCCCCCGGGCTGGCCAAAGGCTGCGGCGGGCGCCCGTTTCCCGCGGCCGCCTGCAGCTTTCGACGGCCCGCACCGACAGCGCGCCTCGCAAGCCCCGTTCACGCAGGTGACCCAGGTCCGCGTCAAGTTCCTTGATGACCAGAACCGTCTGATCATGCGCAACGTGAAGGGCCCGGTCCGTGAGGTGCGAATACCCCTCTTCCTGCTCCAGCAGCCTCTCCCCGAGCCTGCGGCACGCGCACCGCGCCTTCCGCGCCCCGGCGCCCTGCCTGCTCGCCAGGCAGTGCCGGCCTGCGCCGCGCCCGGCGCGCAGAGCCCCTGGGGGCGCCGCCGAGGGCGTGCGGGTCCTGGCGGCAGTGCTCCTCGCCCGCCCGCAGTGCCACGGCTGCCGGCGGGGCTCACGCAGTTGAGCTGTGCCGAATCCCCGATGTGCAGGGTGACATCCTGACGCTGATGGAGTCGGAGCGCGAGGCGAGGAGGCTGCGGTGAGCGGGCCGTGGCTGCTGGCACCGCCCACAGCGTCCACGCGCGTGGAGCGGCAAGATCATATAGCGCTCGCATCCATGTCGTGTGACGCATCTTGAACGGACACTGGCTGTCTCTGAACGCGGCGCCCGGCGCCTCGAGCCTCGTAACCAGACCAGCACCACACCACGTCGCGGCCGGTGCGGCGTTCCGGCGTCAAGCGGAACGCACGCATGCACTCGGGGGGCGACCAGCTGTGTGGGACCCCCGCGTCGCGACGGTGCCGTGTGCGGGTGGCGCGGTGCAGTAGGCTACGCCGTCACCGGGGCCGTTGCCCGCGGGGCTGACGCGACCGAGGCCGTCACTGAGCGCGCACAGCACGCGGTGAGCGCCGCCCATGCGGGGCAGCTTCGTCGATACGCAGATGCGGGTCATGTGCGCGGTGCTGGGCGCGCGTGTCACACGGCACCTCCTGCCCGTCCGGCGCGCCACCAGGAGCGCAGTTGCCGTCGCGACGGCTTCGCTAGTTCCCGAGATACTCGTTGCCGGATGCGGGGCTGCGGCGCGCTCACTTGGACGCGGCACCGGCGCCAGAGCCAGTCAGGACGCCCATGTTCTGCTTCTCCAGCTCCACGATCGACTGCTCGCGGTCCATCTCGACCACCAGTGGCAGGAACAGGACCAGACCTGCACGCGGGGCCGGCGGAACGGCGTCAGGCGCAACAGCGCGCCGAGGCACGGTCGCCTTGATCGTGGACGGCGGTGGGGGACGTCGCGCCGCGGCATCGATGGCGCGCCTCCCGGCCGCGGAGCTCGCTCACGAGGCGGTCCATCGCGTAACCGAGGCGCAGACACGGGAATCGGCGGCTGCGAGTGGCGGGGCCGACCGCACGGCCTCTAGGGCACCACTTCAGGCTGCCTCCAGGAGGCGCCAGGTGCGGGTTTTTGAACGTCGCGCGGCTCGCTGCGGAGCGTTCGAGCAGAGGGAGCGGCGGGGAGGGTGTGCGTCGCACCCGTCGTCCCGATGATCCACAGCTTGCTCCCCACCGAGTACCCAAGGCGCTTCGCGATCGCCCACGCCTTGCTCCCGCGGCTGTCCCTCGCCGCGCCTCGCCCAGCCGGAGCCATCTTCGCCGTCAACCTCTTCGCACGCGCAGCACGCTCGCTCCACCGCCGCAGCGGCACCTGTCACCTGCCCTCCTCTCTCTTGCTCCGCTGCGCAGCACGCCTGAGTGTCGCACGCCTCAGCACTTCGCCACGATCGCAGCAACTCTCAAGTGTCGCGGCCGTCGCGCCCCACGCCTCTCAAAGTCCCCCGCGGCTCCGCACTCGCCTGACCCCCCCCTACAACAGCACTCGCGTCAGGCTCGGGCAGCGCACCGGGCCACCGCGCGGATGATGCGGCGCTGCGTTGCAGGACCGCACCGGCACGCCACACGGCACATGCGTCGCGAGACGTCACATCGCCACCCGCCGGCACGCCGCGACCCACCGGCTGGGCACGCGGCACCGGCCAGGCCGCGCAAGGCCCCACGGCCGACCTCGCTGACAACAGCCGCGCGCACTGCGCTGTCCCTGTGTCGCGACGAAGCCACGCAGCGCTGCTAGACCCCGGTGCAGACGTGCGTGTTTCACAACCCCCCTACCGTCGTTACGGGGCTGCCGCGATCGCGTTCTCCCGCGCCCGCGACGTGCCCTGCGCAGGCCCGCTCATGCGGCGCCCGCGGGCCCCTGAGACTCCCCCCCCGGTTGACTTTTCTTGCCAAACAGCCAGTCTGACATGACGTCCAGCACGCTCCGGCCGCCGGGGCCGCCGGCGTTGCGGGCCTCGCGGACGCCGCGGAACGGGTCCGGCCCCTTCATCCGCGCGTCGCGCGCGTCGTCCTTCGCGCCACCGGCGTCCTGCTGTTGCTGCGCGCCTGCGTTGTCCTGAGACGCCTCCCCGCTCGCTCCCTGCTTGCCGTGCGTCGCCTCGTACTTCTCTGCACGGCAGCTCGCGATGGTTCCTTGAGATCAGGCGGCGGGAGGGCGGCCGAGATCGCGGGATTGCACACGCAGGGTGGGCGGAGTGCGTGGTGGGCGCAGCAGTGGGAGCTCGGTGGCGCGCACCGTCGCGGAGGTTGGCCATGCGCTGCTCGTTCGCGCGGAACTTCTTCGACGCGAACGGTGCGGCCGTGACCCCGAAGAACACCGCGAAGATCAGCGCGACCTTGAGCTGCGACGGCGCGGGCACCACCGCCCCCGCCCGCTGAGCAGTGGGCACGGGCCGTGCGATCGCCATCGCGGCAGCGCGCCCTCCGCACCCTCTATGCGCTCCTGCTTCGGAGCCGGTCGCGGCGGCTTCTCGGGGCCGGGAGCCCGCGAAAAGGGCCCGACTGGAGTTTGGCGTTGACGCGTGCCGCAGGGAATGTGTGCGTGCGTGCGCGCTGACGGCGTTCCGCGGGGTCGCGCGCGTCCTCGCGATGCGGGGTGTGTTCGGCGGCCGCGCTACTGCCGCTCGCGCGTGCATGCGCGACGCATGTGCCGCCGCGAGGGCGGGGAGTGTTGCGCTCCAGGTCAGTCTGACTGACCTGACGTCGAGGCACGCGCGCGGCGAGATGGGCCCGCGCGTCCGGGGCGTGCGGGGCAGTCGCGCGCAGGCTGTGGAGGCGCGTGGAGAGGTGCACGAGCCCGTGCGACCCGACAACACCCCGCACAGCGCGACGGACAGGTAGGGGTGGCGTTTTGCTTCCGTGCAAGGTTTTTCGCGCGCGGTTTTGCTCAGGGAGCGCTCCTGATAGACGTAGCAGCCTTCACGTTGTTTTTCCGCGCGTCAGCCGCTGCCCTCACCGCGCTGCGGGCCTGCGTTAGGAGTGCGCTCGTCTCCTAGGGCCGCGGAGGCGCTTTCCGACCGCGAGGGCGACGCGGGCTCGAGGTTCTGGGAGCAACGAGCGAGGAGGCGCGGCGCGGGGCGCGTCGGGCGCTGAGGCGTAGCAGGGGCGGTGCCCGGTGGGTCGGAAGGCGGTCATCATGGACCGGCCCCTCGAGATGGAGGCGTCGCTGGCGAGCGAGGACGACGACGGGATCCTGGCGCCTGCGCCGAGCGCGCAGGTGAAGAACTTCGCGGGCGGGCTGTCGGCGCTCGAGCGGCAGATGAGCGAGGTGGTGCGCCGGGCGGTGCAAGTGGCGAGGCAAAGAGGCAGCCTGCCGGACGTCCCTGAGGACGAGGGCGAAAAGGTGCGCGCCGCCGGGACCCCTCGCGTGTTCTCCAGACAGGGGTCGCACGGCCAGGGCGAGCCTGGGCGCGCGTGGCGCGCGAGAGGCCGCGGCAGGTGCTGGCCTGATGCTTCGCGCCCTGCGCCGGCGAGGACAAATCGGTTGCGGCCGTGCTCCACGAACAAACCTCCCCTGTGTCTCAATGTCCAATCGTGCTCGCGAAGAGGAGCGCGGAGATCGCCGCAATTCTCGGAATTCGGCAACGCGCTGTGCGGTCTCTTCAGTCTTGCTCGCGTCCGAGCGGCCTGCAAGGGCCGTCCTCGGCCTCGCATTCGTCATCTTCTCGTATCACTGCAAGCTCCCCGGGTGGCCGTAGTGGCACCTGACCCCTGTTCTGCCGGGGACGCAACGGCCCGGCACGCACGCACCGACGCACTGCCCCCGCTGCCTCCCTACCCACCGCGCAGAGGACGTACCTCCAGCACCCCGAGCTCCTCGCGATCGACGAGCGCTTGGCGCTGCTGCACGATCCGGACAAGATGATGCTTCAGGTGCGACCCGCGACGCAATCTGTGTCTGTGTTGGCGCCTCCGCGCCGCGCAACGCACGCACGCGCCCGGGCCGGACCGCACGAGCGCGTCCGGGAGTAGCCGCGGCACAGCACCTTGAACACAGCCAGGCAGAGCAGCGCGACAGCCGGCGCGGAGCCGTTTCCGCCTGGGCTCACGCAAGTAGTCGTCGTGGGTGCAGGCGGACGACATGCACAAGTTCACGGACCTCACCAAGTCCAAGGCCATGGACGCGGAGACGGACAGCGAGTTCCACAACTACCTCATCGCGGAGATCCAGTCGGCCATTCGCTGCTGGCTCTGTCGCTCGCGCTTCCTCCTGATGCGCGGCGCGGCGATCTACATCCAGCAGTACTGGCGCAAGTGGCACGCCGAGCGCGTCCGCTACGCCCAAGAGTCCAACGCGGCCGCGAGGCGCATCCAGACGACGTGGCGGAGGTGCGCCAACATCCTGCGTGACGCGACCGCTACAGCTCGATCGACGTCCGACGCTGCCGCGCTCTTGAATGTCCAGCTGCGACGTGGCTGCCTGATCATCGTGCACTCCCGCGCCCCTCGCCCGTCTCCGAGCCTGTCCGCCCGCGTCCACGTCCAGATACTGTTTCCCATCTTCCGTTGAACTCAACGTCCTCGTGTGCCTCCTCGGAGCCGCCGCCGACGTCGCCGCGGCTCCACACTCCGCGCCCGCCCCCGGCGTCCGCAGGGTCCGTGACCGGCGCATCTTCGCGTTCTACCGCGACCTGATCGTCACGCGGGAGCGCGGAGACCCCGGGGTACTATTGCGCGGCATCAACCCCCTCGAGGCCGGGCTGGCGGACGCGGCGGCGGGCGTGCACGTGCGCTTCCGGCTCGGCGGCTCCACGTTCCCCCCGCTGATCTTCTACAAGATTTATACCGGGCGGCCCGTGGCTGACGTAGGGTCGTTCGCGCCACGGGACTACGTCGCGGAGCGCAGCGACGAGAAGTCGGCGCGCACGGCCAAGGTGCTGGCTGGGAAGATGGGCGCGCCGCTGCCGAACGCGGTGCTCGGGGTCGGGAACGCGGGCGTCGCGGGGCGGCCACGGGACAAGGCGCGGCGCAAGGCGGGCGGAGCGTCGCAGGGGGGGGGTGAGAGGGGGGAGTTCGAGTTGGACGAGCAGCTGATCGAGTACGTCCGGCCAGACGGAACCTTCGGACGGCGGCCCGCGCGAAACTGGTACAGGTGCGTCGCGCAGCTCTGACCTGTTGCACATGTGCGTGCGTGGTGCGGACGGACGCCGCGTCGCGTCGCGCGTGGGTGGCAGACCGTGAACGGCGTGGTCACGGAGCGATCGGTTGGCTGACCGTGCGCGCGCGTGCGTGCGCGGCCCGGTCGTCGCAGGCGCGTAGAGAACAACGGGTGGCGGCCGGTGGCGGACCGGCTGCTGGTGGACGCGGAGGCGGAGGAGCGGGCGCGCGAGTCGGCGAAGACGCTGCACCACAGCCACCTGCCGAAGCTGCGGCGCGAGGACGCGGCGCGCCGCGCGAAGGAGCGCAAGCGCCAGTGGCTGCGCGCGATGTACAACATGACGACGCAGTCGGCGGCGCCGTCGAAGAAAAGCAGCGCGAGGCACACCCCGGACAACGCAGAGGTGAGCGCGAGCGCACACGTCGCGATCGCGCGGCGACCAGGGGTGCTTGCGTGTGCGTGTGTGCTGCGACGTTGCTCGCTGCCGTACGATGGCCGTCTCGCGGCGCACCCTGATCCGCTCTGGCGGTTCCGTTGCGCTCGGCCGCGCCCAGCCCGCCCGCCGCGACCGCCGCGCGAACGCAGGGCGCTCTGTTCTGGGCAGGAACGCGACAGGGCGCAATCGGCGACCCGCCGCTGCCGGGGACCCCCGAGGGCGGGAGCCGCGCGCAGAACCTGGACCCGTTCGAGCGGTTCGAGCTCGGGAGGGGCGAGGACCCCCTGGAGGACCCCGAGATGGAACACATGCTGTTGAAGTGGGCGGGGGCCCTGGACTTCGACGAGTACAAGAAGTCGTGGGGCGACACGGCGCTGACGTCGACCGCGGACGCGTTCCTCGTCGAGACGCGGTGCGCCGCGCCCCCGCGCGAGCCCGAGCGCGTCGTGGTCCTGCGGCATGCTCTGTGCGACTGCCTCCGACTCGCCGTTGCTCACGACGCCGCGTGCGCGTGCCTCCCGGTTGCAGGAACCTCGGCGTGATGCGCATCGCCGACCTCGACGCGGTGGACCCCATCGCCATCGACCTGGACCGCCGCGCAGCGTCGCCGTCGCCGCGCCCCACGAGTGCCGTGTCGAGCCACTTCCCGTCCACGCCGACGCCGCCCGGGTCCAGATTCGTCACGTCGCGGCAGATGTGGGACACGGCGCGCACGCCCGGCCGCGAGCCGTCGCTCGACGACGTCGACACAGCGCGCAGCCGCGCGTCCGCCGTCATGGTGATACGTCGCGAGCTCTCCGAGGACCAGAGCGGGCAGTCCGCGGGCGACGTTCGGCGCCCGGTGGCGGAGGCGCAGCCGCACCGCAAGAGCGTCAAGTGGGGCGAGAACCAAGTGAAGCAATTGCCCGGCGCGGCAACGGCAAAGGCACCGCAGGGCGTGGCTCAGAAGCAGCAGCAGCAGCAGCAGCAGCAGGCGGCGATGTCGCCGTGGAGCCCCGCGAGCAGCGCGCGGCCGTCGGTCGACATGGGCTCGCAGCGGCCGCCGGACGCGGTGGTGGACCTCGCGCAGGGGATGCAGCTGTCGGGCATCGGGGGGTGGTCGAACCAAAACTCCCCCGCGCGGGGCCTGGGCGGGCAGGACAGCGAGGGCGCGCTGGCGCAGGCGGGCGGGTACCTGTAGGCGGAGGCGCTCTTGCTTGACAAGCAACAGCCACACACAATGTGGCGATGTGAGCCAGCGGTGCGCGCGAGTGCGGGGTGCGCGAGGGAGGCTGCCGGCGAGCGGGCAGAGCGACGTGCTCGTCGCATGCGAGCGCGTGCATGCGTCCCGGTCGCAGGCGACTTCGCGCTGTGGTGGCGAGGGCGTCTGCATGTCCTGGAAGACGCGGATCTGCAGCCTCGCGGCTCGACATCTGAGCTGCGGGCCGGCATGCCTGTCGCGGTGGTGCCTCGGGCGGCGTGCGGCCGTCGCCTGCGCACGTCACGTCCTGCGTGCGCGCATCTGCTGTTGCCGTAGACGGAGGGCGCCGTCGCTGGTGCCCGAGCTGTCCCGCGCGCATGCAGCGCGACTGGCCCGGCGGCCTGCCCGCACCGCGACGCGCCAGCACTTCCGGGCGACCACCGTCCTCGAATGTCACACTAGCACGCCTGCGCCGCCCCACGCGCCTCCCGCCGCGCCTCCCGCCGCGTCTGCGCGCAACCTGACGGCTCGAATGCCTTCCCCCACGCCATCCTACGATCTGACCAGCCCGCGTCGTCGCAAATTGCCCCGACGAGTGTGCGCGGCCCCTAGTGGCAACCACCAACAACCAACTTCACGTGCCGCGCTCGGCTCGGAGGAGCGGACCCCCCGGCTGGTGCCGCGCGGTACGGCCCACATTCAGCGTGCAGGGCGTCAGCGCGCCTCGTGTCGGTCCCCGTGGCCGCACGTGATTGGACGCAGGATCACTGGACCTGCCTTCCAGTCGCAGTACAAGTCCCCGGGCCGTCCCGGTTTCGCGCCGACGGCCGGCGGGCTCGTTGCTGCGCGACGGGATGCTGTCGTCAAGAGAAAAAGAACTGAGCACATCAGCGCCTGGAATACGCACGTGTCTCGACGAACGATTGTGTCTCGACCGGGTGAGTGTGTCGTCCCGCCTTGCGCTCGCGCTGCCACGCGCGACGCCGCCAGCCCGGTCCGTTGCGCGTCCTCGATCTCGTTCCTCGCTTTGGCGCGCGCCGAAGGCCGCGTGGCGGCACGAACGCGGCGCACGCGACCGATGCGTGCACGCGTCGGTTGCGCCGCTCTTCCGCCCCGCGCGTCCCCGCATTCCGCGCGTGGCGCGCCCGCCACTCCTTATTTCGCTGTCTTACGGCCGCCCGCACGCGCCGCTCCCGCCGCGGCGCGCCCACGCCGACGCACGGCGACACCGTTGCTGCTGCATCCCAAAACTTCGACCTCGGCGCCCCGGCGCGCCGCCTGCCCTTCCGGCGCATACACGGCCCGCGTCGCACGCATACACGTCCTGGCTGATCCCCGAGATCCACCGCTTCGCGCCTTCCGCCCCCCGCGCGCAGGACTGGGGCTCTCAGCAGCGTCCCCTCCACGGTCCTTGCCCGCTTGGGCCGTCCCGGTTGCGCCGCGAAACGCAGACTGGGAACCAGCACGCTAGCGGAGGCTACCCAGCCTCAATGGCAGGCGTGCCATCCGGAACGGGGTTCCCGCCCCGGCCCGGGGCGGGCGCCGCGCAGCCTGCGTTGCCGAGCTGGGTGGTGCAGCAACAGCTGCTCGCAACGCAGCGCGCGAACGCCCACTTCTACGCATACAACGGGGATGCCCACCAGCTTCAGAGAAATGACGCGCAAGGCATCCCGCAGGCAAGCATCGACCCGCCGCGCGCCCTCGCCCCCGCCTGCTGCCGCGGGGTCGCCACGCCCGCGCCCGCCGCGCCGGCCGCCCTCGTCGCCGCCCCGCGCGCGCGTTCGCGTCGCACCGCGCCCTGCGCGGCCCGCCGCGTTCCCGGCCGCGCACGCGCCCCACCGCGCGCCCGGCAGCCGTCAACCGCTCCCCGAAGCTCCCTCTCACGCCGCGCGCTTTCCGCCCCCGCGCAGGTCTATTCGGTCACCTACGGCGCGGCCCCGCCCCTCCTGATCAACAGCGAGGGCCTCACGGCGATCCACGTCGCCTGCCGCGGCGCCGCGTGCGCGTGCGAGGCCGCGAGCCCCTCGACGTGGCCCAACCTGGTCGCGCTCCTCGTCGCCTCGGGCCAGCACGCCTCCAAGCCGGCGCCCAACCCCGAGGGAACCACCCCGCTCCACGAGCTCCTCGCCCACGCCGAGCCGGGCGCCTACCGCGCCGTCGCCGCGGTCATCACCACGCTGGCCATGCTCGGCGCCGACGTCAACGCCCGCCTCCAGGCCTCCGGCACCTCCCCGCTCCAGGCCCTCCTCGCGCGCATGGCCTCCTGGGACTCCAGCGTCGAGCGCAAGCGCGAGGCCATCGCCGCCATGCACCGCTGGGTCGAGGTGCTCGACCTCCTGCACCAGTACGGCGCCCGGGTCGACCACTGCGACAGCCAGGGCGCGACGCTCGCGCACGCGGCCGCGCGGATGGAGTGCCCCGCGGCGATCGAGTGGCTCGCGGCCGTCGGGGCGCCCCTCCACGACGAGTCGCGGTCCCGCGCCACCCCGCTGCTCGTCGCGGGCATGGCGGGCAACAGGAAGGTCGTGGCCGCGCTCCTGGCGCACTCGCCGCCGCCGGGGCGGCTGGCGGCGGCGCTGCACGCGGCCGTGTCGGCCGGGGACGCCGACGGCGTGGAGGCGCTGCTGCTGGCGCCGTCGGACGCGGCGACGTACACCCCCGCGGCGGCGGCGGCGGCGCTGGCGCAGTCGCAGCTCCCCGCGGCGCTGCGGCGCGAGCTGCTGACGGCCGCGGCGCAGCACGGGCACGAGCGCATCGTGCGGCTGCTCGTCGCGCGCGGGTGGCTCGAGGGGCTCACGTTTTCGCGGTCGTCGCTGATTGGTGCCACGGGCCTGCTGCACGCCGCGGCGAGCAAGAGCGCGCAGGTGGGCGTCGCGCGGTTCCTGCTGGACGAGTGCGGCGCGAGCGTGGCCGCGCGGAGCCGCGCGTCGGGCATGACGGCGATGCACCACGCCTGCAAGAACGGACACAACTTTTGCGGGCCCATGCTGCACCTGCTGTGGCAGCACGGCGCGTCCATGGCCGAGCCGGACCTGCGCGGCCGCACCGTCGCGGACCTCCTCGGCCTCTCGGACCCCGCGGCCGCGCAGCTGCGGCACCGCGGCGGCCCGCGCGTCGACGGGGCCCCCGGGGACGTCGGGGGACTCTCCGCCGCCGGGCCGGGACACCCGCAGCCCGCGGGCAGCATCGGGACGCAGCCCTCGCCGGCGTTCGTGGCGGCCGCGGCCGCGGCCGCGGCGGCGGCGGCGGGCGCGCAGCAGGGCGGCGGCGAGGCGTCCATCAGCGTGCGCGCGTCGCGCCTCCTCATGGCCGAGGCCACGACGCTCCTGCGCGACCGCTACCTGCTGTGGTTCTGCACCGAGGTGCTCGAGATCCCGCAGCAGGTCACGCGCACCGCGGCGGCGCTGAACCTCCTGTCCTCGGAGACCTTCGTCGCGCGGGCGCGCCTGCAGCTCTCCGAGTGCACGCGCGCGCGGGAGGGCGCGTCCGACGGCGCGGAGGCGGCGGAGGCGCAGGAGGCGCAGCGCGAGCAGGAGGCGGTCTTCGACGCCCTCGCGCGGATGCCGCGGGACCTGATCGACGGGTGCATCGTCCCCGCGGCAGTGCTCGAGATGGACGGGCGCCTCGGCACGAAGCTCCCGGCGCTCGCGCCGGAGAACTCGGACTGAGTATAGAAGACCGGGAGGGCGGAGCGGCGCTGCGGGCCTCGCGCAGGCCCGGCGCCTGGCGCAGTCGCTGACTCACTCACTCCCCCCCTTCCCGGCGGATGCCTTACCCTCACCCCCCTCACCAAATCCCCCCCCGTCCCTCCGCGCATGACCGATTCTCCGGCAGCTGCCCGGAGCACCCTTACCACCCCCCCTCGGCGGACGGGCCACTGACTCATTGCCGTCAGCCCCCCCCGCCGTCGGGCCCCGACACGACTCCCCCCGAGCCCCTACGCCGCTCCACCCAGCTCCTGCGCACCCCTACCCTCCCCGCGCCCCCTACCCTCCCTCCTCGGTAGCGCTCAAGATGCACCGGGGCGATGGCCCCGTGCCCAGCCAAGGGACAGCATGCAGCAGTCGCCGCGCGCGGCCCGCCGCGGACGCGCGCGCCGGTCTGCCCCTTTTCGCGTGCACGGACGAGCTTTCCGACCTGCCCGGCCACGAGCAACGATCGCAACATTTGAGACGTTCACTGGCCCTCCACACCCCCCACGCGCACAACACCCCCGCCCTTCCCCACCCTCCGGCTTGGCTACGATCCCTGCTCCTGCGAAAGCCTCCCCGCCCCCCTCCTTCCCTACACACGGTGTGCGCCACAGCGGTAGCACACGCCTCCGCCGCGACATTCTGAAGCGCAGTAACGCAGCTCTGTACGGTCTCCACTCCGCCCTCCGAGGCCGCACCTCGCCCCCGCAACTCGGACCGCCTCCGACCCGGGGGCTGTGCGGCTCCCCGGAAAGGCCCCCTTCCCGCCCACGCCATTGCACGGCCCCGGCGTCGTCGCCCTGTGTGCGCCACCAAACCCCTACCGCGACCCAGTCCCCCCCCCTCCCCCCTCCCCGAAATCACCCTCGTGTGGCGCAGTGCAATGCAGCTGCTCCGGTGGCGTCCCCGCCTCCGCCCCTCCAACTCCCCACCAACTGCAAGCCCCGCGGCACACCGTAACGCGCGCCCGCCGCCCGCGTCCCGCCCCGCAACACCCCCGCGCAATAGCCGAAACAAAACGCCGACACAGCGCGGCGGCGGGGGCCCGCACGGCCCCGCCGCCGCAGCGTGCGGCTCCGCCCCGCCCGCGGCCCGCTGAGGGCCCGGGGGGGGGCGCACGCGCGGGGGCGGGGGCTTCCTAGAGTGCCCACGCGCACCTCGCGGGCGGCGGCGACGGCGCGGCACGCGCCCGGGGAACGGCGAAGGAGAACCTTCTCCACCGGCACACACCATGGCTGCTGCACGAGCGCCCCCTGTGCGCACCAGCCGATCCACCCTGCCTCTTCGCTACGCTCCCACATTCGTCTTCGGAGCACCTATCTTTCCGAATATTGTCTATTCCGCTCTGCGATCCCCGGTACCGCTCACCCCCTGCATGTGGCCAACTTGCAACTCCCCCCTCACTCGACCACCCCACGCTGCTCCACGAATCCTGGCCGCCACCGCCCCCATCTCGCGAGGACGGACGGACGGCCGTCTGTCGCGCAACCACGCCCCTCGACGCCCGCCTGGCGCCCACAGGCACGGGCAGAGCAGGGACGGCACGCACCGCGGCCTGCGCCACGCTCCGCGGCAGCAGTCGACGCCGTCCGGGCAGGCCGCGTGAACACATCTCGTTCGCCTGCATGCAAGACCCCAACTCCCCCCCCCCCTCTCTCCAGCCCGCTGTGCTTGCATGCACCCAGCACCACTCCAACCCGGCCCCACCGCTCCCGAAACAACTGCGCGACAGCAGCCGAGGCGCGCCCCCCGCGCGTCCTCGTCTGACCTTCCTCCCACCTTGCTGCTTGGCGGCCAACGCCCCCCCTCCGTGCCCCCCCGACTCATCATATGCGAGAGCAGGCCCCGGCAATCGCCTGGCCGGCACACACGCAGGCGCGCTCTTGCGCCAGTGCGTCGGTCACGCGACGACAGCGCCCTCGACGCCGCGGCTGTGGGCCCGGCTGTCTCGGCGCCGTGCTACTACGTGCGGAATCTATTTTCTCCACTTTTCACGAACCCCCCCCTCCCTTTCCCCCGCCTAACACCGAAACTCCCCCTCGCATAAGCGCGACCATGTGGACGAGCACTCTGGCGAGAGTGCCGGTTGCCGGCAACATCAAGTCTGTGAGTGCGTCCGGACATGCACGCACTGCGCCGCAACGCCTGCGCGCCGCGTGCTGACGCTCGCTCTGCCAGTAGGACGATTCGGTCGCTCAAGCAGTAGGTCAGCGAAGAACTAAGCGTCCTCGCGGCGAGGGTGCTCGTAGGTCAGCGAAGAACTAGGTCAGCGAAGTACTTTGAACTTAGTGCTCCCTGCGTCACCATATGTTCACGACGACCAGCTTTCTTGTCCGCTAGCACGCACGTCGCGTCGCGGCGCGGGCGATGGTCGCTGCCTTCTGTCCTGCGCTGGTTTCTCGACAGGAGTCTCGCAGGGGGCACGTCCTCGCGCCTGTCTCATCACAACGCGCCTCACCCGTTGCAACCCCGGCGACGCTCCCGTACGACACCGCAGCAACGATCGCGACAACGCCGCAGCCTCTCTTCAACGCAATTTCTTGTTGTTTGACAAAACTCGGCACCCAACCAACAGACTGCCCCCCGAACGTACACTCGGCCTCGGTCGTCAAAGACCGCGGTCGATGCGAATCGCCGCTGTCGTTGGCTCCTTCCCCGGCCACCAGCAGAAGGGGATCATCGCTGCGCTGTCAGTCTTCAGCTCTCGTCTCCGTTCACCAGGTCCATCAGGATCTCGCCCATCATGCGCGTGTTGTCGCGCTCGTCGCGAGCGGCGCCTCCCGCCGCGCCCTCCTGCCCGTCCGCCAGCACCGCCTGCCCGAGCTCCGCCTTCCGCTGCGACCGCTCGTGGATCCGAGCGTCCACAGTTCCCTTGGTGACCAGACGGTGCACCTTCACCGTGCGTTCCTGCCCGAGCCGGTGCGCGCGGTCCTCGGCCTGGCGGTCGGCCTGCGGGTTGAAGTCCACGTCGTGCAGGATGACGGTGTCCGCGCCCGTCAGGTTGAGCCCCTGCCCGCCCGCGCGGGTAGAAAGCAGGAACGCAAACACACCCCCCTCGCCGTCCGCGTCAGGCGGGGCGCCGCCGTCGGGGTCCAAGGGCGGCGGCGGGTTCGAGTTGAAGCGGTCGACGAGCGACTGGCGCTCCGCGATGCCCGTGGAGCCGTCCAGGCGGACGAAGGAGTAGTTCAATTGGCGCAACACTCTCTCGAGGATATCCAGGACAGTGGTCCAGTTGGAGAAGATCAGCGGGCGGGACCCGGTGCGACGGAGCTCCGCGAGAAGCTTCGTCAGGTGCTCGATCTTGCCGGACTGCGGGCACAGCAACAAAGCGACAGCAGTGAGCGCAACCCGACGATCGACCACGGGGGCATGCAGCCGCAGAGCCAGGCGAAACGTTGTCCCTGGACAGTGCTGCGCAGCACGCAGGACGCAGCGACCGAGCGGAGCGCGCGTCTCCCAACGGCCCCGGCACCACTCTCACCTCGGCCCAGGCCTCGTCCGGGAGCGCGAACTTCCCGAGCAGGTGGGGCTGCTCCTCGCAGAGCCCGTGCAGCTGGATGTCGCTGCGCTTCATGAGCTCCTCGCGCACCATCTCGAGCGTCGCCTCGCTGCCAAACACCCCCCTGCTGTAGCAGAGCTTGGTCATCTCCTCGACGGTCGCGTCCGTGTAGCGGTTCCGCACCAGCAGCGGGTGGTACGAGATCTTCCGCAGGTGGACGAACAGGTTGGAAATCTGCGCAGCGGGACACACGGAGCCAGAACGGTTCATGTTCCGCGCGCCTTCCTACACAGCCGCGCCCGCACCGCGCCCAGAGCAGCTACAGCTACAGCGCCAGAGCAATCGAACGAGCACAGCAGGCGGCGTCCACGCAGACGCCTCAGCGGCCCCCTGCGCACCTTCTTGCGCCCCAGCTGCGCAATGATGCTCTCCGCGCCGACGCCTCCGTCCTTCAGCAGCTCCGCCTCGCCGCGCCCGCGGCCCCGCCCGGCCCCGCCCGCGCCGCGCACCTGCTCGCGCACGCGCTCCATCTCCTGCCCGTACAGCGCGGCCTGGCGCGGCACCATCTCCACCTCGCTGACGACCTGCTCTTTCGCGCACAGCTGGCCCGCGACGTCCGCCTTCATGCGCCGCAGCATGAGCGGCGCGAGCAGCCGCCGCACGCCCGCGACGAGCTCGGCCTCGTCGGGGTCCTCGATCTCCTGGGGGGGGTCCGGAACAGGCCCCCGGTCCATTCCGTCGTCGTCGTCGTCGTCGCCGGCGAGGTCGATCACGGGCGCGGCGTCGTCCGCGGCCTTCGCCGTCGGCGCGGACGGCAGGTGCCGGTGCTCGCGCAGGAGGTCCGTGAGAGACACCCCCCTGACGTCAGGCAAGATGAGCTCCACCAGCGCGTGCAGCTCGTCGAGCGAGTTCTGCAGCGGCGTGCCGGACAGCAGGATCCGCCGCCGGCACAGGTCCGTCACGGTCTTGAGCTTCTTCGAGCGCGCCGAGTTGCGATTCTTGACCGCGTGCGCCTCGTCCAGGACCACGTGCGACCACGCCACGCGCCGCAGCGCCTCGCGCGAGCCCTTCGCGGCCGCGGTGTCGCGCTCGAACACCGAGTACGGGCACAGCAGGATGTCGAACCCGCAATCGAACTCGTCCTCGGGCGATGGCGGCGGCGCGGCGGCGCCCGCGGGGTCGCCGCGCTGCGCCTGGAGCTTCCGGAGGCGCTTGGTGGCTACGCGGGCGTCCTCGAGCGCGGCCTTGGCGTCCTGGAGGCCCGCGCCGTGGAGCGTCTCGACGCGGAAGTCGGGGCACCACATGCGCACCTCGTTGTTCCAGTTGTCGATGAGGGACACGGGGACGACGACGAGGTGCGGGGACTGGTCGCGCTCGACGGCCTCGATGTAGTTCAGGAACGTCAGCACCTGGCAGGTCTGCGGGCAGGCACGCGCGGGCGGCGGCGCGCTGAGAGCCTGTGCGGGGCCAGGGGGTGTTATTGCACCGACGGGCGGGTGCGCGTGCTGACGGCGGGCGACGCCTAGCGTCGTCGACGCATCAAGCAACACCATTCCGTGTAATGCTCGCGGCGCACCTTTCCCAGCCCCATCTCGTCCGCGACGATGCTCGCGGGGATGCGGTAGCGATGCAGGAGCGACAGGAACGACACCCCGACGACCTGGTACGGCTTGAGGCGCCCGGCCTGCTCCCCACACGCGTCCTCCAGCTCCCCGAGCGTCAGCAGCGCGGCCTCGTCGTCCCCGCCGGCCTTGGAGCCCAGTGCGCCCGACATGATGCGCGCGTGCACCCACTGGCAGCGCTCGAGCACCGGCATGCGCAGGAGCTCCTCCTCGGTCTTCTCCGCGACGTTACCGGTCTCCGCAACGATCTGCACGTCGTCGTCGTCGCCGCCGTCGTCCTGTTTGGTGTCCGCCGGCACAGAGACGGGCAGCGGGTCTTGGGCCTCCTTGCCGTTGGCGCGGTCCTCCGTGCGCTGGGGCGCGGGGCTGTCCTCGAGCATGCGCCGCTTGTGCGACGTCGACGGGGAGTGCGGCGCCGCGCTGGCTGCGGCTGCGGCGCGCAGCACCGCGCTCTCCGCCGGCCGCTTCTTGGGGGTGTGTTTCGGGGACGCGTCCGGGCGAGCGGCCTCGGTGCCGCGAGAGGAGGTAGTGGTGTCGCGCGCGCTCCCTGCGCGGGCACGGAGGGGCGGCTGGACGGTCGCGCGCGCGCCAAAGAGGGACAGCGCGGGGAGCTGATTCCGACCGCATCGTGCGATCACAGGCCACCGCGGACGGCACGCAGTCCGGAATCGAGCAAGGCGGTGGCGCTGGGCAGTGGAAACCGCGGCTCGTTGCCTGGCAGTCGGCAGGGAGCCGCTTGGTTGCAGTCGCACCTTCGCGCCCGGCGGGCCTGCCGTCGTCCTGCGCGCCCGCGTCGTCCTTATGCCGCCGGGCGTCGGAGTGCCCGGTGTAGAGGAACGTGCCGAACATATTCGATCTCCCCAGCGCGGCCCCGAGCCCCGTCGTCTTCTCCAGCCCGCCCAGACGCTTAGGTTGCACGCCGCAAGTCCCGGGCGTGCGGGACGCGGCGCCCTGCGCCCTCGCTAGGACCTGTCCCTGGCCGTCGCCGCGGACCGTGTGCGGCGTGAACCCGGTCCCGTTCGCGCCATGCGCCCCGCCCGCGCTGCCGCCGTTTGCCGCCATCCCTCCGCGCCGCGCAACGCCCCCGTCCCGGAACTTTCAGCGCGCCTCCGCGCGGCGCTCTGTCTTCGCGAACGGACCGTGCTGCGCCGCGAAATACGATCGCCTGCGCGCCCGACAGCGCTCCCGGGCTCGGCACCTATAGCACTTCGTGGGAGCTGCGGTGCGACGTCGCGAGGCCGGCGGGGATCAGTTTCCCGACACCGCTGATCTCACAGGGGCGCGAAGTGCACCGGCTCGCGCTGCGCGTGCCGGTTGTGCGCCGTGCGAGCCGCGGGGTGCGAAATGGGGTCTGACTCAGACGTCGTCGGCCAACGCGCGCGGGCCCGCGCGGCCCGTTGTTGGCATACGGTTGTGTCGCGGCGCCCATTCGCATTGCGCGCGACAGGAGCGCGTGATTCGTGCGCGCGTGGTCCGCCGCGGGACATGCAGCGGTCCTGGGCTCCAAGTCCCTCAGGAGCAACAGCGAGCGTTTCGAGCCCGCACGGAGCGTACTGAACGAGGGCATCAGGGTCGGCCCTCGTGTCATGCGCGCCCCGCAAGCGGGCATCGCGCCGGCGGCGCAGCCGTGCTCCCTTTCGCTGAGCGCTCACCCCCGCCAAGCGGCACCGCGCGGCCTGGCGGGCGCGCGCAACCTGCGGTCCGCGGTGCACTGTACCGCGAGCCGCCGGGGCATTGCCAGGCCCGCTGAGCCGCCCCAGGACGGCAGCACGGCGCATGAACCGCCCCCCAACAGCCAGACTGCTTCCGCCTCGCGCAACGGGGCGTTCGCAGCGCCACCGCGCCCGGGCGACATCGCAGCAGAGCGCGACAGTGTCTCTCGGTCCGCTGGCGTGGACGGAAGATCGCCTTTGGCAATACCGGCCGCGCACGACGTGCACTCCCCTGTTGCGTTCCGCGCGCTGATTGCGGCGCTCTCCGTTCTGGTTGGCGCGGCTTTTGCACCTCCCGCACGAGCCTCTGCATACATTCACCCGGTGCGAGCGGCGAGGGTGGCGGAACGCGACCCACGCCCGCAGCACGCCGCTGCCGCGGACGCAGCCGACCACCGAGCAGGAGTGGCCGGCGTCGCTCGCGAGGACGGCGGGACGCCCGCGCCGGCGGCCGGGGGCCCGCAGGACGCCGACGCGGACAGCGGGGACGGGTCGGACAGGCGAAAACCTTCGGAACGGTATATGCAGTTCCTTTCCAAACTGAAACAGAAAGCAGTCGCGGCGGGCATATCCCCGGAGCTGGCTGCGTCCGCCCTGGACGCCGTGGAGCCCCCGCCCGAGCCCCGACCGAAGCCGCCCGAGGACGCAGAGGTAGGCGGCCCTCGCTCAACCCACGGTCGCTTGGAACTGTGTCGGGACGCATGTCGTGCCTGCGCAATCGCGAGCCGCCGCCCCGGGGTGCGCGTCGGGCCGCCGTTGCGTCGCAACGTGCGCGTGTGCATCATCGCGCCGAGGACTGTTGCCGCGCCGGTCTGCAGGCCGTCGAGGACGCAGCGGTGGAGGCCGAGGGCACGGACACGGAGGCGGCGGTGACTGTGCAGGAGAAGGCGCAGCCGGAGTTCGTGGAGCTGCTGCGCGACTACATCGAGGCGAGGGTGCCCCCGCGCGTCACGGCTGGGCGCGGCTGGATGGCGCGGATGGCGACGACGCTGCAGGGGATCCAGGACGCGTACGGGGTGCCGGCGGAGGTGGTCGTGGCGGTGTGGGGACTCGAGAGCGACTTCGGGGAGAACGCGGGGAACTGGGACGTGCTGGAGTCATGCGTCCATATTGGTGCGTGATTGCTCACACCCCCCCCCCCGTTCCCCAGCGCCCGCCCTGCATCACACACCACCCATCGCTCATCCGCGGGACGGGCATATCTGCGCGAACCCCGTCCCGGCACGTGCGGGCCACGCGGCACGTTGTCCGTCTCGAACGCGCTGGGTTTGCAAGGTGCCTGTTGCCCGCCGCAGCGTACCTGAGCGAGGACGCCGGGCGGCGCGAGTGGTTCGAGGAGGAGACGGTCGCGGCGCTGCACATCCTGCAGGACGGCCACGTCGACGCCGCGTCCTTCCGCGGCTCCTGGGCGGGCGCGATGGGGCAGGCGCAATTCATGCCGAGCTCGTTTCGGGCCTACGCGGTCGACGTGGACGGCGACGGACGCGCAGACATCTGGACCAGCGCGACCGACACGCTCGGGTCCATCGCGAACTACCTCTCCGCGCACGGCTGGCGCGCGGGAGAGCCCCCCGCACTCCCCGCAATTGTCCCCCCCGACCTGCTCGCCCCGGCGACCGGAGGCGAAGCGGGCGGCGAGGCGGACGCGGACGAGACGGGCGAGGCCGCACGCGCGACGGTGTGTCGTTCGGGCGACGTGCGGCCCTTCCACGAGTGGGTCTCTCTTGGGGTAGTTCCTATCTTGTACAACAGCGGTGGACACGCGGTGGGGATGCCGCCGGCGTCTGCGCCGCTGCGGCTGCTTCTGCGGGGCGAGGGCGACACGGCGCTGCTGGTCGGGCACAACATGTCGGTCATTCAGGCGTACAACCACTCGGAGTCTTACGCTGCGGCAATCTCTTGCTTGGCGTACGAGCTCGCGGGGGGGCTGGAGGCGGGCGCGCTGGGCGGGGACGGCGCGGACGGCGGCAGCGGGTCGGACTGACGTTGTGCCCGAGGGCTCCCGGTGACCTCACGCAAACATACTGTTGCATCTGGAATTGAATTGGCGTTGTAACATGAGCATGCATCGTCATCAGTCACTGGTCGTCGTCGCATATCGTCGGTCCGTGCATCAGGTCGCGTCGGTGTCTTGGGAACCGTTGTCAGGGCCGGATATTGTCCCCTATCGCATTGACTAGTCTGTCGCAAATCTTGCGGCACCTCCCGGAGCGCCATACGCTCCCCACCTCCTTCTCTCCCCCCTCGTACTCGCCCGTCGAACCGCGGGGCCCGCACCGCGCCCGTCACTCCACGCCGCCCTCCCGCACCGAAGAGAAGCACCGCGGCAGACAGCTCGTGCTGGCAGCGTGGTGCAGCCCGCCCCGCGCGCCCGGCCCCTCACGCACGGGCTTCGCCGACGAGTGCACTGCCGCACCGCGCGATCGCGCCACCGCCGACCTGCGCCCGCCGAACACCTGCGAGTCTCGGCTGCCGAGTCCCCTCATGTCCGACGACGACGGCGGCGGTACACTGACCAGCACCGGCGCGGCGGTCAGCGTGCCCGTGGAGCGCAGCTTCGCCACGCTCGGCGCTTGGCTGCGCTGCACGCCCCCGGCGCCCGAGCAGCACTGCCCGGGGGACTGAAACTCGTTGTGGGGGGAGTCGCCGACGAGCCCGTCGCCCCGGCCGTTCATGGACACGGCGCGGCGGCCGCCATCGTGGAGGGGCGCTGCGGGCACTTGGCTCTGCCTGCCGGCGAGGACGTGCGCTGTGGTGTCGCTGGGGCGCTGCTGCGCGTTGACGCTGGCCGCAAGGTTCTGCTGCGTGGTCGTGCGAGCGAGCGGGCGCCGCGGCACGGGCGGCGCGGGCGTCGTGCGGATGGTGCCGGTGATGCGGCCGGCGTCGTAGGCGGTGGGGGCCGGCGGGGGCACGGTGCGGATGTGCTCACGCGGGGGTGGGGCTGGGGCCCGGGCGGCGCGCAGGTTGGCGCGGCGGGCCATGTGGCGCTCGTGCGCCGCGGCGAGGGCGTCGACGTGGCCGTGCGAGGGCCTGAAGTGCGGGAGGATGGTGTCGTTGCCGGGGAACGGGCCTGCAGGGTCCGAAGAAAAACGAGTCGAACGCATTCGAGAATTCACCATCGGCGCGCACGTTGCGTACTCGCGAAAAAGTTATTTTCGTTTCGTCCTTCGATGCGATTGATTCGTCCTTGCGTGGAACGAGCGGAGCAGCACGCGCGGTGGCCAGGAAGGACTCACCAGTTGCGTTCTCGGCGTCGCCAGGCTGCGACGCGTGCTGCCCCGACGCCCCCCGGCCTCCGCCAGCGCGTACAAGGCTCCCGATGACCTGCCTGGGCGGCTTCGCGACGGGAGGAAACGCCCCGCTGGGCCTCTTGCCGTCGCTGACCCTCTGCGTCGACTGCGTGGGCCGGAAGCCGCGCGCGGACCGCTGCGACAGGTACGCAGACGTCGACCTGCGCACGCTGGGTCGCGCGACCGAGGCCGCGGCGGCGAACTGGGCGTGTGGGGCCGAGTTGGCCTCCATGTGATGGCTCGAACGCGTCTGGGCGTGATCCGGGAGCTCTCCGTGGGACATGCGCTGGCCTGGAACGCGCAGGGCGGAGTTCCCCGACGTGGAGAAGGCGCACGTGCTCGCGGTGTCTGCCTTGGCGGCGTCTGTTGGCGTCGAGGCGAAGGGGCCCGCCCAGCTGAACGCCGCTGGGCGCGAGGCCGCGAGCGGGACGATGCGCTCGTCCTGCGAGGCAGGAGGGAAGGCGCGTTTGAAAGGTCACGGGCGAAACTGGACCTCGACGCGCTGTGCGACTGCCTGGGTGCGAGCTATCGTGCGCGACACGCTCGTTTGTCGGCTGGTTGAATTGGAGATGAACGTCGATGTTTCCGCGCACGTGGAGCGGGCTCGGGCGCGAAAACGAGCACGACGGTTCTCACCGGGTGAATGTTGGTGTACGTGTCGGGGATCTTGACGTTCAGACCCCCCGTCCGCGCCAGCCCACGCCGGACTAGCAAAGCGCTGGGGGCTGAGTGCCCCCGCGCGTCGTGCAGCCAGGGGTGCCCCTCTCCGGCCCAGTAGTCGTACGGTACCTGCGAGCGCCAGGACGGAATGGCGCCTCAAGTCGCGGAACACGCGCGGACGCACTGCCTCGGGCGAGACCGGCGTTGTGCACAAACGTCGCCCGAGGCCGCCTTCCCCGCCAGCGCGCGGCCCGAAACGGCTCCGAGCGACGCCCTAAATAGACACGAAATCGTACCTGGAGGAAATGCTTGGCTGTGGGGCAAGTGGGATGCCACACAGAGTCGAGAAAACCGCGGAAGACCTGCTCCGCGGACCACGGACCACAGCAAGCCACGCAGTGCATGCAGGTGACGACCGGCGTGATGTGCGGCGGCCTCGCGGTCCAGGCGAGCGCCGCAGCCTTGCGCTGCGACGGGAGTCGAGCCCGCCCCATCGCCACGCTCATTGCGGCCCTGGCCGGTTCGCGGCGTGCCGGGGCGTGCTGAGCGAGGGTCGACCCCGCGCAGTGCGCGGTCGCGGCGGAACCGCGCCGGGAAGCGCCGCGAACGCCGCCGTTCGAAGCCCCCGAGGTATGACGATCACCCGGGGGGGTATTGAACGTTAAAACGTCGACGAGTCCGAGGGCGCGGCGCGAACGCACCGGGCCGGATCCGCGGGGGCTGCGGGGCGGGTCTTGCGCGCGTCAGCTGGGGTGCACCGGCGGGGCCGCTGGTAGCACCGCGTCGACATCATATGATGATTTGAGTTGCAACGAGATATAATAATTACAGGAGCTTGATCGCGGCCATGAATCCGGCGCCGAAGCCGGCGGCGTTGGGGACGCCGGTGCTCGCGAACTGCATGAACTTCCTCTTCAGCACCTCGACGTCCTTCTCGTCGAACTTCCCGTCGCCTGCGCGCGGTCGGAGGCACCCGGTCACGGTTCTGCACCGCCGCACCCTGTTGCGCTGCAGCGGCGGGTCCCGCGCGGCGAGCGACGCACCTGTCTGGTCCACAGCCCGCTCGACCTTGCCCCAGAGCTTGGAGTAGTTCACTTCGATGACGCCGGCGTACGCCGCGAGCTGCAGCCCGAGGAAGAGCACGCCAATGAAGATCGCGGTGGTTTTCGCGAGGAACTTGGTGGCCGCGCCGACGCACCCGCCCATCACGAACGAGACCATGCTCGACTCCACGATCGGCCCGACGGCCTTCTCGTCCTGCGGGGCGGCGGGGTGACCGCAGACAGGTGCGCGGTAGGTCTCGCAGCCGTGCGCCGCGATGAAAGGTGGCTCGCGTCCCGAAGCGACGTACAGCGGTGGCCACGATGTAAAAGAACAATGTTCCATGGGTCGCGGTGATTGAAGTGGCTGCGCGACGCCTCGGTCTTCCGTGGAGGCCAGCAGGAGAGGTTGTGCGGCAGGTGGTGCATAGGGGGCCGAGAAGGACGCGCCCAATGCGTGCCGACATGTTCACGAGGCAGGGTGTGCCGCGGACACGCTTCGACGCGCGGACCGCGCTGGAAGGCACCGCTGGGGGGCAGGGTGCCCGCAACCGCCCGCACGGTTCCAGGCGACCCACGCGACTGCCACGCCGCCGCAACGCCGCACCTGCAGGCTCTCGAAGAAGGACTTGTTCTTCCCCCTCGCGAGCGCGTTCCCGGGCGCAGTAGCCAGCGCCGCCGACGCCAAAATCGCCGCCCATCGAGTGCCCCTAGGTCGCCCCCCCTCCGACCCGCCGCCCCCGCCGCTCCCGCGGCCCCCGCCCCCGTGACCGCCCCCGCTCCCTCCCTTGCCGTAGCCGCCGCCTCCTCCGCCGGTCTGGGGCGCAGCAGCCCGCGGCATGCAGCGCAGGCCCCGCAGCGAGGCGGACGCGCCCGTGGAGGCGACGCCCCGCATTCCCGTGGAGATCCTGGCGAGCATTGGGACGACGCTGGTGCTCCAGTCTGACGAGTGGGTTGAGCGCGGTCGGCTGGCAGCGCTTTGGAGGCGGCGCAGCGTGGCTGCGGCGCCACGTCGCGAACCCTGACTACGTGCAGGTGTTCATATTCGTTCAGACGAGGAGAGTGGAAGCGTTGATTGCGTCGCGGTCTGGGTGGAATGTGCCTGTCGCGTGGGCGCAACGGCGGGCAGGGACGCTGGAAGAGCACGAGGATGATACAAATAGCGCTCGCGTGGATGGCGTTGGCCGGCGCGCTAGGGTACCTTGGTCGCAGCGTGAGGGACAAGCTGCGCGCAACGCTGGGCGGGGACGACGCGGACGTGCTCCTCGTGACGGCGCACCCCGACGACGAGTGCATGTTCTTTACTCCGACGATACGCACGCTCGTGGAGCGGACGGGCGCGGCGGGCGGTGGCCCTGAGAGCGCTGGGGATGGGTGCGGGGTGGCTTTGCTGTGTCTGTCGAACGGCGATGCGGCGGGGCTGGGCGCAGTGCGCGAGAAGGAGCTGTTGGAGGCGGCGGAGGGCCTCGGTGTCCCGCGGGACGACGTGACGGTCCTGAACGACGAGCGTTTGCAGGTGTGTGACTCCGTCGCCTCGCACGGCATGCATGGCCTTCCGTTCCGCTCATAGACCCGAGGAAAGCTCGTGACGGTCAAGATTCATCGCTGGATCACGGAAACACCGCGGATAAGCGCGCCTGTTGCGCGCATTTCGTCGACGTGGTGTCTTTCGCGTGCGACAGCAACCGTCACCGCGCTTCGACGCGCTGGCCCGCTGCGTCGCAGGATGGGATGCGGACTACCTGGCCGGCGAAAGCGGTGTGCGGCGCCGTGAGGCGCGAGGTCGAGCGGCTCAGGTCGAAGCCTCTCCGACGGAAGCGAAGGCTCTGTACCATAATCACCTTTGACGCGGGCGGGGTGTCTGGGCACCCCAACCACAGGGCGTGCTGGGAGGGCGTCAGCGAGCTCATGCGCGACACCGCGTTCTGCAGGAAACACAACATTCGGGCCTGGACGCTGCGCTCGGAACCACTCTTCCTCAAATACCTAGGTAATCAATCGACGAACACGAATCATTCTCTCCTCTCCCTAATCCCTAATCCCCCCCCCCCAGCCTCCCTGCGGACGTGCAGTCACGCCCTGCCCCACCCACCCCCATCCACGCGACTCGTGCCAACAGCCTCGTCCAGCAACAAGTGTCGTTCGCCGAATGCTTGCGCGCTCCCGGTGACCATGCGCAGGACCGTTCGGCGCTGCGGCGCGGTACCTGCAGCACGCGTACCGCCCGCGGCTGTCCGCCGCCGCGGTGTGCGGCCTCGGCGGCGTGAGCGCGGCGGCCTGGGCCATGCGCGCACACGAGTCGCAGATGGTGTGGTTCCGGCACTTCTACCTCGCGTTCACGACTTATACCATGGTCAACATACTGGACCCGCTGGTCGCGATGCCGACATAGCGCGAACACAGGCGCGCGGCCGGCGCAGGCACACGACCTTACCAACAAACACAACGTGCGACATATCACACCCATATTTGGAGGACACGGGAGTGTCCGATCAAAATAACGCTTGCGCACCTACACCGCGACGTTCCTGGATGAATGGAACGACAGCCCGCGTCGCGGAGGGAGCTATCGCGGCTGCGCGGCGCGTGTGAGCCTGTGCCAACGTCGCGCGAACGGGCAGCGTCATGGTCGCTTCGACCGCTCCTGCTTCCGTCGTTCAGCTTCGGCGCGGTTCGTTTCCCGCACTTTCATTCGCTTCTCGGCGTACGGGTCCGCCTCGAGCTGGCACTCCCCCCCGGGACCCACCAGCGCCTCCCAGATCTCCTCCGGCGGCCGGTCCGTCCCCGGACCGAAGCTGTACTCCCCCCCTGCGGCCCGCACCTGCTTCGCCTCCCGGCTCCACTGCTGGTTCCGCGGCTCCGCCCAGTCTGTCCCGTGCGCCGCCGCGCGGTTGGACTGCGCACACACCATGTCGACCTTCCCGCGCACGTTCTCGAGAATCGCGTCGCGCGTCGTGGCGCCGACGTCGGGGCAGCACGCGCCCCCTGCGTCGGGCGCGGCGTACATCTCTGCCAGAGCGTACGCCACTGCTTCTGCGGTGCAGATACGCCCCGTGTCCGCCAGGCTCCCCTTGTACTGCCGAGCCGGGGCAAGCAGGCTCCTCACTACCTCGCCGCCCTCCCCGATGACCCCCGCCTGCGTCAAATGAACCAGGGCAGACAGACGAACAAATTGTGATTGGCACACTTGTGGCAGGCGTGTCTTCGTTGCGTGCCGCCGTCGCGGCGCTCCTGCGGTCTGTTGCAGGGCACATGCTGTACCACGGCGGCCTGACACCCACAGAAGTCGGTGTTTCGTCCCCGTGGGGCGCTGAATGTCAGGGGGGGGTGGTAAAACCAAGGTGCGTACCTTCTCCGGGGTGAGCGAAACCTTGGTGACGTGGCTGGGCACGGCGCCGGCGAGCTTCCGCGCCTGGCCCCACGTTGCGTCCAGAGCGACCAGGACGGCCCGCCCGCCCGACCTGACGTCAGCGATGCGCTTGAACTCGTCAGGAGACACCCCCCCGCCGGGCCACAACACCCCCACCGTCGCCGCCTCGCCGTCGAAGCGGCCGTTCCACACCTCCTCGATCACTTCGTCGTGCTCTCCGACGCCCCTGCAGTCGCAGGTCTCACAACTCGCGTCAGCATCGCCACGCGAGACGCACAGCCAGGGGACCTCATGGAGCGAAAGAGCGTGTCGGAAGGCGTCTCGCTACATGTATGCGTGCCCACGAGGTGCGCGTTCGTGGAGCGGCGGGGGTCACCTGAGGAGGACTCTGCAATACTCCTCTCCCAGAGTCAGCAGCAAAACGCACCCCGTGTTCGTGCCCCGGCCGTACTCCCGCTCGTGCATCCACACCACGACGCGCAGCCCCGGCGGCGGCGGCACGCTGCGCATCCGCGCGCAGCAGCAGCAGGCCGGCAGGAGATAGCAGCGGCGGCACCAGTACAGCAGCTTGCCCCATTTGAGAAAGTACTCGCTCATGATGGCGGAGCGGCGCGCCGCGGGCGTATCGGGCTGGATGACGGTGCGCTGGCGGCGCCTGCAGCGGGCGGCGGGCGCGGAGGCATCATGGAACATGCACAGTGCACGAGATGCGAATCCTGGGCGGAGGGCGACCCGCCTGCGATCGTTCTCCCGCTCAATGTACTTCCGGAAGTACTCTTCGACCGTGACCAGCGGCTTTCCCGGAGACGTGAACATCTTCAGCGCGACGGGGTCGGGAGCTGGCGGCATCTCATCCCCGTCCGTAGCGCCTTCGCGTGATAGGCTGCCCATCTCCGCTCATACGCACGAGACCGCATCCAGCACCACGAGTGAGCAACCGCTTTCGGTGCGCCACGACGACCGCGGCGGCAGCGCGCACAGCAAGTGCCCACTCTCCTCCTAGCCTCCTCGTCCGCGCGGCGACTCGGCCAGAAACGAGAATTCCGACAGCGGTGCCTCCACTTTTATCGTCGTGAGCGACGCTGCGACGCAAAAGACGGCGTGCAAGTGGCCGCGTGAGGCCCACAGAGCGCGGCAGCCCTCTCGGCACAGCGCGGGTGCGACAACGGACCGCCTGACCACTGACAGCTAGCGCCCTCGCTGCTCTACACGTCCGCGCACTGCCGCGGCGTGCTCCTGCGCTGCGCCATTCCCCACACCACATGCCGCGGGACATGACTCGGTATGATGCCAGGTAAAACACAATCATGCATCACTCAGTCCCGTGGGAGAGCGCACGTGAGTCAGCAAGGGCGGGGCGCCATCGCATGCGGCCCCAGCGCCCGCCCCTGCCGCAACGCTCGCGGCGCCCCCGACGCACCGCAACGCGCGCGCTGCCCGCTGCATGCGCACGTTACGCAGGAGCAGCATCGCTCATCACGCCGCGAGGAACATCCGCTGCGACGACTCGCGCGCGCTGCGCCTGCCGCAGCTCGAGCACCGCGCCGGCGACGCAGCGCGGTGCGCTGGACCCTCGGCGGGGTCCCTGAAACCACACCCCTGCAGTCGCTGCGTTGCTGCCGCGCCCGCTGACCCGGTCCGGCGCCACGGGCAGCCAAACGTCGGGCAGCAGCCTGCCTGCGCGGTCCGGGCCGCACCGGCAGCGGGGGAACCGTTCAGTGTTCAACCAACGTCCCACATGGTGCCGCCCCCTGTTGCGCTGTCTCCGGTGCCAAATCGCGCTTTTCCGGAGAGGTGGCGCACCGAGGCTTCCCGTCTGTGCAGAGACCATCGCCGTATCGCTGTTGGCGCGGTTGCAGGACGCGGTGCGTTCCGGCTGCGCACCGTGCACGTGTGCAACCGCTGGAGCGAGGAGCCGGCGCATTACGGACGTATGGGCTAGATATGGAACGCTTCGAGCGCCGCTGCGTGCTAGCAGAATACTGGTCGTTCCAGGCGAGAGGTGTTTGGCGGAAGTTTTGCCATGTGGTGACCGCGGAGAGGTGGACCCCCAGCCACCATCTGCCGCAGTTTTTGGAGACTGTGAGTCGAATTTCGGGCCGACGCGCGCGCGGCCGTTCAATTAGATTGAGGCATTGCTCGGAACCTCAAGGTCGCTCTCTGCATGCACCGTGCTGTCCGGACGCCAGGAGGCCTCTCGACCTGGGGCGGCGAGGTCCCGCCGGGGCCCGAGGCGAGCGGCGCCGTGTATGTTCGCCGACGCGTGGCCACGACAGTCTTCTGTCGACCGATCCACCATCCCTAACGTCGGCTGGCGCACATCTGCCGCCCCTGGCCGCTCTCGAAGAGCTCACGCGTCCCTGCGGAGGTCGTCACGCAGTTTTCCCGCGTCGACGCCCGCGCTGCGCCTCGACATCTTTCCCCTGCGCGACCTGCGCGACCCGCGCGACCCCTCCGTGCCGTGGCGCGCCCCTGGTCGCGCCCGCAAGCCAAAGGGAAGCCCCCGCAGAGCGCCCGCGCCGCGCGCACACAGAGTAACATGAGGCCGAGGAAGTGCAGCTGGGTCTTCAACAAGAAGTACCCCATGCAGCTCGACCGGCGGTTCTGAACCTCCTCGTCGCGGTAGCTAGCAGCCAGTAGTAGTGAACCTTCGGCGCCTCTGCCGTCCTTAGCGCCACCTCCCTAGCACCCCAAAACCCCTTTAGACCCCCCCAAGTTCTTCCTCCTGCGAGCCAGCACACGCTCGCAATCGCAAACATGGCTTCCGCGTGCCTCAGCGCCCAGGCGCGCCAGCGTTTGATGTCGGCGCCGAGCAGCACGCCGCGCTGCCACCGCGGAACGGCGCCCCGCGCCGCCGCTCGCCGCGAGGCCAGTGCTCCGAGGTCCCCCGCTGCCGGGGGCGCGATCCGCGCGCCCGCGGGCCCGCGGGCCGGCGCCGCGGAGCGTCCTGGAAGGGGCTCGGTGGCCGCTCACAGCCTGGCGTCCGCGCGGCCGCGGTTGGCGAAGCCCGATCCGCCGCCGTTCCGCCAGTTCGACTTCCTCGTGCTCGGCTCGGGGATCGCAGGGCTCACCTACGCGCTCGAGGCCGCCGAGCACGGCACGGTCGCGCTCGTCTCGAAGGGCGCTCTCCAGGTAAGGGCCCAGCGGCCTCTTCGCACTCGAGAGCCACAGACTGGCCCGCGCACCGTCCGCCCTGGCTCCTCTGAGCGCTCCACGCCCCGCGCACCTACGCGCTTTCGCAGCCCACGCTGCCCGCCACCGTGCGGGCCGCAGTCACGCTCACGCAGAACCCGCCGTTGCGCACCGTCCCGTCGCGCACGGCGCGCAGCGCGGCACGATCCCCTCGCACGCTGCACCGCCTCGGCCCCGCACGCGGCGCGCCGGCGTCGCCGCGCGCATGCACGCACGCATCCACCTCCCACAAGCATTGGCTCATCGTTGCGCGCCCCACCTTGCGGAACCCGCCCCGCTCCGCGAGCCATGCGAGCGGCCGGAGTACGCTAGCAGCCTCCAACCAAGGCCCGCGCCTGGGTCCGCGTGCGCAGGAGGGATGCACTCAGTACGCGCAGGGCGGTATCTGCGCGGTCCTCGACGCGCACGACTCCCCGGAGTCCCACATCCGCGACACCATGGCCGCCGGCGCCGGTCTGTGCCACGCCGCGGCCGTGGAGGCGGTGTGCCGCGAGGGGCCCCGCCGCGTCCTCGAGCTCGTCGCGCGCGGCGCCTCCTTCACGAAGAATCCCGACGGCTCCCTCCACCTCACGCGCGAGGGCGGGCACTCGCACCGGCGCATCGTGCACGCCGCCGACGCCACGGGCGCCGAGATCATGCGCGCCCTGCTCGCCGCGGTGCGCGCGCACGCCAACATCTCGGTCTTCGCGGACCACCACGCGCTCGACCTCTACGTCGACGAGGTCGACGGCACGCGCGCCTGCCTCGGCGCGGACGTGCTCGACCGCCGCCACAACGCCGTGACGCGCTTCCTGGCGTACAGCACGATGGTCGCGTCCGGCGGCGCGGGGCAGCTGTACCCCGCGACCACGAACCCCTCGACGATCACGGGCGACGGCATCGCGATGGCGTTCCGCGCCGGCGCCGCGGTCACCAACATGGAGTGCGTGCAGTTCCACCCGACGGGCCTGGGCGTGGCCCGGGAGCACGGCGGCAGCCGGTTCTTGGTGAGCGAGGCGGTGCGCGGGGAGGGCGGCGTGCTGTACAACTCGGACAACGAGCGCTTCATGCTGGGAGAGCACGAGCTGGCAGAGCTGGCGCCGCGCGACGTCGTGGCGCGCGCGATCGCCGCGCAGATGGAGGAGCGCGGCGAGCCGCACATGTGGCTCGATATCTCCCACAAGTGAGTGCCGCGCGGCCCGTGTGGTTGCCGCGCAGCCAGACACGCACGCGTGCCGCACGCAGCCTGTGCCGTGCGCCGCGACGCCTTGTCCGAGCCTGCCCCGCCCGCGCCCGTCTCCGCAGGCCACGCGACTTCATCCTGTCGCACTTCCCGAACATCGCGGCGCACTGCCTGTCCGTGGGGATCGACATCACGCAGGAGCCCATGCCGGTGTGCCCGACGCAACACTACCTCTGCGGCGGCATCCACACGGGCCTCCTCGGCGAGACGGCCATCCCGGGGCTCTACGCGTGCGGCGAGGCCGCCTGCACGGGCCTGCACGGGGCGAACCGGCTCGCCAGCAACTCCCTCTTGGAGGGGCTGGTGTTCGCGCACCGCGCGGTGGAGCCGTCCGCGGCGCACGCGGAGTGGGCGGCCCGGCGCGGCGGCGCGGCGATGCGCGAGGGTCGCCGCTCCGCCGCCGCGCTCCCGCGCCCCGAGGGGCGCCTGCGGTCCGCCGAGCGCCGCTGGCTGGCCGAGGTGCGCGCGGACGTGCAGCGCGCCATGTGGGAGGGCGCGGGGATCACGCGGACGCCGCAGGGCCTCGTGCGCGCGCTGCGGCAGCTCGACGAGATCGCGGCGCGCCTCGACACGGCCGCGCAGGGCATGCACCCCAACCTGGCGTTGTCCGAGGTGCAGAATCTGGTCACCGTCGGGCGGCTCGTGGTGTTCGCGGCGCTGCAGCGGCGCGAGTCGCGCGGCGGGCACTCGATCGTCGGAAAGCCGCGCTCCGACGGGGAGCGGTGGAGCCGCGCGTGGACGGTGACGGGCGCGGACGCGGCGGAGGCGGCGCGTGCGAGGCGGTACACGCTGCGGGCGGCGCCCGTGGAGGGGTGGTTGCACGACCTGCCCGCGCAGAAGGCTCCGGCGAAGCGCGAGCCCGTGGCGACGCCCGCGGAGAGCGGCGTGGCCGTGGCGCCTGTGCGGCAGCTGGTGGCGCGCGCGGGGGTCGCCGCGGCGCGGGCCGCGGCGCCGGACGCCCCGCGGCGGCGTCGCGCGGCGCAGGAGCTCCGGCGGCGTGTTCGGCGCGGAGAAGTGAGGCGGCGGGCGCGAGACCACGTGCGCAGACCGGCGAGCAGAACAGCACACACGGCGTCGGTGACGGGCGCCACTCATCGATCATTGCGAGAGGACGGAGGAGTTGTTGGGGGCGCTCCGCGTTGAGCGCGGAAATAGAAGTGAGGCGCTGATGGTCCAGAAGCGCTGCAGGCCAGCTGCGAGCGGCTGCCTGCCTGCTGCCCCAAGCATTAGTCGTTGCATTGTCTGTCTTGCTTATTTCAGGGCTGGGACGGGGCGACGGCCTGCCTGTGCGCCGCCGGCCCGGCTCTATTACGTGCATGTGACTCGGTTCATGGTTCATCCTCGAATGTCACTTGGGCGCCCGCGGTCATGGTCCGGACCTGCGCCGGTGGCCCGTGGCATCCGTGCCTGACCGGGAGGCCGCCGGGACGGAGCCGGCCCAAGCGTATCTGCCGTCAGGGGCACTCGATGCCATTCAGTGGCACCAGAGTCCCTCCGAGCGCGGAGAAACCGTTCGGCCGGAATAGGAAGCGGAAAACAGTACATGGAGCTCGTTTCACGCACGGGAAGCTCGCAAGTCGCCGCGTGGGGCCCAGGTGACGCCCCGCGCGCCCACATGAGCTCAGCTGAGCCCCCCGGTCGCACCAGGGGGGCCGTGCGGCGCCCTCGCGCGTATTACTGTCCCGCGGCGCCGCGGCGTGCAGGTAGTTTCTGGAGCATGCAGCTGGCGTGACGGAGAACCCGTGTCATACCTGACGTGACCGCAATGTCGGAGCTGGGCGTGCTGGCCTCAACGCCAGCCCAGCGCAGCCGCAGCGGGCGCCTGCGCGCTCCGCTGAGCACGCCGCCCGACGGGCCGCTCGACGTCGACTCCTTGATCTCGGGTGGCAAGTCGGCTGCGAACACGGCCTCGCGCCGTGACTCGGGCGCCACGATTCTCAACTCAAACTCCGCACACGACAGCCCGCCGAGTTGCGCGCGCTCCCGCCCTTCCTGGGCCGTCCATGGCGCGAAACACGACCGCTTTGAATCCAACGAGCCCCCCACGGCGCCCGAGTCCCGGAGGGAGCGTCCAGAGTGGGGCCGCAAGCCCCCTGCTGTGCCACACCGCACTCTGGGCGCGGCGGTTTCGCGCGCGGGCGCTCGCGGGGGCCCAAACCCGTCGCTTTCCAGGCCTTCGAAGCCCTTACGCGCGACCAGCGCCCCGCGGGCGCGCCCCGCTTCGCCTCCGCGCGAGGCGTCGAGCACCTACCATTGGGAGCCTGTGCCCTGCGGCGGGGAGCCGCCGTGCCCGCGCACGCACGCCGCCGCGGCCGCCGTCGGCACCATGATCTACGTTCTCGGCGGGAGCGCCTCGCTGAGCGCGATGCGCGCCTCGCGCCGCGGGGCACGACCAGTGCCATCGCGCACCGCTTCGTTCGCTGGCCGCGAGGAGGAGCGCGGCGTCCCGGTGCGCGCTGCCTCCCTGCGGGCCCCAGGGCCGCTCGGTGGCGACCCGGTCAAGGCAGCCGGCAGCAACTGGTGCGACGCGTGCGGGGCGTGGGCCAACGCCGCAGGGCTGTGCGCGGCTTGCAGGGGGGGGCGCGGCGCCGCGGCGCCTCTGCGGGCCGCGTCCGCGCGGAGCCTTGCGTCCAGCGTGCGCAGCACGGCGTCGTCGTCCGCGGCCGTCGGCCCCCCGCTCTCAGGTGCGACGCAGCTTGACGACAGCACGTAGCGCAACGCGGGGTCTCTGAGCTGCCGCCGCGCGCGCGCACGAAGCGCGGGCGCGTTGCTCTTCGCTTCGGTGGGCGAGCGGTTTGAAAGCAAGTCACTGTTTCTCGATTCATGGCGGCTTGTTGCAGATATGTACGTGCTGGACGTGCAGGCGCGGCGCTGGTCGCGCGTCGCGGCCAAGGGCGCGCCCCCCGCGGTGTCGCACCACACGCTCACCGCGGTCGGCGACGAGCTGTGGGCCATAGGCGGGTGGACGGGCCGCCGCCGCACTGCGGACGTGCACGTCTTCGACACGCGCTCGGGCGAGTGGCGCGCCGCGGCGGTGCACGGCGACGTCCCCTGCGGGCTGTCGTCGCACACCGCCACGCCGACGCACGACGGGCGCATCGTCGTGGTCGGCCGCGAGGGCGGCGTGCGCATGCAGCGGCGCTGGACGTCGGTCTTCGAGCTGGACACCGCGACGTGCGCGTGGCGCGAGCTGCACGGCAGCCAGGTGGCCTCACGCGCAGGCCACTCCGCGGTGCTGGCAGGGGGGCGTCTCGCGGTCTGGGGCGGGCGCAACGGCCACGTCGTGGACTGGGTTGGCGTCCGCGACGGCCACGGGGCGGACGTGGGGCCGTGCGCGCTCGCGGAGGCCGCGCTGCCGCGCGCGGAGGGCGACGGACCGATGGCACGGTCCCACCACTGCGCGTGGACGGTCGGACACGGGTGTATGCTGGTCCACGGCGGCCAGCTGCAATCCATCGGCGTGTCCATCGGCGCGAACGTCGACGGCTCGATGTGGTTGATGCGGGCGGCGCGCGGCGCGACGTGGTACGAGGTGCCGGTGACGCCCGGGCGCGACGTGCGCTGCACGGGCCACGCCGGGGCTGTTGCTGGCGGTGCGGTGTACATGCTGTGCGGGGAGACGTACGAGGGGCTGACGAACGACGTGATGGTGCTGCGGGAGGGCCCGCCGGCGGCGCGCCGGCCGGCGAAGAGCTCGAGCATGCGCGCGGAGGCTCCGCGCGGGCACAGGTGGTGAGGGTTTACCCTGTCTAGCCAGGGGGGGGTGTTTGGTTCGGGAGGGGGAGAGGGGTCTGGGGTGCGGCGGGCTGCGTGTTCCTGGGTGGCAGAGCCTGCGTGGAGTAGAAATACCCGACACGAAAGCAGGAGGTGCCCTTGTTCGTGTGATTCTATGTTGTCATGTTGTCAAGGGACAGGCCGGACCAAGGTGCGCCCGCGAGACGACTAGCACAGCTAAGCCCTGGTCGTTCCGCGTTGACTGTCACAACCGCGTTCACGAACACCACTCGCGACCCCCCCAAGGGGGTCATATGGCATCCAGCTCCGATTCCACGCCCCGCGCGCCCCAACAGCTGCCTCCCTACCCGCCCCCGCTAGGCGGCATCATCGCGCAGCGTCTCCTGCAGCTCGTGCCCCGTCGCGATCGTCGCCACCTCGTCCCGCGCCGCCAGACCCCGCACTCCGTCGCGTGCCGTCGTGGACCCGCTCTGGAGCGCCTTGGCGCCCTCCGAGTCGCTGTCGCCGCCGCCGCGCCCGCGGCGTATCATGATCGTCACCCACCGCTTCGGGCGCCCGTCGGACGGGAACACGGCGATGAGCAACAGCTGGAACAAGGACAACACGACTCCGATGCCGTTCGGGATCCAAATGAAGTAGTCTTGCAGCGAAACGCCGTACGCCGTCCACATGAGCCCTGCAGCGACCGCAGCGGCCGAGGCAGCAACCGTTGTCAGGCATCACGGCGCTTGTGACGTGACATGCGTATCGGGTCTTGCTCGCCGCGGGAGCGTCGCACCGTTGAGGCCGTTGGTGAGGGACAGCGGCCAGTAGAGGGAGGCGGCGTTGCGCGTCTTGATGACCTGCGCCACGGTCGACAGCGGCGCCGAGTAGTACACCAGCAGGATTGCGTTGGCCGCAAAGCCCCACAGGAGCTGTCGGTGGTCGTCGTTCATCCCCGCCTTCACGGACAGCCAGGCGAGCAGGGCGATGACCGCGCCGAGGGACACCATGATGCCCTCGATCAGACCCTGCGACGCGGACGGGAAGGTTTCAACGAGCGTCGCTGAAGCATGTGTATGTGTGGGGCGACCAGCGCGCCGGTCGGGGTCGGCCTGGACCTGGCGTGGTCGGACTGCAGAGTGCGTGCTCACGCGCACGCGGTGCGTCGTGCGTGCGCCAGTGTCGCGGGCGGACGCACCTGCGTGGGAAGGCGGAGCGATAACCGTCCGCCAGCGAGCTTGTACCCGCTCAGCGTGTAGAACATGCCCAGAGAGAGGCCCCAGACGTTGCAGGTCCAGATATACCAGTCCCTCTGAACGATGCTGTACCCAATCCTGCGGGGACGCGCGACGAAGCCCGTGGTGGTGGGCACAGGCGGTGCGCCGTCGACCACCGACGCGCGGTGGGTCAATCAACTATCCGATTGGGTGGACTAGATACAGTGTTGCACGGGCAGCGCGTCGAGCTGCCGGGAGCGGTGCGGAAACCGCGCAGAGCTGCGGCCTGGGCTGCCGGTCGCGCAGCGGTCACCTGGGCACGGGGCTGCGGCAACGCATCTGCCGCGCTCGGCGTGCGTGTGCAGGCACTTCGCGTACGCCTCGGACTTACCAGGCGGAACAGTTGAACACGATGGCCGCGAACGGGAGCGGGTTCAGGTCCCCGAGGCTCGCCTCGCGGCGCACACGCAGCACCGCCTTCAGCGGGGACAGGAACATGATCGCCGCGAGGGTCGCGCCCATGCTGGGCGCGACATACTTGAAGAAGACATTGTCCTCAAGTTCGGACGCCATTCGCGGCTGCCCGCTGCCGGCGGTCCGCGGTGGCTGTCTGCTCTAAGCCGCGCTCCTTCCCTCCACGTGCGGCGCTGCGCCGCGAGTCACCGCGAGATAGAAGCCGCGAGCAAGCAAAGCGTCGGCTCCGGGTCGGGCTGTGCTCGGCCTGGCACAGATGAGACGAATTCGGTCGACTGCAGCGAGTAGTGAATGTCTCCCGTGGAGGGCGCATACAACAGGTGAGCGCTTGCGGACGGGTCAGGCAACGATTCAGCACAAGTGTCCCCGCGCGACGCGCAGCCCGTAGAGGAGGCGGCAGAGCAGCGGGGAGCGACCTGACCAGTATCGGGAACACCCCCCGACTGAGCCGCTGAACGAAACATCGACCACCCGCGCTGAACGGTCCTGGGCCTGGGCGCATACTTGCGTCAGAGCGCGGCGTCGTGTTGACAAGCACCAGAGGCGAGATGAAGCCGGTTGACACGAGGTGTCCGCGCAGGCGCATCCTCTTGCCCCTCGTGACTCACGCAGCATGCGGCCAAGCACGTGGCGCGTTGCCGGGCCGAGTTCTCACCCGGCGACACTGTCGTCCCCGAGCGCCGCCGAGTGCCGCAGGCGCCTCGTCAGCATCTCGATCGCGAGCTCGTCGCTGCTGGCCGACGGCGCGGTCTGCGCCGTGTCGTGAGAGTCCGAAGGCGCGGCGGTCGGCGAGAGCGAGGAGTTGACCGGCCCCACGGACGATGGCTGCAAGTGGTCGTTCGATCCGTAGCTGCGCATGAGCGATGCGCCATGCGTGTCGACCTCCATGTTGTCCCTGTAGTCCAGCGTATCTTCGTTGAGGCCGTCGCCGGGCGGGAGGGGGTCCACGGGGTTGCCGTCCGCCGCCTGCTCGCGCATCTGGTCCGCGCGCGTGGGGTCCTGCGGCGGCAGAGTGTGCTAGGGCAGGCTCGTGAGCAAGTGCAGGGGCGAGGCAGCGAGCGGTGACCTCTACAGGGTGTGCCGCGACTGCCGCCGTGCTGCACGGTCGGCCAGCGTCAGGTCCGGTCCGGGCACGCACCGCGTTTACGTCCTGGTTCGTTTGCGTGCCGACGGCGCTGGGCGCGTCGAGGTCGGCAGCCTGCAAAGGCACGGCCGTCTCGCTGAGCAGGGTCTCGACCTGGTTGGCCAGCTGGTTCACGACAGTCGTGCCGCGGCTCGCGCCCGACGCGAGCGACATGTTGGCCGCGCTGGCCGGCGCCCCCGGCTGGGAATCCGGCGGCCTCGAGGCCTCCTCGAGGTCCTCTGTGGCGGCCGTCAACGACGCCGCCACGCGCACGGTCTGCCGCTGCGTCGCCGCTGCGATCGCCGCAGGGTCGTACCGCACCGCCTGCTCGGGCCCGATCGACGCCGTGCCGCCGGACGCCGACGTCGCGGCCGACACGATGCTCGCCGCCCCGCTGTCCGCCCTCGCCATCTGGTGCCGCAGCCGCTGCGCCTGCGTGAGCGTCAGCACGTCCGTCGCGGCGTCGCTCTGCGGCGCTTGCGCGGGCTGCGCCGGCGGCGGCTGCCCCGTGGCCGCGCGCACCACCGCGGCGCAAGGGTCCGCCCCGAGCGAGTCCACGTGCCGCACGAGGTCCTGGCTGAAGTACGCCATGCGCCGCTCGTCCAGCGGATCGATGAAGGACGGGTGCTGCGCCTCGGTGCCCTCCATCGGCGGCAACGGGTCGCCGAGGGAGTAGTCGTACTGCACGCCCTGCTTCTCGAACAGCGCCACGACCCGCGCGTGCGAGCGCAGCAACGCCAGGTACACGGGCGTCGCGCCGGACCGCGAGCGCGGCGTCAGGTTGGCGTTGGCCCGCAGCAGCTGGCCGCCCTGCGGCACCGCCAGCAGCCGCACCACGTGCTCGTGGCCGCCGTGCGCCGCGAGGTGCAGCGGCGTGAAGCCCTGCGCGTCCGTCGCGTCGATCTCGCCCGGGAGCGCGCCGTCCTGCTGCATCAGCAGCAGCATGAAGGCCATCACGCGCGCCTGCCCGAACGCGGCGCCGTAATGCAGCGGCGAGCGCCCGGTGTCGGTGCGGAGCCACGCGACGCCTTCGCGGCGTGGCAGCGGGTTCAGGGCGTACAGGACCGACGCCGCCTGCGAGTTGCCCATCGCCGCCGCGACGTGGAGCGGGGAGGGCAGGGGTCCCGCAAAGGCGGCGTTGTTGACGCCGATCGGGCCGAGAAGCATCCGGCACGCGCCCTCGATGATCTGCGACGGCACGTCGTTGCCGAGCCACCGCGCGGCGTGGTGCAGCGCCGTGTAGCCGGCCCGGTCCGTGCGCGACACGTCGGCGCCGGCCTCGAGCAGGAGCTGCATGCACACGACGCTCCCGCTCGTGGCGGCGAAGTGCAGCGGCGTGAGGCCGAGCGGCGTCTCCGCCTCGACCAGGTCGGAGAACCGCAGCAGCCGCTCGACCACGCGGTCGTTCCCCACGCCGGCCGCCACGTGCATCGCGTTGAGGCCGCGGAAGTCCGTCTGGCGCGCCTGCTCGCCGTCCCGGTCCGCGTCGATCAGCGTCAGCGCGATCGGGTTGAATGCCCGGATCGCCACGTGCAGTCGGAGGCCGTCGAAGAGGAACCGAAAGGGGTTTTGGTACAGCGTGTTGTTCCGCTCGAACTCCGCGGGGCCGCCGAACGAGACGTACGACGTGTGCCCGAGCACAGTACCCTCCCGGTGGTCGTACCCGAGGCGTTGCTCGTCCACCCACGTGCCTGCGGCCAGGAGACGTGCACTGGTGTGGGCTGGTGAGCGCGCGCGTGGCTTCGGGGCGGTGGAAGTGCGCGGAATGCGGATTTCTGCGCTAGTCGCTGACGTGGTGATGCAGCGGGGGCGCGGCCGCGTCGCGAGGGCGGCGGAGCTGGCCGTGAGAGGGGGCGCGCACGCTGCGCACACGCCTTACTGCCATTGCGGCCGAGGCGTGCCCGCGCGACGGAGCGCGCGGTCGTCCTCGCCCGCGCCGAGGGCACGCACCGTTGGTGGAGTTACCGTCGATGAGGGTGACGGTCGGCCCCCGCACGAGGAGCTGTGCTTGCTGCCTCGAGATGATGGTGGGAATGTGCGATGCCGTCAAGCATATGTCGCATTGCTCCGTCCTGCCCACCGTGATGGGCCGGCCGATCGGGAGAAACGAGAGCAGGTCGATCTCGACGCCTGCAGTGCACGCGCGAGCCGCGCGGCCGTGAGAGAGGCACGTTGGGCAGTACGTGCCGGAAGCTGGACCTACGCGGTTCGCGACGGCCCGTGCCAGCCGCTCCGGGCTGGACGAGAAATGTGGCTTGCACGCCGGCGATGCGCGTCGTCGCAGCACGATGCGAATTCGTCGGAGTGGTCGCCTCGCGTAAGCTCGCTGCCCACGCGCGACCGGCGCGGTCTTGGCGGCGCGGGTGCGTCGCGGGGAGTTCTTTGACGATATGCCTCGTCACGTCGTCGCGCAGACCCGCGGCCGTGCGACGCAAAGGCAGCGTGCGCTCACCTCCTGCGTCTCCGTTGGGCAGCACTTTGCGCAACATCGTAGCGGCCTTCTCCCCCAGCGGCCTCGGCGGCGTGCTGAGCTGCCGCTCCTCGCGCGCAGCTAACCTCGCGAAGAACACGGGCACGCTCTGCCGTGCTGGGAACAGCTCCTGTGCGCGCGGGTGCCTAGAGGGCGGCGCAACACCCGAGCGTCGAAAATGCGCTTCAACAGCACGAAGTCAACGACTATTATGTGAGGATCTACAGCAGCCTGTTCCGCGCGCGCGAGCGGCCCCTCGCCGGCTCCCAGACGCCCGGCCCAGCCCTGGCACACTGATGCTCCTCTACTGCGCTCCGTCCGTCAAGTTCTGCGCGTTTCTGACGTGCGCTGCCACTGCCCTCGCCCCTTGAGCCCCCGCGGCTCGAGGCCCAGCCCCACCAGCGCACGCGCCCTGACTCAGCGGCGCCGACGACGTTCGGTCACCACTACCGCAGTCAGGAAAAGAGACCTCGCGCCGAGCGCCAGGGCCGCCGTGACCGGCAAGACCCGCGTAGCGAGCCCTCTGTCACACTGTTTCGGCGCCGCATGGCTCCGGCGCCCCCTCGAGCCCCCCGCGCGCGCCGCCGGCGCTGTGCTCGCATCAGCGGAAGCGGAGCTCAGCGGCGCCCGCCGTGCTCACGCAATGGCGCAGAGGCTCACTTCGCCTCCACCAGGCCGTGCGTTTTCATCGCCGCCCGCACCATGTCCGGCGCCGAGCCCTCGCGGATGATCTTGAACGCCCCGTGGGACGCCCGCGAAAGGTCCACGATCGTCGATCCGTTGCGGCACCCAGTCCCGACCTCCCCGGCGTCGCACAGGACGTCGAGCTCGCCCCAGAGCTCCTCGAATTCCCGCGGGTGCAGCGGCGACGTGCCCCCGCTGAGATTCGCGCTGGTCAGCGCCAGAGCTGCCGGCGTGTCGCTTGCTGCCGATGCGAGCCTGCGGCACACGCTGCGCACCAGGCGGCCCTCGTCGCCGCCCGGCACGCGCACCGCGATCGTCGCCACGCCCTGCGTCGCCTCGGCGGCCACCGCGGCGTCCGGCAACCGCGGCAGGACCAGCGTGACGGGCCCCGGGAGGAGTTCCTCCAACAGCTCCCCCGGGAGCCCGCTGCAGTCCCCGTACGCGACCGCGTCGGCCGCCTCCGCGACGCAGATCGCCAGCGGCGACGAGAACGACCGCCCTTTGATCTCGTATATCCGCCGAACCGCCTCCGCATCCGAGGCAAGGCAGGCAAGGCCGTAGAGCGTGTCCGTCGGCACTGCACGCGGACGGAGGGGCGCCGACGCGTCAGGCGGCGCGGCCGGCCCACTCCCGTGCTCGTCGCGGGGCGGGAGGGCTGGGCGCGCACCTGCAACGACGCCACCGCGGATGCACGCTGACGCTGCGGCGTCGGCCGCCTCGGCGTCCGCTCCGACGACGAGCGGGAGCGACGCGGGGGGCTCGAGGTCCGCGACGACGGCGACGTGGTCGGACGGGAACACCGAGGACGGGATGGCGGTCTCGGCCTTCAGGTCGGCCTCGGGGGGGACTGAGACGTACTGGAGGCGCCGCATGACGGACGGGTCGTACCTGCGGGCACGTGCGGGCGCGGGGGGGGGCAAGACGTTAGGACGGCAGGCCGCGTGCGTGGCGGTGGTGTGCAGCGTGGGTGCGGCGATCTGGGCCGGTTGGGAGGGGAGGGACTAGAAAGGTGCGGAACACCACTCGCCATATGTAGTCTAGCAGTCCCGTGTAGCCTCTCGTGTAGTTGGTCCACGGTGTGGCGAGGTCGTCCGCGCTGCGCATGCGCACGGGCACCGACAGCGCGATCCCCGGCCCCGCCGACTCCTCCCCGCCGCTCCCCGCCTCCTCCGCAGCGACTCCCCCCCCCTCGTCATCCTCGTCGTCATCACCCCCCCACGAAAACGTCGCCATGTCCTTCCAGTCCCAGCAGCCCGCGCCGACGCTCCCCGTCTGGAGCATCTCGCAGAGCGCGGGCATGCCGTCGTTCAGGTCCGCGTTGAAGTCGCCGCAGAACAGCAGCGCGGGGCGGCGCTCGCCCTGCGCCGCCCGCTCGCGCGCCACGGCGTTCGCGAGCTCGACCATCGTCGCGACGTGCACCGTGCGAACGTGCGACGCGCGCGGGTGGAAGAAGAGGTGCGTGTTCGCGACGAGCAGCGGCGGGCCGCCCGCGCCGGCGCCGTCCGGAGCCACCGGCTCGAGCAGCACCAGCTGCAGGATCTGTGTGACCTTCTTCAACACAGTCACGAGGTGCGGGTGCTCCGCGAGCGCGGCGGAGATGGCGGCGCCGTTCACGGGGAGCGCGGCGAGCGACGGCGCCTCGGCGTCCTCTGGCTCGACCATGTCCTTCATCGCGAAACGCCAGTTGTCAACGGCGCGGTACCTGTCTCGCCTCCAGAACATCGCCTCGCCCTCCCTGCACAGCGGCGCGCGCAGCAGGCTCTCCGCGAGGACATCGGGAGGGCGGCGGCGGCGGTGGCTCTGGACGACGACAAGCGTTGAGGAATTGAGACATCGCCGGGCTCTGCAGGGCGACGCACCTGACGCTGCCCGCCTTGAGATCGAACCTGGACTCGAACCCGTACGCGGACATCATGGGTCCGAAGAAGTCGTCGTACGACCCCTGGTCGACCTCCTGGCAACACACGACGTCTGCGTTGTACGCGCGCAGCTCCTCAAGGACGCGCTGCCGCCGGAAGAACGGGTCCAGGTAGTCCTCCGCGCAGTAGTCGAACAGCACCTCCCTCGCGTACCTGCGCGGAGCGATCGACGGCAGCGGCCACGGATACTTTATCCTTGGCCGGGCTGGTTCGTTCGTGTCGAAATGAAGCGACAACGGGGGCACGGTGAGGAGGCGAGAGTACCTGGACCCCGCGTACTGGTCCGCGAGAATGTTGTACGTCACGACGCGCACCGCGGGCGCCGGCACGCGCGCGCGCGTGTGGTCGGCGCGTCCACGGAAGGGCTTGGTGCCGGGAGCGCGCGAAACCGGCTGGGAGGCTTCCGCCGCCACGGCTTGTCCCTGAGCCCCCGCCGCTGACCTTGGCGTGCAAACGACGCGCAGGAGGAAGCCCTCGTCGGCGTCCGAGGGGGTGTAATACCGCCCCTCCCCACACACCTCCCACTTGCTGTCCGTGGGCTGCGCGCCGCTGGAGAACGGCTGCCGCGACCACTCCAGCCGGCAGGCGGCTTCGTCGGCGAACTTCAGGGCGATCACGGGCATCACGGGGTACCCGACCATGGGCCGCGGCGGCAGGGCGATCGAGTTGACCGTGGGGGGGTTAACCTCTATGTCGTACTGCCTGTCCCCGATCCTGCACGCGGGAGAACGGCGCCGACGAGAGCGATCAGCGCGACGTGTCGACCAGCGGACGCAGCAGGAAGCGTCTCGCTCGGAGACGAGGAACGTCGTCTTGTGTTGCATTGCTACGCGAAGTTCGCACCTGAGGACGTTGTCGTTGTCCCACGCGGCCTCGTTCGGCGTCGCGGGGTCCACGGGGTGCCCGGAGTCCTTCTTGACGAGCTCCACAGGCACGGACGGAGCGGCCGCTGCGTCGGAGCGGGAAAAGAGCGCGCGAGGGCGTGAGGCGCTGTCGACCGCGCGGCGCACGAGCACCGAGACGTGGCACGCCCCGCGCTCGCAGGCGGGAGGGCGCGCGTACGTGCACTGTTCTTGCCCTTGGTCTTCTTCTTCTTGCCGCCCCCGTCGACTGCCTTTTGGAGGCGGAACAAGGCCTTTTGGAGGGCCTCGTCCTTCGCCCGGCTGAGATTCTTCTCCGCGCCGTCCACGCTCAGAGAGATCGTCATTCCCGGCTCGCTGTCGACGTTGATGACGCGCACCTGCGCCGGCCTCGCGGTGCGAGACGGAGGTTTCAGTGCAGCACGCATCAGCATGAGCACACCACGGGCCTCGGAGGCGCGTGATGTGACTGCCGCCTGGCCCGCAGCGTACGAGCGAAGCAAGTCAGACTCTCCGTGCGCGCCAGCGCGCCCCCGCTGGCCCAACGAGGACGGGGGCGGGTCGTGAAGCAGCGCTGATGAGCAGCCGGCTGGAGCAGGCAGGTGGCCGATGATATTGCTCACCTTAAGATCCCCCTCGTCGACTCTGTCATTGCTTCCCTCCATCGCCGCCGATCGGCTGGCCCGAATCAGCGAGCGGGCCGTTTGGCGCACCTCTGCTCTGTGAGCGCACAAACACAGCCCGCCCCGCAGCCGCGCGAAGAACATTCCCCACACGGGGCGGCGGAAACCTTCTTCGATCGCCTCCGAGGCTGTCTCGCGGTCCGATGTCACGCAAGATGACGATCAGCGGCGCCAGGGAGCACGCACTCTCTGTGCCTGCGTGCTCCGCCTCAGTATCTCGTCAACGTCGGTGTCTGACGCTCTGAGCTGGATGAAGCGATCTAGTTCATCCGCGGGCGCTGCGCACCAGCCCATATCTTCGCGTCTCCTGCCCGTCATTGGCAGCACTGTGCCTGATGCCAGCTGGACTTGTACCGAGGCCGGAACTCCCCCAGAGGTGGTCTTCGGCCGCGCGCAGCGGGCGCCTCAACGGGCACACTCGTCTCCTGCCTTGGCCACGTGCAGGCGCGGCCCCCGCGGCGCGGGGAGCAGCCGCACGTCGTGCTCCCACGCACCCACTGGCCGCGGCGCTAGGCGGCCGCTGCGCCACGTCTGACGCGCGGCGGTCGTCGTCCGCCAGCGGCCCACGCCAGCGATGAAGTGACAAATGGCCGACTCGAGCGCCTCACGTCACGCGGCCCGCAATGCTCTGCTGCGCTGTGCTCTCGCAGCGACGCAGAGCTTGCGGCTGGCTCGGTCCGGCGTGAAGGGGGCGCGATGTTGAAAGCCACGAGAGGAACCATACGAGCTGGTCAGGCCGCGACCGGACGCGCCCGCGGCGGCACTCGCAGCCTCAGGCAGCTTGTTTGCCGGAGGTCGCTCGCCGCTGTGCAGGCGCGGCGCGGCATGGACGTGCATGGGAGCCCCGCGGCGATGATGGACAACCCGTGCGTTGAGGCGGCTGCGCGCGTTGGAGGCGTGGCATCGCGTACACCGTGCCCGCTACGACGCGCAGGCCAGCCGGCCGATGACGCCCGACTACACTTGAACTGAGCCGCGCCCCCCCGCCTCCGCCTCGGAGCCTCCGCCGCCGTGCGCCCGCAGCACCCTTCGAGGCGCGTGTGAGGGTTTTCTGGTCAGTACACTGACCAGCGTGCTGGTCGCTCCCCCGCTGGCCCGAGGAGGCGTCTTGCTGTGTGGAATCGGCGCCGCGGTGACAGACGCGTGCGGTGTCACATCTGACAGGGCGTCGCATCCGACCGAGAGAGCAGCTTTCGGTCCGCGCGGATCAACAACATGTGGTGATTTGTTTAAAGTATAAGTCCATGCTCTTGTGGCAAGACGCCGTGATGACGCCGTGCCGCGGCTGCTCGCTTCGAACCAGTCGATCCTGGGTCACGTCGGAAATGGCACACGACGTCGAACCCCCCCCGGGGTTGTTTGTCTCTGTCTTGGGTTGAGGGGGGGTCGTTTTGGGAGCCATGCGACACCTGCGCGCGCCGCCCCCGGTCAAAACTCATCCTGTCGCGCGCCCTCAGCCGAGCAGCTGGTCGATCGCCCAGTTCAGGTGCGCGCGGAGCTGCCGTGCGCCGGGGTACGTCAGGTCGCGCGGCACCCCGACGCGGTCCCGCAGGTACGCCAGGCACACCGCGGCCGCGCCAGCCCGCCGCATGCGCTCCCCGCGCGGCGCCGTGCTCGGCGGAAACATCGGCGCGTCCGACGCCTGCTTCGCACCCGGGTCTCCCAGCAGCAGCAGATGCGTCACGTGGCGCATCGCCGCGTCGACGTCCGGCGCGAACTCCATCGCGGGCTGCGCGGTCGGGTCCGAGAGGTGCGCGGTCAGCTTGTGCTCGCCGACCTCGCCCATCCCGCGGCAGCAGAACGGAAGAATGTGTTCGCGGTTGGCGAGCATCCGCGACGCCGCCTCCAGCATGTCCCAGGCCGGGTGGTCCCCGGGCGCGTACGGCTCGATGCCCACGCTCTGCGACACGGGCGGCAGCGGGAGCTTCCACGCGTGGCCGTCCTTGCCGTCGATCGCGGCGCGGATCTGCTCCGCGTCGCCCTCGTCCGTCTCGCCGCACCCGCCGAGCGTCGGGCGGATGTGGTGCACGATCGCGTACGCGTCCGAACGCGTGCCGAGGTAGCTCGGGAGGCCCTCCATCGCCGCGAACCACGCGTCGAGCGGCGCATGCAGCCCCGCGCCCCGCAACTGGTAGCCCTTGTAGTACGCCAGCGACGCCGCCATGCGCTCGAGGTCCGGCGCGATGTAGTAGTCGAGCAGCGAGGGCTTCGCGCCGAGGAAGAACGGCCCCGGCGCGCCCCAGCCGGCCTCGCGCGGCGCCTCGTCCTCGATCAGCACGCCGTCGTTGGCGGCCTCCAGCGTCGCGACGAGCTCGTCGAGGGACTCCTCGAACTGCGCCTTCCACGCGGCGACCTGCGAGGCGTCCTCCGCGGAGCACAGCCAGCGGATCCACGCCGCCTTGAGGTCCTTGTGCAGCGTCCTGAGCGTGGCAAACTCGTCGCGCAGCGGGTCGCCGAGCGGGGGCAGGACCGGGAGCTGCCGGTCGCCGAACTTCTTCGCCGTCTTCTTGCACGTGTTCTCGGGGTACTTGGAGTCCAGCGCCTCCAGGATGCGGTCGATGCCGTAATAGAACTGCGCAGAAAGGACTCAGGAAACTTCGCTTGGCACACACAGCCACGAAATACAACGCAACGAAACCGTTCGGCGGCCAGGCTTCGCGCGTGCCGCGCCGGCACGGCCGCGCCCCGCGCAGGCAGCACGCGCCGGCGCGCCACGCACCAGCGCGTGGTGAGTGAAACAACGTAGTGACGCCCGCGCACGGCGCGTGCGAGCGGTCGAGCAGGCGTGCACGCACCGTCCCGTCGAGCTTGATCGCGGGCGGCGCCCCGTTCGGCACGCCCGCCTGCTTGAGCTCCTCGCTGACCCCCCCGTAGTGCCTCAGCCCCACGAGCTGCACCGTGTGCGGAATGCGGCGGGCCTCGAGGTAGAGCCAGACGCGCTGGCAGTCCGGGTCGTAGCAGCAGAAGTCCCGGTAGAACTTGCACTTCTCGGCCTCGGCCGCGGGGGCCCCGAACGTGCGCACTTTCTGCTTCGGGTTGGCATGCGGCATTGCGTCGGGCGTGGGGTAGCCCCAGGGCTCGCGGTAGTTCGTGTCGCTGCAGCGCCGCTGGAACAGCGCCTCGAGCTCCTCCCAGGACGGAGCATTGTCGGGGAACTCCGTGTGGGACGCCGCGGCGGCCTGCGGGGACGCAGCGGGCCGGCAGTTGGTGCGGAGAGCAGCGGCGGTTGGCGAGGGCTAGGAGCGGGCCGCGGCGCGCTGGCGACGCGACGGCCGCGTCTGTGCGCGCGCTGAGCATCTCTGGTGCGCCGCGGGTACGGCCGCAAGCGGTGCGCGCCCTGGATGGTTCCGAAACGCCGTAGAAGTGCCAGCGGTGCACTCTCTCGCGTGCTGCGCGCCGGGCCCCGTGCGGCCGTGGCGGGGCGTCGAAGTGGAGCGCACCTGCTTCTGGGCCGCCAGGTTGGCCTGGAAGTGGTCCCTGTACTCGTAGATGAGCTCCATCGCGGCGGTGTGTCTCTGCGGACAGGGGTGGGTAGGGCGCGGAATGCGGGGCCGTGGGGGGGCGCAGGGGCGCGCGAAGGGCGCGTTCAGTCAGGGTGGGCGCAGGGCGTCGTGCTCGCGCAGCGAGGGCTCGCGACGAGAGCGTGGCGGGGGCGTGCGGGTGCGCTCTGCTGCACTCAGAGCTGCGGTCAAGGGGCGCCGCCCGCGGTTCTCAGGCATTCGAGAGGCGCACGGCTGCGACGGCGCGACGTATCGCAATCAAGACGCAACGTTCGAGAGCGAGACGGGCGTTCAGGGGCGCTGTGCGGCGCACCAGCTGTTACTCAACGGTCGCTTGTCGACGACCTGGCTCCGTCAGGCCGCTGCGTCGCCAGGCGAACCAAATCGCGCTCGCGCCTCGCCAATACACTGCCGTTCACGCGCGCCCCGCCGCACACATCGCGCCCGCGACGCCGCACGGCGCCCGAAAGCATCTCGGAGTCCCCTCCGCACGCTCTAGGTTCTACTCCGAGGGCCCAATTCACCCGAGCTCCACCCGCGAACGCACCACCATCCCCGGTCGCCCAGGCGCGATCGCCTCCGCGGCCGTCACGCTCCACCGCGCCCGGGCCGAAGTGGTGGTTGGTGCACAAACACAAACCCTCACAAACTGGCCCCGTGGCCCCTCCAGCGCCCCCGCTACTCGCTGCTCGTCGTCAGCGCCGGCGACAGCCCGCGGTCGCGCCCCCCGCGGCGCCCCTCCGACTTGTCCCTGTCGGCGCTGCGCTCCGCGGGGAGATGCGGCGGCGACACAGAGCGGTCCTTGATGCCGCGATGCGCGAGCCGCCGCTGCCGGCGCCGCGGCCGCTCCTCCTCGTCGCGCGAGTCCCGCGACCGCCTGCTACTGCGCCGCCCGCTGCCTGTGTCCCTCCCCCGCAGCAGCCCTCTCTCGGGCCCGCGCTCGGCGTCCTGCGCGTCCCCTCCGGACTGGCGCGCCTCCTCCGCCTCCTTCTCCGCGGCCTGGGAGCTCCTCCGCCCCGACGACCTCCGTCTTGGCCGCTCGGGCGTTCGCTCTGGATGCTCCTCGGCGGACGTCTCTCTCTTCGGGCCCTCCGCCTCATGCAACGCCCATAGCTCTTCTTCCTCCTTGCGCTTGTTCGCCCGGGACGTGCCGTTCAGCTGCCGGGCGAGGAAGGCCCGGTTGACCGCGGGAGGCGCCATGACGTGTCCAGGCGCGCTCGTAGGGCCTTGGGCGCGGCGAACGAAGCTTTGCGACGCGGCAAGCGGAGCCTTGCGACGCGTGTGCGTGCAGCAGCTCGAGCCTGCGCAATGCGCGCGCGCATTGGGCAGGCGCAGTCCGACTGAGTCGCGAGTCCGACGGAGATGCCCCGTCACTTTTTTCCCGCCAACGGCCCCCCCCTCTAGCCAGCAGGCTTCGGGGGGCCGCGATTGCGGCTGCCCGCGGCCAGTTTCCGCCATCATTGGGCACCTCTTTCGCGCCGGTCATTCGAGGCTTCGGCCTCTCGCTTGGCGCTGAGCTCGCTGTCGGTTGAACAGGTCCTTCAGGCGCCCCCCGCCGCCGCCGCGGCTGGTCAGCGCGTCTCGTCGCTCCCTGCGAGTGACAAGGTGCCAAAGTCTGCGATGTCGATTTCTGACTGCGGTGTGTAGTCTGACAGACCGGCATGGAGACCATCAGGCTGGTGAACGCGGCGTTCCGCCCGCAGGGGTCCCCGCACGCGGTGATCCGGGACGCGAGCCTCACGCTCTGCCAGGGCGAGCTCGTGGCTATCATCGGGCCGTCGGGCGCGGGCAAGTCAACCCTCCTCAAGGCAAGTCGACCCTCCCCCTAGAGAGCGCGAGGGAGCTCCCAGGAGCGAGGGTCGAATTCGTCAGTCCACGCCTCCTCGACGCCTGAAACGCCAGCAGCGATCTGGCCTCGCAATGCACCATCGCTCGCCCACGGCGGACCTCGCCGCTGCCAAGCACTGCGGGGAGGCACTTGAGCTGCCCCTTGGCGGGTGTTTGCGGGGCCTGCCGGACCGCTGGCGGCGCTCGTCGTGCGCGCCACTCACGCGACGCCCTCGCCGCGTGTCTGCTTCGCGCGCAGATCCTTGGCGGCCACAATGCCGGCAACCTGTCGGGCTACGTGCGCGTGTGCGGCAAGCGTCTCGCTGAGCTGCACGCGTCGCACGGACCGCCCCCGGTCGCGTACTCGCCGCAGGAGGACCTCCTCGTGCGCGCCCTGACCCCGCGGCAGGCGAGTCACACACCCGCGACCGATACCGCCCTTTGTTGCATCGTTGCGCAAACAAACGGGGCGAAGCGACCGTTGTGCCGCTTCCCACGCGACACCAAGTGCCCGAATCGCGCGCTCCCCCCGCATGCGTCTGCGCAGACCCTGGTGTACATGGCGCAGCTCGCGCTGCCTGACCTGACTAAGGAGGGCGCTGCAGCGCGCGCGGAGGAGCTTTTGGGGCGGTTCGGCCTCCTCGGCTGCGCGGACACGCCCGTCGGCGAGGACGGATCCCCCGGCGGCATCTCCGGCGGGCAGCGCCGCCGCCTGAGCCTGCTCACCGACCTCCTGACGCGTCCGAGGTTCCTCCTTGCCGACGAGCCAACCAGCGGCCTCGACAGCACGGCCTCGGAGACGCTCGCGCGCGAGCTGCGGCTCCTCGCCACCCGCGACAACGTCGGCGTGATCGCCACCATACACCAACCCTCCGACTCGCTGCTGGCGCACTTCGACCGCGTTGTCGCGCTGCAGCCCTTGGACGTCAACGACGGCCTGAGCGGGTCCATCGCGTACGCCGGGCCGGTGCACGCCGCGCGCGGGTACCTCGCTGCGCTCGGCTACGACCTGCCGTCGACGCACTCGGTCGCCGAGTGCCTGCTCGGCGCCGTGACGGAGGCCATTCCGGCGCCCGAACGCCTGCTCCGCGACGCCGTGTTCAGCGTCGCGTCGGCGCTCGCGCGGGAGTGGAGCAGGTCGCGGCTGTTCCTGCTGTTTCAGGCCGCGGACACGGACGGCTCGGGCGGGCTAACGGCGCGGGAGCTGACCGCGGTGGTGGCGTCGCAATCGGCCCGCCCGCGCGCCGAGGTCAGGGCGGACGTCGAGGGGCTCTTCGGTGCCGCGGGCCTGGACGTGCAGCGCGACGAGATTGACTACTTGGCGTTCATCGCCATGGCGGCCGCCGCAGGGGTGGACGATGCTGGGCTGGACCTCGAGCGCCTCAGCCACGCCGCGCAGGCGGCGGAGCGCAAGCTGAGCGACGGCATCGCGGACGGCGTGCCTCGGGACAGGTTCCCTGAGCTCCTCGAGACCTTGAGTCTCGAACTGCCAGCAGCGGCCCAAGACAAGCTGTTTACCGCCCTTGACGCGAACGGCAACGGGCACGTGGAGGCCTCGGAGCTCGTGATGTGGCTCGCGGCGCCGATGTGCTGCAGCATGCTGCAGCGCAACGATTCGATGGCCCGCGTGCGCTCGCTGACGCGACACACGGGCTACGCGCCCTCGAAAACGGAAGTGTTTCGCGCCGGCGCGACGAACCCGACGATGCGGCAGCGAGCAGAGCGCGAGGACTCGGCCAGGGAGAGGCGCAGCATGCAAGACTCGGTGGGACCCGGGGGACTCAAAGGGCAGAAGTCTGTGTCCACCAAGGCCTTTACGTCGGTCAGGTCGACGCGAATCCTCGGCATTCTGAAGATGGACGCCCTCGCTGCGCTGCGTGTGCATCCGGACGACAGCGCGTCGGACGCGGGCGACCTGGAGAGCGAGCCCGTCGCGCCGCGCGCGCTGACGATGCGGGAGCTGCGGGGGCGGCGCGGCTGGGTGCGGCGCGGCGCGGAGTGGGCGCACCAGGCGCGCGTTCTGCTGGCGCGGGAGGTCGCGGGCGTCGTCGGCGCGCCCCGCGCGTTCCTGTCCACGCTGCTGTCCGTCCTCATCATCGCGGTCGTCATCGGGATCATGTTTGGCTTCCTGGGCAACAGCCAAGAGCGGGCCTTCGAGCGCGTGGCCGGCCTGTTCATCGCGCTCGGGTTCCTCGCGGTCAAGTTCGGCCTCGAGTTCGCCACCGCGATGCCCCCGCGCAAGGCCATTCTGCGCCGGGAGCTCACAAACGGGTACTACAGTCTTCCAGCATTCTTCCTCTCCCAAGTCAGCGTGCTGCTGCTCCACGCCGCGCTGCTCGCCCCGCCGTACACCGCCGTCGTCTACTTCCTCGTCAGCGACGCGCGGACCGCCGAGGGCTTCCTGATCACCCTCGCGGCCTTCGCGATGATGGCCGTCGGAGGCGGCGCAATCGGGATGCTCTTCGGCGCGCTGATGCCCACGCCCGGCGCGGCGTCCACGCTGATGATCGCGCTCATCGACGTCTTCGTCCTCTTTAGTGGCTTTCTTTTACGAGGTCCCAGCATGCCGGCATACCTAAAGTGGATCTGGTACATCTCCCCAACAAACTACGTGCAGCAGATCCTGGTGTCCGCGGAGTTCGGATCCTACCAGTTCGGGCCGTGCAGCGCGGCCGCGGGGGACTCCTGCCCGTACGGCGAGGGCGTGGTGCCCGGCGCGGCCGTGCAGTCGTTCTTCGGGTATGACGACGGGGACACACCGCTGAACTTCGGGGTCCTCGCCGGCATGGTCGCGGGCTACCTCGTCTGCGTGTACTTCGTGCTGCGGCAAAAGGTGCTCCTCGAGGTGCTGAACGCGGTGAGCGAGTCGGTCGTCATGGACAAGTTTGGCATTCTGCGCGGGACGCGGTCGTTCGAGCTGTTCGGCGCGCGCAAGCAGCACCGCCGCGTCATCGAGGCTGCCGCGCTGGAGGCTTGCCGCGAGCGCATGCAGCGCCTCCCGCCGCTCGCGGACGTCGTGTTTGGCGTCAGCGGCGCGGCGGAGGCTGCTGGCGTCGCGGGCGACCGACCAGCCGGCACGATGTTCCTCCGGCCTGTCAGCGTGAGCGGCGGCGAGCTGCAGGGCGCCACGGACGTGCGCCTGGAGCTGCGGTGTGCAGCCACCGAAAGCACACACCCCTTCCGCGCGCACCACCGCACGAGCCCCGCTCACTGCGAGGACGGCGCGCAGTGGCGCTGGTCGGACGCCGCGTGGCAGGTGCCCGTCACGGCGGCGACCGCGGCCACGGGCGTTGCCGCGACGCTTGTGGTGAGCAGCAAGGATGGCGTGCCGCTGTCCGCACCGCTGCCCATGGCGGTGCTCGAGGGCGCCCGCCTGCAGCCCGGTGCGCCGATTCCGATGCCTGAGGACTTGACCGTCGTCACGGTTCCGGTGGGCGGAGCGGATGGGGCCTCGCTGCGCGTCGCGGTGTCGTACTTGGCGGCAGAGGACGACGCCGTGGTGCGAGACCCGTCGCGCGTGCGTTCGGACGCTCTGCGGATAGCGTACGAGCCCGGCGTGGTAACGGCGAAGTTCGGCAGCGCGGAGCGCGGGCGCGCAGAGATGAGAGCCTGGGTACAGGCGCAGGTGGATTCCGGGGCGATGCGGACCGGGGACCTCATGCTCCACGCCATGTCGCTCAAGGAATGCCCGGACGCCACGTGGAAGGCGGTGGTACGCCCGCCTCCCGAGCGGCAGCCCTCCGTGCTGCGCAGCGCCGCGCCGTTGCCCCTCGACGCCCGCCGCCCGCCCTCAGATCGGCTCCGTAACCTCCCGTGCGCCGATGCTTCTGTCTCCGTGCAGGTGCTGGGCGTCGACTGGGTGCTGGACAACCTGATGCACGCTGAAATAGTTATCGTGGTTGATCGGCCCGCAGCGCTCGGCGGCGGGAAGGCTGCGTTCATCGCGGCGGTCAGCTCGAACAACGACGACAACCGCGACGCCATCTCCGCGGGCTTCCACCGCAACGCCGTCTACATCTGGCCGCTGGAGGAACGCCTGGATATTCCGATTGCGATGTTTTGGCACAGAATGGTCCGGCCGCTGTCGCCGACGCAAGCGCGCCGGCTCGAGGCCTTCGTGCTCGACCGCTGGGCGCACAACGCCGCGTACGCCGTGGACACGGCGTACCGCGTGCCCCTGCGCGCGCTGCCGTGCATGCACAGCGCCGAGCTCTCCAGCGAGACACTCGACGAGTTCACCTGCGCGACGTTCGTCGCGGCGGCCTGCAAGGCCGCGCGCCTCCCAGGTACGCAAGCCCCGCACTGCCCCAACGCCTCAGCAAATGCATGCCAGCAGCGTCATGTCTCTCAATCCGCCGCGGTGAGTACAACACCACACACAGCTGAGGCTGCGTGCAAGGACGCCCTTCGCTGTCGCTGCAGGCATGGACGGCCTGAACACCGCGGCGTTCGCGCCGTGGGACCTCCTGCGCACGGGGCTGTGGCGGATTGAGCGCGTCGTGGTCAAGGTGCTGCCCAACCTGGTGCACCGGTACGGGAACGCGGTGTGGGACCGCGAGAAGGCGGACGGGGGCGGTCAGGAAGGGGTCGGCGAGGGGGACGACGAGTGAGTGGTCGCGTGCGTCACAATGTGGCGCCGACCGCGAACATGACAGGGGGGTCGGCGGGGCGCCAGGATGCACGCAATGACTTGCAGTGAGCAGTGTCACGAGCTGGGAACGTGATTGTGATTCGGGACGCGGAACCATGCGCAGGAGTGTTCGTGCGCGGGTGGTCAATTACCACCTTGTGTGCGTCGTGTTGCGGCACACCTCCCATCTGTTGCGGTACGCGTGAGGCGCGCGTGGCGTTGCGCGCGCTCATGTCCAGCACGACGCGGTGCCGAGGACGCCTGCGCGCCCGCGCCCAGGAAGTCGCTGCAACTGTCGATCAGCGAAAGGCATCTAAACATGCGCAGCAGGTCCGCAACACGGTCCCCCGCGCTCTCCGCGGCGCGCCGATGGACGTGGCTCCCCCGCCGGACAACGCGACTGAGCGGGCGGCCTGCGTGCGCCGCTCGGCCGCCCGTGCGGAGACGGCAAAGACTTGCGTGGTGCCGCTGTGGGCCTCTGTGGCGCGCAGACGGATCATGCGCGGAGGTCGTTGGGGCCAGTGCGATGCGGAGCATGTCCACAAGGGGGCCTGGCGCCGCGCGCTGTCCCTGACTCAGCTCTCGGACCTGTATTGATGACTCCGCGGAGAGGTCCTAGTTGCATGGGGCCTCCCTCGGGCGCTACCAGGTCCGCAACTGGCGCGACACGGTCGCAGATTCGCCGCGGTGGCTGTCGCTGTGCTGCTTAGTGGTTACGTCGAGGTTTCGGTGGTGAGGAGACCGCGGACGCCATGAGCGGGCGCTTGCTCGCGCGGGCCTGCTGCAGGGCGGCCCAGGGGTTCGGTGTGGTGCAGAGAGGGGCTCAGGCGAGTGACGTGGCTCTCTTGCGTGCTGGAATTGGCGGAACGTGCGATGATCTTGACCTTGAGTGCCCGACGGCGACGAATTTCCGGCTTGCCTGGCCGTCTGCGATCAGCGGCCTGGATACGTGCCGAGAGACGCTCCCCGCGGCGCTCGTCCCCACCCCGACGCCGCCCAGTTTCACTCAAACGCTGCAGGGGGGCGCGATGGCGGAGGCGGGGTGCGGGAGCGGCGCGTGGGGCGCAAGTTCGACTAGGGCTGCGAGCAAGCGCGTGGGCGGCGCGGCGACGGAGGGTTTTGCGGGGCGGACGGCTCCTGGGTGCGCCCCTTGCTCTGCACGCACCGCTGCGCAACGCGCAAGACCCAGGGATCGCGGACACGGCGCTGGTCCGCCGTAGAGAGCCAAGCCTCACGCTCGCACGCTGGCGTTCCTCGCGCAGGTGCCAGGGGGCGCGGACCGCGTCCACGGCGGCGCGAACAGAGGCGGCTCGAATGCAGCAGCGCATGCGCAACCCGCTCATGCGGGCGCTGCTGCAGGACGGCGCCCGCATACCTGCAGCGCTGTCCTTGCACCTCGCTCGCGAACTCATGGTCGCCGAGGACGACGAGGACGATGACGGTACTTGACCCGGCCACGCACATGGTGCTTCTCCCTCCCTGCCCCGCCCGCCCCCCCCCCGCGACAGCGCTGCGAGCCTCGTACACGCACACCACGTCGCGCCCTCGGGCGCCGCAGCCTGCCGCGCCCGAGGACAGCGCGCCAAAGCGTCCTCCTCCGTGCGCATCCGCGGTGCCGCAGGCACGATAGGCCGTATAGGTGCCGACGACGTGACATAGCCACGCGCCGCACCCCGTCCACTCTCCGCCGCCCCGCCGCCGCCGAAGCGACACCGCCGGCCCGCCCTCCGCTGATCCAGGTCGATAACCCCGCGCCTGTCCTCGTGCACCCTCCCGAACACCCCCCCCACGCACCGCACGCTGCCCGTCGGCACGTGTGATGGGGGGGTGTTCGGCAGGGTCACGGGGCGGGCACGCGGCCCAGCGGCCAGGAGAAAGTGCGAGCATGCGGAGCAGTGGCGCGGCGGCGCGGAGGGCCGGCGGCGGAGCGCGGCGGAGGCGCGGTGGTGCGGGGGCGGCGTTTCATGGCTGCGGTCACGTGTGGCCACGTGACGAGTCGCCCAAGCAGCCCAGTCCCACCCCCGACCACGCCCCGGGCGCTGCGACGTCGCAGGCATCTAGCACACGGAAGGGGGTGGGACGGGTCGCCGCGGCGCGAGGCAGCACGGGGCCAGAGAGCTTGCTGCGGGGCGTTGCAGCGCTGGGGACGGGTGGGCGCGTTCGTGGCCGATGCGTTGCCGGACCCAACCCCGTAGAGAGCGGCTTTGGCGTTCGAGGGTGTGAGGCGCGCGCTCGAACGCTGGTCTGCCTGAATCAGGAGGGTTGGTGTTCCCGACCGCTGTGCGGGGCGTCCTGCCGGGGTGATCTTGGGCGCTCTGTCGCGGCGCCGACCAGACTGTTTTCGCACCGCTGCGCCGCCTCGACACCCCCTTGTCCTTGATCGCGTGCGCCGAACACCACGTCCACCTTCTGGTGCTCTTGCACGCGCACCAGCGACGACGTTCGCGCCACGAGGCTGGCGCGATGGCGCCCGGTATGATGTACGTGCGGGGTGCGCCGAGCGCCTCTGCGCCTCGCGCCAAGAGGACGCCGCTTGGGGCCGCTCTCCGATGTGGTAGGGCGAGCCCGGCCACGGGGCGCCAAGTGTCCCTGCGAGCGTCGACGACGGCTTCTCCCGCGACCGAGGCGATCGAGCTGCTCAAGGAGGCGGGGCGCACGCGCAAGGTCTCGGAAGAGAAGGTGCGGAGGCACAGCGAGCGGTTCCCTAGCGCCTCTGCTTGTCATGCCCGACAGCGTCGGATTCCCGCCCCAAAGTTCACACGAGACGGCCGCGACGAGACGGAGATAGAGACCCCGTTCCGCCGGCATCACGCACGGCGGTGAACTCGCCTTTCATTCGCCCGAAAGCAGACGCGAGTGCTGCCAATGGGCGAGTGCGCCGTTCCCAGGCGTCGCTGCACCGAAGCACACGCGCGGCGCCGCTGCTGCCTGCTGCAGGTTCTCGAGGCTCTGCTCTCGGTGACTCGGGCGAAGTCCAAGCCCGAGGCCACGCAGGGCGGGGCCAGCAACTCGTGGCGCGACACTCTCGGCGCTGCCGGGTCAACGCCCGCGGAAGGCATGGCCGACGGCGCGACGTGGAAGCTCATCTACACCGTGCCGGTGCGTTCCGCCGCGATCCAACTCCAGCGCCCCCCGCGCGCCTTCCATGCCACGTCCTGTGCGACACACCGCATCACGTCCCGCGCGGCCCCGGCGCACGCCCGCAGGCGAAGAAGTGGACCCAGGCGCTCAAGGCGGGCCCGGCGGGCAACGTCGGCGCGTACTGGAAGGACGCCCTCGCCCCCGCGGCGCAGCGGTGGAGTGCGCGAGACATGGAGATCGAGAACGGCGTCTTCCCGGCGAACGGCGCGATCGCCTTCACGCTCCGCGGGCCCTTCGTCATGTCGGGGCAGCGCCTGTGCTTCGACTTCACCTCGTGCTGCGTCAAGCTCGGGTCGCTGGAGCTGAAGTTTGACATCGCCAAACCGGAGGAAGCGAAACAGCGGTTCAAGGACTTCGTGCGTGCCCGCGCCATGATCGCATGGCTCGGCTGCGCGGTCGTGCGCGGGAGCGGGCTCGCCCGCGGTCGCTTGGCTGTTTGACTGATTGTACCGTTGGTGGGGGGTGTTGTGTGTTTTGCAGAAGGAGTGGGGGGGGAAAGGGAAGACGGACAAGCTGACGCCGAACAAGGTGCCGTTCTTCGTGTTCAAGCACGTGGACGACGGCCTCGCCGTCGCGCAGGGCCGGTCGGGCGGCGTGGCGTTCTGGGTGCGCGTCCCACCTGAAGAGGTGCAGCGGCGCGGCATCCGGTCACTGCCGACGGGCGCCAAGGCCGCGGGCTCCACGTGAGCCCGGCGGATACGTGACGCGTCGTCGTTCGCTCCTCGGCCGCCCCTGCTTCACTGTTGGCAAGGCACAGTGTCACGGTGGACAGCCAGGAGACAACGGGGCGGGCAACGTCGGCTCGCCCTAGCGCCCGCGTAGGGCGCTCGCGACGCCCCAGCGGCCCGGCTCAGCGGGTGAGCACTTGCAAGCGCGGTGGCTGTTGTAATGCCCACCACACTCTTTCGCCACATGCAACACACCGATGTCATGTACCTTCTGCGACGAACGCGTCGCCGCGCGGTAGAGTGCCCTGACGGCGTCCTCGAACTCCGCCGCGAACGTCATTTCGCCCTCCCTGCCTGCGCGAGGAATGATCCAGTATCTGTTGTTTGCCGACGGGGGCCAAGGCCGCGGGCTCCACGTGAGCAGGGCGGGCACGGGGCTGCAGGCTGTGGGCACGCGAGTCGTGCGACTGCGTCTTGCGCGGGGCGACTGAGTGGTCGTCTCGCGCAGCCTGACGGGGTATCACTTGCACCGTAATTGACCCCCCGGGGCGTGCCGACGCGCGCGGGGGCTGGAGCGTGTCGGGCTTGGGGACGACGGGCACTTCGCATTGCCGGTCGCGGTGTCCAGCCAGTTGAACACGGACGGCGCACAGTGTGCAGGTCACAGTGCGTGCAGGTCCTCCAGCAAGCAGCCGTTGCCCCGCAGCGCTGGGTTCCGCGCCCGGTTTCCCGACCCAGCGTCCCAGATAGCACCCTCTCGCAGATATTAGACTGAGCTACTAGTCCGTAGAAGGCCCGGAAACAGCTGCTTTGTCTGGTGGCACCCCGCGGCAGGGAATTTGCGCGTGGAGATGATGCAGCAGGCGGTGATGTCGGCCTCGATGCACCGACCGTGCTCCTTGTATTCTCGCGGATCGGCAGGGATGCGACATGGGGCCCGGAGACCCTCCGTGCGCAGGTTCGCGGCCCCTCCAACCAGCCGCCGCACACGCACACCATGATTGCGGGCCCGGAGCGCCGCTGAGCGCGCCGGTCCGCGCTGTCCGCGCCGCCCCTGATACGCACGTGCACGAATGTTGCGCTCAAGCGACGCATTTCACGCTTGGGCGCTAGCTCGGCCCAGACGAGCACGCGAGGCTCCGCAGCTGCGCGTTTGGAGGACCCCTGCGTTCCGTCGTCGTGCGTTGTCGAGCGAGCGACGCGTTGGACCGTGTAGATTCCTTGTGGACTGGGCCTTCAGCGCGTGTCCGCATCAGTGCCCGTGCGCGCTCACCCGGCCCCCGCGAGCGCGCTGTGCAGGCAGCTGGTAAGTGCGCGCGCGAGCCCCAAGGCGGCGCCGGGCGGGTCCGACGAGGACGTCGCGGAGAAGAAGGACAAGGCCGGCGCGTTCGCCGCGCGCATCGACGCCCTGCGCAAGGCGGCGGCCTGGAGCGACGCCGACGACACGGCAGAGCTCGATCTCGCTTCCGGGGACGAGGAGTACTACGACGAGGACAACTGGGGCGACGAGTTCGACGAGAGCATCTGGGACGACTTGACCGAGGACGACGAGGCCGCGCTCGCCGCCGAGGCCACCCCTGCGGGCGCCGGGCCCCTCTCCGGGCGCGGCACTGTCGCGTCACGGCGCACGAAGAGCAGCAGCCGCCGCGCCGACTCCCAGAGGACCACGGGGCAGCTCGTGCCGACCCGCCTGCTGCCCAAGGTCGCCATCATCGGCCGCCCGAACGTCGGTAAATCGGCGCTGTTCAACCGCATTGTGGGCGGACAGGTGGCCATCGTGTACGACTACCCGGGCGTGACGCGGGACCGGCTGTACACGCGGGCCTTCTGGGGCGCGCGGGACTTCGTCGTCGTGGACACGGGCGGGCTCGAGAACGAGCGCGACAAGCTCCCGCAGTCGCTGCTGAACCACATGGAGCAAGTGGAGGTGACCAAGGACAGGATTCCGGACGCGATCGAGAGGCAGGCGGCCGCGGCGGTGTGCGAGGCGGACGTGCTGGTGTTCGTGGTGGACGGGCAGCAGGGGCCGACCGCCGCGGACGAGGAGGTGCGCCCGCGGTCGAGGAATCTCGACTGGTTTCGTTTTCCGTGCTTGTGCTGATCGACGCCGCTCGCACGGACCCTGTCGCGGCCCGCGGTGGCCGCGCGAGCCGCCGCGCACGCTGTGCCGGCCGCCGCCGCGCCCCCTGCACTCGAGACGTCCGCGTTGCCAGCAACCACGAATCCTCGTCTTCCGCGGCACAGATCATGAAGTGGATCCGGCGCAACCACGGCGAGAAGCCGCTCGTCCTCGCGGTCAACAAGTGCGAGTCCCCCACCAAGGCGGACATGCAGGCCGCCGCGTTCTGGCACCTCGGCGTCACCCCGATCCCGGTCTCGGCTATTTCGGGCTCCGGCACCGGCGACATGCTGGACGCCGTCGCAGCCGAACTGCCCCCGCCCCGCATCGCCGGGCCGGAGGACATCGAGGTCGAGGCCGCGCCGCTGCGCGTGGCGATCGTCGGGCGCCCGAACGTCGGCAAGAGCTCGATGCTGAACGCCATCGTTGGCGAAGAGCGCGCCATCGTGTCGGAGATGAGCGGGACGACGCGGGACGCGATCGACACGGAGTGGACGACGCCGGACGGGACGAAGTACACGCTGGTGGACACGGCGGGCATGCGGCGGCGCGCCCGCGTGGCGGACAGCGACGACGGCGCCGAGGAGCTGTCGGTGCAGCGGTCGCTGAACGCGATCCAGCGGGCGGACACGGTGGTGCTGCTGATCGACGCGGTGGAGGGCGTGACGGTGCAGGACTTCCGGCTCGCGGAGCGCATCGCGGAGGAGGGCCGCGCGTGTGTGGTGTGCGTGAACAAGTGGGACATGATCGCGGACCGGTCGTCGAAGGCCCAGGTGCGGAGGACCGCGCTGCCGGCTCTTTGTGTACGGCAGGGGCTTGCGTCGCGAGGCTGGATGCGTGCGTGCCGCAGAACAGTGTTTGGAGCGTTTTTCATGTCTTGTGCTTCTATGTTGTTGACGTGGAGTGTGCCTGGGGTGCGCCGGCTCGCAGAAGCTGTACGAGGAGGATCTGCGCGCGCAGCTGCGTCCCGTGAACTGGGCGGAGGTCGTGTTCACGTGCGCGAAGACCGGCGCACGTTGCAACACCGTCCTGGACGCCGCGAGCCGCGCGGGCCGCGAACACAACCGGCGCATCAACACGGCCACGATCAACATGGTGATCCAGGAGGCGACCGCGTGGAGGTCCCCGCCGTCCGCGCGGAGCGGCAAGGCCGCGCGCATCCTCTACGGCACGCAGGCCGCCGTGCGCCCGCCGACGTTCGTGATGTTCTGCAACGACCCGAAGCTTATCGGGGACGACTACCGGCGGTACATGGAGCGCCAGCTGCGCGAAAACGTCGGGTTCCCAGGCACGCCGCTCCGCATCCTCTGGCGCGGCCGCGGCGGGTCGCCGAACAAGGGGCGGTGATGAAAAACCCCCCCCCCCCCGGGGTGTGTCACGCATGCGAGCGGGCGGGTGGGGCGGCAGTCGGGCGCTCGGGCGGAGCTGTGCAGTTGAGGTCCGGGAAGGATGGAGCGCAGGCGGGGGTGGTCAAAGCGGTGTGTAACTGAGTGCTGGCAAGCGGATGCGGGCCCGAGGGCGTGACGGCGGACGCTGGCTCCGAGCGCTGCCGCTCGTGCGCTGCGCGCGAGGTGTCGGGCTGTCACTGTGGTCAGGGAGGGGGGGTTGAGGGGGACAGGCGGGTTGCCCGGTTCGGGCGCATTTTGGGCCGCCCGCTGCGCGGCGGCGGTTGCAGGCAAGGGCCGCTGTGGAGGGTGTTCGGCCCCGCTCGGACGGTCGGGCCGTTCGCATCGCCACGTGAGCGTCGTCGGCGGTGCCAAAGGGAATTCGCCCCGCCCGGGCCGTGTTACGGTCTAGATCCGCGAGACTTGCTCGGCGCAGGATCATGCTACGAATAGCTGGCGCATGCCGTAGCACACGCGCGGCCGCGGCTGTGCAGTCGGCCGCGGCGGTAGATGACCTGGCCAGGTGCTTGCGGGGTGTGACGGGCAGCGCGAGCCACAAGGGCTCTGGCGCGTGGTCGGAGGAGGAGCTTCAGCAGATAAGCAGCTCGCTCCAGTCGGCGTTCGATCCCTCCGTTGGGGAACTGTTGCGCAAACAGGGGTTCGCTGTGGCGGACAATGCTCTGCCCGCCCATCTGGTCCCGAAAGTCCGGAACGAGATACTCGGGATGCACGCACGGTCGCTCATGAAGCCCAACAGCACCCACCTCGTCGAGCGCGCCGATGACTCTTCTGGGGGGACCAAAACCACGCTCCTCGAAAAACAGGTACACGGATGTCCGCTGCGACCGTCGCGACATGTATATATGCGGACGGCGAACGCGCTCGACATCTACTGTCACTGGCAATGCAGGGAATCGCAGAGGCGGACGCGGAGCTCGCGGAGGTCAGGGACGCCAGCCCTCTGCTCTCACACCTAGCGCTAGGTTGGTCCAGTCTCCAGCCAGACAGCCACGCCGCCCCGAGCAAACGCACGTCGAGAACGCCAACGCCGCCCCCTCCTCACCGCTGCCTCCAAACCCCCTCGCAGACGCAACACTGCGCACCATGTTGTCCCTATACACCCCCCCGTACCGCTTCGACACGCACACCGTCAAGGCGCAGCGCAGCGCGGGCGGCGGCGCGTGCTTCCCCGTCCACTTCGACTCCAGCGCGGGCCTCGACGGCCGCATCCTCACGGCGATCGTGTACTGCAACGATTCATGGCAACCCGGTGACGGCGGGGAGCTGCGGCTGTATCCCTGGCCGCGCGGGCCCGTGGACATCCCGCCTGTCGCCGGCCGCATCGTCGTCTTCCCGTCCATGACCATGCCACACAGGTCCGCACGGAACCACCGACGCGGCTCTGTCGTAACTGTACGTCGCGTCGCGTCGCGTCGCGTCGCTCGCGCCGTGCGTCTGACGAGCGCGCCGCCGCGCCTCCGCGCGCCTCTGCAGGGTCCTTCCGAGTCGTGCGGAGCGCGTGTGCTTCTCGGTGTGGATGGGCAAGCAGCAGACACCCCCCCCCGGTCCGCCGTCGATCCCCCACAGGGACGACGGGTGGTCGAGCAGCCCCGCGCTGTGGCGCGCCCTCCTGGGCCAGCCCGCCGTGAAGGAGCTCGTGCTGAAGGCGCTGCTGGCCGAGGAGGTGCGCGTGGGCGGGTCTTGCCGCAACGGGACTGATTGCAACACGCGCCCGGAGAATCCTCCTGGCCCGCCGTGTGCGCGCCCGGCGCGCGCCCGGGAGCGCGGATCGACGAAAATGTCGCGCAGCACGGTGCCTGGGAGCCCGCGCTGGGGACATTTCCGCTGCAACGGCTCATAGCAATACGCGTTCATGCGAATCATTTATTATTATCAATTCAACAGCATGTGTTTCGTATCAGCTCGCCGTGGCGTCGCCTGACGTCCCCTGTGCTCCGCGCGTGCAGTGGGAGCGTTCCCTCGTCGAGAGCCATCCGCCCGGACCGGGCCTCGACCGGGCCGTGGAGAAGCACCGCGCTGATGTGGGGAGGATCAACGTCGTGCTCGGCTGGGCCATCGACATGCTCAGGGAGGCGGGGGGGCCGGCGGGCGGCGCGGGGACCGCGGGGGGCGTGTGGGAGGCGCACAGGTGGCTGTGATCGGGGTCGTGTGCAAGCCGCGTGTCAACCGCGCCGCGGCAGCCTCAGGACCAAGTCCTGCATGCAACGCGACCGCGCCCCTCTTTCTCCGCGTGGACCTCTACCTCGTTCTCTCTTGTCAGGTATGCACACTTACAGGTCGGTAGGCGATTCGCTGCACCGCAAACGCGCCATCGGCGGTCTCAGGCAGTGCCGCGGCCCTGATCCGCGCGATGACGTCCGCGGCTCACTCGGACTCTCGTTCGTCAGCTTGTCAGCGTGTGGCCCCCTCAGGGTCCCGTCCTGCGCCCCGTCGGACGCTGCCCGCTGCGGAAGAGGTTGGTGGGGAACACCGGCCCCATGCAGACGTGTCCGCAGCCGTTAGAGCAGCAGATCTCCGCTCCTGGGCAGTTGCTGTCGATCAGACATGCTTCGACGCAGGCCCCGGCTGTTGCGGGCTCCAAGGGGGGGCATGAGCCCAACTTCGTCCTCCCGGGCCGAATCGACGGAAGCTGCAGCCCGCCTGCGCGCAGACGCGGTGGACAGAAATCTGACGGTGTTGTCGTGTGGTCGACCACCGCCACAGAGCGGCCACTGCACCAGCATGCCGTGTTTCTTCTCTTCCGTTGTGGAGTCGGGAATAGCGCGCTCACCGAGCAAGATGTCTCCGTTCAGGAGGCGCTCCGCCTGCCGCTCGTCCTCGAAATTCTCCACGTCAGGACGCTCGCCACTGCCGGGGTCGGCGAGCCCGCTCGACGCCGACGTGCGTTCCACAAGCACTGAGGCGCAGGTCGCACGCGCCAGGGCGACGGCGAGCAGCACGAACACGGCGCGTCTCATTTCGATTATTCGACTCGAGCGAAATCCGCCCCTGAACTGAACTCCGAGCGCGCCCCGTCGACCTCACAGCCACTCCCCGACTCAGGTCTGCCACATCACACTGCGCAGCTACGCCCACACGGCACCTCGCCCCCGCGCACGCCCCCTCGCACCACACCCTCCACCCCACCACCTCGCCCCGCCCGTCCCGCCCCCACACAGCGCCCACCCCCCGCAGCCAACACGCAACTCGCATCAGAGCCCCGCCGCGTCCACGCGCGCGTTCAGCCGCCCGACGACGCCCGCGAGCTTCTCCATGCTGTTCGCCAGCGGCTGCAGCACCTGGTTCATCACCCGCATCATGTCGGCATTCTGCCGCACCACCTCCTCGTAGTCGACACCCCCGGCGCCCTGCTCGCCCTCGCCGCCCCGCCTCTGCCTTTTCGCAGCCGGCTCGGAACTCTCCGGCTCGTCGGGCGTGTCCGCCCCGCCCGCGACGTGCAGCACCGCCGTCGTGGTCGGCGTCTGCGCCTGCGCCGGCGCCGCCGCGGGGCCCGCCCCCTGCGGCGTCGCCGCGTCCTCGCCCGCGTCCTGGACCTTCGGAGGCTCGTACTTCGTGCACTGCTGCAGGACGGCGATGTACGGCGCCTTGGCAATGATCACGGGGGTGCCGTTCGGCCCCGGCGCCTTGACGAGCGCGGCGCTGTGGTGCCGCACAACGGAGTGCTCCTGCATCGCCTTCTGCGCCTCGGGCGTGCCGAGCACCGGGATCGGGAACGTCAAGTAGTTGCCGGCCGCGTCCACCTTGCCGGGCCGCTCCTGCATGTTCGCCTCCTTCGTCTTGCACAGCAGGTCCTGCGGGGCCGAGCAGGGAGCGTGTCTGTGCGCTGAGCTGCGGCGCGGCGGCGGGAGCCGAGCAGGGGGCTGTGTGCGGCCGCAGTGTGATGCGCGGTGTGCAGGGGGGGAGGGCGGTCACCGTGAAGCGCGCGGCGATCTTGTCGTACGTGGCCTTCTTCTCCTGCGCGTCCTCGACGGGCAGCAGGGTCGCGATGGCTGGGTTCGCGGTCACGATGGCCTCCCGCATCAGCACGTACTCCTCTTTCGCCGAGCGCTTGCGCCCCGTCAGCCTGTTCAGCTCCTCCGCGTGGCGACGGACGCGTGCCATGGCCTCGAGCATTGCGTCGTTCCAGGATACCTGGGTCCTCGGCTTGGGCGGCGGCGTCGCCTTGCGCTGCGCCGGGGCCGGGATGGGCAGCATGGGCACAGGGAGCGCGCTGCCGAACGGCACGGCCGGCTGCGAGGAGAGAGGCGGGGCGCGAAAGGTTGAGGGTCGAGTGGGGAGGGGGGCCGGCCGGGTGCGACGCGCATTGCAGGACCGTGCGGCGCGGGAAGTCGGGCGCGCCAAACCAGGCCGAGGACCAAGGGGCGCGAGTGCACGCAGGGGTCCGGAACGTGCCTGAGCGGCGCCCGGAAGCGGGAACGGGAGCGACATGGACGCCGGGGTCGGGCAAGGGAAGACGGCGAAGAGACTGGAGACGGCGTTGATGCGCTCCTCCGACCCCACCGGTGCTTTGAGCGCGGCTTTGAACCCCTCGCTCCGCGTGTCGGCCCACATGACCGTCCCAGAGGGAGCGATCGTCGCTATCAGCCACCGGACCTCGTTCTCATCCAGCCATTTCTGCGTGAGAGCTCCTACCCACTCCTTGAAGTCGTTGCTTCCCGCCGCCAGAGAACCGTCCATGACGCGCCCCACGAAGCATGGCTTGCCGTCCGGGCCCGGCACCGAGGCGAAGCCCCCTTGCATAACTCACGGCTGCGGCCTTTCGGGCAGGTTCCTCGTCACGGACTCGAATCGCGATCGAATTCCTCCAAGCTCACCGCTCGCGCTGCGCAGCTGTCGCGGCGCGCGACGTGTCTCGACAGCTCTCGCGGCCACAGCTCCTCTGAGTGGCTCCGTCGGCGCCGCGACCGCGCGCAAAGAGCCCGCTGCGGCTCGCACCGCGCCACTGGCGGCCCGCGGGGCTGTCTGCTTTTCTATACCCACGAGCGTCGCCCCGCGGGCTCCAAAAACAAAGCGTGAAACTCGCAGCAGGCTCTCAGTCCGACTCACGGACCGCACGGGGGCGGCCGCGGCGGCCCGCTACGCCGCTGCAGAGAGAGTATTAATTGCAGACAGGAACCATGCTTTCGTGTCTGCGGGTGCAAACACAACTACGGTTCACACCGAGGTGGCGCCCCGGCGCGTTCGAGGCCCAGCGTCTTGCGCTGGCGGCTCGGCACGGGCTGCTCGGCCCTCTCCAGGAGCAGGCGCAGTACCTCGGCGTCAGACACCAGCGCGGGCTTCACCTTGCACCTGAGGCTCCGCAGCCGGGGCAGCTGCAGCACGAGCCGCGCGCTGCGCTCCGGGAGCGGCATGTCGCCGAAGTCAACGTGCCGCAGCACCCTGTTCCGCAGCATGACCTCGTACACCTCCTGCGCGCGGCCACGCGTCAAGGGGCACGGGGGGGGGTGGGGGGGGTATTGGTCCAGATCGATCGATCGGGCGAGCGCAGGAGCATGGCGTCGCGATGGTGGCCAGGGCGCGGGGGGCGGCGATCGAACGATGCCATGCGGCGTGCGATGCGCGTGTGACATCGCACCTCCTCGGACAGGACGTTGTCCTCCCCCGGGCGCCACAGGTCCGCGGCGGCCGTCGACGCCGCGATCGGGTGGAACACGAGCCGCTGGAGCCGCTGGAGCCGCGCGACGTCGGCCCACGCCAGGCAGGGCCCCTGCAGCGCCACGCCCCGCAGCTCGAGGCGCGTGAGCGTGGCGATGCGCCAGATGTGCCGCGCCGTCTCCCTCCGCAGCTTGCCCTGCGTCAGCGTGAGCTCCTCGAGCCGCAGACGCGCGCAGAACGACAGACACTCCTCCGGGTATCGCCCCCACAGCATCTCCCCCGGCAGCGGATACCCGATCGACAGGCGCCGGAGGTTCGCGAGCGTGTCGAGCGCCGCGAGCTGCTTGAGCGGCGCGGAGACCTCGCCCTGGTCGGACGGCACTAGCGACGCGGCGTGCTCCTCCATGACGTGGAGCGACGTCAGCGACGTCAGGCCTGCCAGGTGGCGGTATTCCCACGCCTCGCGCCCGTGACACAGGACGAGCGAGGTGAGGTTCTGCGCGACTGCGGGCAGGCATGCGAGCGCGGCGACGGCGTCTCCCGGCCGCGCGCGGTCGCATAGGAGTTCGAGGTGCGTGAGGTGGTGGCAGGCCTGAGAGGCCGCGAGGCCGTGCGCGTCGAGCTGCCACGCGTCGATGCGGAGGCTGCGGAGGCTGGACGCCGCGGCCTTGAGCAGCGGATGAACCCCCTGCACAGCAGTCGACAACAGCACTCAACCATTGTTGCTGATTGTTGACAAACAAAAAACACGTCGTATTTGAGACGGGAAACAAAGGTGTGCGTGCCCCGCACTCGCACGAGCACTGGGAACGTACCTGGGACTGGCTGCCCGAGAACGACGGCATCCCGAGCGACAGACGCGTCAGCTGAGTCAGGGGCTCGATGGCTCCCAGTTCGCGCGTGAGCTCCTCGAGCCGCGGCCCCGCCCTCGCGTCGAAGGCAAGGCTCAAGCTCCGCAGCTTCGAGAGCGACCCGATCCACGCCAGCGACCGCCAGAACCCGTCCGGGGGGGTCGACGGGATGGGTCCGTCGACAGACAACGCCGTGACCTGACTCATGTCGGCCAACGCGACCGGCGACACGTCGTCCGGAAGCGGCCGCGACGTTCCTGCTGCGCTCGACGCGATCCGCTTGGCCAGCGTCTTCCCCGCGACGTGCAACGTTCCCACAGACTCCGGCCTGATGCCTAGCCGCGACGCGTGCGCGAGCTGCGCCGCGCCGTTCTGCCCGGCGATGTCCAGGTCTACCGTGGCGCCGCTCTGCGCGCCCCGAGGCAGCCAGTCCGGCGGGCACGGCAGCGGCTGCTCCCGAGCGAGCCTGCTCATCTCCGAGTATGTCGCGGGCAGGACGAACCGGCTGCGCTGGCCGGCGCGCCACGCGGGGGGCAGCTGGACGAGCCACAGGGCGCGCAGGAGCTTGCCCTGGATCGCGAGCGCGCAGTGCTCGTCCGACGACGCAAGGACCGCGAGGAGGCTACGCTTGCATGTTAGAGCGACCTTGGAAGCGTGCTTGGTGAGCTCCTGCGGGGACGGCGCTCGAGGAGGGCGCGCCGGTCATGGGGCGGCGGGGGCGCGTGCGTGCGCTGCGGCGGAGGCCTAGCGGTCGTTTTGGCGCGTCATACAAAGATGGGCTGCGGACCTGAGCGGTCCTGTGACGGTCCGGAACCGTGAGCGCGTCCATGTCCAGCCAGGTCCCTTTGATATCTGTGCCCTGCGAGAGTACCAGCCCCGGCATCGTTTGTTCGGGGCGACAGACACGTGCATGTTGGAGGAGACAAGTTGCTCCTTGCGGTGTGCCCAGGGCTTGTACTGAGCAGGGCTTGTACTGCCGCCGGTGACGTACCGTGACTTCCTCGTACGCCCATCTTGCGAGGTAGCGCAGCACGCGGCCCACCAGGTCGGGAGCGGTCAGCACTTGCTCTCCCGCTGATTGGTAGTTGCTTGCCATCGTGTGGGCCCGTGTGTCAATCTAGTGTCGCAAAATGACTCCCGCCCAAGACTCTAGAGTCCGAAGTATTTGTGGCGACCTTGAAGTAACCGTGAGGAGCTGATTTAGCCCCAGACGAGGCCTTGAGAGTGGAATCTGGTAATAATCACCATTGCTGCCCTCTAGCATGCACGCGCAGGACCAAATCTGACGGTTCTGGCGACATAGAGAGATGTCTGGCCCGGACCAATCCCGCGCGGCGCCGAAGTCCACGTACACAGTCCGACACGCGTGCTGGTTGCTACCTCGCACTCCCCGGAGTACTTTCACGGGCACTGGTGCAGCTCGACACCGCCGCTGGGACTCCGGGCGTGCACTTCGGTTGCCGTCACGGCCGTGCGGAGGTGTCGATCCGGCGGTGACCGACTCTGCTCCGAGCACGGGCCGCTGCACTTCTGGTGTGAAGCTGCGCCGGCGCAACCCGCCTGTGTGTTCGGTATGATTTGACGCGAATGGCGGACATTTCGCAGCTCGTCGCCGGGGCCACCGTGAGTGACCTCGAAGTCACCGTGGTCGGCCCCGCCGAGGCTCTCGTTACAGCAGCCGCACCGGCCACGCCGCACGACTGGCACAAGGTGCGGGCGGGCTCGAGCTTCGCGACGCTACGCTGTCCACAAGGTCCAGAAGGAGCCGCGATCCCCGCGCAGACGCAACTCCGCATCTCCGCAACGGTGAGGAGCACTTCATGGCACACAGAGCGACGCCGCCTGCCCGCCTGGTGCTGCGCGCACCGCGCGCAAACCGTAGCTGTCTTATCGCAACGGATGCGAAGATCACTGCGTTACGCTTTGATCTCCAAACAAGCTCAGAAGCGCCACGGCCGGCCTCTCGTGTTGGCGGCAGTCGCCACGTCGCGACTCAGGCGGCCCCTCCGCACCGTGCGCACGCTCGCGCAGGTCGAGACCAGCGACTGCGGCGTGCGTCACCTCGTCGCGCGGGAACCTCCGAAACCCGTCGAGGTCGCGTCCACGAATGCGTTTGCAGCACCCCCCCCTCCCCACTCCCCCGCCGCCGACCTGTCAGGTGCGGCAGCACTTCTATCCGCGCGCCGCGCCCCCACACCTCCTCGCACACCACCTGCACTGCCGTTGCGTGTCTTGCGACTCATTGCTGACTGCGAGGAGCTGTTCGCAGGTTGTCAACGATGGAACGGGGCTCTGGTTGCACGGCCCGGCCCGGCCGGTGCGCTCGAGGTGTACGTCCTGGACGTCGCCAAGGCCGGGGTGCCTGGAGGGTGGGTCGGACGTGGCGCGCCCCCACCGTTTCCAGCGGCGCTCGAAGCTCCTGGCCTAGCGGGGGCGGAGACGGCGGCGGCGGCGGTCGCTGGGACGCTCGGCTGCGCCCGCGGTCAGGTCCAGGTCTTCGCCGCTCCGACGACGCACACGTTCGTCGCGCCGGGCCCGGGTGCGCGGCAAGGGGGGGGTGTTGCGAGACCAGTATGTGTTTGTTCGTACTTTGCCGTGATGCTTTCGCCGACGTTCGGGATGGAGCTGGCGAAGGGACGGTGGGCGCCGCTCGGACAGGCCCGCGACGGACCTCTGCGGGGCTTGTTCGGGGGGGAGTGGGAGCCCCTGGCTGCGAGGATGGGCGACATGCTCGCCGAGGCTGAGTCAGCAGGCCTGCTGTCAGGTCTGACGGACTCGGCTCGCGCGTGTCTGGCGCGCCCGCACCAGCGCGATCACGCACACTCCGGCCACAGCCACCACGGGGCCAGCTGCACCGGCGCTGCGTGCACAGGCTGCACCGACAACAAAGAAGCCTCCGCGGCGACCACGGCGCCGGCTTGGGCGTCCCGGCGTCAAGATTCCGCGCCAGGACCAGACAAGGCAACCACCACCGAGCAGGATGCTTGGATTGCGCAGTTCAAGCCGCAGGGGCGCGCCTCGGGCTCTCTTCTGCCAGTAACCCTCCTGAGCGGTTTCCTCGGGGCGGGGAAGACGACGCTGCTCCGGCACGTCCTGCAGAACATGCCACAGGGGCTGAAGTGCGCGGTGCTCGTCAACGACGTCGGCGCCCTCAACATCGACGCAGCACTGGTCCGGACCACCACCTCGTCGGGTGCGGTCAGCAGCGGCAGCGCCGGCGGCGGCTCCCGGGACGTGGTCGAGCTCACGTCCGGCTGCCTGTGCTGCTCGCTGCGCAGCGGTATGGCGCGCGAGGTGACGCGGCTCGCCCGCGAGGGGAGGTTCGATTACCTCATCATTGAATCAACTGGTGTTGCTGAGCCCGCGGGGGCGGCGGAGGTGTTCGCCGGTGCGCCTGACGCGGACGACGAGGGCGACGGAGGCGAGAGCGACGCGTTCGCGGCGGCCGTGCGCGAGCTGCAGGGCGTGGCGCGATTGGATACCTGCGTGACTGTTGTCGACGCATCAATGGCTGAGCAGCGCGCGAGGTCGCGGGCGGCGGGCGGCGATGCCGCGGTGGACGCTGCGGGCGGCGCGGAGTCGTCCGAGGCGGCGGCTGGGGACGGCGAGCGTGGCGTTGCCGAGCTGTTGTTCGCCCAGATTGAGTTTGCGGACGTGATTGTTCTGAACAAGGTGGACCTGGTCAGCAAGGACGAGCTGGACCGCGTGGTGGCCATGGTGCGGTCGGTGAACCCGGACGCGGTGCTTCACCTCACGACGCGGTCCGTCGTCGACCCGAGAGACGTGATGGGAACCAAGAAATTCCAACTCGAAAAGGCCAAAGAGCGCCTCGACTGGCTCCGCAGCCGCGACGCAGGCAGGGCCGGGACCGATGCGAGGGACGACGCGGCGCGCCATGGCATCTCCAGCTTCGTGTACCGCGCCCGCCGCCCGTTCCATCCCCAGCGCTTGCATGCGCTGCTCTCGCGCGCATTCGTGCTGCAACAGCAGGACTGGACCGAAGCCATGGCCGCCGAGGGCATCGCAGCGACGCAGCCTGCTCCCAGCGGCCCGAGCGAGCGGCGGCAGGCCGCGCTGGACGCGTCGGCACGCGATGCCGCGCACAGCTTGGTCAAGGCCGGGACGCATGCCGCGAACGTGCTGGGGCCGGTCGTTGCCGGAGCGGGCGGGCAGACTGCAGCTGCCGCCAAGGCCTGCGCTGCTGCCGGGGCCGCGGCTGCGGCGGCGGCGGAGGCGCTTTTGGCTGCAGCAGGGGGCAGCGAACCACGCGCAGCCGTCGCAGCGGGCGGTCGTGACCGCAAACGCAGGACGCAGGGGTTCAAAGGGCTGCTGCGCTCGAAAGGCGTGTACTGGCTAGCGACGCGGGACGACCTCGCGGGGGAGTGGAGTCAGGCGGGGGGGGTGTTGACCATGTCCCTGGGGGGACCGTGGTTCGCTGCGCTGCCCGACTCCGAGCTCCCGGACCTCGCCAACGACGCCGCCGCGGCCAAGGCGATGCAGGACGTGCGGTCACGGCCCGGGGGGGACCGCAGGCAGGAGCTCGTGCTGCTAGGGATCGACGTCAACGAGTCTGCGCTGCGTCAGGCGTTCGACGCGTGTCTGGCGACGGACGACGAGATTCGCGGGCACAAGGACGGGACCGCTGCGCTCGCGGACCCGTTCTACCCGTGGCCGCCGCTCAGGGCCGTTCTGGGCATCGAGGACGCACCGGTCGAGTTGGGACAGAAGGAGGACAGTCGTGGAAACACGAGTGGCGTTGACAGCTCAGTTGCCGCGGCGCCCGCGGCCGTCGCAGCGGCCTGTCCCGGCGGTGTGGCGCCGGGCACGGTGCTCGAGGTCGAGGAGGGGGCGTCGGAGGCCCAGGAAGTACTCGACGAAGCCCTGGGGAAGTCTGAGTTGGTAGTTCTCGAGTGGTTTGCTCCCTGGGCCTCCCAGTGCCAGGAGGCCGCGCGAACGGTCGCCGCGCTGGCCGCAGAGGCCCCGCACGTCGCGTTCCTCCGCATCGACGTCGAGCGCTCCGAAGCCAACCGCGCGTACGCCATGCAGTCGATGATGAAGCGATCTGATTCGCGGCGGCCGGGCGCGAAACCGGTGCTGCGCAGCGGACACAAGTTCCCGTCGTTCACCCTGCACGAGCCGCCGTCGCTGGTGCCAACAGCGACGTTCCAGGGGGGCGACGCGGTCTCCGAGCTTGAGCGCCACGTCCGGAGCGTGGCGCGAGCAACGCCGCCAGCGCAGGGACACTGCGGGGTCGTGGGGTCGTTCGCGGTTCAGGCGGGCGCGGCTGACGTGCAGCGGCTGCTCGATGCGGGCGAGAAGCTTGGAGTGGGGCGGGCTGCGGTGTTGTGGATCGACGCGGCAGCGGCGAACAGCGCGGAGCACAGGCGCACGCTGGCTGCCGCGGCGCGTGCGGCGGCGTTCGTGCCCGTCGGCGTCGTGGACGCGACGGACGGGGTGGAGACGTCCGAGAATGCGCGGCTGCGGAAGGCGTTCGGCGTGAAGGAGCTCCCCACTGCGATCGTGTTTGAACGAAGACAAATGAAGAAGCTGTTGAAAGGGTGGCGAGCGCTGGGCCGCCTGCCCGAGGCCGTCGGCCTGCCTGCGGACGATCCGGAGGACTCCGGCGCACCGGCGGGCGTGGGACACGGGACCCCCAGCGCGGCCGAGCGAGCTGGGCTGTGCAGCGGCGCCCCAGGCGCGCCGCAGCAAGGACGGGGCGCGAACGGCGGCGAGGGCGGCGATCCGTCCGCAGCTCGCGACGTTTTCGCTCCGCCGGCGCGCAAGTTCGCCAAGTCGGGGTTCACGCGCGAGTTCCCAAATGGAAAAACAGGTTCGTTCTGGCCTCGCATGCCCTGTCTGCGGTGCGGGTGCCCCTGGTGGTCCGGGGAGGACTGGAGCGACCGGTGTCTGCGGTGTGGGTGGAGCTGCGAGCGGCAGGGGTACGACGACGACTCGAAGCCTGAGCCGGAGTGGCGGGACACCTGGCAGCGTTTTGCGGACGAAATCCAGCAGGGACGCACGCCGCAGTGGCCCGCGAAAGAGGGGGCGTGATGAGGTGAGGTGCAACTAGCGAGCAACCGTCTCGGCTCGCCAGGGACCCTCTCGCGAACACCAGACAGGACGACAAAGACGACAGTCGTTTGCTGAGGTGAGGTGAGGTGTAACGGCCATCCGCCTGACACGTAGTAGCACGAACAGCCAAATCAACTCGCGGCGCTGCATCGTCAGGCCACAGGAGAGAGCAGCGTCGCTCGAGCGGCCGTGCACGAGGGACCTGTAGACGTCAGCGGCCCAGCGCACAATCATAATCATAATGTTCACAGGATCCACGTGCCCTGGATCCTGACCAGGGCGCGTGGTCAGTATCCTGCGCCCGCTGCCATCCCCGCTGGGCCCGCGTAGGCCTCTGCGGGCGCCTGTCCTCCGCCGAGCCACATGTAGATTCGCACATTCCCACTTTTAGATCCAATGGCAAACATGCCCGCATCTCTGTCCGCGCACGCGCACCGCGCGTCGTGCAGCCCCTTGATCGCGCCCCGGCGGCCCAGCCGGCCGTCCCGGACGTCGGTCGTCTGACCTGGAACGGGAATGCCCCACAGTTTTGGCGTCGTCGCCTCATAGATCACCAGGGCGACCTCCGCGCCCGCCGCGTCGCGCGTGGCGACCAGGTCCCAGCAGGGCGACATGTTGTTCGGCCGGCCCGAGGGCTCCTGCTGCCCAGGGACGGCGGCGACAACGGGCTGGCTGGGATCCTGGCTCGGAGGCCAAGCGCGCACGTAGCCGTCCGTGCAGCACGTGATCGGGCCCAACTCTGCGGAGCACGGCGACAGCCAACAGCGGAATCGAACGCGCATACGGAGCGCGGCAGCGGCGAACGCAGGGGAAAAGCAGCGCCACGCGGGTGACTGCACAGGCAAGTTGTCTTGCGATACGCCGGGGGTTCACGTGTGACGCCGAGCCCGCTGATCGCTTCATCGTGCGCCTTAACCTCCTGGCGCCCCACGGCGTCCGCGCTGAAGTCGTACACTTGCAGGTTGCCGTTGCCCAACCCCGCAAACAGATAATGCTCGTAGACCTGCATCCGAAGCACCCCGCCCGGTATGAGGGCGGGGTCCTTGATGAGCTTGAGCGGACTGAACTGCCCCGTGGCCGCGTCGAACTGCCACGACGCGATCGCCCCGCGCGCCCCCGCGGAAATGAGCACGCTGTTGTACGTGCACAGCGCCGTGACCTGCTTGCCCTCGTGGCCCTCCGGGAGGTCCTGTATGTTGCCGTTCGTCGTGTTGATGACCTGCGGACGCACGTACGGCACCCGCGCGCTCGTGTCGCGGCCAGCGCGCTGCAGAAGGTGCCAGCGTGGCACGGTCCGCTGCGTCAGGAGCTGGGCGTTCGGGCAGCAAGTGGGCGCCGGTTGTTGTGCGCACCCTGATCACGCCGTTGTCGAGCCCGACGAACAGGAACGGCTCCACGACGAGCACGCTGCACACGGGCGCCCCGCACGGCTGCGTGTGCTGCCACGCGCACTTGTTCGGGTCCTCCGGGTCCACCGAGAACTGCCCCAGCGTGCCCTCGCGGTCCTTGAACCCCACCGTGAGCACGTAGTCCTTCAGGAACATGCAGCCGACCGGCATCGGGTGCTTCGCGGGAGCCAACGCGTCTGCCAACACCATAATGTCCGACGGGTCGCCTCCTGCGCCGCCCCGGCCCCCACGCCCGCCGCGCCCGCCCGCGTACCCTCCGCGACTGCGCCCGCGCCCGCCGCGCCCGCCGCGCCCGCCGCCGTAGCCTCCGCCGTAGCCCCCGTCGTAGCCCCCGCCACCATACCCGTCGTCGTAGCCGCCGTAGCCGCCAAAGTTCCCGCCACCGCCGCCGCCGCCGTAGCCGCCGTAGCCGTCGTTGCGGCCGCCGCCACCTGGGGAGTGCGGGGGCCCGCGCGTGGGTGTGAGCGTCGTCACGGTGCATGTGGGCGGTCCTGGGGCTGGGCGCGCCATCACGTGGAGGCGCGTGGCACATGAGGCGTGGGACGAGATGTGAGGGGGCATCGCGGCGCCGGAGCGGTGCTGCGCGGCGGCCTGGCGCGGCAGGCGCACAGGCGTGTGTTGGGCATTGGCGCGAGTTCGAGGGGGGTACGTGGCTTGTTCCCAGCACCAAGTGCACACATTGGTGCGGAAATACACGGGGATCGTTGTCAAATCGACGCTGTCGCGAGGATTCACGCCGTCACGCAGCGTGGAGCCGGCGCAGGCGGAGCAAAGGAGCAGGGCAGAGTGGGCCTGAATTCGCCACATCGTTGGGTACATGGCCCTATCGGATAGACGTGTGGGACACAGAGACTATAGTGCGTGCCAGATGAGGCGCCGATCGGCAGAAGAGCCCTCGAGAGGCGCGACGGAGAGGCCCGCCCTCGCTGTAGACCCACGCACGCGGCGCGCTGGAGAGCCCTGGCGCCAACGCCGTCGTGGCAGCGAAGGCGCTCGCCCGCTCAACGGCGCCATAGTGCGCGAAACGAACGTAGCAGCGAGGGGCGCCGTGCGTTGGCAGCACTGCGCGCCCAACGGAAGAGTTGTGTGCTCACCTCGCCCGCCGCGCCCACGGCCACCACCGCGGCGCCCACCGCGCCCGCTCTGGAACGACATGGAATTCCGCTACTCGACTGCCTGCCGGCGCCGCGCTCCCACGCCCCGCGCTCTCGAATCCGCGGCCAGCTCCGTCGCCAAGCCGCCACTGAGTCTGTGGTGTTCGCGACTACTCAGCGCATGGAAGGCACATGCGGGCCGGACACAGGCAGGGGCTCGTCGGCGTCGAGCGTGTGGCGGCGGCCGCGTCGCACGCGAGCCATTGTGGAGCGGCTCAGGGGGCGGTATTGCATGCTATTCAGTGAGGGTGGTGTCAGGCGTCTGAGGGCGCAGGAGCGGGGCTGAGATCGGCGCGCGGCGCACGCGAGGTCCTTGCAGACGGACCTGTCAGTCACGGCGAACTGAGTCACGCTTCAAGGCACTCGCGCGCCGCAATCGATCGAGGTGCGTTGACTGTGGATCCGCCCGTGATACGAGATGCTGGCGCTTCTCGCGGCCAACAAGGGCCCCGCTGCGCTCATGTACCTCTTTGGATCCTGCTAATGCACGTTGCGAGCGCGCAGAGCGGACACCGGCGGAGATCTGCCCGCACTGGTACCTACAAACCGCGTCTGTGCCGCTTTCGCCGCAGGAAACTGCGCGTTTTCAGGGCGTCGTCCTGAACTGCTACCTGCTGAGTCCACTCAGCTCCAGTTTCGGGCGTCGACGCGGCCCCGAGTCTCGTGAGCCGCCTCTGTGTGCCACGCCTCCTCAGAGAGCTGCGTGGCCCTTTCTGCAGCCGCTCCCCCCTTGAATGCACAAGTGGGACACGCCTGAGAGGAAGAACGAAGTACACGCCACCGGGGACGCGCCGTCGTCCCCGGCCCAAGCAGAGCTAGCATCCACGCAAGATGATCGCCCTCAGCAGGAGCCCGCGGCGGCCGGCTCCGGCCTCAACCCTTCCGCGGCGGACTTCACGCCTCCAGTGAGCAGCGAGCCCGCCCCAGAAGGCCACGCGGCCCGCGGCGCGCTCTCGGAAGCCCTCCGCGATGCGCGCTCCAAGGGCCAGCCTCCGCCGGGCGCGCGCGGCGGGCAAGGCCGCGGGCGCGGACGCGGGCGTGGCGACAACAACCCGGACGCTCCGCCGCTGCCGGAAAAGTCCCCTCCCAACCGCCGTGGCTTCGTCAGAGCCGACCACCTCCTCTCCTCTGCGCGCGTGGGCGGGCGCGGACCCCGCGGCGGCGGCGCGGCCCGCGGCGGGCAGGGCAGGCGCGGCGGCGGGCAGGGTGGCGGGAGGGGCGCGGGCTCAGGGCGCGGCGCGCCGCCGCCCCAACCATTCAGCAGAGAGCTCTTCGTACAAGCGAGCTGCCGCTTCCTGGTGTCGGACTCGGTGCACGTGCCGGCGACGCCGAAGGAGGCCGACCGGATGATCGACTGGGGGTCGGTGATCCAGGTCCGCATGCGGCTCGACACCCCCCCCCACTGCCCCATCGACATGGGACCGCCGCGGTGCCCACAGGTGACGCCGTGCGGGCACATCTTCTCGTTCGCGTCCATCATCCAGCACCTCATGTCGCACGGCGGCGGCGCGGTCTCCCGCGCGGGCGCAGCGGCGCCATGCCCGCTGTGTTTTGAGCCGATCTCCGCAAGAGACCTCCGGGGGTGTGTCTACGCCGTGTCGCCGCGCCCGCGCGTGGGCTGCAACGCCGCCATGGCGCTCCTGCTCCGCCAGCGCGACGCGCTCGAGCCGCACCTCGCGCCGCAGACGGACCTGCCCCCGTGGTGAGTTCTACTTTGCAACCCCCCCCTGCGCTCCGCAGCCGCTGCAAGTCACGCACGCGCGTGCGCAGCCGTCCGTTGACCTCGCTTCGTTGTCTCTGTGTCGCAGCGGTCCGGGCGACGCGGCTCCAGACGCTATTTTCCACCGCACCGTGGTCACGTCGAACCCGTTCGGTGTGTGGACGTCTGAGGCGAGGGAGCTCGGGCGCCAGGCTGCCGAGGTCGCCAATGGCCCCGAGGTGGACGCGGCGGTCCGCGGGCCCTTCGTGCACCTTGCGCTGGAGTCCCTGCAGCATCGCGCTGCGACGTGGATCGAGCGGCGCGCCGCCGTCGCTGTGGGCTTCGACGACGACCCTGCGACGGTCTCCGTGGCGCGCGAGGTCCGCAAGGAGGTCGCCGCGGCGTTCAACGCGGCTGAGAGTGCGCGTGCGCGCGAACTCGCGGCCGAACAGCGGCAGCGGAACGAGGTCGCGAACCCGCTGCCACGGAACGCGGGGGGCGGCAAGGCGCGGCCGCGTGGCACGCTCGTGAAGCTGGAGGCCGGCGGTGCGGTCGTTGCGCCGCCGCCGGCGCCGGCAGCGCCTGTTTCAGTCCCCCGGAGAAACGCCAATGACCCCTGGGGGCGTAATGCGGCTGCGTCGGTCGGGTCCGTCGAGGCCGCAGCCGCGGACGCTAGCGAGTCATCGCGGGCTGCGGACGAAGCCGAACCCGCGGCGACGGCTGCGTGGGCAGTGAGCGTCACCGACGCCGCATCGGACAGCGATGACGAGAGCGACGCCGTGCTGCCGCCCCCGGAGCCGAAGGCCGGTCTGCGCTGCGTCCCTGAGGCACTTCCCGGCACCTCGGCTGCGTCGGAGGGCGGGGACGCGGAAGGGGGGGACTTTTACTTCTACCAGGACGCTGGAGGACACTTGTCCTTTCTACACCCCCTCAACGTGCGGATGCTGCTCGCGCACTTCGGCGGCCCGGACAGGCTGCCCGGGGAGGTGTGTGCGAGGGTCGTTGAGGTGGAGGAGGCCACGGTGACTGACGCCGTCCGTCGCCGCCTGCGCTGGCTGGCACACCTCCCCCTGACAGCGACGTATTCTCTCGTCGAGCTGGACCTCGCCCCCCTTCTCCCAGAAGACACCATGGCGACCTTCGCGGAGGTGCGAGCTCGCGTGGAACTGAATGTCCTGACCGCTCGATGCAAACATCATGTTTGCTGTGTTGCGCGGCACCGAAGTTTCCCTGGACAGCGTCGGCGAGCGCGAGTACAGCGACCCTCTCCACCTGGCCGTTTGCATTCTCGTGCGATCGCCGGGTGGAGAGGGTTGGCGCACTCGTGCTCGCCCACCTCACGAATGTGGCATCGTGTGCAGTGCTGCTTTTCGCACGCGGCAACGTTCGGGCACTTGGGCTCGGCCAGGGACAGCATTGCGAGGACGCTGCTTCGCTGACGCTCGCGTGGCTTCTCACATGTCCGCTCACGGAGCCGTGAAAGCCACGTCTTCACTTTAACATCCCCCCCGCGGATGCAGGAGGTCGGCGCGCGCAGGAAGCGCCGCGACAAGGCGGTCCGCAAGGCCCAAGCCGAAGACAACCGCGCGAAGCAGCGGGCGCACGCCGAGGCGGCGCGGAAGAAGAAGGTGCTCGACGACGACGCCTTGCGTGCCATGCCGCTGCCGGGACAGTCCCAGGCCGCGGCTGAGGCCGCCGCCGCGGCGCAGGCCGCCGAGGCCGCTGCCATCGCCGAGCTGCTCGAATCAGCCCCTCCCCTGTCCTCGAGCGAAGGGGCCGCGGCGCCGTCGCCGCCGGCAGCGGCAGCGGGGACGTCGTTCGCGCGCATCACGCAGCTGGGCCTTGCGGCGACGGGCGAGCTCCCGGCGCTGTCGATGGCGGCGGGGCAGGGCAGGTGGGGCGCGGGTTCGAAGGGGGCGGGCGGGGGGGGGTCGCAGGGGGGGAGTGAGGGGGGTAAGAAGAACAAGAAGGGCGCGAAGGTGACCCTGATGAAGTGGTAGCACAGGTGCGGGACGGCTGTGAGCTGCACCGAGTGGTTGACCGTACGTTCGCGCTGCACTGACTATCTGTTGTGACGGGGCGCGTCGCCGTGTGTGCCGCGAGAGCGATTTTGGGTCTGCCTGGGAGGTATGATGCTTCGTGGACGGGTCTGCGAGACGTCGGTCTTGCTCTTTCGATGTGGATCACACGTCGGCGGCTGACAAGCCGCGCCTGGGATCGGGCTGGCTGAAGGACCCGGGGCTTTTGGGTTTCAGCCGGGAAGTGCTTGTCCCGCAGCTGAAAAGCGCAGGACGGGGTCGGAAGAACGGTCGAGCCCGGGTCGGGTCTGGTCTGACACGGGGCTGGTTGTGCTGCGAGGGCTCGGCGCCACGGGGCGCTGGCGAGCCGAGGAGCGTGCGGTTTTTGCGACCTGAAAAAAGTCGATTGCTGCTTCGTTGTGCTGCGCTGTAACGGACGGGCGGGTCCGCGACCTCAGAGAACGGCCAGGTTTGCTAGCGCAACGTCTAGTAAGTCTTGTTCGCACGCCCCGGGGGCGTTCGATCGCGATGAAAGAATGGTGTGTGGACAGAAGGGCGCCGGCGTCGCCGGGCGCAGGCGTGCGCGGGTCAGCTCCGCGCGGCGCGCGCGCGGTCGTGCGAGTGCGTGTACGCGAGCCGCGGGATGGTGTCCGTCCTGTTCGCGTCGTCGTACCGGTGCACCTTCCTCTCTTGAATCACGCTGGCACCGCGCTCCCGAACCGCAGGCAAGAACATGTGCCCGCTGCCGCCGTGCATCCGCGCCATCGCCTGCCGCACCGCGGCAGCCGCCCCGCCGTACCCCGGCGCGCTCGCCGCGAGCCCCACCGGGTCGGATGTCGAGCGCTGACGCTGCAGCCCAAAGCGCCCCGTGACGCCGCCCTGCGCCTCCCGCGGCGTCGGTGTGAGCGCGTACTTGCTGGACGCGCTCTTCTTCTCTGGAAGCATGCCCGGCGGGAGCTCCAGCGCGGCCTGACTCAGGTCAGGCAGACCTGACATCGACGACGCTGCGCGGCGGTGGCCCGCGCCCGCGGGCCGCTGCGAGAACGCCCGGCGCACCGCGCGCGCGTCCGGCGTCCCCGGCGGCCTCGCGCCGAACGCCCCGACCCTCGACGGCGACCGCCACGGCGCCTGCTGCGACTGCGCTTTCCGCGGCAGCGGACGCACCTCCTCCCCCCGCGCCGAGCCCTCGCAGCCCTCGTTGCACGACAGCCGCTCGAGCATCTCCGCGGCCTTCACGCGCGCCGCGAGCGCGTCGTCCGCCGCGCTGACGCTCCTCTTCTTCGCCACCTTCGCTCGGCCGCGAATGGGGCCCAGGTAGGGCGCGTCCTCGGCAACGGCCATCAGGGTGCTCTTCACGGTGGTGCTGTAGCGCTCCGCCTCGCGCGCGAGGTCCATCGCGAACTCGAGGGACGCCTTCTTGCGCTCGGGGTCGTGCGCGGGGTCGGCCTCGGCGAGCCTCAAGGCGTACTTGGCAGCGTTGCTGAAACGTTCGGCGTCGTCGGCGGCGAGCGACGCTTCGCTGACGAGGACGCCCGTGAGCCCGGCTGCATTCTTGAACGGGTCCCAGTTCTTGTCGTAGGTGCGCACGCCCGTGAGGGCGTCGGGCGAGCTCTGCGCCGCCAGCACGCTGCTTGGTGGCTCGCTCGCGACGTTGCCACCGGATGCGGCCTTGCCGGTGGGCGACGTCCCGGTAGCTTGGTTGAGTGGTGTGAGGTTCCGCCGGTCGGGACGCACGAGCGGGCTTCGCGTGAGCCGTTTCGGCATCTGGGCCAGGCTCGCCAGCTCGGCATGACGTTTCACGAGGTCCTCGGGCGCGTCGATAGACGCGCGCCTGTCCTCGTCGTCGTCCTGCTCCTCGATCACCTCCTCGCGCTTGAAGGAGGGGAAGGACTGCTCGAACTGCCGCACGGACGCGTGCGTGCTCAGAATCTTCCCTAGGTGGGAGCGCGCGCGGCCGGAGAGCATCATGCGGGCATCCACGGGGCCCGCGTCGAGAGACGCGGGCTCTACGGCGATGGTTGAGCTCGACAGAGTGTGCTGGTGCATCGTAACTATCGGTTTTGCCCGTGCGCGCCCCGAGCGGGTCGCAATGGAGCCCCGATGCCCTCGGACAACATCACCCACGGCCACGTGGCAACAGTCGCCGGCCCGTAGAGGGACGCATCGACCTTCGGAAGGCCCGCGCGTCCCCTCGTACGGTCGCTCATGACTGTTCCAGGCCACGACGTACAATTGTACGGAGCGGGAGTTCGGAACGGCCGCGTCGCGCTAGAAAAGCGGCTGCCAGAAAGCTCTATGCGCCTCCACGGGGCCGCAGGGACCGCCTCAGCGCTGCGCTGCCCCGTGTTCTGGCCTCTGATGTCCTGACATCCGGGCGAACACATCGCGGCGAACCATCGACCCCGTACTGCGACAGTCGAGCACCCTCGACTGCGCCTTCCAACCACCTTTACATCGTCTCAGTCCGCCCCAGCAACGCCGCCTCCGCTACGCCGCGGCCTGTACGCTCGCTGCCTCGCTGCTCGGCGCCCCGTACCGCCCGGACGCGGGGCCTTCGCTCTCCGAGGGCCCGCCAACAACGACGAGTGCGCTGTCGCTGCCGTCCTCCTGGGCCGGCGCCGAGGGGTCGGCCTTCCCGAGGATGCGGTCGAGCAGCTTGCGCTGGCGCGCGTAGTTCGTGCGCGGCCGGCCGGACAGCGCCTCCTCCCTCGCCCGTTCGTACGCCTCCGCTGCCGCGCGGCGCCCCTCCCACCCCTCGCTGGTGGCCTTGTCGCGCATGCGCTCCTCCGTGGCCAAGTGCGGCGGCTGCGGAACCGTGTGACCTGCACGCAGCACGGCGGCACGGGCGGGGGCGCGCTCAGACAAACACACAACACCCGAGACATTCGTAGAAGGGAAAACATGGACAATCATCCACTCATTCATTCCGAGAAGGCGACCACGCACGGGCGCGCACCGGCCGACCCCTTGGGCTCCTTCCAGAACACCTTCTTCTCGTACTCCTCCCGCTGGCGCTGGAACTCGCGCGCGCGCAGCTGCCGCTCGTTAAACGCCGCCAGCCCGCGCACGAGCACGGGGCCCTCCTCGGCGGGCGGCGGCGGGCCGACCTCGGGCGCGAACGTGCACTCGTCCGCCTCGCGCTCCGCCAGCTCCGCCCGCCGCATGGCCAGTTTGCGCTCCCGGTCTTCCTTCTGGCGCATGATGTGCTCGAGGAGGCGCTCGGGGGGGCGGTTGATCACGCGGCGCTCGTCGACGTGGTCCTGGTCGAGCACCACGAGCGCCGTGGACTCCCCCCGGGGCGTCCCGGTCGGCTTGGTCGTGTCGGGCTGGAAGGTGCAGGCGCGTGCCTCCTCGCGCTCGACCTTCGCGCGCTCGCCGTCGCGCTTCACCTTGCCGCGCGTGTTGTTCACGAGCTCCTCCAGCGGCGTCGCCTTCCGCGTCGCCGCGGCCCGCGAGATCTCGGGCTGGAAGGGGTACTGGCTGTAATAGCTCTCGGCGAGCGTCTGCTGCAGCGCCTCGCGCCTCTGGGCGTCCTGGTAGCTCAGGCGCTCGACCTTCTCCAGGTGCGACTCCTGGAGGTGCACCGCCTTGGTGCGCGACGCCGCGAGCACGCGCCCGGCGTTGCCGTCCGTGCGCGGCCGGAACGACAGCTCCGGGTCCTCGTGCGCCCGCGCGTTGGCCGCCGCGCGCACGCGGCGCTCGCGCAGCTCGCGCTCGATGCGGTCCAGGAAGGACGCGGGGCGCTTCGGGTCCAGCTCGGCGATCAGCCGCGAGTTGGGGTTGATGGCGGGGCGGAAGGTGCAGCCCTCGTCGCCGAAGGGCATCGCGTCCGTCGCGGTCGACGCGATCGGCGGACGGCCGAGATCGCCCGTCGACGCGGAGCCGTACAGGAGCCCTGCGCGCTTCGGGGCGCTCGCCGCGATGCCGTGCGTGATCTCCAGGTCACGGCGGAGGTCGCGCGCCTGCGGGGGGCGTTGGGGGGTGTTTTGGCGCGGAGGGGGTGGGTGGCGATGCGGGTGCGCGGACAGGAGACGGGCGATGGCGCGGTGAGGGCATGGCATGGCGTGCGTTGCGCGGGGCTGGCGCGTGCATCTCCTGGGTCGCGGCGCGCACCTCGGCGATGCGCTGGGACTTCTTCAGGATCTGTGGCTGGAACGTGAAGGCGCTGTTGCGCTTCTCCTCCTGCGACGCGAGCCACGCCTGCCGCCGCCGCACCACCTCGGCGGCGCGCTCGTGCGGCGGGACGTACTTCTGCGGCTCGATCTGGTTCGTCTGCGGCCGCCCCGTCACCTCCGCCATCCGCTCCTTCTCCACCTCCGCGCGCTTCTTCTCGATGTTCGCCCGCCGCTTCTCCACCATCCCGTACAGCCGCTCGTGCCGCGGCACCCCCGCGCTGCTGTCCGCCTCCTCCCCGCCCCGCGCGCCCTCGCTCGCGCTGCCGCCGGACTCGCCCGACCGCCCCGGCCGCTCCTTCCGCCGCGACGCCGCCCGCGCCCGCCGCGCCTCCTCCGCCACCCGCTCCGCCTCCTTGCGCTCCCGCTCGGCCTTCTCCTCCAGCATCTTCCTCCGGTGGCGCTCGCGCTTCATCTGGTCCTCCTGCAGCCGCTCGTAGAACGACCGCGGCACCTTGCCCGCGCCCGGGCTGCGCGGCCGCGCCACGAAAGTCGGTTCGAACGGCAGCGCCTGCTCGTATTGCTCCTCGACGCGGCGCGCGACCTCGTTCTTGGTGTGGCGCCCCTGCGGCTGGCTCAGGTCGAACTCCTCGACCTTCGTGACCTGCTTCCGCGGCGACGCGGTGCCCTCCGGGCCGGGACTCCCCCCGTCTGGCGCGTCACGCCCCCGGGGGGCAGAGGCCGGCCGCGGGTGGGGCTGCGGGACGCCGGGCTTCGCGGCGCGGCGCTCCGGCTGGCGCGGGGGGCGCTGCGCGCGCGGCGGGGTCCGCGCGGTGGGCCGCGCCGGCCGGTCGGCCCCAGCGCGGGGGATGCGGGACGGCACGGCGGCGGGGGAGCGCCCGCGGGACGCCGGGTGCGAGTCCGGCGGCGAGACGATGCTGCCGGTGCCGACGCGGCCCCTGGAGACCGCGTCGTCCTGCGGGGTGTTGCTCTCGCCCGTCCCGGACTCGCCCGACCCGGGCGTGCGACCCGCCCCCAGGTCCATGTTGGGGGGGGGAGTGAAGGGCTTGGCGAGCAGGTCGGCGGCGTAGAGGATCTCCTGCGCCGAACTCGACGTGCCCGTGCCCTGCGACGCGGCGTCCCGCGCCGACGAGTGCCCCCCCTGCGTTGGGCCCACACGGCGCCGTAACAACTTCTTGCGACATCACGGAACACAGCCGCCGCGCACGCGAGTCGAGCGGGCGAGGGCGGGTATGGCTGGGCGGGGCGCGCACCGAGTGGCTGTCGTGCCCCAGGAACTCCCCCACTTCTACCGCGGCGCCCTGCTGGACTACCCCCATGGAGTCCTCGCCCCCCGTGCTCGACACGATGCTCCCCCAGCGGTCCATCTGCGGCCGGAACGGCACGCGCCGGCCGTCCGGCCCGAAGCCCCCCGCGGCGGTGTCGGCCGGCGGTGCCGCGAGGGGGCGCGCGACTGGACCCGGACTCTCGCTGCGCGGAGTGTGCACGTGCGACGAGTGCCCGATCGAGTGCGCCGAGACGCGGTGGAGGTCCGACTGGTCGAACCCGGGCACGCCCGTGCTGCGCGGCGAGAGCAGCCCGCCCGCGCTCACTGCCGAGGCCATGCCCACCGAGGCGCGCGATTGCAGCGGCATGCCGTCGTGCGCGCGCAGGAAGCCGCCCGACGGCGCACGCCCGGGCGCGGGCGCGCCCGCGTGGTGCGCGTCGTCGATCAGCGGGCTGTGCACGTTGAGACCCCCGGAGGGGTGTCTCCGGAAACTCCTCCCCCCGATGGTGCTGCCGGGGCTGATGATCCCCGACGCGCTCCGCGGCTCGAGGTGCGCGGGCGCGTGCGCGTGCCACTCCTCGCCCCCGCGCACGTCCGCGTGGTAGTGCACGTGCTGGTGGTGTCTCTCAAACTCCCTCCGGATCGACGACACCGTGTCCGACGGGGCCGCGCGCTGCTGCGGCGCCCCCGACGACGACGAGCTCCCGCTGTACGTGTCCATGTTGAGGATCTGCTGCAGCTGCGGCACGGCCGAGCCCGGCCCGGATGGCGCCCGGTCACCGAGGCCGTGCGTCGGGCTCGCGCCGGAGCGCTCGTCGATCGCCGGGAGGTCCAGGTGGTGACGGTAGTCGTGGAGGTGGCCGTGCGTCGCGCCGCGGCTCGAGGACGCGGCGGCGGGGTGCTGGAGGGTCGCATCGTCGCCAGGGTCCGCTGCACCGCGGTGCGGGCCCGCGTGGGCGTCGGCCTGCGGTGCGCGGGCGACGTGGTGTGAGGCTCGCGTGCGGTGTGCCGGGACAGGGCTCGAAGCGTGCGTTCCGGCGAGCTGGCGCCGCGTACGAGGAGGAGAGAGTCGTTTGGGGACGAAACTGACGCAGGGGGGTAGAAAAGCAGGAGCGCGGTGAGGCTCGTGGCCCCGAATCGCTGAGAGGTCGAGGGGCGGCGCGTGTGCGGCGCTGTCTGCGCCGTGAAAGGCCGCAGTGGACCAGAGCGACCCGGGAGCAAAAGCCCGGCGCGCACGCGGTCGCTGTGGCGCCGGGAACGTGCCGCATCGGCCTACCAAGGTCGTTCGTCACCCATCAAAGCGCCCGGGCCGCAGCGGAAGCTGCGCCAACGCGCAGGTAGTGCGTCTCCGCAGCCGTGCCATCAACAACGAGCCCGGCGCAGGCATTTGAATACTCCGCGGCGTTCGCGGGCTCCAGGGCGCGAACGACGCCCGGCGCGCCAAGACAGAGCCAGAAAGAACGCGCTCCGCGCGCAGAGTCCGCGGTTGGCTCCAGCGGCGCGGAGGACGAGGCCTCCAGTGCCTCGCGCTCACCTTCTCCGCGCGCTGGGCGCGCTCTGAGTCCTGCGGGTCCATCTCTGGCTAACGCATTCGCGTCCCGGTCGCGTGTGCGTCGCGAACAGAGTGCCCGGCGCGGCGTCGCGGCCCCCGGAAGTCCCCTCGGTGGTAGGAGGGAGTGGGGGTTGCTGAGTCGACACTGGCCGGGGCCACCGAGGGCTGCCGGTCCACCGCGGCGCTGGTTGCTGCGCGGGCGGGCGAGGAGGGCGAAGTATCGTTCGATGACGATAGGTTGAGGAGCGAACGCAGTCGCACACTGGGCGCACCGCGCTCCTGCTCTACAGCTGTGGTGACCCTACCCCACGATCTCTCCAGCTCGATTGCGCGGGGGCGAACGTCCCAGGCCCCCCTGTGCGAGCTGCCGCAGTGGCGGCGCGGCGGGCGCGCGAGTTGCGGCGGCTGAGCAGCCTGCGGACAGCGTGCTTCCTGGCGTGGGGCGCTGCTCGTCGCATCTGGTGCCTCACGGAGGCCAAATCGACGCACATTATAGCTCTGTCTCTTGGATTGGAGCGCCGGTAGGTTTCAATTCGGTCTCGTCTCCCCCAGCGCGGCGCATTGGAGGTAGGATACGTGCGAGCTGCGACTACCTGCTCGTGCCGCGGGAGTCGAGCGCCCGTTTGCGAATTAGCTACTTGCTCACACCGGAGGTGCAGTACACGGAAAGCTGGGCCATGGATGCGGACGAGGGTGCGGGTGCAAGGCCTTCACCAGGCGATGAGGCTGCAGGCATCTCGGTGAAGCCAAGACAGCCGCTCGTCAGGCACGCCCCGCCCACACATGCGTCCAACTATGCAGGAACGATCAGGAATGAGAAAAATGGGCGGCGTGCAGCGGAAGCTGGTCCTATGTGCCTTAGCATTGACACCCGTTTCTGGCGCCTGCCGGACCAGTGTCGTTCGACCTTCGCCCTCGAACCCGTCCCTCATCGTCTGAACGTGCGCTCCGACGCGTTGCGTGTCTCTTTGTCCGCAGCATCCTCAAGAAATCGACCCTAAATGGAGAGGCCAGTGCAAGCCTGCGCGAGGCGGGACAGGAAGACATCACTCCGCTCGACTGCGCGCGGCAGAAGACGTCCATCGACGCCCTGTCAACGCCCGTCGCTCGGCCCGAGGGGCCCGCCTCGACCTCGACCGTCGGGGACGGGGCTGCGGCACCCCCGCTTCGCTCGGCCGGCCCGAGCGCGCCCGGGACGCCGGCGTCCCACGAGCCCCTCTCAGCCATCCCCCCACGACTGCTCGTGCCGGAACCTTCAGCGCGGGGGCGGGGAACGGCCTCACTGCCAGGCCTGCGGGCGGTGAAGCACGGAGCGGACGGTCCCGCTGGCAAGGGCAGCGAGCTGTCCTGGGACCCTTCCGTCGAGGTGCGACAGCGCGCGACGAGCTCGCAGGGCGCGCCGAACCGAGCGCTGCTGCGCTCGCGCCCCCGCACCGCTCCGCTGGTGCAAAATCCATGTCTAGAATCTATATCTGAAATATCATACAATCATATATGATCCATATCTGGTAGGAACTCCAGTGGTCGTGTTGCGCGCGCAGCGCGTCGCGGCATCCACCGCGCCTCGCCCTCTCCGAGTGCGCGTGCAGTTCGAGACCCAGTCGATGAACGGCGTCGCGAAGCCCTTCCGCGGCCCGCGCCGCTCGCGCCAGAGCCATGGCGGCAGCAGCGCGAGCTCCAAAACGGTGCGCTCCCGGGCAGCAGCCCCCCCCGCACCCCGCGACCCCGCCCGCGCGGCGTCCCCCACCTGCGCGCGCGTCGTCCCTGACCGTCTCCCGCGCTGACATCCCCCCCCCCTACCGCCGAGCGTGCAGTCTAGACAGACGGACGGCGAGCTCGTTGTGCGCAACATCGTGGACATGGCGGCGAGCCCGGCGAGCCTGCGGATGTCCATGCGCAGGCGGGCATCCCTCGAGGCCACCGCCGACGGCCAGGAGATCCTCTGCGCCGCGCAATCGGTGCGCCCCCGTGCCCACTCCCTGCGCCACCGCCCCGCCCCGCCAGCAGCGCTGCCTGACGCGCAACCCCCCTCCCCCCCCGGCCGCGCTCTACGCAGAACAAGACCGCCCGGCAGCGCTGGCGCACTGCGGTGCGGAAGATCATTCTGACCAACATGGTGTCGTCGCAGTTTTCGACGCTGCGGGAGATGCACTCGGTCCCCGCGATCCACCCGACGCAGCTGCAATTCATCCGGCAGCTCGGCGCGGGCACGTTCGGCCGCGTGCAGCTGATGAAGCTGCGCAAGGCCGGCACGCCGAGCAGCAAGGTGGCGATGAAGATCCTGCGCCGGTCGACGCTGACGCGGTCGTCGTGCCAGGACTTCGTGAACGAGGTCAGCATCCTGCGGCGGCTCAGACACCCGAACATCATCCGCTTCCTCGGCATCGGGGACGACCAGGGCTCGCCGGTGCTGGAGCCCCAGGTGTCGCTGACCGACGCCGTCCACACCTTCCTGGTCCTCGAGTACTGCTCGGGCGGCAGCCTGAAGGACCTGATCAAGAAGCAGATGGCGAACGGGCCGGGGAACCTGGTCTTCGGCCACCGCGACGCGTTCGCCTGGCTTTGCGACGTGGCGGAGGGACTGGTGTACTTGCACAAGTCAATACCCCCCGTGGTGCACCGCGACATCAAGGTGAGCGGGCGGCGCTGCGTGGCGTGCCTGCGTGCGCGCGGGACCGCCGTGCGGGCCCACCCCCCCCTGCCGCGCTGCCTGCGACGCGTGCGTGGTGGCGAGTGCTGATGGCAGACCCGCTCCCGCCCACCGCGACGCGTGCAGCCGGACAACGTCATGCTGGCGCACGTCAAGGGGAGGTTCGGGTCGGGGTACACGGCGAAGATCTCCGACTTCGGCACCAGCAAGGTCCTCGGGGTGGAAACCATCATGCAAAAGTCCGTCACGTTCCGGAAAACGGTGCTGCGGCTGTCGGCCACGGGCGAGGCGGAGCTCGCCGACACCGCGGGGGGCAGGAGCGACTTCGCGCCCCGGGAGAGCCTCGGCGGCGCGCAGTCGGCCGTTTCGGAGTACCTCAGGCAGAGCGTACATTTGCAGCGCTCCGTGCCGTCCGGGGAGCTGCGCGTCATGGAGGAGAAGAAGCGCACGGCGGAGATGTCCCGCAGCCAGCGCAACTCCGCGCTGACCGACGGCGGCGGGTCCTCGCACGGCGCACGCGGGGCGCCGCACGGCGTGGACGTCGGCAGTGCTCTGGAGCTCCCGCCCACGCCCACGCCGCGCACCCCCGGGCTCGAGGGGCTGTTCCCCCCGCTGGCCGAGGACGAGGAGGAGGAGGAGGAGGAGGGCTACGAGGGCGTGCTCGGGAAGCTCGCGTTCGAGGGCTCGCAGCGGGAGGTCACCCGCCCGTCGCTGCTGGCGCGCCTGTTTCCGTGCCTGGGGCCCAAGGTCGCGGCGGTCGCCCCGGAGCAGCCAGCGCCGGCCAAGGACGCAAAGTACGCGCCGCTCGACCTCACCGGCGGGACGGGGTCGCTCCTGTACATGGCCCCGGAGGTGTTCCGCAGCGAAAAGTATAACGCCAGGGCTGACGTGTTCTCCCTCGGGATGCTCGCGCTCGAGCTCTTCTCCCGGTGCCCCCTCACGACCACGCACAACCTCGCCTGCTCCGACGACGTCGTCCACTTCGGTACGCCCGCGACCCCCCCCCTTTGCCAGCACACCCACCGTTGCGCAGCGCACCAACCCCACGACAGGCATACGCTCCGCCCGCCGTTGACTCACCGCGGCCCGCCGCTCCGCCTCGATCTGCAGCCCAGTCCATCTCGAACGGCTGGCGGCCCGACATCCCCAAGAAGCTCCCGCCCCCATTCAAGGACTTCGTAAAAGCCTGCCTAGAGCACGACCCCGCCGTGCGGCCCTCCGCGCACGCGGTCGTGCGCATGCTGCAGGAGATGACCCCGGCCATGCTCAAGTGGGCCCAGCAGCAGGACATCGCCATGGCGCGCGCGTCGATGAAGTATCGCGCCGCCACCGAAGACCAGCGGTAGCTGCCTTGCACCACGGCCGGTGCCCCTGCGGGGCCGCCGTGCGGCAGCTGCCGCGCAAGCAGCAAGCTGCCCCGACGGGTCCTCTGTCTCGCTTTCCCGAACGCGTTTTTTCGCAGTACAACACTTATACGAATAGGGCGCAGCCCTACCGCAACCTACCCACCCATGAGCCAACACCAGCGTGCGATTCGCGCTCGGCAAATCACCTGCGGTCTGCGACGCGCCTTCCCCTCTCGTTGCATCCCTCCACACCCCTCCCTAGCATGCCCTTTCCGGTTTCATCGCATTTCTACCTATCTTTTCCTGTCTGATCGGAATGGCGCCGTGAAGACCACGAGAGCACGACGTCAGGGTCCCCGAGAGTTGGCGCAGCCATCATCATGAGCACAAGCACCCTCTCCGACCAGTCCAGTCCGAGGCTCAAGGCAACGCGACATCGTAGCTCGGCCTGCACAACTCTGCGCCGATGTGTTGACGGGGAGTGCAGCGCGGCGGGGCGGTCGGCACCGCTATCGCCGCGGCTGGTTTGAAGCGTTTCAAGATGCATGCAAGTGGTGACTCCATCGCAAGTCTAGTGAACAATCTAGCTGCTTCGACCATTGAATGTGAGCTAATGTCTCCAGCTCGCCGGTGACTCGCGGTTCAGGCAGCGGTCTGGGGCTGTCTCCGGCCTCCTCGCGGGTCGACTGCAGAGTGTCGAAGTGATTTGAGAATCCCCGTCTCCCATTTGCACTCCTTAGAGCCTTTCGCCTCGACCCGCACTCCTCCTCCCGCGCTGCTCGTGCGCAGTCTCTGAACGTTGACAGCCACGTCTTGCGCCCGTGAGCCCCGCGCAGTGCACCGCACCGCTGCGCAACCATGACACGCGTACCAGCTCCCCGACGTTTGGTCCCGCGGGCGGCGCATGCTCCGGAACGCGTGCGGTTGCATCGCTGTGGTCGACCAGGCGCGTGGATAGGCATCGTGGGGCGCGGTCGACGCGGGGTGGTGTCACGGATGGTCAGGGGGGGAGTGTGTGTTGGCCGCGCCCCTCGGCGGCCCCGCGGCGTTCGGGCCCAAGCGAGGCGGCACACGGACTGCTCGGTCAGTATGCAAGCAGGAACAAGCGCAGAACCCGTATTTTGCGTCCGTGTGTCGCTAGTACGGGCTCTTGCACGCAACAGAGGCTTCCGCTGGTTCAGGGCGGCCCTGCGTGCGTCCGGCCACGCCTCACAGCTTCCCTATCGCCTTTCCAGTCTCTCGTTACATTCGCCCACCTGTTCGTGCGGCAACAGAGGTCATGGCACCGGCGGGGAGGGCCGCGTCGCGCAGTCGCTGCAGCGCTGCGGTACGCAGGGCGCCGCGGCGTCTCGCTGGCGTGCTCCTAGCGCTCGTCCTCTTGCTCTTCGTCGCGGTTCCTTCCTGTTCAAGTGCCACCGCGGAGGACGAAGCGCGAGAGGAGGCCCTGCGGGCGCTGTCGGAGGGTCTCGACGTGCGGCGCCCAGCACTACATTTCACGACCCTGCTGCCTCCCATCCGATCGCCGGGCTCCCGCTGCACGTCCCAGCTCACGCCGCACTGCGGGACGAGGCGGTCTCGGGTCCCCCCCGCGCCGTGACGCGAAGAACGAGACCTGGTTGTTTCCACTCTTTGTTTGGCAGGGCAAGTCTCTCGAGGAGCTGCAGGCGATGCTGATCGAGACGATCGAGAACAGCGACCCGGAGGTCCTCAGCAAGCTCGCGCAGCAGGGGGCGCGCGTTCCGGAGGGCGAGGTGGGCGACGCCCGGGCGGACCCGGAGGTGCTCCAGGAGATGGTGCGACGGGCGGAGCGACGGTCCGCCGGCGACCTGGACGCGATCAGGGAGGCGATATCGGTTCTGATCGCGCCGGAGGTGTCCGAGGACATGCTGAGCGCGGCCCTCGAGGTGCGTGGAGGGGGGGGTGTTGCCTTGAGTCATGTGGGTATGAGCCGGTGCCAGGGGCGTCTCGCGGCGTGTGTCCGGCTGAGACGACCTCGGCCGTCCCGCCTGTATGTTCGCAGCTGCTGGAGTACAAGCTGGCGGACGTGGACCACGCGAACGACTTTTTCCGCGTCAACGACGGGGAGGCGCTGGCGACGCTGGTCGACCTGATGTCGCCGGCGCGTCCTGCGCACCTCCAGGCCCAGGCCGCGGCCGTCGTCGCCACAGGCTGCTCCAACAACCGGCCCTTCGCGGACGCCGCTGCCGGCGCCGCGGACGGCGTCGGCGTCGCACCCTTTGCCGCGGGGCCGCTGGCGGCGCTGGCAACCGGCCGGCACGGGCCCGAGCCGGCCCACAGCGGCCTTCGCGCCCTCGCTGCGTGCATGCGCGCGAGCCCGTCCTTCGCGACGGAGGTCTTCGGGCGCGACGCCCTGCGGCAACCGCTTGTGGATCTGGCAGCCGGCGTCGCGGTCAGCGGCGAGGCGCCGCCGACGACCGCGGAATCGATGCGGGCCGCGACGCTGCTGTCGGACCTTGCCGTCGAAGGCGACATGCGCGCGCGGAACGCGCTGAAGGGGCCCGCGCAGCTGCAGTTCGCGCTGCGGGCTCTCAGTGAGGTGGCGGGGGACGACGCGGGGTGGGACCGGCAGGAGAAGGCGGTGAGGCTGCTTGCGTCGTGTTTGCGGTACGGCGGGGCGGGGGCGCTGGGGGAGGACGACGTGGACGCCGCGCGGCGCGTCGTGGGGCAGCTGCGGCGACGCGTGGCTGCGGAGGAGAGCAGGGGGGGCGTCGATGACTTCTTGCGGGACGTCGAGACGGTGTGCGACGACGTGCAGCAGATGCTGGCACACCCGGAAGGGAGCGGTGGTGGGGGCGCGGTTCTCGCGAGCGGCGCGGGCGCGGCCGACCTGTAGCCCGGCAGAGGTGCGGTTTGAATGCGGTTGCGCCAGCTGCGGCGCAGGGGCGACAGCTGGTGTGATACGGACCGAGGAGTACCTCGCGGAGTGGGAGCGGTGCGGCGCAGGGCCGGGGTGGGGGGAGTGAGGGGCAACCTTGGTGTTGTACCTCGCAAGCGGGCGTCACGGCGTGTCCGTGCTGGCGCGCCCGCCTCCGATCCTTTCGCCGACACTCCTCGTCAGACACATCACGCTATTCGGATCTCACATCGTCACATCGAGCACGCATCGAGTGTCGCGCGCAGCAACACTCCCTCTCGCGCCCACGAGTCTGACCGCCTGTCCAGACCTCGCAGAACGCATGTATCCAGCGCCACACACACGCACCAGCCGAGCACGTCCCCGCCTAGTTCCACCGGTTCGTCACCGGGTCGCGCGCCTTCATCGACAGCATCTCCGTCGGCATGTGCCGCCGCCCCATCGAGTACTGCTCCGCGTACCCGCGCCCCGTCATCACCCCCGCGGGCCGCTGGCCTGCTGCGGGGGCCTCCGGCGGGCCGCCGGCCTGCCAGTCCCCGACGATGGGGTTGAAAATGCCCCGGTCGGACGCCACGCGCTTGCCGCGGTCCTGGTGCGCGAGCGCAGAGGGGCGCCCCGCGGCGCCCGGCGCCGCAATCACGGGCTCCGCGACGCGGAGGACCCCCGTGAGCGGGTCCACGGCGCCGCCGACCGTCGGCGTGTGTCTGCGGCCGGCCTGTTTGTCGACGAGGCGCTTCTCCGCGTGGCTGGTCGGGGGCCGCTTGAAGCTCCCGCAGATCGGGTCGAAGCTGCCGTCGTCGACGACCGCGAGGCCGTGGTGGTACGCGTTGCTGTTGCCGCCCCGGCGCAGCTTCCCCGCACAGGGCAGGTCCGGGTCCAGCATGACGTTGCCGGCGTGGTCGCGGTGGTGCCGCGTGCCCGTGCGCGGCCGCGGCACCCCCGTGTAGCTCACGGCCGGGGAGCTCCCCGGCGAGCTCGTCGGCGTGAGCGTGATGACGTCGTAGTCGTGCTGAGTCAGGGGGTCCACGTGCCGCTTGCCCGTGGAGTGGTCCCCGCGGCCGTACCGGGAGGGGTCGTACTGGACGTCGCCGACGTGGGCGCGGATGCTGTCGCCGCGCGGGCCGTAGAGGCGCGACGTGACGAGGCCGTCCAGGTGCCGGAAGATGCGCTCGTCCTCAATGCACATGGTCTCGTGGGCGGTGGGGGTGCCGTAGGGGCGCAGCGGGCGCTGGTGGGGCCGCACGCGCTTCTCGAAGAACGGAGTGCCCGGGGGCGAGACTGCGGGGCAGGGCGCGGCGATGCGGGGGTGAGAGAGGGAAGAAAAGCCACCAGAGGATAGGCAACAAGGGGTACTAGCGCGACACCGGGTCTAGCGGTCTACAAAACGGGTAGCAGAGGGCTTTGAGCAACTATAAAGATCTATTGAAGCACGATCGCGGCAGATTCAGAGCTCGGGAGGGCGTCGAGTGGCCGTGCGCGTGCACGGCGCCACCTGGCACTATCGTTGTGCGCGCGGGCGCCTGCACGCCCGCATTGACGCCCGTCGGAGCGCTGATCTGAAGTGCTCTAAGATAGGGCATTGCGGGCGGCGAAGGAGAGCTCCCGTGAGTGCCCCTCGTGGACGCGACGGGGCGGGAGGAGCATGGCCGCCAAGTGGCATGGCGAGAGGCGTGGGGGCGCTACGTACCCGGACCGCGTGTCGTGGTGGCGCGGCCGACAGCCTCGTAGATGTCTGAGGAAAACTGGGCTTGCGAGAAGGGGCTCGGCGCGCCCTTGCTGAAGCCCCAGCCGTTCGGGGGAGCTGGCTGAGCAACCGTCGCCATCTCTCGCGGTGTCACGTCGGGAGGCCTCGACAACGTTCAAGCTGCTCGCGGAGGAACGTTTGTGGCGGTTCGTCGGCTAAGAGCAGACAACACGCCTCTCCAGGGACGAGGACGAGGGCCGCGAAGGTGGCCACGTACGCGAGGCAATGCGGCACGGAATACGTAGTTCTAACGTCGGTTCGGAGGTTGTCTGCGATGCTTGCGATAGTAACGCCTTCTCGCGGCCCCGCGCGCCCACCACAGCGCGCCGACGGGGCCGAACGGCACTGCTGAGCAGAGGCCTCCCACGGCCGTCCGACGGCGCCCTCCGGCCCCGCGCGCGACGTGTCTCCGCCGCGGCGGCTTGCGACAGCACTGTGCACACTCTTTCTGCCCCCGATAAGCGCACATCGCGCCTCCATCCGCCGGACGCAGACGTAGAGGCCGCAGGGCAGGTGCACTCACGCGCTCCCGCGGGCCGCTCACCCGCGCCCGCGCCCCCGGAACGGACGACTCGACTATATCTCTTTCGCGTGCTGCGGCGGAGCTTTCCGCCGGCCGGCCTGGGTGGGAGCGCACGCGCCCAGAAGGGACCAGCCTTGCACGCCGGAGCGCCTGGTGTGCGTGGACGCAGCCGCGAGCGCCGGCCGCTGACTCCAATACGTGCAACTACCGCGAGCCATCGCGCCGACGAGGGCCCGCGAAGTCCAAACCGTGGTTATCGGTTGCTTTCCTGCGCGACCTTTGTCGGTTCGCTTGCCAGCGTTTTTTCTGAACGCGTAACGATCCTTTGAGTGCCTTTGATGGATAAAATGAGTATCATAGATTCCTTGTAGCGTCGTGGAAGTGCGAATATTTTTTTGAATCATGCGGAATTGAGGTCTCTAATCCTTGCAACAGCCAGCCCTTCGACCGGACGAATGCATGTTTGCATGAAATGCCTCTAATCCTTGGCGCTGAGGTCGCGCCCGAGGTACATGACCTCAGCCGTTAGCATCCTCACGTTCTCTGCCTCCACCGCAGTGCACTGCAGTCCTCGCTGCTTCGAGGATCGCAGTGCACAGAGGCGTGGGCAGAGAACGTGAGGGAGCTCCACGCTGGGGTCACGTACCTCGGGCGCGATATCAGCGCCGAGCGCATCGTCGAGGACGCGCGCTTCGAGGATAATGTCAAGTTGGGTCCCAAGTTGCCCAGGGACCGTCCTCTGCGACGGCGGCGCGGTGCACGCGGTCGTGTGCGCCGCCGCGTCGGATGGTGGTCGACCATTCTTCCCCACGACCTACACACTCACCCCCCCGCGGCCCCACGGGCGGCATGCACGGGCCCGCCCCCCCCCAGCGTACACCCCTCACAACCCACCTGCCCCCCGCACGGAGACCCCACCACGAGGCACGACGCAAAGGCAGGGCGTCCGTCAGCCTTGCGACGCAGCGCACGAGGTTTGCGCCGGTCGCGGGAGCCGGCGCGCGCGAGAACGCTGCCCGACTGCAGCATTGGGTCGGGTTCGCCCTGCGTGCAGGCGTCGCCTGCCCGCAGGTCGCGCAGCTGGCGCACCACACTCACACGGGCTCATGTATCGCCTGCTCCGCTTGCAAGACTGCAAGGGACGATCCGCATCCCCCGGCACAGTCGCGGACGATGGTCGTGACGCTGACGATAGACCCTGACCAGCTTGACCGGGCGCACGATGTGCTCGAGCCCGGTCAAGCTGGTCGGGGGATATCGACAGCGCCACGACCATCGCCCGCGAGTGTGCCCGGGTCGTCGGAGCGGGCGGTCTTCCGCGCAGGGCAGGTGATGCACGGGCCATTATCGTGCGCCAGCTGCGCCCCGCAGCCCGCGAGCGGGGGGCACGATGGCCCGTGGGCAGGCGACGCGGGGACGCGGGGCGGGACACACGCTGTGCGGCGCCGCGCTCCCGCCGTCGCGTCCGAGACGCTCAACGAGAGATTCTGTGTCAGACACAGGCAGGCAGCATACGATGTTGCCGCCGGTCGCGGGAGCCGGCGCGCGCGCGGACGCTGCCCCCGACTGCAGTATTGGGATCGCGCTGCGTGCCGGCGTCGCCTGCCCGCAGGTCGCGCGGCTGGCGCACCACACACATACGGGGCTCATGCATCGCCTGCTGCGCGCGCATGCCTGCAGGGACGACCCGCGCCGCCAGGCGACTCGCGGGCGATGGTCATCGTCATGCTCAAGATCAACCGCTCGACTGGCCGCACGACGCGCTGGAACGCGGCAAGTTCCTTCTGCGGTCCTTGCACACGCCGAGTACCCCGCAGCCGTCCTGCCAGGCAGAAGGCTGCTGCAGGACGGCTGCGGGGTACTCGGCGTGTGCAAGGACCGCAGAAGGAACTTGCCGCGTTCCAGCGCGTCGTGCGGCCAGTCGAGCGGTTGATCTTGAGCATGACGATGACCATCGCCCGCGAGCTTCCCTGGCGGGAGTGGGTCGTCCCTGCGGTCTCGCGCGCGGAGTAGGCGATGCATGAGCCCTTTTCGTGCGCCAGCTGCGCGACGCAGCCTGCGAGCGGGGGGCACGGCGCACGCTGCACCTGAACCGACTCGTCCACCGCGGCGGTCGCCGTGCTCCCGCCCTAGCCGCGCCACCACGCTGCTCGTCACCACGCTTCGCGACACCGCCGTTGCCGTGCTCGCCCGCGCCCGCCTTCGCACCTGCCACTTGTGTCTGACACAAGTGAAAGAAAAGAAAAGAATCTTGTGACTTTAAGTAAATTTCAGACCTGGTACACCGCCCGCATCTCCTCCGCGCACGGCGTCCTCGCCGCACCGATCGCCAGCAAGTCCGTCGCGGGCATCCTTCACCCCGACGCGCCCATGCCTCCCGCACGCGCCCGACGCCCCAGCCGCCTCGCTTCCGATACGCCCCAGCGCCGCCCGCACGGCCCGGGCACCCCAGCAGCGCCACCTCTCCGCCAGCCACCGCCCCGCCGCCAGGCGCCCGCGCCGCCCGTGCTCTCGAACCACGCCCGCCACGCGCCCAGCCCCGCACACCGCCTCTGCGTACACAACGCCCCGCGAATCGAATCCACCGCTGCACCGTCCTCCCGTGAGACGCCACTCCAACGCATGCACCACTCACACATCAGCCGCGCCCCAGCCCCTCACCCGCGGCAAACTCCCGCCGGCGACGCCGCCAGCGGCCCAGGCGACTGCCCCAGCGCCTCCGACCCGGCCTGCGACCCCGCCAGCGCGTCCCGCACCATCCCCTCGGGCGTCCCGTGCGCCGCTACCGCAGCAGCCTCCGCCTCGGGCCCCGCCGCAGCAACGGCGCCCACGCGCGGCTCCTCCGCGGCCGCCGGCGCCGCCGCCGGGCCCAGGACGGGGGAGTAGTCCGACAAGTTGCGCCTGTCAATCTTGACCCCGTCCTGGTCGACCCAGCACCCGTACGCCTCCTGGGAGTTGCCCGTGACCTTGAACGTGCGAGTCTTCCTCTTCGCCGGCGTGGCCTCGTCCGCCCTCGCGTGCTCGCCGCTGTCGTCGCCCCCGTCGTCGCTGCCGTCGCCCTCGTCGTCGCTGTCGTCGCCCTCGCTGTCGCTGCCATCGCCCACGCGCGGCTCCTCCGCGGCCGCCGCCGGGCCCTCGACGATGTCGATGCCCTCGCTGCCGCTGTCGTCGCCCTCGCTGCCGTTGTTCGCGGCAGGGGACGGAGCGGTGTCGAGGCGCTGGGGCGGTGCCTGCTTGGCGGCGGGCGCGTCGTCGTGCGCGTGCGCAGCCGCCTCGAGCGCCGCGGCGAGCGACGTGCGCTGCTCGCCGTCCGAGCTCGTGCTGCCGCGCTGCCGCTTCGCCGCGTGCTCCGTGCTCCCGGCGCCCGCCTCCTCGCCGGCGCGGCGCTTGTCGCTGCTCCCGGCCCCGTCCGTGGCCGCCGCCGCCGCCACCGCGGCCGCAAGCACCGCGTCCACGGCCTCGCGCGCCGGCGTCACCTCCCCTGCCGCAACCTGCGTCGCCACCACACCCGCCCCCTCCCCCTGCCCAGGCGAGGCCTCCAGCTCCGTCCCGCCCCCGGCCGCGCCCACCAGCCCGGGCGACCTCGCGTGCTCCCGCCACACCCCCCGCGCCTCCATCTGCTGCTGCGACTCGTGCGTGGCGTCAATCATGCCGTTCAGCCCCTCCAGGAAGCGCGCGTGCGTCTCCGCGACCACAGCCGTGCTCCGCACGTAGTCCTGCTTCATCGCCTTGGCCGCCTCCCGGAACGCCGCCTGCTTGACCTGGTAGCTGTCCAGGGCGGACCGAATCTCTTCCTGCAGGGACTCCTTCACGCGCTGCAGGGCCTCGCACTCCACCTCGAGCTCGCGCGCGCGCTCACGCGCGCCCTCCTCCTTGGCCGCGAGCGCCCGCGCCGCCTCGCGCGCCGCGGCCGCCTCGGCAGCGGACTGCTCCGCAGCAGCGCGCTCCTGCTGGCACGCCGCGCGCAGGTCCGCGGCCTCGCGCTCCGCCGCGTGCCGCGCCTGCGTGAGCGGAGCTAGGGGCGGACCGCGGTCAGCACTCTGCGCTTCGCGCCCGAGAAGCAGAAGAACAAAAACAGAACACGCAGTGGGTGCGCAATGACATACGAGCTGGGCGCGGCGCTCTCCGCGCGCTCTGAGTCTCTGCGCCGCACAGACACGCGCGTTCCAGCACGGCGCGTGCGGCCGGGCGCGCCCTCGGGCGCCGGCCCCCACGCACCCGCTCCGCCTCCACAGCAGACTTCACGGCCTCCTCCCGGGCGCTCGCCGCGTCCCTCGCGGCCCGCTCGGCGTCGCTCGCGCGTTTCTCGGCCGCCTGCGCGCGCGCCTCGAGCTCCCGCACCGCCGCGCGGAGCCCCTCGGCCTCGCCCGCCAGGCGCGACACGTCCCCGCGCAGCTGCAGGTCCTGCCGGCGACGGTGCTCGTCCGCCGCCCGCGCCGCGTCCTCGAGCGCGCGGATCTTCGCCTCGAGGTCCACGCGCGCCTCGCGCGCGCGTCGCGCTTCCTCCTGCGCAGCAGCGACGACACGCAACACCGCGCCGTGGCTCACTGGCCGCGGGGCGCGACGGGGAGCACGCGGGGCGCTCGGGGAGTGCCTCGCGGGTGGCGCGGGGGCGTGCCTGGAGGCGCGCGTCGCGTTCGGCGATCTCGCGGTCCTTGGCGGCGATCTTCGCAGTCAGCTCCTTGTTGCGTTCGGCGTACACGGCGGCGGCGCGCAGGATCCCGACGTCGTCCGGCTCGGCGGCGGCGGGCGACGGGGCGGCGTCGGGCTTCTGCGCGGCAGGAGGCGCGTCCAGCGGGGTGGGCGCCGGGTGTCTGTGCTGAGGGAGCGAGCGCACGCGGTTGCGGCGCAGTGCGGGTTGTTTTGCGCGCTGGTGGTAGAGGCTGGGAAGACGTACCTCGGGCGGGCAGGCGCGGGGCGTCGGGGCGTGGAAGGCGGCAGCTGAGAGGTCCCGAGTGAGGGGGCTGCCGTTTTCCGGGCTCCTGGGGACGCTGCGCTCCAGGGTGCTCACGATGTAGCGCACCTCCGTATCGCGCTCTTCCTTGGGGTTCTGGCGCGCGAGCGTCAGCGTGTCCCCTGCGGCGCACGGCGAGCTGCGCGCGGCCGTGTGACAGATCGAACCATCCAAACCGCTGGTTGGCGCCAGGGCGGGTCTCCCGCCGCCTGGGCCGCGTGCCGGGACCGCGAGGCGGCTTAGGGCGGAGCACTGCTCATAGACGCTGCGTTTGCCGGCCCAGCACGGTGCTTAGGCCCCGCGGTGACGGTCACGGAGCAAAGCAGCAAGGCAACAGACACGCGCGCGACTCGCTCTCCCTGGGTGCGTACCGGGGCGGATGAGGACGTCGACGCCCCTCTCGACCTGCTTGTCGTTCCGGAAGGTGCCGTTCGTGCTTGTGTCCTTCACGTACCACCCCTGCTGGCCGCCAATGTCCTTCCACTGGATGGAACAATGCTTGCTCGACACCTGCGCACCGGAACGATGAGGTACTCGTTTTCCGAGGCGAAACGATTGCTCGCGAGGCAGAGAATCAACTCTGCGCGAGAGAAAGGCGTCGCGCGGCTCGGTCGGGCGCGGGCGCGGGCAGCAAGCGCAGCGTGCACGTGCCTGCAGCCAGCCCGCGGGAAGTTTGATGTTGTCCTTGGGGGGCGCGCGGCCGAGCACGAAGCCGGACGCGGGGATCTCGAAAGGCTCTTTGTTGAAGGCCTTCGCGACCTTGGAGGCGGGCTCCAGGAGGAGCGTGCGGTCCGAAGTCATGGTGTGCGGTCAGCGACGCCGCGCGCCGCTCGAACGGGCCGTTTTCAGCGTCGCGGGAGGCAGGTGGCGACGCGTTCTGCGTCCTCGCGCGCGGGAACGGGCCCCTCGAGGCCGCGGAACGCCGAACGCGGCGGGGGGGGGACTCGAACAGTAGGACACAGGGGGGTGTCTCGCGATTCAGCGGCCTAAGCTCGGCGGTTGGTAGCCCGGGGGACGCTTCGCGAGCGGACACGTCCGTTGCGAGCGCCTTCTGCGCCAGGTGTCGTCTGGCTGGGTGCGCGGGTGCAGGTGCTGGCGTCCTGGGGGCGGGCTCGCGGGTGCGTGGGCGCTGCGATGCCGCTCGCGGCGCGCCCTGACTGCGGGGACGCGCAGTTCGCGGGCCTGGAGTTCGGGTACACGAGCAATGTGCGCGAGACGCTCGAGGTTCGCCGCACCACTGCTTGGCTCCTGCGCGTGGTCCCGCTCGCTCACGTCCGCGAACGGCAACGTCGCTCGGGGCTGAACGTCCGCGTCTCTGGCTGCGTCGCAGAATGCGTTGCAAGCGGGCTTCGACTTCGCTGTGCTGCCAATAGCGCACGCGAGCTCCCGGCGGACCGACCCGGGCAGAGCGGGGGGCGGGAGCGTGGCCGACGTGCCGCCGTTCACGCACTCCGACATGGACCTCACGTCCGCGGAGTGGTCCACGCGCGTGGTGAGCACCTCACGTCCGCGGACCGCCTCTGCGCTCACCCTGTGTGCACGCAGCACCCTGAAGAGCCGCCCCCGCGCCCACACGGGCGGACTCTGCGCTTCCTCGCGCCAGCGCATCCTTAACCAGTCAGTGCGCATGCGTATGCGCGCGTTGCCTCTCCGGAAGGTTCGCGTCCTGCGTGCCACAACGGCTCGGCACGGCGTCGTGCTGCGCAGGTGTCGACTCTGAGCCCCTGGGCGTCGCCCGACTGCCCGAACGACGCCCTGCGCAAAGACAGCGAGTTCACGCTCGCGCAGGAGCTCTCCTGGGCGCTGCACCTCGGCGTCGGCGCCGTGATCACGCCCCCCCTGCGCGGCCCCGACGCAGCGAACCTCGCCCGCCTGCTGTGCGCCGTCCTGCGAGACACCGGCACGCGCACGCAGGCGTGGGTCCGCGTCCCGGCCACGGCCCCCGCGCAGGACGCCGAGGACTACGTCGCGGAGGCAGCGGCGGCGACCGCCACGCTGCAGGAGCACGGGCTGCTCGCCCCCGAGCCCGACACGCCGCGAGCGATACGCGCGGGGTCCGCGGGGCGCAGGCGCACGGGCGGGGACCCCGCGGGCCCCCCCGCGGCGCGCCCGGTCTCGCCGGCGGCGGCAGAGGACGGGGGAGTGTTGGGGGGTGTCGGACGCGCACGCCAGACGGACGGACAGGGCGCCGAGGGGGATACGTGGGAGTGGTGGGACCAGGTGCGGCGCCGCAGCGACTGCGTGCCCTGACTGTCCCTTAGGTCGCTGCAGCGTCACATATTATTATTATAATTATCATTGACGCGGGTTCCGTGTCTTGCTGGTTGCCCGTGCAGCTCGCGACGTTGTGCGGGCGGCACAAGCTCCTGGGGATATGTCTCGACATCACGCGCGGCGTGTCGCTGCCCAGGATGCGGCGGTGGCTCGGGGAGCCCGTGCGCGCCCTCAGCATCAGCACAGACGCCTTCCTGGCCAACAACCGGGGGTACCCGGTGCTCCCGCGGCGGATCCAGGAGGTCCTGCGGACGTTCTTCCGCCACGGCGTGCAGGTCGTCCTCTCCGGGCCCCCGCTCATCACTCCCCCGGAGGACGCAACTGCTGCGGCGCGGCACCCGCTCGCGGCGTACCGCGACTACCTGGCGTACGTGCTGACGTCCGTGGAGCAGCCGGCCGAGGGCGAGCTCGCGGTGATGCACGCCGACGACGTCCTCCAGGTCCCATTACAGCCCCTAAAAGACCACCTGGAGTCCTCCACGTATGAAATATTCGAGCGAGACACCCCCAAGTACTCGGCGTACGAGCGGGCGATCGCGCGCGCGCTCGCGGACCGCGCGAAGGCGGACGCGGACGGCGCGCCGCGCACGCAGGTGTGCATGGTGGTGGGCGCGGGGCGCGGGCCGCTGATCAAGTGCGCGCTGGCGGGGAGCGCGCAGACGGGCGTGCCGGTGCGCGTGTACGCGGTGGAGAAGAACCCGAACGCGCTGATCACGCTGCAGCACATGCACCACGCGGAGGGTTGGGGCGACCGCGTGGTGCTGGTCTGCGAGGACATGCGCACGTGGCAGTTCCCCGAGGCCGCGGATCTGATTCTGTCGGAGCTGCTCGGCTCGTTCGGGGACAACGAGCTGAGCCCGGAGTGCCTGGACGGCGCGATGCGGGCGCTGCGGCCCGACGGCGTTGCGATTCCTGACAGCTACTGCAACTACCTGCAGCCGGTGTCGTCCGCGCAGCTGCGTCAGGGGCTGGAGGACCTGGGCGAGGACGGCAGGTTCTTCGAGACGCCGATCGTGGTCAAGATGAAGCGGTTCTGCGCCGTCGACTCGCCGCAGAAGGCCATGACGTTCGCACACCCCGCACCAGGCGGCCAGCCGCCGGACAACGAGAGGTGCGGCGGCCCGCAGTGCACGCGCGACTTCTCAACGTTCAGGCACCCACCGTGCGTCGTCCGGATCGATTCCCTGCTGCCAACACCCCCTTGCACGTCTACGACGTTTGTTGTTCGATCTCAGAGTGCGCCGCCGACGGCACGCGGCCCCCTCGACGCAGGTACGTCGTTCTTACATTTCGCGTCCCGGACGACCAAGGAGCGCGCAACATCGACGGGTTTGCGGGGTACTTTGACTGCCACCTGTATGATGACATTTCTCTGTCGATCGTTCCCGGCGCCCACACGCCAGGCATGTACTCGTGGTTCCCCGCCTTCTTTCCGCTGCGTTCTCCCGTCCGCTGCGCGCCGGGCGCGACCGTCGAGCTGCACATGTGGCGGCGCGTGGGCGCCGCTGCCGTGTGGTACGAGTGGGCGGTGACGGCGCCGCACGCCACGCAAATTCACAACCGCGGCGGCAGCAAGTACGAAGTCGGCCTCTTCTAGCGCGCCAGCGCCGTCCCGGCACACCAGCTCCGCAACGACACAAACAAACATCCCCCCCCCTCCCAGCCGCGATCACATCATGTGACTCCCCCCCATGCACGGCGCTCCGGCGCCCCGTCACACGGACCGCTCCGCCGCCCCCCGCGCCGCCGCCTCACGCGTCGGGCTGCGCCGGCAGCACCATGAGCAGCTCGAGCGCTTCCGACGGCTTCAGGTCCCCGTTGAGGATGCTCGCGACCGCCGTGAGCACCGGCAGCTGGACCTTGTACTTGCGCGCCAGCGAGACGACCGCCGCGGCCGTCGCCACCCCCTCGGCGACCTGGCTGCTGGACTCAACAATCTCTTGTAACGTTTCGCCCCGGCCGAGCCGCTCCCCGACCGTGCGGTTGCGCGACAGCGATCCGTAGCACGTGAGCATGATGTCGCCGAGCCCCGAGAGGCCGCTCATGGTCTCCGGCGCCGCACCCATGCGCACAGCGAGCCAGCGAATCTCGCAGGTCCCTTGGGCGACGATGGCCGCGGTGGCGTTGCGCCCGACCTCGAGGCCGTCGCAGATGCCCGCGGCGATCGCGAGGACGTTCTTGAGCGCGCCGGCGATCTCGATGCCCACGACGTCGTTCGTGTAGGACATGCGGAAGACCGGGCCTGACAGCAGGCGGCGCACCCGCGTCACCAGCGCCTGGTCCTGCGTACAGACGAGGGGAAAAAAAGAGTCGTGGACGCAGGAGGCTGTCGCGGGCGGCGGGAGAGACCGGCGCTCGGGCGCGAGAGGATGCTGCAGGACGAACGAACCTTCGAGGCTACGCTGACCGCGGTGGGGCGGCCCTCGAGGATCTCTCGCGCGAACGACGGCCCGGAGAGAAAGCACGCCGGCTGGTCGCGCCCGAGCGCTTGCGGGACCACGTCAGCGAGCGTCAGGCCCGTAGCCACCTCCAGGCCCTTCGACAGGACGATGAGCGGCACGTCCGGGGGGATCACGTCGCGGAGCTTCTCGAGAAACACGCGCGTGTGCTGCACGGGGACCGCGTGGACCACGAACTGCGCCCCGCCGATCGCGTCCTCCGCGTGCGTCGTCGCGCGCACGTTGCGCGGCAGCTCGAAGCCCGGGAAGTACTTGGAGTTCGCGTGCCGCTCGTTGATGTCCTCGCAGGACGCGTCGTCGCGCACCAGGACCGCGACCTCGAGCGCGGCCTTCTTCTTAGCCAGCATCGCCGCCATCGCCGTGCCAAAGGACCCCCCCCCGAGCACGGCGATCTTCGTCGTCGCCTCGAGGACGGTGTTGCGGTCCTGCTGCGTCTTCACGCGGGACCAGCGCATCAGCTTCTGCGCGCACGGGGGGGAGCGTCACCGCCCGCATCACCGCCACTGCACCCGCATGCATAGCACACTGCATCGTGCTCGCTTGCGCGGGGACGGGGCGCCGAGCTGCCCGGACGGCCAGAGCACGACCGCGGAGCTCGTGGGACGCGGTTGCGAGTCTCGAGTCGTCAGCGGCGCAGCTGAGGTGCTGCTGGTTGTTGCATACACGGCGTGCCCGGAGGAGCAAGGCTGGTCGGGCCTCGTGAGGCACAGCGGCGCCCGGGAGCATAGCCGGAGCGTGGCGCGCTCCGTCGCGGCGGGGATCTCGGCCGGCCGCGCTCGCGGGGCGCCACGCACCTGCCAGGAGGTGGCAATCTCTGATGACGTCTCTGCGTCGAACAGCGTGACCGGCTCGATCTCGCCGTCGCTCGAGGCGCTCGCGTCGATTCTCTGAGGGCTCGCCGCGGCCGACAGGGAGCGTCGGCGGCTCGCTGCGCAGGTTTGCGGGCAGCGATGGAACCTGCTGCGCCTCGGTGGCAGTTGCGCTGCCCTGGACGGACGGCCCGCGCCGTGCGCGCGCCACTTGAAGGATATCATCCAGTGTACGCTCGCCATGGTCGGCGTTCGCGGCGTGCAGGCCCCGCACGCCCCCATTCTGGCCCAGGCAGGAGGCAGGAGGCTTGACTGTGAATGGCCCGAGGACGCGAATGGGGCGCACTACGCCGTGGCGCTCGTGAGTGGCGTGTGCGCCCGGGCGGGGGGGCGCATTGGCGTCGGCGCGGCGTGCACGTCGCCGGGGCTGTCCACTTTCGCAGCGGCCCGGGGGCGTTTCGGGTGGCGGCTCTGGGCGGCGCAGCAGGACGTTGGGCCGCGCGGCTCGCTTCGTTGCGCGGTCGTGATCCAGCTGCTCGACGCTGGCGGCTCAGACAGCGCGCGAACCCGCCTCCGCGGCACGTTCCTGAGCTTGCTAGGGACTCCGTCAAGGCTGGTGCAGTCGAGGTTAGGCGAGCGTCCTCCCGCTTAGTACCAGTAGAAGCCTTGTACCGACAGGTGGCCGGACCGCGTTTGATTCGCCAGGAAATAGCGCGCACCGCGGAGGTGCGCGGCAGCATGGGCGCCTTGGGTCCGCTTCGGCTGTTGCGGCTGCGCGGCGTGCCGGTGCTGGAGATGCTGCACATCGAGGAGGCCTTGTACCGCGTCAAGGACGCCGGAAACTGGATGGTAGTCAACGAGCCACCGTCACGGAGGACAATCGTGCTTGGCATCTCCGGGTGCGTCATCGGGGGGGCCTGCCGCTGCGGTCCACCCGCGGACGCTCGGCTGCGCACCACACTAGGCTCGCAGATCTCACCGCGGACGCATGCGCGCCCGCGCGTGCCCGGGCGCTGTTCTGGAGAGGTGGTCCATGCGTTGCGTGCTGCCCTGTGCACACAGGAAAGTCGCGGAGCTCGTGGACGCGCAGGCGGCCCTCGCGGACGGCGCTGCGTGCGTGAAGCGCTTCACGGGCGGCGGGACGGTCGTCGCGGACGGCAGCACGGTGATGACGTCGGTCATTACGGGCCCGGGGGGGTCTCCGCTCCCAGGGCGCGACGCGTTCCCGGGGCCCGTGATGGAGTGGTCCGCGCGGCTGTTCGAGCCCGTGTTCGCGGACTCCCGCGGCCCCGGCGGCGCGAGCGTCGCGTTCGGTCTGACCGAGACGGACTACACCGTGTCGGTGGGGGCTGGGTCGGACCAGGACGGCGGCGGCGCGCGGAGGCTCAAGATCGGCGGCAACGCGCAGGCGATCTCGCAGGGACGCTTCGTGCACCACACGTCGTGGCTCTGGGACTTCGACGACGCCAGGTGCGCGCCTGCTGCGCTACGTCGCCCGCGACGCCGCTGCGCCGCCGGGCGGGCCGTCGGAGCCCCAATGCATCAGTGCGTACACAGTACATACTATTCCGACGGCGCTACGCGTGGTGACGTCGCCTCCGCCCCCCGCCCCGCGCCGCAGCATGGCGCTGCTCCTGGAGCCAAGAAAGCGCCCGAACTACCGCGGGAAGCGAACGCACCTCGATTTCTTGACGCGGATACGAAGATTCATGCCAGACAGGTGCGTGGGCGGCGCGCGACATCGAGCGACGCGCGCCCTGCGCCGCCCCGCGACGTCGCACCCCGTACGCGCCGAGGTGCCGTGCAGGAAGGATTTTGTCGCGCGGCTGTGCGCGGCGCCCGCCGCGCACGGCTGGACCGTGACCGAGGCCACTGAGAGCGACGTCGCGCGCATCCTGGACCGGCCGCACCTCCGGACGTCGAGAGAGGTGGACCTGCGCGCTGCGGCATCGCCGCCGGCCCCGGGGGGGCGGTAGCGGCGGCGCTGCGGCGCGGGCGGACGGCGCTGCCTCTGTGCGCAGGCAGGGGCCGGCTGCTGGTGGGCGGCGCGTTCGGCTCGGCCCCCGCCTGCGTGCATGTCGTGCGAGCGAGTGGATGGGGAGGGCCGGTGTGTCGCCGTGAGCGCTTCGCACGGGCCCGCACGGGGCGCGGAGAGACGCTTACGCTCTTGCTGCGCGTATGTGTGACGAATGGGGGCCGTCAAGGGCGTGCAGGGCCCGGAAGTCCCGCTGATACGACTATTGCCTTGCCCGTAACGGCCAAGCGGCTGGCGTCGCGTATGTATGCGGTCCGGGGCCTATTGCCGCCGCGGGCGGGAAGAGGTGTGAAATTTGTCGACGGAAACGCGGCGTCGTCCCGTGGCGTTGTGCATACGTGGACGGTCCGTGGACGGTCCCGGTAGGCACTCCGGCGTGTCCCCGACCTTGGGCTCCCACGGGCTCGTGGGGGCGCGAGAGCGCTGGCGCGACGCACACACAAAGCATTGCCACAAAGCTCTAACATAAGCTGCACGCATTAGGCCCATAAGCAGGCCAACACGAGCTTTGAGGCCGTTCGCACCGCACACTCTACTTCCGAGGCTTCCTGGGCGGCTTCCGTCCCTGCGTCGCATTCGCATTCGCACCCGACACATCTGCGCACGAGCAGCAACAGGCATCGGAGCGCCGCGATGAGGTGCGTCGCCCGCTCCACCGATCCCTCGCTCGTCGCCGGTTCAGAGGAGCCCTGCGCTTCGCCGGCGACCGCATGACGGGCCGCGTGCCCCGCCCGGGCTCTCCTAGAACTGAACTCTCCGCGAGAAGCGCGCCACGCGCCCGCGCGGCGTTCTACGAGCGGGCTCCGGCCGACAGCTCCTCGGGTTGACTCTCGCGCTGACGCCCCCCCGACGCCCTCTCCGCCGCTTCGCAGGCGACCCCCGCTCTCAGTATCGGTTCCGGAAGGCATGTGGGACACCGCGCCGCCGGCTCCGTACCCGCAGAGCAAGTTTGTCTGCACCCTCTTCCACTCGGTCGCCCACAGCGACCCGGGCGGCTCCGCCTTCGATGATAGCCCGCGGTCGTCGAGCTTCGAGACCCGGAGGGCGACGGCGCCGCGCGAAGCGCGCGGGCCCGCCCTCCCGCGAAGCGCTCCAACCGCTGTTCGAGGCCTAGCCGCCCCGCCCGAGGCCGCCGTCGCCCTCGCCGGGCACGTCGACCACGCCGTCCGCCCCCTCAAGCGAAGCATCTTCGAGGTGCGAGCCCCCCGCGCCGTCGAGGCCCACCCTCCGGGGCGGCCCGGAGATACATACGAAATCGACCCGCGCGCACGAGACACAAGTGCCAACTCGCCTCGCGCGACCGCAGCGCCCCCGAACCGCCCCGCGCCCTGCCCCCGCCGCGCCCCGCAGGATGACGACGACGACGAGTACGCCGCCGACGCGGACTTCCGTCCGACGGCGGGCGAGGGCGACCGCACCAGTGCCGCCATCACGGCCGACTTCGCGGCGCCCGCGTCCGCGTGCTACGGCGCGCTCTCGCGCGTCACGATGCCGGAGCACTCCGCGAAGCACTTCGCCGCGGGCGTCCTGCCGGACGGCAACGCGGCCCTCGTGGGCCTCCCGCTGGGGCAGGGTGACAATGAGCGGTCGGAGCGCTACACCGGCGAGGTGCCCGTCGTGCGCCGGCTCTGAGCTCTGCGCTCGCCGCCCCTACGAACCGAGCCCAGCCAATCCCACCCGCAGCAGCGACGGCGCGCACGCTGTTTCCGTTGCCGGTCGGCGCGCGGCGGGGTCGGGCGCGTGACGACGCCCGGGCCCGCCCCGCACGCATCGGCAACGACCGCCGCTCGCACGCTGCGCCGGTGTCCGGCACGCGCGGCTTGCGCGTGCTGCAACCAGTCTCCTCCCACCACCGGCAGGCGGGGCGCGACGACACGTCGACGCTCCGCCCGCCCGGCGCCGCCTCGCCTGCGAGGCGCTCCCCTAAGGCCCCATGCGTGAACTCCCGCCCATTCGCCAACGAAATGGCGTACACCCCCCCCTTGCTCCCCCCCCCTCCCCTTGCGAACTCACCTGCCGCAACCACTACTCGCATCGCGTATGCACTGAGCGCGCCAACCTCTTTCGACGGTGGATCGAAACCCTCCTGGGATGTATCCCCCACACCGACATGCCGCTCCAGGGCCCCGGCGGCGGACCGGTGCCGACGCACCGGGCCACGCAGCCCTCCCGGGCCCTGCTTCAACGTCGCGACGCCGACCCCCTGCGCCCTCGGGCACCGCACCGCTCCCCGCGGGACGCGCTGAGCGCCCGCACCGCGGAGCCAGCGCCCTTCTCGGGAACGCTTCGTGACTGCCTTCCGCTGACGAATCAACAACCACCAAACTAAGACTAAGACTACCGCCCCGGGCGGAACATGGCACCCGGAACATGTCGCTGCCCCCCTCACCCCGCCCCTCCCAGCCCGAACTGAGCCGGCCCCGCTGGCCCTTTGTCCGCGAGCGACGCGGTCCGCGCCGAATCCCCGACCCCCCCCCCTCCCCTCGCTTCCCCCCCCCCTTCCCCGCCCGCACCTGAGTCCACACGAGCACTGTGTCCTCGCGGATGGCTCCCGACCAACGCGTCCCGCCTCCCTCTAAACAACTCCCCGCGCCCACCCTTGTCTCGTTTCCATCGCGTTCGAGCACGCGCCTGTGCAGAGACAACGTCTGCACGAGACACTCTGCTGATCCAGAGGCATTCAGTCCAACGAACTAACGCAAACCGGCTACTACATCACAACTCACGCAACGTGACGAACTCATGCCGCGCGCCGAAGTCACGTCGGCGCGCAGCGACGTTGGATAATCCAGCCTAATCAACTAGCCGGCCTCCCTCTCCAATACCCCCCCCCCTCCCTGCCTTTGGCACTCGTCTTCAGACTCCCGGAGCGACCATGCCCGTCCACGCCGGCTCGCACGCCGGTTGACGCCATGGCGTCCCTTGACTCGACTTGACTGCCCCCTGCTGCAACGCATGGTGCTGGCACACCCACGTCGCTGCGACGCGCCGAGCCGCGGGTGCTGGCTAGCGCCCGCGCGAGAAACTTTTTGAAGCCCGCTGCCCTTCCTCGGCACCTTGATGCCGCCTTTGCAACCCTTTTCCGCATTGCCTGCAACCCCTTCCCGTCGCCCTTATTAAGCCGAAACCCCCCCCCCGCTTCCCCCCTTCCCTCCCTCCTTTCCTTGCCTTTCATGCCCGACTCCTCTAAGAACACCCTCTGGTCGCCTCCACTCTTTGTGGGGACGCCCGAGCGCACCCCTGCGCTCGCGGTGCAGGAGGCCCGTGTCAGCCCCTCTTGGCACGTCGCATTGCAACCTCGACACGCGACCTATCGCGAAGGCTCTCGGCCACCTTCGGCCGGAGATTGACACCTTCCGTCTCGCGCACGGACGCCCGACACAATGTCTGGGCTGCCCGTCTGCGTCTAGCTACATAGACTTTTCAACGCCTTTGCAGCGAGAGCCCGGGCGACGATGCAAGGGCGCGCAACGGATGCCGGCATCCGTTGCGCGCTGTCCCGGCCTCTTGCCCGACATTGCGTTTCCAGAGGCGCACATTTGCCCTACTTTTTGCGCCTGCAGTTGGCCGCAACGATAGTGACGGTAGGAAAGACATTCAGAACGTTCGAATGTATCACTCGCCGCTCGCCGATGCACCGCACACCCGTGCCGTGCAGGCGAGTGTGTGCGCGCGGTCCAGACAGCACCTCTCTTCCTGTGTCTCCAACTTCGCTCCACCTCCACCTCCAACGGCGTCCTGCCCCTCCAACCCAGGGCGTTCCTCCACGACCGCTTGCACCGCCGCTCTCCCCGGCCTCTACCCACAGTAGATGCGCCCAGGGCATGCCCCCCATGAGCCAACACAACGCGAGCTCTGCGGCAACTCACGAACCACTTCAAGGGGTCCCAGCCACGCGCGATAAGCACGTTTCGCAGGCGTCCAGGAGCCTCGCCAATGAGCGAACGTGAAAAGCGTGGGTGGTGAACTGTTGATAATCGTCTAGACATGTGACCCCTGACACTCACTCCGCGTCTCTCTCCCCGCGAAAAACACTGCTCGAAGGAACGCAGGTCGCTCCGGCATCCTCGCGGTGAGGGTGCTCGTAGGCCAGCGAAGAACTATTTTCGCGGTGAGCGTGCTTGTTGGTCAGCGAAGTACTACAGGCGCCCTCCCCAGGCACGCAGACGTTGCTAGCGCCCCTCACAGCGCTTTTAGCTGTGCTCGCGGCGTTGCACCCTCGAGGACGCGCTTGCGACGAGTTCGATCGTGCTGCGTGACACGGGCCGATCGGGCAAACACTAGAAGCCATCAAAGGTCATCCTAGGGTCGACGTTCCGCCCGCGGCCCCTGCCCCTGCCCCGCCTACCGCGCCCGCGGCCACGCCCGCCGCGACGCACCCACACCTTCGCGCTCGCCTTAGCCTCGCACAGCTCCGCCGCATCGTCGTCGCACACAATGCACACCGTGTGCCGCGTCTCCGCGCCGTCCTCGCTCCCCCACGCCGCTGGCACCTTGCCCTTCTTCCAGTCCAGCGACATCATCTTGCTCCCGCAGTCCTCGCACCTCTCGCGGGCCACCTCTGCCATGTGCAGATCCGGGGGGAGGTACAGCAAAAACGCGCAGCGGTTGCAGTCCAGCCGCCACTTCGGGCCGCTCGCGGGGTCCAGCACCAGCGTGCCCGCGTCGCACTCGGGGCACGTCGTGGCGCCGCGGCCGGGGAGGCTGTGCGGGCACGTGGGGTGCGAGCACGCGCCGCACATCATGGTGCCCGTGCCCACGACGGCGTCCTCGAACGGCGGGTGGTTGTAGCACATCGGGCACAGGATCTGCGGTGACACGTGGAGACGACGCGTCAGCCCATGCCTCGCTCGAATTGAGGTCTTCGATGCGAAAACAACCTGAAAACCCCGTCTGAGCGGCGCTCCAGTCGCATATGTGGCTCGCGACGCACCTGGCTCTTGCCGTCCGCGCCGCCGAGGCGGAAGATAACGAGCTCGAAGCCGTCGAGCGGGCAGGTCAGCCCCTTGTACAGCTTGACAGCCCCGCCTTGTGGCACGTGGTAGATGTCCTCGCACGTGGCGCAGTGCAGGCGGGCCGGGCGGGCCGACATGTACCGCATGTAGCGCAGGCACTTGCCGCACCGCGAGAGCGGCTTCCCGGACGACGCCAGGGGCGAGAACGACGCCTCGAAGAGCGCGTCCATCTTTTGAATCTGCAAGTGGGCGTGGAGGAACCAGAACGGGGCGGCGTGAGCCGCTTCGCTCTCTGCTGGATCGGAAAGGGAGGCCCTCCGTTCCCGTGCGCCTTGACTGCTAGTTGCCTGGCGGGCAGGCTCGGGCCAGAAAGGGCTGCACTGCGGCCACGGCAGGAGCGCACGCACGGACCTTGGACACGAAGTACAAGAACTTCTGGCGGAACTGGTCCAGGGCGTGCTGTACGACGGACTCCTTGTCCGCCGCTCCGGCCGCTACGAGCGCGATGTTCTTCTCGATCTCTGCGCGCACTTCCGGGCGGCAGAGGTCCGGGTCGATGATGTTGTAGCCCCTCACGAGGGTCATCCCCAGCTCGGTCGGCACGATACGCCGCCCAGTTTCGACTCGCACGTAGTTCCGCTGCACGTCGGGCGGGGCACGTCGGGTGGTCAGAGCAGGGATACGTCGCTGCGAGGAGGGACGCCGTAGTGGTCCAGAGGGGCGCGCAACCTTGACGGCGGCGTTTTGAACCGCTCAAAGCATCGCGTCTAACGTGTTCCATGTTCATCAAGCCCGGCACAACGCAGCGCTTGGGCATTGTGACAGCGCACCTCGCAGATGTTGTTGATGTGCGTCGGGATGCTGGCATCGGTGCCGATCCCGTTCTTTTCCATCAGGTGGATGAGCTCCGCCTCCGTCAGGGCCCCCGGCGGCGACGTCTGCCCCTGATGCAGCGCCACCTCTGTAAGGGGTAACTCCTCCCCCTTGCTCAGGGGCGGCAGGGCCGTCTCCTGCTCGTCCTCGTCCTCGTCGTCCTCGTCATCCTCGTCCTCCGCGTACTCCCGGTCCTGGTCCTTCGGGGCCCTCGAAACGCTCCCACGCGGCAGCACCGCCGTCCACCCAGGTTTGACGACGACGGTGCCCGTGGCTGCGCAAGAACAAGGTCCGGCGGACGCAAGTCAGCTTCGCGCTGCAGCTCGGATCGCACCCTTCCGCGTGGTCGGGAAGTCGCGGGAAAGACGGGGTGTATCACCTTTGAACTCCTCCCCTCCCGCCGCGAAGATCGCAGTGGTCCGTTTCAGCACGCAGTCCGGCGCGATCGACGCGAAGAAGTGCCGGGACACGTAGTCGTACATGCGCCACATGTCGCCGGTCAGCTCGCCCTCGCTGGCCCCGCGGACGGGCGTGATTGGCGGGTGGTCGCCCACGTCCTTTCCCCCCTTCGGCCTCGTCACGCCGACGTCGAGCACGCTCCGCGCGTACGCCGCCAGCGCGTCGTTCCGCGTCTGGCCCGCCACGATCTCCCGGAAGTCGAAGTGCGCCGGGTACCCCGTTGACTCGGTGCGCGGGTAGCTGAGATAACCAGAGATGTATAGTCGCTCGGCGACCTGCATGGCGTGGTGCGGGCCCATCCCGAGCTTCTGGCTCGCGACCATGAGCAGCCCGACGGTGTTGAGGCCGTGCGGCCGCGCCCTGCGGAGGTCCTTGTCCGTAACAGACGTGACACGTGCCGTGCCGGCGACGGCGACGAGGGAGTGGAAGAGCTCGGCGGTGCGCTTGTCGAACACGCGCCCGCGGGCCCACTCCAGCGCAATCGCCTTGTTTTTGAAGAGGCGCGGGCGAACGGACCAGAACGGCTCGGGGTGGAACTGTGCAATGAGTTGTTGCCGCTCGACTGCAAGCACGCAGGGTCGGGGTCGAGGGGGGGGAGTCGGGCGCGTCACCAGGGCGTGAAGGGTCGAAGGAGGGCATGCAGGTGCAAGGCTTGGCGGCGACCCGGCGTTGGGCCACCAGGGCCCGTAGTGACTGGTGCAACAGGGTAGCTGGGACGCCGAGTGTGAGCGCAAACGTCGTGCCGCGCGCTGGCCAGCGAGCGGGACGGTGGCGGCACGTGCAACGTCGGAACGTGCTCGGTCCGACCTGCAGATGACCACGAGAGTTGCCGTATGCGGAGCGCACCTGCAAAATTGAGCGTGGGCGTCTGGCACGGCCCGTAGCTCACGACGGACGCGTCCAGGTTGCCGTACTTGCCCTGGAGATACCTGGTCTGGAAGCGCGTGAAGGCGACCCCGACTTTGAGGTCCAGCTCCTGCCGCGCGTCGACACTGAGCGATTCGTTCCTGTTCGGCTCGCCGAGGTTCTTCATCGCGTGCTGTATCTCGGGACGCGACACCGCGGAGAAACGCGCGCGGTGCACGCGCCGTCCGCCGCCCGCGGTGCTCATGACGGGCACTGCCACCGACATCACTTCGAAGCAAATGTTCTCCCCCTCTCGGTCGCAGTCGAGCCAGAGGACGAGGTGCTGGCAGCCGCGCGCCTCGCGCTTGATGTGCTCGACGACGCGCGCCTTGGGGTTCGCTTCGGAACGCACGGTCTCGGCGGCAAACAGCGTGGTAGGATCAGTCTTCTCCCAAGATTGATATTCCTTCGTGAAGTCGATAGAGAAGACGTGGCCGACGACCGAGGTCACGCGGAACTCCGCCGGCTGCCCGAGGAACTTGGACTGCACCACGTGCACGTCGCATGGCGAGGCGCGGCGCGTGCTGACCTGCGCGCCACCCTCGCACAGGAAATTCGCGATCGACTGCGCCAGCGACGGCTTCTCTGCGACGTGCAGGACGTTCAACACCATCGTGCTCGAGGTGCTTGCGCGCCCTCCGCGGCCCAGACCTGCGCGGAGACGAAGAAAGACGTTTGGATGCCTCAGTGCTGTGTGTTTCTCACCCTGGGCAACGATCCAGCGCTGGCAGGGTGGACGTTGACGACCAGCTGCTTCGGGGCGCCTCACAAGCGGCCGCCTGAAACAGCGCCGGCATGGAAACGCCGGCACGCTGCAAGCCGCAACGCGGGCTGGGCTCGGGGAATCAAAGGGAGTCAACGCGGCACAGCGTGCGCACAGCGCCGCGAGAAAAAGCCGCCGATCGAAAGAGGCTCTATGGCAACGCCAGCGCCCGTGTGCTCGCTCGATCCAGGGTGTCTAGGACTCGAGTAGCGCCTCCCAGTCGTCCATAGCGCCCCCGCGATGCTCCGCAAGATCGCTCGCAGCAGGGACGCCCCCCGCGCCGCCGTCCGCGCCCGAGGCCTCCTCGGCGGCCGCCAGGTGCGACACCTGCTCGTGCAGCTGCCGCGACACCTCCGCCCGGATGTCGGGCGGCAGCTCAGCCAGGAACTGACGCTGCGACGCTGCCGCCGCCGCCGCCGGCTCCGACGGCATGTCAAACGCGGACAACCCCCCGCGAGGATTGCTCTGGGCCGCTCCGCCCGCGGGCGGCCGCTCAGCGTCGCCGGACGGCGCCACGTCGCGTTTCGCCGCCGTGCTAGGTTGCGTCGCGCACCACCCGCGCGTGCGATCGAGCACGAACTTGCCCTTGCGGCCGCCGCCGAGGGCCGCGGCCGCGCTCTCTGCGTCCGCGCGCGTCTCGAAGAGGCAGCGCAGCTCGCTGCTGCCGCCCCCCGTGACCACCATGCGTTCCGCAAACTCCCGGAGGTAAGCTGTAGGGTTGAGGTCGGGCTCAACGGACGTCAGGTACAAGCACCGCGCCTCGACCTCCGCGAGCAGGCGCTCGAGCTCCTCCGGGGTCGTCTCCTGCGCCACCTGGCACAGCGACTTGCGTGGCAGGCCCGCGTTGGCGCCGCGGTATAGCTCGACGTGACGACGCGTGCCCTGGCCGTGCGACATCGACGTGAGGCCGTACTGCTCCGCGAGGATGTGGACGAGGCGCCGCGTGGCCTTGGGCATCGCGGGCAGCGCGACGCGCCGCGCGGACGGACCGGCTTCCACGAACGCCGAGAGACGGCCCTCGACGTCCTGCGCCCAGTCGCGGCGCGTGCGCGCGAACGCGATGAGCTCGGGCGGGTAGTTGAAGTCGCGGTTGCGCTCCCACACCGAGAGGTGGCCCTGCGCCTCGGGCGGTGCACCGAAGGCGTCGGCGAGCTGCCGGGCGCGCTGCTGCTTCAGGCAGGTCGCGTCGCACTCGAGCGACTGCTGCGTGGGCTCACGGCCCTCCGCGACGGCGAGCGTGACCTTGCGGCGGCCGCAGGGGCACTTGACCTGCGGAGGAGGGCGACCGGTGCGCGCACATGGTGAGCGAGGTTCGTGGAGGATGTTTGAGGGTTCGTGCCCCGAGCCCTCACCGCCGCAAACAACCAAGCAGAGCGGGCAAGTGGAAGATGGCGAGCGCCAACTGCTGCTTCGCCGCTCGCGTTGCGCGTGCGCGTGCCAAACCCCGTCGCACCTGGAGGCTCATCATCGGCGCCCTGCGCCGCTGCTGCTGCTCCGCGCCCTGCTGGTCGTCCTGCGCCTCCGCCGCCGGACGCGCCGCCACCGCCGCCGCCAGCGTCGGAAACCCGCCGCCAGTGCGCGCCGCGGCATCTCTGTCCGCGGCTCTGCGGGCGCGGTTCGCAGGCCCCTGGTCCGCCGCCGGCGCCCCTGGCAGCCCAGGGAACTCGTCGTCGTCGATCATCACCATCCCGGGCCGCTCGTGCCGGTATCGGTGCTCGGCCGGATGATGGCGCTGGGGGGGGGGGTCTGAGTAGAGGTGGTGGGCGGCGCGTTGCGCCAGCCAGCCTGCGCCACGTGGCGGCGGGGCCGCCATGGGGATGTCGGCGTCGACGCGGTCGCCTGGGCCGCCCGGGAGACCCCCCGGAGCGCTGGGGAGCCCCCCGGCGGCAGGCAGGGAAAGAGGCACGCCGCGGCGCCTGTGCACGTGCGCGCCGCGCCGCCGCGCCCGCCGCGCCCGCGCCCGCGTGCGAGCATGGCCTCGCCCGGCCCGCTCGGCAGCTGCCCGGCCCCGGGGAGTTCCGGGAAGTCAGACCCAACGCCCCCCCCCCTCCCGCCCGGGCCGGACGGCATCGCCGGCGCGGGCGCGCGGCCCGCGTGGCTCGCGGCCGCGGCCAGGTCGAGCTGCTGCTGCCGGGCCCGATCGAACCGCGGCATGCGTCCGGAGTGCTGTTCGTGCACATGCTGCTCTAGCTCAGCCTCTGTACGGAATGCCACGAGGCCAGACTCGCGGCACTCGCCCTGGAGGCAGACGAAGTGGACGTCGCGCAGGTGGGAGCGGAGTTCGGAGTGGTTGCGGAAGAAGGCGCCCTCGTCGCCCATGAGGAGGCACACGTCGCAGCAGACGTGTGCGTGGCGCATGTGTTGGTGGAGGGCCTCGTCGTCGTAGAAGGGCGTGCGGCAGAAGACGCACGGCGGGTGGGACTCCTCGATGTGGTGCCGCAGGTCGCCCTGCGCGTACGTGTCCAGCTCGCGCGGGAACTCCCTGCAAGACGGGAACGCGACAGATGGGCAAAACATATTTGTGGTGCCGTGCGTCGGTGATGGCTGGAACCTGAGGTCGGTCGAGCGCGGACAGACAGGGAGGCGCGACACACGTGCGCAGCGGTGGGGAGCCGGGCGCCCGCGCACCTTCCAGCCCGCAGGCAGACCTGACACATGTGACGGCCGTGCGTCTCCGACACGTGCCTGGCGAGCTGCGCGGGCGTCTGGTAGCGCTTCTTCGCGTGCTTGTCGCACGTCCTGCACGACAGCGACGTCGCACGGAGCAGCCGCAGCCCCAGCCGGGGAGTGCGGCGCTTGCCGCGGCCGGGACCCCCCCCCTGGCGCGACGAGGGGTCCGCCTTGGAGACCAGGACGCCGGGGGCCCAGGACTGGTCGTGCCAGAAGTTGCCCGGGTCCGCACGGTACTGGGCCTCGTATTCGTGGAAATCCGCGGGGCCATGTTCGCCCCAGTAGACCAGCACACACCTCGACATGTCCGCGTTGCACATGGAGCACCGGCGGTTGTTGTAGCACAGCCTGCACGCAGACGGGCAACACGGGCCGTCGCGGGGGAGCACGGCCTGCTCACGCAGGACGCGAGCCGACTGCGGGCAAACAGCGTGCGCCGGGCGTGGGCCGGCTGTCGTCGGTGCGACGGCGCTCGCGGGTGTTCAGGGCGTACCGCATACGTAGATGGCACATGCCGCACATGGTCGGGTGGTTGCAGGGCCCCACGCAAGCGACGCGGATGGGCTCTAGGCACGAGATGCAAACTTTGTCGCTGAACCCGACTGACGACCCCTCGCTCGACACCGAACTCGCGTCCGAGTCGCTCTGGACGGCCGGCGCCTGCTGCGGAGGCGGCGCATCTGGGTCGCCGCGCCCGCGCCCGCCGCGCCCGCCGCGCCTGCCGCGACCGCGCTCCCGCCCGCGGCCGCGACCGCGGCCGTAGTCCTCCGCCGCGCCCGCGAACTGTGCAGGCACGGCGGCGACGTGCGCGGCCGCGTCGTCCGGTGCCCCGCGGCCGCCACGACCGCCGCGCCGCCCCCTGCCGCGCCCCTGCTCTGTTGCAGGACGCTCGAAGGCGGCCTCTTGGGCTGCGGGCGCTGGGCCCGGGAGCCCGGGCGGCACGAAGTCTGCAGCAGCGACGCTCAGGCTGCTCGCGGGCGCCGCGCCGCCGTAGCCGTCTGGGGCGTCGCCGGCGTGGGTCTGTTGCCTGCGCCCACGACCGCGCCCGCGGTTGCCGCCGCGACGGCCGCGGCCCGCATGTGGGTGCTCTGCTTGGTCGTGGGAGGGGGCCGCGGCGGCCGCGTCCTCTGGCTGGCGTGCGTCGTGGCTGCGCCCGCGGCCGCCTCCGCGGCGTCCGCCGCGCCTCCCACGGCCGCGGCCGGCGGGAGGCGCGTCGCCTGGAGCGTCCACCGTGGCTTGTGTGCGCTTGTCGCGGGAGGGCGAGGCGGATGGACGATCGCACGAGCGGAGCGCGGGGTTGGCTGCTCAGGCCTAGGCGGTTGGGTCCCTTTCTGGGCGGTCAGAGGCCCCTGATGGGGGGATCGGGGGGCGGCAGGGAGTGATTTGTGCACGAAGTGCCTCGCAGGGATGAAACGGCCAGGCGCCGACTTCGGACGGATGTAGGGCGGGCCGCTCGGGGAGAGAGGGGCTGCTTGGGCCGTGGGTGTCTCCGCGGGGGGCGTGGGTGCTACGCGACCTCGTTCTACGTGGAAGAATGGATCTGTGGCTCTGTGCCAGTGGGCTGGGGGGGTCCGGGGGCAGCGTGGACGCGGTGGTGGTTTGAGCCGCCTGGTGGAAACTGCCTCACCTTCGCCGGGGGGGTGTGCCGAGGGGTACCTCGATGGGGGGTGCCGAACAACACTGACAGCTGGTGAGGTCCGGGATCGCGTGTCGAACGCTGCTTCAACCGGCCCGCAGCGGCACCAGTGCCGCCTCTGGCAGCAGGTGGCCGTCCCTCGGCCACTCTGGGCTGAATCTGCGTCGAAACCAGGACGGGTATGCGAGACTTGGAAGTCATAGCCACGCTGGTCGATCGAGGGGTCCGATCGCAGGTCACCAGGTGCCGGCCCCGGAGCCAAGCTGGCATTGCACAGGTTGCAGGCCCCCTAGCAAGCCGCACCAGGGTCCGACGCGGGCGTCCATGCCGCGAAGGATGCGTCAAGCGAGCACATCATGATTGTCGCCTGACCGAGCACCGAGATGCCCTCTACTCTGAGCTCACCAGACAGCCAGGGCGCACCTGTTGTTCGACGTTGCCGAGGTCTCTGCGCCCAAAGCCAGACGACGGCCCTGACAGCGCCGTGCTTCTACGCTGGCCCAAGCGCGCGCGGCAGCACTACGGCCACGAGAGCACCGCCCCGGCGCTGAATCAGTCCGAGAAGAGACTCCCCCCCTGACACGGCGTGCGAGACTCCCCCGCCCGCCTCTGCCCGCTCCCGCACCTCACAAATCTATCAGGTTCCCCCCGCTCGCCCCCTCGCCACCCCCCGCATCATCCCCACTCCCCCCCTCACCCCCCTCGTCCACCCCCGGCGCCCGCTGACCCCCCCCCGCCTCAGAGCGCGGCGCGTCCCGCTCCGCCTCCGCCTCCGCCTCCGCGGCCCCGATCCACCCGTCGATGTCCCGCACGTCCTCGTCCGCCAGCGGGATCGCCACCGCGTTGTTCAGCACCGCCCGCATGCGCCCCGCGGGCCACCCCACCGGCCCGAGCTTCAGGCCCGCGATGGTCTCCTCGAAGTCGTCCACCCCGAGCAGCTCCTCCTCGAGCGACTCCAGCATCGACAGCGCCACGCGGAGCATGATCGCCGTGGACCGTTCGATGAGGACCACGTCCAGCACGCGGCACGCAAACGGCGGCGGCATCGGGCACGAGAACGCGGTGAGGAACCACTGCGACGCGTACAGCACCGCAGGGACGCCGAGCTTCTCCAGGTGCGCCGCGAGCCGCGGGAGGTGCTTTCGCACCAGCCACTCGAGCCGCGCGAGCGTCGCGCGCAGCTCTCCGAGGCCGGGGAGGAACAGGGCGCGCATGTTGCCGCCGCGCGGCGCCATGATCATGCGCAGGAGGTGGAACGCGGCCTCCTGCGGCACGTACATGAGCAGGCACCCCGCCACGAAGGCCATGCCCTGGCAATACCCCACTTCGAGGTCGTGGACGCTGTACGCCTTCAGAACGTTGTAAAGGGCCTCCTGGCCGTCCCTGCGGGGCACGCGAGCGTGGTGGGACGGTGGGGGCTCGTGTGCGGGACGCGGGGCCGAGCCCCGGAGCTGACTCATGTGGGATAAAGCAGGGGGGGTGTTTACGTCGCTGTGCCGGTGCGGGCGTGCTGCAACGACGAGGTCGGATTCGCAGACCGAGCGGCGCGCGGAGGCGCCAGCCAAGCTGAGGCGGCGGTGCATGTTGTCGCCGGCATCGTGATGTCCTGCCACAACAGCAGTGCGCAGAGTGTTGCACCCACCTGCGGGAGAAGCGCGGGTGCTCCGGGAACGTCCGATGGATGTCGCGCCGGATCTCCTCGTCCACGTCCTCGAGCCCGATGCTGATCTGCAGCAGCGTCGCGTACCGCGACTCCCGCCCCGCCCCTGCCGCGCCCACCACATAGTCGTCCGTCACGGGCATCTGCACCTGCGTCATGCTCTCCCAAAGCCGCCGCACCAGCTCCTCCTCGTCGCGGCAGCTCCCCCACACCCCCGGATCCCCGCGGTCCGCACCGAGCCGCGGGTCATTCGGGTCCATTAGCGCCGCGGTCGGGTGCAACCCCCCCGGGGGCGCCTTGCTCGGACCCCCCGCGCCCTCGCCCGCCCCGCCCTCGCCCGCCGCCTGCAGCGTGCTGCGCAGGTTCGGCGCCGCGAGCTGTTTCGACCCCGACGTGATGTCCAGCAGCTCCCAATCGTCGCCGGCCAACGGCTGTGCGGGAACGGACGCCTGGCGGTGTCCGGGCTGCACGCCCCGCGCGCCGTCCGGCTCCTTCGGCGCCCCGACGCTTCTCCGCCGCACGTGCCCGTGGTGGTGGTGCCTGCGCGGGGATCCCGTGCCGACCCCGAGCAGCAGATCGAGGCCCAGCTGGCGGCCGAGGTCGCCGAACGTGTTGCGCTCGTCGCTGGACGCTCTGGACGGCGCGTCGGCGTCCTGCCCCGTGAGGAGGTCCCGCGGCGGCACTCCCCCGGGGGCCTTTTGCTCCGCTGACACGAACTCGTCCCAGTCGATGTCGCCCCCCTCCTTGCCTGAGTCAGGCGGGGCGTCCTCGCCGCTGCGAAACTTGTCCGCGACCTGCAGCGCGTGCTCCAGGTCCGCGTGCAGCTCCGCAGGCGCCCGCGTCGGCGACCGCTGGAGCTCCTTCGACGCCACCTCCCCACCCTCCGCCTCACCCTCGCCGCGTGCGTCCCCCCCGCCCGCGCTGTCCCCATCGGACGCCCCGCGCTCGTCTCGGATCAGCTGCCGGTAGATCGGGTCGTCGACGAGGCTCAGCCACAGCCGCGTCCGCATCTCCTGCGGCGCGTCCTCGTATAGCTGCGGGCCGATCTGGACGTCGACGGGCTCGTCCTGCACCGCCGCGAGGAGCGCGGCGTGGCGGTTCTCCTCGATGCGCTCCTGGATGCGCCGCAGGACCGCCCGGACGTTGGTCACGCGCGACTCCGCACCTGCGGGCCACGAACGGGGTTGCGGCGACGTGTGCGAGTGGCGTGCGCGCGGTGGCCGTGGTGCTGCGCGGCTGCGTGTTGCGCGCAGGGCCTGCGGCCGCGGGCGGCGTTGCGGGGCGCACCCATCCGGATTTGCGAGGCTGCGTTGCTCGCTGACCCTGCGACCTGGTTGACGGCGCGCTGCCGCAGGCGGCGATCGCGCGCGACCTCGGAGGCGCTGGAGACACCGCGCACGATGGTTCCGGCGAGGTTGCGCGCCAGCGTCGCCACGGAGCTCGCCAGGGAGGGTTGCAGCTGCGGTGGCGGGCCCACTGCGTGCGAGGGGGACTCGTCGCCGTCGTCCCGCTCCATCCCCGTTCGTGACATCTAGATGCGGTCCGCGGAGGGGTAGAACTCAGCGCGGCTCGGCGCCGGCGGTGCAGCACGGTGCCGCGAGGGCTGCGCTGAGCATGCTTGGCGATGACGCGTGGCGGGCGCCAGCGGGGCGCGCCGAGTTCCGTGCCTGCGCGCCCGCACGGGTCTGTGTGGAGGAGGTCGCGATGGCGCGTTTGGGGCGTTTCGCGGTCGCGGCGAGGCGATGCGGGCCGTGTGCGAGGGAGCCAGAGCCCGCGTCCGGTGGCGCGCGTACAGCGTGCGAGAGCGCATGAAACGGCGCGGCAAGCTGCACATCATCAGGGAGTTGCCGTCAGTACACGCAGGTCGCAATCACTGCCCAAGCTCCGGCGACGCGGCACGGGAAGTTGGTGCGGGCAGTTGAATCGCGGTCTTTGCGACCTCTCGGGCCCCAAACTGCACGTACCCGCACTCGGTGATCCCGACAACAACTCTGTCCTGCTGGAACTTGCGGGTTCCCGCCCCAACGGAGCCCAGCTGCGCCGCCAGCACGCGCGTCAATCAGGAGCTGTAAGACCGTGCCCGCACCGATCCGAACCGCGCTCACCTGCTGCGGTATTCTTTCATGCACGTACGACTTGTTCCCGCCGACGCCTGCGCGGCCCGAAGTCGCGCTCGGGAGCCGCCCAGCTGCGCCGTGCACCCCCGATGGTCAGTGTCCCCGCGGGGCCTCACGCGGACCGCAGGGCAACGCAAAAGCGCGGGCGACGAGCGCGCCGACTCGCGCACCACGCGGGGCATGTCGGATCTTTCATCAGCAGCCCCCCCCAACGCGATGGTCTCCAGACAGACAAGAAACAATTTAAAGGCATCCCAAGATGGAACTTCGGTGAGACGACGCGCAACTGAGGCTTCGCGGTGAGCTCACAGCTCGAGCGGAGAGCAGCGGCGAGGTCTAGACTCGGCCGCGGAGTCCGCTTGCGTCGCTTCGGTCCCATGTAAGCATTCGAGAAGTAGCGGGTGCGATGGTGGATCGCCGCCCGGTCCGTGCGAGGGAACCTGCCGTTGCGTTGAGAAACGCAAGGCCGGCGGGATGTGAGCCCGCCGTCTCCGACGCGGCGCATCTGGGCGCCGCGTCTACGGCGAGGTGGGGGGGTCCGGCAGGCGGCGTCGACTTGCTGGGCTGGCGCCGTCGCGTGCGCGGATCTGACTGCGGGTTTGCCCACGCGGTGTGGCACGTACGCCACTTTAAACGGCGTATTCAGGTGCGGGGGGAAGGGGTTGTAGGCAAAGGTGAAAAACGTGATGCAGCGCTGCTGACGCGTGTCGGGTAGGACGAGAGGCCACAAGGGGCGGGCGTGATTTGCGTGGATGGAGATGCGGAGCCGTGCTGAACGGAGCACGAAGCTGCCCAGCGATACACGTGGGTTTGCCGAGTGGAGACACTCGAGGGCAGAACTGATGGGAGGTGGGGTTGGAGGGGGGTTGTAAAATGTTTTGCTGTTCTTGCGGGCGTCGGGGGGCTCACTGCATCAGCATCTTAGCCCGACCCCTGCCGTGCGCCGAACTCAGGAGCCCGCGCCCGCTGCGGCCACCGCGCCCGTTGCTGCGTCCGTTGCCGCGACGGTCGTCGTCGTCGTCGGAGTCCGAATCGCAGTCCTCATCGTCGCGCCCGCCGCGCCCGCCGCGCCCGCCGCGCCCGCCGCCGCGACGGTCGTCGTCATCGTCCGAGTCAGAGTCGCTGTCGTCGCCGCGCCCGCGTCCGTTGCCGCGGCGGTCGTCGTCATCGTCCGAGTCCGAGTCGCTGTCATCGCCGCGCCCGCGTCCGTTGCCGCGGCGGTCGTCGTCATCGTCCGAGTCCGAGTCGCTGTCGTCCCCGCGCCCGCCACGGCCGCCGCGTCCGTTGCCGCGGCGGTCGTCGTCCTCGTCGTCCGAGTCGCAGTCCTCGTCGTCGCGCCCGCCGCGGCCGCCCCTCTTCTTCTCCGGGCACTCGAGCGGCAGTCCCGGCGTCCACTCAATCGTGCAGGCCTTGTTCGGGTACCGCGGGTGCCGCACACACACCCCGCAGTGCCCCGACACCTCCCGGCCGGCTCCGTCAGACACAACCACCTCCCACGAGATGTGGTTGTCCACGCCGCCCGACACCAAAACGTCGACCATCTTCGCGCCCTCCACCGCCGCCACCGCGCAGTGCGGGGTCACGACCTTGCCCCGGCCGTTGCAGCGCTGGCACGTCGCGTCCTCGCCCACGGGCGCGGCGCGCACCGTCACGGGGCACCCGTTCTGCTTCGTACCGGCCTCGCGCGACTCGTCGCCGCCGTGGTAGGACGCCGTGAAGCTGACCGGGCCGCCGCGCGGGAAGACCGTCGCGGCCTCGCCGACGCCGCACGTGATCTTGCTGCTGTCGAGCTCCTCGTCGTCCACGACCGTCACCACCGTGGAGCACGAGCCGACCACGGCGTCGTCGGGCCCGCGCGCCGTGAGCGTGACGTCGTGCACGCCGAGAGGGAGCGGGCCGGCGTTGTCGAGCGAGAGGTCCAGCGCGTCGTCGCAGATGCCGGTGTAGACGTCCGCGGGAGCGAGCTGCTCCGCCGCGCACGCTCGCACGGCAGGCACCGTCATCTCAGGGCGGCACGTCGGGGGCGGCGGAACGACCGTCACCGTCGCGACGCACGACCCGGTCGTGCCCTGCCCGTCGTCCCCGGTCAGCGTCACCTGCGTCGTGCCGACCGGGAACGGCCCCGCCGCGTCCAGGCTCAGCGCGAGCGTTCCAGGCCCCGTATATGCACTGCCGCCGTTGACGTCCGCAGCCGTGATCGTGCGCGACGCGCACGCGCTCGCCCCGTCGGCCACGTCGAGCGTGACGTCCTTGCACTGCATCGTCAGACTGATCGGATCCACGTCAGGCGGAACCTCGATGTCCTCTGCCGAGACCAGGAACACCATCTGCCCCGGCGCGATGTGCGCGGGCACGCTGCGCGTCTCGATGTCGACCACGTCCGGCGTGCGCGCGAAGGGGTCCGAGTAGAAGTTCTGGCGGTTGCCGGCGTCGAAGCCCACGTTTGCGGGCACGCCGCCCAGGCCGTCGCGCGGGGGCGGCCAAGAGCCGTCGGGGCCGAACCCGGAGGTGCCGGTCGTCCAGTTGATGCCGTCGTCGAGGAACTGGAAGATGGCGTACGAGCGCCCGGCGGCGTCCGAGGAGATGATGACCTGGAAGGTGTTATACTTTTGGTTGAGCGGAGTCATGCCAAAGTACCCCACGGCGTCCCACGTGGCGGCGAAGGCCCAGTCGGACTGGAAGTTCGCGCCGGGGACCGCGCGCTCGACGATCGCGGCCGCGCGGTCGAGCTCGGCGCGGTCGGTGATGGTCCGAAACGACACCGTGCCGCGTTTGCGGAACAGGCCGTCGTTCGGGTCCATGCCGAGAGTGTCGACGTCGGCCCAGAAGGGCGCGATGACGGGCACGTGGACCCAGGGGAAGGCCTCGACGTTGTACGTCTCGACCGGGAAGTTGAAGGAGAGGCAGCCGTTGGTGTTGACAAACAAGCGGTCGTAAACGCCGCCCATGAAGGTGAACGCGTTGCCGCCGAGGGAGGCCGGGAGGAAGGTGTCGTCGCCGGGGAAGAGGCTCGTGCCGCCGTTGGCGCTGTCCGTCTCGAAGAAGTCCGCGCGCGGGACTGCGGCGACGGTCAGGAAGAGGGAGAGCCCGACGAGGGCCGCGAGGGCCGCGAAGAGGGCCCGACCGGGCGCCATGGTGCGCTTGAGATCGCGGAGAGCGGCGTGGGGGTGCGCTTGAGGGAAGTGCGAGCTCGGTTGTGCTCGCGTTGGCTGATGACTTGGAGGCCCACCAGCTGAAGGGTCTCGCGTCGTGGCACGGGTTTCCGGTCTTGGCTCGGACCGGGACCCCGGATTCTGCGATGATCGGGCGAGAGGAGTGCGACAAGATTGATCGGAGAGCGATGGAATGCGTACGAGGGCCCGGATGGCGGCAGTTTGGCCGGCGGCGGCGAGTGGTTGCATCTGGGCGGCGAACGCGGCAATGAACGATGCAATACGCCCATTTGGCCAGTTAATCGCATTATTCATATCTTCTCTAATGTTTTCGGCTGATGTAAGCTCCGCAAAAGTCATCAAGCGATCGAGGAGGGCCGGTCGAGTGGTGCCAGCACATCAGAGGCTCCTTGTCTCTGGGCGCCAGAAAGACGTGCGTCCTTTGTCGCGCCGTTTTGAATAGCGCGTTGCCTTAGAACGGTATTCGACGATCAAACGCACCGCAAGCGGCGCGCGGTGGCGCACTGGCGTTGGCTGCCGCGCAGGGGATGCAGGCACACTCACCCTTGTCGGTGCGCGTGGAGCCGCACCAGCTGCGATGTCGATCTCGCGTTGTATCTGCTGGAAGTGCTTGTATCGAGCGTACAATGCCGGCTGCCGCGCGCCCTCGCGCGCAATGTAGCGCCGCCGGGGAGGGGGGTTTTCCGAAGCTCGTAATTGACGCGTGGCAGCAGGGGACGATCAGGCGTGCCACGTGGCGCCTTGCCGGCGTTTTCACGACCTGTCCTGGGCCTCGGCGCCCCGCCACGGCCTCGTCGACGTCAGCCTACCCTGTCCCGCCCACGCCAGCATCTCCAGGCGGCCTGATCCCGGGATTCCAAGACGGGGGGCGCGCAATGACAGTGCATACATACAGCAGCAGGCGCCGGTCTGCCGCCGCGCGAGGTGTCCGCGGCCCGGCTTGCGGGCACGACCCCGGCGCGGGCTCCGTGTTCGGCTGCCCTGCGTGGCAGTCCGCAGCAGAGCGCCCCCGCCACCGGGGCAACACGGCGTGCGACACGCTCGCAAAGTGAACGCGCAGCAGACAGCGACAAGGCGAGCCGAGCGACGTGTCGCGAGCGCACGCGCAGCGGAGCATGCGGTTCCCGTCGTCACAGCGGCGGTCGGGCCAGGGAGCGCGGCCCGGCCGCAGGCGGTGCATGCAGGTGCTGTGAGCTAAAGTGTTCGCTACGATTCAATTCGATCGACCTGCGAAGTCTTCTCGCCACGAGAGACCTCGCGCCGATGAGCGTGATGTGCACGGATGTGATCAGTGGAGTCTGCGATCATCTAACGCGCCGCGGCCTCGCAACCAACATGAACGCGGCGCGTCCCCCCAGGCGGGCCAGGCCCGGGTCGCGCTGGGATCTGCGCGTGCGCGGCGCGGGCTGGCGGGACTGCCGGCGCCGTGTTGCCCCTTAGAAGTACAGGTCCTTCTCGCCGGCGTCCTGGCGCTCGAGCATGTCCTTGAGCTTGTTCTGCGCCCAGGGCGACAGCCCGACCTTCGACTCCTTGTCGATCAGCGCGCGCCCGACCTTCTTCTCCTCCTCCGTGCCGTACGCGTTCAGGTACTCCTGCACACGAGCGCAAACGCCAAGACAAGTCGCTGAGCACGTCAACCTCTGCAGACGCCGGCGGAGCGTTCCCGGAGCGATACGCACGCGCGACGCAGACCCAGCGGGTGCCCTGTGAAGCGAGGTTGCCTGCAGCCCGGGTGCGCGCGGCGGCACAGCAGGCCGTGCACCGTGCGAGGCGCGCTCACGCTCTCGCGCGCACCTGGAGCGTCAGCAGCGAGTTCGGGTGGCAGAAGTTGTGGATGTTGCCGGCCTTGGCGATCTTCATGAAGTCCTCGCCCGTGCGCCCCTTGCGGTAGCACGCGGTGCACCACGACGGCACGTAGCCCTCCTCCATCATGTCCATCACGATGTCCTTCACGGGCCGCGTGTCGAGCAGCGAGAACTGCCCCTCGAGGTTGCTCCCGCCGAGGTTGAGGTCGCTCGCCTCTCCGGGGTGGCGGTGGTAGGCGCCGACGTCGGTGCGGCTGCCAGCCGACATCTGCGACATGCCCACGCGCAGCAGGTGCCGGCGCATCTCGGGGCTCTCGCGCGTGGACAGGATCATGCCCGTGTACGGCACCGCGATGCGCAGGATCGCCACCAGCTTCTTGAACTCCTTGTCGTCGACCTCGTACGGCGGCTGCACCGACAGCTCCGAGCCCTCCGCGGGGCGCATGCGCGGCACGGAGATCGTGTGCGGGCCCGCGCCGTACGTGTCGTCCAGGTGGTCGGCGTGCATCTTCATCGCAATAGCCTCGAACTTGTGGTCGTAGAGGCCAAACAGCACGCCGATGCCCACGTCGTCGATGCCGCCGCGCATGGCGCGGTCGTGCGTGAGGAGGCGGTGGCCGTAGTCGGACTTGGGCCCGGAGAGGTGGAACTTCTTGAAGGAGGGGTAGTGGTAGGACTCCTGGAAGAGCGTGAAGGTGCCGACGCGGTCCGTGGCCTTGAGGCGGCGCATGTCGGACACGGACAGCGTGGGGATCTCGACGTTGACGCGGCGGATCTCGCTGCACGGCTCGCTGTGCACGTCGAAGATCACGTCGAGCGCGTGCAGGAAGTCGTCGAAGGTGTAGGAGGGGTGCTCGCCGGTCAGCACGAGCAGGCGCTTGTGGCCCTGGGCCTCGAGCGCGGCGACCTCGCGGCGGACGTCGTCGTCGGAGAGCTTCGAGCGCTCGATGTCCTTGTTCGCGACGCGGAACGCGCAGTACGAGCAGTTGTTCGTGCAGTAGTTGGCCAGGTATAGCGGCGCGAAGAGCACGATGCGGTTGCCGTAGATGCGCTCCTTGATCGCGAACGCCGTGTCGTAGATCTCCTCCATCAGCTCCTCGTCGTACACGTCCGTGTTCAGCAGCGTCGCCATCTCCTCCACGGACAGGCCCTGCATACACGCGCCAGGGCACGGGGCGGCGCCGTCGCGCGGGCGCTCGCGGAAATCCCTCGGAACGCGCGCGGAGCGGTGGACCCTGGAGCGGGGAAGGCCGCGGCGCGCGGGGCAGGGGGGGGGTGTCCGCGCCTTGACGTACTCGTCGCCACCCGTGATGGGGACATCCTTGATGAGCGAGCGCTCCTTCGCGGCCGCGAGGATCTCGCGGATGCGGTTCTTGTCCTTGGCGGCCTCCTTGGTGGCCTCAAGGGCCTGCGCGGCGCGAGCGGGGCCGCGCGAGGGGCGTCGGGCGCCGCACCGGACAGCACGCTGCCGGTGGTTGACAGCCAGGCCGCGAATTCCGCGCGCGACGAGCCGGAACACGGTACCGTGGCGCGCGGGGGGGTCGCTGAGATTCTCAGGCGCGCAATGTGCGCACTCGCGGCGCGGGATACGCGCGGCGCGGCCCGCATTCGCGGGCCGCGGGCCCAGCAGGTGGCGGCGTGACTAACGGACGTCCCGCGCGGCGCGGCGCGGGCCGGGCCGCGCGCACGAAGGCGCTCGGCGGCGTGGTCGCGAGCGGACCTGTCCGGAACGCGCGGCGCACCTGGTAAATCTTGTCGTGGTCGATGATTTCAAACGGGTCCTTGTAGGTGTGCCAGGTCTCGAGCTCCGTCGACCACTCCTTGCGGTACTGGCAGACGCCGGCGCGCGGGCGCGGCGCGACGGGGCGGGCGGGGGCCAGGGGCGGGCGGGAGGCGGCGCGGGCGGGCCTGCGCGGGCGGGGGGAGCGCGTGCGCGGCACGGTCGTTGAGCAGCCGGGCGACGGACACCACCCACGCGGAGCCGCGTTCGCGGCACGGGCCGCGAATTCGGCGACGAATTCGGCGATCTTACTCGCAATGGCGCGGAATCCGCGCCCGGGGCGGCCCGTGGGGCGCGCGGCGAAGCGCAGCGGGCGCCTCTAGGTCGTCGTGCCAACCGCACGGTCGAGGGCGAACCCGGCGCACCTGGGGGCTCCGGCGGCCTGGCGCGTCGCCGCCGGCGCCGCCACGGAGGCGGTGAGCCTCGCAGCGTTCATGGCAGCGCGCTTTCCCTCACGAACGGCGCGTCCGAGGGAGGCCAAGGTCTGTGTGTCAGTTGTCGGGTTGACGCGGCCGATAGCGCGCAGTGGGGGCGGTTTCCGGGGTCCTGGGGGTGCCGTGGGGCTCCGTGGGGTCGCGAAGATTGGCCTCGGCGCGCCGCGGGCCGCGGAGATGCGCGCGCGGCGCGCCTCATGGGGCCGGGAGGAGTCGAGGGGGGCCCTCCGGGCTCGGGCGCGTAGATCGGGGGGCGCGCGGGCGCGGGCGGAGCATTGCGGCGCTCTGGTGTGTCGCACTCGGCTGCCTGGGGACGCGGCCGGCACGGACACGTGCTGCGAGGATCGCGTCGAGGCGTCGTGGCCGCTCCGTCGGGCCTTCGCACGTCCGGCTGGCCGTGAAGGGCGGCGTGCGCGGCGCGAGCGATTAGCTGACGTAGAATCGCGCGAGGTTCGCTGTGCATGAGGGGCACGGAGCGCGACCATGCCGCTGCTGAATGGGCAAGAAGTCTCCCTGCAGCTCTCGCCGCCCGCGAGCGCGAAGGAGGACGGCGAGGCGTGGGTCGTGCGATGGACGGGCGAAATCTATACAGACTACGACAGCTATATTGCCCGCGTGCACTTTCTGAGGCGCCACGCCTTCACCTGCGCACAGACGGGCCAGAGCGACCTCACCTACGAGGCCGCCCTCACCTCTGAGCGCGGAGCGCGCGCCGCCGCGGCGGCCATCCCCGAGGCCCTCCAGGCCGCCATCGTACGCGCCGCGCACCTGTCCACCATCCCCACGGACCGCCTCCCCACCGCCCTCCTCAACGCGTTCCACTGCCGCTTCCTCCCGGGCGAGCCCGTGCGCGGCGCGAAAGAATCCGGACAGACCGATGCCGAGGTGAGCTCGACGCCACCGCGCCCCACGCCGCCCCCGCCCGCCCCGCCGCGGCCCCCGCGCCCGCGCCGCCCCGCCCCCGGCCCTCCTTGCGCCGCTGCACGCGCGCACCGCGAATGGCGCGCGCTCCAGGCGCGATCGTGACGCGAGGCCGCGCGCGGCGCAGCCCGCGGACCAGGGCGCGCCGATCGGCGCCGACTGCGCCAATCGATCGACGCTGCGCGCGGCCACGTCGCGCGCCGCTGCAGCTCTCACACTCAGAGCTGGGCCGGCCCACTCAGGGGGCGGGCGCGCGGCCGCCTGAGCGCGTTTCCCGCGCGCCGCTGGACCGGCGCGCGTAGGCTAGGGCCCGATCTTGCCGTTGGGCCGCCTGTTCGGTGCTTTGGCGCCGCGCACGCGCGACGGTCGCACACTTGGTGGCTGCGGGGCCGCGAGAGAGCCTAGGGCGAGGCCTGCGTCGCGGGGCCGATTTCTGCGCCAGGGCGCTCGGCGTGCCCGGCCACGACAGCCTCGGCGGCGCAGCGTGACGAACTGCGGGTTCGAGTCGAGCGACCCCGCATGTTCCAGCGTCGCTCATCGCCCGCGCTCCCGCCCGCCGCTCGCAGGTCGTCGGCGCGAAGCAGCTGTTCGGGGGCCCGCTCCCCGACAACCTCGCCCACCTCACGAGCGTCGTCCAGGCCCTCGCGGCCGGCCAGGACCCCCCCAACACCCCCGAACTCGCCGCCGGCGCCGACTTCGACCTATACGACGTCAGGCTGCCCGACGGGACGCAGGAGCCGCTCCCCGCGCAGAGCCTCCAGCGCCCCGTGGTGCTCTCCGAGCCCGCCGTCCGCGCGATCGTCCGCGGCAACGGCTCCGAGCGCCTCGGGAAGGTCGCACGTGCCGCCGGCGGCGACGCCGCCGAGGTGCCGCACGTCTACGCCGCGTCGGCGGACGCATGCGCGAAGTTCGGGCTCCCCGCGCCGCCGGCCGGGATCGAGCTCGTCGATCCGCCTGCCCCGGCCGCGGACACCGCCCTCGACGCCGCTGCCGGCGGGTTCGACCTCGACGCACTGATGGGGGAGGTGGAATGGAAGGAGACGCTCGAGCAGACGGAGCGGCGGCTGCCGGAGAACACGACGAAGTGGTACTGTTTCCAGGTGCTGCGCGACGCGGGCGCTGCGGGCCTGTCGCTGAAGGAGATGGTGCAGCAGCTGGACCGGCGGGGGCTGAAGCGCTGGGACGGGGGCGAGCGGACCGCGAAGAACACGATCACATTCGCGTGCAGCAACGACCCGGCGTTCGCCAAGGTCGGCGTCGGCCGCTGGGCGCTCATGGCGTTCCCCGGCGTGAAGCCGATGGCGCCGTCCAAGGCGATTAACAAGTCGCTGGTTACCAAGGGGCGGCAGGAGATCGCGGAGATCGAGAAGCAGGAGAAGGAGATCCGCGCGCAGATCGAGCAGGCTACGAGCGAGGCCGCTCGCGCGCCGGGGTCGGCGCGCGGCGCGCAGGCCGCGAACGACACGACGTGCCGCGCGTGCGGGAACGGGCCGGTGGAGGCCGCGGACGGCGCCGAGGCGCAGCCGCTGCTGTGCTGCGACGAGTGCTCGGCCGCGTACCACCTCGGGTGCGTCGACCCGCCGATCGCGGACCCCTCGGCGCTGCCGTCGGGCGGGTGGCGGTGCCCCGACTGCGCCGGGCGGGTCGCGGCGCTCACCGCGAAGCTCGCGGAGCTCCAGGAGCGCAAGAAGGCGATCCAGGAGAAGGCGAAGACGATCATGGACAAGGCGTCGCAGCAGATGTCGATGCGGGGCATCGATCTGGAGCGCCGGCGCCGCGACAAGGAGTTGCGCGACATGATGCGCGCCGAGGCGAAGAGGATGGCGCGGTATCCGATCGACGACGCTGCTGCGGTGGAGGAGCTGCGGCAGGAGCTCGAGCGCGCGCAGCAGGCGGCGGATGCGCGGCAAGGTGACGTGGCGCGTGCGGCGGGCGGGGGCGCGGCCGCCGGGGCGCCGGGAGCGGCGCGGGCGGGAACCGGCGCGCGTCGGCGCGCGCACAGGTCGCGGCGGTCGCGGAGAGCGACGAGGCGAAGGCGGCGCGCGCCGCGCTGACGCACGCGAACTCGCAAGTCGCGGAGCTGGCCAAGGTGGTGCAGGGGCCGCCGCGGTACGCGCCGAACGCGTCGCACGAGTGGTCGTTCGACCTCGCGCAGCTGCGTCCGGGCGGCGCGAAGGGCCGCGGCGGCGTCGACCCGGAAGCCTTTTCGGAGGCTGCGGCGGTGTCGGAGTTCACCTTCTTGTTCCGGGACGTGCTTGAGTCGGTGACGGGCACGAAGCAGCACGCGTGGAGCGTGTTCAGCCTGCTCGACGCCGCGGGGGACGTGCCGGCGTTCCCGGCGCTGATGGGTCTGTTTCGGTCGCTTTTGCAATTACTCCTTCTCGATCTCATCGTGGCGCAACAGAAGGCGAACTCGGCGGGGCAGGGGCGCTCGCACCGCTGGGCGCGCGTGTGCGACGACTCCAACTGGCCCGAGGTGCTCCGACGGTACGTCCTCCTAACGCGGTCCACCACCCACCACCCGCTGTCGCTGCTGGAGGACCTGGGGCTGTCGGTGGAGCCGCCGGGGCCGGCGGTGAAGGCGGAGGGGGGCGCGGAGGGGGAGGGGTCGGCGGGCGCGATGGACGTCGACGAGGACGAGAAGAGTGAGAAGGGGGGGGGTTGGGAGGAGCAGAACCTTGATGAGAGACTCGACAAGGGCGCGCCGCTGCGGGGCGTGGACGGGAGCATGGGGAAGGACCCGAGCGACGACGAGGCGGTCGTGCGCGTGGCGGTGGAGATGTCGCGGAAGCGGCTGTGGGAGCTGCCGGCCCGGGAGGTGCTGCGCGTGCTGCGTACGCTGTGCGACGACGCGTGCCTGTCCGACAGCGTGAAGAAGACGGTGGACAGCCGGCTCGAGCACGCGACGAAGGCGGAGCAGGAGGCGAAGGGGCGGGGCGGGAAGAAGGCCGCGGCGGCGGCGGCGCTGCTGCCCGGGACTGCCCCGGGGACTGCGGTGCAAAACACCCCCACCGGGTCGGCCATGCAGGGCGCGGGGGACGGCGGCGACGCGACGGCGACGAGCGACGACGCGCAGCAGGGCGAGCAGGGCTTCACCACGCGTTGCCTCGGCAGCGACCGCAACGAGGCGCGCTACTACTGGTTCCGCGGCGCCCCCGCCGCCGTCCTCGTCCTCCCGCACAACATCGACGCGCCGGGCGCCGGAACGCGCGCCTGGGCGGCGCTGCGCACCAAGGGCGAGCTCGACGACCTCATGGCGCGCCTCACCAACCGCGGGTCGCGCGAGCGCGACCTGCTGGCGAACCTGCAGAAGTCGTACGACGCCCTGCTCAAGGCGTTCGCGGATGGACCCGGGCCGGACGCGTCCGCGGAGCTGCGCGAGCAGCCGCCCGCCGTGGCGTCGGGGGAGCCGCTGGCGGAGGGCGCGACGCCGACGTACACGCACAACCTCCCGCGGCTGATCCAGCAGGCGGGCGGCGCTGGCGGCGGCGGCGGCGGCGGCGGCGGGGGCGGCGGGGGCCGCGGGGACGAGGACAACGCGTTCGGCGTGTGCATGTGGTGCCTGGACGCGGACGGCACGTCGTTCGTGTGCGAGAACGAGCAGGGCCAGTGTTGCGTGGTGATCTGCCCCAAGTGCCTCGGGGTATCGTTAGACGAGCTGGACGCGTCGGGGAAGAAGTGGTACTGCCCCGACTGCCAGGCGGAGCACAAGTCGGACCCGGACGTCCTCCGCCTGGTCCCGGACCGCGCCCGCGAGGAGATGCGCAACACCAAGGGCATTCCTGGGAAGCTGGATGTGTACTGCGAGAGCAAGGACCGCACACAGCGGGTGTACGCGAAGCTGGTGGTGTCGCGGCTGAACCGGCTGGAGAAGTTCGAGTTCACGGACTCGCGCGGGCGCACGAAGATGGTCTCGGGCGGCGCGATCGAGAAGATGGTGGGGCGGGAGAAGGACCGGCAGTGGAAGAACACGATTCAGGTCTGCTCGAACGGCTGGAAGATCTCGAAGTGGCTCCGGGAGCACAACATCAATCCGGCGAAGCGCGGGACGCGTAAGAAGGGCGAGGGCGACGAGGCGGGGGCCGCGGCGGACGGCGGTGGCGGCGGGAACGCAGGCGGCAACGCGAGTGCCGCGCAGGCGTCGGAGCGGCCTCCCGCGACGGGGCCCGGCGGCGGAGGGCGCGCGTCGAGGACGCCCGCGGCCGCGATGATGCAGCGCCGCCCGAAGCAGCGCGCGTGGGACCCCCCCCGGGGCCTCGAGGGCAAGGCGTGGTTCTACCGCCTGGGGGTGTTTTGCGGGGCGCGGCAGCTCGCGCGCACGGCGCTGGACGTGCACCTCCTCGCGGACGTCGTCGGCAAGCCCGAGCCGTTCGGCATGACCGACGAGGAGTGCGACAGGCAGCTCGAAGCCGTCAGCACCGTCAAAGAGCTGTGCGCGTGGGCGCGCAGGTTCGAGGCCCACTGCAAGGAGCTCGGGAGCGGCCTCCCGCTCGGCGCGCAGGTCTGGGACGAGCAGCCCGAGCGCGTCGCGGCCACGGCGCCCGACCCCGGCCTCCACGCACGCGACATTTACCTCGACACAGACTGCACGATCAAGGAGCCGGCGCCGCCGCCGGACGAGAACCGCGGCCTCCCCACGGGCGTCGTCAGCACGGGCGCGCCGTCTGGCGCCGGCGAGAACACCGACGCGCCCCCCGGCGAGGCGACGACCGGCACGGAGGCGAAGCCCGACGTCAAGGACGCTGGCGACGGCACGGAGGCGACGGGCGACGGCGAGCAGGCCGCGCCGGAGTCGACCGCGGACGCGGGCGGCCACGGCATGGTCGTGGAGGCGCGGCGGTATATGCAGCGGCCGAAGCCGCTACCCACGGAGGTCATCGAGCGGGAGAAGGCGGCGGCGGAGGCGGCGGCGCAGAGGGAGCGGGAGCTGCGGGAGCTGGCGGAGGAGGAGGACGCTGTGCCGAAGGGCCCGCTGCCGAAGACGGCGGTCGACGTGGACGACAACACTATCTTTCTGCGGCGGCGCGCGGTGGTGGTGCCTGCGGAGGACGTGGACGACTCGGACATGGAGTACGGTGCGTTGCGACCCGGGGCCGCGTGCGTGCTGTGCTGGCTGACCGGCCTGGCTGCGTTGCCTTCGCGGCGGGACTGTTTCTGGTTCTCGTTTTCATGTCTTTGTTTTTGTTGCGTGTTTGTCGTCGCGCTGACGGTTCCTGCTCCGGGCCAACGATGGATAAAACATTTGAGACCTGATCCGAGCCAGGGAGACCCCCTGTGCGGACACAAAATGCGGTGAACAATCTCTGAGGCCACTACGAGCACACTGACCAACGCACCCGACGAGAGGCCGCGCCAGCAGCGAGCCCGCGTCCCTGCACACAACGGCGTTCCCTCCATCTTTTTTCTCCTTTGTATCAGCTGGCTCGCTCCAGCTCCTCGGGCCCAACCATTTATACACCCCCCTCGTCCGCCATCGACATCCCGGACTGCCACTGCCGTGTCCGACTCATCCCGCACCCCTCCCGCCCTGCAGCGTACAAGATCGGGCAGTCCCTCTGGCGCTCCAAGCGCGAGCGCGGCATGTGGCTGCGCGCCCTGAGCGCCGCCGAGGCGTGCGAGGACTCCGCGCTCGCCTCGTACCTCTGCGCCCTGTTCGCGGACCAGGCCTCGCCGCTGTACGACAAGTGCCTCCAGGACACGGCCAACCGCGGCGACGAGGAGCTCGTGCGGCAGCACAAGGACCGGCTACGTGAGCGCGGCATCAGCGTCAAGCGCAGCCTAGATCCGGGCTACGTGCAGACGCTCGTCGACAGCCAGAACGACGCCAAGCGGCAGAAGGTCGACGGCGACGCGTCCGCGGCCGCGGGGCAGCAGCCGACGTTCGAGGTCCGCACAGTTGCGGCCACCGGCGGCGACGGCGGGCCGGACACGTGGCACGACGTGTGCGAGGTGTGCAAGAACCCGGGCGACCTGCTGTGCTGCGACAAGAAGGGCTGCCCGAACACGCTGTGTCTGATGTGCCTCGGGCTCGACAAGGCGCCGGAGGGGGAGTGGTTCTGCAACAGGTGTCAAGGCAAGCCGCTGCCACCGCCCGCGCGGCCGCCGCCGGGCTTCGCGGTGTCGCCGCCGCCCGCGGTGCCGCCCGCGGTGGGCAACGGCGGCGCGCAGGCCGCGCCGGCCGCGACGGGCAACGGCAGCGCGCCCGCCGGCGCCGCGCCAATGGATGCGGACGGTGGGATCTGAGGGAGCTCTCAATCGAGGCGGGGAGGGAGGGACGGACCGACGGAGTACTCGCGCTCACACTGCAGCCAGGCAGCACGCGAGCAACACAGCACGGGGGGGCTCGGAGTGAGTGTAAGAGGAGGTTCCACCTCGTTCCCGCCGTACCAGCACCGCGCCCCCGGCCGCAGCCGCTCCCGCCTGCCTGCTCGCGAAGCGCGACTCCACACTCTGTTCTGCTCTTCTTCCCTCCTCTCATCGCAATAACGTCTTCTTTCACAGTCTCTCTTCCCATTCAAAAGCCCTTGCTGTCTCCCGGCTTCTCCGCCGCTGCGCCATCGTGCGACTCGCGCTCTGCGAGCCTGCCACCTCACCGCAGCACCCGTCGCCCCCCTCTCTCTTTCAAGACCCCCCCCCCTCCACTCAGATCCACCGCCGCTGCAGCACGTTCCGGGCGACCCACTCCGCGAACTGCGGCCCGTGCCAGTTCGCCACCGCCTCGATCTCCGCCTTCACCGCCCCCGCCTGCATCACCAGCAGCTCCTCGCGCCACGCCGACCCCACCGGCACATGTGCGTCCCGCCGCAACATCCCCCCTAGCAGCCGCAGGTCCGCCTCGCTCAACGGGCGCCGCGCCTGCCCGCGCGAGCCCGCGCCGCCGCACCCCGAGCTCTCTGAACCGTCGCAGACCGCGAGGTGCTCGGAGCGGACACCGAGCCACTGCAACGGCACCGAGCAGTCCACGCGGAACGACCGGCTCTCCGCGGCGTCCTTGAGCGCGCCGAAGCGGTACACGCACAGGATGCCGACCCCGCTCGGATTGTAGTCCGCCAGCCCTATGACGGGCAGCGCCGGGCCGGCCTGCTCGTGGAGCTTCCGTAGGAGCATCCTGGTCGCCAGGTCCGGGACGCCCTTGCCAGTGATGAGCACGCACGGGACCAGGTCGAACAATTTGTCGTCGAGCAGCCGCTGAAAGATCGCGTCCTTCTCGACGACGAGGATGCAGCGGCAGTTGGAACTGATGCGCACGTGCATGCGCGCGAGGACGTCGAGGTCGCCCGGAATCGGAATGCCCGCCTGCGTGGACGTCCCGCTGAGCCACGGCCCGTCCTGCAACGTGCGGCGCCCGCGACGCGCACCTCACGTCGTCGCCGCGAGCCCTTTTTCAATGTGCTACGGGGCTCCTACGTCGAGCCGCGGTGGAATCGGCGCGGAACGGGGTGGCTGTGAGGCGGGAGCACCTTGTTGATGGAGAGGTTGCCGGCCACGAGGCCCTTGGACGACGAGGTGATGTGGAGGCGGTTGCGCTCCATTAGAAGGAGCTCGCACGCGCGATTCACGGCGCTGTACGTCTCCTGAACCGACCCCACGACGCCCGCGGGCAAGCCCTCCTTCATGCCGTAGAACAGGTCGCGCTGCGTGTTCTTGCCGTCGCGCAGCGCCGCCTCCTGGGCCGACTCCAGCACGCTGAGCACTGGACGACAGTGGCCACGGCGCGAGCGGCCCGTCAGGCGCCCTGCCCGCGCTCCCGCGCACACGCCCAGCGTATATCGCGCAGTTTACGTGGATCAAGGCGACGTGTGGGTCGGGGAAGGTCCGCACCTCGCGTGAATTGCAGCGGGTTTGAAAGGAAAGAGATTGCCACCGAGTTCGCGTGCTGGTTGAGGGGCTCGAGCCGCGGCGCCTCTCCCTGCAGGACCTGGTTCACGAGGTCCCGGACCACGTCGTCGATGGCGTCCAGCAGCTCGCGGTCCGGCTCCCCCCCCGGCGACAGCAGTGCCGGCAGCGGCTCGTACGACGCATTGCCCGCTTCCATGGCCCCAGCACTCGTGACGCTCCTCGTACGCCTCGCAGGACCTGTCCTCCGTCGACGTGTGCACGCCCCAAGTCGCGCGACCGCCGCACAAGGCGTCCAGGTTGTTCTACCTGCCGTTCGACACTGTGCTGACAGCTGTTGTAGTGCTCGTACCCTCGTTGTGCGCGCTTGAGACGTGGGGGTGGAGCGTCGAGACGGAACGTGGCATCACAAAACACGCGGATGTCGTTGTCTGGGTGCCTTCAAGGCAATCGGCGCCCCTGACAGGCGCGACGCTGGAGCAACCCTCCCTGGCGCCGCTCAGGGGGACCCCGACGCGAACGCGGACGCGAACGCCCCCTCGAAGCTCCCGCCGAAGCCCGGGAACATGTCGGCCAGGTTCAGTCGGAAGCCCGCGTCGATTCCAGTGCCCGGAATATCCTCGATTGAGAACTTGTCCACAAAGAGCGACAGCTTCGAGGGCTCGACGATGCCCGACAGCATCTTGCGCATCACCTGCACGTCCACACGGGTCGCGCCACCCGTCCTGTCGGACAGCTTCGAGGAAAGCGCGCTCGCGGGCGAAGCTGTGGGGCACACGCAGCGTCGCGGGCCAGCGCTGGAGCGTGTTCCGCACCTCCTTGAAGCCGCCGCGGTCGCGCAGGTCCGCGAGCGGGAACGAGAACGTCTCGCCGGCCTTCCCGAAGAGCTCGACCTCGACAGTGTTGCCGAACTGCTGCGTGGAGGTGCACTCCGGCGTGATGAGGCACGCGGCCGACTTGTGCTTGTGCGTGAAGATCGGGGGTACCTTGGTCGCGACGACGGACGGCCCGACGCACGTCAGGTCGGACTCGATGCCGTCGTCGCCGCTGACGTCCACGCGGCACGTGCCGGTCGAGGCCACGATGTTCAGGGACGGGCCCGTGATCTTCGCGTCGATCTTCTCCGGCTGCGAAAACGAGGGGCGCGCGGACGGGTGGAGGGGCGCAGAGCGGGCGGCCTCGCGGCGTGCGTCGCGGAGGTCGGAACGCATGACGCGTGATTCGTTGCTGTTGGCAGGCATCGTGTGGTGCTGGTGACTTCGTCACGGCCGCACGAGATAGAAGGATCGAAAGAATGATCAGGGGCGTGAGATCGGAGCATGTCTGCGAGTGTTCGGCGTCGCTGCCGCACCTCCAAGTACGTGAAGGGCGTGCAGTAGTCGGACGCGAAGTCCGCCGCGGTGGCCATCGCAGCCGAGATGTCGAGCAGCGGGAGGTTCGCCTTGAAGCCCCCGAGGTCGAGCGTCGGCATCTGCATCGCGGTGCCGGGGATCACCGTCCCGGCGCCGCCCAGCTTGGCATTGGAGACCCCAAACAGCTTCGACCGCAGCGGACCGATCCCCTGCGCAATCACGATCCTTCCCGCTCCGTCACCCGCGTGGAATCGCAGTGTTCGGGCGAATAGCGGGGACTTGGGCCCGAGAAAAGGCGTCCGTGCGTGCGAGTCGCCGGGAAGTTGGGTCGTTGGAGGCTCACCTTGCCAATGTCGAAATTCCCGAGCAGGCCCGCGAGCTCGCCGGTCACGTCCGCGTTCGCGAAGTTGCTGAGCACGCTGCCCATCTCTGCACGCGATCGAGGCGGGGCGCACGATCATTCGCAACCATCGAGGCCGACACTTGTCACGCGAGGCAACGATGCACGCACGAGCGGCGCGCGAGCGTCGCACCGGACACGAGCGTCGAGCCGGGGTCCTGCGCCATGCAGCAGCCCGTCACGACCGCAGCGACCGCCGCCGCGAGCGCAGCTCGGCACTTGGCACCCTTCCTAGTCATCGTGAACGGAGCTTGGGGTTTCCTGTCTTCGAAGGCGCGTCTCCGGCGTGTCTTGCTGGGTTCCTGCTCTGCCTGCGGTGCGCCCGGAGCGTTGTGTGCCCGCGGCGGCGCTCGCGATGCGGGGTTGACTGCGGCGGACGACCCCGCGGCGCGACCGGGGGTGTTCGCGCTCCCCAAGGGTCGACGAACCAGCGCACGTGACCATCTACGCGCAAATGCGGTCGACAGCTTCGACAGCCTTGAAATATACGCACCAAATGGATACGTCGAGAGCGTCACCGATGGCGCGGTTTGCGCGAGAATCAGCACAAGCAAGTTTTGCGGCGGTCAGCAGCCTCGCGACGGCGACTGCATGCGTCAACAGCTCGCCGAGGTGCCTATCAGTGGCCCGCTGCTGACGCCACGCGGTCTCGGTCCACGCGCACCACCAACACGCCACGGCGGCCCACGATGTGCGGTCCTGACCTGGAGCAGCTTGTTCGCCTGCAGGTGCAAGCTCTCACAGGGAAGCGGTGCGCGGCGGGGTAGCCGGGGTTGCCTAGAGGCCCATCTCCGCGGCCGTCTTCCAGCCCTCGACGACCCCGAACATGCACTGCTTCTCAATCAAGAGGTTGTAGCTGTTGCCCTCGCCGTCCATGGCCTTGCTGGTTGGGAGCTTCCCGAACCCCCTCTCGCCCCAGTACGTGCCCCAGCTGTTGCGGATGATCCAGTACTCGTCGCCAGAGTCCTCGTCAATGCCCCAGCCGACCACCGACACGATGTGGTTGATCTGCGCCACACACACACACACACACGCGGCACCACCATTCGTCACTTCTGACAATTGCATCAAAGTACGGGCCGGTCTGCACCGCGCGGTTCGTGGGCGAGAAAGCAGCCGCAGGACGCAGCCGAGGCGCGCGGACGCTCCCGGGAGGGTCGTGCGTGGGGGGGGGGTCTCACGTGGATGTCCTCCGGGTCGTGTTCCTCGCGGTAGACCCCCCCCTTGTAGTCGTCGAGGCCGTCCGTGGCGCTGACGCCGCAGCTGATCGGCCCGCGGCGGAAGATCTCGGCCTTCATTTTGTCGTACCCGGAGCACTCGCCGTGCTCGGAGACCACCAGGCGCTCGTAGTCGCGCACCGCCCAGCACCGGCTGTGGTCGCAGTTCTTGCACTGCTTGCTCTCGTGGCAGGTGTGGTCGCGCGCGAGGTACGGACTGCACGTCTCGTCCGGGATCCCCAGCTTGAGCGCGTAGTCGTACACCTGCACGAAGATGCGCAACAGACCAGATTGCAACAACTATTAAAACGTGTCATTTCATTTCAAACGTGTCGCGATTGGAACGACTGTGACGGACGAGCGCGTAACGGTGATCCAAATGGACAGGAAGCCAGGCACCCGCGCGCGCTGTCCACCGCGCACGTTGCGCAGCGACACACAGAGCGTCACGTGTGTGTGCGCACCAGGTAGTCCTCGCCGCCCTCGGTGCAGGACCCGGCGTCGCCGCAGTCGAGCACGTTCTGGACGGACAGCAGGCGGCCCGGCCGGCTCTCGTTCTGGATGATGGCCCAGCGGTCGGAGAGCGCGCTGGTGGAGCCGTGGGCGAAGCAGCTGCCGCAGTACGTGGGGATGTGCTGGTTGCGCACGGGCGTGAGGAAGTTCAGCCCGTTGACGTCGCGCCAGTCCCAGGTGTCCGGGAGGTCGTCGGCGCCCACCACCTCGTGCGAGCGCGCGGTTTTGCTGCAGGCGAGCAGGGGAGCCACAGCGGCGGTTCTAGTGCGGGTCACGGCGAGGAATACAGCGCGTTACAGACAGTGAGCTCGCGTGACTCTGGATCGACCCGGAAAAAGCCGTTGGAATCGCGGACGTGCGCGGACTTGCGTGGTGCGTGGGTGTGGGGAACGTGAGTCTTCGTTCACGCATGTCAAGCGGTGTCAACGTCTCGACAGCCGGGAACAGATCAGCGGTCATGTCCGGCGAATAGCTGGCGTGGTGTTCGGGAGTTGGTTCGGCCCCTGCACTCGCTGCGCCGTGAATGCCTGCTGGCAGGAGCTGAGGCGCGGCACGGCTCCTGGGGGCATAACGCGGGGTCGAGGGGACGCACATGACCTCCTGGTAGCTGCTCGGGATCTCCTTGATGCGAGCGTTCGGGTTCACGAAGCGGGACGGCCGGAACTTGAGCGGCGTTGGTTCAGCAAAGGTAGCGCCAATGCCCTCCGACCGGATCGCTGCGCACACCGCAACGGCCGCGAGGAGCACGAGGATCCCAGTGAGAGCCCGCATCGCGAACGTCCGCCCTGAACGACTCGCTGCTACAGCACACGCGTGCAGCACCACCACTTCACGACTCGACCACGGAGAGCTGCGAGAGGCCGCGTAGAGCCGCCGAAATGAACCCCACGTGCTCGTTCGGCCCGCAACTGGCCTTGGGGCCCGTCGAGCACGCGCGAAGACCCCGGGACGCAACGCAGCAGCATCCACCCCCCCTCGCCAGCTCAGCACACACGTTTTCCCCCGCATCGCTCGCACCTCCCGTTTCCACCGAAATCGTCCCCACGACCGACAACCCCAGCCCTGCCACGGGCCGCCAGAGGCGCGCACCGCCGTCCCACCCCCACCACTCGGGCGCGCCACTCGTCATCATATGTTACAGTCTTGGCCCGCCAACACACAGTCTCCGACGCCGCCGCGCGCCTCAACGGCTCCCAGGCCCCCCCCGGCTCCCCAGCAGGTCCGCGACGTCCCGCGCCACCTGCCGGAACGACGACAGCGCCAGCGCCGCATTCTCTTGGCTCTTTGCCATGATTCGTTGCGACATGGCGTTCGTGCGGTCCAATATCTCGAGAATCGACATGTCCGACAGCGACCGCTCCTCGTCGTCCTTCCGCCCGCTCGCCCGCGCCTTGGCGCCCTCCGCGGCCGCCCGAGACCCCACCCACAGCCGCCGCGACTCCCCCCCCGGCCCCTCTCGCAGCCCCTCCGAGTCCCCCCCCTCGGACCCCGCCCCCGACTCCTCCTCGCGCCCGCCGCGCCCGCGGTCCCCGTTCTCCGCCGCCGTGCCGGAGCCGTCCGCGCCCTGCCCCAGCGCGTGCCGCGCCGTCGTCGACTGCATGTCCGGCACGCTCACCACCTCGAGCCCCTGGCAAAACGGCATGTACGACCGCACGTACAGCTGCGGCTTCCCTGCACGGCGTGCGCGCGCGCGGGACAGCGTGACGCGCTCCGCGGCAACGGCAACGCGCGCGACGCGTGCGTGGGTGCTCTGGGAGCGGGGGCGAGGTGGGCCGGGGCATGTGGGCGCACCTGTCTTGCTGTGTTTGTGCACGAGTATCTCGGCCTTGCGCCACTTCGTGAGGCCGATGCACGCGTACCGAAAGTCGGGCACTTGCCGCGGGTTGATAGAGGGGGCCGCGGGGGGCGCGGACTGCGACGACCAGGGCACTCCGATGCACGTCTGCGGAGGGGAGTGCGAGAGGGGGCGTCCGCGGATGAGCGGCGGGGGGTCGGGCCGAGCGTTGGGCGGGGCGGGCGGTGGTTGGTCGTGAACCGGGAAGTGAGCGTCGTGGGGGCGGCAGGGTAGAGCATGGTACGAAAGAAGAGATGATGAGTGAAGAAACGAGCACGGTGGGGGCCTGGAGCGGCGCTGAGCGGACTTTCCGGCGCGGGGGGGTCGCTTCCAGGCAGGCTACATCACTGCCTAGGCTCTGCCCTTGCGAGCGGGAGCACGGTCGGCACGCGGGACGGAAATACTACGCGATGCGCGCACACCCTGGTCCAAGAGATGGACGCAACAGCGCCGCAGGGGACGACTTGGATACGCGTGTGTCCGGCGCACGCCGCGCGACAAACCAGAGCGGTCCCACACCAGCGAAAACGCGCTCGTTTCCCGCGCGAAATGCCAAGAACGGACCGCCAGAGCGGCGTCGTTGCAGGAGAGCGTCGAGTGAGAGCGCTTCGGGCGCGGTGTCTCGAGCAGCGCCGCGGCGGGAGCGCCTGGGCGTGCGTGGCCTCGCAGGGTTGCGGGCAGGCGGGCGGGTGGGGCGCGAAGTGGGTGGGTTCGCACCGGTCCCTTGAGCTGCCTCATCATCTTGTCGTTGTAGTACAGGCAGCCCGCGCACATCTCCGTCGACGGAGTCAAAGGGTGCCCCACTTTAGGGTGGCCCTCTGGCAGCTTCATGGCGCTGTTCGGGCCGCTGTCGACGCAGGCTCGCAGTCCGCGGTCGGGACGGTTGCAAGGGCGCCAGTTCCTGCCCGCGCGACGCCCGCAGCGACCCAACGAGCCGTGAGACGGTCTGTGCTATCATACCCCGTCCCCCCGCGCACGTCGCAGCACGGGCCTCTTGGGGCCGGTGCGGCGCTCAGCAGGAAAGTTCGTGGGCCCGACGACGAGGGACGGGCAGAATTCGACGTACTGGGCGACGGAGTGTTCCGGGGCGACGTGGACTGAGCATTGGACATAGCTGGCACCGTCCGTCGTAGAGGCGGCGAGATCTGAAGAGCAAGATGCCGCTTCCAGGTCTGGGCCTTATGGCCCGCCTGCACGACGGAGCGGTCGCGCCCCGGGTGGCTTCCAGCGCAGCGCAGCTCAGGCAGCCTCATTGCGCTCTGACGGGCCCTCGCCTGCGCCAGGTGCGTCGAAGGTCGCGCGTCAGAAGCCGACCGTGCATAGGCGACACCGTGGTCGTCCTCCGATGCCGCGTGCCACGCCGTAGGCCCGCACCGGGCGCAGAACGCCCGTGGGAGTTGCCCGGACCGGCCGAAAAGCTGCGATTGCGGCCGTTCCTGCGCCTGGTTCGAGCGGCTCGCGCATGCACGCGGTACAGTCGAAGTAGGGGTGTCTTGCCGGGGATGGTTCCTGTCGGGCTCCCCTGCGGAGGCATCACGGGGACGATTCTCACCCGTGTGGTCTGTTCGCGCCATTCCGTCGAGATGCCAGGCGAACCGGCCAATAATTTCGTCGTGATCGGTAGTCCTGCTCAATATCTCAGCCCACGGAGCTGGAACGCGGCATATCTCCGTCGCTGCCGCGCGGTGGCGCTGTTGCAGCCTTGCCGTGGCTTTCGCGTCGCTGCTGGGCGGCACCAGAGAGCGTGTCCGGTCGACTGCGACATCGACAACGCTTCTCAATATGCAGCGTGCTCGAAAATTCCCAGGCAACCTCGTATCCACCCCCTCGCCTGCGTCCCGCCAACGTTTGACCTCCATCGCGCACCTCGCAGGTGCGCTGTGCGGCCAAGGTGACGCCGTCCGACCCCGACGAAGACCCGACGCTGACGGCCATCGTCCAGGCTGCGGCCGCGAACGCCCAGCGTCCCGGCGAAGGCGTCAGCTTGCCGCCCCCCTCGGCGAGCGCCGTGCACATCGAGCAGTCCACGCTCTCCGCGTCTGACCTGGGCGCCTCCATGAACGACGGCTTGCTGCACACCGCGGCGCCGCCGGCGACCGACACGGAGACGAGCACGCGCGACAACGGCGCCGCGGCCGCCGACGGCAACGGCAACGGGTCGCAAAAAGGTGGGCCTCCCGCCCGCGCGCGCGTGCGCCAGCCATCGGCCGTCCCCCGACGCGCACGAGGCAGTCCTTGCGCCGTTCTCGCCCCCGAGGCGAAGGCGATGCAGCGCGAGTACACCTGCTTTGTCAAGGAGGGCGCCGCACATCTGCACACAGTTTGCCCGGCACCGTGCGCACATGCTTGGCATTGCGCGAGTGAATCAATATCGTCTTGGTACACCGTCAAGACTCGATCTCGGTGGCGCTTTGCTGGGTCCGCGAGGCGCCCCGCCCCCGTGGATCGGGTCTTCACGGTGTGTCGAGACGATATTGATCCGCCCGCGCAGCCCGCCGGCACGTGCCGAGCATGCGCGCATTGTGCTAGATGGACCGATAGAGCACTGTCCCCCGGGTGCCTCTCTGCGTCCGTTCGCTCGCATCACGCCCATGTTGTCGTTGATGTTGTGTGTCTGCAGGGGGCAAGAAGAAGAGTGGGAAGTCGAAGCGGCGCAAGATACTGCGGTCGCACGCGAGCAACGACCCGATCATCATGATCACGCGGCCGCTGCCGCGCGTGCTCCTGGTGCACACGGGGGGGACTCTCGGCATGGACCCGACGGCGTCCTTCGAGACGGACGGCGAGGGCCACGTGCACGTGCGGCGCGGGACGGGCGGGCACTACCCCGGCTCGCTGCAGCCGGGCAACATGCTGATGAACATCAAGGCCGTCGTCCCGGAGCTCGCGGCGTTCGCGAACCTCGACCTGAAGGTGGCGTTCAATCGCGACTCGTGTCGCGTCGGGCCGAAGGAGTGGCTGCAGCTCGCGACGCTCCTGCACAAGAACCGCGATTACTACGACGCGTTCATGATCGTGCACGGCACCGGTGAGCACCCGCACGCGCCACGTCAGCACCGTGATGAGCGTTGCATTCGATGACGTTTCGACCTCCACCGTGGCGTTGCGCTCGCAGACACGATGGCGTACACGGCGTCGGCGATCTCGCTGATGCTCTCGGGCTTCAAGAAGCCGATCGTCATGACCGGCTCGCAGCTTCCGCTCATGATGCCGCGCTCGGACGCGCGCCAGAATCTGATCGACTCGATCACGTGCGCGACGGCCGCCTTCACGCCCCCGCACGTCCACATGCAAGAGGTCGCCGTCTGCTTCGGCGGCCGCCTCATGCGCGGGAACCGCTCCCGCAAGACGGACTCGTCAGTCTACCAGGCCTTTGACTCCCCCAACTACCCCCACCTGGCCGCGCTCGGCGTCGACGTCGACTGGAACCACAGCGCGCTCCTGCGCGTCACGGGGCCGTACCGCCCGCGCCTCAAGCTCAACCCCAACGTCATTCGCATCCCAATCATCCCTGGGTCAGACCCCCGGACGCTGTACGGCGACCTGCACGGGCGCGGCGTGCGCGGCATCGTGCTCGAGGCCTTCGGCGTGGGCAACATGCCGGACCTGGCGTCGCAGGGGTGGATGCCCTGGCTCAAGCAGCAAACGAAGAAGGGCCTGCAGGTGTACTTGGGGTCGCAGTGTGCCAATGGGAACCTGCAGCCGGAGCTGTACCGCGCCGGGTCCGTGGCCATGGCGATGGGCGTCGAGGGCGGGCCGCAGATGACGCCCGAGTGCGCGAGCGTGAAGATGATGCTCTGCCTCGAGTACCCGGACATTCCGCTCAGCGTGCCGCTGGCGGGCGAGCTGTAGGGTAGTTCTTTGCTGACCTACGAGCACCCTCACAGGGTCGCCGCTTCCTGCACCACGCAAAGCGCTATCTGTATTGAACATGCAGTGTGACAAACGTGTCACACCGGAGGTCACGTTAACCAGGAAAGGGGGGTGGCCGAGCAACGACGTGGTGGAGTACCCGCACGCAGGATGAGCAAGCTGCAGCAACAAGTGTCGGGGTCCCAATCACCTGCGCACGCAGCTCGAGTGAAGTCTTCGATGAGTGACGAGCCCCGCGGGCGTGCGGGTACTCGTCGGCAAGCCCCACCACGCGTCCCGATGTCGTCGGCCGGCGACCCTGCCCAGCAAGACAGCACGCATGACATCACGCATGTCAGGTGACAGCCCCTCACGTCACCCGCTACTCGGGCCGCTCCTGGAAGCACACGTTGAGCAGCGGATCCGCGTGGTGGTTGTCAGGGGTGGGGGTGCAGTGCCCAGGAAGCTCGTGCGTGTGATCGTTAACATGACGATGACGTTGTCATGGGGCTCCAGGGCCGCGGAACACCCGCACGGCCCCAGGAAGGGGGTTGGGGGAGGGAAGGGAGGGGGAGGGAGGGAGGGGGAGTGGAGGGCGGGGGGGGGTCGGGTTTGGGGGGGGAGGGGGTGTATTAGCCGTAATCGTTCACGGGGAGATCGCTGAAAGCCACGCTGCCAGCGCGGGGGCGTGGTACGACGGCGCGTGTCGGGTGCGGTCGACGGGGTACGCGTGGTTCGCGGGTGCGCGGGCCGCGTCAAGGCGCGCAACTTCGCGGACAACGAGGTCGTGAACACCTTCTGGCGTGGCGGGCGCAAAGTGTGGGACAGCAAAGTGTGGGACATCTGTGACTGCGGATCTGCCATCTCTGGACAGGCGAGAACGGATGCGGCGTGGTGTTCACACGCCGGGCCGCCAGACGGACGCATCACGTGATCGCAGCGGCGGGAGCTACGGCTATGTCTCGCGAATGGAGAAGGATTCGCCGGGTGGTTTGGCGCAGCGCTGGCCTACATGAAGTTCGCCATGCCGTGCGGGTTCGCCGCGTCCTTCTCGGGGTGTATCCGCTGCCGCCCCCCGCCCGTGAAATTCAGCATCGACACGTAGTCGTGCGGGGTGCGGTGCAGCGTGACGAGGTGCCCGTACAAGGTGCGGTTCGCCATCGCCGACATCCCGCTCGTGACGTGCGCCAAGCCGAGCGAGAGCATCGACGACGGAGCGTTGAAGGAGTCGCAGAACAGCCCCAGCCAGCGCGCGGCGTTTGCTGCGAGCGCCCCGCCGAGGGAGTGCCCCGTCAGGTGTACGCGGCCGTTGAACCGCTCCTTGACCATCTTCGCGAAGTCGCGCGCTGCGGACACGCGACGGCGCGGGCGCGCGATGAGCATGGCCGTGCGTTCCCAGGGCAGTGGGGGGGGGGGGTGTGAAGGGTGCACGCACCCGCGTGGAAGCGTTTGTGCACGAAGCAGGCCCCGATGAACGCGGAGATCCCGGCCCTGAGGTCCCGCTCGGCCGACTTGTCCAGGTCGGTGCCGCGCCACGCAATGTACGCTGCGCCGTCCTTTTCGAACACCTTCACGTCGCCGTCAGACAGATCCCTGCAGTCACGTGCGGTAGGGGGGGGGAGGTTGATCTTCTGGAGGTCGGGGCGGGTGGCGAAGGTGCACCGCAGGCAGCGTGAGGCCTGTGAGTGAGTGAGAGTGCAGTGTATCTTGTTCGGGGGCGTACCGGACCAGGTGGAAGCCGCGGGCCTCGCCGAGCCGAGCCGCCTCGTCGAGGTCCTCGTAGGACGCGCTGCACAGGTGTGCGCAGTCCTTCACGAGCAGCTCGCGGGCCTCGGGGCCGGCGCGGACCGCAGTGGGTAAGGGGTCCTCGCGCAGCCACCCGCCGCCCTCGCGCTCCTCGAAGGACAGGCCCAGAATCACTGACTCGCTCAGCTCGTCGAGGTTCGGGCCGGCGTTCCCCGGCTGCTGCGGCGGGGGCTGCTGGCGCTCCGCCTCTTCGCGCTCGCGCTCGAGGCGCTGGCGCTCTGCCTCCTGCCGCTCGCGCTCTTCGCGTTGCCGCCGTCGCCACGGTCGGAGGCGTTCGTCCTCCTCGTCGAGCTCGCGCGCTTGCTGCTCGCGGCGCGCCGCTTGCTCGCGCGCGAGGTCATCTTGCCGCAGCGTTTGTGCTTCGTGTAGCGTCTGAGCCATGTTTGCTGCAATCGTGGCGCCCGTGGCGGCAGTGGCGACAGCTGACGCCGCTCGCACGGAGGGGTCGTTCGGCGGTGCATTCGCGACGGGATGGTGCGCGGAAGACCCCTCAATAGCTGCTCGGGCCGAGTGAAAGAACGTGGCGAAGCCTCCGAGCGCCTTCGCGACGGTCCCGAAGTCGACTTTGACCTCGAAGACGCGATCCTGCGGTCGGAAAGCCCCGGGGAGGGCGCCAGTGAGGCGGGAGGCGGGCATTCACAGGAAGGAGACTTGGCTCTCTCCCGCGGTCCCGACGAGGTGGCAGGAACCCTCAAGTCCAGGAATTGTGAGGAAGAGCGTGGCGCGTGCCGTGATGGAAGTCCATGCCGGTCGGAGCGTTGGTGGGGCCGAGCGGTTGCGAGAGATTGGAGGGCGGGGAACGCGCCTTCGGCCTGCCTTGCCCAGCCATCCCAACCACGCGCGCGCGCCGCCGCCTGCTTCTCCAATCACTCCTGAGCTCGCTCCGTGCGTGCCAGCCTCCCTCCGCCGGGCGCGCCGCGGCTCGGAGGCACCAACGTCACTGCAGAAAGGCGCCTCCAGCTACGAATCCGCGGGCGGGACTGGACAAGTCAGGACACGCCCCGTAAGCACAAGGAAGGGACCGCTGTATGCAGCGGTATCGGCGCGGCTGCCCCCAAAGTCACGCTCCACGCGCCGCTCAGAGTCTGACTCAATCAGTCCCCCCCCCCGGTGGCTGACTGAACGCTCACGGGCCCGCAGGCCCGCACGTGCACCCCCATGGCCTCCTCTCCGCGCCCACGCCCCTTCGAACAGCACTAGAGCCATCTCATGACACCAGCCATTCCTTCACAAAGAAACCTCATGTCACCCGAAACCCATGCTCCTATGACTGCCCAGCTTCTTCGCCCCACCAGACCTCTTCCCGGCCTTCCGATTCGCCTTGTCCAGCTCCTCCCCCAGCGACTTGTACGGGTTGAACGCCGCCCGCTTCCCCCCCCCTTCCCTCCCGCGACCCCGGCCACGCCCGGCCCCCGCGCCCCCGCCCCCGCGCCCGCGCCCGCGCCCGCGCCCGCGCCCTCCCTCCGCTCCGCCCTCGGCCTCCGCCGCCGCGTAGTCGAACGGCGTGATTTTCGCACGCTTGGCAGCGCGCGTCGCACTCTCCTCGCGCCCCAGACCCACCGCGCGCTCCACCGCGTCGTCGACACGCACGGGCTCCCCGCCTCTCCGGCGCCCCTGCTTCGCCAGCGGCACGGGAAGGTACTCTGTTCCAGCCAGCCCCGCCGTCCCTGCCTTTTGTGCCGCCACAACACCGTCCGCGTTTCCTTCCGCGTCGCCGCCGCCCTGGCCGGCTGCGTCAGGCGCAGCGTGTCCGTCCTCGGCGGCACTGTCGTCGCCGCTCGCGCCGTCGGCTCGCTCCGCCCTGACGGCCTGCATCCACGCGCGCACGTCCGCTGCGGCCTCCGGAGCACTCTTCGCCGCGTCGTCGGCGGGCGGGTCGCCCGCCGCCGTCGGCGCGCCAGGCGTCGCTGATGCGGAGGGCGCCGGCTTGGAGGATCCCGTCAGACTGAACGGCAGCGTCATCACGGGCCGCTGGGTGCCCGCGACAGCGCTTGTCGTCTTCGCCGATTTTCCGAACGCCGCTGCCGCGGACGGCGCCTTGCGCGCGATCTTCACCCCGCCGACTTTCACGGCGACGCCCCCCGCGGCCTTCTCGCTCGGCGGCGGAGCGAACGTCGGCACAGGGGGCGGTGCTGCTCCTTGGTTCAGCTCCGGCTCCGACCCCCCCGCACCTTCCCCGCCGGTACGCGCAGCGGCTGCACCGGCTGCAGAGGTGACCATCGCAGCGGCCGCGGCCGCCGCAGCTTGCGCCGCTTTGCCCGCTGCCATGGCGACGGCAGCGCCGATGCCCGGTGGTGCCGCGTCCTTCGCTGGGGCGTCGGTCGCGGGCAGGGGTCCGCCGGAGACGGTCCAGCCGGGCTTGCCTTGGCCGTCGGGAGGGGGCGAGTTGCGGCCGTCGGACGGGGCGCCGCTCGGGGGCCAGTCGTCCGGCGGCTCTGACATGGACTCGCGCACCACCTGCGCGACGGCAGTCGCGTTCCTTGCAGCGTAGCTCCGGCCTTGCCTCTGCAAACACCCAGGGAGCAGACTGATTCGCGCTGGGTTCTCGGAGTCAACCTCGCCGCCAGGAGCGCAGAGTCGCTGTGCAACGAAGCACGTGGCGCGTTGCGAGACCGCTTCGGCGGGCCAGAGCGGCGCACGAGAGCATCCGAGATGACAGCGGCGACGCACCAGCGCTCCTTGCACGGCGTCCCCCGTCGTCGGCTGCCTTCGCGCCAGCACAAAGAGAGCGGCGCGAGGCATGATGAAGCCCAAGCTCTCGTCCTCGCTCCTCGCGACCGTATCCCGCCACTCGTACAGCATCCGGAACGTCGTACGCTGCCCGCCGTCCAGCGCGCCCTCCCCCTGCGCGAGGCCACGGCGGTACTCCTGCCGCCATGCACCAGGCCCAAACATCGGTGCTTTGTACATCCGCAACGACAGCTGCCGCGACCGCTCGAGCACCGTCGCGAACGCGCCGAGCATGCCCGGTGCGTCGTGCCGGCCCCGAGGCGGCCCCGCCGCACCGGCGCACTTGACACCCCCTGGCCACTCCTCGACGCGCAGCGCTTCCGGGACCTCCGAGGGCTGCGTGTCGAGCAGGCGCCGGCGCAGGACGTCGTAGACGTACAGCAGGCTGTGCGTGTCGCTCCTTGCGTAGTCCAGCATGACTTCAGGAATCGGCCGGAGCCGCCAATCGGCCCTTTGATATGCCTTGTTCAGTTGCACCCCGCACACGTCCTGCATGACGGCGGCGAGGCCCGGGCGCTGCTGGAGCACGCGCGCCGCGATGCCTGTATCGAAGAGCGTCACGATCCAGATCCCGAAGTCCCGCTGCAGCCACTTGACGTCCATGTCGGCGCCATGCAGCACCTTGACGATTTTGGGGTCCTCGAAAACGGGCCCGAGCGCCGAGGGGATGGCGTGCCGCAGGACGAGCGCGTCGATCACGAAGTCGCGCGTCCGGCTCGAGACCTGGATCAGGCACGTGAAGCCCTGGAATGACCTGAGGTCGTGGTGTTCCAGATCCACCGCAATCTCCGGCTGGGCTGCGAGGTGCGCGGCGCACTCGGCGAGCTGCTCCTCGGTGTCCACGAACGCCAGGGGTGTCGTCACCTCGGGCTGCGGGGGGCGAGGGCACCGGGCCGGGCTGTCACGAGCGGCAGGGAGCAACAAACCCATATTTCAGTATCAGAGCTTGACCGCGACGGACGGGAGTGTTTCGTGAGGCGATCGTCCAAGCAGAGGGCAAGCACATGTTGGGGCGGCACGTGGCGCGAGGGGCCGCGTGTTCGGCGGGCGGGTCCGTTGCGTGCTCGCGTGGAAGATCAGGTGTAGGGTTGAGAGGCAAGAAGGCTGCCTGTGCGTGTGTGCGCTACCTGCGGCGGCTGGGGCTCCGCGCAGCGGAGCAGGTGGCCGGGATAGTCGAGCGCGTCGATCGCGTCTTGGTACTCGGCGGGCACGGCCCCGCTGTCGCCGTCGGGCGGCGCGGCGTGAACGGTGCCGGTGGCCAGGTCGCGCCACGTGCGGGGCACCCACGCCCGGCTGGCGTTGTCCACCTTGTCGTGAAAGTACAGCTGCGGCTTCACGCCCTTCACCGTCAGGACGTTCCTGCGCGCAAGACGCGCGTTGCACGCAACAGCATCGTTTTTTATGCGAACAACAAACACATACAAGCACTGGTTGTGAAACCGTGTCGGTTCGATTCGCCATCGAACAGACGCTGCCGCGCGCCGGCAGCCGCACGCTCGAGCACGCGCACCTCATGTCCACGGCAGGCCCCGCGTCGCTGCGCGCCAGCGGCGCGCCAAGCCCCCACGCGCTGGTACCCATGTGCCGCGCGCCTGCCGCCGCTGACGCCGCCGCGCCGCGCGCCTTGCTGTCCTGGAGCGCCGCCTCCGTCCTGTCCAGACAGTGGTCGATCGCTGGCTCGATGAACTCGGCGTACGCGTCCTCGGGATCGGCGGCAAGAGCGTCGCGGATGCCTTCGTTTTGCGCAGCTGCGCTCGTGCCCTGGCAGGCGTGCTGGCAGGCGGCGGCGAGGGCGTCCGTGATGCTGCCCTGGAGCTGCGCGACCTTGGTGCGGAAGGACTCCTGGCTCCGAGCGAGCTGCAACGTACGCGAGCCGCAGCAGGGCTGTTGGGGTTTTGGGCGTACGGAGCGCTGCGAGGGGCTGTGAGCGCGACCGCGCGCAAGCCAATGGTCGTTGTCGCTCGCTGGTGGTGGATCAACGGCCGTGTCGCGCGCAGGCCCGGCGCGCGGGCAGCAGGCCCATGGGCGGCGACTCGGACGACTTGCAGGCGCTGCCGGGGGGGTGTGGCGGGGTTGCCAGGTGCCTGGCCTTACGTGGAAAGCGATCCCCTCGGGCAGAGCGGTTCCAGCTGCGCGGTTCAACGCGTCATGGAGGCGCACGGCCGAGCCTGCCAGGGCGCGGCACAGCTTGTCCTGCCGGCCCATATCCCCCATCACCGACCGCGAATTTCGCCCTCGGGATCGCACACAAGACCTAGACGCATCGAAGCAGCACGAACGGACGGTCCGTGGCCACGACCGGCCCCCGCCTCTCTAGCTGTGCCGCTGCAGCACTGAGCGGAAACTCGCTGAGCGCCGAACAAGGCAGAAACCCACGGGGCTGCGTGTTCGAGCCGCCCCGAACTGCGAGAAGCGGCCCGGGAGCGCGGCCAAAGGGCGCACGGGCCTCAGGCGGCCGTGTGAGACTGCGCGCAGCCCCCCCCCCGCGCATCAGGGTCGCGGTGTGCACGGTGTGGCGCTCCTATGGCGCGGGCGCCGCCTCCGCGCGCCACGATCGCCCACGACCGCTCGGACCTGTTGGGAACTGCGGCATTCACCCCCGCCGACGCACCTCTGAGCATAGATGAGCACGCTTGGCCGGTTGCGTGGCGCGGGCGAAGTCTCTCTCTGGCGGCTGCCCGGCCCGAGTAGCTCTCCCATGCATTGTTAACGTAGTTAGATAGTCGGGCGGCAAAATGCCGAGGCATGGCGAGGGTCGCGCGATGAATTCAGTGCCAGATACTTTCGCGTCTGGCATCTTCTCGCAGAGCTCTCTCGCGCCGTCCACGGACGGCCGCGACCTTCTTTTCCCGATCACCTCGTCCCTGCCGCGGAGCACAGCAGGCACGGCCCCTCGCCCGGCCGCGGCGCCGCACCGTGCCACCAGCGCTCATGCCCGCGGCCGTCCTGGCGCCTGCTGGGGCGCGTTGACGTGCGCGACCCCGCCGCTGCGTTCTCACGCCCGTTGCGCGTCCACAGCGCCCGCCACGGTCCCTCTCGGCCCCGCTGCAGGCGATGATGCGCAGCACAGGTCGACCGGAGGCAGCTTGGACATACCGCGGAAGCTCCAGCCGTTCTCGTTCCGGTCCGAGACGTGCCCGGAGCACTTCCTGCGAGAGGACTTCGCGATCGAGGACCTCCAGGGCGTGCGCGTGCTGAAGAGCGACAAGCACGAGACGCTGTTCGTGGGGCAGGACATCATCTCCACCAAGCTCGTTCTCTGCCACTTGATCTTCATCAAGGAGCTCGGGAGCATGTCGTCGCTCGAGCTCGTCGCGCGGGTCCGGTGCCGCGCCGCCCTGAAGCACCCGAGCCTCCTCGACCTCTGGGTGGTTGTGTCGAGCGCCAGGGGGGACCAAGTGGGCTTCGTGTACGAACCCTGCGACGGCATCGCGCTCAACGGGTACGCAGCCGCTCCCGAACACGCCGCATCGACCTCGCCGCAGACAGCGCGCTCGTCCAAGCACGCAGAGATTCGTAGATGTCACGTGAGCGCGCGCCAGCGGCGCGTGTGTGTGTGTGCAGGTGGCTGAAGGCGAACTCCGCGACTCTGACCGAGCGCCAGGTCTACTCGGTCATCCTCACGCAGTTCCACTCCCTCCTCACCTACCTAAACTCCATGAGCATGATCCACGGGCCTGCCAACCCCGCGGACCTCCTCATGACTGAAACGGGGGAGCTGAAGGCGCTCCTGGACCCCACAGTGCGCTTCTCTCTCTACGTCCACGGCGACCCCGACCCCGGAAATTTTCCCAGCCACGTCCGCGCGTTCCAAAGCATCGAGCAAGCCTCGCGCCTCGCGGCGCCAGCTGCCCCCTCCGGGCGCCCCAGCAGTGCCGCCTGGCCCGTCGCCCCCGAGCTCTTCCACGGCCAGAGCAAGCTCGTGTCGTCCTACACGGACGTCTGGACCATCGGGTGCCTCGGCAGCTACTGCATCACCCGCGGCAAGGCCTTCAGCGCCCGCCACGCGACGACGCGCGACCCGCACTCCAGCTCCGTCGCCGTGAGCACGCGCGGGTCGATGGCGAGCCGCGGCCGCCCGTCGCTGCCGGAGTATGGCAGCATGCAGGTGTCTCAGGGGACGGGCGGTGCGCCGCCGGACCCGACGCCGCAAGCAGCCGTGGTCAGCATCCCCATCATGGTCACTCTGGAGTCCAAGAGCCTTCTGTCGGCCTGCTTCTGCTCGGAGTCGATCTGCCGGCCGGCGCTCGGCTCGCTACGGCGGCACCCGGCCTTCCGCCGGTTCGTTGCGCCGCCCCCGGGGGACAAGCGGAGAAGGAAGGGGGGGTGTTTTGGCGGCGGCGGGGCTGACGACGTGGTCGAGCCGGGGCACGTGCTGCTGCCGGCGATCGTGGCGCAGTCGGCGCACAGAATCTACGTGCCGTTCTATTCGGGCGGTGTACACAACGCCTCGTTCACCGGAACGTCGCAGATGCGCGGCGGGTGAGCGGCTCGGAACCTCTGCGCACCCACTGCGACTCACCGCGCCCGTGGTCGGTCTCCGCGCGGCGCTGCTGTGCGCATCCCTGCGCCGCAACGTTGCGCCGTGTTGTCGTAGTTCCCAGCCCGAAGCGCTCACGTTCCGGTCGCGTCGTTCTGTGCTCTGCAGGGAAAATACGAACACGCGGCGCTCGGAGGCGGCGCACGCGTCGGTCAGGGCGCATACGCCGGGGACGGCCAATGCTCTTGCTGCACTGAGCCGACACAAGGGCGGCAAAAGGCAGAGTCTCGACAGCAAGGACGGCGTGGAAGCGATATCCGCGACCGCCTCGGCGCTGCGGGGCACTCTCAGGACCATCGACACCGGGCTGGCGCGGATGGGTAGCGCTGCGGTACAGGCCGCCGCTACCACTGGCCGGCAGCACGCGCTGGGGGCCGAGTCCTCGGCGCCGCGCGGCCGCAGGTTCAGGAAGAAGTCGCGCGTGGTCTCGCTCCCGGTCGAGACGCCGGATCTCACGGAGCAGATCCAGGCAGCGCTCCAGGGCGCTGGATATACGATCGACATCGACGAGCTTGTTCCGTCGCGTGCGCGGTCGTCGGCGCGCAGCAGCAGGCCGGACAAGGCCGTGTTGGGCGAGCCGTCGGAGCCGGAGTCGGGGGCGCGGCGCGCGAGCGATGGACTGTCGCACGTGCCGCGGGCGAGCGGTGGGGCCGGGGTGACGTCGCTGCCGGCGCTGAGCGAGGGACGGGCGCATCCGTCGTTTCCGAGCGACGATGGGCCGACGCAGGGGGGCAGCGATCACCCGCCTGCGACGGCGACGGCGTGGGGGGAGGAGTCGGAGGTGCCGCAGGAAGGGGGGTCCGAGGAACAGGTGTCAGGTGCGTGGGGCGGGGACGCGGTGCTGGGCGAGCGCTGGTCGATCACGGGCCGCCCGTACGTGTCGTTGTTTGTCGCGTTTGACGCGCTCGCTGTCGTCGCCGATGCGTCATCTTTGCAGCACTGTGCCGTGTTGTCGCGATCGCTGTCGCGTGTGGGATGACGAGGTCTGCGCGACGTGCGAGCTGCGTGCAGAGGAGTCGTCGTACGAGCTGCAGCCAACGCGGTGACGCGCGCACTTGGCAGCTCGCCAAATCCATGGCAGGACATTCTGGCGCTTGCGTCGCGAGCACCGCACGCGAACGTTGCCAGCGGCCTCGGCGGTCGAAACGTATCTGGGCGGGCCTCGGAGGCTGCTCCGCGCAGCGCATCACGCGCCGCGCACTAGCTGCGCGGCCAGCGCATGACGGCGCAACATTGCTGATGTGAAACACGTGTGAAACGTCCAGGACACTTGCGACGAGAGAGTTCGCCGGAGCATGCGCGAGCCCGCGTGGGCGCGAGCGTCGTCAGGTCGACAGATACTGCTTCCTATTCTCCATTGCCTCTTCTTCTTGATATTATTGATTGATTGATTGATTGATTGATTATTGATTGATTGATTATTGATTATTGATTGATTGATTAGTCTCAAGCCCCCGGTTCGATACGGACGATCTGCGCACCTGTTCCACGGGTTCACGCCCCCCCTGGCACCGCGGGTTCCGGCTCGAGGGCCCGCGTCTGACAGCGCCGTGGGAGTCCCCCCGTGGCAGTAGAACGCCCGAGTCCCTCCGAGCCCGGTCGCTTGCCACGTCAAGGGTTGTGCGCGCGGCGCGGGCGCCGCCGTTGTCTCCGTGGCAGGCTGCACCAGTTCACGTATGCCCGGCGCGCACAGTCCGAAGCCGAAGCTGCAGATCGTCGCTGTTGTCATTGCGTCCCTGTTCCTGGCGCTTCTGCTCGTCCCGCACATCAGCCAGTCGTACCGGTCCAGCGCCATGGCCGACTTCCGCGCCCTCACCGTCAAGGTGCGTCTCGCTCCGAAGGTGCTCGCCACAGCGCGACGGGCGCGGGCACCCAACCAGGGGTGCGGAGCAGAGAGCAGCCGCAGCGCCCGGATCCAGGCGTCCCGGTGGCCGCGCGCACGTGGACGCGATGTCCTGGCGACGTATCGCTTCCTGGGTCGCAATGCGCGGGGTCGCAGGCGCTTGTGCGCTGCATCGCGAGCGTGCTTTGCCGCTGTGGGAGCCTCGTGCTGTGCGTCCGCGCGTCCCTTGGACACCATGCACGAAACTTTGCACTCTCGCCATGATCCTATACTCGAGAGTGTAGCGCTGTGCTCTGCTGGGCGCGACCGTGCGCGCCGGCGCCGCAGCCGAGGCTGCAAGTCTCTGGTGCTGTTGCTGCGCGGTAGCCCCCGAGCTGACCCGAGACGCTCGCTTGTCTATCGCAGTACGTCGCTGCCTTCAACGGCAAGGACCTGCAGGGATGCATGGACCTGTTTGAGCCCGCTCTGGAGCTCACGGACCCGTCGGGCACGTACAAGGGCGTCGACGCGGTGCAGGGGCTCGTGTCCTCGCTCTTCGACAGCGCAGGCGACAACGTGCGTATGTCCTGCCCTCACGCGTCTTGCGACCACGACAGCTTGCGTTCGCTGCGTCTATTCGGCCCGAACGCGCACTGCTCCGACGCCGAGCGCTCGCGGCGCGGCGTCAGGTCGCTTCGCGCCCCGATCCTGCACCCGGTCGGCCGACTCAGTTGCATCGATTCCCGCCCTGCCCGCCGAGCGCGTCGCCGCATCGTTCGGCCGCAAGAACCCCCGCGCGTCCTCCTGTGCTCCGTCACTCGCAGTTCGCCTTCAAGGCGCGCAACGTCTACGTGGACGACAAGACCAAGACCTCCCTGATCGAGTTCACGCTCAAGCTCGGCGACAAGGACCTCCAGGGCGTCGACGTCATCGAGTGGAGCGACGCTGGCAAGATGACGACCCTGCGCGCCTACGTCTACTAGACCCGCGGCCGCCGGCGCGGTCGCAACCGCCGCGCTGTGACGCAGCGCCGCGAGACGCCCGTGCCGCCCACCGCTCGCACCACTCGCGCCGTCGCCATCGACTCGCGCGATCTGCAACGCACGCGTGGCGCGTTACCAGGGACGCACCCGCCGCGGCGAGGCAGGCGCGGTCGCTGTCGCCCGGGCATCGTTCGCCGCGGCGGCGGCGCCGCGAGCACCATGCGCTGAGTCAGTGCCAGTGGTGTCGCGTCGTCACAGCCTGCTTCGTTCTCCGGGGGTGTGCGTCATCCGCGGCGCATCTCTAGCTTGACTGCGCGCATCGTCTTCGCTATGCGCGCCTCCGCGCCGTTCAGCACCACGCGCTCGCGCACCAGCCCGTCCAGCGCGTCCCGGGAGAACGCCAATACCCCCTCCCCGCTGTCAGCACTGCTTGCCAGCCGCCGCAGCATGCTCGCGACGTCGCTGGCGCTGCTCCCGCGCTCCCGCACCGACAGCACACGCACCGCCTGCTCCACGCTCGCCCGAACGACCGCGGCGTCCGCCCCGCGGCCGACCAAGGGCGACGCCGTCACTGCGCCGTCGGAGGCCGCCCCGGCGCGGGCGTCCCGCGCCTCCGCGAGCGCGCTCTCGGCCAGCTCGAACAGCTCGCGATCGTCCTTGAGGCTGCGCGGGTACCGGCTCTGCTGGTCGCGCGCAGCGCTGGCCAGCACCCCCCACGCGGCCGCCCGCTCCCGCAGCGACAGCACGCCGTCGTCCTTTCTCGCGACGTTCGCATCGCCAAGGCCTCGCGCCGCCGCAGCCGCGAGCGCACCCGCGGGCAGAAGGGCCCCCATCCGCAGGGGGACTTCGACCGAGTCCCCCCCTGACAGCGGAGGCAGAGCCAGCATGCACGCGTCGCTGGGGAGCGGCGCTTGCGCCCCCTCGCTGCCCGCGCGCGGCAGGAAGCCGTACAGCAGCAGCATGTCCAGCTGCGTCTTGCCCCCGCCGTAATCGATGGTCAACTCGTCGCCTCCTCGCAACCCCCGCGTTGGGGCGCGCAGGAGCACGGCCGACGACGAGGCGTCGTACTCGAAGTACCGGTTGTCGGGGATCGAGCCCCGCCGCGGGGTGAGCGCGAAGGGTCCCTGCGCCGGCGCGTCGGCGCCCGCCGGGGCGTGGTTAGCCATGTCCAGCCAGGGGAGGAGTGCGGGACCCCCCCCCGGGAGGCCGGGGAGCAGCGCGGCGCGGCTGAGCATGATGGCGTGCGCCCAGATGATGTCCTCGACCGGCGGCGGCTCCGCGGCTCCGGCGTCGGCGGCAGTCGTCGCTTCAAAGGATGTCAAGAACGATTGGAGAACACCGAGTGCCTGCGAGCCAATCAAACGCTATCTGCCGTGATCTTCGCGCGGCGAACGCGGCTTCGCAGGCACACTCTCGTGCTGGAACGGGCCCGCGTCCGCGACGTCGGCACGCACCGTGTCTGTGCACGAGGCACCCGCCAGCACCGAGAGCGCTTCCGGGCAGCACGCCGCCACTTCGAGCACGGTGCCGACGCAGGCCGGCAGCGAGCACACGTACGGCCCCCACGTCGCGTCTCGCGGCTCGCCGTCCGCGCAGCCCCGGCGCCCCCGAGCGAGAAAGAGTACGACGGCGTCCCAGTCGGACAACAGCGCCACGTCAGTGTCGGTGTCAGCCAGGGCGGCACGCGCGACCTGCGGCGTCACGACCAGGGCTTCTGGGATCGAGGCGGCGACGCTGCCGCCCGTGAGCGCGCGCACGGCGCGGAGACCGCGCAACGCCGTAGTGGCGTCTCCGCCTGACGAGCCGCCGCGCAACGCGACCTGCTGGTTCGCGGCGCCCTGGGCTTGCAGCCAGCGGATGAGATCCGCGCAGTCCGTCGACTCCTCGATCCATGCCGACGGGTCCCCGCCCTCGAAAAGGTTGCGCAGGAGGTGTGCCCGAAGCCGCCGTGCGCGGCGTCGAGGGCGAGCGAGGGCGGGCCGTGCGTGTCTAGCCGGTAGTCGGGAGCTTCGCCGTTGCGCTAGGGGCGGAGAACGACCCTCGGCCAGCACGGCAGCGCGCATGCTCCTGGGTCGTTGGGTGCGAGCCTCGCCCGCGACGAGGGTGTCGCGAGGCCTGGCCAGTGCACGCACGCCCTGCGTAGTACTGACCCGTCGGAGCCCCACCCGCGCGGTGGAATGGCGGTGCACGCCGCGGGCAGCGCGCAGATGGACTTGGGCGCTTTCCCCTCCCGCGTGCGGCGGTCAAGGACGGAAATCGCGCGTTTGCGGCCTAGCTGGAATGAATAGGGCATCAACTTGAGCGGCGCGGCCCTCGAGCGCGCCCTCATCGCACGGTACGGGCACAGTCCCCCGGGTTGTGGCCACCGGGCAGCACCCCTGCGTCAGTGCCCGTGACGCCGCGAGCGTGGCTTACTCGGGGTCGGCGGCCCCCCGTGGCCTCGCATAGGCTCAGCAGCGTGCTTCTGCCCTCTCGACCGAACCACGCGCCCAGGAGCACACCTGCTTGCGGCCCCTAGGCAGCTCGTGCTCTCAGGCGCCCCGACGTGCTCCTCCGGGCGCAACAGCCCTCTACAACGATCGCGATGGCACGTATATGTACAGCTAGTTCCTGATAGCATCGCAATCGCGGGCGATCGCCGCAAGACCGCCGGAGCCCGCGCCGTGCCTGGCAGCGCACTCACCGCGCGCCCCGTACCGGCCCCGCCCCGCCGACTTGGAACCGACACACAACCCCGCAGCACTGAGACGCGCGCATCTGACGCATCCACGCCGCTAGCCGCGCCTGGCCGCGGAGAAACGCCAGCCTGAAGCACGTTGGAGCTGGCGAGCGGGCCCCAGGCGGATGGAGGAGCCAGCGGCGCCGGCGGCGGCCGTCGCCGCGCCGTCGGCGGGCCCCACGGCAGAGCTGTACACGTGGAACTCCGTGCGGCCGGTCTTTGCGATTAATTGGAGCAACCGACAGGACAAGGGGTTCAGACTGGGCGCAGCAAGCTTTGTCGAAGACCTCACAAACCGAGGCAAGAACCCGCCGAAATCGAACCGCGATGGAGCGCTGGGATCCCTGCCGGCCTGTCGCGCTTTTTTCGTCGCAAAGTCTGCCCGTTCGCGGCCCTCGCGGCCCGGTCCCTTGCACGCCGCGCTGGCCCGGCAGTGGCGCGGTTGGCGGCCGTGGTGGGCGATCGAGCGGCGTTGGTGCGCGTGATGGGTTGCAGTGGAAATCCTGACCCTGGACGAGGAGCGGCGCGAGCTGGTCGCGGACTCGGAGCAGTCGTTCGTGCACCCCTACCCTCCCACGAAGCTCATGTTCGCTCCGGACCGGGGCTCGACGGGCGCCGACGTCATCGCGACGTCAGGGGACACGCTGCGGCTCTGGACGATCCCAGGTGCGCGCCCATCGGACCTGTCGTCGCCACCGCGCACGGAAACTCGCCCATTTGATCCTGTGGGCTGCTGCGGCCCTCCGCGCCCTGGAGCGCGCATGACTGCTTCTCCTATCGCTTCCCCCCCACTTTCAATCAGAACAGGAAGTGAACGTCGCCCTCGGCGCGTTGCCGACCTCCACAACGTCGCATCTCACGCGCCCCGCGGCAACGTTCGCAGCGCGCCCCGCGACGTCTGTTCTGACCGATGGCGCCCGCGTCCCGACGCGCAGAGTCCGGGCCGGTGCGGCTGGACCGGCAGCTCGCCACGGGGCGCGCGGGGGAGTACTCCCAGCCCCTGACGTCCTTCGACTGGAACGAGGCCGAGCCCCGCCGCATTGTGACGTGCTCCATCGACACGACGGCGACGGTGTGGGACGTCGAGCGCGGGAAGGTCGAGATGCAGCTGGTGGCGCACGACAGCGAAGTGTACGACGTCGCGTGGGCCGGCGCGGGCGTGTTCGGCAGCGCGGGAGCCGACGGCTCGCTGCGCGTGTTTGACCTACGGGACCGGGATCACTCGACGATCATCTACGAATCGCGGCCCTCGGAGCCGACCTCGACCTCCGCAACGCCGCTCCTGCGCCTCGCGTGGAACCACGCGGACCCGCGCTTCCTCGCCGCGACCATCATGGACTCCCCCAAGGTACAAAACAACACCCCCCCCCTTCCTCCTGGTTTTCGCCCCCGCGCACCGCCGCGCACGCGACATCACAGCGCGCCGATCGTGTGTTCCGCGTTTTGAACCTGTTGTCGCGCCGCAGGTGGTCGTACTCGACATTCGATTTCCTACGTTGCCGATCGCGGAGCTGTCGCAGCACGCCGCGCCCGCCAACGCCCTGGCGTGGGCGCCGCACTCGGCGCGGCATCTGTGCACGGGTGCGGACGACTGCCAGGCGCTCGTGTGGGACCTCGCGGCCGTCCAGGGGCAGCAGCACGCGCACCGGCCAGAGGCGCAGGGGGCCAGCAGCTCGCCGATGGAGCCCGTCCTGTGCTACAACGCCCAGGGGGAGATCAGCCAGCTGCAGTGGAGTGCGGCGTTCCCGGAGTGGGTCGCGGTGAGCTTCGGCAGCCGCGTGCAGACCCTGCATGTCTGACATTGGAGCGAGGGGGTGTTTTCGCCGACGGCGAGCGACACGCCGACCGCCAAGGGGCGTCGTCGCTCCCCCGTCCATCGCAGCTGCTGCACAACGCATCTGGCGCTGCTGGGGCCGCCCAGCGTGTGAGTGCTATCTTGATATCGCGCACGACACCCCCCGGGGCGCGCGGGTGGCGACGGCCCCACGGACGTGCCTGACTGTCGCCTGTGGCGACGCGAAGTGTCTCACCTGGGCTCTCGCCCGGCAGGAGCGCGGGCAGCGGCGCGGTGCGGTCGCAGCGAACACAGCTACGCAGTGCAGCGCAGGTGGCCCGGCGGACCCGCGCGGCACCACGATGCCCCGATCGTGCGGTACGGCGCCGCCCCGCGGCCTAGCACGCCCCGCAGGCCGCGCCATCACGCCCCCACAGGCTTTGCAAGGATCCCTCTGACGCGCGCGACGGGCCACGTGACGTCCCGACTGCTGCCGCTGTCGTCACACGTCGCTGCGTGACGGCGCAACTTGCGCTCAGCTTGCCTGTTGGTTCGCGTCTGTCAGTCTGTCTGGGGATGTTGCGCATCATCGTCGTTTCTCGGTGTTTCAACCCGCTGAGACCCCCCCCCGTTCTTCTCAGGGGCCCGATCGTCGCCGTCTGGAACGCGCCCAGCACACGCGTACCGGCGCGACCAGCGAGGGGCGCGATTCGGCCGCTGCGTGTCTGTCTCCTGTCTGCTTCAGATAACGGTTTGCTGGGTGCCCCGCGCTGCATGTGTTGATATGTACAACGAAAGTGTGGCGGCCCGCAGCTGGCCCCGGGTCGATGCAGGGCTCACGGCATCCGGAACCACGTCATGTCCATTGCGAGCATCACGGGCCCTGCGATCCAGCGCACACGCAGCGTGTGAGACCACGGCGACGCACTGGGGCCCGCACCGCGGCTCCGGCGCTTGGTTTCGCCATCTACGTGCGCAGGCAGTGGCGCTCAAGGCGGCGCGGAGGCCGCATCGGCGCGTTTGCGCAGTCACGGCGACAGATACCTACCTATGCGGACAGTCTTGATGTCGCCCTCGACGCGCTTCCGGCCGTCGTCCTCGAAGAGGTACTCCATGCGCTCCACGTAGGGCAGGTACGCCTCCACGGTGCGCGCGTTGGTGCCGAACTGCGCGTAGCACGCGGTTTTCCCCTGCTCGTCCTTGATACAACTACAGCACTCGAACGCGTCGCGCGCGTCCTGGATCTGGACCTCGCCTGCGTGGCTCAGCGGGCGGAGGGGACGCGTGGGGGGTGCGCGGCGGGCCGAACGCGCGCCTCGAGTGTGCGCGGGGATGCTGCGGGGGCAGGGCGCGGTTGGAGGGGGCGGCCAACGGCCAAGCTGTGCGGGGGGGCGCCGGGGGGTGGGGAGGCGGAAACGATGTGGCGTGACGCTGTGGGCGTGCGTGGTGTGGAGGGGGCGCGGCGCACGGTCGGAGTTTCCGCGGGGTGTGGGCGCGCGGGACCGCGGCAAGCATGCGGGGCGAGGCGCTTCGCCGCGGTCGTCGAGGGGCCGCGACAGGGAGTCAGCGCGCTGGGCCCGGTGTGCTCAGATTGCTAGACGCGCAGCCACGCGTATCGGGCGCCCGGCGCCGTCGACGACGCGCTGCGGAGCACCGCCCTAGACCTCGAAATGCTCCGTCCGGCAACCGCCCTCGAACCGCGTCATTCAGGGGAATTTCTGCACCGACGGCGCGTGCGAAGATCGTTTCTCTCACCTCGCGGGGGCACGCTCTCAAAAATACCCTGCCACACGTCGGCGTCCTCGGGCACATCAGGACCCCGCGAATGGCGCGCTCGCGACGCGACGGGGCGCGCAGCGGCCATCCGCGCCACGCCAGGCCCACGTCGCACACTCACGCTCCCCGCACACGGGCGTTGCGCCGTCGAGGTCACGCGCACACGCAGCATCTTCGCTCTCCCTCCAGCTGCAGCCTTTTTGCTCCCTTGCGGCACTCCGCGACAATATCAACGACTCGCTGGTCGAACTACAACGACGCTGCTAGATACCTGCCTCCCGTGCCGCTCCGGGCCACCGAAATCGCCCGAGCAGCGCTGCGGGGGACACTCCCTCCCATGGTCCGGTAACTGCCCCCCTGGCTCGCGCGCGCGGCTCGGGCCCCGGGAGCGCCCGTACGCAGCATCGTCGCCCGTATCCGAGCGGGAACTGCTGTACCCGCATTGACTCGGCAGCGGTTTCGCGCGGCCCGGGGCCTCCCGCGCAACACCTGCTGCGCTGCATCAACCACCACTGCGCACTCGCGACGCGCGGCCAGTCGCGCCGGGCGCTCACCCGTCCCGCAGCCGCGCTGCGATAGCCTCGCAGCAGCGCGCAAACCGACCGCATGCCAATCGACCACAGCTGCGAGCTGCCCCAAAGTGAGCATGTCATCATGTCATGTCGACGACGTCGTGGACATCCCGCGTCGTCCAGACGACACAGCTGGCTCGCGTGCTGCACCGCTCATTCACAGCGATCATGCGACCAGGGCCGCGAATGACGACCATGGCCACCATTTGCGGGACCTGTGCTCCTGTGACTGTCCAAGTCAGCATCTGCCAAGCTTCGTGATCCCTCAGGACCTTTCCTCATCCTGGCGATTCGCCTTGCCCGGCCCACCCCGTGCTACTGGCCCGTATTGCGGGCCGCGCGCTCCCCGCGCCCCCGGCCACGTCCAGCTGTCGTGCGCCCGCGCCCGCCCCCGCCCCCGCGCCCGCGCCCGCCCCCGCCCCCGCGCCCGCGCCCGCGCCCGCGCCCGGCCTCCGGTCCGATGTCCGCCTCCGCCTGGTCGACCGGCGCGGATTTCGCGGGCTTGGCAGTTTGCGCTCTGTGTCCCTCGCGCCCAGCCTCGGCCGGCCGCTCCACCGCCTCGATACGAACGGGCTTCTCTTTCAAGCGCGCAGTCTTCGCAGGAGGCACGGGGGCGTGCTTTGCTCCAGCCAGCTCCGCGGGCCCGCCCTCGGCTGCCACAACGCCACCGTCACCCCGGAAACCTTCTGCTGCGGCGCTGCCGCCCCGGCCTGCGTCAGACGCACTGCGTCCGACCTCGTCGTTATCCGCATCGTCGCTTGCGCCATCGCGGCTCCGCGGCCACTCATCTGGCGGCTCGGCTAGAGACTCGCGCACAACCCGCGCAACGTCAGTCGCGTTGATCGCGGCGTGGCACTTGGGGCGGAACCTCTGCGAAGGCATCTTGAGGATCGCGCTGGATTCGCGAGGTCTACGCTGTCAATACTGCGTGATCCACCACCACGCAAAAGATGCGAGAGCGGTGCAAAGAGGCCACGCGACGATAGACCACCCCGGCCGGCCAGAGCGACGTGCGAAGAGGTTCGGGGACTTGACCGCACCAATACGCTGCGCACGGCGTTCGCCGTCGTCGGCTGCTCGCGCGCGAGCTTGAAAAGGTTCTCCCGCGTCACGATGCAGGCCATGCTCTCGTCCTTGCTCCTCGCGACCGTGTACCGCCACTCGTACAGCATCCGGAACGTCGTCCGCTGCCTGTCGTCTAGGCCACCCATCCTCAACGTCTTCGTGGATTTCGAGTAGGCCTGGCGCCACTCGCTTGGCGGCAAGTTCGGCGACTTGTACATCCGCAACGACACCTGCCGCGACCGCTCGAGCACCGTCGCGAACGCGCCGAGCATGCCCGGTGCGTCGTGCCGCCCTCGAGGCGGCCCCGCCGCACCGGCGCACTTGACACCCCCCGGCCACTCCTCGACGCGCTGAGCTTCCGGGACCTCCGAGGGCGGCGTGTCGAGAAGCCGCCGGCGCAGGACGTCGTAGACGTACAGCAGGCTGTGCGTGTCGCGCCTGGCGTAGTCCATCATGGCGTCGGGGATCGGCCGGAGCCGCCAATCGGCCCTCTGATGGCTCTTGCTAATGTGGACGCCGCACACGTCCTGCATGAGGGCGGCGAGGCTGAACCGCTGCTGGAGCACGCGCGCCGCGACGGCCGTATCGAAGAGCGTCACGATCCAGATCCCGAAGTCCCGCTGCAGCCAGCTGACGTCTTCGCGGGCCTCATGCAGCACCTTGACGATTTTGGGGTCCTCGAACACGGGCCCGAGCGCCGAGGGGATGGCGTGCCGCAGGACGAGCGCGTCGATCACGAAGTCGCGCGTCCGGCTCGAGGCCTGGATCAGGCACGTGACGCCCTCGAAGGAGTGCAGGTCGTGGTGTTCGAGGTCGACAGCCACCTCCGGCTGGGCCGCGAGGTGCGCGGCGCACTCGGCGAGCTGCTCGTCGGTGTCCACGAAAACAAAGGACGTCGCTGCCTCGGGCTGCGTGCGGGGCGGGCTAGACTCTGGGTGTGAGAAGCATCATCGTGCGAACAACATCCAGAGCGCACACCACTCAAGCATGCCACGAGCGCGACCGGCGTCGAGCCCGCAGGACTGGAGCGAAAGATATCGAGCACGGTGGGCTGCATGCGTGGCCGGTTCCTTGCGTGCCCGAGTCGCCAGACACACAAGAAGCACTTTTGGGTGTGATGTCCAGCAAAGCGTTGTGTCAGTACGTGCGCTACCTGTGGCGGCTGGGGCTCCTCGCACCGGATCAGGTGGCCAGGATAGTTCAGGTCGCCCATCCTCTCCTGGTGATCGGCGCACATGGCCGGCGTGCAGGCTAGCAGCGGATGCTCTGCACCAGGAGCGGCGCTGCTGCGCGCCTCCCTGGCGTATACCTCGCCTGCGTGAATTGGGAAGTCGTCGAGCGAGAGGATTGGCGTATGGCGGGCCGAAAGCGCACCTCGATGATGCGCAGAGCTGGGGAGCGGCGCCCTGGACAACAATGCACCCCCTGACAAGCGACCTCGAGCCGTCGCGTTCGCGGGGATTTCCCCAACGGCAGTTCGAGCACATATTGTGGCGTCATATCTCACCTCTCGGCGGTACCGTTTCAACAACCGCGTTCCACACGTCGGCGCCCTCGGGCACATCAGCGCTGCCCCTCGAAGTGCTGCGCGCTCGCGTCGCGACAGGCCGCGCAGCGGCCATTCGCGCCACGCCAGGCCCACGCCACACACTCACGCTCCCCGCACACGGGCGTTGCGCCATCCACGCGCACGCGCAGCACTCCGCCTTCCGTAAACCGCAGCCTTTTGGCTCCCACGCGGCACTCCGCGACAATATCAACGATTTGCTGGTCGAACTACACCGTCGACGCACCACGCTTGCCCTCTGTGGCGCTCCAGGCCACCGAAGGCGCCCGAGCAGCGCGCGGGGGGGGGGACAGCTCCCCTGACAGCCCCCCGCGTGCGCGGCTCGAGCCCCGGAAGCGCCCGTACGCAGCATCGTCGCTCACACCCGAGCGGGGAATACCAAATCGAGGTTGACTCTGCAGCGGTGTCGCGCGGCCTGGGGCGTTCCGCGCAACACGCTGCATCAACCACCGGCTCGTTCGGCTCACACGCGCGGCTCAGGGGCGCGCAGCAGCTTTCCGGGCACGCAACCGCTCGATCACGCGCGCGATGAAGGGCGTCGTCGCCACGGTCACCGTGCCCCGCACCGGCATGAGCGCCTTGTTGCACACGAACGCCACCGCCAGCGTGCCTGCGACGACCGACGCGGGCGGAGGACGCAGCTCAGGCGCGGAGCTGCTCGCCGGGCGGCAGCAGGCGTGCGGACCGGCGCCTGATCGGCCGAGATGTCGGTAATTAGGATACAAGGACTGTAAATGACGCGTAAAGCGGGGTCGCGTGGCGTCGCCGTGCCGCGGGAACAGGTGTCCGAGGCGAGCGCGTCGAGCCGCGTGGTCGTGCGTGGCGTCCGCTCCGTGGCGCGTGCGTGGAGAGGCCCGGGCGCCCAACAACAACTCGCGTCGCGTCGTGTTTCGCACCTCCCGAGTCGAGGGTCTTCTCGAGCCACGAGGGCTCGTAGTTGATCATGTTGCCCTCCTCGTCCAGCTGCGCTTCCTTGTGCCCCAGCAGCCCCGTCTTCTTCAGCATCCCTGCAACGGATCGCGCAAACAGCAGTCAGCGCAGCGGGGATGGGGAACGGCGCAGGCTGCGCCGCGGTGCGGGGACGTGGGCGCGAGGGCGGCGCGGCAGGCGGGCCGCTCGATGACGCAGCCGTTGCGGCGCTGCGCGGGGAGGAACCGCGGGCCAGGAGCGCGGGAGGGGGCTCGAACCTGTGACGTCCACATTGGACTTCAGGGCGGCGTAAATACCGGCGAGGAAGACTCCGTAGTACCCGAAGTGCACGGCCACGCCCACCCGGCCGTACTTCTTCAGGAACTCCTTCAGGTTCGTCCCCGACATGGGCTATGCGGCTCCGCGGAGCGCGGCGGCAACCAGGGCGGTGCAGGTGCCGTGTCTGCGCAGCTCCGGAGCTCCCAGAACCCCTTCGCTGCTCCGCAGGCCAGTTTGCGAGCAACAGTACACAGGGCGCGCGTCCAGCTGCCAGAGAAGGGACGCCAGGCGACGGGGGTGCGCGGGGCAGCCCTGGCGGACCACTGGTTGAGGCAGAGCGCAACACTCCGCCGGAGCTGCGACTGCGGCGGTACCGTGTGGTGCGGCTCGCTACTGCGGTGCAAGCTATCCGGAATGCGATACGTTCCACGTCTGAGCGGGAACGACGGCCGCAGACGCCGGCTTCCTTGGAAGGGGTCTGTTGTTCCTGGCCTGTAGGCACAGGGGGTGTTTTCCGCGGGCACGCGTCCTGCGGCTGTCTCGAGGTGGGACGATCGAGGGGGGGCGCGGTGCCTTGGGCCCTGCGAAGGGGTCCCCTGACAGGACTGGGAGTCCTTAATCAGGTGCAACACAGAGGTGCCCGGGGCCCAGGACCACGCGCCAGGGGCGAAGTACACAGCGCTGCGGCCGCATCGGTTATCTTGCGCGTAGCGCGACGAACACAAGCGCCGACACGCCTTGCTTGTGCGTGAGAGCGTCCACAAGCATTGAGAGCTCTTTGGGCTCCGATGCGCCGCGACGACGCCATGATGCGCGCGTGAGCACCTTGAATGGTTGGAGAACACTTCGACGGGGATGTCGGACGCGAAGCGCCTCCGCGCCTGAACTACGCGCAGCACCAGCACCACTTCGGGTCCGCTGCGCGCCGCAGGCCGGCGACGTCCCGCCCCGCCGTCGCGATGCAAGCGGAGCCGGGCGCGGACGCTGACGAGCACATCGCTCTGACAGCCGTCCACCGCCCTCCCGACGCCACCATGCCGCGCACAGCGAGCCCGAACCACCACGGCCTCACAACTCGCGCCGTGGCCGCTGGCATCGCGGTCGGCTCGATCCTCTGCTTCAGCAACACGTACTTCGGACTCCAGACAGGCTGGGTCACCATGGGCTCCCTGCAATCGGCCATTCTCGGCTTCGGCCTCTTCTCCCTTGCCGCGTCGTGTTGCAATCGCGCCCTCGGGTTCGACGAAGCCGAGAACGTCGTCCTCCAGACGTCCGCCGTCGTCACGGCCACGATGCCGCTCGCCGCAGGCCTCGTCTCCATCGTCCCAGCGCTCTCCATGCTCGAACCGGCGGACCTCCCGCACGACGGACATGGCGCTGACGGCGGCGGCGCGGCCGCGATCGTCTTCGGACCGGTCGGGCTCGTGCTGTGGACGGCCACGCTGTGTCTGCTGGGGGTGTTTCTGGCACCCCCCCTCCGGCAACAGGTCATTGTCCGCGAAAAGCTACAGTTCCCTTCCGGGACGGCGACGGCGAACGTGATCCGCGTGCTGCACTCCCACGCGCGCCGGGCCGCGGCCGCGGCGGCCGGGGCGTCTCCGGGGCCGAGTCGGGCCGGCAGCGGCGCTGCAACGCCGCAGAGACCCCCCGGGGCGTTGCCGCACGTGCGGTCCGCGGCGGTGCTCGGCGGGCCGGTGGGGCCGCCGCGCGCGGACGCGCACGACTTGCCGACGACGGCGCGGGGCGGCGAGGGCGGCGCGGGCGCCGACCCGGACAGCACGTGGCGGCTTTTGGGGAGGTGTTTTGCGGGGGGGTTCATGTACACGGTGGCGAGCCACCTGCCGCGGCTGGGGTGGATGCGATCGTTCGACGTGCTGGGGTGGGTCGGCGTGGGGCGTGCGGCGGCGTGGGGGTGGGTGTTGCAGCCGTCAGCAGGGTACATTGGTCAAGGTATAATCATGGGACCTCGGACGGGGTTTTCAATGCTTGGGGGGGCCGTGGTGGCGTGGGCGGTGGTGGGGCCGCTGGTCACAGCGGCGGGGTGGGCGCGGGGGGATCCGGGCGACTGGAAGGAGGTGCGTCTCGCCCAGCATGGTGCTTTGTTTTGGCTCGTGCCTTGTCTTGTCTTCTCTTATTTTTCTTTCATGATCTAAACCACCGACTTCGAGCCCGCCGCATCTGACGTACTTTCGTGCGTCTTGATTACGTTCAGCGCGCGCCGTTCTGCGATCCCGTGCCACGTTAGCTGCGGCGTCATAACATCACCTGTTGTCAGTTCCACGGGCCTGCTAGTCATCCGCAACGCGCTGCCCGCCGACAGTCTGCGGCGGTCGTCCACCTGACCGAGCACGGCGCTGATGCTGTGCCGACACGTGCGACTGCCCGCGCAGGGTGCAGCAGGGTGGTTGCTGTGGCCGGCTATGGCGGCAATGCTCGGCGACACGCTCACCTCGCTGGCGATATTCGTGCTGAAACAGGCCGTGGCGCTGCGGCGCAGCCGCACGGACAGGTGGGGGTGTGCGCCGGACACCCCCTCCTGCTCAGCACACGTCCCAGCCCCCACACCGCGGCGGCGGCAGTCGGGCAGCTCCAAGCTGCCGGGCGAGAAGGGCGCGGACGCGCAGGCGGACGATAGGGGCGGCGAAGTTGCGCACGTTCATCCGGAGGTGCCGACGTGGGTGTGGGTGTCGGGACTGGCAGCGTCGACGGTGCTTTGCGTGGGAGGGCAGCACTTGCTGGTGGGGACGAAGATCTACGAGCTCGTCGCGGCGGTGGCATTCGGAGCGATGGTGTCGTTGCTGGCCGTGCGCGCGCTCGGCGAGACCGACATCAACCCTGTGTCAGGTGCGTGACGACATGGAATGATGAAGAAAACCCCCCCTCCCCGAGTGCACTGGCCGATAAGTACCCCGGATGTATCTCCGCAGGCATCGGGAAGCTGTCGCAGCTCGTGTTCGCGGTGCTGGCGCCGGGGAACGTCGTGGCGAACCTCGCAGCTGGCGCCATTGCGGAAGCTGCAGCGACGCAGGCGGGCGAGATGATGCAGGACTTCCGCGCCGCGCACCTCCTCGGAATCGCGCCGTGGCCGCAGTTCGTCGCCATGGCCATCTCCTGCGTCGTGTCGGTGCCCATCGCCTGCGCTGCGTACAGCTTGTGCACCTGGGCCTGGCAGGTGCCTGGGCCTGAGCTTCCGGCTCCGACCGCCGCGATCTGGCTCGGCATGGCGCGGCTGCTCTCCGGCGGCGCGATGCCGACGGGCGCCGCCACCGCGGCGTTGATCGCCGGCGTCCTCGGGAGTGTCAACCAGCTTGCGCACTCTGCCGCCGCCGACGCCGCGGCCGACGCAGCCGATCGCGGCACGGCCGGGCTCCCGGCAGCCGAAGGCTCCCTTGACGCGTGGGGTATGCCGGGCGTGCGGGTCCCGACACCACTCGCGCGCACGTGCGCAACCTGGCTGCCCAGCGGAGTGGGTGCGGCGGCGGGGGCGTACCTTCCGGCGCGCTTCACGATTCCGCGCGTCATCGGTGCAGCGATGGTGTTTCTGCGGTCGCGCGAACGGGGGCCGCTGAGAGCGCTCGGGGACCAGGCCGTGCTGGTGCTGGCGTCGGGGCTGGTGCTGGGGGAGGGCATCGGGGCGCTGGTCGTGGCGGTGGGGCGCGCCGCGACAGGAAACGCCGACGGTGCGTGAGCGTGGGGTGCAGGAGCTGCGGCGAGCGGGCCGCAGTTGAAGAGAGAGACGATTTGCAGACTGTTTTTCTCGAATAACTTTTGCTTGGGATGTACATATGGTCCAGCATTGCACTGGTGGACCTTCCGGCCGCCGCGAACGTGTGAATCGCCGCCTGTCCGTTTCACGCCGACGGTCTCAACCTGATGACGGACTGTCCTAAACGAAATGAGTCGTCTCCTTTATTGTCCCACTGGCGCCGTGTAGAGACCCATCGGTGAGAGCCGTCCTCGCCGCCGGTCCAGACGACCCCTCGACCGCTTCCACGCACGGCACTCAAGCGCCCCTATCACCCAGCCTGTCCGAACCACCGACGCACGGCACACAACGACCGCAGCACACCGCGTACACGCGAGTCTTCACACGGACCCGCACGCTCGCGCAACGATCCGCACCGCGCTGCCAGAAATCCACATTCGCGGCAGCGCGTCGCTCCTTCCTCGCAACGACCGCGCACGCCCCCGCGCGCCCTCTCCGCGGTCACTGCGCCGGGCTCGAGATCGTTTGCGCGAGCGGCGACGACGCCCCGCGCACGCCGCTCAGCCCCGCCCCCGGCGCCGACGCCAGCACCATCTCCATGCTGTACATGAGCCCACTTGCCAGCGAGAAGTCCAGCTTCGAGCCAGTGGCGTCCGTGACCTTGAACACGTACACCACGACGTCCCCGCCCTGCCGCATCGTGTCGAGGTGCTTCAGCAGGCACATGCAGTCGTCGTCGACCTCGCTCTGCTGCTGAATGATCGCGCTGCGCACCGTGATGCCGCTGCTGTTGAGGACCGTCGCGAAGTCGAGCAGGAGGCCCGTGTTGTCGACGCGCTCCATGAGGCGCTTCGGGCGGTTCTTCGAGGCCGGCGCCTTCTTGCTGTGCCCGTTCACCAGGCCGGCGCCGTTCGCGGCGCCGTTGCCCGCGTGGTTGATGTTGGCCTGGTTGCCGAAGCCCGCGGTCGGGGGCGCGGACGGCGGGCCGGAGGACATGTACCCGGCGGAGGTGTAGCCCGAGCCGGGCGCGAGCTGCTCGAGCGGCACGCACACGTGCAGAACCGAGAATCTCTCCTCGGACCTGTTGTCCATGACGATGTTGGCTGACGTCAGCACGTCGGACGACAGGAGCTGCGCGGGGCGTGTATGCGAGGAGGGGGCGTCAGCGGCGGTGCTGCGTGGCCGTGCGCGCGCGCTGTGGTGCGTGGGGGCGGCTGCCGGAGGTGGGGGGAGTTGCGTACCGAGGTGGCTGGGACGCACTGGTTGATGAAGTCCGACATGCGCTCGACGAGGAGCTTGGCGTCGACTTCCGCGAGCTTCCGGCCGCTGCGCGTCTGTAGCCAGAACTTGTCGTCAACGGCCCTGCGGGTGCACACAGGGGGTCCGGCGCGCGTGTGTGAGGACGGCCAGCCGCCTGTGCGTCGCGGGCGGACGCGTATGAGCTGTGTCGATATGTCCCGAGCAGGCCAGACGCAGCGTGGCTCGCTTGAGGCCGTGAGGGGGCAGCAAACGAACATTGGAACAAGGAGGCACGCACCCGTCCTCTTCCGTGGCGAGCGAAGCCTTCGCGACGACGATATCGAGCCCTGTGAGCACCCACGCGATGATCCGCAGCAGGCCCGGGTAGTCCTGCGCGAGGCCGCGGAAACGTGAGCTTCAGAGAGCGCCTAGGCTGCCGTGCCGCGTGCACCGATGCGATTTCGGGCCGCGCTGCGCGCTGCCCGTACGATTATCACGATGAACTACCCCTCTGACAGGGCGTCGGGCCGCCCCGGTCGGAAACGCGGTCGGGAGTGGCCCTGTGTGGCTGCGGCAGGTCAAGGCCGTGATGCGCGCGTCCGCACCTGTGTCTGCACTTGCATGATCGTGTACTCGTCCTCCAGATCGTTGTCTACATTGATGCTGGCAATGTAGCAGCTATCAACGTCCACTTCCTCGTCCTCCGCGGCCCTCGTCTGCTGCAAGCCTCCCCGCGCCGCGCGGCGTGCGCTGCCTGAGAGGGCGGTCTCGCCTGCGGTGCGCATCGCCAAACATCGCAGCAGCGTGGAAATCCCGCTGGAAGGAACGAATTTGCACAAGTGGCGGCGAAACCGCGCAAAACCCGTAGAGCTCATCGGACCCTTCCACGCCGCGGGCTCTGGTGGCGCCTCGGGGGGCCGTGCGCGATGGTGACGCTCCCCCGGGCAGGGCGCAGTTCTGCCTCGACGCAAGGCGCCACGCAGCGGCCCGCGCACGCCCCGTGCACCGCGTGCGGGGACGGCGTGTGGAGCGCGTGCCTTTGGCAGGCGGTTGCGGCGTGCCTGACGCAGGGAGGGCGCAAACCTGGCGCGCGTCCGCGCGAGGGTCTAGGGCAGGGTGCAGAGAGTGCGCTGGCGCGAGGACGCGCGGCAGGACGCCCTAGGCGCGCCAGGGCCCGGGCGTCCACCACGGCTCCAGCGCCCGCTCGCATCTCGCGATTGTATTGCGCGCTTCGTGTCTTTCCCGGCTCGCGACCTCGCACGGAACGAAGGACGCGGAACTAGCTGGACCGACGCGCCAGAACTGACCGTGCGCAGCGGCTCGATGGCCTGCAGAGTCCCAAGGGAGGTGCTGGACACCTGATTCAGGGCGACACGCTTAGATATCGAAACATAATCTCCGTGGCCACAGCTATAGCTCTCTCGAGCCTCTGGCCCCAGCGGGCCGCTCCCGCCGCGACCGCGTCGCTCCGAACCGCAGCAACGCGGACCGACCGCCACCCGCACCGTCGCACGCGATCCGCGGCGTCGCTGCCCCCTCAACTAGCGATCGGCTCCACCGAAACGCTCTGGGGATCGGTGCCACCGAAACGCTCTTGACACAGTCACAGCGGTGATTCGGGCCCTGCCCGCGGCCCCACGGCGCCGTCAATCGCTGCCGGCGTCGGACGCGCCGTCCCCCGTGCTCCCGGAGTCTATGCTGGGCAGCGATTCGTCGCCACTCGAGCTTTCAGCACTGCCGTTGCCTCCCTCGCCCGTGTCTCGCGTCGACGGCGCGCTCGGCGCCGCCCCCCCGCCCTCGCTCGTCGCTGGCCGCGCCGCCCCGCCCAACACCCCCGGCGCCACGTGCCCCCCTGGCGCCGCCCCTTGCGCTGTCGGCAGCGACGGCACTGCGGGAGGGACGCCCTGCCGCACAGCAGGCACCGCAGCTCCGCCCTGCTGCTCTCGCGGAGGCGAAACTCGTTGCCGCTTCGCCGGCGGCGCCTCGTCCCGCTCTGCCGCAATACCCCCCCCCGGGGGGGGGTTCAGGCCCACCGCAGGTGCGCTCGCCGGCGCCGCAGCGGCCCGCGGCAGAGGCGGGAGCGCGGGCAGCGGCGCGGCGGCGTTGCGAGCACCCTCCGTGTCCGCGTCCGCCAGCGCCTGCACCGCGAACGACCCCGGCGGCAGCGCCGCCCCCCCATGCAGCCATGCTTCAATCGCCAACCCATCCAGCGCCGCAGCCGACGCGACGGCGGCCTCGGACGCCCCCGCCCGCCACGTACCCGTCGCCAACTGCCGCGCCAGCGGCAGCGTCGCCGCCCGCGCGCCGCCCAGCGCCATCGCCGCCGCCTGCAGCGCCGCCAGCGCTGCGCGGTGTGCTGGCAGTGCTCCGGGGCCCCGGGCATCGGAGCGAGCCGGTGGGACTCGAGCGCGCGGGCTGCGGCGCGCGCGGCCCGCGCCGCGACGGCGTCGGCGAGGGCGCGGGTGTCCGGGGCCAGGAGCGGGCCGCCCGCGCGCAGGGTGGCGGCGAGGGCGTGGAGGGCGGCGGCTTGGCACGCGCCGCGGCGGTGCGTGCGGTCGGCGCCGCAGAGGCCGGCGAGGTACGGGTCGGCCGCGGCCATCGCGGCGGCGTCGGGGAGACCCCCCCCGGGGGTCTTTTTGGCGGACTTGGACTTGGTGCGGCCTGTCGGGCGGGGTGCCGTGTCTGACTTGCCTGCGGGGTGTGTGCGAGGGGGGGCAGGAGGTCGGGCAGCTGCCTTGCACACAGCGATGAAGCTGCGGGGCCCCCGAGGTATCAACCGCCGCTTGACACGACTAAGAATGAAAAAAGAAGATAGACATTCATATCTTTAAAAACAGCCGCACTACACGCTAGTGCCGCGACTGCTAGTCACGGCGCGTGCAGCGCGGTGCGTGTGCGCCAGCCGCACCTGACGTGGCGAACACATCCTGAATGGCAGCCGACAGCAGTGCCGGCACCAGGTCGCAGGCGACGCGGCCGCCCCCGGCGTCCGCGAGCGCAGCCACGGCGCGGTACGCCGCGAGCCTCGCTGCGGGCGGCAGCGAGTCCTCGCCCGCCGCAGCGATCGCCAGCTGCACGTTCACCGCAGCCGCGATCGTACAATGCTGCGGGGCTACCGCGGCGCCCCCGCGACGCACGAGCAGCCCGAGCAGCTCCAGCGCCGCGGCGTGCAGCTGCGGCAGCCGCAGCGCGACCGCGGGGTCCTGCGCGGCGTCCGCGGCCAGCAGGCGGCACGCTGCGTTTGCGAGCGGCCCAGCTGGCAACGGCACCGGAACCGGGAACGGAAGCGCGAGGTGGGCCTCGATGGCGCAGATCGCTGCCGTGGCGACGTGGACGCAAGCTGCGGGGTCGAGCTGCGCGGCTGCGTCGCGCGTCATCCACAGCCGCGCAGCTGCAGTGCCCCCCGCAGCTGCGCCCTCCAGGGGCGCGAGTGCGGCCTCCGCGGCCGCGTGAGCGTGGAATGCGGGGTCCGAGGACGCGACCGGCTTCCCGAACATCCTGTCGCAGACGACGTGGAGCGCGAAGACGGACGCTGCCGCGCTGAGCGACCACGCCTGGGGGGTGCCCGTTGCCGCGGGCACGAGCGCGGCCGTCCGGGCTGCAGCGAGGAGCTCCGCGTCCGACGGCTGTGTCGACGCGTCGAGGCGCCGGAAGACGACCGCCTCGATGGCCTTGATGTGCGGCCGCGCGGACGCCGGCATTGTGCGCGTGGCGCTCTCAAGGAGCAACAGCAGCGGGAGAGGGAGAGGCGACGGAGTGTCCGCCTCCGCGGCCCCGTTCGCGCCGTTTCGATCGGCGGTGCCAGCCCTCGCGCTGTCGACATTCTCGATGCGCTGCGCCGTCGACGAAATAAGCTTCGAGGCCGCCGCGGAAGCGCTCCGTTTCACGCCGGGAAGGCCCAAGAGCGGTTCGAGACGCGCGACGAGGACGCCGGCGCAGTTCGACGCCGCGGCGAGCGAGGCGGCGTTCTGCTCGGTGCGGATGACCTTCGTAGCCGCCGCCATCCACGCCTCCTGCCGCGCGAGGATGCTCTGGGTGTCGAGCTCAGCCGCCAGCACGGCCAGCAGCGCCCACGCGTGCGCGCGGGAGCCCGCGCGCCCCGCAGCGCCCTCTACATGCTCGACGAGCTCGTCCACGAGCCGCCGGCACGTCGCCGCCTCCGTCGCGGTGATGCCTCCCGCCGCGTTCAGCGCAAACGCCCCGTGCTCGCGTGCTGCCACTTCCGCGGCGCGCAACGCGTCGGGCGACCCGCGCTGAACCAAGTCGCACACATGCTGCAGAGCGGCGCTCCTCACGCCCATCGCGCGGCCTCAGATACGCGTCGTGCTCCGCTCCCTGCACCCTCGCACGTGCTAGCGCGCCCCCCCCATACAGAGGCGATCTTCGGGGCCCGATGCGCGGTTGGATTTGATAGCGCGGCTGCGTGGGGCGCGATGCGAGTGCGTGGGTGTTCTCGGCGTGGCGCGCTGGCGTCGCCGATGGCAGCGGGCGCCGCAGCAGGGGGGGGTGTTGTGCTCGGTAGACCCCCCTCGGGGTTGGACGCGGGTCGAGAGGCGGGGGGGAGTGCGATCGGCCAGGGCGCTTCCAGGCGAGCTAGATCACTGGTTCTCCTGCGCCGCGGGGACCTGATCGAGGCGCCCGTTCACAGACAGGAGACAGGCTGACACAACGAGTGAGGTTCAACTTTTCATTCGAGAGCTGCTTTCTGAAAATACGCCGCACAATGATGACCTCTCAGGACCACACTACAGCCCTAAACTGCCGCCACCCTCCACCGCCACACAGCACCGTGCGCGCACGCCCCGAGCAGGGCCCCGCCGACCGCGGCACACACCCCAGTCGGGCCCCGACACCGCCACGCCCCCCCGGCGTCCGGCCGCGGCCGCACCTCGATCTCCCGCAGCGTGGAGCCCGTGTCGATATCGAGCAGATCGATCGCGTCCGGCCGCCGCAGCACCGCGATGAGCGTCGCGTCGTCGCACGGAACGACACAAAGCGCGCCGCTGCTGCGCGGCGCTCGCGGCACGCCGGGGTCGACGTGGCGGCTCCAGAGCAGCCCGCGCTGGGCCGCGTCCCAAATTGCCACGACGTTGCACGCCGTTGCGAAGCAGACGAGCCTTCGCGGCTGCAAGCTGCCCGCCTCCCGGCTGCACGCACGACACGAAAGAGCGTGCTGGGAGGCGTCGGCGGCTTCCAGTATCCCATGGTGTATCCGCATGCAGCTCGAATGAAAGGATCGTGGCATCTTTAGGGCGTCCGTAGCGGCGGAAACGCACCTGTCGGGCTGCACCACCGCACACGCTATGTCTGTCACGTACGACTGGAATCCGCGTCGGTCCGGCGGCGGCACGCAGCACACCTGGGCAGAACGCTCCTGTGCAGCGAGCGCGTCGGCGCTCCACACGACCGCCCGCTCCTCCCGCCCGTCAGCGTCCCAGTGACATGTCACCAACAAATCACCCTCGGCGCGGCTTCGCGGGGCGGCCTCGCGCAGCACATCGCCGTCCGTCGCGAGACTGGGCACGAACGCACACCTGTGCACGCGGCCTTTGCCCCACTTCGCGCTTGCGAGCACTCGCATTTGGTGCGTGGCCGTCGCCGCTGCGGCAGCCGATGTGTATTGTGTTGAGTCCGCGCACGGGTGCGGCGCGGTGCGACGCCCCCGCCTGGTGTCAGCGGACGCTGCGATCAGGTGGCAGGTGCCGCTGAGCGACCCAACCGCGAGGAGGCCGCGCTGCGGTAGAGAGGCGAGGGACAGACTGACAGAGGGGGGGGGGAGTGTAAGCTGCGCTGCGGGACGGATCTCGAGCCCATCGCAGAGCTGCGGGACGGCGTAGAGGGCCACCGCGCCGCCGTCGAGCGTCGCGGCGACAGCGTCGTCGTCCGCCCAGACAGCATCGATGAAATGAGAGGTGCGCGTGGGAGGAAGCAGCGTCGCCGGTTTTGAGGGGCTGGGCGGCGTTTCTCCCCCGTCGGCCTGAAAGCGATAAATCTGCGGAGTGCTGCCCGCTCCGTACGTCAGCAGACGGGGAGACGTCGCGTGGTTGTTGGCGTCTGCGTCGTTCCACCTCGCCTGCGAGCACCGCGGTTGCGCATCCGTCGCGCGGCCTCGCCGCGATTATTCAGTGCGCTCGGAAACGGTCGCGCTCCGTTCGCCTCACCTTCAATACGCCCCCCCTCGATTCGTTCGACTCATCTTTGTCCTGTCCGGCGACCACCGCTCCGGCCCCGAGTCCCCCGCGCTCATCGAGGACCCGCCTCACGCTGATGTATTCCTCGCAGCAAGCAGCGAGCCAGCGGCCGCATCGAGACACCGCGATCTCGCCCCCTCGACCGCCATTCGCAGCCCCTGCTTCGCAGCGTCCGGCGCGAGGCAGCTCTTCCACGGCGACCGACATGGCGGTATTCGTGTGCATGCACGGATCCGCGCAGTGCGACCGAGCTGCCCCCTGACGGCGCAGGGCGCGCGTTGTCGAATTGATGACTCCGAGGGCGGTCGTACGCGCAGCAGCCGACGTTCTTGGAGAAACCGTCCCAAGGGCTGTGAAAGGGTAAATACTGGTGCGCTGACGTCCAGCGTCGCAAGCCCAGATTGCGAGAACGGCCCGCCTCGAGAGCGAGTTGTTGCAAAGCTTGCGGTCGGCGAGGCGTCCGACGCGTGCGAAGAGCTGTGCTGCGGAGCGGCGCCGCAGTAGCGCGGCACGTTGGGTGTGGACTGGGCGTCGCGGCGACGTGGGTCGCTGGTTCAGTGCGTCGAGGCGGCGAGGTACAACAACACCGCAAGCTCAGCACACACACACCCCGGGGCCCTGCCGGGCCTGTGCGGTCGCTGAGCGGGGCAGGCCGTGCGCGGGACGGACCACTGTCGATCAGCACACCGCAGCGCGCACTGCGACCCCGGAAAACCGACTTTCAGCCGCGAACGGAGCGACCTGAGAGTTTGCAAAGCACGAACATCGGGTCAAGCCACGATCTGGGTGTCCCGGGCGCCCATTTTCATCCACATCGACGCACCCTCGAGCGGGTCGTAGTCGGCGAACCGCAACCATGGCGGACGGGCGGGAGGATGGCGCTGCGGAGGGCGGGCAGCAGGAGCCGCAGGCACAGGGGTCGGACGCCGAGCAGAGCAAGGGGCTGCAGCATCTGACGACGGCCGGGAACATGAAGGAGCGGGAGATCAACACGGACAACCTGCAGGAGGTCATGATCGACGCCATGAAGGCGCAGGCGGCCATGCAGGTGCGCACTCACCGGCGGCCCAGCGCCGCGGGAGCCCGCGTGCGTGAGCCGCGACGGTCGCGAGCGGCTTCGTGCGATACAGACGTGCAGCGTCCCGATGCGATGCGACCCTGCTGCGCGTTGTTCTGCCCGTGAGCGCAGGAGAAGCGGCGCGCGAGGGAGCGGGAGCTGGCGGCGGTCAAGGTGGCGGACGCTGACGTCGCGGTCGTGGCGCGGGAGTTCGACTTGGACAAGAAGGCGGCGGACCGCGCGCTCCGGGAGCACGGCGGGAACCTCAAGGAGGCTCTGGCGGGCCTTTTAAGCAGCTAGAGTGCCGCTCGTGTGACCGCGAACGCCGGCGAGCGCCCGCGAGCACGTCACGCAGCTGCCTCGACGCCCACCTGCCCGTCCGTGCACGCGGACTCGCGAGCTCTGCCGCCCCGACATGCAGCGTCGTCGACGCGAGCGCCGCACTGCACGCGCACGATGCGAACGAGGTCGCGGCCCGCACCGGCGCGAGCGGCCCATCAGCGTCGAGTCACACTCCCTCCGCGTCCCGCACGTGCCCCTCCGGCTCGTTCCACCCCCCGGGGTGTACCTGCTGCGCTGCGCCGCTGGAGCTATCACTCCCCCCCGGGAACAGCGCGAAGACTCCCCCCCGTCCGCCCCTCTCGCGCACCCACGACCACACGCACGCCGCGCCCGCCAGCGACCCCACAGCGCCGACCACAGGCCACGTCAGCGCCCACGGGGCCACCCACGCACACCCCCCTACCGCGAACCCAGCGACGATCCCCGCCAGGTGGCCCAGGAAGGACGCGCGAGGGACGAGCAGGCTCGTGAACACGAGCGCCGCGAACGGCGCCGCCAGCGGGGGCACCGGCAGCCCGAGCAGGCGCACGGCGCCCGCCTGCGCTCCCAGGCGGGGGGGGAGCGTCGGTATGACTGCGAACCACCCGAACAGCACCCCGGAGTAGCCCACGGAGACCTGCGAGAGGTACCTCTCCGCGCCGGGCGCGAACTGCACCCGTGACAGCCCGTAGTACATGGACAGTAGAATCGGTGTTTCCAACACGAAGAGGATGGTGGTGATCCTGCAACAGATGTGCAAATGCACAAGAGGAGGCCGGTTTCTGCTACCGTGTGTCCGGGCGCCCGCGGGCGCGTGGCGAGGGTGCTAGGAGCGGCGACACAGTTGCGCGGTAGCGACGGGCGTGCTGGCGGGCTGCACCTGGTGTACGCGGCGTGGCCGAGGAGGACTTCGGCGCCACCGAGGCTCCACAGCGCGCTGACGTTGAATGCCAGGTGCAGCAGGTCCACGTGACACACCTGGGCAACTGCCGCGCGCCATAGCTGACCCTGAAGCCGGGGGGGGGGGGTTATTCGATTCGTTGGCGAGCGGTTCGATCATGTCCCGTGCCGGGAGGCCTTCCTCGAAGCAGCGCTTGCGGACACAGGTGGGTAGCGAGGGGACGCGACCGGTCCCGCACCTGCACAGCGACAGCAGTGAAGCTTACGCCGAGCTCGCCGTATCCGAGGCCTTTCTTGGCGCAGATTCCCCAGACAGCGACGAGAATCGTTGCAATGATCGACGTCGCCGGCCTCTCGATGACCAGCTCGTGCAACGGACGGCCCATGGTGCCACGGACCCCAACCGCCGCGCGCAGCACCAACGTGTCGCTTTCGCGGACGACCTCGACGGTTTCGACGCTGGTTCGCGCCCCCCCTGGCTTCGCACTCTACTGGAGACCGCCCGCGTCGCGTCTATACGGGGTGGCACGTGCGGCTGGTGTCGCCCGCACCCCGCTCATCAAGCTGCAGCACACATGGCGCGTCGGTACCGCGCTCCAGCGGGAAATGGAGACGATGCTGGCAGGGTGCGTGGTGCGCCGCATCCCCGGCCGCGCGACGCCTCGTGGCCGGCCCTCGCGCCTCCCACTACGCGACGTCAGACGTGGAGTGTCTGACGCGAGGAGGAAAACACCCCCGGGGAAAGATCGCACGAAAGGCCGGCGTCCATCGATGTACCGCCGCGGGAGTCCGGAGCATTGACCGCCGCTGCCGTGGCACCGGACGCGTACGAATCACGGAGGACAAAATGAAGAACGAAAATGGAGGCTTTTTTGTACTTCGCTGACCTACAGGCACCTCTGGCGCAACGAGGTTCTTGACTCAAAGCGCCAACGCACTGCGTAGCGACGATCGCGAGGACGCTGATCTCTTAGAGGGGGTCGTGTCAGGGGTTGACACCCCCCTGGGAGTATTGACAGCTCGCCAGCTGTCTCAAGCCCGCGCCACCGCGTGGCGCAGGCAGTCTTATGTTGACCTAAGTGTAAGCCTCGACTGTCTTACACACCGCTGTCGCACCCATCGAAAGTCTGCCGCTTCTGCGCGGACGTGGCGGCCTCGCCCGCCCCGGAGGACCTCCGCCATCTGCTGCTGGATTGCTGCGCCCCGGCGGTACGCTCTCTCCGGGAACGAGCGGGCCTGGCCGTGGACTCGTCTGGGCAGCTCACGCTACCACCTCCGCCCGCTGCTGATGCGCCCCTGTCGTCCACGGCAACTGTTGGACAGCGCCGCCGCTTCGCGCTCAACCGCCGGCTGCGCCAGCACCTCGAGGACCTGCACGGTGCCGCAGCGCTCGGCTCGGATGCCGCTGCCAACGCTGCTGTGCGTCATCTTCTGAACCTGCCGAATCAGCGAGGCATGGCGATCTTTGCTCGTGGCATCGAGGACCTGCTCCAGGCTGACTCTATCACAGCTGCCGATCCTGTTACTACCATAACGGTGGGGGGTTAGCATGACTCGCCACCTAGTCGAATGATCTTTTCAGGTCCCAAAGCCTCATGGCTGACGACGCGAAGAACGTAACACCTCACCTCACCTCACACTGTACAGCTAGCGGGAGACCGCTAGCGAGGCATTGTGCTGCCCCGAGCCCAGGACAGCTCCCTGGCCTTCACATATCGCTCACGGGACCCTTTCTCTAGGTACGGCAGTTTCATAACACGGTGGAGCTGCAGGGTGCCTGAGCGCAGCGCACAAGCGTCCAACGCGTCAAATATCACATGCAGAACGGGGCCGGGGGAGGAGCAACGTCGCCGAGAGCTCACCGTCACCGCTCCGCCCCGCGACGCGCTCGTGGCCCGCCGCACGCAAGCTGCCCCGGCGCCCGTCGGCCCGCGAGCTCCGGACAGCCCCCCGCACCGATGCACCGCCAGCTGTCCGCGCCGTCGACCCTGCCTCACTTCCTGTGTGCCCGGGCAGCGCGAAGCTTCTCGGCCCCTGCCTGCCACAGCGCCTTCGCCCCAGCGGCGGCCCCCAGCAGCACCATGCCGCCTAGCTCTCCCATCGGGGTGTCGTGGTACTGGACCCGGAGCTGCGGCCGACCGCCATAGCGATCACCCCCTGCAAACGCTGCCTGGTTCTCGGGGCTGAACATGGACGGATCCAGCCCCTGCGCGACGAGCTCCCCGAAGTCCATGCTCGCGTAGTCCGGTTGGGGCTGCGAGGGCCGCGCTTGCTGCGCTGCGGGCGGACGGTCCAGGCACAACCGCCTGCGTGCGCTTGTGTCTTGTGCGAACGGCATCGCCCCGGAGTCCACGAGGGCCCAGAAGCTGCAGCGAGGGCGCAGGTAGTGCGAGAAGATGTCGGCGCGCACGCAGAGGCGCGGTGCTGGGTGGGCCGCGACCGGGCAAGCATGTTGCCGTTGAGGGCATGGCGGTGTGCTCGCCCGGTGGTCTCTTCAGCGCCGTCCATGGCCGTATCCTTGTCCAGAAGGGAGACGACGAGGTCGGGGCAGTGTTCCAGCAGCGGGCACACTTTCTGCAACGTGTCAGACAGGGACACACGACTCCCCCGGAGGCCTAGGAACTTCAGGCGCGCGCTCTGCATCAGGCTGACGACGGTCTCCGTGCTGAGCTCCTCCACCTTGTTCACGCCGTCCCACTCCACGCCCGCGGACGACAGGTCTAGCGACTCGAGCTGCGCGCCCGCGCCCAGAGCTGTCCAAAAGTGCTTCGCGCCCTGCAGGGGAGGCGCTCGCCGCGTGCGCAGATCGCACGCGCGGGAAGCGTGTGGTAGAACGAGCAACGCGAGGTTCCCGGCATCCTGACCAGAAGCACGAAGCACGTGGACCGACGCACACATTTGACTGCAACGTTGGTGCGGGGGGCGCGCCTGGTCGCCGATTGCGTTGTCTTGCAGGTTGAGGTGCCTGAGAGTGGTGCTGCGCGCCACGGCGCCCGCGATCAGCTCTGCGCCGTCGTTCCCGATGCCGAACCCACCGATGTGCAGACTTGCGAGTGTTTGAGTTCTGTCGATGAGGTCTGCCAGGGCTCCCGCGAGCTCATATCCGAACGAGCGCCCCTGCGCCGGCGCGCGCGGCCCCCCACACAACGCCGCGCAGATGTCGTCCAGCTGCCGGTCCATTTGCGCCGCGTCGGCGGGCGCGGGCGGGCGGTCCAACGACACCTCCTCCAGGCGCGGGCTCGCTGCGAGCGCGCGCGCGAGCCCCAGCACCGCCGCCTCGCTCGGCCCGTCGATGTATAATTTGAGGACTCGCAGCGAGCCGACCGCGCCGGAGATCGCGGCGAGATCCGCGTCGCAAAGCGCGCATGGCGCGTGCACGCTGAGCTCGCGCAACTTCGACGCAGAGCTCGCAGCGCCAGCCGCGATGGCCGACACCGCCCCTGCCTCGAGAACGCAGCCGCTGAGGCGAACCTCCGCGACGGGCGCCGCGCCGTGCTCGAGCAGCCCGCCGATCGCGCCGCCCACGGCGCGCGTCACGTTCGTGACGCTCGACCCGATCACGACGCGCCGCACCCGAGCGCGCGGACATGCCGCGGCCTCCAGAAGAGCAGCGAGCTCGTTGTCGCGGCTCGCCCACACCGGACCCGGCACGTCGAAGTCGCTGATTTCCTCCCGCGACGACGTCCCCGAAATGATGTCCTCGGCCAACTGCAACGGGCAGGCGGTGCCGGCGGCGCGCGCGCAGTGACGACGCACGACTGCAGCGGAGCTGGCGGGCGTGATGGTCGCCGCTGATCTACACGAAGACGCCACGTGGCGACGTAACTACATGGGCCTTGATGGCTGGGGGGCGTCGTTGTGTTCATCGGCAGGACCCACGCCCGCCAGCGCGACGCGGCACGCGGCCGAACTGCGCGAGCCGTGCCGGCAGTGGGCCACGCACGCGGGTGCCTTGCACGCATCACCGCAGCATCGCGCACCTTCACGCACGGCCCGTGCCGCCGCGCGACTCCGCTCGGGTGCTGGGCCCAGCGCTTCTTCCACGCCTTGATCTGGGCCTTCGGGTGCGTCGCCTGCAGGGGCGGGCGCGACGCCAGAACATCGTCGTGAGTCGATCAAGAGCAGCAGTGCTGAGCAGCCGTCTGCAGCGGGCGCGTCCCGTGATGGAAGCGCCCTGACGGCCCGAACCATGCGCAGACGCTTGAACCGAGCAAGGCAGCCCCGAACGTCCAACGGAACCGCAAGACACGGCCGGAACGACCGTCCATGCTCCGTCCAGCCCAACCGCCCGCTGCAGTTGCACACGCACCTCAGGGCACCACCAGGGGCCCGCATCCGGCGCCGTCTCCGGCGCCTGCTTGCTTTTCCAGAGTCCAGGCATCTGCGCAGCGGGGAATCACGCACAGGCGCCGGTCGCACAGGGCGTGCGCGTCGCCCGAGGTTCACCAGGCAACTGCAGGCACACGTCACCGCGTGCCGTGAGCAGCGGGCGCCGGCGTGCGCGGAGGCGCGACGCAGGGCATCGCGGGCTCGGACGCATGCGGTACCTGGTCGCCGGCGCTGGCGGCGGGCCGCGGCGCGGCGGCGGGCGCCACCACTGGAGCGCTCGCTGGCGGTGCGGAGTGCGCGTGCAGCAGCGGTCGCGATGTTCGCGGTGAGCCCGAGGGGTGTCGGTGAGATCGTCCGGATGCAGCGGTGAGGCTGGGGCGCCGGAAGTGGCGCGGGTGTGCCCGCGAGACGCCCCGAACCCCCATGGCGATGACATCCAACGTTTCCTGTCTGCCACCGCGCGACAACCCCGACCTCTGTCGGAGCCCGCTCCGGGCAGGTGTGCGCCCGCGGGCGCCCGGCCGCGCCATTTCCGTGCACCTGCGGGCAGCAGCGAGGCAGAGATCGATCTGCGCGCACCGTGGAAGCCGCAGCGCCCGCGTTCCGGCACCCCGCACCTGCAACGTCGGTCGCGCGAATGCTCACGGACGCGCGCCTGTCGCAGAGGGCCGCCGGCCGCGCCGAGATCGACGAGGGCGTGATGGACGTGGCGGGGCCCGTCGACCAGGTCCTCGCCGCGCGCCGGAAGGCCGAGACTCTGGACGCGCGGCTCGCTGAAGTGGCGTCCCTGCCGGCCCCCCAGCTCAGCGACGCCGAGTACGGGCGTATCGAGGAGATCCGCGAGCAGCTCGGGGAGCTCATCGACGCGCTCGAGGCGCTCAGGCAGACGCAGGGCGACGACGACGGCGGACAGGTGCGTCCGGGGCGCTTCTGAGTTGCGCCCGCTGACGTTGGCGCCCTGGGCGGCCCCGCGGACATCCGCGCGCGCCTCCGCACGGGTTTTCCGCGTGATTCTGGCCTATTTATCGCTGAGATCAGTCAGCGGCCGCGAAACGGCCCGGGGGAGCGCGCGATGCGCGGCACGGCCGACGATTCCGAGAGCTGTCGTGGCGGGGCGAGTGCGGTGCCGGGGGCCGCCCAGACCCCCCCAGCGCCCTCCATGCCTCCGTGCGCGAATGACTGGATCAGCACGCGACCCCGGGCGACCGCGCCGGGCCCGCAAGCCGCGCAACGGCCTCCTGAGCCGGCCCCCCGGCACTGCCCAAGTCCCACTTTGAACGGGAACGCGCGGCTCCGCTTTTTCCCGCGCCCAACGGCACTCTACTGCCCCCTCCCAGCCTCTCCGTTCCAAATAAAACACGAATCGTCCTCCCTTGCAACTCGCACTACGCCAGCTTCGTCGTTTCGCCGCATACATGATGCTGTGCCCTTTGGCCTAGCCTACCACGGCCACGCATCCGCGGTTTGGCGCGTTTCCCGTCCCGATTCGCCCTCCCTCGCGCCGGAACTGTGCCGCAGGACCTCATGCTGACGGAGATCGACCGTTGCCGCGCCGGTCTGACTCGCTCGGTGGACGCAGCTGCCGCGGCCGCAACCCCGGCCACGCGCTCGGTGCTGCGCGCGGCCGTCAGCTTCCTGCGCCCCGACGACGAGCCCGGCACGCCGCTCACGGGCTCCGTCGCCGGCAGCACCCCGCGCACGTCCGGCGCGCGGCGCACGTCAACGCCACGCTCCACCCTCACCGCGACATCGCACCCCGCGGGGGAGCCAGCGTCGCCGTACCGCGCCATGCACGAGGCCGAGATACGGCCGTCGCGACTGTCGATCGAGGCCGCCGGACTGACCATCTGGGAGACCCCGGAGGCGTCTGAGAGGGGGGCTGACGCGGGGGCGGCGGGGACGCAGGCGAGGGGGAGTGCCGGGTCGGTGGGGAGCAGCGGGCTGGCGCGGTCGCCGTACTCGCCCGTGCGCGGGCGCCGCGGCCTCGGGCCGACCCCGAAGGGCATGAAACCTGCGCGCCGCGGAGAGGGGGGAGTGTGGGCCAAGCTGGGGGGTGTCCGGCGGTCCGGGCGCTCGCCGCTCGCCGCGACCTCGCGGCACAACGTGCAGCCGAGGCGCCCGGGGCAGGCCGCGGACGCGCAGCCCGCGAAGATGCCGGCGCCGGAGCCTGTTGCCGCATCGCCAAAGCGGCCGCCGGCGCGCCGGAGCCTCAAGGGCTTCCTCGGACGGCCGCTGGAGCGCAACCCGCCGCACGTGCTGGCCACCGAGGTGCGCTACCTTCCTGCGGGCCACGTCGGGACGCAGATGGAACGCAGGACGTCACGCGCACGCTCATGATATCATGTCTCGTCGTGTGTCGTTTCGTTGTGGTTGCTGCTCAAGGCGCGCTCGTGTGCGTGTGCGCGCAGTCGATGGACCCGTACAGCATGGACGCGTTCCGCACGCCGAAGGAGCGCCGCGCGCCGCCGGTCGTGCGCGCGGACCCCGGTCACGTACACCCCCCCACACCACCCCCCGCGGAGCCCACCCCGGCGCCCCGCGCCCCGGCGCCGCCCAAGGTCGTCCCCAAGCCCGTCCCCACGGACCAGGAGTCCGCGACCTACGAGTCCTCCCTGCCGACCCTCCACCTCGCCGCCGACCTGACCTGCGACGACGCCCCGCGCCGCCGCCGCGGGCCCTTCGCGGCGATCCGCGGGCTCATCCGCTTCACGCTCGGCACGGCCGCGCTCGTCGGCCTCGGCGCCGTCAGCGCCATGGCCGTCACCGTCGCCGTGAACGGCGTGCCGGAGGATCCGGTGCCGAAGGCGAAGGAGGCGTGGGACGCCACGCGGCAGCGGTGCGCGGAGGCGGCCGGCGTCGTCGCGAGCACGGTGCGCGCCGGCGCGGGCAAGCTGCGGCAGCGCGTGGGGCGCGGCCGCGTCGTGGAGCCGTCGCCAGCGCCGCAGGTGGTGGTCGTGGCGCCGCGCGAGGGGCCCGCTGCGCCGCCGGCGCCGCTGGAGAGGAGCGTGAACCGGCCGGCGCCGTCGATTTGGATCGGGCGCGGGTGACGGCGCTGGTGGGAGGCGGCAGCGCGCGATGCTCAGAAAGGGGGGGTTTTGTGGTTGGGAGGGGGGAATCGCCGGTGTAGTGTTTTCACATGAGCGCGCATCGCGGTGAGTCCGCGGCGCCAGCGGTTGTGAGTAGCTTGCGCGCGATTCTCTTCAGCGGGATCCCGTCGCAACAATTTCTGACTATTGGGGGTGTCAAGTGCAAGCAGGGGGGGTCACGTATTTGACAGACGGCCGGACCGACGCAGCCCTGCGGCACCTCGCTCCGCGCCCCTCGCACGGCGCCGCAGCCCGCACACCCCCCCTGTCGCCTTCAAAGGCAAACGGGCGCTCCGCACCGATGCTTGCGTCACCGGGTGTTCGCCGCGGCGTAAATGAACTGCTGCAGGTCGAGGGTGATCTGCGCGCTCCGTCCGCCGGAGAAGGCGCCGAACGTCGAGTTGCATGATGCCAAAAAGATATTCATGGCAATAAACTCCGTCACCGCGAGGCCGTTCGAGCGATCGGGGTCGAAGACGGTGAACAGCTTCTCGAAGACGGGCTCGTCGAGCGGGAAGCCGTTGTGCGCCAGGGCCTCCCTGACTTCGCTGCGCACGAGCTGCCCCGTACGACTCTTGTCAAAGTAGAAAAAATTGGCGTTGCACCGGTCGAGGAACTGGTGCATGCCGCAGAACTCCTGCGGCGGACGGGGGGGCGCGGACCGGTCAGGGAGAGGGGTTTGGGGGGCGGTGGCTCCTGGCGAGGGCGCTGGCGCGGACGTGTGTGGAGAGAGTAGAAGAGGGGGCGTGCGCGGTGGGGTGGGGGTGTGGGGCCTACGTGGAAGTTGAGGGCGTGGCTGTTGTCCTGATCGTGAATGCGGATGAGTTGCGCGCAGATGGCGACGCTGAAGTTGAGCCCGCCTAGCTGTAGGGCGCGCTGGAGTTCCAGCGACGAAATGCGCCCGTTGCGGTCGCTGTCGACCTCGTCGAACCTGCGCCAGGCATGTCACGCACAGTTAGCATCTCCGCATTGCAGATCCTGGGGCGGAACCGGCGCATGCAGGGCGGGAACGCGGGGCGCATTCAGGACGGGCGCCCTCGGGCGGGTGCCGCGTGACAGCCGGGTGCCGGGTCCGAACTTCTTACCAGTGCCTCAGAACGCCCGGGTCCATATTCCCCAACAGTCCGCCGATTCTGCGTCCGCTACGAGCGCGCCTCAAAGCGTGCCGCCCGTGTCTCAAGCCCCGCGTGTCCTCTGCAGTCTCCGGACCTTCCTGTGCACGATACCGGCGAATTACGCTTGCGAGCCCGCGCAAGTGACAGCTCTGTGTATGGCCGTGCCCGGCGCCGCGTCGCGGCCTTGTTGCGCCGGCGCACGGCGCCCCGCGGGGCCTTGCAAGCCGAGTCGGGGCCAGTCCGACCCACCACGCGCCCGCGGCGCTGGCGTCCGCGTTTGACGCACGCCGCGGGCCCGCCTGCCCAGTTCCGGTACTCAACGATGCACGTAAAGCACTGGAGGGCGCGTTGAGGCAGCACCAAGGGCTGCGCGGGCGCGAGAGGATGGCCGCGCAAGAGGGCCGTCCCCGCGGCATGCAGGGCATCGCGAGGCGCGTGCGCGCGCTCCCGGCCGCGATATGTCCTGGAGATGCGTCAGAGCAGCAGCGGGGAGCGGCCGTGCGGAGCCTGAGGTACCTGCGCGACGTGCTGGCCTCTCAGCTGGCAACGCACCAGCCAGCAGAGGTGGCGGGACGCTCGCGCAGCGACGGGGCCGCCGATCCCGCCGCGCGAATCGATGGCGGCCTGCCTGAAGATCAAATTGCCGTGCCGGAACGCCGGCTAGAGGGCAGCGGCGCGGAGCTACGGGCGAGCGCGGAGGAGCGCGCTGCGGACGCTGTGCAAGCGCGGCCGTCCGACCGCGACGACGGCAGTTCCGACGGCGACTCGGACTGCGACATGGACCTCCTCGGCGGGGAGCCCGGGTGGGAGGTCGCGGGGGGAGTCGAAGCCGCGCCGGAGGGCTCGGTGCTGGCACTGGCCCTGTGCTCTGGTACGTCCGCCCAGCACGCACACACGCCCCCGCGGGCCCCGTCCGCCCGCTCGCTCGTCATGATCTCTCAACGAGAGCAGAGCGCGCGGCCGTCGCGGGCGTGTGCGGCGCCGTGGTGTCCGTGGGCTGAATATCATGCTGTCAGAGTTGGTATCAAGTCGCTACTGGTCTCGCCTCGCCGCAGGTGGCCATCTGTGCGCCGTGGTCCGCGAGGCCGGCGACTTCCAGCTCCGCCTCTGGCGCGCCGACCACACGCTCGTCGCGTCAGGCAGCTTGAACGCCCCGCGCGACGGCCGGCGGTGCTCGCGGTGGCTCGGACGGCTCGCCGAGTGCGCGCCCTTCGCCGCGGTGTCGCGCCTGCACGAGCCCGCCTGGAGCGCACGCGCCGGCGCCACGCGCCTCCTCATCGCGCTCCCGTCGGGACTCCTACCCGACAACACCCCCCCGGAGATGTCCCCCGCGCCGGGCGTCGCCGACGCCGTCGTCGCCGCCGCCGTCGCCTGGCCCGAGCCCGAAAAGGACCCAGCCAGCGCCCCGCGGCCCGGAACGATCGCCGGCATGCTCAGCCAGCGCGCACGCGCCAAAGCCAGCGGCAACACGCCGTCGCCGGGCGCCGGCCGCTCCGGACCGCCAGAGCTCCTCTGCGCCGTCTCGGCGCCCCACGAGGCCCCAGGGACCATCCTCGCGGGCGGCGCGGGCGGCGTCCTGCTCGCGGTGTCGCCGTCCGCGTCCGGCACGGCCCTGCGTAACATCGCGTGGCGACACCGCGTGTTGCCCCGCGCGGAGTTCCGGTCGATCGCGCTGCCCGACGTCGTGCGGCTCGAGGTCGTGGCGGCGCGGCCGCGGCTCGTCGCCGGCGTGTCGTCGAACGGGAGTGTCGCGGTGTGGGACACGGCGGGCGGCGGGCAGCTGCTGTGCGGGGTGTGCGAACACGACTTGTGCGTGCTGTCGATCCAGCTGTGCCACCTGCGCGACGACGCGGCGCTGCCGGCCGTGGGGATGGTGCTCACGCGCCCGCGCACGGCGTCGGCGGGGGGGTTCGGGGGCGGCGGCGCGGGGGGGTGTTTCGGCTCGGAACGGCAGGGGGTGGGGGGTCTGGAGGATCCGGCGGCGCACAGGCGGAGGTTGTCGGCGTACAAGGTGCTGGTGACGGAGCCGGACGCGGCGGGGCGGCAGATGCACTTCGGCGTCGAGCTTCCTACGCGGGGGGTGTGTAGCTGCGCGTGGGGGCTGGGCATGGGGGTGTTTGGGTTCTCGTCGGGCCACGTGGTGATGTGGGACGTCGTGAGTGGGGAGGCGGTCGCGGCGGTGGAGGTTCCGCGCCGCGCCGACCAGGGGGACTCTGGCGCACACCCCCGGGAGCGTGTCGTGCAGGTCGGGCTGCGGCCGGGGCGGCGCGGGGGCATCGAGGTGATGTGGCGCGGGAGCGAGGGCGGCGGCGGAACGTTCGTGCTGTCGCAGACCCCCGTCACGCGGTGCCCGGGCGAGGACTCCCCCGGGGCCCTGTGCGAGGTGGCGGGCGCTGGCGTGGCGGGGCGGGGCGAGGTGGGCGCCCTAGCGTAGGCGCTGGGCGACGCGTGGAGCCAGCGTAGAGGCGGTCAAACCGGAGAGAGATGTGATCGCAAAGTGAGGGGGGGTTTGACCTTTATTCAAAGTGCCAGGCAGTCTGGATGCGAGGGCTGCGTCAGGTGCAGTGTCAGCCTGCGGCATCCCGCCTCGAGGCCAACCGGCTCCTCCTTGCCCCACTTCTCCGGCCTCCTGCATGGCAACATGCGCAGCCACCCGTCCGCACAAACAACGACCCCCCCCCTTCTCCCAGCGCACCGACTCCCTCACACAGAGCGTCCCGCATCCTCTCACCGCCCCCTCGCGCCCTGATCCGTCAGTTCACGAACGTGTCCGTCCCCGCCTCCTGCGCCCGCAGCGCCGCCAGCACCTGCTCCTTCAGCCCCTCCTCCGCGCTCATCCCCTGAAACAGGTCCCGCGCCACCGACTGACAGTCCCCGTCCGCCCCGCGCATCCACCGCACCAGCGCCGCCACCGCCCCCGGCGCCCCCGCCAGCTCCTCTAGCGCCGCCCGCTGCTCCTCTTTGACCCTCCCTACGAGCATCCCGATGGCCAGCAGGGCCCGGATCGCGAGCTCGGCGTCGTCCGTAGACAGCACACGCGCCGCCGCGCCGACCGCACCGGCGCCGCGGAGCCCCGGTCGGACGCCCTCCGCGGTGCACAGCTGACAGAGGGCGTCGCAGGCCGCGGCGACGACCTCGCGGTCCTCGCGGAGGTCGAGCGAGTCGAGCACCGCGGCAACGGCGCCGTTCTCGAGCAGGGCGGTGCCGGCGTCGGGCCAGGATTGCGCGAGCGAGGACACCAGGACAGCGAGATTCGTTCTCGTGCCAGCATGGGGGCTAGCCTGCGGACGCGCCGGGGGGGGGGGGAAATGTTCGGGCCGCGTTGAGGTGCGGTGCGCGTGGTGGGCGGAAATGGGAGAGAACGGGCCCGCAGCGGTGGCAGCGGCGGTGTGCATGATGCTGACGTGCTGTGCGTCATCGTGTGCGATGGCTTCGCTTTGTTCGCGCGATTTACTTGCCTCTGGCGCCTCGCTGGGTGCGTTGTCCGAGGCCATGATCGCGCGGATGCTCGAGTTCTCTTTCAGCAGCGCACACACGCGGCCGACCAGCCCCGCGTTGTACGCAGCCTCTGCGAGCTGGGGGTCGAGGGCGCAGGACCCGGCGAGCGCCGCGATGGCGTTCTGAAGAGTCGCCTCTTGCTGCGATCCCGACAGGAGGTCCATGAGCCTGCATGCGACCGCACGCGAACGTCCCGTGTTGCGCTCACAAGGTCGTTGAAGACGGCGGCTCTGCGCGGACCCGAGTGATCATTCAGGACCGCCGCACGTGCCGCTGGGTTGCGTGCAGGCGCACGCGCGCTGGAATCGCGGTCGAAATGGGCGGCTGGGACCGGGCGCACGAAGCACGCACCTGGGCAGCACATCCTTCAGGGTCTGCATGGGGGCCTCTTCGGGCTGGGAGGACGTCAGCATCGCGAGGTGTCCGCAGACCACGCACGTCTCGTCGTCGTTGAGCCCACCGTCGAGCAGCTTGCGCCCCTCCTCCTCTATGAGCTGCGGCACGCTTTTGCCGGCCCGCCCGCCGCCCGGCTGCTTGGCTGGCGACTTTCCGCCGCCCTGTGCCATTCTATCGGACGTGTCCTGCTGCGCACGCTCGCTCGAGCCCTGCAGGCGGTTCGCCGCGGGCAGGATGATCCAGGAACACGCCCGCGGCTCCAGGCGTCGACGAAGCGACCTACAAAGGAATCTACGCAGCGATCACGACACAACGATAGATCCTCGTCCGCCAGAGCGATCCAGACACGGCCCTGAACGAACGCAACGGCCCACAACGTCCGTGTGATGCAGCGCCCAAAACACGCCCGCCCACTCTATCAGCGCAGCACGTTTCCTAGCGCCGCCGGTCGAGAGGCTGCGTGAGTACCAGCCCCGATCGCCGCGCAGCCGCAATACGCCCCGGAGGTCCTTCCGGCCCCGTCAGGTACAAGACGGCTCAGGCTTCTTCCTGACATGACAAAGTCAGCGCGTGCGACGCCGCGGGTGACCCGCTGGCGACATGGGGCTGCGGGATGGCGGGGGCGCGGCATAGACGCCTCACAGGTGCTGCGAGCACGGACGAGACGTGCGTTCGAGGCAGTTGTGGTGCAGCAAGCACAGCTCTGAGGTGCACCGCCTCGGGAGGCGCACGTTGGGGTTTCCTGGAAAGTGGAGTTGCGCGGACGCGTGTCAGCTGCTGTAGAGCGCAGGCCGCGGGCCTGGCCTGTCGCGCGCTGCATGTGCCGCGCGTAGGCGCGCCGGCTGCTCGTGGGCCCTGAGGGGGCTTCGCAACGGCTGAGTGCAGCGCGCCTCGATGAATGGTGTAGGCAAGAAGACCAAGAAGTTCGCGAAGAAGGCGCCCGAGGCGCGCCAGGGCGCCAAGGGGGGGCCGCGCAGGAATAAGGGCGACGGCAAGGCTACGGCGGCTGGAAAGCCCAAGCCCGGGAAGCGGCCCGGGCCCGGGCTGAAGCCGGGCGGCGGCGTCAGCAAGCAGAAGCTCTCAAGGTATATCCCCTGGGGAGCAACGCGCGAGATATTCCGTCCGCGGCCGTGGCGAGCGGACGCAAGGTGCAATGACCAGCCACGGCACCGCTGCGCGGTTCGCGCCTCGCACGCCGCACGCGGGTCGGCGAAACGGGATGCTCCGCACCTCACCGGCGAGCAGCAGCGCCCGGACGGCCCTCAACGGCCCCGCCAGCGCTGCGAACCGCCAACGATGCCTTCCGCACGTCCCTCCCTCGCAGCGCCGAGCGCAAGCAGCTTAAGCGGTCCAAGGACGAGAAGCGCAAGAAGAACTTCGGGCTCGTCCAGCAGGCCGTGTCGCTCTGGGAGAAGCTGCGCCCCCACGACGTGCCAAAGGACCAGCGCAAGGGGCTGGTGGCCAAGCTGCTCGATGTGTGCCGCGGCCACGTCGTCGAGCTGTCCAACCAGCACTCGGCGTCCCGGGTCGTCCAGGTCCGCGCCCGCACCGCACCCGCGCGCCTGACTCGGCCTCGCGCCCCGGACGATCAGCCTTTCGTGTCGTTTTCCCCTGCACCGCACTGCACCTTGGGTGGCCACACAGCCAGTGACGAGAATTCCAGGAGCTGGAATCCGAGCGGGGCCGGCCGTCGCGCCGGTCCCGTGGGGAGACACAGAACATACGCAACTACCCCCGAGGCTGCTGCTCACAGGCTGTCGCGCGCTCACACCCCCCCGAACACCCCCCCCTGCCCCCCTTGCGCTGTCGCTGGCTGCCGAGCGCCGCGCGCCCCCAGCAGCCGCTACGGCGCCAATGTCTGTGCGCGTGCACGGACGTTGTGGGCGTCGCGGCTTGCCCTGACCCCGCGCACCTCCCTGCCGCTCCGCAGTCGATCCTGAAGCACGGATCGGAGAAGCAGCGCCTGGAGGTGCTCGAGGAGTGCAAGGAGCACATTCTGCCGCTCGCGCGCAGCCCGTACGGCCACTTCGTCCTGCGGAAACTCATCACGAGCCTCGGCGCAAAACATCACGCTGGTATGACGAACACTAACACCCCCCCTGCCTCCTCCCCGGCCAAGAGCCGGTGCGTCGCGTTGCGCGCATCGGCGCTGTTGCGCGCCGCCCTCGGAACACGACTTGTGCGTCGGCAGTCGTGTTTTCTCGATTGCCGTTGCCGCGAAGCAGTAAGTGAAGTCCCGCCGGGTCAACGTCCGTGTCCCTGTCGGGTTATGTCGCTGCGAGAGCACACCGTGGTCACTCCGGCAGCGGGGCAGCAACACGCGATGACCTCGAAACCTCGAACGGCCACAACCATCCCACACAAGTTCACAACCACTCATGAATCCCCGATCTCCGTCCCCTCAACCCGCCTCCTCCGCCCCCACCACGCCCTGCTCGCGCAGTCTTCCTCCGCGCCGTCAAGGGCAACGTCGTGCAGCTCCTCCGGCACCCGTCGGGCGCCGCCGTCATCGACGACATATACCACCAACTCCCCCAGTATAAGAAAACGGAGATGTGCGCCGAGTTCTACGGGCCAGAGTTCGCCCTCTTCGGCGCCGCGGGCCTCGGCGACGCGCCCGCGAAGCCCGACGGCGCGCACACGTTCTCGGGCCTCGCGGCGGTCCTGGAGAAGTGCGACGCCGACAAGAGGCGCAAGATTGTCCAGCACGTGGAGCTGCAGATGACGCCGATCTTGGAGAAGATGCTGGTGGATCCTGAGATCGTGCAGCGCGTGCTGGCGGAGTTTTTGGAGCACGCGCCGGCGCTGTCGGTGTACGATGCGGCGGAGACGTTGTCGGGGCCGCAGATCCTGCGAATCGTGCACACGCGCGGGGGCGCGCGTGCGGCGTGCGTGGCGATCGCGGCGGGGACGGCGAAGGACCGGAAGAAGGTCGTGAAGGTGCGGCGCGGGGCCGCGCGGGCCCGGCGGCGCGGGCGCGGGCGGACGTGCGGTGATGCTTCGCAAGACTACTTGCAACTTTCGTTCTTCCGCAATACGCTCCCGCTTCGTCTGGGATAGCGCTGTGGACAACTAAAGTTCTGAGCACGCCGCGAGGCGCGCCCGCGCCGCACACACCGCCGCAACGACCGCGTTTGGGACTGCGCGTTCGCGACTGCGCTGCGCGATGGCAGCGCGCCGGCGCGCGGTGCCGCCCGATGAGATGACTCAGAATCACACACTTCATCTTTCCTCTGACCGACGGCTGAGGATGCCTATTCTGCAATACGAGGGCAACGCACCAAACTCCATACCCCACACATCCCCCTGCCCCCACCCCCCCCGCCGCACCCACCGACCCGCTCCTCGCACCACATCCCCCTCGCAGGCGTGCAAGACGCACGTCACGAAGATGGCGCTTGACGAGTGGGGCCACTGGGTGCTCCTCACGATCCTGTCCGTCGTCGACGACACACAGCTTCTACGCAAGTTCATCGTACCGGACATGATCGAGGACGCCGTCCCGCTGCTCGCCTCGCGCACCGGCCGCACCGTCATCCTGCAGCTGCTCGCGCCGGACCAGACGCGCTACGTGCCGCTGTGGGCTCAGGAGTGGATTCACCCCCCCCCGCGTCGGGTCGGCCCGGCGAAGGACGGCGAGACGCCGGGCGGCGAGGGCGACGACGAGCAGGTGCGGCGACGGGGCGTGCGCGTGCGGCGCGCCGTCGCAGCCGTCGTGCGCCGAAGCTCGCATGGCGCATGCGCGGCGGCGGCGCGCAATTGCGTGAGAGCGGCCCGTGACGACAGAGAATTGTCCGTACCATCTGAGCGACTGGGCGGCGCGTTGCGGGCCGGCGGACGAGCGCCCGCACCTGGCAAGCCGCCTCGCGGCCTGGCTTGTGCGGCCCCGTGCGCCGGCCCCGCGCCGCCATGTCTGCTGACATTCTTTTCCCGAGACTGAGGCCACGTCGGCACGACCCCGATGTTTTCGCGCACCGATGTTGGCGCCGTCCACTCCGTCCGCAGCCTCCGTCGCCGTCCCGCGACGCGCGTGCTCGGTTTCATCCCCTTGGTGTTTCATCACGCCGCACTCTGCGCAGGAGGGTGACTCGGGCATGGACACGGACGGCGAAGACGCGAGCGAGCTGGAGTCCGACGAGCCACGCGCGCCGCATGGCGAGTCCGACGACGAGGACGAGGGCGAGGAGGAGGGCAGCGATGACGACAGTGACGCCGAGGCGGGCACCGAGGGCAAGATGGAGCTGTTCGGCGGGAGCGAGGGCGAGGAGGACGAGGGGGACTTGGGGGTGGTGGACGACGAGTTCGGCAACGTGGAGGAGCTCGAGGAGGACGAGGGGGGGAGTGGCTGGAAGGTGGGATGGATCAATGTGTCGAAGAAGGACCCGACGGACAGGAGGTGCGAGGTGCTGGGGTCCGGGGAGGGGTCCCTCGCGGCCAAGGTGCTGGAGTGCGTCGCGGAGGGGGCGAAGGAGCTGCTGGAGGACACGCAGGTGCGAGGAGCGCTGGGTTCTGCGTTGGTGTTGTCGTTGATATCTTGATTGACATGCATGGGTTGAGCTTTTGCCTGTTTGTTGGCGTGGCGCTGCGCGTTGCTGCGCGTGCGGGTTTGGCGCGCGTCGGGTCTCTGTTCCGTTTGTTTCGAGTGGCAAGGATTATCCATATCAAGAATCAAGAACCTCTGATTGCAACCTCCGTGAGGACTCTAACAATCACCCATAGAATATGAGCCACTCCGCCGCTCCACTCCACTCCTTCCCGCGCCCCCCCTGGCACGCGCCGCCCGCTGCCCACACCGGCCCCACCGGAACCCCGCGTGGGGCACCGCACCACGCACGACCCACGCAGCGATTTGTGTGTACTGCCCTGCGGTGCTCCGTCCGCAGACGCAGAAGAGTAGCTGCAAGAACGCACCTCGGCGACCCGACTCGGCCGTGTCTTTCCAGTGGCACGTTCGCAACTCAAATCGCCGCACATCCCGCGAACCCCCGTCTCGTCTTTTCGCACCCGTGCGCTTGCGTGCATATCCCGCGAAACGTGCCCGCGACGCGTGCCCGAGCGGCTGCAGGGCGGAGGCGACCTGCTCGTCGAGGTGGCGCGCGCGGGCGCGGACGGCGTCCTGGTGTCGCGCCTCGGCTTCGAGAGCGAGGTGCGCGCAGTCCACGCCGCCATCTGCGAGGCATGCCAGAGCACGAAGGAGGACGGGGAGAGTGTACTGGACGGGTTCTTCGAGACGCGCGCCCTGCGGCGCCTCGTCCGGATGTCGGCGGACGAGGGGGAGGTGCGCCCGACACCTGGACGCCTGCGACCGCAACCTGTTGCGCGCCGCGCCGCTCTCGGGCGCTGCGTGCGGGTTCTCCGGTCTCTTCCCGCCGACCGGTCTCTTCCCGCAGACCGGTCTGGCTTGCCTTGCGCTCGTCGCTGTTCCTGTTTCCGGGCGCGCGTTGGATGATGAGATCTAGGGATGCTTCTTCACGACGGTCTTCTGAGTACACCGTGCTGATAGCTATTCCTCACTCCAACACTTGGTCTGACAACGCCGCCCGGCCCCGCCCCGCCCCGCCCCGCCCCGGCCGTACCGTTCTGCGAGTGATGACCATTCTGTTATCCCTGGCCGAAAACACCACAAGGCCGGTGTGCCCGTGTGGAGAACACATCTTTTGGTCTGACGCTCCGGTGCGGCCGCCGCTGCGACGCCGCGCTTTTCTCCGCGCGGACCTCCCGTGTCGTGCTGCAGCTACTCGAGAAATCCCGACTACACGCGCAACAAACAACACAGAGCACTTCGAGCGTGGGCATGTGTGTTTCCGAGCGCAGGACGGCGAGGCCGCGCGGTGGTTCTGCGCGACGTTCTACGACAGGGTCGCCAAGGGCCGTTGCGGCGAGCTCGCGGGCTCCCGCGGCGCGGGGAAGGTTATTGCCGCCCTGTGCGAGTGCGGAGACACACAGGTCGCGAAACGGACGCGCGCGGAGCTGGCCAAGGCGCTCGGCGGCGCGAAGAAGGTCGAGGCGTGGATCGCCGAGTTCCACAAGAAGGATCGGGCCGGGAAAGGGGGTGCGAAGGCGGACGGAAAACAGGGGGGGAGTGATGGCGGGAAGGGGGGTGTCGCGGGGTCGGGTGGCGAGGAGGGCCGGGGCGGCAGTGAGAGCGCCAAGGTGCGCCGGGGGAGGGCCGTGGACGCGGACGGTGGTGCGCCGGCGGTGCGGAAGAGAGCGCGACGGTAGGCTGCGAGTGGGTGGCGTGCTGGTCGGGCGCTGTGAGCGGTGAAGAAGACGAGCGTCCAATGGCGAGGACGTGCGGGCGTAGTGGGGTCGTTTGCGGGTTGGGGGCCGCGCTCGGGGGCTCGGAGTAGAGTTCCCCGGGGTGTTTGATGTAGTAGAACAATACATGGATTTGCGGCCCGTGTGGGCTTAATGGTGGGCTTCTGGCGACGTGGCGGGCATGAACTGTATCATAGCGTGAAGGCGCGGCGCTAGTGTTGCCTGTGCGGCACCCGAGGACGAGCACACCGGCAGACACACGGCAAGCGGCACACGCACCCTCGCGCAGCTCTCCCGTGACGTCGCACGCCCTCTCGTCGCCATGGGACAGCAACGTCAGTACGATATCACGGTGTTCGGGTCGACCGGCTTCACAGGCACGCCCCACCTGCCTCGACTCGCCCGAGAGAGAGCTGCTCCCAGCGCTGCGTCTCGAGCGCGCCCACAGCCGCCCGCGCCCCTGAAGCGCGATGCCCGCAGGCAAGCGCATTCTCAAGTACCTGCTCAACACGTGCGCGTCCCGGGGCGAGGGAAAGTCCGTCGCGGCTGCTGGCAGGAACGAGGGTCGGTTGAAGCTGGCTCTCACGGACATCGGGGCGCCCGCCGACACGCCGATAGTCATCGCCGACGTCAGCGATGAGGACTCGCTCGCCGCAATGGCCGCGTCGTCGCGCGTCGTCATCAGCGCGGTCGGGCCGTACAGGTGCGTGCATCAGCGTCCAACCACTGCGGACCAGAATGATGCCCACCAAGTGCTCGGGAGCGAGAGTGTGTGTGGCAAGTGGGGGCTGATTCGGCCCTCCGCGAGCTTCTGCGCGCTCTCCCGCGTCGCGTGCAGGCTGTACGGACAGCCCGTGATCTCGGCGTGCGTCAAGGCTGGGTGCGACTACCTGGACGTGTGCGGGGAGCCGGAGTTCCTCGAACGCGCTGAACACTGGCACGACACCAAGGCCAAGGAGACAGGCTCCGTGTGCATCACGGCGGCCGGCTTCGACAGCGTCCCCGCGGAGCTCGGGTGCCTGTTCGCCGCCGACGAGTTCCGAAACGCAGGCAAGCCACCTAAACGACCCCGCCAGAACCTCGCGAGCCACGCCGGGAAGCAGGGACATCGTAGCAAGACGTTGACGCGCCCCTCGGCCCCGTGATCGCCGGAACCTCGCGCTCAACCAGCTGCTGCGTGCTCGAAACCTTGCAGGCGGGCAGTGCAGCAGCGTGACGTCGTACATCTCCGTCGACGCGGGCGCCGCGGGGTTCTGCGGCCACTTCGCGACGTACGAGAGCGCCGTCCTCGGCTTCGCCAGCGCCAACGACCTCCGTGCCTTCCGCAAGCAACGCGGCGTGGGTCCGCGGCCCCAGCCCGGCGCCGCGCCGCCCAAGGGCCCCGGGCCGGACCGCATCAGCGCGCCCGCGTGGCGCCCGCGCTTCAGCGCGTACGCGATGCCGTTCCCGGGCGCGGACGCGTCCGTTGTGCGGCGTACGATGGCGGTGCGCGCGGCGCGGGGGCAGCCCGCCGTGAAGTTCGTGGCGAACTTCCTGGTCCCGTCAGCGTACGCCGCGGGGCAGTTTGTCGTCTTCGGCGGCCTGTTCGGCCTCATGGCGCGCTTCGCGTTCGGGCGGTCGCTCCTGTTGAGACACCCGGGGGTGTTTACGCGGGGGCTGTTCTCCCGCGACGGACCGAGCGAGGCGCAGATGGCGGCGACGACGTTCTGCGAGGCGTTCGTCGCGCGCGGCACCGTGGACGCCGAGGGGGGGGTGTCTGAGGAGGAGTTGGTGGCGGAGGTGCGGGGGCCGGAGCCGGGGTACGTCGCGACGCCGATTTTCGTCGCCGAGGCCGCGCTGACGCTGCTCGAGGACCGCCAGAGCGTCCTGGACTGCGCGGGCGGGCACGGGGTTCACACGGCGGGCGTTGCGCTGCACGGCACGTCGTACGTGCGGCGGTTGGTGGACGCGGGGATCTCGTTCGAGGTCAAGTCGCGCAGCATGGGGCTGCAGAGGGCGGGAGAGGGGCAGGGATTGTCGTGATTCGTGCTCGTGTCGATGTCTGCGCCGCCAGTGTCGCGCTCTGCTGTTGGCAGGAACTAGCGCGAGGCTCAATCGCGCCTGGAAGCGGTGGGCGGCGAGATGAGCAGGAACCTTCGGATAAGATCGGTCCGCAGCATCCGGAGGTTCGTGCTCACGGCCTTCCAGACCGCTTCCAGGCGCGATGGAAGCCTCGCACTACTCTCATTTGCTTTGCGTCCCATCAAACAGCAGAGAACTGGCTTAGACCCGCACCTCCGTCGCGTAGAAGACGGGTTGCCAGCCCGCCTTCCTGCGCTGCTCAGCACCAGTCGTACTGCGAGCACGGCCAGCCGGACTCCTCGTCCACGCACGCAAAGTCGGAGCACGCGTGGTAGCAGTCGCTCGCGCCCACGAACCGATACTCTGCACTCAGACGCACGGGCCGCCTCTTCGACCGCCGCTACGGGCTCGTTCGAGACCATCGTCGAGACAAGCTCTCGCGTTTCAAGCCGAAATCAATAATTCATATCTATCTATGTATGTCACGCACCTGGGTCGATGTTCTTGACCAGGCGAACGAGCTCAGGGATCACGCCGCGCACGTAGTGGCTCTCGCTCAGCGCGATCACGGCGCTGCTCCGCTTGCGAACTATCGGCACCAGGCTCGGGTGCGTCTTCGGCGACAGGGGCTCCCCGGTGGTCGCGTCGCGGCCGTACAGGATTCTGTTGAGGATCTTCTCGCGCTTCAGGTCCTCGTCGGACAAGTCCGCCACCGCCCAGTCCGTGCTCTCGATGAGGTACGCTGCCGTGGCGTACCCGACGTCGTTGACCACGCTGGCCTGGTCGGCGGTCACGTCCATGGCCGGCGGACGCAGCTGCGCGTAAGGAGCAAGCCAATCATCGCATTGGCGAGACAAAGGGCATCATGCGAGTGATGATATTTGCAGGTCGGACTTGTTTTCTTATGCAAGACATTGTAGACATACAGGCCACGTACCATGGTCGCGCGCGGGAGGCCGGCGCCCGTGCAGTCCGCGAGCCACTCGGCAGCCTGTGCTGCCCCCGTGATGATCGCCGTCGGCTGCGCGTGCTGCCCCTGATGATCGCCGCCCCAAGACACAAGTGCTTTCCCGGTGAAGGTGGCCTGTTGTATCTCGTGCCCGTGCTGGGCGATCCTGCGCAGGGTGTCGCAGCGCAGCTGCAGCATGTCTTCGTACGGCACCATGAAGCGGCCCGCCGGCACGTCCGGCTTCAGACCGGCGCCCGGGGCGATGAAAAACGTCGCTGTGATGTTTGCCGCAGACAGGTCGCCCAGGATCGCGTCGACGGGGGCGACGTCGAAGGTCGTGTCGCCTTCGTCGTGGTCTGGCGCCTCGAGCACCGACAGCGCTGCCGCATCGACCGTGATGGCGACGACCTGCGCTTGTCAACCACCGGAAAGCAAAACGAGTGAGTTGAAATTGAAAAGCTATATCTGGGCCACGCCGCGACGGCGATCTCGCGCGGAACTCTGTGTCCGGACCTTTCTCTTCCCGCAGTAGTTGAACGTGTTCGACAGGCCCTGGCACACCCGCCCTGCAGGGTCCCACACCATGCCCAGGCTGCGGCACGCCTTGGCTTTGGCAGCGAGCGCGAACTTCAACCTCGCGGCGTCCTCGTCCGGCCGAGGCGGGACAGCGAGCGGCTCCCGCGGCCAGGCGTACTCCGGGATCGTGAACGGGCGGGACGTCGCGAGGCCGACTCTAGGAATCTTCCGATACCCAAATGCATTACCCTCCAGCAGCACGAGCGTGACGCCCGTCCACGACACCATGAGCGCCCACACGATGATCTGCCGGCACAGGGCTGCCGCGCGGCTCGGCTGACCTCGATGTTTCCGCCGGACTGCCGTCTCGGCCGCAGGGGGCCCCGAGCGGGGGCCGATGCCATCGAGGCAGGCCTGCGTCTCGGTCGCAGCCTCCTCCGCGCTCCCGGCCGGGTCCTCGCGCGACGTGCGGGGATGGACTGCGAGGCAACGGGGCTCGGATCTACCGCCAGCGTCGATGAACGGCTGAAAAGAATACGCGGCTTTGCAGGGGGGCGCGTATCTGTACGCCCTCCACGGACGTGACACGCGCTCTCCAGTTCGCAGTACCCGAGCGTCTCTGAGCCGGATGCTGACGGTCCGGGAGCCGCACCTGTCCGTCGCGCCATCCTCGCGGCGATAACCGTTGTCAACTGCTGCAACAAGAAATGTTGCGCGTGGGAGCACGGACCCCGTCTAGGCGGGTGATTTGATGCCCGAGGGGACGGTCAGGGCGCTTGGAGTGTGTCTGCGTCGCCTCGTGGTGGCAACGAGGCCACCGGGAGCGCTCACGTACGCTTGTTGCCCCACTAGGACAGAATCAGCGGTGCGTGCGCCGGCCACGACGTCGGTTCCTGCGCAACCGTTCTTGCCAGCGCACGCCCACGCTCCGACACACGAAGAGCGCGGGCATCCGCGACCACCAGGCCACCCAACACCCCCCCAAGCCAGCACAGCATCAGTCCGGTTGACTTGTTCTACCACACCGTCTGCTGCGCAGCGCGACTCCCCGCACCACGCCCTTCCGCGCGCGCTGTCCCACCGCCGACTTCCACATCGGTCACAAGATAACAGCAACATGCAAGACACGAATCCTCAACACTGCCTCCACAACTGGCGGCTCACTCCTTCTTCTCCGGCGACGCTCCGTCCGCGCCGTCCGACGACGGGCCCGCGCCGTCGCCCCCGCTGTCCTCGCGCCCGGACCGGAAACTCCCCCCTTGCTCGCTCCCGTCCTCGGGCTTCTCCGTGATCTTGGTCATCTCCAGGGGGTCCTTTTCATCAATACTCCCCTCGGCACGCGACGCGCCGTCCTCGGCCTGGGGCTCGTCCTCGTCGTCCACGCCGGACTGGAACCACTTCATGAACCGCCGCGACGCCTTGTTCGCCACCGCGAGCATGTTGGAGCCCTGTTGCGAGACACCCCCTAGCTGCCGGCGGGAGGTGTGCCGCGAGCCCCCGCGCAGGTGCGAGGACCCGGCGACGCGCGAGCGCCGCGAGGACGCCGCCGACGGCGGCGCGTCCTTCGTGAGCGTGCCCTGCCTGCGGAACGACGTTGCGTTGCCCGTCCGCGCCCGCGTGACCATGCGCATGAAGGTGCGCTGCGGGGCGCCGAGCGTCGGGTCCGCGGCCTTCCCAGCCTTGCCGTCCTCCTCCTCGTCCAGCTGCGCCTGGTCCACCTGACGCAGCAGGTCCGAGATGTCGTCATCCTCGTCGACGTCAGACGCGTCAGACTCCGCGTCCGAGTAATCCCCCGCGTCGTCCTCGTCCCCGCCGTCCTCCACGTCGAACAGGTACCCGAACATCTCGAAGTCGAACTCGTCCAGGTCCGCCGCGGCCACGACCTTCCCGCCGCCGAGGTGCAGCTTGCCGTCGTCTTGCAGCCCGACCTTGCGGCGCGAGGACGACGCCTTGGACGGCAGGGTCTCCTCCGCGGTGCGCGGGGGCATGGGCGCGTCCTCGTACTGCACCTCGTCGTGGTTGACCATCGACGGATTGCGCTTGGAGACGCGCCGCGGCGCCAGAGTCCCCCGGGGGGTCCCGGCGCGCGACTCGATGACGCACTGGATCTCGAAGGCCTGGCGGTACTTCGGGAGCTCGACGACGTCGTACGTGCGCGGCCCGACCAGCGCGAGCGACTCGTACGCGTCCTTGTACGTCATGGTGAGCTTCGCCTTCTCCGCCGCCTTCTCCATCTGCAGGCAGAAGCAGAAGATGTTGAAGAGGACGCCCTTGAGGACGAACTCCCAGACGAACGACCCGATGAAGATCGTGACGCCCACCTCCCAGAACGCAATGGCGGCGCCGAGGACGAGCATGCCCACGGCGTTGATCTGGACGATGCGGGCGAAGTTGAACGTGTCCTCGCTCTGCGGCTCCGTCGCGCTGAGGCTGTCGGCGTCCTCGCCCGCGCGCGGCGCGATGAAGTGCGACAGCATCCACGTGGCGATGAAGCAGTGCAGCATGAGCCCCACGCGCATCACGCCGGTCGCGAACAGCCACAGGCGCTGGTTGTAGCGCGCGGGGCTCCGCGCGACGCGCGTGAGGTAGTACCGGTCGAAGAGCGTGAACGCCACGATCTTGAGGAGCACGACAAAGTACATGAGAGGGACGCCGGCGCCGAACACCAGCGCGACGAGGACGACCACGACGAGCTCGGCGTAGAGGAGGTAGAGCTTCGGCTGCGGGCCGACGAGGCCGCGGTTCAGGTCCTCCTGGATGATGCACTTCTCGGCGACCTTCCTACGCTTGTACCTGTCGTACAGGATGTTCCACAGCCGCCCGGCCATGGGCGCGAAGGACGCGACGAGCAGCGTCGCGAGCATGGTGTTGCCGACGTCCGAGTACCAGTCCGGCGTGAAGTCCTTGTGCTCGCCGGAGAAGAAGCGCCCGCGGCTGAGCTCGCCCACGGGCACCTCCTCGAGCCGCGCGCCGCTGAACAGGTCGATCAGCGCGATGTTGATGAAGTGCACGATGATGATCTTGAGCATCACGGACACGGCGTGGTCCGTCTGCGTCTGGTGCTTCTCGAACGCCGTGAGCTTCTCGAGCACGAGACGCATCAAGAAGTTGAACAGCACGATCACGAACGACGCGCCGAACCGGGCCAGCTCGAACAGCGGCTCGCGGTCGATGTACAGGTCGCAGTCGTCGCGCGCCTGGTTGCGCAGCGACGTGAGGGAGAAGTCCTGCCCGATCTGCGCGTCGAAGTTGGTGCACGTGCCAAAGTCCTCGATGCAGCGCTTCAGGCCGTCGCAGTAGCACGTGTAGCACGTGGCGGGGAGGGTGGTGCGCAGCAGGTCGAGCGCGGCGACGTCCTGCCCGACGTTGATGTTCGAGACGCGGATTGGGGAGTAGTACGACAGGTCCACCCCGCCCAGCTGCGCAAACGTGTTGCCCTGGAAGTTCGCGATCGAACTGCGCGGGCGCGGGGAGCGTGGGCGCGCGCGGGTGAGGTGGGCTGGCGCGCGCGGGCGGCGCGGGGCGCGGCGCGGGCGCGGGCACAGGCGGGGCGGGTGCGCACTTGGAGCATTGCGTGAGGATGGCTGTGCACTGCGGCTGGTAGGCGTCGAACGCGTCCTCGGTGGCGACGTAGGCGCTGGTCTCGACGCCGAGTCCGCGCGCGAGGACGTTCGTCTTCCAGCGGCCGTCGAGGGAGTCGGCCACCTCGGCGCCCTGGAATCGGATCTCGTTGATAATGAAGTACGAGAGGATGAGCATGACGACGGCGGCGGTCCAGGTGATGGTGCGGCGGAGGAGGCGGTTGAGGAAGCCGAACTGGAGGTTGTCGAAGTTGATGTTCCCGGGGGGCTCGGCCTGCTTGGCGCTGAGGTTGTGGCGCTGCTTGAAGTACATGGTGCGGTTGCGGCAGAGCCACGCCCAGAAGCCCGGGTGCAGCGCCGCGAGGCACTTGTTCCGCGACTCCTCCGTGTTGAACGTCACGAACGCGCCGACAGTCACGAATTCCTTTCTCATCTTGAACTTCAGGATCTTGAGGTCGATCCGCCGAATCAGCCGCTTCAGCCGCGCGATGCGCCCGCGCCGCGACTCCCCGAGCTTTTCCGACGCCCGCGCGCGCTTCAGCGCCAGCACCGCCTTCGACCGCGCGTACGCCATTTGGAAGAGCACCTTGTCGTCGATCGCCAGCAGCACCTCCACCACGGGCCCGAACCGCGCCTCGGCGAACTCCGCGAGCTCGCTCGCGACCACGCCCTTCCGCGGGAGCCCCGTGATGAACACGGTGTAGTCCGACACCTCCACCGTGTCGGCGTCGACGCGCCGCTCGACGGCGTTGGCGTAGAAGCGCGACGTGATCACCCAGAGCAGGAAGACGACCGCGCCGAGGAGGCACATGCCCTGGACGATGAGCAGGAAGGTCTCGCGCGAGAGCTCGGTCTCGTTCCCCGACGCGCTGATCCGAGCCTCCATTTCATAATTGAAGCGCTCGGGCAAGTCCTCGAGCTCAAAGAGCGCCGCGAGGGAGTAGCCCGCGATGGAGGTGCCGCTGGCGTAGAAGCGCGGGCGGCGGCCGGGGATCGGCTGGCCGTTCCGCGTGTACCATTCCGCGCGGTTGGCGAGGACCACCCAGACGGTGGATCCCAGAAACATGAGCGTGAACACGAATCCGATTTGGCGCATCAGCTGGAAGTAGAGCTCGGACCCGGAGCCCATGACCTTGCCGACGGCGCGCAGGGGCGCGCGCCACGACAGCCACGACAGCTCCCCGGTCGCCTGCGCGCGCAGCGGGGCTCAGGTGTGCCGTGCGGGTGAGCATGGTGGGAGAGGCGGGCTGGCGTGTATAGCGGCGCGTGGGGCGCTCGGTGCGGGTGTATTTGGATAGAGGTAGCTGAGCGAGGTGGAGGGGGCGCGGTGGGCTGGGGGTCGGCGCGGGCGGCGCAGCGGCGCGGTGGTTGGAAGTGCTTGGCGGGACGGACCTTGTTGCGCATGTGCGGGTGGTTGCGGAGGCGGTAGCGTTCGGCGATGCTGGAGTCCGGCGCCACGTACACGTCTTCGGGTTCCGCGGCCTTGGAGCCGTGCTTGAAGAGCACGCGGTCGCCTGCAGTGGCCGTGGCGCGTCTTTACGTGAATTGGCGCATCGTGGCGGCGGCGGTGGGGAACAGACCCGCGGGTGTGGCGTCAGCGGGGGGCGCGGTGGACGGGTGCGCGATGACGGCAGCGCGGGGTCGTTGTGCGGCCGCAACGCGCGCGGGGTGCGCGAGAGGGCCAGTTGCTGGCGCGGCGCAGCGGTGCTGTGGGCGCCGCGGGCCGCGCGCGCAGGCACGATTGCGCGCGCGAGACCGGTACGGATGGTTTCCGTCGAGGGGTGCCGCGGGTGGCCCCGGGGAGCCGTGTGCGGTGCGCGGCAGCGCGCGGCCGCGTGCACAGCAGCAGGTCAAGCTCGGTTGGCGGGCAGTTGCGCCGCACATGAGTTTATTTGGCTGTGGGTGCGCGGCCGGCGTGTCAGAAGCGCTGTGGCTGCGCCCTCGCGGCCGGGGCGCCCCACGCAGGGTGCAGTGCGGCACGTAGCAAAGGAACGAACGAACCACCCCTAGCACTGCGGGCCGTGCGGCCACTCCGGCCGGCCTTCTGGGCGCGCACGCAGCGCTGCAGCGCCTCAGTTGGCGAGGAGCAGGGCGGGCCGGTCGGTCGCCGCGCGGGCGGCGCCTACAGGGCGTGGGCGGCACTTACCCATGTCATTTTCAGACGCCTTGGTGTGCTTCTTGACGTCATCGCGGCGGTACCGCTTCTGCACGTCGGCACGCTGCTTCTTCGGAGCCATCGCTGCCGGCGCGCCGCGCGCACCAACCGGCCAGAAATGGCTCAAAAGCTCACCAGCTGCTGACCTACCCTACCGCCGCATAAATGCGCGAGATGACTGCCACGCTCGAAGGGGCGGCGCGGGAGGGAACGTCCGTCACCAAGCTACCTCGTACCCTGCCCACGTCCGCCCTATCACGGCCACCGCGCTCAGCGCCGGCGGCCGCGGCGGTGCAAGCAGCGGGCGTCACTGGTCGGACGCGCCTGGCCGAGCGCCCCGCGAACGTCCCTCGCGCGAGGCGCCCCTGCTGGCGCTCTCTCATGGTAGACATTCTCTGAGAGGTCTCAGCAACGGATTCGGAGGCCCGAGAGCGCGGTGAGGGACCAGAGTGTGTGCCCTCGCGAGCACAGGGCCGCGGCAGAGCGCCACGTCATGCAGGGCCGCGGCACGGCGCGCGGTGGACGAAGCGGCGGGCGGCGCCGGAGATCGAGGCGGGGGCGGCGAACTGCGGTGACATCAAACTCACATACGCTCTGCCGGGGCGCTGGCCCGCATCAGACGGGAAAGACTGCTGTCGGTTGGCAACTATGCAACTATTTCCGCGGGCGTCGGCCGACGCCCGCGCTGGCCCCTCATCCTCGCGCTCCTGCTGCGACAACTGGCAGGGCGCTCGCTCACTCGCACTGCGGCGCCCCCCGCAGTGCGGCCGCCAGCGGCGGCGCTCACTCCGCCTTCACGGTCTTCGCCTCCTGCGCGGCGCGGCGGCCGGGTCCAGCCACGTCAGCGGGCGCGCGTGCGGTTGCAGCGTGACGACGCACGCACGCACGCACGCAGCGCGGGCGCGGGCGCGGCGCCGCACCTTGTGGTCGTCGGCGTGGTAGCCGAACTCCTCGGGGGTATACAGGGTCCCGAAGATGCGGTCCATGTACGTGAAGTAGTGCCCGTGGTTGTGGCGGTAGGTGATGTGGTGAATGGCGTGGTAGCCGGCGCCCATGACGGGGGCGACGTTGGCGTGCAGGCAGTCGTGGATGTTCGTCGTCCACACGCCCGTGCCGAACAGGATGAGCTCGTGCGACAGGAAGTGCACTGGCACCGTCAGGAGCATGAAGCAGTACGGGAACGCCTGCGGGCGCGGGGGGCACGGAAACGCGCGCAGCTGAGGCGGGGGTGGCGAGGCGGCCCTAGCTGCGCAGGGCGCCGGGACGTCCGAGGGTCCCCGCGGCGGCGGAGCGGAGGTGGGTGCAGCGCGCAGCTGGCGCGGGGCGGGGCGGGGGCGTGCCTGGATGACGCCGTCGAGCCAGTGGAAGGCGAGGCCGGCGAAGGGCGACAGCGTGCCCTCCTTGTTGTACTTGTGGTGCGTGGCGTGCAGCTGCGTGTATAGGAAGCCCCAGTGCAGGGAGCGGTGCATCCAGTAGACCCAGAACTCCACGCAGCACATGTAGAAGAAGAACATCGCGAAGAACGCCGGCGCGCCGTAGTTGTCCACGCGCGGGTACACCAGCGTCCACCCGCGCTCCACCACCCACTCCGACGTCGCCGGCAACAGCGCGTAGCCCGGCATCGCGATGATCGACACCTTCATCTGCTCCCAAACGTCCTTCCACGCGGGAATGCGCTCCCCCTGCACCGCACGCAGCCCGGCCGGCGCGTCAGGAGCCGGCCGCGCCCACGCTGGGCGACCCGTCGCGAGCGCGGGCAAGCCCTGGGCACGCGCCGCCGCCGAACGGCGGGCGCGTGCGCTCCGGGGACGCGCCGAGATGCTCGAGAGAGCAGCGGGGAGGCGCGCGAGGTGCTCGGGCCGCCATGGCGCCGCCGCAGCGCCCCGGCGCCGTCGCCGGGCCTGCTCGCCACATGCTGCCGGGGCGCCCCTGTCCAGCACGCGCGCAGCGGCCGCGTCCAGGCGCGACCCCGCGCCGCCGCGACCGCGCGGCCCGCATGGACAGCAAGTGGGGACGCCGGAGCCGCGGCGGAACCCCGAGCACGCCGCCTGGGCGCGTCGCAACCGGGGTGCCCTCGCTCCGGCGGGCGCGCGAGGTGTCCTGCTGGGCGCTGGGCAGGCGCGGGGCGGGCGCGCGCGGGCCGATGGACGGCGTGGCGGGGGCCGGGGCAGAGGCGGCGGCGCGGGCCCGCGCGGGGGACGTCACGGGCCGGCGAGGGGAGTGTTGCGCGCCCGCAGAGTGGGCGTGCGACATGGGTTGCCTCCGCACCTTGTTGTACAGCTCCCTGCCCCAGACGAAGTAGCACATGTAGCACCAGAGGGCCCCCACGGCGAAGTACACGAGGTTGACGCCGACGTAGTTGCGCGCCCAGGACCGCGCGAGGCGCGGGAGCGGCTCGGTCCAGGCCCGGGGGAGGTGGAGGAGGTCGTGTAGCAGGAGGTCGTTCTTCCAGTCGTTTTCCTCCCGGATGAGCTCGATGCGGCGGGCCTTCTCCGCCGCCCAGGAGCCCTCGTAGTTCCCGCGCGTCCACCAGCGGAGGGCGGCCGTTGCCCTGTCGAGCACGGCCGGGGCGCCTGCCGGGCCCCGCGCGGCCGCCGTGGCGTGCGAGAGCGCCGCGGCGCCGACCGCGAGCACGCACAGGAGAGTGAGGACGCGCATGAGGCCGTGGGCCGGCCGCTTGGCGGCCGCGGCCGCGGGGGGCGTGCTGGACGCGCTGAACATCAGAAGAGGCTAGCCGGGGGGGGCGCTCGCCCTCGGAGGCGGCCTGTCGAGCCCCGTGTCGCGGGCCGAGAGTCGAATCCCGCTCAGTACCCCCGCTCGCACCCCGCACCAGCACCAAGGCGACGACACAGCGGGGCCGAGAGCGCGAGTAGGCAACGGGCTCGCGTCGCCAATCCGACGGCCGTACGAAGCGGGGGCCGCGCGCGCTGAAATGTGGCGAGAAGCTCTGCGTGCGTGCCGCGCGCGGGGCCGCCCACGTCGCGCCGGGAGGCGCGTAGCAATACTCGGGGAGCAGTCCAGTTGCGCGGACAGGCGAATGTGGGGCGTGAGCGGCCTCCGGGGACGTGATAGCGGACGCGAAGGACGCCCCGGCGCCACTCAGCGAGGCACCGAGCACCGCGGACCTTGGCAGGCCACGTCGCGTTCGCATCGCGAGGGGGTACCCTACAAGGCTGAGCACACAGAATGGCCCTCCTGGCTGCTCGTTCCGGCCTCCCGCGCTCCGCGGTGTGCGCGCCGAGCGCGAGGACGGTGCGTGCGCGCGCGTCGCGCTCCGTGCACGCGTCCACGCTCACGCCCGAGGCGACAGCGGCGCTCGGCTCTCTAGACCTAATGGCGTCTCTGGAGATCGACTCGATGGACGCGATGGGCGTCGTGGCGCGGGACGGCGTGGACGGCGATATTGTCGTCGACGAGCCGGCGGACGGGTGCGCGTCCCCCCGCGGAGCGCAGATTCCGGCGACGACGGGACGGCAGGCGCGCGGGGCGTTGCTGGCTCGTCGCGGCGTTCTCGACGCATCTAAGCGGAACGGTGTTCGTGACTTAACCGACTCTGACCGCTCGCGGAGCGCGCGCCGCTTTCACCCCCTGCACGCGGCCAAACAAGGACAGCGAGTCATTTTCCAGCTCCTCTGCGCGCGCAGGGCGCGCCTTCCGATCCGCGCTTCGCCCGCCGCGTATTCTCAATCCTCACCACAGTGCGTACCCTTGCAGCCACTTCGTTCTCAAGTTCCGGGCCGAGCAGGAGCCCTCCAGCGCGCACAAGGGCTTCTCCACCACCGTGGACTTCGCCGGCGTTCAGGTGCACGTCCGGACGAGCGGCGCCAGCCACAGCGGCGCCTTCTCCATCTCCTGGTTCAACAAGGCCGGAGAGGTGCGTCCCAGCCCCGAGCGACGTTCCTCAACCGCGCCCCGGCCCCAGCACACAGCCTCGGCTCCTAGCAACTACCATGGACCCGCATCTCTCGGTTCCACGCGCCTGCGCGGCCCCGCCCGATGCGGGTCCTGCATAGTCAGATCTCGAACTACCTGGCTGCGCGCCTCAGCGGGTGTGGGATTGCGCCGTCGACGAGAGCGGGAACCACCAACCGTTGGCTGCTTTGGTGGTTGGTTCGTGCAGGCCTGTACCGTCGAGGAGTGGCGCGACGCGTGGGCGCAGGAGCTCGCGGCGTCGAAGGGATACGAGGCTGCGAATGAGTCGGCGTACCGCCGGTGCGGCGGCATCCGCGCGTCGTGCGTCGCGTATGCCCTGGGCATCAAGGTCGACGTGCAGTCGTGGGGCCGCTTCCACACCTCGGCGGTCACCATCCAGTTTCCGTGAGGGAATCGAACTCAAGGTCCACGGATTCGGTGCGAACAGCTTTCCCGCGACCCGGGACGCGCCGAGGAACGGCGGAACGAGCAACGGCATCGCGCGACCGTCGACGCGGCGGGGCCGCGGCGCCGCGCCCTTCCACCCCGTTTTCTCTCTTTCAGCTCGGGCCGTGAGTCGCATCTTTCCGGGGCACCGGAGTCCCTCACACGTTCCTCGCGAGCAATGCACTTTCCACCCTCTCCCGACATCACGCTCGCCAGAGTGTGGCCGCGCGTCCTCGGACGTCCCGCTGCCACACCGCGCAATCATCCACTGCTTTCCCCATGTGTAGAAAAAACTCGGCGCCTCGGCGCACTGCCCCCGTCGAGCAACTTCGACATCGACGACTAGCTTGTACGTTCGGCGGCTCCACGGCCGCTCTCCACGGACCGAACCGCGTGTGAGGCCACCTCGAAATATCAGTGCGCCACCGCGCAAGGCACAACTCAGCTGCGCCGCGGCCTGACGCGGCGGGCGACGCCAACGCACACGTCATGCGGCGATCACTGCACGCGGCAACGAGCCTCACAACACCGGTCATCCAGCTCCCCACGCCGAGCTCTCCACAGCCCCCGCACCAGCCCGCCCCGGCGCCCCTCGCGGCGCCGCCCACGCCGCCCGCCCAGCCCACGCCGCCCCCCACACTCGCCCCCTCCGGTGCCGCCGTTGCGCGCACGCACCGCCCCCACCGCACGGACACCGCCAGCAGAGCCCTAGCGACCCCTCCCGCCACCGCCGGGCCCCGCGCCGCCACGTCCCGCTCGTGGTTCGAAGGCTGCGTGCACGCGCGCCTTCGCTGCCAGTGCGGCTCCACTGCCCACTCACCTGACTAGCTCCCGCCGGATGGCCCGCATGCTCCGCAGGGCGCCGTCCTCGTCGCGCGGCGGGACCTGCGGAGGGGGGGGGAGCTGGTGTCCATCGGTACGAGCGCAGGTCCGACGTCGGGGCCGCGAGGAACGTGGAGGAGCACGGCGGGCGCCGGGGGGGGCGGGGGCGCCGGTCCAGCCGCAGAAGCAGGTGCAGCGGGCCGCGGCGCCGTCGGCGGCTCCGCATGCACGACACGACTGTGTGCAATGACATGCACGTCATGTCAGTCGCGCACCTGCGTGGCCAGGGCGACCAGCATCTCCCGCCGGAACGCGCGCGCCTCAGGACATGCCCGGCATGCCCTTCGCGGGCCCGCCCGCGCCCACGACCGGCCCGTACGTCACCCGCCACAGGTCGAGCAGGATCGTCACCAGCATCCCCGCCGCGAGTGCGTCCTTGGCCACGCCCCACCAGTCCGACTTCTTCTGCACGCTCTCGTCGATGTAGTAGTAGATCGGGAACGAGACGAAGAAGTAGATCGCGTAGAACAGCGACCCCACCGAGTACATCAGCTGCTTGTTCTCGTGGGTATAATACGGGAAGTGGCTGATGGTGAGGGTCTCCATGAAGGCGATCGCGTACGACATGGCGAACACGAGGACGCCCAGCGCGAAGCGCCTGCGGGTGCGCGGCGCGGGGGGCGGCAGGGTGGGCTGGTGGCGCCATGCTGGTGTTGTCGGTTGCGCGGAGCAGCACGGAGCGCGGGCGGTCCGTGGGCGCGGCGGTGTGTCGGGGTGGGTGTGCGGTGCGCGTGGGTGTGGGCGTGGGCGGCGTGCGGTGCGGTTGGAGTTGTGTGCGGCGCCGTGCGGTGGGGGGGGGGGTCGCGCCGGGGGATGGGGTTGGTGCCCCGTGCGGCGAGGCCCGTGTCGAGCTTGCGCATGCACATGTTGGAGATGGTGTGGTAGAGGTGGAAGTAGGGGATCGTCATGAGGACGAGGCAGAACGGGACGTCGTTGAGGCGGTGCGCGGGGAACGTGTACGCGGCGCCGAGGATGTTGTAGAAGTAGTGCGTCCAGAAGTAGTTCCCGACGAAGGAGAAGATCGTGATGAAGACGTTCGCCTTGACCCACCACTGCGTCAGGAGCGGCTTCGCGCGCTCGGACTTGTCGCGGGGCGCCAGGAAGAGCGGGGCGACGAAGCACGGCAGAGCGAGGCCGCCGCACACGAACATGTAGCCCCACTCATCGAGGTACTCGTACAGACCGCCCCTGCGGCAGCGGAGCGGGGGGGAGCCGCGGGGGGCGCGGTTTGGTAAGCGTAGTGCAAATGGGCCTCGGGACCGCTCCCGTGCGGGTCTTACGAGCAGCGTATGCGCCTCGGAGGAAGTTGATGTACATGGGTTGCCATCTGGCTAGGCGGTGTTGACGGCGCGGGCACGCGGGCGCGTGCAGGGAGGGCGCACCCGACGACGACGCCCAGCAGTAGAGTGATCCATACCGGCCCGTAGTACAAATAGAACTGCTCTCCCCAGCGCTTGTCCTTCGACTTGGCTGTCCATCTTCCGAACCCTGCGCGGCATCGGGGCGTGGCACCACTATCCGCGCTCTCAGCAGGAGAGAGAGGCATCAAAGCCCAGAGGCCGCCCGCAGCCTCCTCGCCGCACATTCGCGCATGATTTTACGTCAAATTCGTCAACAAGGATCGGAACATGCGTGTCGATACAGTGTCGTGCCGTCACGTGGACGGTCATACCGACCTGACGACTTTACAGCCATGATGACACGCAGGGATGCAAACCCACGCCGCTGGCCTCAGCAAGCCTGCTATCTGCGACCGCTCAACCACTCCAGCCCCAGCCCGCCCGCGACGCCGCATCTGCGCGCGCCGCGCGCCGCGTCGCCCCAGAGACGACCAGGGCACCAGTGCGGATCTGCGTGCAGTCTGACTCGACTCACAGTCCCCCCCGCGCACCGGAGACGCGCGCACGCGGAGGCGCTCGAGCAGCCAGGGCCTGCGCTCGGCACTGAAGCAATCGTTCGGCGCCGCGCGAGGATGTGTGGCATAAGCAACGCGAGAACCTGCAACGCACACAGTGAGCGAGGGCCGCGGGCTGCAGTGATCCGCGCACCGCGCTCCGCGAGGATTCTGGACCTGCGGTGATGCGCGCACCCCGGCTCGCATGTGGCGACGATGTCTCGAGCAGCCGGGGGCGTTCCCTCCCCTCGCGACGAGAGCAGCTGCACGCGTGGTGGCGGGGGAGAGCTGCATGCGGGCCGTGCAGGCGGCGGCGGGCGCGCAGGGCCCGTCGCGGGGGCTGTGCGGGGACCGCGGACCGGCGTGCGAGAGCACGAGGCGCAGCAAGCGCTTTCTTGCCAGTTGGCGACGCCGTTGCGTGCACGTGATGCGTGCGAAGTGAAGGAGGCGAGGGCAGCCTCCAGCGAGGTGCCGGCCCATTGCACGTCGTGAGCGGACGGCGGCGCGGGGCTGCCGATCTCGAAGTGCCGTCAGACCGCGCTGGCGGGCCCGTATGTGAACAAGGGCCCCTGTGAGAACAACAGGCCCTCACGAGGCCGAGGGGCGCTCCCGCACGCCCGGTCTGGCGCAGCTCCGGCCCCTCAGGTATCCTCTCGCAGCCCCGACGGCAGCCCTCTGTGCCGCGGCGGCGTTGTGCGCCCGCCACCCTCCAGAGCGCACCCGGGGGGCTGGCCGCGCACTGACAGCACGTGCGCGTGCCAGATCTCCCTGACGGACTGCAGCGAGGGGGGGTTGACGAAGTACCCCCACTTGTACCCCTCGCGCTCCGCGCTAGCGACGGCGCAGAGCTGCGACCGAGTCAGGGGCCCGTCGGACCAGAGCACGTGGTGCTCCACGCCCGGCGCCATTGCGTACGGAAAGTCGTTGACCGTCCACACCACTGCAGCGGAGCCGGGACGGATCGAACGCGTTCGACGCGCGGTGCCGCGATTCTGGGACGCGCACGTCGCTTGTGGCTGATCGTCGCACCCGACCCCTCTGAGTGTAGTGCCGCGTCTCGGGACGGAACGTGCGTGCGCGTGTTGTTGCGTGCGAGCTCGGGCCCCGGCGCGCACGTCGGGGGGTGTGAGCGTGCCACGTGGGGGCAGGGGGGTGTTGATGTTTTGGGGCCCTTGCCTCGTCTGCCGCGCAGGGCTGGCATGTACCGGCCGCCGTCGATGTCCGCAGGCGGCGGCTGCTCCAGTGCGCCCTCGGCCAGCACGATGTGGCCGTCCGTGCTGCGGTCTGGGTCGGTCGCGTACCGCAGTTTGACTGCCAGCAAGTAGTCAGTCATGGGGCCCTTGATGGAGGCACGGAACGCGCGGTACTTGAGCGCCTCGTCCTTGAACCGGATCAGCTTCGCGAGCGCGCCCTCGGACCCGTCGTTCATCATCTCCACTGCGCAGCACACGCAGTCAGCGCAGGCCCAGGTTGGCAGCTGTTCCTGCCAGGGAGCGGACGGGTTCCGAATTCATCCCGTGAGGATCAACGAAGACGGAGGCAATCGAGTTGTGTGCGGGCGCTTTGCAGCGACGAGGCGGCCTCTGCGCGGCGCCGGGCGCGTTGCAGTGCAGCGGAGTCTCGCCCCCGCGGCGTAGACGCCGCGGAACCACGACACATGGGAGCGTCGACGTGCTCTGTAACACCAGCACGGCAGCGCGGCAGCCTAGCGCACGCACCGAGCTCCTCCCAGGTGTGGCCACGCTTCGGCCACGGACGCTTCGCTTTCGGGTCAATGTCCGCGTCGCTGCCGACCAGCGGCCCCCACGGGCAGCCGCCCTCTAGGTCGTCCGCCTCCACCCCGTCCCCGCCCCCCTCGCGGTCCTCCTTGATCGCCATGCCGCGCCCAGCACCACCCCGCCTCCCCCCAGGCACTCCGCAATGACGCTGGCCGCTCAGAGATCGGTAATTGCGCCTGCTCAGCGGCTTAGCTGCGAGAACTTGTGCCAACCTCGCCGAACAGCGCGCAAACGGACCCATGCGCGGCGGACAGGCTGCTCGCGGGCTGTGAGAGGCTGTAGGTGCGCTCCAGCGTCGTGCCACGGGCAGGGGCCGGTGACGTGGGTGCCAGGAGCTGGCGGACCGAGGTGGAGTGTGATGCGGGCAGAAGGGCTGGCGTGCCTTGAGCGCGTGAAGCTCCCGCGAGACATAAAGGGAGGGGGGTGTTGCGGGGGTGTGACGTCAGCGCTATGCGCGTGCGTCGACAGCGTTCTGGTCCACGGCTGGAGCCAGCTGCCTCACGTGCGCCGGGCCGACTTGCCGGCCGTCCTGCCTCGTCACGGCACCCGCGACGAGCAAAGTGCACAGGTCAAACGCTCACAACGGCTCACCACGGAGCCTCCATGTTCGCCGCCCACCTCGCTCGCCGGCTGTCCTGCAGCGTCCTACCCCGCGAGCTTCCACGCGTCGGCGATGAGCGCAGCTGAGAGCCCAATTTTGAACCAGTTCAGAAAAAGCAGCTTGTACGTCCACCTGCGGCGCGAAACCCAGCCGGCGGCGCCGTGAGCGTCCGCAGCGACACGGACGAGGGGGCGGCGGGGTCGCGGCGCCGGGGCACGCACGCGCGCAGCGCAGGGGGGCTGCAGGACACACCGCGGCGCTGTGTAGCACAGGGCGCTGACGAGCTCGGCGAAGACGACGACGAGGACGGCGGCGATGACGTCGTTGATGGCGAGGGCGCCGAATGTCAGGGACACCGTGTTGGCGACGTAGAACCCCATCCCTGCCGAGATGATGCACCAGGCCAGCTGCCTGATGTAGCTGGAGCGGAAATACTGGTCTATGCGGAACGGTGCTGTCTTCAGCTCCGTGGCCTGCGGGTTCCGGGGCGCGCGAGGCGCGGCGCGGTCGGTTGCGGGCCTCGCGAGGGCAGCGCCAAGCAGGTTCGAGGCTGTTGCGTCGGGTGGGGCGCACCAGGCGGGTGGCGGTGGACGCGACGGTGGGCTCGCTGTTGCGGGGAGGCGGGGGCGGGGGCGGCGGGCCTGCGGCCCCCGCGTTGCGCTCGGCAAAGAGGGGCGCCGGGGCTTGTCGCTTGCTCGGCGTCCGGCGCAGCAGAGGCTCGGCTGCGCCCGGAAAAGGTGCTAGTCGGGATGCATGGACAGAGAGCAAGAGGTTGCGCGGGATCATATCGTCCGGCCGGTCGCAAGCGACGCGGCGGGCGCGGCCGTGCTTTGCTGGGACAACCGCTGGTGTTTTACGGACGAAACGTGATCGGGGTCGCGGTTTTCCAGCCTGCGCGAGGAGCCCAGATCCTTCTGGCGCCAGCGAGCCGCCCTGCGCCCCGAATAGCTGCCGCGCCGCGGAGCTGGGGGAGTAGGTTTGCGCTGTGTGGGATCTCCCGGCATCGCACCGCCCGCGACCGCGTCGACAGCGCACGCGGCGCGCCGCGTTTGAACAATTCCGCCGCGTCCGCGCACCGGAAGACGCCGTCACAGCCTCCAGCTGCGGCAACGAACGCGCGATGCAAGCCTCGACCACCATGGGTGTGGCCGCGGCGGCCCCGCCGTGCGCCCGCTCCGGGCCGCTCGCGCCGCCCGCGCGGCCGCAGCCCCGCTCGCCTTCCGCCGCGCCCTCCCCGGACGCGCCCCGCTGCCGCTCCACCGCACCTCCGCTCGCCGCGCCTCGCGCCCCGCGGCCGCCCCGGTGTCCGCGATGTTCGGCGGCCTCTTCAAGTCGGACCCCGCGGAGGGCACGAGGAAGCGCCTGCAGCCCATCGTCGACAAGATCAACGCGCTGGAGGCCCAAATGCAGGCGCTGTCGGATGACGAGCTCCAAGCAAAGACTGCCGAACTCCAGAAGCGCGCGCAGGGCGGAGAGGACCTGGACTCCGTGCTCCCGGAAGCCTTTGCGGTGCGTGATCGCCCCGCGCGCGCGCCGCGCGCTGGTGTGCCTGCTGCGGGGCGCGCCGCCTCGCTGAAGAGAGGGCAATCAGCACCGCGAGTTGGCTCTAGCGGCGCGCGCGAGTCGCGAACGCGCTCTCCTGCTTTTTCCGCGCCGTCGATGCGCTCTCCGTGTCTAGTTCCATGATTGAGCACCGGGACCGGAGCGTTTTGGGCGCGTGAGAGTGCCCGGCGAGCGCTTCACGGACTCGCTGCGCGGCCCCGGCGTCCTGCGCGGCGCCCCGAGCGCCGACCGCCCCATCCCGACCTCTCGCACAATCACGCACCGTTTCCTCGACCTTCTCCGCCTCTGTTTGTGCTCGAGTCCCGCGCCGAAATCCGCGACGCGCAACCCTCTCGCCCCGTCGCCCCCTCACCGGCCATCGTCCCGCGCGCGCCGCAGCTCGTCCGCGAGGGCTCCGTGCGCGTCCTCGGCCTGCGCCCCTTCGACGTCCAGCTGATGGGCGGCATCGTCCTCCACGAGGGCAACATCGCGGAGATGCGCACCGGCGAAGGCAAGACCCTGGTGGCCGTGTTGCCGGCGTTCCTGAACGCGCTGTCCGGCAAGGGCGTGCACGTCGTGACCGTGAACGACTACCTCGCGCGCCGCGACAGCGAGTGGGTCGGCCAGGTCCACCGCTTCTTGGGTCTGACTGTGGGCCTGATTCAGTCGGGCATGGACGAGGCGACGCGGCGCAAGGGGTACGCGTGCGACGTGACGTACGTGACGAACTCGGAGCTGGGCTTCGACTACCTCCGCGACAACCTGAGCCAGAAGCGCGAGGACCTCGTCCTGCGCGCGCCCGACGCGTTCCACTTTTGCGTCATCGACGAGGTGGACTCGATCCTGATCGACGAGGCGCGCACGCCGCTGATCATCTCCGGCGCGGCGGAGCGGCCGTCGTCGCAGTACGTCAAGGCCGAGAAGCTCGCGGGCGCGCTGGTGAAGGACGTGCACTACACCGTCGACGAGAAGCAGAAGAACATCCTGCTCACGGACGAGGGGTACGAGGCCGCGGAGGACGTCCTGCAGGTGCCGGACCTGTACGACCCGAAGACGCAGTGGGCCGCGTTCGTCATCAACGCGATCAAGGCCAAGGAGATCTTTTTGAAGGATGTGTCTTACATCGTGAAGAACGGCGAGGTGATCATCGTGGACGAGTTCACGGGGCGCACGATGCCCGGCCGGCGGTGGTCCGACGGCCTGCACCAGGCCATCGAGGCCAAGGAGGGCCTGAAGATCCAGGAGGAGACCGTGACGCTGGCCAGCGTGTCGTACCAGGCGCTCTTCCGCGGGTTCCCGAAGCTGGGCGGCATGACGGGCACGGCGGCGACGGAGGCGAACGAGTTCGAGAACACCTACGGCCTCGACGTCGTCGTGATCCCCACGAACCGCGAAGTGAAGCGGGTCGACAACTCGGACGTCGTCTTCCGCTCCGAGCCCGGGAAGTGGAAGGCCGTCGTCGTCGAGGTGGAGCGCATGGTCAAGTCCGGCCGGCCCGTCCTCGTCGGCACGACGAGCGTCGAGCGCTCCGAGGAGCTCGCCGCGCTCCTCGCGGAGGAGAACATCCCCTGCCAGGTGCTCAACGCCAAGCCCGAGAACGTGGAGCGCGAGAGCGAGATCGTGGCGCAGGCGGGCCGGAAGGGCATGGTCACGATCGCGACGAACATGGCGGGCCGCGGCACGGACATCCTGCTCGGCGGGAACCCCGAGTACATGGCCAAGCTCAAACTCCGCGAAATGCTGATGCCGAGGATCGTGTCGCTGGTGGAGTCGGACACCGCGCCGGACCTGACGTCGAAGAAGGGCGTCAAGTCCTGGAAGGCCAAGGACGACCTGTTCCCGTGCGAGCTGTCGCCCGAGACGGCGGCGGCGGCGAAGACGGCTGTGGACGCGGCGGTCAAGGCGTGGGGCGAGCGGTCGCTGACGGAGCTCGAGGCGGAGGACCGCATCGCGGTCGCATGCGAGAAGGCGCCGACGGACGACGAGGTCCTCGCGGGGCTGCGGGAGGTGTTCAACGCCATGGAGGGGGAGTACAAGGTCCTGACGGACCAAGCCAAGCAGGAGGTGGTCGCGGCGGGCGGGCTGCACGTGGTCGGCACTGAGCGGCACGAGTCGCGCCGGATCGACAACCAGCTGCGCGGCCGCGCGGGCCGGCAGGGCGACCCTGGCTCGACGCGCTTCTTCCTCTCGCTCGAGGACCAGCTCTTCCGCATCTTCGGGGGCGACCGCATCAAGGGGATGATGCAGGCGTTCCGCGTCGAGGACATGCCGATCGAGTCCAACATGCTGACCAAGAGCCTGGACGAGGCGCAGAAAAAGGTCGAGGCCTTCTTCCAGGATACCCGGAAGAACCTCTTCGACTACGACCAGGTGCGCGGCGCTAGCGCGGCCGAACGCGACGCGTGCGTTGCCGGCGCGCATGAGACGCGAACCGCGGGGGCGGCTTTGGGCGTCCAAGCCGTGCGCACACGCTGTTGCTGATCGTCCGGAGTTGCTTGTTGGGTGGCGTTTCGCGATCCGGTTCCACGTGCTTGCTTGTGTGGCGCGCAGGTGGTGAACACGCAGCGCGAGCGCGTGTACACGGAGCGCCGCATGGCGCTGCTGGCGGCGGCGGACGCGCTCGACGCCCGGATGCGCGACTACGCCGAGCAGACCGCGGACGACGTCCTGGACGCCAACATCGACCCCGAGGTGCCCGTCGCGGAGTGGCCGCTCGACGACCTCGCGGAGAAGTATAAGCAATACTGCCCCCTCCTGAAGGACCTGACAGGGGACGAGCTGCGCAAGCGGGCGGGCTCCGGCGGGCCGGCGGGCGTCGAGGGGCTGCGCAAGTACCTCCGCGGCGAGGCCGTGATGGCGTACGAGACCAAGCGCGACATGGTGAACGCCGTCGAGGGCGGCCTGATGACGGACGCCTCGCGCTACTTCCTCCTGCGGCAAATCGACTCGCTCTGGAAGGAGCACCTCCAGGCAAGCCGCTCCGCCGGTCGCTTTTTTTTTCCCCCGTGCGCATGCCGTGGCGTTCGGTTCGCGGGCCGGTCGCGGACGGCAGTCGCGTTGTTGTTGCTGCTCGCGGCCCGCGGTGCGGCGCACCGCGGCCCGTCGCGGCGTTTTCGCACGCGCGGTTCGTCGCCTAATATTCGCGCGGCAACGCCGTCGACGCGACGCAGGCGCTCAAGTTCATCCAGACGGCGGTCGGCCTCCGGGGGTACGCGCAACGCGACCCGCTGACGGAGTTCAAGGTGGAGAGCTACGAGCTGTTCCAGGCGCTCATGGGGCAGATCCGGCGGAACGTCATCTACAACGTCTACATCTTCGAACCAGTCAAGGCCGCTGACATCGCCCTCGAGAAAAAGAAGATTGAGGAGACCCAGGGCGCGGTGCGCGGGTGAGCGGCGCGGGGCCGCCGGGCCGGCTGCGCGCGTGTGTAATCTGGATGCAGCCGTGCGGTTGGCGGTGTCGCGGCGCGCGGCGCGCGCGGCTGGGGCGCGGGGAGCATCAGTGAGTTGCGTCGTCATCGCAGGGCGGTCGCGGTGCGTGGCGGCGCGGTTCGTGGCTGCCAGGGCCGGCGGGCGCGAGATGCGAGGCGCGGCGTTGTCTGCGGCGGCGCCCGCGGCTCGGAAGTGCCGCGCGTGCTGTGGGTTTGGTGCAACTGTGTGGCAGCGTGCGCATCGCAGATGGCCTCTCCGTGCGACTCGGCGCGCGCTCGCGCATCGAAGATACAGGCGCCGTGGCACAGTGGGTGCGTGTCTGCGCCGCGTCGGCGCGAGCCGCCGTGTGTGCGCGCAACGGGCCGGCCAACGGCCCCGCGCGAGTTGTCCAGTCAGCAAGAGCCTAATGACGTGGATTCACGCCCCATGGGGCCGTGGCACGGGGCTCACTGAGGCATTCCGGCTCGCTACAGGTACAGATAGTGCGAATTTTGTCAGACCAGACTAGAAGCGTACGCAAATGATGGGCAACGGCGGTCGTAGTGTCCGGGCTTTCAAGTCCAACGAAGGGCACTGGGTGGGCGAGGGCGAGCTGAGGCTTCCGGTGAGCGATTGCACGAAGCGTCCCGCCTGGCCGACGGGCCCGCATCGCACGAAAACGCACCCGCAGCGCCTGCGCCTCGATGCAAGGCCCTGGCTTTCGCGCGCGTGCCGCGGCCCGCCGCGGGCGAACGCGCACGATTCGGTCGAGCGGAAAGCCGTGCCGTCTGTGAAGAAACAGATCCCGCCGTGTTTGGCCCAATGAGGCGCTCTCACGCGACGTCCGCGCCGCAGGAAGTCGACCCGGAGCTGGCCTACGAGATTCTCAGCAAACCGCGCAATTCGGCGCTAATGTTCCGCTCCGTCATCGACAGCCGGGTCGACGATGACGGAGAGGCGCGGGTCCGGGGCCCCGAGTGGAGCACCGTCAACCAGGCGCGTCACCCGGCCGCCTTCGCTAAGCTCTTACTGCAGTCTCCGTGCCCTGGCCGCACGTTCACGCGACGACCGGACCCAAACGGCCCCGAACCCGGGTCCCACGCCGTCCTCCTGCGGTGCAGAAGTGGAAAATCAACTTCCTGCCCTTCCTGGAGTCGTCCAGCAACGCAGTCTTTGCCTTCAGAGCCGACCCCGCTACCAAGTACATCGAGTACGACATCCTGCGCTCCAACATCCTGAAGAAGCACGTCGACACCTGGAGCATCTCCGCGGCCCCGGGCGGCGGCAGCATCATCAAGCGCCGCCTCGCGACGCAGTCCCACTTCCCGGCGCCACCCATGATGAACATGCGCTCCATCCTGGAGAGCAGCATGAACGAGACGCTGGACGACTTCGCGGCGGAGGCGGCGAAGCGCGCCGCGCTCGCGGACCCCGACGGGACGATCGGCGCGGCGGGCGCGGACGTGGCGCGCGCGGCGTCGTCGCGGGGCGGCGAGACGCAGGCGCTCGCGCGGACCCTGCGGGGGTACATGGCGGTGGGGAGCGGACCGCGGGTGATGCGGAGCCCGCTGTGCCGGCGGCGGCGGCCGCTGCGGCCGCAGCCCGGGGCAGTGCGCCGGCCGGTGGGGGGGGTGTTTTTGAGGGGCGGGTGGACGGGGAGCGACGCGGCGGACAGCGTGCGGACCTCCACGAGCGCGTGCTCGTGCGAGGCGTGCCAGGCGAGCCCGAGCGCCGTCGCCCCCGCGCGGCTCGCCGCGCGCGACGCGCATAGCATGCCGTGGCTGGTGACGAGGGGGGGGTATTGGGACAGCGACGGAGAGACGCTGAGCGGGTACGGGAGCGCGCGCGGGAGCGACTGGGAGGCGGACCCGGGGTGCGACGGGCGCTGCGCGGTGACGGGGGGTCTCCCGCAATTGGCCCCCTCCCTCGCGCTGCTGTCGGTCGACGGCGGCGAGGTGTGATGCTGTGAGCGACGCATGCGTGTGCGGGGCGGACTCGAGCAATCAACAACGCAGCGGACTGTGCTGTCCTGCTTGGTCAAGCGTTGTGCCGAACGTTCCCCACCGTAGCGACCACGCGCATGACCGGTGCCCAACTGGCCTGACCGCGATACCGGCTCGCCAGGAATGCGGGCGACGGCCTCGCATGGGGTAGGCGGGATATGGACCCGTACCGAAAGTGCTACGCGCCCCCATGCGCCAGTAATGGTCCGCGCTTGTTCTCTCCGAGGCGTACTCCACCCAGCCCGACAATCCCACGAAGTTCGTGAAGGCCTGCTGCAGCCGTGCCCCTACGGCGGCGCGGTGGCAGCGTGGGTACACACCCCCGGGGGGACTGGCATACTGACTCATGTCGGTTGGACTCTGGACGTGCTGCTGGACCGAGGCATAAAGGCCCGTCGTCACCTGGGGTCGTTCAGAGACTCACGCAGCACGCTGTGCGCTTCCTGAACGATCCCCGCATTGTCTCACCGTCGTGCAGGTGTGTGTACGACATGCATGACTGCTCACATTGTCTACCCTGTCTGCTGTGTGAGTCTCGCCTGACGTACCATTTCGGTCGCTCAAGCGTCCTCGCGGTGAGGGTGCTTGTAGGTCAGCGAAGAACTAGCGGGGGTGGGTCGCAAGGGCAACGACGTGAAGTGACTACTACGTTGCGCGTGACGCAACGTTGCTTGCCGCTACGCCGGGGCGTCCACCGGCGCGGCTGAGAGGGCGCCGGAGGGCACGGGCTGGCGTGCTCGCCGGCCACCTGTCACGGTGCGGCCAGGCAACGGCGCCGGAAGCAGTCTGGCTGTTGCCACACACAGATGATGGCGCCTGCGTGCGGCGCGCGGCGTCGGACCGCGCGCCACCGCCCAGATGAGCTGCAGGATACGCCGTCCCTCGCCCAGCGCGTCAGTCGTCGCGCGCCACGCCCGCCGCGGCCCGCGGCGAAAGGCACTGTGCTCGCCACCCGCAGTGCCCGACCCAGGGGGTTCCTGCCGCGACCCCGACGGCTGTGATGTGGGGCGGGGGCGCGGCGCGCGACGTGCATTGCGTGCTCGTTCGACGCTCGATCGTCGTGGGCCGGCGTATTGCGACGGAGACCGCGTCGCGCGGAGAGACGGCAGGGGGGCGCTCGGGGCCGAGCGAGTGGCTCCCGGTGGGCCGTCGACGGGCGCGGCCGGGGGGAGACTGGGCGCCATGGGAATGCGTGTGTTTTGTCACGTGGCTTCGCGTGGCGCCATCGCGCCGCCCGCGTGCCCGCGGGGCCGCATTGCCGCTCGGAACGCTTCCCTCGGGTGCGCCGCTCTGTGCGCTCGCTCGAGGCATGCCGCGCCTGCACGCCCCGCGAAACCCGAGAACTGATACCGGGGACATCGCCGGCCCTGCGATTCCGGGAATTGCACGCGTCGTCGACCGCGCGCGCGGAACGGACGCTCACCGCTGCACGGCCACGACCGCGATTGCCCGTGCAGCACGCGGCGCGTGGCCGAGGCTCGGCCGGACGCGCGAGCCCGCGCGAGCAAGAGGAACAGGGAGCCGATCACGGAGGCTGACGTCACCCCGGAGATGCGGGCCATCATGGAAAGAAATTCCCAGAAGTGGGAAGGTGCGAAATTGCGCGTAGGTCGCGGCCCACGCCCGCGAAAAGGTCGCTCACGCGACGTCAGCGCCTCTGGCACCCGCGCGTGGCTCGCGGCGTCCCGGGGCCGCCTCGCTCGCTCCCGGGGCGCCCCTGCCGGCTGGTGGCCACATCCACACGGGCGGCGCATGACGCCTCGCGCGGACGCTAGTTCGCGGCGGATCACCTCGCGGGCGATGTTCTGGCGCAGGTCGTGCCGTTTCCGAGCACGGCGTCGCGCGCGCGGTGCAATCAGAGCGGTTGGTTTGGCCTGCCTCGCTGCGCGCGGCCTGCGGCCGTCTCCGCCGCGGAACTGCTGGTCGCGGCGTCGCGTCGCGCCTCCGTGTGCGTGTGCGGGCCACTGAGCGCGCCGAACGATCCATGCAATGGCGCAGGGCTTCCGTTGGAAGAGAAGGTGCGGCGGTGCCGCATCAGCCTGGCCAACCGCGGGAAGAAACCGTGGAACCAGGGCGGGCACCACTCCGAGGAGACGAAGAACAAGATCCGCGACGGCGTCCTCAGCGCCATGAAGCGCCCGGAGGTGGCCGTGAAGCTCAAGAACGCCGCTCCAGCCAGGTGGGACGAGCTCGCACGAACGACGCGCTGCCGTTGCGTCCCTGCCCGGCACGTGTGCCGCACCGCGCCGTTCGATGCAGCCGCGTCCCGCGCCGGCGCTTCCGCGCCCCGCTTGATCGCGCTGTCGCTGTCGGTAGCGCGTGATGCGCACTCGGTCGTCCTGACGCTCGCGAGTCGCGCGGCCGGCCCGGCGCAGGAAGCGCACGGAGACGACGAAGGTGAAGCCGGCGCAGACGCGCAGGTCGCGCTCTCCGCGGCCCCGCAGCGAAGCATCGGCGCCCAAGGCACCACGCACACAGGGGACGGACCAGGCGCCCGGATCCGCGCCGGCGCGGGGCAGCAGCATCATCAGGCCGAAGAAGGCGCCTGCCAGGCAGCCCGCGGACGAGGGCACGCCGCTCCGCGCCCAGGAGCCCGCGCCAAGCGATGCCGCCGCCCCCGCGCTCCAGCGGACGGTTGCTGCGCCTTCCAGCGCCGACGACGACGCGGCGAAACGCCGCGAGAAGCCCCGCAAGACCCGCCCCTCGCCGGTCAGCAGCGGCAAGACGATGAGCGACCGCGCTGTCGACGCGATGCGGGAGGCGAAGCTCGAAGCGCAGCGTCGGAAGCGTCGCGAGGCCGTGGAGGCGGACCGGCGCGCCGTGGACGAGGAGACGGCGCGGCGCACGCGGCAGGAGCAGGCGCTCGTGGCTGCTCTCGAGAAGATCCGCCGGGCCGAGGCGGCAGTGGCGGCGCTGGAGCAGCGCGCGCTGCAGCTGGAGGCGACGGACGACCTGGACGGCGCGGACGCGACGTGGGGCGCGGTCGCGCTGGCGCGGACGCGGCTGCAGGCGGCGAAGAAGGCGATTGGGCTGGAGGACGAGGCGGGGAGCAGCAAGGAGGAGGCGGGGGGGGTGTGGGGGGTGGATGCGGGGGCGCGGGGGGGGTCCGAGGCGGAGGAGGAGGAGGAGAGGGAGGAAGTGGTGGTGTACATGGACGGAGAGGTGGCGGAGGAGGAGGGCGCGCGGGCGGTGGCGAGCAACGGGCACGCGGTGGCTGCGCCGCTGCAGGGGTCCCTGGCGAAGGGGGGGGTGTCGCCGAGCATGCGGCGGAGGAGCTCGCCTCGATGATGCCGCGCGCGCGCCTCGACGAGTGCTGATGGTGCGACCTAGGGGCCTGCGTCCATCTTTTTGCCTCCCTCGCGAAACTACAACACACCGCGGAACGCGAAGCACCGAGAACTGCAGCGCAGCATTTGTATACCGAGCAGGGCACGTACGTGTGATTGACGCACAGTGCGCGCGGCGCGCGTGGCGTGCCGGACGGATATCGTCACCAGCGACGCGAGACGCGGCTTGATGCGTGCGGCGTGCCGGCGCGAGGCACACACCGCCGTCGGCGCCAAAGCACGACGCGCGGGTGCGAGAGGCGTCCGGGCGAGGACGGTCGGCGCCGCCACACGGACGCACACGCAGCCGCGAGTGTCTGCTTTGCGCACGACGGGCACAGCCGACACCAAGGCCTGCAGTGTGCCGTTTCACGTCTCTCGCCCCACTCTGCCGCCTCCTGCCAACATCACACGGCGCTCACCAAGCCAAAGCGATGCCGCGCAACCTGAGGCAGACTCGCACGTGTTACACGCGCACACGGCGCTGTCCCCGCCCGCGCGCGCCCGCACAGGCCCCGCGACGTCACCGCTTCCGCTCCTTCTTGAACCGGAACACCGGGTTCTCGCCCCCTGCCTCCTTGCTGCGCCTGCCCTTGCCCGCCAGCACGCGCTGCAGCTGCACACGCTGCGCGACCCGCGAGACCTTCTCGCCGCGCTCCATCCGCTGCTGCATCTCCCGGTACGACGCCATGCGTTTCCGCTCCAGCTTCGCCGCGGCCGCCGGCGTGACGGCCGCCGCGGCGCCCCTTTTGCCCGCCGCCACCGCGAGTTGCGGATCCTCGAGTTGTTTCGTGCGCAAACGATTGAACGCGCGCCCGAGGAGCGCCGCGGGCGTGTCGAAGTGCGCCTCCGGGTCGAACCGCCTCGCCTCGCGCTCGCTGTCCACGAACACGGTGTGCGAGTTGCCACTCTGCACACTCCCCCCCCCTAGGAAGTGCAACGTCGACTGCAGCCGCTCGACTTTCTGCACCGCGTCCGCAACGCACACGAAACGCCGCCGCTCGGTCAGCGCCCACGGCCCAGCGCGGCAACATCAACGCGCTTGACCCGCAACAACAAAACAATACAAGTGCAACACCTGCGCGGGGATGTGGGCGGCCCTTTATGGCCGGACGCGCGCTGGTGAAGCGATGCGCGGTCAGCCGATACAAAGCGCCCGGCGTCCCGCGGGACGGCCGTCTTGTAGCACCGCATTCAGAGCGGCAGCAACACCGCGCTGTCGCTGCCGCTAATCCGCGGTGCGTGGGGCCGCTGCGTCGGCGGCGCGCGGCGCGCGAAGCCCCGCACCTTGGCTTCCTGCTGCGCCTTCATGCCGAGGTACCGCACGTCCTGCGTCCGCATCAGTGCCAGCTCCTCCTGGGAGTACTTATTGGCCTGAGTCAGCCTGCCGTCGTGAATCCCCCCCCTCGTGCGGGCCTGCGGCGGGAGCGGCGGAGCAGGCGGAGCGGGTGAGGGGGTAGCCGGCGCTGAACGCCCGCGCACGGCGAGCAAGGAGCAGGCGGGGGCAACGCCGCGTGTGCTCCGCTCGCGTGCGGCCACGGAACGGTTGGCCGCGGCGAGGCGTCGCGGGCGACCGGCGCGGGTGAGGGAGGATCTGTGTGGGCGGCGACGCACGTTTTGCATGGCGAAGTAGAATTCGTCGGGGTTTTTCTCCTCCGCCTTTTTGCGCAGCACCGACAGGGCCTTCTCCTTCTTGTGGAAGTCCCGCGCGCGCTGGCGGTAGTCCTTCTTCTTCTCCAGGAGGCCATATTTGGACCGGTACGACCTGCGGGCGGCGGGGCACCGCGATCACTGGACGTGTTTCGCATCAGACGAGGATTCCCGTCTGTTTCTTCGCTGCTGCGGGAAGACTGGCGCGGCGTGGGACTGGCGCGGAGGCACCGTCGCAGCCCGCGCGGCGCCGCGGCGCCAGGGGCGCTGGCGAGGCGTTGCTGTGGATGCAGCCAACTGTGAACGGGTCCTTACGGCTGAGAGCGCTCCTTGTGCGTCTTTCGCCGCACGGCCTTCCTATACGCAGCCTCCTCCTTCAGACCTTTCTGCGGAAATTGCGCCACCATGGTCGCGGCCTACCAGGCGGCCCGCGCCGCCCCTAGTGGGTGCCGGGAGCCTCGGGCCGTCTTGCGCACGCGTTCCCAGTCGCGAGACGCTGTTTCCGCTCCCCCACGCTTCCTTGGACTCCTGCTCGCGCGCCGTACCAGTCGAACCGCCCGTGTCGCGGCTATTCGCGCTACACTCCCTCCACACACTGCCCAGACGTCCTTTCCGGGTCGACGCGGCGCTCTCTGCTGGCGTCCTTGGGCCCGTCGCACCTGCCCTGCACTGCCCGACACCGCGGGCGCCTCGGAGCAAAGTCGCGGGGCCAGCAGGCGCACCCCCGCGACGGCCGCCGCCCCGGAGTCCCCCCCGCAGCCTGACGGGGCTTGCAGCGGGGCGCTGTGCGCATGAGACCGGTGGTGCGCGCCGCGCACTCCCTCTTCTGCGACCTTGCTGTCGACAAGGCGCGGGTTCCAGTCCCTTCCTAGACCAGGCGCGCTGCACTGCTGGATAGACCTGAAAGCTCTTGTGCAGAGTCGGCTCGCACGATGGACGCGCATCAGCTCGCTGGGCGTGCCGCGGCCCGGCAACCTGTAGCTGGGCTGCAGCGGGCGGCGCAGCGGCGGCGCGTCTCCGCTCGGAGGGCGTTGGTGGTGCAAGCTGCGCAGCAGCCACTTGGTGGTGAGGGGCCCGCGGAGGGGCCCGGGACGCCGGCGTTCGGCGCCGGGTTCGTCAATTACGCGGTCAAGGGCATCGCTGCTGGGCTCGGAATCACGGCCGTGGTCGCGGCGCTCCCGCTAGAGGCAAGTCGACTCCTGCTGCCGATGTCGGTGCAGCGCTCCCGCCGCGCGTGGCGATCATACCGCTTCAGCCTCGACCCTGTTCTGCGAGACGTAATTTACCTTGCACGATTCACGCGAGAGAGCGCGCGTTGGTCGCCTCCGGGCGCCGTCCCGCCTCGATGTGTGCCCCTGAGGGCTTTCTCTGGCCCATCCCGCGCGGCAGGGCCACGCATTGGGCGCTTTTGCGCGCCAGCCCTGACCTCCCACTTTCAGTCATGCCGCGGCGCCCGCGTCACCCCTGAAACTCCCCCCCCTGCCCCGTCGCGCGCCATGTTTGCCCCCTTCGGGCGCCAGCCGCAAAGTGGACGCCGTGCAGGCGACGACGAGCCTGCTCGAGCGCCCCCGCCGCCTCCGAGCACCCGCACGATCGCGCACGCGCCCGCGATCTCGCGGCGCCGGGCGTCGCCGACAGCCCAGGCTCCCCTCGTTCCTTGCGTCATCACCCCCGCGCGCCGCCCGCGCGCGTCCGGTCCGCGCCACCCGCGTTCCGACCGCCCCCGCGCCCCTCTGTGACCGCAGCTCGGCATCGGGGGCGGGAACGGCGGCAGCGGCTTCTTCGGCGGGGGCGGAGGCGGGGGCGGTGGGTGCGGCGGTGGCGGCTGGAAGGGCCTGGGCAGCCTGCTCGCGGCGCGCGCGGACGACGACGACGACGAGGAGACGGAGGAGGAGGAGGAGGAGGTGATCGAGGAGGTCGAGGAGTCGGAGGACGAGGACGCCGGCTCGGACGCGGAGGGCGACGTGGAGATCAAGCCCACGGCCGCTGCGGGCGCGGGGGGCGAAGACGACGGCGAGCAGATCGACATCTCGAAGGGCTTCTTCGTGAAGAAGATCGAGGCGGTCGGGCTCCCCAACGAGCCCGGCATGCCGTCGGCGGACGAGCTCTTTGCCGCGCTCAAGTGCCAGGCCGGCTTCGAGTGCACCGCGGACGACCTGAAGGACGACCTGCGCAGCCTGATGCAGATCGGGCTGTTCAGCGACGTGCAGGCGTCGTGGAAGGCGATTCCGGGCACGGGCGGCAAGTGCCGCCTCATTTTCAACTTCCAAGAAAAGATCTGGCCGCGCATGCGGTCGCTGAAGATCGAGGGCGCGTCGCTGCTGCCGAACGACATGGCGGAGCAGGTCCTCGGCGAGCACGCGAAGACGGAGGGCCCGTCGTCGATGCGGACGCTCGCGATGATCCGCCGCGTCGTCGACAAGTGGTACGGCGAGCGGGGGTATTCGCCGTTTTGCTACATCACGCACTTCGACGGGATGGACACGGGCGACGTGGTCGCGCACGTCGTCGAGGGGCGCGTCGGGAACGTGAACCTGCTCTACCTGGACGAGAACGGCAACACGAAGAAGGGGGGGGGTGAAACGGACCCCTCCATCATCATGCGGGAGCTCCCCTTCCGCCGCGGGCAGATCTACAACACCGACGACGGCCGCCTCGCGCTGCGCGACGTCTTCGCGACCAACCTCTTCGAGAACGTGCAGATCCTGCCCAAGCAGTCGACCAAGTCGGAGAAACAGATTGACGTCGACCTCATGATCCGGGAGCGGCCGACGAAGCTCGCGGAGGTCGAGTGCGAGTGGGCGATCGCGAAGAACGACCGCGGGCTCCCGACGCCGACCTCGCTCGTCCCGGGCGGCTCGATCACGTTTGAGCACAGGAACCTCCAGGGGCAGGGCAACCAGTTGTCGGCGCAGGTCACCACGCAGAACTTCCTGCGGCCGCAGGACGACCTGGGGTTCAACGTGACGTACAAGCGGCCGTACCTGCTCGGGCACGATGACCCGCGGCGGACGAACCTGTCGGTCACAGCGTTCAACGGACGCAAGCTGAGCGCGACGTTCACGCCGGGGCCGACGATGAACCAGCAGGAGGTGCCGCAGGTGTGGATCGACCGCGTGGGCGCGAAGGTGACGGTGGCGGAGCAGCACTCGCGGAACTCGAAGGCCGCGCTGTCGGTCGTGGCGGAGGAGGTGGGCGCGCGCGACGAGCAGGGGGAGGCGCTCGTGGCGGGGCAGCGGATGACGCAGGCGGGCGTGACGGACGGCCCGCCGACGACGCTGAGCGACACGGGCACGGACCGGAACCTCTTCGTGCAGGGGCACTTCGTGCGCGACGCCACGTACTTCCAGCGCGGCGTTCTGCTCGGTCCGCGCGACGTGTTCAAGGTCGAGCAGGGGCTCGGGCTCGGCAGCAGCGCGCTGTTCAACCGGATGGAGGTGTCGTCGACGCGGTACATTCCGCTCACGAACGGCAAGGCCAGCAAGTCGGGCCCTCTCTCGCTCGTGCTGCACGCCAAGGCGGGGACCACCGTCGGCGACGTGGCGTCCTACGACCTGTACCCGCTCGGGGGGCCGTTCTCGGTCCGCGGGTACAACCTCGGCGAGCTGGGCAGCTGCCGGACGTACGCCGAGGCCGCGGCGGAGGTGCGGGTGCCGCTGCCAAAGGTGCGGCATCCGGTGTATGCGTTCTACGAGCGTGGGTCGGACCTGGGGACGTCGCGGACGGTGCGGGGCGCGCCGACGTGCTTCTACGACAAGCCCGGCAGCGGGGCGTCGTACGGCGCGGGCGTGAAGGTCGGTGCGACGCGGGTGGAGTACGCGCGCGAGTGCAACATGGGACGCGGGACGTGGTACATCCGGTTCGGCGAGCGGTTCTGAGGCGGACGGGATGCGGGGACGAGGGGGTTCGGGTGGCGGGGGCTTGGCGTGCGGTCTTGGAACCGCACTGCGGCAGGCGCTGGCGGCGTTGCCGTCTGTGACAGTAAGATCATGCATGAATGCGCGGGGGGTTGTGTCTTTGTTTTCGCGGGCGCGAGAACAACTGGGCGGCGTGCGTGGGCGCGTGGCGGGCGCAGGCCGTCGGAGGGAGACGACGGCCCTGCGGGTGACGCGCGCGGAAGGTTCAAGGCTGGTCGGTCTCTGAGTTTGCGCTTGCGATTGACGCGACCCCCGGCACGCGTTCGCCGCAGGGCGCGGTCGCTGCTTGTCTCGCGGCGTGAGAGGTTTCTCGGCCCCAGACGAAAAAGGTCACACGTGACACATCACTCGGCGTCGAGAGACGCCACACATCGCACAGCACCTACCGCGTCGTCACGAAGCACGTTTGTCACCTCGCAACGCCCTCCCCTCCAGGCACAGCGCCAACACCCCCCCAGTCCCCCCCCTCATCGCCGGCCGTTGAGCTTCGGCAGCGACACTACTGCGTCCTCCGGCGACGCCCCCCGCGCGGGGCCCTTCTTCCGCGGCGACGCCGCCCCTGTCAGCTTGCTCGTCGCGCGTTTCGGGTCCGGCAGCCCAGTCACCGCGCTCTTCTTCGCGCGTGACGGCAGAGCCCCGCCGGACAGTCCGGGGCCGAGCGCAGGCTCCACGACGCCGGACCCCTGCCCGTTCGCGCCGCCGGATCCGCGTTTGTTTCCTACCTCGAGCTGAACACCCCCCCCTCCGGCCATGCTGATGCTGGTGCTGGCGACCTTGCTGCCGGCCGGGGACCGCACCGTGGGCGAAGAGGCGTGCCCGAGCGTCGATCCGCCCGCGCGGAGGCCGTTGCCACGCGCGGAGTACGTCGCGGGCTGCTCCGAGGGCAGAACGGCGGAAGCGGTTGGTTGCTTGGCAGCGTCGATTGCGGCGCCAGTGATGCCGGACGGGATCGTTGGGAGCGGCGAGGACGGGCGAACGGCGGCGTCGTTCGCGAGGCCCGTGCCGCTGGACGGCGAGAAGGGCGCCGTGCCGGGCATGGAGGGCGTCGCCGGCTGCACGTGGCCCGACGCCAAGGACTCCCCCCCTGACGACCGCCGCGACTTGTTCGTCGACATCCCGACGACCCCCTCGCGCAGCGACGCGAGGTCGCGGCCGTCGGGCGGCCGCTCGAACACCAGCCGGTGGCTCCCTGAGGCAGTCGGACTGGCCACCGCTGTCGGCTCTTGCAGGCACGACGACACGTCCCGCGAGCTGATCTTCAGCAGCGGCGCCAGCGACGCGCTATCCGCAGCGGAGCTCGCGACGCTCGGGAGCGGCAGCCGCGGCCCGACGTCAGCCGACGCCCCCCCAGACGCCCCCGCCACCACGTCCGCCCCTGCCGCCAGCGCCGCCGCCGCGCCCTGCCCTCGCACCACCTCGAGCGGCTCCAGCGCCGGCTTCGCGCCCGGCCGCGCCGCTCGCGGCGACGGCGCGATCGTCCCGGTCGCCGTGCCGGCCTTTCCGCCGCCCCTCTTCCCGCCCATCGACGCCGCCACCGCAGCGCGTGCGCTCGACACGTCGAGCTGCGGCGGACCGTGCGCGCTGCCGGCCTCGCGCGCAGCGTTGCTGTTGCCGGCGCTGTGCAGGCTGCTGGCCTCGCCGCTGCCCACGCGCTGCGCACCAGGAGCCCGAACTCCAACAGCGCCGAGAGGGCGGCCAGGGAGCGCGCCCGGCAGCGCGGGGCTCTCCCGGCCCCCGTGCGAGCCCCGTGGAACATCGCCCTTCGCGCTCGCCCGCGCGTTGCCCCTCGGCGTCGCGCCGGCGGACCCGCCCGACCCCCGCACCTGCGCCACTCCCCCCAGGGTCTGCCCAGACAGCCCCCCGCCGAGCACGCTGCGCTCCGCGTCCGCGGACGGCATGTTCGGACGCGCCGCCGCGGCCCGCGAGCTCCCCGCCTTCTTCGCCGTCGGCTTCACCGACCCCGAGGGAGTCCCCCCCGCGCTCGACAGCGGCTGACTCGACCCGGCCTTGAGCGTGGCGTCGTGCGACGAGGTCGCGTCGACCGCCAGCGCGCTGAGCTTCGGCTGGCTCGCACGCATCGCCAGCGCCCCGCGCGGCGTCGCGCCGCACACCGTGCTCCGCAGGTCCCCCCGCACGCCGAGCTGTTGCAGTTGCGTCTGGAGGCTCGCGGGCTTGCTGCGCAGCGCCGGGTCGCTGACGCGGCGCACGAACTTCCGCTGGGAGAGCTGCGAGCCGGGCGCCGCGGGGTTCCGCAGGCCCGTGGTGCCGTGCAGGGAGGCGTCGCCGGCGCCGATGGTCGGAAACATGAAGTCGCCGCCGATGTTCGCGACAGCGACGCCGCCGGGGACGACCTCGTGGTTGCGCACGCGCGAGATGTGCCGCCGGCGCGCCTCCTCGTTGCGCTCCATCGCCGAGAGTGCCGACATCGCCGCCTGCGCCTTGCGCCGCTTGCGCTCCTGCGTCAGGGGGGGGGTGTTGGGAAGGGCGGCGTTTCGCGCGGACGCGCGCGTGCGGGCGCCGACGGACGCTTTCGCGACGCGGCGGCGGCGGCGGGGGTTACGTTGCAAGCGAGGTTCCGTGCGGAACGAAATGCAGCGTGGGCGCGTGTCTGGGGCGGCGACGCGGCGTGCGGCGGGTGTCTCGCGCACCTCGGCCTCCGCGGCCCTGTAGGACGCCATGTCGACCTCGAACTGCGCGTTCGCAGCTGCGAGCTGGTCGGCGACGGCCTTCTGTCGGCGCAGCTCGCGCAGCTTGGCGCGCGCGAGCATCATCCGGACGCCGCACTGGATTTCGAGCGCCGCGAGCTCGCGTTCCTCCATCTCGATGATGTGGGCCAGCGCCCGCTCCTTTGCCAGCTCCTGCGCGTGTTCCTTCTCCATCTCCCACTGCCGCATGAGCTCCTCGTCGCGCTCCAGCTCCTTCCGCAGCCCTATCTCCACGAGGTGCTTGTTCACGCGGTCGTCCACCGCCTTCTCGACCAGCGTCAGGTACCGTGCAATCTGCTGGTGGGAATGGAAGCCCATCGGCTCCTCGTCGATCGCGGAAGTGAGGCCCCCGGAGCCTCTCTTGCCCAGCCGGATCGTGCGGCGCGAGTTGCTCATCCGCCCGCGCGCCACGCTGCGCGTCGTCGTCGTGGCCGTGGTGAACATGGTGCGCCCAGACTGCGTGCGCGTCAGCCTGCGCCCGTTCTTGGTCTTCAGGCACCGCCCGAGCTTCACCATCATGTTGTACGTCGAGTCCAGCCCGATCTCCTTGACTTTGCTCACCGTCATCTTCTTGTCCTGGTACTTTTTCATTACGTACTTCTCCCGCGGCTCCTGCGGCGGGAACGCAACGAAGCGCGGTTCGCGCCGGCGCGCTGCGGCGGGTGCGTGGAATGTGGCCGCGAGGCGCGCTCCGGGGCGCGCGGGGCGCGCCCGGGGCGACGAGCGGCGGGGGCGTGGCGCAGGGAGCTGACCTCGTCGTCTGCGCCCATGTGGTCGGCGAGGGAGCCGCCGATCATCTCCATCTGGTCGATCTCGTCTAGAATCTCGCTGAAGTCGCTCAAACACGAGTCCTCGCGCTTCAGCTTCACCGACTTGAACCGGAACAGCGCCTGGTGGGACTCCTGGCGCCGTGGCAGGCCCCGTGGGCTGTCCATGAGCCTGCAGCGCGCACGTCCCGGACGTTCAGCACCCACCGTCCGCCGCGCGCGCCCGAGAACGCCGCGTGCTGCTCCACAGCGCGGTCCCGCGGCGATCAGAGCCCAACCAGCTGCCTTGCAAAACGACCGCCTCGGCCGGCCCCGCGGCGCACGCCGCTGCCGCCGCGCCCCGCGCGGGGCGAGTGTGCGCGCGTGGGCGTCGTGCCCGGGGCACCGGGGCGCGCCAGGGGCACGAGGGGCCCCTGGAGGGCCGGCCATGCTGTGCGGGGGCACGGCAGGCAAGGGGGGCGCCGCGCGGTCGCGGCGGGCGCGGGGGCTCACGTGGGCATCGTGGCTGGATCCAGGTTGAGTTCGCCATCCTCCGTGACCGGCCCAAGGCCCGAGGGCGTCTTCCGGATCGAAAATGCTCGACTGATGGAACGTACAATCTTCGCCATGCCCTGCTTGAACGAGCTGACCTTGTGGACCATCGCTCCGTTGCCCGACGGCCCGCCCCTGCACAGATCGACGGGTTCCGCGCGCGTCCCGTCAGTTTCCCGCACCGCGCCGCGCAGGGCCGCTCTCACGGCCTGAACCGATCCCCACACGCGCCACGCGCCCCACAGCGCGCCGCGACCGCCCCGCCTCCGCCGGGCACGATCCACCCTCCATGCGCGCGCGCCGCGCGCCGCCCCCTCGCCCCGACACGCCGCGGAAACGCCGCGAAAGCATCCCATGCAAAGACAAGCCCCGCCCGCGCTGAGCGCGTCCGGGCGCCGAGCGCCCCGCAACGCGACCGCACGCGCTCGCCCTGTGCGGGCCCGTTGCGCCGGTGGCGGTCGGCGCGGGGATGCGGACCTGTCCGGGTAGAGCTCGTCGAAATCCAGCTCGGCGCGGTCGCCGGCAGCTTCGCTCTCCTCCTGAATGAGGGAGAGCTTCTCTTCGGCGACGCTGGCGGTCTCCTCGGCGAGTGCGTTCTCCGTGCGCAGCTGGAAGTTGCTAGGCGTCATGTCTACATTCTCAAAGGCCTTGAGCCGGCCCAGCGACTGCTGCTCGTCCCAGGCCGACGCCGCAGCGTCGCGCCGAATGTGCTGGACGTGCCCGTCCATTCTGAGCTCTATACGCTAAATGCTCCTCGGAGAGGCGCCGCCCGCAGCTGCCGTGGCCGAGCAGCGCCTCGCGACGGCCGGTTACACTCGCGCTCGGGAGGCCGACAGCCCCGGTCCCTGCATGGCCAGCGAAGTCTCTCTCTCTCTCTCGCCTGCCGAACGTTCAATTCAGTGACCGCGACGCGCGCGCGCGCCGGGCAAAATCCCCCGCCCTCGAACCGCTTGTCGGTCAGTTATCTCATACTCAGTTCTCGCTTCCGTCCCACGACCCGCACGCGGCCCGCGCGCGGCGGAATCGCCCTCGTCCGCGAGCTCGTTCACCGCACCGGCTCCCGGGCGACCGCGCCACGCGAACCACGCACGCACGGTGCCGCAAACACCCCCCGTCTGTTGCCAAGTCACCGTCCAGGCACAACAGCGGCAGGAGCCGCATGACCCGGGGTCGCAGCGCGCCCAGCGCGGCCCAGCGCTCCGCCGCGCGCCGCCCGACGCACGCACCCGTATCACACGCCCCCGCGGCGCCCGCCGGGCCACACAGCAGCACGTCGCTACCGCACGGCGTCATGCGGTCCTCGCAGCCGCGCCCCCGCACCGCCGATCAACGCCCCCGCGACGCCCCCGAGCGGCACCGCGCCGCCGCACCGGTCCAGCGCGCCCTCGCGCCCCACGGCCGCACGCACACACACGCGCGGCCGCCACTGGGCGGCGTAGGTGCGCCGCCCCGCGCGAGCCTCACCACGACGTCTTGACGCCCAGGCGGCGCAGATCCACCTCGAACATCGGATCGCCTTCCGGGATCGGCAGCTCCCGGGGTACGCGCACACTGCCAGCGCAGTGCACGACAGTGCTGGACTCCTTCCCGCCGGGGCGGAACTTGGTGTCTGCGCGGACGGAGCGTGCGGGTACGGACGCACGTGGGGCGCCGCGGGGCAGATAGAGGCTCGGGCGCGATTTGCGAGATATGGTTTTTGCTTTGCTGGGTGGTGGCGATGTCGTGGTGGCCCGAGTCTGCGTCGGCGCGGGTGGCGCTGGGCGTGGCGGGGCGCACCGACGTCGAGGCCGTCGGGGGCGATGTGCACGCCGGACCCGACGGCGTAGTGCAGGCGCAGCGACAGGCGCGACGGGGGCTCCCAGAAGCGCCGGAGGTTGTCCATCGGGCACTCGAAGTGGCCGGAGACCTGCATCGGGGTGTTTGGGATGTTCCACGCGCCCCGCAGCCGGATCGCGGGGTCCGGCGCGACCTGCACGCGGCGCACACAAGCACGCACACTCGTCACGTGCACGCGCGCGCGTTACTGTGGCGGCTGCGCCGCGGCGCTCCGCGCGGCAGGCAGATTGCGGCCGCACATGACGTACCCTTATTCGCACGGTGTCGCCGATGGCGATGCGGCAGTGCGGGGCGAGCTGTTGGTAGTCGACGTCGTACACAGCGCCTATGCTGAACTGCCCGGGGGGGTCTTTTCGCCAAAGCCACCCCTCGGGGTCCGGATCGCCGATCGTCCAGTACCGAGACATCTTCAGCCGAGCCCCCGCGCGCGCCACCTGCGCAGCAATCGGCCATGGGACGAACGCAACCTCGAGCCACCGTCGGGCGACGCCCGCGCCGCTAGGGGGCACCCGGACGTGGGCGCAGACGCCCGTGGGTGCGCAGGCAAATGCAGTCGCGCCGGGTGGCGGAAGGGGCCCGTGTGCGGCACATGACACGTGATGTGTGCTCAGAACACATGAAACCGCCGCGGAGCGCGTGCTGGAGGGTGTCTCGCGTCGGGGGGGCGTGCGGTGCGTGGGCTGCTCGCTGCGCGTCGACGGCGGCGGGCGCACCAGGTCGCTGGCATCTCCCTGCGCCCCCGGGCGCTGGCGGGGCCGCTTTGCCTCGTTCGGGGGCTTCAGGCGCGCCCGCGCGAGCAGAAACTTCGGCACGCGCCGCACGATGGGGTCCCCCGTCGACGGCGCACGCTGCACGTGCAGCTCTGCGGGCCACCGAGCACGAGGCGGCTGGTTTAGGCACACGTCATGCCCCTCGAGTGTCCAAACCGGACACTTCCGCACCGCACCGGGCTCGGATCTCCACGCGCTGCGCTCCAGATGATCATTCATTGCGTTTCGCGGGGCGTTCGGCGCGGACCTGTCGGTCTGGAGGACACACGCAGCAAGTGATCCTGAGACAGGTGGGAGGTGGTGGGTCGCAAGACGTCGATCGTGGCCGCGCCCTTGCTGCTGCGCCACGTGGGCATCACGACGTTGTCGATGAAGCCCGTGAACTGCGCGGACAACCGAACGGCGCGCCCTGCGTCAGCCATTGCGCGAGGAGTGTCAGCGCAAGCCACGTCCGATTCGTCGCCCGCTGCGCGCTGTGCGGGCCAGGTCACGCCGCGCCCCGATGTCCTAGAGGGAGTCTGTGCTAGGGTCCGTCGAGGGGGGCGGGAGGGGCGGGTCCGGGGCGTGAATCGAGCCCGGAGCACGGCGACGGAGGTAATTGGTTGCTCACGATGCTGTTGAGGTGGCCTGCGAACCCCTTGGCCTGGGCCTGCGCTCGCCGCTCGAGCGAGAAGGAAGTGTCGCCCGTGAGGGCCGCGGTCACGGCGTTCTTCCCGCCCGTCCATGGCGGAGGCTCCTGCTGCGGCTCTGGAACACCGCTTGCCTCACCATCACTCAGTTCGGAATCGCTCATGGTCGCAACCGGTCCGCGTGTGCGCCGAACCGCACGGCACAGATCGTGAGAATCGAGTGCGCACGAAGGCGCGCGCACCGCACCGTTGGAACGGGCGCGAACGGTCGCAGGAACACCCCTCCTGACACAAGGGTGACTATTGAGCAGCTGCGGCCGGTGCCACCCGGGACAAACCCCCCCACGCCCGAACGAGCTCGCGCACTCGGCATCCCCCGGCGCGCGGCACCCGCCACGTCCAGTCGGACTAGCACAGCGCAGCTCCGCTCGCCAAGAGTACTCACCGACGGCGCGCTGCACACGCGGGCCCGCGATCGGCGCACATCGCGGAAGGCAAGCTCAGTCCATAGACATCTCAGCGGCCGGGGCACTGGCCGCGACCGGGGCTCGACATGGCGCGACGCGCCCTGCTAAGAAGCGTGGTGGCGGGTCCACAGGGAACGGCATCGTGCGCCTCTGCCGTCGCGTCCGCCTCCACCCAGGCCTCCGTGCGGCCGTGGCTCGCCCTCTTCTGTCTTCCTGGGGCGGAGGCAGCCGCGCGAAATGGCTGTGGTGGCTCGAGTCGGGCCGCACAGACCTGCAGGGCTTGCCATGGTAGGTATTCCGGGCCGCGGCGCGCCGCGCGGGATCCGCGTGGCGCGGCGCTCGCTGCGTCGCTTCGGCTGAGATCGAGCGTCCCGGGCAGCGGGCGTGACCGGGAGGACCGGCCAGGGAGAGACGGGACGGAGACGGAGTGTGCAGCAGCTGCCGAGCCACCGCACGCGCAAGGCACACCGCGGCCGCGGGCCATCGAGGAGCACGGCAGGACGCGCACGCGCGATCCGAGGTTCGTCGTCGTGTTTTCCGGAACTCCCCCCCCTGCCACGTCGTCCAGTCAGACACGTATAAACACAAACGCCTCGCTCACGCGCGCGCACGCTCCCGCCGCGCCCGCAGGCTCGTGCTGTACCGCGGCCCGTACTACACCGCGTGGCGCTTCGCCGTGCGGTCGAAGGTCATCCAGCTTCTGCTCTTTGGCGGGGCTTCGGGCGCCGTAGTCAGCAGTACGAACGCGCCGGACATGTGGGGCCTGGCGGCGGCCGCGGCGGCGGTCGCGGGGTCCGCGGCGGCATCCGCGTGCCTCTGGTTCTACGCCGGACGCTACGTGGGCGAGCTGTCGCTCGTCCTCGACCGCACGCGGCTGCCGGACACCCCCATGTTCGCTCTCAGCGGCGTTCTGCGCGCGGGAATGGTCCCGGAGGACATCCGCGGTGAGCCCCGTACACAACCCGGCCACTTCCGTGCTTCCTGCGAGGCGCGCGCGCTGTCCGATCGTCACAGCACACGCAATCGATGCCAACACCAATGATCCGCCATGCGTCTCCGCACGGCTCGCTGCGCTCCAGCCACGGCGCAGCATTCGTGCGCGTTTTCTGACGTGTCGCTCTGTGCCCGTCGGGCCCGCAGGAGCGATCCCCGTGCTGGGCACGGTGCGATTTAGTGTCCTTGACTTCTGGGGCAACCGCGAAGACACGGACGTGCCGATCGAGCTGGTCGCGGCCCCGCTGCAGGGCGCCACGCCCGTGAGCGTGCAGCGGTACCTGCGGCGCGGGTTCCAGCCGCTCGCGTGCTCTGAGCGCCCGGACAGTCCCGACGGCAACAGCGAGCCGAAGCGCAAGCAGTACGTGCTCGCACTGGGCCGCGCGCACGTGCAGCACCGCGCGCTGCTCATGGCGCTGCTCGACGGGTCCCTGCGGCAGCGCATCGCGGACCACGACGCGCCGACGGTGGACATCCGCTGAACGACGACGTCGAGGTCGACCACCGGCCTGCACGCGCCCGCCGGGTCCAGGATGCGCGCGCACCAGTCAACCTGCGCCGCGAGGCTCGTTGTGCCCGGCGACGTCGTCCTGCGCCGCCGCCGCCGCCGCACACGTGGGATGCGATATGCTGCTCTTTCATGTGCTGCTTGCGCGGTACAAGACCGCTGCGAGGCCTGGCGGCGCTCCTCTGGTGCGGGGCTGTCCTCGGCCAGCAGGCTCGAGGGAGTCGCCGACCGGGAACTCCCCTCAGCACTCCCCCCCTTGACGTCATGTTGCCCTTGCGTCCTGCTGCGCTGCGGCGCGCGCAACCGCCGCGGCGACGTCGCCGCCGGCCGCGGCAGCGAGGTCGGCGACCGTGCGGCCGGCGGCGTCCGTTGCGGCGAGCATGCGCGCGACGACGCTGCTGTCTGCAGCGCTGCTGTCAACGAGGACGCCGGTCATCTCAGGGTCCTGCGCCGTGACGGCGAGCATGAGCGCCGTTTCCCCGAAGGCGTTCGCACACAGCGGGTCCGCGCCGGCCCGCAGCAGCAGCCGCGCGCACTCCCCCGGGTCCGGCGAGTACCCCCCGGGGAGAGTAATTGTTGTACCCGGGGGGTTTTGCCCAGGACGACGGTGGCGCCCGGGGGCGGGAAGGGCCGGCGGTGGCGCACCGCGCCCATGAGCGGCGTCGTGTCGTTCGCGCTGCGCTTATTCGGGTCGGCCCCGCATCGCACAAGGAGGTCGACGCTCGCCACCTGCCCAAAGATACTGGCGCCGCGCAGCGCAGTGTGACCGCGGCCGGCGTGGACGTCCGCGCCGCGGTCGATGAGCGCCTGCAGCGCGATGTGACCGCAGCGTACTCTATGTATGTGTCAATTACGCTTGTATGTATCAATTACTACTCTATGTATGTGCAGCTTTGGGTGGGCGCGTCGTGTTTGTTTGATCGGTACAGTGGCTGCTGGGCAGGAGGCAGAGCGTGTGTGCATCTGGGTGTGGCAGTGCGGACTCGCGGCGCCCGGGCCGCTCAGTGCGCGGGGCGTAGCACGCGCCTGTGCAATGGCGGTCCAGCCCGCGGCGCACGCGATGATCAGCGGCGTGAATCCTTCCTCTGTCGCCGCGTTCAGATCCACCTCGGCGTCCTCTGCGAGCCGCAGCGCGGATACGAGGTCGCCTGCGCCGCAGGCTGCGATTAGCTCGGGCTGTGCTGCCGAGCGCATAGGTGCCCGATATGCTCGCCGTTGGTCACGCGGCTGTCGTGCAGTGTAGCTGATGCTTTCGCACGTCGATGGGATGGAGTTTCGGCGGTTGTCAGCGACGTGATGCGTGCAGCGATGCGGTTGTCCCACAAACACTTGACGGTCGGCCGTGGCTTCTGATAAATCGTGCGGGAGTGTTGTTGGGTGCAAGGAGCGAGAGAAGAAGCATCTGCAGACGTCTAACTGCTCGGAAACGGATGCGCTGCCGCCACGACGTCAGACACCCCCCGACTCCAGGAAGCAGTTGACTCGAGTACCCTGTCAGGGCCTGCGAGCGTCGACACGGGAACCTCAATGCACAAGCGGCGCACCGGCATCTCGAACTTGCGATCGCGGATCATTCGGACCTGCAGAGACGCCTTGGACGGCGTCCAGCGCGTGGCTAGGACATGATGGAGTGGCAGCGAGCCCTGCTTCCGCTCCTGGCCCTCCTTGCGTGCCTGTCGAACCTCGCGGCGGCCAGCGGAGTTGAACGGACATTCGCGCTCATCAAGCCACATGCAGTCCCGCTCGCCGGTGAGCCGCCCAGGCCCTGTTCGTTGTGCCACGGAAGCACCGCGCACGACGACGTGGGTGCCGCCGCACCGCGAGCTCTCTCCGCTCCCCGCCCATGCCCGAGAGCTCAGCCACCAGCCGCGCGCCTGAAACAAGTCAAACCCGCGCACACCGACACGGCCGGGGGCGTGCAGGTTCCATCTGGAACTATGCTCGGCAACGCGAGGGACTCAAAGTGATCGCCTTGCGCAACGTGCTCGTCACCGAGGTACGGCCCCATGATACCCTCCACGCCCGCGCCCCGGGCCCCTACGGGCCTCGCGCCGCTCGCATGGCCTCATACCGCGTGCCAGAAACACTCTGGTGGGTTTCCCGCGTCGGGCGCGCACAGCCTGCCTGCCCATCTACCACGCCGCCGCGAAACGCAAGACCTTTACAAGAACTTTCTCCGCGCCTGGTTTCTGGCTGGAAATCCCGGTCCCGCGGCGCACGCGGCGGCGTTGCCACACCTCTCTGCGCCGCTGGCGGGCCGCAGGAGCAAGCGACGAAGCTCTACCAGCAGCACTTCAGCGCCCCGTTCTACCTCGATCTGAAGAAGATGATCAAGTCCGCGCCCTGCCAGGTCGCGGTCCTTGAGGGCCCCGACGCCGTCGAGCGGTGGCGGCGTCTCCTAGGCCCGACAGACCCCTCGAAGGCGTACCAGGGGGACCCCGACAGCATCCGCGCGATCTACGGCCTCGACGTCACGAACAACGCCGCGCACGGCAGCGACAGCGCCGACGCCGCCGTGCGGGAAATGCGCATCTTTTTCACGGACGAGGTGCGGACGATGGCCGGCGCGCACCGCCTCCGCGCGCCCCCGCGCCGCCGCGGCCTCTTCTGCGGTACGTTGGCTGTCCTCGTGGCCGGCGCCGCTCGTCACCGACGGCCGGCACGGGCGGCGCGGCGGCTGCGTGCGCCGCCGATGCGTGACGCGCGTTTGCGCGCGGCGGTGTGCGGCGCAGGAGATCAATGCGCACGGAGAGATGGGGCACAAGCACAGCGCGCACGTGTTCCACGGCCACGACGTTCTCGACTGGGAGGCGGTGCAACGCGACTGGCTGGACGCCGCTACGCAACAGGAGCGCCAGCGGCTGCAGACGATCACGCGGATCCGTGCGACGCGGCGCCTGCGCGGGGACGAGGACGCTGCGAAGGCGGAGCTCATGAACGAGGGCCCCGAGGTGCAGGAAATGCGCGAACGGGCCATGCGGGAGGCGGCGCGGTTCGCCCAGCGCAGGAAGCGGGTCGAGGCCGAGGCGGCGGCGACGTACGACACGGTGCCGAAGGCGGAGGCGAGGGCCGCCGGGGGCGATGTGGGAGGAGTCGGGGACGAGGGGGGGGACTCGGACGAGGAGGAGGCGCCGGAGAGCTTCGATGGCCACGCCGGGGAGGGCGAGCCGTTGAGCAAGGAGGAGCTGTGACGCATGGGGAGACTAGTTTGAGTTTTTTGTGCGAGGGGCCGCCGGTGCGGGGGTGGGTGCGGTCTGACGACGCTGGGCGGGGGGGTGCCGATGGGGGGCTTGAGGCGCCGGGACGGCCCGTCCCGCGGTGTGATGGGCCCGAACCGCACACCAGAGTAATGACTGTATTCGCTCTGCGAGTTTTATTCGTTTCGCGGCCGTTGGTGTCGGTTGACAAGGAAGCAGCGGGCCATAGTTTGTGCATCAACTTAGCACGCGCCCACGAGGATCCCCGGCCTTGATCCCCCAACGCTGGGGCCGTACCTCGACTCTCGCGGATCTAAAATCGCTCACACAGCATTCAGGCCGTAACACGCCTCGTATTCGCGTAGATTCCCACCCACCAACAAGGGCTTCTCTCAGCCGAGCGCACCCACACCGTTTCCTAGATCCGCTGTGCTGCCGCTAAGATGCCAGCCAACGGACACGCCGTGCCAACCGCGCCCTGTCACGCCCGCGCGCCCACCCCACGGCGCCACAGCGGCCGTCCCGCACGTGCTTCCCTCCTCCCACGGCCCAGTGTCGCGGCTGCGGGCCCCTGCGCGCCGAGCGCGGGCCTCCGACGAAGCCACAGATGTCTCATGCGCACGCGGGCGCAGCCGGAGGAGCAGGGGGGGGGTCTCCGGTCGCGCGTGGCTACGCTGCTGAAGGAGAGGGACGACAAGCAGGACGGGGCGGCGGACGAGAGCTTGGGTGTGGCGGAGAAGATCGTTTCCGGGCTGTCACAGGACGCAGAGACGCGCTCGCAACAGGTACGCACGCGTCGCGCGGCACCGGGCGCGGTGAGCGCAGCTGGCAGCGGGCCGAAGCAGAGGGCCTCGTACGCAACACCAGTCCACGGCGCGTCGCTCCTGGGCGCGTGACGTGCGCTGACGTCCGCTGTACGGCTCGCTTGTCGCACGGTGAGCGCGCCGGTGCTCACGGCGGCATCGGAGCGCCTCGTTTGTCGCCGCAGATCCGCCTGGTGGGCCTGTGTGCACTCGTGGCGCTCATCTGCGCGGTGGACCGCGCCGCGATGTCCGTCGCGATCCTCCCGATGACGGACGAGTTCGGGTGGAGCGACGCCGACAAGGGCGCGATCTCGGCCGCGTTCTTCATGGGTTACACGGTTACGAACCCTCTGGCAGGGGCTCTCGCGAGCAAGAAAGTCAGCGCGAAGAAGACGCTCGCGGGCGGCGTCGCGCTCTGGTCGCTCTTCACCATGCTCACGCCCCAGGCACGCCCCAACACACCGCGCGCACGCTCCGCCCGCCCCCCGCCGGCCCCTTCTGAGCACCCGCACGCACTCCGCGCCCAGGAGACCCCGCCCACCCGTCTCGGCCCGCGTTCCACTCCGCAGGCCGCGAAGCTCGGCGAGCTCGCGCCGCTCCTCGCGTGCCGCTTCATCATGGGCTGTGGTGAGGGCGTGACGTTCCCCACCATCCAGGCTCTCGCGGCGAAGTGGATCCCTCGCAACACGCGCTCGCGCGCGCTCGCGAGCGTGTACGCGGGCGCGCAGGGCGGCACGATCGTCTCGCTGCTCACCGCGCCGCTGATCATCAACACGCTCAACTGGGAGTCGATTTTCCTTGTCTACGGTGCCCTGGGCTTCCTATGGCTGCCGTTCTGGGCGCCCGTGACCGACGACCCCCCGAAGGGCACCGTCACGACGACGGCCTCCTCGCGCGTCAACAAGGCCAGGGCCGCCGCGGCGAACGGCGCGGCCGCCGCCGACGACGCCGCCACGCCGTGGCGCGACATTTTGACCAACGGCCCGTTCTGGGCCGTCCTGATCGCGCACATGTCCTGGGCGTTCGGCCACTACACCGTCCTCGCGTGGCTGCCCACGTTCTACTCCCAGCAGTACGGCCTCGACGTCTCGGCCTCGGCAGCTTTCTCAATCCTGCCGTGGGTGGCGACGTTCGCGTGCACGAACGTCGCGGGCTGGACGGCGGACGCCCTGCAGAACAGCGGCACGCTCGCGGCCACGGAGACGCGCAAGCTCATGAACGGCGTCGCGTTCATGATGCCCGCCGCGTTCCTGACTCTATGGTGCTACTGGCAGCCGGAAGACCCGTACCAGGCGCTGCTGCTCATGACGCTCACGCTCGCGACAGGTGCGGCGCACGGGGACGGCCTGTGCCGTTGCGTGCGTGCACACGAGCCCGCTACGGAGCTTCTATGTGTGTTTGTTGTGTTTGTGCACGGTTGTGCAACGTTTCTGCGGTGGCGCTGCTCGCGCAGCGCCCGTGCATCGGACGACCGCGCTCTGTGCGTGCCGCACACGCGCTGCGCGGCACGATCCGGCCACGCAGTCAGCTGGAAGACGACACGAATCGTCACTTGGAAACGCGACGTGACATTTAGCTATCAAACCCTCACGAGGCTCAGTGGTCGGGTCCGCGCGCACGCAGGCGGGTTCTCGGCGGGCGGGTTCGCGTCCAACCACCAGGACCTCACGTCGCGGAACGCGCCGCTGATTTTCGGCATCACCAATGGCATGAGCAGCGTGGCGGGGTCGACGGCGGTGTGGGCCACGGGGCTGATTCTGAACGACACGCACAGCTGGGCGGACGTGTGGACCGTCGTCGTGCTGATCTACGTCTTCGGCACCGTCGTGTACTCGTCGCTCGCGAGCGGAGAGAAGCAGTTCGAGTGAGCGGGCAGTGCGCTTACGTTCACTTCGTGCGCATGCGGGGGGTGTTGGCGGGTGCCAGTGCCGGGTTCGCTGGCGGCGCGCGCCTGGAGCTGTGAGACTTTGTCGCCGTGTGCGCGCGCCGCTGTGCCCGACGTCGTCGCTGGAAGCCCGAGATATGGCCATGGCCATGGGTGTGTGCTGGGGCTGGGCGGAGGTCGTCGCCGTGACGGTGCCTCGGGGTGTCCCGGGATACGGCGGTGCCGGCTGAGCGGCGCGGGGCTGGCTGCGCGTGCGTCCCCGGGGGGACTGGCCGCTCTATCTGTTGTACTCTCACCAAGGGGTGCCGGTCCTCAGTCCCCCGGCGCCATTTGGCCTCGCGGTGGCGGCTCCGTCGAGCAGTATCGTGAGTAGAGTCCAGAAGGTGCGTTCTGTTGCGGCTCGAGGCGGCCAGGAGCTCATGCACGGACGCTATTGACTGTGGGTGGAAGGTTTCGGGCTCCCGAGCGCCCGCACGGGCACATGACGGCGTGTGCGGCGGGCTGAGACTCGTATCCTGTCCAAGTCTTCCATAGGTAGCTCCGGGAAACGACCAGACGCTAGGTAGACGCGCGGACGGCCAGCCGAAGTGCGGGGAGGTGCCCAGCTGCGGGCGTGAGGGGCACGATGGCGGAGCATGGCGACGGCGTATCGCTAGATAAGGCAGCACGGTCCATGCAGATTGCCGCGCGCACGTTCAAGAGGTGAGGGGAGCGCGCACGGGCCCTTTCTCGCAAGCGGCATGTTCAGCTCCCTGCTCCGCGCGCGGGGCGTACCGGCGGGGAAGTCCGCGACCTGCGGTCGAGCAATGATGGCGGGGCTCCACCGGGATGCGTTGGTGCAGGAAGGACAAGTCAGCGCAGCCATGGAAGCCGAAAATCCTCAGCAGAGGCGATGTCATGTATGCCACGGAGATTCCCGAGGAGGACAGCATCGCGCTGCAGCAGGAACGAACGATGTATGTTCAGAAGCGCGGCTGGGCGGCAGGTTCGTGCCATCTACGCGCCCACAGCCGCGCCACGGCCGCACTCTGCACTCCCATCCCTCCCCAGCGACGCCCTGCCCGCGCTAGGCGCGACGCAGGGGCCGTGAACACACACCTCGCCCTCGAACCGCACTGCTCCGTGCGCCCGCACGCTCCCCGAGGCCAGAATCGCGTCTCAGCGCACAGCAGGTCTCTCTCCCTGCCCCGCGGGCACTCCTCCCCAGTACAGTGACCGCTCGCGACCGTCCCGCACGCCCGCAACCCCCACGCGCAGAAGAGAACCAGCCGTACCGCCCCCTGGGCACCCCGGACCTCGAACGGAAGTACAAGCCACCCAACATCGGCCCGACGAAACGACGCAAGAAGAAAACACGGAAAAGCGACGGCCTCCAGACCGACCACCCAGGTCCGCCCGCGCCCCCCGGCCGCCACCGACCGCACCGGTCCAGCCCCGGTCCGACCCGCACAGACCCCCCCCTCCGCATTACCCCCCCCCCCCCGCGTACTCGTCTCCGGTGCAGCCGAGGGCGAGAAGGAGGATGGCGAGGACGACGACCCGCTCCTGCACCCTCCGAACCCGGACAGCAAGGTCGCCGCGGCGCGGCGCATCCGCACGTGGGGCGACACGGGGTACAAGGAGCTGTCGCAGCACATCAAGCTGTCGTCGGAGCGCGTGCTGTCGTGCAAGGGCGGACAGCCGTTCCCGGAGGTGCTGTATCGCCAGCGGCTCGGGCTGTACCCCGTGAGCGCGCTCAAGTCGCAGGAACGCATGTGGGACATACCGCAGCACGTGTCGATGCTGGACGACCCGACGTCGTTCGCGTCGCTGCAGTCGAGGTGCGCCGCGCAGCTCCCCCGACGCTTGTTCGCGCCGACGGGCCGGTGTTCGAATATGTTTTCTTGTTCCTGGCGAGCGTGCCGGCGGCGTTGCGGCCTGACGGCCGCGGGTTGTTCGTCTCGTCCTGGACTAGGAGGGCGACGACGCCTGCGCGTCCCGAGCGTTCCGCGCCGCGCGCGAGTTTTCGCATTTTTGCAGGGATCCCCGGTCGATGGCCTCGCTGAACGAGAAGGACCCGGCGTCGATCTTCGTGGAGAAGACCCTGGTCGAAGCAGGCCTGAGCCCGCGGCCCGTCCCAGGCGCCTTCTCGCAGCGTCTGCTGTCGCAGATGGCTGCGGCGGGCAAGGACGATTCCGCCCTGAAGCTCCCGGCGCTCGGGCGCCGCGGGAAGGCCGGCCAGCTCCTCGCGGGGGAGCCAACACCGGAGGTGGCGCTGGAGCGCGTGCTGGAGACGATCGCGAAGATGCGGCTGGCGCTGGACCCGCGGCGCGCTCTCCAGGAACAAGTCGAGGACTTCCACGCCGCGAAGGACGAGCTCTCGCACCAGCTGCACGAGAAACTGGCCGAGAAGACGACCTACCGACTCGACACGTACCTGCGCAAACGCGAGCTCCTGCCGGTGAGACCCGCCTCCCCGCGCCGGCACCATCCACGCTCTTTACATCCGCCTCGCTCGCGCGGCGCGCGCGGCTCGCGCAGCGCCTGTCTTGTGGTTGCGAGCCACTGGAGGCTGACCTCTCTCCTCCGGGCGCGTCGTTCCCGTGGCGCAGGAGACCGGGGCGCTTCCGGCGCTCGACAGCCGGCGGTGGGACCTCGAGGTGGAGCGGTCGCGGCTGCAGGACCAGCTGATGGTGCTCGACGCGCACCCGTGGTGGAACCGCCTCATGTTCTTCCTGACTCAGTCGGGCGGGCAGATCACTCCCCAGCAGAAGGTCGCGCTCGCGCTGATCAAGGACCTCATCGAGAAGTCCGAGGAGTTCGGCGAGCCCGCGCTCTACACGTTCCTCCTCGTCATTCCGCGCGAGTTCCACAACGACGACTCCGTGCAGCGCATTGTGGCCTTCTTGCACGAAGAGCTCGACGTGAACGTCGCGCAGTACCGGCGGTTCCTCGACCTGCACCAGCTGCCGATCCCCGCGAGCCTCAAGAAGGGCGACGAGCGCTCCCGCACCACCACGCGCCACGGCACGAACCGGATGGCGCGGCAAAAGTCGATGATGCAAAGCATGAGCCGGGCGTCGCGGCAGCCGCGGCACATGCCGAGCATTGCGGGGTCGACGAGCATTGCGGGGAGCGTGAGGAGCCGGGAGGGCGGCCGGGGGAGCGAGGCGGGCGGGGGGGGGTTCTTGCCGAACGTGTCGTAAGGGGGGGTGTTGCTCGCCCTGGTGGGGTATGTAACGGCTGTTGCTTGGCACGAGCGAGCGCGTGGTCGGTCGCTGCGCGCCTGACTGCGGTCTCTGCTGTTTGTCCAGTCTGCTGTGCGCGCCCCGCCGGTCTCGCCTAACTGAGGTTGGCGAGGGTGCCGTCCTGTCGCAGCACGAGTTTGCGGCTCAACCAAGGGCGCAGTGCCGGCCTCCACGATCTGCTGCGATCTGTCGGCGCCGCCGACCGTTTTCAGCGCAGTTTGTTGCTCTGCACCATGGTCGTTTGCAGCACTTAAGCATATATATTTCTAGGGTTCCAGATTTGCAGCGGCAAGCTCACAGCCGGCGAGCGTGCCGCAGAGGTCCGCGCACGTCTCCACCGCTCTCGTACCTCCGGGCCACGACCTTCCCTGCAGTCTCTGAGGTATAACCTGACCGCAACAATCCCCTTCAAATGCCACATCAGTCCTCCTCCTCCTCGAAATCTTCGTCGCTCGTGGCGTCCTCATCCGACCCATCGTCGCCCGTCTCCACCGACGCCTCCGAGTCGCTCCCCGCCTCCGCATCGTCGTCACTCCCCCCCTGACCCCCCTCCATGCCGTACGGCGTCCAGTCGCACCCGCCCTCGCACGGCACGTCGCACGGCTGCGCACAGTCCCGCTGCCCGCCCGCGCACGTGAACTTCTCCCCGCCCTCCTCCGCGAAGGCCCCCGCGTCCGCCTCCGCCACGATGCGCACCTTACCACATGCCGTGCACTTCAGCGCAACGCCCTGGGCCGCCGCTGGCTCCTCCTCCACGTACTGCTCGTCCCCGACCTCCTCGGGGGGCGGCGCGTTCTGCGCCTCGAGCACACGCCGCCGTGCGTTGACGATCGCGGCCTCGGCGTCGTGCAGCTTCTGAGCAACATCGCCCTCCGACGCTACCTTCCTCGCGAAGTCCACGAAGCCCTGGGCCGCGTCGACGACCCAGGGGGCTCTGCGGACAGAGAGGGGGGGAGTTTACGCTGTTCTATTCGCGCCGAAGCCAAAACAAACAAAGAAACAACTTGGTTCTGTTTGACAGGACTCGCGAGCTGTGCCGTTGGTGCGCGAGCGGAGACCGAGCGGGGCGCTCGAGGCACCGGCGGCCGCGCCGTGGGGCGGCGCACTTCAGCGTGACGCCGCGGCCCGTCTCCTCGTCGTGGTACTTGAACACGTTGTCGTATATCTTCTGAACGTCCTGCAACAGCTGCTCCACCGTCTCGTACTCGAGCGCCTCGGCCTTCTCCTGAATGCGGTCCAGGTACATCCACTCCTCCCGCGGGCCCACGACGTTCGTGTACTCCTCCAAGACGTCGTTCATGAACACAGTCCCCGCGAAGAGCTCAGCCCGCTGGTACGTCCTCAGCGTGGGCAAAAACCCGATGCCGCGCCCGCCCCGCGGCCCCACCACCGCGACGCGGAACCTCTGCTGCGCGACCTCCACGGGGTCGCGCTTCGGCCCCGTCTTCGGCTGCGACGCCCGAAGACCCTCAAGCTCGATCTGTTGATCAATCGTCTTGTCTTCTTCGAACATCGCCGCCATCCTAGCCTCCGCCGCGACCCGCTTCTGCCGCTTCGCCCGGCGGCCCTCGAGCTCCACCGCGACGCCCTCCTCCTCGTCGCCGTAGTCCTCCTCCTCCTCCTCGTCGTCGGCGACGACGCGCACACCGCCCTTGCGCCCGCGCCCGCGCCCACGCCCGCGGCCCCCGCGCCCGCGGCCCCGGCCGCCCCGGCCGCCCCCGAGCAGGAGCGGCCGCGGCACCCCCGTCGCCGCCCGCGCGCCGCCGCGGCCCTTCCGCCGCTGCATGGCGCGCACGAGACCTGCGCGCTCCGTGTCGGGCTCGCTGATGACGACCTCCCCGGTCTTCGGGTGCGGCTTCCGCTCGCCCCAGCAGATCAGCTTGATCGCCTCGATCTCGTTCGGGTTCGCGATGATCTCCTCGCGCAGCACGTTGCCCTCCGCGTCGTAGATGGTGCGCCGCAGGCGACGTCGGATCCGAGGAGCTTCCTTCGCCTGGCCGCCCGCCGCCGTGCGCGCGCCCGTGAGCTCCGCCCACTCCTCCTCGTCGTCGCGCGCGGCCGGGGCCGCTTCGGCCGTCGCGGGCGGACGCGGCGCGCCCGGAGCCGTGGGGGGCGCGACGACGTCGCTGTCGCCGGCGGGCGCGCTGCCCGGAGGGGCGACTTGGTCCGTGAGGCTCCCGTTCCCAGCGGTTTTGCTTCCGCTCGCCTGCGCCCCGGACGCTGCTGGACCCCCCTTCTTCGCTGGGGGGGTCTTATTCACGCCACCCCGCCCTCCCGCGGCCTTCGCGCCAGGCTTCCGCCCCTGCGCGGGCGCCGCCCGGCTCAGCTGCCGCGAGCCCGTCTTCGCCGCAGCCGTCACCGCGGTCCCGCGCGACGGCCCGGCGCTCTGCGACTGCGTGCGCCCCGCGTCTCCGCCGCCGAGCACCAGCCCTGCCGTCTGCGGCACCTCCTTCAACGCGGCCACCTGCTTCCGGAAGATCTCGTGCGCCTTCTTCGTCTGCGCGGACTTCTGCTGCCGCGACGACTGCCGCCACTCGCGCGCAAACTGCTGCATATTCAAGTCGCCGGCCTCGTACTTGCGCGTTCGAATGTCGCGCAACAACTCCACGAGGTCCCACCGCTTCAGCCCGAGCCCCTGGATCTCGCTGTCCTCGAGCCCCTCGCTCCGCAGGTGCTGCTTGATCTCCGCGACGCTCATCTTGCGGTAGTCCGCGCCCTGCTCCGCCAGCTGCCCGGCCTTCATCCGCGGCCCGGTGGAGCGCGTCGGCAGCCTCCGCTCCGGCTCGACGAACGACAGCGCGTACCCGCGGCCCGTCGGGTCGCCCACCTCGTGGTCCACGACCAGCGGCATCTTGTTCGAGATGTCGCGCGCCGCGATGTAGGCTGCCGCCAGACGCCATGGCGCGCGGATGGCCATCTCCGAGAGCAGGTCGACGGCGGCCTTGACGCTCGGGTCGTCGGCGCCGGCGTTCCGCAGCACCGTGCGGCCGTTCTCCTGCGCCTCGAAGTTGTCCAGCGCGCCGTCGGGCCGCCGCTTGACCAGCATGCGGCGCAGCGTCTTCAGGTATGACGGCTCGAGGTCTTGCAGGCGCTGCGTGTACATGCCGAGGCGGCGGAGGCGGAGGTCGCCGAGGCGCATCGCGAGCCACCGCGAGGCCATTTCCGGCGGGCACATGTCCTCGAGCTCGCGCTCCTCGGGGATGATTTGCGCCGGCGCCAGCCGGATGATGCGATGTCCGCCCTCGTTGCGCCCGCCGCGCCCAACCACGCGGAACGACTGCATCGAGTTCCGGTCGACCAGCATGTCCTCCGCGAGGTCCTCGGTCACGTCGTAGTTCCAGTCCGCGTGGCCGGAGTCCCCATTCACCCCCCCCTCCTCCTGATGCAAGTTGAATACCGACGCGACGTCGCGCAGGACGAGGAAACCGCTCTCCTTGTCGCGCGGGTCCTTCATGGCCTTGAACGTGCTCCAGACGTACCGCCGCATCATCGCGCGCGTCACCACGTAGTGCTCGGCCGACCCGGGCTGCGGGATGTGCGCGCGCGGCATTTGCTGGCCGAGGAGCAGCGTGCCGGAGATCTCGCGCAGGTCCAGCACGCCCTCGCCGCCGTTCTGATCCTCCCGGATGTGCCGCGTCAGGAGGAAGTCGGAGTACTGCGCGTCGTACGGTTCGGCCACGGCCCTGTAGAGGGAGGACTGGAACGTGAGCAAACACTCCCCCCGGGGGAGTGTTGCGCCCATGATGGGGATCTCGGTGTCCTTGGCGTCGTGCTCGAGGTCGTGCACCTCGCCCACGCGCCACCGCGCGCCGCCGGGGGGGAGTGCCGGCATGGGCTTGAGGTCCCCGGGGGTCTCGCCCGGGACCTCGCGCGGGCCCCCGTCGCGGGCCGCGCGCATCAGGTCGCGGCTGCCGTGGAAGTCCTTCGCGTCCTTGCGGCGGTAGTACGTCACGAGGCGCGAGTGCATCCCCGGTCGCGTCAGCAGGAGGGGGTGTTGTTCGAGGTACTCGCATAGCACCACGTGGCCCGTCCAGCCGCTCCGGCTCGGATCGACGTTGCGGTACTTCTCAAACGCACGCGGAGGGCGGATCGGAGCGTTGCTCGCCGGGTCCGGCATCTGCGCGGCGACGACGTGACACAAGGCGCGTTGCGTTTGTCCCGTAGGCGGCACGAGGGAATGCTGCGGGTGGCAGTGCGGGGGGTCGAGCGTGCGTGCGCGTACCTCGCTGATGAGCCGCGTGCGCACGGGTGCTACAAAGTGCACCACGACCCAGAGAGTCCCCCCCGTCGGCGGAATGCCTGCGTCAGCCAACGTCACGTGCAACGACCGCGGCACAGGGTCCCCGAGGAGGCCGTCGGGGCGGCCGACGTACAGCGAGCACGCGTCCGAGTACACCGCGTGATCGTCGAACGCCCGCACCGCCATCGGCCTTGGCTCGGCCTCCCGCAGCGCCGACAGCATCTCGTGCAAAGTCGTGTCGAGTGGGCCGTTCCAGATCGCCGCCTTGTCGTCGTGCTCGCCGAGGAGCTGCACGCGGACGGCGACCTCGCCGCCCTGCGGCGCGGGCACGGCTGGGGCCGGCAGCTGCCAGATGGGATAGCTTGGGCGAAAGGCGCACATGTGGTCCGATGGCGTGGTGCGGATGATGTCAGGCCCGTTGACGGCGTACGCGAACTTGGCGTGCACGAACCCGCGGATGAGGCCCGACGCCGTCGCGTACGCGTCGTCGTTGGACATCTTGCGGTACGGGGCGAGTTCGCGGGCAATGGCGTCGGCGGTGGTCGAGGTGTCGTCGTCCGGCACGGAGACGACGACGGCGCGCAGGCGCTTGACGACCTTCTTGCCCAGCTCAGACTCCAGGTCCTTGGCCTTGACTTGCAGGACGAGGTGCCTGTCGCGGGGGTCGACGCGCGCGGTGGCGTCGAGCAGTGAGAGGTCCTCGATGGCCCTCGCGACGCCCTCCGCCCACGCGTCCCCGAGCAGGTGCTCATTCTGCGTACCAGAGAACCCAAGCGACGCACGTGGGGCCTGCTCGCGAAGACGCAGTCCAAGCAAACGCAATCGCCCTCGCTTTCCGCGTCCGTTCGCCGCAACAACGACCGCACGGGCCAGCTTGCGCCAGGGCGGTAGCTCGCGGGCGCGGTACGTACCGAGCAGGGGAGCTCCGTGGTGAGCGACAGCGCCTCGAAATCCACGCCCCGCTCCTCCGCTTCCTGCGATCGCTTCTTCTTCTTCTTCCCCGCGTCCCCGCCGGCCTCCTCCGCCTGCGGCGCACGCGCCTCCGCGGGCGCGTGCTTCGCCGCCCATGCCGCCACGTCGGACGGTTCGAGGCGCAGCGACGAAGTAGCGTCCTGGCGCGCAATGCTCGCGCCGCGCCACCGCGCGACAGCGCCGCCGCGCTGCGCGCGCGTGGGCGGCGCGTTCTGCGTGAATGCTGCGCTCCCGACCGCGCCGTCCTCGCGCGCAAAATCGCCCGTGCCGCCCGCCGCGCCGCTGGCGCGCACCACGTGCGACAGCACCTCGTCCTCCCACGCGCGCAGGTGCACGCCCGCGACCGCGCGGACGTCGTCCCCGTCGCCGTCCCCGTCCCGCTCGTCGTCGCTGCCGCGCGCCCGCGCCACGCCCGCCACGGCCTCCCACATCGCACGCGCCCGCGTCTGCGCCAGCGCGCGCCGCTCGGCCCAGTACGCGTGCCCCAGCGCGTCCGCAGCGCTCTCCACCGCCCGCGCAGCCCCCTGCTCGCGGACCATCGCCGCCACCGATTTGGGGTCCTTTTCACCACCGAAGAAAACAGCCTGCTCCGCGTCCTCGTCAGCGACGTCGTCGTGCGCGTGCTCCCTGGCCCCCAGACCCGCGAGCGCCCGCGCGTAGCTGCGGGCACGCGCGGGGAACACGCGCGGCGGACGTTGGTGCGCACAGGAGCAACGCGCAGTGCGCAGGAAGAGGGTCGCCGCCAGCGGCTCCGCGTGCGGCAGGGCTCGGGCGGGGAGCTCGCACAGCGTGCATGGCCGTGGGGGCTTGGCGCCGGGCAGCGATCCCACGCGGCGGCTCCAAGAAGCAGCTAATCTCCGTAAAAGAGCAACGCCGACGGAAGCAGTGAAACGGGCCCTGCAGCGCCGCCGGCCCAACCGCGGGGACGCCCTCGCGCCGCGCTTGTGCGCCGATCGCACCTGTGCTCCAGCACCGCCCGCGTCCGGCTCGCCTCCGCCACTTTGACCGGCTCCTTCAGGCCGGCAATCACCGTGTCATATACCAGCCCCGGCGCGCCCGCCCTGCGCCCGCGCGCCAAGTCCAGGTCCCTGCACCGCAGCACGACGTCGCCATCGCGGTCCCGGTACATCAGCCGCACCCGCAGCTCGTTCCGGCGCGCCGCCGCCCCCTCCTGCGGCTGCGCCGCAGCCCCCTGCGCGGCCGGCGCAGGCCCGGCCGGCGCAGGCCCCTCCGCCACGGCTGCCGCCTGCGGCGCCGGTCCCGGGGCCGGCGCGGGCGCCGCCTGCTGCGTGGATGCCTCGGGCTGAGCCATCTCCGCGTCCGCTTGCAGCTCCGCTTCTAACTGTGCCTCGAGATCCTCGTCATCGTCGGAGTCTTCCTGCGCAGGCTGGCCGGGCGTGTCGACGTCCATCGGCGCGGCGGCCGGCGGCGCGCCCGCGTCAGCGGGGGTCGTCGCCGCTGCTGCAGACGGTTTGGCGCCGTCGTTGTCGTCGTCGTCGTCGTCGTCGTAATCGTCGTCCTCGGCGATGTTGGCGCCGACGCCGGCCTGCGTCTGCGCGCGCTGGTACTCCGGCCCGCCCGTCTGCCGCCGCGGGAAGAGCGCGGGCATGTTTTCACGTTCGTCGTAAGCGTCCACGTCCTCTACGGGGAGGTGCGCAAGCGCCGGGTTCTTGCCGCGGCGCGTGAACGCGTCGTGGACGACCTCCTGCATGTTCTCGTCGTCGCGCATGGCGTCCCCGATCTTCTCGCGCTCATCCTGCGCGGAGCGAGCCAGTGCGGGAGCGTCGCTGGGGAAATGGCGCTCGGGGCGGGCGGCAGCGGCATCGACGAGTCAGCGACAAGCTCCGTGGATGTAGGTAGATGTCATGTCGAGGTGAAATCGGCGCTGATATGCGGGGAGCGTGCACGAACGGGGGTCGCTTCAGGTGATGGCAACGGCGTGCGTTCGGGTCGAGTGCGTCGGGGACAGCTCATGCTCCCCGCGAAACGAGCTACACAATGTCAATACGATGCAGCTTCCCCAGGCTGCGCATCGAGCGTCGCCCTGATCCGCCGCGGCGGCACTCATCTGCCCCGAGCACACTCCGGCGAGTCCCGCGCGCGTGCGCGGACGTGCGCGCCCGAACGGATCCCCACAGGTTGGAAGTCGAGGTGAACATGGGGTTCGCGGCGACGCAACGTGGCGGAGCCCGCACCTCGCTGAGATATTCCGCCTCCAGCTTGTTCTGCTCGTTGATATTCCCAAACATAAGCCCGGCCAGCCGGCCTTTCTGCTCGTTGTCTGGACCCTCCGACATCCTCGCTCTCCCCCTTCCCCAGCGCCTCACGAGCGCCGCCCAGGCGCCTTGCGAGCCCCTGCAACGGGCTAGAGAGTGTCCCCGGTCATCTCCGCACACCAACTCAATGCGCACCGATGTGATTCGATCACCTGGTGGGCCACTTGCACCGAGGGCCGCGCGCCGAAGCTCTCGCAGCGCCCGCCGCCCCCAGACAGGTCAGGAAGCGGCACATCCCCTGCGCTGTCTTCCACCCGCTCGCCCTGCGGCGCTCTATTTTCTGCGCTCGCTGTCGCCCGCCTGGCAGTTCGAGGACGACAAAGCGGCTCCGCGGCACTCGCTGAACCGCCGCCCTGACGTCCGATCGCGCGCATTTCGACGCCCGAGTCCTGGTGCCTGTTACAAGTCCGTACGTAGATGGGCGAGGGTCGCGCGGCGTGGCGAACGAACCGACGGACTGAACGTTCAGGTCTGTTCCAGGCGTACCGCGGGGCGGAAAGAGAGGGAGCGGTCCTGGGCCACGCGCACGGCAGCCACACACCGGTGGGAGCTTGAGTGGCGCGAGCGCGCCGGGACGGGCCGCCCGGGTGCGAGCGGCTGCCTGTAGCTCGACGCTAGGATGGCCGACCTGGGAGAGGTCATATGCGTCCTCCTCACGAACCGCCAGGCACGTGCCCGCGCCCCTTCGTACCTGCACAAGGCACCAGCTTCCGCGCCCGGCGCCCGCGATCGAAGGTCCAAGCACGGACGCAACGCGTTCCTCACATCTCAGCGGCAGCCGTCATCGCGCGAATCCGCTCGGATCTGCCCCGCACGCTGCTCTGCAGGGCGACGTGCTGTACGAGCGGTACCTAGCGCCCCTTTCGGACGCCGAGCGGGGGGAGTTCCGCAGAGCCGCATGGGCGATGGCGTACCCGGTCCTCACCTCGGGCCACTGTAGGTGCGCACGGCGGCCACGCGCCTGCCCACATCCGCCCGACGCACCGAGTGTGTGTGCGCGTGCCGGTCCGCGCGACGAACATGAACGCACGCCTCCCGGCGCGACCGCTCACGCGTGGCACGGCCGCAGGGACGGCGAGGAGCAGATCGGGTCGTGGAAGGGCTCCAGACTTGCGTGGATGACGCTGAGCGAGGTGGTGGTGATGGCAATGGGGCGCGGGCAGTGGGGGCCGCTGGAGCTCGGGATGCTGCTGCGGCAGCTGCTGAATGCGGCGCAGACGGCGACGAAGCAGAAGCCCGGGACGCTGAAGGAGGCGGTCGTGCTGCAGAGCTACAGCCGCGTGTGTTTGGCTGTCGACGACGTGCTGGCCACGGGGCGCCTGGAGCCGTACACGAAGAAAGAGATGGCCAAGAAGCTCAGCATGCGGGAGTTTAGGAAGTAGGGGGGCGCGGGAGGGGCAAGCGGTGGCAAGGGCGCCCGGAGGATGGTGTTGTCACCGTGAGAACAATGATGTTAATAATAATATGATATCCCGCGAACGACAGAGGTCATTGTGCGTGGACTGATTGTGCGGTGACAGGGAGTCACACTGGCGACTCGGGGGGTGATCTCTGGTGTCACATTCTTCACGTCGTCGGCCATCAGGCTGCAGGACCTGAAAAGATCATTCGACTGGGTGGCGAGTCATGTCGACTCCCAGCGTTGCAGTGGCGGCAGGTTCAGCAGCTGCGACAACGTCAGCTTTCAGTCTCTCGGTGCCCCGAGCTAAGAGCGCCATGCCTCGCCGATTCGGCAGGGTCTCAAGGTAGCCACGGCAGCGTCGTCAGTGGCATCGTAGTCGAGGGCTGCGGCCCCGTGTAGCTCCTCGAGGCACTGCCGCAGCCGGTGATTGAGGGCGAACCGGCGGCGCTGCCCACCGGTTGCCGGCGGGGCCGCGTCGGCGACGGGCGGCGTTGGTAGCAGAAGCTGCGCAGGCTAGTCCACGGCCAGACCTGCTCGTTCCCGCAGAGCGCGTGCCGCCGAGGCACGGCAGTCGGGATGTGAAAGCTTCGTCCCGGCTGCAGCCCGCGCCGTACGTCGGCGCCGTGCGGGGCGTCCTTGAGTGACTGACCGCGTCAGGGAGCCAGCGCTGCTTGGGTACTGACCGGTAGTCCAGTACGGAGCGTTTACCTGTGCGGGTCTTATCTGGCGCGCGAAAGCGCGATTTCAAAAGAGTTGCGTGTCAGTCCATGGGGGGGGGGCGGGGGGGGAGTTTTGGGCAAGTCGCGGGGATGTTTCGACACATAGTGCGCACGTCGGGGGGGTCAGGCGTGATAGCGAATCGCTGGGCGACAGCAAGTGGAGGTGTATCGCGCGAGGGGGGGTCAGGGGGGCTGTGTTCCTGCAACCATGCTCTTGCGCAGGGTCGTGCCAGCGGGCCGAGAACGGCGATCGGTGCGGTTTCGCACCGTTGCATCTGGCCTCACGAGCGCCTCTCGCAGAGTGGTCGATTCTTAGCGTATGTCGGCGGGTCAGCGGCAAACTAGGGCCGACTGGGTCACTGCGGTGCATGACGGTGTATGACTGACAGTCGCCTCGCGATCTCCGATCGTCGAGCTGCTGTACGTCCAGCGCTCGGGACGTCTCTGAGGACCCGCGGGGCTCAGTTTCAGCGGGGTGGCGCTCCGGGGGTGCGCACTGGGCAGTTAATAGGTCCCCCAGGGGGAGTAGCAGGTTGATCTGTCCGGTGTGAGGGGGGAGCGACCCGGAGGGGCCCAGGGGCGCGGAGAGTCGAAGGGCTAAGGCGGCGTGTGCCGCGGGCGCCGACGCGGCGCCGTGTGGGGCGAAATCGGGGACAAGGGGAGCGCCGGTGGCGGAAAGGGGGGGGGGAGTTTCCGAGGAACTTGCGGGGGGTGGTTCCATCGAATCTCGGTGGTTCCATGTCGCTCGGTGCGGGCGTTGTCGGTGTGTTGCACCGGCCTGCTCCGCCGGGGGTTAGAAAGCGTGCCACGACAACGCGGGCAACAGGCGTGCCGTATCTTCGGCGGCGCGCGTCGAGAGCTGCACCTGCGCTAGTCCGCGCCGCATGGTCGCGTCCTGGTATCTTTCGAAGCAGGGACGCACTGTCGGACAGCGCCGGTCGCGCTGGCGTGAGTCAGGGGGGGGGAGTGTCCGCGGGAACGAGCGAGACGCGCCGCCGCTCGCCCTTGGAGCCCGACGTGATGCTCGTCTGCGAGGGCTGCATCGGCGGCGCCCGCGTCAGGTACGTCACCATCACGCCCTTCCCCTTGACGTGCACGTGGTTGCGATTGGGCTTGAACAAACTCTGCAGGCTCACGTCCGTGAGCATCTGGAACGTCGTGGCCGAGATCTGAACGTGGTTCGCCTTCGCCGTCGTCTCCATGCGGCTCGCGGTGTTCTGCACAGGGAAAGCGGGGGTGTGAGGGGGAGTTGAGTCACCGCGGTCATCCTACTGCCCCCTGGGGCCGCGCGCGCGTCCAGCTGAGCGCGCACACGGCGTGCGAGCCAGACCAGGCAGCAGAGCGCGCCGCTCACCACTGTGTCGCCGAACAAGCTCAGGCGCTTGCCGACCAGTCCTGCCACGCCCGCCACCGCCGCCCCCGAATGCACCCCGACCCGCACCTCGAGCGGCCCCCCGTCGGGCTGCATCACGCCCTGCGCGAGCCCCGCCGCCCGCACCGCAAAGCGCACCACCGCGTCCGCGTGCTGCGGCTCCGCATGCAGCCCCGCGGCGACGATGTACGCGTCGCCAATCGTGTCCATCTTGAGCACCTGCGCCTCGCGGAACACGGCCTCCCGCCGCCGGTCCTTCCAGCGCCCGCCGCTCGCGGCGCCCTCGAGCGCGCTCGTGCGCGCGCCCTGCGACAGCACCGCAGCATCGAGGGTGCAAAAGAGCTTGTGCAGCATCCGCAGGATCGGATCCGGTCCGTTGCGCTCCGACATGGGCGTGAAGCCGACGACGTCGAGGAACATGATGGTGACGTTGTCGTGGTAGCGCGTGAAGGGGAGCGCGCCGTGCAGCGAGGCGACGGCGGCCTCGTCGCCGCTCATGACCTGGCGGATGGTCGCGAGGTGCTGCGCATTGGCGTCCGCGATGGCGCGCGCGACCTCGGGTGGGTAGATTTCGAGGATGACCGACTCGTGCTCCTGCTGCAGGCAGTGCATCTTGTACCCGCACGCGAACACCACCACCGACAGACACACGTTGATTCCCGACGCAACGGGGGCCTGCCCGAGCACCGCCATCCCGACGACCTCCTTGAGGATCTGCGCGACGAAGATCATCGCGGCGATGCCCGCGCTGTGCCACAGCGGCGCCGCGCTCATCAGCAGCAGCGCGGCCACGCCGGGCGCAACCAGCGGCGCCGCCGCGAGCACGAGCTCCCGTGGCGGCACGGCCGCGGCGCCGTCCAGAACCATCCGCAGCGCTGCCAGCGGCGAGCTCGGCGGCACCGTCGCGGCGTCGTACACCAAGTCCACCGTCTGGTTGGCCAAGGCCACCGCCGTGGTCATCACGATCGACAGCGTGGCGTACAGCGCGTCGTCGACGACGTGCGCGTTGTACATCGTGAGCAGGCACAGGTACGCGGTCTGCGGAAAGAGCACGCTCGACGGCACGGGCCACCGGTACTGGCGCATCACCGTCACGGTGGCGCACGTGGCGGCCGTGGCGCAGAGGAGCGCGGCGTTCCGCAGGAGCCGCGAGGTCCTCGTCGCCGCGCAGCCGCACCACAGCGTGACGTAGAACGCGGCGATGCTGGCCAGGCCGTCCAGCGTCATCGTGAGCACCACGATCCGCGACCCGGGCGCAGGGTCCGTGAGTAGGACCCAGAGGTACCAGGGGAGCATGGCGAGGTCGACGCCGCCGTTGAGGAGCAGCGCGAAGCAGTGCTTCGGCTTCCCGCCCGCGGACACGCCGGCGGCGTCCAGTTTACCCCCCCACAGCACCTGAGACTTGGCGTCAGGGCGCAGGCCGAGGTCCGAGGACGCGCGCGAGCTGCCCGTGAGGCGGCCGAGGATGGGGGCGAAGCGGCTGGGCGCGGGGCCGACGGTGCCGCGGCGCGGGCGGATGACGCGACCCGGCGCGTCCTGCTCGCCCCCGGCGCGGTGTCGCTGCGCGCCGTGCGCGCCGCGCAAGTCCCCGCGATGCTGCCGCGCGTCGAAGTCCTTCGCGTCCCTCTGGAACGAAGAGAGGTTCGCGACGTCGATGTAGGCCGTCGCGGACGGCTGCGGGGGCCCGTCCAGGTCCGTGGAGGGGCGGCCGAGGGAGCCAGGCGCGCTGCGGCGGTGAGAGCTATCCGTGAGCGCCTGGTACTTGACCTCGAGGCTGTCGTGGAGCCGCAGGGCTTCCTCCGGCCGCACCGCGCGCCCGTCAGCCAGCGACACGGCGGCGCCGCGGAGCACACCCAAGATTCGAGCGTCCCACTGCGGTGCCTGCGCGGCCAAACTGGGCCTCTCGCGCGGCGAAAGACTGTCGCCGCTGTGTCCGGTGCCGCCCTCGATCTTGGCTTGCGACCGCTCGCTGCGGCTCGGCCCTGCAAGCCGCGCGCGCTGGGCGTGCAACGCAGAGTAGGCAATCATGACGGCGCCCACTCCCATCGTCGCTAGCCACGCCGAGGCCGCGCGCGGGCCCGTGACCTGCCCGACGACTGCTGTGAGAACGAGCGTGGCCCCCACGACGAAGATGCGCAGGGTGTGTTGTCGCACGATCGCGCCGGACACCGCCGCTATCCCCACCGCGAGCAGGACGCTCAGCTCGGACGAGGGCAGCGGTACCTCGGGGAGGAAGGATGCCGCCGCCTCCGCGAGCATCTCGTCTGCCTGCACCAGCTGGAGGGGAGCGACGAGTGTTTTTGACATCGTCGGGGACGCGCGCAGCGGGGGAGTTTTAAGGGACCGCGGCCTCGCTGCGAAGGCGAGGGTGGTCTGGTGCACGCGCGGCGCGAGGGCGGCCGCAGTGGCGCAGCCAGTTGTTCTGTGGGGCGCTCTTGAGTTGGCACAACTTGTGACACGCGCCGGCGCAGGGCAGGGGCGAACTGCACCACGCCCTGCGTCGGCGTGCGCGTACGAGATGCGATGCGTCCGGAAAGCGCGGCGCGCGGGTGCGGGCGCGGCCGAACAGAGCGGCACGAGCGGGTGGAGGTCCGGAGTGCGGCAAACCGCAACGTCGAGCGCGGGGCCGGGCGCGAAGCCTGCCGCCCGTCCTATCGTGACGATGCGCTCGGCGTTGAGCGCTGCTAGGGGCACGCCGGGGCGCGCCCCCGGGCGCACGTCGCGTCACCTCCTACTGGCCACAGAGGCCATCAGACACATTACGCGCGGCTGCTGCGGCCGCAGAAGCCGGCGCTCTGCGCCCCAGGCGTGGCCTGTGGGTAGAGGGGCCGATGCCTGGGCGCGGACCCTGGAAAACTCGGGGCCCAGCTGTGCGTGCGTGCGCTGCCGAGGTCAGAGGATTGGTGGGTGCTTACGCTCACGGGGCCGAGAGGGGCGGAGGTGGCCGGATGCTGGGAGGACAAATACACTGCGCCGGGGAGGCGACGCAAGAGGCGACTAAGGAGCGGCCATGCGGCTGCACTCGATCTCTGACCCAGTCGGCGACATGCACTGGCCTCGAACCGGCCTGCGCTGCAGCCAGCGACTGTCCACAGGCCCCTCGAAATGTCGTCGTTCGATTCTTCCGCCGCGCTCGCGGCCCGGCCGCTCTCATGGCCGCTCCCCTGGGGCTCGTACGTCCACGGGGACGGTTGCAACGCGTCAGGCCGCGTCCGCTCGCCTTCCTAACGCAAATGGCGGTCGCGGCCGTGGCCCCCACAGCTCCACCGGCCGCTGCAGGCATTCACGTTCCAGCTGTCGCCCGTCCAGCGACAGGCCGGCACGTGCGCCCCAGGTCTTGTGGCCCATTCAATGTGCAAGGCGCAAGTCACGCCAGGCGCACGTCCTGGCTTCGTAATTCGCTGCGACGACACCTCGCAGGACACCCTTGCATCGCTCGCCGGCGCCCCCGCAACGCGACCCCCGGCGCGCGCCCGCGCGGCCTGACAGAGTAGTAATTGACCTCACCGAGTCGGGCTCACATGACAGGCGTGCGAGCTCGCTGCCGCGTTCACGCGTGTCGTGTGCCTTCCGCCTGTCGCTGCGAGGGCCGCGCGCCCCCGCACGCACATCGCGCGCGGCCGCGCACCTCCAGAGCTACTCAACAGGTGACATGTCATCCTTGAGGCTCCCGCAGCGGTCGCGCGGCGTCCCTTGCTTGGAGTTGTCCGAGGCGACGCGCCGCAGCACGGACGACCCGCCCGCACCGCGCGTCCCGCTCAGGGGGCTCGCGCCGCGGCTCTGCTCGAGCGAGCGGTCGCCGTCCATCGGCGACGTCGCGTCGTGTGGCCGCTTCTCGCTCTGCAGCCGCCGCGCGCTGCGGGTCGCCGCCACGCCCGGCAGCGGCCCGCCCGGCGAGGACATTTGCGCGAAGCCGGGGGGCCCGCCTGCCCGCGGCTGCTGCTGCGGCGGGGACGTGAGCTCGCACGCCGAGCGCTCGGGGTGCTCCGAGGCGCCGCCGCGGCCGCACGGCAGCGCCGCGGGGCCGCCGGGCCGGCCCGTCGGCGGCGGCCGGTGGAAGAGCTCGTACTCGTTCGTGAACGCGTCGATCTCCCGCGGCTCCCACGCCATCTCCCCTGCAAGCACGGAGCGCAACACCACGACCATCAATCGAGGCCGCGCGGCGGCGCGGCGGCGCGCGCAGGGCCGGCGGGGGGTAGTTCGGGCCCGCACCGGTCGCGCCGAGGGCGGCGAGGAGCTCCGGGGGCTCGCTGCCCTGCTTGACGTGCGTTACGGCGCGGGGCGCGCCCTCGAACCTCTGCAGGTGCGCGACGGCGCGGTCCGCGGCGGCGACGAAGGCCTTCGGCGCGCGCTCGCCGACCCAGACGTACATGCGCGTCGCGGTGTGCACGACGAACGCGCCGCGCGGGTCGAGCGTCGTCAGTGTGGGTTGCGCGCTCTTGGGGACGACGTTGTGCGGGTCGTGCTCCGAGTACGGCGCGAGGCGGAACACCCGCGCGTGCGGGTTCGAGCACTCCGAGGACGCGCTCGTCGGGCGGCCGAGGCAGGGCGAGCCCACGGGCACCAGCGGCAGGTTGCGCCGCCGGTGCCACTGCAGCAGCTGGCAAATGAAGCCGATGTTCGGGTTCACGATGCCGCGGGCGGCCTGCGGAGAGAGACGCGGGGCCGCGGCCGTCAGGCGCGGGGCGTGCGCGCGCGCGCGCGCGCGTGTGTGTGTGCGACGACAAGTTACGTGCGGGGCGCGCACCTTCACGCGGCCGTACACCTCGTCGTAGGGCCGGCCGGTCTTCCACATGATGTATGCGATGGCGAGGGCTGCGGAGCGCGAGACGCCCTGGGAGCAGTGCAGGAGGACGCGGCCCCCGGAGGCGATGGCGTCGTCGACGAAGGACAAGACGTCGTAGAGCACGCCGAGGAGGTCCTCCGCGGTCGAGTCTAGGATGCGAAGCGTCATGTACTTGAGCTCGTCCTGCGGGGCGGCGCGCGGGGCGGGAGGCGTCGGAGGCGTCGCGTGCGAGGGGCTGCGAGGGCAACGTGTACGTCGTGTGTCGGGTGTGCCTGGCCGCGCTGGCGGGGGCCGCGGGGCGCGCGGGGGGCGCCGCGGGGGAGGGGAACGTCGAATGCGGAGCCGGGGGGCTGCGGGAGGCGGAATCCAGGCGGGCGGTGGCCGCGGGAGGCGGCTCGTTGCGAGTGCAACGGGGCGGACGCGCGGCGGCACGTGGCCGCTCGGCGGGGCCGCGTCTGGCCGCGCGGGGCCGCGCGTGGCGGGTGCGCGGCCGGGGAAGGTCCGCGGCCGGCGGCGGGGCGCGCGGGCGCGTCGAGCGCGCCGGGCGGGCGCAGCTGGCTTCGTCTTGCACATGGTATGGTACAGGGCGGGCGGGTCGCGGCGCGCGAGGGACGGCTGGGTGCGCGTCGGGGCGCCGAGAGGGTCGCGGGGAGCCGGGTGGCTGCCCGGGGGCGGAGCGGGCGTGTCGTCCGCGGCTGTGCGGGCCGGCCGCGGGCGTGATGTGGGCTGCGGCCGGGGACGGGGCGCGGGCGCGCGCGGGGGCGCGGTGGTGGGCGGGGGCGCGCGCGCGCGGCGCGTGGGGGCGCACGGACCTCGAAGAAGTTTTGTACGCCGTCGCGGGAGTTGAACGCGACCGTGTTGACGACGTGCGTGATCCCGGACTCGCGCAGCAAGTCCCGGTTGCGCGCCACGGGCTCGCCCGCGACGTAGAGCCCCTGCGACACCTCGCTGCACTTCCCCTGGAACAAGGCGAACTTCTGGCGCCGCGCCTGGATCTCGTTGAGCGGGAGCTCCTCGCGGGAGGCCGCAGCACCAATGTCCAGGCGCCCCAGCGAGGCGCGGAGCTGGGACGCGCCGGAGCCGCGGCCGACGCCGCTGCCGTCGCTCCACACGGACCGCTCTATGAAGCGAGCCCGGAAGTTCATGTACGTCGCCTCCCCGTCCCCTAGCGATTTCAGCGCGTCTATGGGCTGGTCCAGCATTCCCGCGAACGTCGGCCCAGGGAACTCACGCCGCCTCAGGCCGACACCATGGGCCTGCTGGTGCGCGTCGCACCGCGCGGGAGGGCTCTCGCGGACCCACGCCGGCTGCGAAGCTCCGAAAAATCGCTCCGAAAGATCGCCCCAGGGAAACCAAACCGCCGCGGCACGGCCGCTACCGGACGCGAGAGAGCAGCAGGGCGCGCGAAAACCGATCCCGGCTCCTTCTCCGCCACGTCGCTCGCAACTGGCCCGCCGCGCCGGCCGCGCGCGTCCCTGCAGCGCCCCGGACAGACGTAGCAGTTGGCAGACCCCGACTCCACACCTCCGCGCCCGTGAGTCATCGCGCCGACACGCCGCGCCTCGCGGCCGGCCGCGACGCCCCATGTCCCCCCTCCGCGCGCCCGCAAGCGACGCGGCGGACACCGCCCCGCGGCCCCGCAGCGCGGACCGGCCTCCGTTGGGTGGCCGTGCGGCTGTCCGCGCACACCGCACGCACGCACTCGCCGCCACGCACCCGCCGTTCGCGACGGCCGCCCCGCCCGCACGCAAGGCCGCGCCGGGACGGCGTCCCTGTCCCGGGGAACCCCGACGTCGCGTTTCAACGCAACAACAACAACAACGTATACGTATACGTACCACGTACGTACGTAGTGTGCTTGTTTGTCAGGCTTACAGCTGCATGGTCGCAGCGCTGCAGCGCTGCCTGCGCGCCCAGCTGCCTGCTCGTCGCGCGGCGCCGTGACTACATCGGCGGGACGTGGTGCACCGCCTGCGAGATGTGCAGGCGCGCCGTGGCCTCGTACAGTTCCTCCGGGATCTTGTACTGCTCGAGCACGAGCCCGAGCCTGCGCGACGCGGACGGCGACCGGAACGCGCGCACCGCGTGCAGGGCGTCCCCGCGGAACTCGACCATGGTGTTGTTGACGGGGGGCAGCACCAGCGCGGGTGGGTCGTGCTCGTCCGAGTCCACGGTCCACACGACGAGCTCGCCGCCGTCCATGTCGCTCGGCACCTCGAGGTAGATCACGTTGACCTGGTGCGCCACGAACTCGTGGTACGGGTGCAGGTAGTGCCGCGCGGTGTTGTCGACGTGCGGGCCGACGCCGAACGGGCCCAGGCCCTCCGCCTCGCGCGCCGTCTCCGCGGGGGAGTCGTCCTGCGAGCGGGGAGTTGCGGCGAGCGGTGGGGTCGCGTGTGCGGGGTGAGCGTGCGCGGGCGTTGCGGGGCGCGCGCGTGGCAGCGCGCACCTGGGCGGAGTCGCGCGGCTGCACCGAGAGGACGTTCATGACGAACGTGTTCGCGTCGGGGTTGCGCGCGGCGTCCAGGTACGGCAGCAGGCAGCTCAGGTGCGGGAGGTGACGGAGGTCCGCGAGGCCGCCTGCAGCACCACGACACCCTCGAGCCTTCACCGGTCTGACAGACGGACAGATCGACGGTGCTGACGGCAGGCAGGTCCGGGGCCGGGATACAATCACCTCGGTTGAACGCGAGCATGAGTCCGTACGTCCCGCCGAAGTTCTCTTCGTCCAGAGCGTTGTCCATTTGAGAGAACCTGTCCGCGCAGGCGCGGAGCTTCGCGAGGTCGTCGTGCGGCAGGAAGTCCCGCGTGACCTGCACCAGCGGCTGCTCGTGCTCGCACGACACGTGCAGCGTGGCGTACACGCCGTCGTCGTCCGCGAACAACATCGGCGTCACAAACCACGCCCACGCCTGCGGGGCGCCGGTGCGGGGCGCGCGGACGTGACGCGGTGCAGCTACGACAGCAGAGCGTCACCGCGAACGACGGGTCGCGCTCTCGTGCGGCGGTTCGCGGGGCCACTTGCCATTCCGAGGAGAACGCAGACGATAGCGGCCGGCCATTGACGCATGATCGCCGCCTTCCAAGCTGGCTTCGAGGCCGGGGCCGCAGGCTGCGTCTCGGGCTCCTGGCTGCTGCCGCGGGAGCGCGTCTCGACGTTCACTGCAGCGTCGGACTTGTCCTTGGTAGCTGCGACATCTGGCTGCCGGGGCCTGGACGGCATCGTTGCGGCCTCGAGATCAGTCCTAGCTGCTAGTGCACGCGCAGGCACGCAGGCCGGGCCTTGGCGCGCGCGGGCGGGCGGCGCGTGCCCTCGTGTGCTGCCAGCTCAGACATCCGCTGCCAGCATACGTGGCGTCTCGGGGAACACGACGAAGCGGGGGACGGTGTCGCGGCGTGCCTCACACTCAGTCGAATATATATCGACGCTGGCTGCGGCGCTGCGCGGTCTGATGGGGAAGGAGGGTGGGCACGAGCGCTACAAGCTCTCTGTCTCCGTCGAGCGACTTAGAACTTGAGCTTCGTGAAGAACCACCTGTTCTTGCCCAGCTTGAACCGGTCCTCCAGCACCTGCGCCACACGCACAGCGAACCACGCCGCGTCGGGAGGCGTCGTGCGCAGGCCGCAGCCACGCCTGGGCGGCGGCGCGGCGCGCCGCGCGCCGGGTCTGCAGCGGAAGGCGTGCGGCCTCTCGGTCACTGGGCGCGAGACGCACCTTCTTGGCCTCCTTGTTCGCGAGGACCCGCTTCGAGGGCGCGGCCCGGCGGTGGCTCTTGTTCTCCTTCTTCCCGTCCGAGGCGTCCGCGAGGACCTCCGCGGTGGCGACCGACTTGAGGTCGACGTCCATGCTGTAGCGCGTGGGCATCAGGTGCTGGTAGTTCACGCACTTGACGAACGTCTTGATGCGCGCCTTGGCTGCCTGGGTCTTGGAGTCCTGGCGCTTCGTCACCTGCGCGCACCGCTCCGTGGACGGGGACGGCGCGTCAGGAACGCAGTATGCGGCGCGGAGGCGGGAGCCGTCGTGCCGGAACGCCGCGGCGCGGGGCGAACGCGAGGGTGCAGGGGTGGGGGTGGGCGCGTGCGCCCCGGGCCGGCGGTGCGCGGCGGGCGGAGTTGGTGGGGCGGTGTTCGTGCGCGGGCGTTACCTTGCGCGGCGGCTTGCTCAGGCCGACGACCATGGCGTGGCCGTAGTTGCGGCTGGCGGTGCCGTCGTCGTACGACTTGACGATGACCGCCTTGCAGCCGGCGTACCTGCCAGCCAGCAGGATGACCACCTTGCCAGGCTGCGGACACGGGCGGGGGGCGGCCGCGTTGGGCGCGGGAGCGGGGCGGGGCTGTGCGGGAGAGGGGCAGGCGGGGCCCGCAGCGCTGCGACGCCGCAGCGGCGTGGCGTCGTGGACTTGCGGGACGTGGACCGGTCGAGCCGGCCGGCGGGGCTCCGGACGGGGCGGTGGGGGCGGTCAGGGCGCAGGGCGGGGGCGAGGCGGCGTCGAAGGTGCAAGAGGGGCCCGGCGAGGCTGCGGCTGGGGGCCTAGGCCGTACGCGGGAGCGCTTCCCGCGGCTACGTACGGCCAGCATGAGCGCGGGGCCGCGCTTCGGCCTCGGCGCTCGCTGCTGCGGCCTCGAGAGCTGTCAGGAGCAGGCCTCTGGCCCTGCGACGCGGCTCTGGGCCGCCGCCGCGACGACAGCGGCGAACCGGGCGGAGGAGGTGAAATATTCGCTCGCGGCATCGGGCGCGCGGTGCGCAGCCGCAAGCAGGGGCCCTGCAAGGGGCGACAAGAGCGTCGACTCCGGGCCGACGCGTCGTCTCGCAGCCAGAGGCGCGCTCGCCGTGCTTGCTGCCGGAGCAGCAGAGCTTCGGGGCCGTGGGCGGATGGCCCAGCGCTCGTGGCCCCGTCGTCGCTCACGGGAGACGTCGCAGCCGGCAGCTCGCGCGCGCGCACGCACCTTCAGGAACTTCACCATCCTGCTATCCCACGCTCTCAAAACTCCCGGAAGGACAGGTCACGGTCGCGCGCGGCGGCATTCATGCGCGAGCGCCGCGTCGTACTCGGCGTGCTGAGCACGGGAATTCCCCCCGTCGTCAGGTCGCTCCCCAGGGCTCGAACGCGCCGGTTTCGCAGCCTCTGCGACACTTCATGGTGTACGGCCATCGATCGTCCACCGCAACACGCACTCCACCGCCCCGCCGCTCCGTGCCGAGGCAGGATGCCACCGGCAGTGTTCCAGCGGCCGTCCCTCGATGGCTGCGCGCCCGCAGAGCCTTCAACGCCGTCCAGGGCGCCTTCATGCGAGCTAGATGCAGGCGCCATCGTAGCGAGGTGGATGAAGACCGCAGGCGATGCCACTGAGGCACCGAGCAGGTACGCGCACGCCGCGGCGCCCGCACAGCTGCAGCGCCGCCCCACCGCACCATTGCATGGTTTCAAGCCATGTCTGCACCGAATGTATCCGTACCTACCCACGGGCGCCGCGCAGCCTCGACGTCCTGCCCGAATTACGCTGCGCGGTGCGACAGAGCTGGTGGTGGTGTTCACACGCAGAGCACGCACCCACCGCGCTCCGCAGCCGCATCGAGGCCCTCAACGAGCTTGCGGCGAGGGTCGAGGCGTCCGACGCTTTCTTCGACGCCGCGAGCAGGGAGTCGGCTCCCTCCGCGCTCACCGCCCTCGTACGCCGCCTGTCATCGCTGCCGAATCCCACCGACGACGACTGCGCGGTCCTCGACGCGGCCGCCGCCGCCATCGCCGCCTGCAGCGGCCACGCGGCGCGCGGGAGCAGGTCGGCCACCCTCACCTTTGGCGTCGCGGGCACCGCCAGCGTCGACGTTCGGATCACGGAAGGCGCCCTGGGCGACGGCCTCGGGATGCGCCTCTGGCCCGGAGCGTTCGCGCTCTGCAACGAGCTGTGCGCGGCGCGCGCGTGGGTCGCTGGCCGCGCCGTCCTGGAGCTAGGCGCCGGGACGGGCCTGGCGGGGATTGTGGGCGCGAAACTTGGGGCCGCGTCAGTGTGTCTGACGGACTTCGAGGCCCCGGTGCTCGCGAACCTCGCGGCGTGCGTGCGCGCGAACTGCGCCGCCGAGGAGCCCGGACCTGACGCCAGCGACTGGGACTCCCCCGGGATGTCTGTGCGGCACCTCGACTGGCGGGCGGAGCGGGACGCCGTGCGGTCCGGCTCGGCCGCCGCGCTCGAGCGCTACACGACGGCCGCGTGCCCGAGCGTCGAGCCCGGCGCGACGTTCTCTCGCGTGCTCGCCGCGGACGTGCTGTACGACATGGGCGCTGCGAGGGACCTCCCGTACGCCGTCGCGCGCAGGATGGCGCCCGGCGGGGCGTGCTTGGTCTGCGGACCCGTGCGCCAGCACCGGGTGTTCGAGGCGTTCGTGGCCGAGTGCCGCGGGCTAGGCCTGCGCGTCGGCTGGGTCGACGTGGCGGGCGGCGACACGCACGCGTACCAGGCGAGCCGACGCACGCTCCAGCCGCGCTGCATCGTGCGGGGTCAGAGGGACGCCGTGCTTCGCCGGAGCTCTCACACACTGCAAGGAAGCAAGCTGATATATATTAAACAACTTATATATATTTTATTAATTATTTAAACAACTTATGGTCACGCCGTTCCTCCGTGCTCTGCAGGGTGTGCGCCCGCGTGGGTACGACTACGAGGGCGGCTGGAAGCTGGTCGGCGTGGACCACGCCGACGCTCCGTGCGCGGAGTGGCACCGCGCGTTCGACTTCTCGCGCGACGACCACGTCAAGGCCTGCCCGTGTCAGCTGTGTGCTGCAGCGGAGCGCATCGGGCCGGGCGCGGACGGCCCCCCGGCCGCTGCCTGATCCGTTGTGAGCGGTTGATGCGAGCGGGGCGTCATGAGAGCGTCAGCGCAGGGATGTGGTGCTGCAGCACGCGCGGAGGCGTGCGGGACTGGGCACAGCGAACGCTGGGGCAGCGCAGCCCTGGCCGTCCGTCGGTGTCACTCAGGAAGCCAGAACTGTTGCGTGCTCGTGTTACATGTTGCATCGCCCCGACGCCCTGCGAGCACCTGTGCTGCTGCAGCACGGCGAGTTGTCGACCGGCGCAGCGGTGGCACGGTGCGGCCGCACGAACTCTAGGTGCAGGTGTTTGCAGAAAGCCGCACGCGGCCCTGCGAGCACGCCTGTGCCCACACATCGTGCCGGCGCCCCGCCGCACTGCTGCGTCTGCAACCCGCCCGCACCGGGCTCACGCGGCCGCGGGCACCGGCCCGGCGCCGAGCTCGTCCTTGAGCGCCGCGAGCCACGTCTTCACGCGGTGCTTGTTGACGCCCATGTCGCCCACACCCATCTCGCTGCAACTGTACACCGCCAGCGTCGACGAGCCCGCGGGGGCGTCCGGCGAGAAGCGCTGCGCGTCGAAGAACTGCGCACGCACACGAACGAACGCGCCGCGGCGAAATGAGCCGCTCCGCGCGACTCCAACCCCCGCAGTACGCTGCTACTGCAGCTACGCAGCGCGGGGCACTTTGGCGCGGGCGCTGCGCCGGGAGGGAGGTGCTGGCTGGAGTCGCCGCCGTCGGTCGATTCAGGCGCCTCGTGGCGACCGCGCTTTCGTCTCTGCTGCGATTTCGTGCGCGTCCTCCTGTGCTGGCGTGTGTTCATACCTGCACGATTATGTCGTCCGGAAACTCCATCTTCGCGCTGCGCTGTATGAAACAGTACTGCTCCACGTCCGGGAAGGACTTCTCCTCCGTCGTGCGCGGCTGCTTCGCGATCATGCTCTTCCACGCGTCCCTGCGTGACAGTGTGCGCGACACGGTTGTGTGGGGACGGCACGGGCGACGGTCCCGCGGCCAGACAGCGGCGCTACGAGCGTGCAGGGCAGCAGAATGACACGGATGATTGCGTGCGCGCAATATTCCGCGGTGGTTCACAAGTATTCGCGTCGAAACCGTGGCCCAGACGGCTGCGGGAGCGTGTCCGACGGTAGACGCACGGGTGGCCGAGACATGACGCGGGAAGTTCGCACACGCGCACAACCAGATGCAAGTGATCGCGTGCGCCTGAGTGCGACGGTGGGAAGGTCGGTAGGCGTCTGTGCGGCGGCATCTGAGGTGAGCTTACCTCAGGGAGCTCGGCGACACGCCCTCGTACACGTCCGCGACTTGGTTCGGCGACGCGTTGGTGCAGAGGCTGGTTGGAGCAACGAGATACTTGTGGGGCATCCACGTGGGCTTGAACGTGGCGAAGTCGAACGGCTCGTCGCCAGGAATGATACTGTGCTTGTTGCCCATGGTCTCAGCGCGCTAATTAGAGCCAAAACAGGATGAAGTCCGCCGTTCTACGCAGGCCAGATACTAAGCGTGCCCTGAGAGACAGAATAGAGGGGTGTTCCAGCGCTCAAGTGCGCCGCGGACGACGCCTGCGCGTTGCTAGGCCCAGAACAAAAGCAAGCCCGTGTGACGTTGCGACCACTCAAATCTCTTTGAAATAACTGCGAGTTGGTGCTTCGCGATCGGATTGATGCATCGCATGGCGCTCTCGCATCTCATGTCGCCGCGAGCCTGCGCAACTCGAGCGGGGGGAGTTGATCGCAAAGGACCCCCTCCCCGCGCCACACAGCGCCGCGTCTCCACACACACTCCTCCGCCTCGACCGCCCCCCGCCGCGCCACCGATCCCCGCAACGTACAACAGTCAACGACGCGCGTCAGTCTGACCAAGCTCAACAAAAGTAATTGACCACCACCCGCGCAAGAGACGAAACGCAATGCGGGTGTTATCCGGTCGACGGCACACCTGCACACTAACACCCCAACGTCACAGCGGGCGCACGCCCATCGTCCGCCCCCTCCTACTCCTCCGCGGGCGCCGCCTCCCCCCCCGCGTCATCCCCCCCCCCGCGGTTCTCCGCCATCCACTTCTCCGTGAACTTGTCCGCCTCGACGAGCTCGAAGCAGCGCCGCCCGGCCACCACCAGCCCGCCCACGTAGAAGTCGTCCACGGCGTAGATCTCGCCGTTCGAGTCGGGCTTCTGCAGCCTCCGCCGCTCCATGAACTTGCCGCCCATGATCCCGCTGTTCCGCACGGGCGGCTCGTAGATCCCCACCGTGTCGTCCGCGGGGTAGAAGCTCAGCACGAACCGCCGCTCCTCGTCCGCCGGCCCGACGGGCGCCAGGCCCTCCATGTCGACCATGCGCCCGACGAAGCGCAGCGCGACGCCGTCGTAGTTGAGGAACTTGGTCCAGCTCGGCTTCGGGGGCTTCGGGACGAGGCGCAGCACGGACTGCATCTGGTCGCGCTCGCTGCCGATGCCGTACCAGTCCGGCGCGACCGAGGCCACGGGCACCTTGAGCGGCTGGTCGACGCGGTCGCGGATGTCGATCGGCGCCATGTCGGCCTCGCCCATGCCGCCCTTCTCGATGTACCACGCGCGCGTGAACTCGTCGCAGTCGTACAAAAAGAGCTTCCGGCCAAAGATGTTGACGTAGCCGCCGATGCAGAGGTCCGTCCAGCGGTACGCCGGGAGCGGGCGCGGCGTGTACGTCGACATCATCGTGTGGTCCTTCGGCACGCGCCCGCGCCGGAGCAGCTGCGGGAACGGGTCGCGCCCGTGCTTGTGCGACTCCGGGTCCGTCGACACCGACATCGTGTCGTCCGCGAGGTAGTACAGCACGGAGAAGGCGAGCTTGTCGCCGTACAGGCTCTCGCTGTCGTCCCAGAGCGCGAAGAACCGCAGGACCTTGCGGTCGTACGCGAAGAACTGCTGCAGCTGCTCGCGCCAGCGGTTGGGGTCTCGGCGGCCGTGCTGCGTCTCCGTGCGGTTGGCCGCGGCCGTGCGGAACGGGTCGACGGGGAGCTCCTCGTCCGGCGCGACGTCGATGCCCTGCTCGGTGAGGAAGTACCGCGTGAAGCCGTCGCACGACGTGATGTGGTAGGTGCGGCCGTAGAGGGTGAGCTCGGAGCCGACGACGATGCGGTCGAACGTGACGGGCTCGCCGTCGTCCGTCTCGACGCGGTGCCGGGAGAGCAGCTGGCCCTGCGGGATCCCGGAGTTGTCCTCGCGCGGCTCCGACATGTGCAGCGTGCTGTCCTCGAGGTAAAAGTACAGCGTCACGTAGCGGATGCGGAAGTTCTCCATCGCGGACTCCACCACGGGCTCCTTGAAGAACCCTGCGGCCGAGCGGGCGCGGCGGCGCGCGTTGGGCGCTTCCTGCGCGCGCACGGCCCAGGGACGGCCGCGCGGCGCCGGAGCGCACCGCGCGGGGACGCGGGGCCGCGCGCGGGGCTCGCGGGGGCGGTTGCGCGGCGGAGGCGGGGTGTGTGCGACGCACCGGTGAACCTGAGGACCTTCCTGTCGAACGCGAGCCATTGCGGGGTCTGCGGGCGGTATGAGTCCCCCCAGTGGTTGACCTCGGAGACCTTGGGGGCGACGGTGGGGTCCCCGATCGGCATGCTGAGTTTGAGCTCCGCCGTGCTCGCGAGGAGCTCGTCAGCGTTCTCAATCTCCGCCGGCAGCGGGTCCATGACCTGCGGTACGCCGTGCACGTAGCGCAGGTGCTGCGTGCGGCGCCCCGTGGCCTTCGTGGGGTCCCATGGCTGGAACCCCGGCAGGACCTTCGGGATCGTGACCCCCTGCGGCGACGCGGGCGCGGAAGCGGGCGGGGTGGGCGTGGCCGAGTGCGGGAGCGCCGCTGCCGCCGCGGACGGCCCGCGCGGCGCGGAGATACCGCGCGGAGGCGAAAGGGTGGATGCGTGCGGAGGTGCTCTGGGCTTTGCGTGTGCAGTGGGGCACGGCGGAGGCGCTGCGGGCGCCGAAAGGGGGCTGGGCACATGCACTGGGCTGGGAATTCGAGGTCGGCTGCGCGTGCGGGGGCGCAGAGGCCGCGTGCGACGGCGTGGCGGTGTGCGAGGGGGTCTGGCTTGCGCGGCGGGCCCGCCCGCGCTCGGTCTGGGCGCGTGCGGCGGCGCGGAGGCCACAGGCATGCCCGGCCTCAATGACCGCTGCCTGAGGCGCGCGCGACGCGCGGCGAGGCGTGATTCTGGGGAATACCGGGCGCCTCGATGTAGAAGACGCGTGAGGCGGCGGGAAGAGACGCTCTCGGCGCCAGGTCGCCTCGGACGACGGGCGCTCGATGGTTCGGCCGGGCGCACCTCGGGGATCTCGACGCCTTCGGCCGTCATGTCTCACGGACCGGCCAGAACTGATTTCAGGCGGCCACCTGGCGCGCTGGCGAGGTGACGCGCGGCGCAGGTCGGCTCGCGGAGCACAACCACTTTCCCAAAACGCCAGTCCACGCCGCCTCGACGGTCCCCGTCGCTCCGGCAACAACCCTGCCGATGTCCTCGGGCTCTGTGCGTGCGCCCGCGCCCGCCGCGGCCCCTCGTCCTCCCCGCAACGCGCCGCGCGGGGCCACTTGACGCCGCTGTCAGGACAGACGGAGCGCGTGCCGGCACCGGCCGCCTCGAGCGCGCGACACCTGCCACACGCGCGCAACCAGCATCGACCCGCCGACGCGCCCCGCCCCTCTCGGCTCCGCGCGCCCCGCGGCACCGCGGAGCCAAGCGGTCGCTGCCCGCCGCAAGCGCGAACGAAGCAACTGATTGATGACATAGTACTTCGCGCACTGTGACCCGGCGAGCCCCGCACACAGCATGGGCCGTGGTCTCACACGGCGGCGGCGGTGCAGCCTCGTTGCCGCCAGTCGCGTCTTGGTTCGTTTCTCCTGAAATAAGGTATGAAGGTTCGTAGAGCAGGAAGCTCATGGTGGGCTCGCTCGGTGGCCGGGCCGAGCGGAGTGCGGGCCGCGGCGAGGCAACGGCGCGGTGGTCGCGTCAGGGCGTGTGTGTTGGACGTCCGCGGGGGCGTGCGAAGGTTGGTGGTAATGGTAGGGGGGTGTTCTGGTAAGGGGGGGCCGGGTGGTGGTGCAGGTGTGGGTTGAGGTGGGTGGTTGAGCGGTGTGAGGTCTGGGTGCGCGGGGGCGCGTTGCGGCGGTGGGGGCGCAGCGGTTGGCCTTTTGCACGGCGTGAGTGTGCTCGGGTTCGGACTGCGCGGGGGCGGAAAAGGATGGCTGCGAGCGCGGGGGCGGCGCCCGTCAGCTGGCCGCGTCCGGGTCGGGCCGCGTGACCCTGTCCAGGCGCGTAGCGCTGTTGTTCCTGTGCGCGGTGCTGCTGCCGCCGTGCTGCAGCTGCGCCTCGTGCTGCGAGTCCAGGCCGCCCTCGCCCTCGAACTCGCTGACGCGGTTGATGATCGGGAACGACCGGATGCTGAAGTCGCGCGGGAGGGCGCGGGGCGCGGGGGACGACACCACGGGCGCGCGCGGGGCGCCCGCGGGGCCGCAGGGCACGGCCGCGACGAGCGGCTGCGGGCGCAGGAGGCTCGCGGCGCGCAGGGCGCTCACGGGCGACGACGGAACGCCCGTCCGGATCCCTGCGCGTGCGCTCAGCGCCAGCGGGTTGCCCGCCGCGTTGCGGCGCGCCGCTGCCGCGACCCCCGCGAGCGAGACGCACGGCACGCTCGGCGGCCCGCGCACGGGCGCGCTGCGCGTCGTCTCCGCGCTGTCGCGCGCGCCGCCGCCCAGGTCGCTCCCGGAGGCGTCCGACGGCCGCGCCTTGCCGCCCGGGAGCGCCCACGACCCGCCCTGCGCCAGCGCCGCCTCGTCCGCCTCGTTCACGCGCTTGTACACCACGACCGTCCGCGCGGGCGCCAGCACGAACATGCTGCACGGGCGCTCGTCGTACTCCCCCGGCTGCGTGAAGTGGTCGACGTCGTGGCCGACGCGCCCGCGCCCGCCGAACTCGAACGCGTCGCTGTCGAGGAGCACGCGGTACTTCCCGGGCTCGCCGACGCCGACGCGCAGGCCCTCGTAGTCCTGCGCGGGGCTGAAGTTGAACACAAACACGAGCGGGCCGCGCTCCGCTACCAGGAGCTTGCACTCCTCGTCCTGCTTCGAGACGCACTGGTGCGGGTCGCTGAGGACGTGGTACTGCGCGTCGAGCCCCATCATGCGGCGGTCCCAGTCCAGGAGCTGCCGGTAGCGCAGGTGCTCCGAGTCGGCCAGCGACCACTGTCGCCGGCAGTGCTTGTGCGACCACCCGTTGCCCTCGCGCGGGAAGTCGATCCACTCCGGGTGCCCGAACTCGTTGCCCATGAACGTGAGCCACGACTCGCCGCCGATCGCGAACGTCACCGCGCGGATCATCTTGTGCAGCGACATCCCGCGCTCGATGACCGGGCTCGGCTCGGCGAGCGCCGACATGCCGTCGTAGATCTCCGGCCCGAACAGCCACATCGAGATCGTCTTGTCGCCGACCATCGCCTGGTCGTGCGACTCCGCGTACGCGATCGTGCGCTCCGAGTACCTGCGGTTGCAGAGCGTCGTCACCAGGTCCGACATCCGCCACATCTCGTCCGGCACCTCCTTCAGGAGCTGGATCCAGCGGTCCGGAATCGCCATGCCGAGCCGCATGTCGAACCCGAGGCCGTTCTCGGCCACGCGGCGGCACAGCCCGGGCATGCCCGACACGTCCTCGGCGACAGTCACCGCGTCGGGGTTGATGCGGTGCACGAGCTCGTTCGCGAGCATCAAGTACACGCACGCGTCGACGTTCGTGGCCGGCGAGAAGTACTCGTTGTAGTCCCCCGTGAACCCCACGTTGATCCCGTGGTGGTGGTACAACATCGACGTGACGCCGTCGAACCGGAAGCCGTCGAAGCGGTACTCCTCCATCCACCACCGCAGGTTGCTCAGCAGCATCCGGAGCACCTCCCACGCGTTGTAGTCGAACAGCCGCGAGTCCCACTGCCCGTGCCACCCGTCGGGGCCTGGCAAGAAGTACCCGCCGCCGCCGCCGTCGAGGTCGTACCCGGCGAGCCCGTCCAGCTCGTTCTTGCACACGTGCGAGTGCACCACGTCCAGCAAGCACGTCAGCCCCAGCCCGTGCGCCTTGTCAATCAAGTACTTGAGATCCTCCGGCGACCCCGACCGCGACGACACCGCGAACGGCAAGCTGACGTGGTACCCGAAGCTCGCGTAGTACGGGTGCTCCTGCACCGCCATCAGCTGCACCGCGTTGTACCCCAGGTCCGCGACGCGCGGGAGCACGTCGTCGGCAAACTCGCGGTACGTGCCCACGCGCTCCTCCTCCGCGCCCATCCCGACGTGGCACTCGTAGATCCGGAGCGCGCCGGAGTCCGCGGCCACGCCGCCGACCGGCCCGCCGTGCTCCCAGACGTGCCGGTCCTCCCCCGGGGGCTCCCAGTGCACCGCGTCGTACACGACGTTCCCGGGCTCCTGGCGGGCGAAGCGCGTCCACGCGGGGAGGCAGTCGCGCGTCCAGCCGTCGGGGTGCTGGAGGCGGATCTTGATGCGCGAGTCGTGCGCGACGGCGGGCGAGCCGTCCGCGCGCGCGGGCAGCTCGCACGACCACACGCCGTAGTCGCTGCGCTGCAGCGGCTCGCCCGTCCAGTCGTTGAAGTCGCCGATGAGCCACGCGTTCGCCGCGCCGGGCGCCCAGTCGCGGAAGACCTGGCTGCCGTCCTCGCGCGTCGTCAACCCCATGGAGCGGAAGCCGCCGGCGAAGTCGTACAGCGAGCCCTCGTGCTCGACAATGCCGCGGCGCGTGGACTGGAACTGGCGCCAGCGGTACTGCGGTGCGTCGGGGGGCGCGCGGGGGCGTGAGTGCGGGCGCGGGCGGGGCGGCGCGGCGCGCGGGCGGGCCGGGCGGCGCGCGGCGGCCGGGCAGCGCGGTGCGCCTTGTGGGGTCCGAGCTCTGGGTCGATGTCAAGGAGCCCGAGGCCGTCCTCGGCGGCGGATTCGAGGCGGCCGTCGCGGGAGCCGCTCGCGCAGCACGCGACGGACCGCCGGCCGGACGCGCTCGCGTGCCCGGGCAAGGCGTCCTTGAACGTCGGCCAACCGAACGTCGCCCGGTCGCTCGGCTCCATGCCGGATCCCTGCGCGGTGCGGCGCGCGAGGCGGGCTGGTCGTGAACGGGGCGCGGCGCGGCGCGGGCGGGGCCGTGCGGGCGCCGCAGGCGCCGAGCGCGCACGCAGCGGCAGCTGGTTGCTGCTGGTTGCGGCCGTTGCGGGCCGGCGCGGCGCCGCGGGGGCGGTTCCGGGCCGCGGGGGGGCGCGGGGGACCGCCTACCTCGCTGAGGTTGGCGTAGGACATGGAGGGGTGGAGGACGGTGGAGAGGCGGCTCTCAGACTCGGCCAGGTGCGTGGCGCTGCCGCCAGAGGACCGGAGCATGGGCTTCCGGTGGCCCCATCGCGGGACGCCGAACGCCCTGCGGTGGAGGGGGGAACTGGTGCGGGCGTTTGCGGGCGGCGCCGGGCCGCGCGGGGGCGGGGCCGCGCGGCGGGGCGGGGGGCGAGCGCTCCAACGGCAAGGGTGCTGGCTGGGAGGCTGGGGGCGGATCCGAGCGCGTGGGACGGGCATTTCGCGTTCCGGGGCGCGTTGGCGGGAGTGGGCGATGTGGAGACCGCGACGAGGGCCGAGGCACGGCGCCGCGCGCCCCGAGCGGGGAGCGCGCGGTGGTGCCCTGCGGCGGGGCTTGGGGGCAAGGGGCGTGGGCGGTGGCGCGCGAGGGCGGCGTGGCTGGTGCCGCGCGGGCGCGCAGGGATGTAGGGGGGCCGGGGCGGAGCTCGGGGCGTGCGCGGGGGCCCGGGCGGCGCACCAGAAGGGCATAGTTGTGCTTCTAGTGGAGGGAGAGGCCGAGGCCGGCGCACTGAGCGCCGTGCGGCGCTTGGGTTGCCACCCTGACTGCGGGTGAGAGGGGGGGCGGCGGGGGGTTGGCGAGCGGGTCGGGCGCGGGGGACGGAAGGGAGGTGGGCACGTCCTGCTAGGCGCCGTGGAGATGGAATGGGGTCGCGCCTGTCGTGGAACGGTGGCTTTACTGGCGCATCGATGCATGTAGCCACTGGGCTCGAGCTAGACGCCGCGTGGCGGGAACGACGATGGGCGGAGCGTTCGCGCAGTGGGAGCGCCGTGCTTCGAGCCTGTGCGGAAGGCCTGTGCAACCTACAGACGGGTCAGACGTCGAGGTGGTGCCGCGGATCGCTGTGCGGGCCACCAGCCGCCGCGCAGCCCCACGAAGCCCGCAGCGCCGCTCGGGCCCCCCCCGACGGTCGGTCGGTGCGCCCCGAACCTCTGGCTATGCGGTAACGCTCGCCGCCGGACGTGCGTTCGACATGCGTTCCTGTGTCGCCCGGACGTCGCGGCAGATGCGCGGCATCGCGACAGGGGACCCGAAATTCCCCGTTCAGCGCCAGCGTGAGCGACTTCAGGTTTCCGTCCGTACGTGGCGTCCGCGGATGAATGGCCGTGCGGGTCGAGGAGACACGTCTTATAGGATTCGCTTCGCGGAGAGACCGGCGGCAGACGCGCCGTGGCGACGTGTCGAGGTGCACAATTAGGCAAACGCCCATGCACAGGGCGGGGAGAGGTGTCCGACTGCGGCAGCAGCCCACTCTGGCCTCCTCCCTGGCTCACGAGTGCGAACGCGGCACCAACATCATCATCAACGATCGACGCGACGTGGCGGTGTTGGCGACACCAGTACATGCAGCACTGGATTCGACCGGTGCGACGCGGAGACGGATCCGCCCGCGCGCCCGTGTCGCTGCGCAGGCTGCCGACGTCAGCAGCGCCGCCGCGACGGCAGTGAGGCGCACCAGCGACTCCATTGCGGTGCGTGATGCCGTCGGCGGACCGCGGGCGGTGGCGCCCGCAGGCGCTCGCGCCGCCGCCGACGCCGGCGCTGCTCGGGGACCGGTGCGCGCGATCGGCGTCGACATTGACGCGGCGCCCGGCCTCGCTGATCGCCCAGTGATGCAGGCATTGCTGTCGCAGCTGCGGCCGTCGTCGCCGGATCCGTCCGGACCGTCCCCGCGTGTGCGGCCCGGAGCGGCGGGGTGATGTGGTCGACGCGGGACGGCGTGCGGAGCGCGGCGTGGTCGTCTGGTGCGCGGCGGGGCATACGTGAGCTCAACGCGACGTTTGCTGGCAGCCGCAAGCGGCAGTAGGCGCAAGACGTTGGGGTTCGGAGGAGGCAGGGGCGCTCGTTGCGGCCGCGACGCGGCGTCGCTGCTGGATGGCGTGCGTCGTCGGGTGCGATGGTTTCGTGTTGCGCGCTACGACGCCGTGCGGCGGGCCCGCGACGCGCTGCTCAGCGAGGCGGGCCGCGCGAGGGGAACGGTGCATATTTTCTGGATGCCGCAGAGCAAGCCAGGCAACGGCGCAGGCAGGAGGGGGGGGTCGAAGGTCGAAGGGGGGACATGTGTGAGAAGAAGAGCTGCGGAGGGGGGGTGTTTAGCTCAGGGCGTGTGACGCGCCGCCGTCGGTGCAACGCAGCACGACCACGAGCGCAGTGTCGCGTCACACGACGCCGCCACTCGCGGGCGGCGGCGCGTCATTCTGCGTCACCCGTGCCCCGCACCGCCCCCGGCTGCAACGCTCGTGGCGGGGCTCCCGGCTCGCCACCCGTCCTACAGCCCCTTGATGTACTTCTCCGCGCCGGCCTCCTTCGCCCACGTCTTCAGCGCCCCGACCGTGCTCACCATGGCCGCCTTCGCGTCGCCCGCCGAGCCCTTCGCCAGCGCCGACGTCAGGTCGCCGATCGACGCCATCATCGGCCCGACCGCGTCCTTCGCGGACGGCGTCGTGCTGCAACCACGCGCACGGGCCCGCAGCGCCGTTTCGAACCCACAGCGCTGGATCGCGTCACAACCCTACCGCAACGTCGAGGGTCCGCGCCGCGCGCCGCAGCGCGCGGGCGACGCGCGTCTCACCTGATCTGCGCCGCGGCGTCGCTGAGCCCGCTGACGACGGCGGGCGCGAGGAACGACGCGTCGACCTGGTCCTTGCTCAGCGCGTCCGCCGTCTTGATGAGAGAGTTGACGGCCGTCTGGACGGGCGGCAGCTTGGACTCCAGCTTCAGGTTCTTCTGGCCCTGCGGAGCCGTGGGCGCGCCGCGCGCGGGTCGGGCCGTGCGCCCAGGCGGCGGCGCGGCGGCGGGTGTGTGGGCCAGGGTGCGGCGCAGGGCTGCGTACCTCCGCGACGGCGAACTCGCGCTCCGTGACGCGCTGCTCGGCCAGGCGGGCCTTGCGGTTGGCCTTGGCCTTCGCGACGAGCTCCTCGTCGTCGTCATCGGGGATCAGGGCGAGCGCGGGTGCCGCGGGGAGCAGCGTGGCGATGCCCAGCAGGGCGCGGCGGCCGGTGGCGGCGTGCGTCCTGGTCGCGGTGCGGCGCGATTCAGAGCGCGGGCACACAGCTTGCCGGGCGGCGGTGGACAGGTGCATCATCGTGCTTGGATGTGCGGCTGGTGCGGCGATAGGTGGAGAGCTGCGGAGGGCGAGGCGGTGCGGTGGGCAGGCTGCGGCGCTGGAGGTCGCGGGGATCAACCGTCGAAGATGCCCGGCGGAGTGGCCGCGCGAGGGACGGCGCCGCGCGCCTGTCGGGCCGCCCGGCCGGCGGCACGGGCGGGGTCTGGCCAGTCGCACGGCCAGCAGGGCTTCTACTGCGAGCGGAGGCGCCGCGGGCAGCGCGCCGTTGCGCCGGGACGGCGCGCGTGTGCGCGACACTAGAGTAGGGCTTGCTCTGGGCGGCTTGTCGCCCGGGTTGGTCGCTTTCGGAGCGCGTGAGAGCAGTCGTGGTTGGGAGGGCTGGTGTTTACGTCCCGTTGGGCGCGCAGGGAATGGGGGACGCTCGACCTGGACTGCGCCCGCGGCGCCCTGAGGACTGAAGGGCAGCATGATCCTCGATCCGACGAGCTTGAACCTCCGCCTGGCCGGCCTCGGGGCAGCCTCTGGCGATGCCACTCCGACCTTCCTGGTGCACCACCCGCGCGACCCGGTGGTCTTTGCGGGCCTCCAGGGCGCGGTCCTGCGCTTCGACTCGCTGTCCGGGGCGCTGCTGAGCAAGAACTCCATCGCGGGGCTCCCCACGGGGGCGTGTTTCACACCGTGGTCGACTCGCGGGCCCTCCCCGCACCCCATGCTCGTGATCGGTGCGTCCCTCCCGCTCCCCGAGCAGCTCCTGTGCTTCGGCACCTCGGATCAGAGAGAACCGTGCGTGCCGGTCCCACCGCTAGGGAGACCAGCGTTGTCCTCTGCCTTGTTCCATGATGCTCCCGCGCCCTGCGTGCGGCGCCGTCGGTTTCCCGCGCGCGACGCCTCGCGACCGCCATGGAACCGATCCGTAGAAGCCCCTCGCGACCCCGCCGCGAGCCGCGGGCCCCGCGCAACGCCACACTCGCGGCCAACGCACGTCCCGTGTTCCCGCAGCTCTCGCGGACTGGTCGCTGCTTCTCCTGGACCCAGAGGCCGGCCGCGTGGAGAAGATCCAAGGCCCGGACCAGCGCGCGGAGAAGAAGCCGCTGCTGCGCCCGCTGCTCTCCGGAAACCCAGCCTACCCAATAGTGCTCCTGTCCCTGCAATGCCACACCAGCGTGTACATGCAGCGGCTCTACCTGCCCCCGCGCACGGACGGGAAGGAAGTCAAGCCCAACTCCCGCAGAGCGCGCGCGGCGATGCAGCTCCAGCGACTCCCGGTGTGCCCACACACAGACTCACCGCCCCTTCGCATCTCCGCCGCAACGACACGCGCGCCGGGCGGCCCTGAGCTGCGGGCCGCCCCGCCTGCACCGCACCTGCGAGGCCGCGGGGGTCGAGCCATGGCTGCTGACTTTGGTTGATGTATGTGTGTTGCCAATTCCCACGTGGCGCGCAGAAGATCGACGCTGGCCCGATCCTCGGCCTCGAGTTCAACCCGAACAGTCCGCGCGAGTTCCTCGTCGCGTGCCTCGACGGCAGCGTCCGCGCGTACGAGCTCAGCGTGAACGTAGGCGCGGGCGGGCCGATGGCCGCGGGGGGCGGGATCCGGAAGCAGCGCGCGCTGTTCACGCTGTCGCCGCCCTCGACGCTCTCCGGCAAGCAGATGAGCGCGCTCCAGGCCCAGGAAGGCGGCCTCGCCGCGGCGCGGCGCGCCCTGGCCATCAGCGGCCCCGTCGGCCAGACGGGCGCCCGCCTCGTCGCGTTCCTGCACCCGACGGGCTCGACGCTCGCGTGGCAGCTGCCCGCGCTGGCCCCGGGCCCGGACGCGCCGCCGGTGCAGCCGTGCGCGGAGTACCACGCGGCGGGGCGCGTGCACTTGTGCGGCGTCGGGTTTCTGCACACCGCGGGGACGACGATCCTTGCGAGCGTGTTCCAGGCGGCGCTGCTGGACCGCGCGTGGGCGGTGATGTGGGAGCTCCAGGACGACGGCGGGGGGGGCATTCCTGTGTCCCCCGCGCGGTTTGGCGTCGAGGTGGGGGTGTCGGCGCCCGCTGTGCCGCTGCACGCGAGCTGCGCGGCGGGGCCGCGCGGGCTGATGGTGCTCTCGACCGCGGCGCGTCTGCGGGGGCCGGGCGAGGGCGAGGCGGGGCGGGACGGCAACGACGCGTCGCTTACTCTCGCGCTGTGTGCGCGGGTGCCGCAGGAGCTCGCTGCGGGGTCCCTGGCGGCGCTCGTGGGCGAGGCCGCCTCCCCTGTGTCCGCGTGGGTCTCTGGGGAGCGCGTCGACGTCGCAGGCGGGGGGGTGTTCGTGTCAGGGCTGGGGGTGTGTGCCTACGACGCCACCAAGGCCTCCGCCGGCGCGCACGCGCAGCAGTGGGCGGTCCTCATGAATCTGTCGCCGTCCGACAGCCAGGGCCGCTTCTGCGCGCCGTCCAGCGTGACTCTCAGCCGCGACGCTGCGCTGGCAGCCGTGGTGGTCCGCGCTACGCTGGGCGACGCACGGCGCCCTGGCGAGGTGGTCCTGCTGCAGATGACCCGTGAGGAGGTGAGAGGCGGACGACCGCGACGCGGTCCGTTCGTTCCAGGCAGATCTGTCCTCGGCCTTTCACCCATGATGCACCGGCCCAGCGACACTCTCCGTTTCCCAACTGCCGTGCAGCCGCAACCCGCCGCATACGTCGACGGCATCGCCGCGGCCTTCGTCGGACCAGGCCACGCCCGCCTCGCCGTGCTCTCCGGCAACCTCGCCACCGTGAGCCTCCACGAGGTCACCCGGGGGGGGGAGGTCCCAGGCACCCCCCTCTCCAAAACATCCCCGGGGGACTCCCCCATCCTGCAGCTCCTGCAGCCCGACCTCTGGGCCGGGCCCAGCGACGCCTGCCGCGTCATGTGGGTCAACAGCGCCCCGGCCCTGTGCCTCTCCGGCCCGTTGCCGGAGTCCGCCGACGACGCTGGCAGCGCCGGCGACCGCCTCAAGCCCGAGGCGCAGCTGCCGCTGCTCCCGGGCGAGCGCGTCGCGCAGGTGTTGTGGCAGGACATCAACCCCGCGGGCGACGCGCACGCCGCGCCGGTCTGGGCCGCCGCGGTGGTGACGTCGCGACGAGTCATGATGGTGAGCTCCACTCTGACGGTGCTGGCGTCGGCGAACTCCCCGGCGGAGTGCTGCGGCGCGCCGCTGCCCATCACGTCCGCGGCGTGGGCGGGGCCCGCGCTGCTCGCCGTCACCGCGTCCGGGCTCGTGCTGCAGCTCACGTGGACGTCGCAGCTGCTGCCGGTGTGTTCCGTGCCCGTCGACGCCGCAACGACGCAGGTCGCGATCGCGGGGACGGCCCCGGACCGCGTGCTCATCGCGCGACGCAGCGCCGGCAGCCCCGCGAGCGTCTCGGCGCGCGCAGTCAACCTCGCCCAGGCCGTCGCCGTCGGTACATGTACGATGCACGTCGCGGGCGTGCTGCCTGGCGGCGTGCCCGCCGTGCGCAGCATCCTGCGGCGCGTGGCGGCCGCGTGGGATCTCGGCGCGGACGCGTCGCCCGCGCTCCTCGCAGCCTTGGCCTCGGCAAGCTGCGGCGACTTGGCGCACCTCGTCGCGCAGTCTGCCGACGGCATCGGGGAGGACGAGCGGCTCGGGGCGGCGGTGATGGCGCAGGACTGGAGCAGCGCGGCGGCGCAGCTGCTGCCGGGTCTTTCGGCGGCGCCGCGGCGCGGGGGCGGCGCGCTGGCGGCTGCGTGGTCGCAGCGTCGCCTGGTGGACGTGGCGCGAGGCTGCGCGGCAACGGGGCGGCTGCGCGCGGCGATGACGTGTCTGTCGCGCGCCGGGATGCACGGCGGCGCCGCGGCGATCGCCGCGGCGTGCCGGAGCGCGGGCGCAGCGCGCCAAGTGGCCAACAGCATGGTCGCGTCCGGGGCGGTGCCGTCCGACGACGCGGACCGCATGGGCGCGTCGCTCGTCGCAGCCATGACGCTGCTGCACGGCAGCGTCCCCGGCGCGGACGGCGACGGCGGCGTGCAGGTACAAGACATGCGTCAGACGATCAAGTATGCTGGGGACGACGGGGCGGGGGGGGAGTGGCGGCTGGCGGGGCCGGGCGCGGCGCCCGTGGCGTACACGCGCGCCGGGTGGCGCGGGCAGCGGGAAGTGACGCTCCCGGCGGTCGACGTGACGGACCTGGGGGCCAGCCTGGGCATGCAGCCGGCGGGCGCGGGCGGGAAGGCGGGGGCCGCGGGGGCGCTGCTTGGGTCTGGTCTGGGGACGCTGTTCGGGTGCGTTGCGTCCCGATCTCGTGCGGCGATCTTGCGTGCGTGCGCGTGGGGCAGGCAGATGATGCGTGGGCGCGTAGCAACTGCGTGCGTGCGTGCGTGCTTTCGTCGATGTGCAGGCTGCATGGCGAGGAGGAGGAGGAGGAAGAGGAGGAGGACGAGGAGGAGCAGGAGGGCGCGGAGGGGCAGGCGGGGGAGGGAGAGGGGGGGTCTCAACAGCCGGGGGGGACTCCGGGGGACGGGGCGCAGGCGAGCGGTCTCACGGAGGCGCAGCGGCGGGCCCGCGCGAACTTCGGGTACGCCGACATCATGGCGTCGGACTCGGACAGCAGCGACGAGGACGACGGCGGCGCGGGGCTGGCCAGCGCGGGCGGCGCCGGGCAGGTCCCCACCCCGCGCGGCAAGCTGATGGTCAAGATCAAGACGCTCGAGGAGATGCAGGCCGAGAAGGGCTCCGCCGGCAGGGCCGACGCCACCGACCGCCTGCGGTCCATGGTTCAGGGTCTCTCTTTGAATGCCCCTGCACGGCCACCCCCGAAGCCCGCCGTCGCGTCCTTCGCCGCGCCCGTCGCCGCGAAGCAGCAGGCAGGCGACGACAGGGCGGACAGCGACCTCGGGGACCTGCTGGACGACGTGGCAGGCCCGGCGGACGCGCCCCCTGACAGAACAGCGCAGCCGCCGCTGGAGCCCGAGGACCCGCGGTCCGCGGCGGAGCTGCTCCGCCAGGGCGTGAGCGAGATGGAGGAGGGCGCGTGGGACACTGCGGGCCGGTCTCTGCGGCTGGCGATGTCGGCAGCGATGCGGGAGGGCTCTGCGGCGCTCGCCACTGCGTGCGCGTCGTACCTCGCCGCGGTCCTGCTCCTTGAGCGCGCTGCGCGCGAGGCACAGAGCGGCGCGGGCGCGGGCGCCGGCGGAGCGTCGCGCGCTGGCGAGGCGCGACTGAAGCAGCATGCAGCGTTGTTGAAAGGGACGAAGGCGGACCACCGCGCGCAGCTGATGCTCGACGCGGCGGAGGTGTCGCTGGTGACCGGCGACGGGCGGTGGGCGGCGAAGGCGCTCGGGCTGCTGGCGAACGCGCCGCGCGGTGTGCCGGCGGACGTGGTGTCGCGCGCGCAGAAGTTGCAGCCGCGGTGCGGGGCGGCGGGGAGCGCGGCGCTGTGTACGGACGGGGAGCTGGCGCGGTTCTGCGCGGCCGTGGCGGGCGCGCGCGGGCCCGACGAGGTGGCGGCGATCGTGCGCAAGGTCGAGAGCTGACACAAGGGGGGGTTGTGTCTGGGGGGGGGTAGTTGTTGTGATGGTGGACTACGCGTTCGTGCGTAACAGTGGGGTTGCGTTCGCGCGGCGCGCGCGGGCATGACAGGTGCTGTAGCAGGCAGAGGCAGGGCGTAGCAGAGGTCACGCGTGCAGCGACCCGTCGGAAGCATCCAGCGAAGCAGACGTGCCTGCTGGGCGCGAAGACGCGGCCGAGAGGGAGCGGCCGAGAGCGGCGACAGCGGTGGCGCGTCTAGGTGCCTGGGCGCGCATGTCGGGTGCCGCACGAGCGAGCAACTTCAGCAACGCAAACGGGCTTGCTGAGGGCGAGACGGCGCGTGCGCAGTGAATTCGCAACTTTCCTCAGTCGAAGTGACCTCCCGTTTGACACATCTCGTTGTTCGTTACAACTCACGACACTGGAGGCGGTCCGGGCCGTCCAGCAAGTGTGCTACGACGCAGAGCTACCGAGTCTATCTCCGCCTCCCATCACAGGCCCGCGGCAGTGCAGAACGCCGCGTTGCTGTCCGTGTCGAACACGGTGTGCTCGGCCGCCACCGTGCCGTACGTGGACTCGCCCATCTTCGCGCTCGCGTAGCGCGCCGTGATGGCCTCGTCCAGGTTGTTGATGCGGCACAGCAGGCGCGCGGGGTCGTCGGGCGACAGGCGCTGCGTCTGCTTCGAGGGGATGTAGAGGTTGCCGAGGCGCACAATCTCGACGGCCTGGTCGTAGATCGACTGGCACGCGGCGTTGGTGAACGACCACGTCGTGTTGCCGTCGGCGTCCTGCGTCGAGGTGGCGCCGCAGTTGTTCGCGTCCGTGGTCGTCACCAGCGTCTCCGCGCGCGTGCCAAAGTCGATGGCGTACGACGAGATGTAGTTGCGGTAGTGGTTGACGTCGCGCACGCCGTAGATCGACGGCGCGAACGCGCCCTGCGCGAAGAAGAGCGACGTGGTGAAGCCGGCGACGATCAGCGTGATGACCCAGCCGAAGATAATCTTGGGGAGAATCATCCAGTTGACGCCCTTGACGCCCTCGAGGAGGCCCACGCCGATCGTCGCGCCGACCTGGCAGTGCGTGGTCGACAGCGGGATGCCGTAGCGCGACCCGAGCGCGACGATGAAGGCCGACCCGAGCTCGATCGCGAACCCGCGCGAGGGCGTGATCTTGGTCATCTTCACGCCGATGGCGCGGATGATGATGTAGCCGTACGTCGAGAGGCCGAGCACGATGCCGATGCCGCCGAGCGCCAGGATCCAGTACATGTCGTCCTCGATCGCGCCAGTCTTCGACTCGAGCCGCTCAATCTTGTAGACCAGGTAGATGCCCGCGAAGGGCCCGATGGAGTTCGCCACGTCGTTGGCGCCGTGCGCGAACGAGTCGCAGATCGCGGTGAACACCTGGAGGTACTTGAACGACTCCTCCGTCTTGTGGTCGTACTGCACGGTGAACTCGTGCACGGCGTTCACGTCCTCCTGCTCCTCGATGACGCCGTGGACGTCCTCGTTGAGCCCGCGCGAGAGCGACTTGAAGAACGACTCCTTCTTCGACAGCGGCGCCGCCTCCGGCTCCTCCGTCTTGGGCTCCTTCTCCTTGGCGATGCGCGCGGCTTCTGCCTCCTCCTTGCGCTGCAGGTCGCGCTCGACGATCTTCTTGAGGTAGAACTTGGCGAGGATGACCGCGAAGATGAAGGCGCCGACGGCGACGACGACGGAGATCCACGCCGCGGTGTCCGTCGTCATGTTCTTGATGGCCTTGATCGACTTGGCGCCCTTGTTGATGATGAAGAAGGCGTTCACGAACACGCCGACGAACACCATGACCGGGAACGCCCAGAACGAGCGCTCGTAGCTGTTCTCGTGCTTGAGCACGAAGAAGCGCGCGAGCCAGAAGAAGACCGCCGCCACGCCGCCCGAGCACACGGGCGAGAAGGCCCACGAGAAGACGATCGCGCCGACGCCCTTGAAGTACGGGAACTCGTCCGCGGACGCAGCCCACACCACCGAGTCGCCGCCGCGCGCCGTGAGCGCGAAGCCGACCACGCCGCCGACGGCCGAGTGCGTCGTCGACACCGGGAGCTCAAAGTAGGTCGCGAGGAGGAGCCACAGGCCCGTCGCGGCGATCACGCACAGCATGCCGTACATGTACAGCTCGGGGATGTCATAGAAGTCCTGCGGACCGCGAAAGGGGGCAGGGGGGGTCTTGCAACAGGGTGGTGTTGCAACATCGTGTCGTGGCGGAGGGGCGCCGCGTGGCCGGGGCCGCGAGCGGCCGTGCGCGGGCGGCGTCCGCGCGCTCACCTCGATCTTGGCGATCGACTTGCGGACGGTGCCGGTGACGTGCGAGCCGAGGAGGAAAGCACCCAGGAACTCGAAGACGGCGGCGATGAGGACGGCCTGCTTGATGGTCAGGGCCTTGGAGCCGACGGACGACCCGAAGGAGTTGGCGACATCGTTCTGTTGGGGGGCGGGGGCGGGGGGCGGGGCGCGGTGAGGCCGGGTGCGCAGAGTGGTGGGTCGTGAGAAGAGGGTGGCGGGGTGCGGGGTCGTAGAGGGAGAGAGCGGGCGATCGAGCGGGGCGCAGGCATGTAGGAAGTGAGGTCGGCCGTGCGGGCCGTTGGAATCCAGTGCTCACCGCGCCGATGCCGTAGGCTGCGGGGGGCAAGTGGGATGGAGGGGAAGGTCAGCGGCGGCTACATGGGCGCCATGTTCGCCGGATGATCGTCGGAATGGGGCGTTCGTATCGCGAGTGATCGAGGTGCGTGCTCGGATCGCGGAGATGCCCTCGGTTCGAGCGCGCGCGGGGACAACCGGTAGCGGGAGGCGAGGCAGGAATCCACGCGACTGGGTGGACGATTGCGACCGTGCTGCCGCGCAATCGTAGATTGGCAGCTGTCGGTCAGCAATGGTAGCGCGGCCAACCCGCGCGGCGTCGCATACAAGCGGGCTCGAGCAAGCAAAGTGGTCGATGTCTGGTGCGCGCGGGGGAGCCGATAGATGGGCCGCAGGGGCGCTCACCCGTGAAGACGGCGAGGAAGGAGCCGACAACGACGATCCAGCGGTACCTGCGCGGCGTGGTTCGGGCGGGAGCGGGTGAAAAGGGGCGGCTGTGCGACGCAACGTCGACGGCGCAAGCAGCAGCGCCGCATCTCCGGGGATCGTCGCACGCGATCGAATGCGCAAGTGTGGCAAGAGCGACGCGCGACGGATGCGCCGGCGAGCGTGCGCAGCGCTGGACGGCGACGGCGCAGGCGGTGGACAGCTCAGTAATGTCTGCGCTGCGGACTCACTCGTCCCACATCTTGACGCGTTTCCCGGACCGGACGCTCCTCAGGTGAAGTGAGTGACCGCACGGCCGCGCGCCTCCGCCCTATGGCTTCCCCAGCGCGCCGGCTCCCGACAACCCCCCTGAGTCGACACGGCACCTGGCGGAATCTGACTTCCAGGAAGGCGTTTTCCAGCAGGAAGTCTTTCGAGCGGTTCCTCGAATGCCCGAGGATCGACATCGCGCATCGGAAAACACGAAATTCCGCACTTCCACGGCGGTTCGGCGGGTCGATCTCAGCGATCACGTCGCACGTCGCAGCGGGCCCGCTGCGCGCGACGGCGCCGTTCCGCGGCCGCAGGGCCCCCATCGTCCAGTTTCCATGCGCACCGCGGAGGCAGAGTGCGCGTCGAACGCTCTTAGGTCACCGAACGCTGTGCCTCCCAACTGCCTCTGCCCCACGTGACCTGTGTCGCCGTCTGCGAGCGGCGGCCGTGGGGCCCGCGCGTCGCCGCCCCGCGCCCCACGGCACACGTGCCCTGCGGCCGCAGGGTCGCGCTGCGGCGCCCGACCTCCCCGCGATAGGATGTTCCCCCCCCTCCATGCGGCGGCATATGCATAGCAGGCGCGCGCGTGCGGGCGCCGGAGGGGACCCGCGCGGTGCGCGAGCACGCAGCCAGGCGGACGCGTCGCCCGCGGCGCGCTATGGCTGCACGCGGAGCACGTGCGTGGCAGTGCAGGCCACTTGGGAGGGGGCGTCCCGGCCCGCGAGCGGCTCTCGAGTCAACGTCACAGCCTCGGCAGCGCGCGCGCGCGCGCGGCGTGCAGGCCGCGCGCGTCCGCCTCCGCACGGCGCCCCCGGCTCGGCGCCAGGAGCGCGCCCTCGTCGCCACGCAAGCAGCGCGTGGCGCCGCGCGGCCGGTCAAAAGTCGGCGTCCGTCGTGAACACGTACTGGTGCGACGAGTGCTCCGCGCTGGCGTCCCCGCCGTCCGCGCCCCCCTGCTGCCGGCGAATCAGCGCCGCCATGACTCCCGCGCGCTGGTACTCCCCCACGCGCCGCTCGAAGAAGTTCGCCTTGCCCTGGAGCGAGATCATCTCCATCCAGTCGAACGGGTTCGCCACGCCGAACGTCTTCTCGTACCCGAGCGCGACCAGGAGTCGGTCGGCAACGAACTGGATGTACTGGCCCATGAGGTCGGCGTTCATCCCGACGAGCGACACGGGGAGCGCCTCGCAGCAGAACTCGCGCTCGAGCTCGACGGCCTCGCGCACGATCCGCGTGACGGTGGCCTGCGGGAGCGGCGCCCTGAGGTGCGAGTAGAGGAGGCATGCGAAGTCGGTGTGGAGGCCCTCGTCGCGCGAGATGAGCTCGTTCGAGAAGGTGAGGCCCGGCATGAGGAGGCGCTTCTTGAGCCAGAAGATCGCGCAGAACGACCCGGAGAAGAAGATGCCTGCGCGCGCGGCGGCGGGCGGGGCGGTGGCGGGGTGTGACGCGGGCGTGTGCGCGCGCGCGGGGGCGTGGGCGCCGGGCGGCGGCGGCGGCGGGCGGCGGGCGTGCACGCGGGCGCGGGGGCGCGCGGCGCGCACCTTCGACGCACGCGAACGCCACGAGACGCTCGGCGAAGGAGTGCGAGCAGTGAATCCACCGCACGGCCCAGTTGGCCTTGCGCCCGACGGCGGGGATGGTGTGGACGGCGCGGAGGAGGTGCGTGCGGCGCGCGGGGTCCTTGATGTACGTGTCGAGGAGCAGCGAGTACATCTCGGAGTGGACGTTCTCGATGGCAATCTGAAAGCCGTAAAAGGCGCGGACCTCGGGGACCTGGACGTCCGACATGAAGCGCACGGCGAGGTTCTCGAGGACGATGCCGTCCGAGGCCGCGAAGAAGGCCAAGATCTGCGACACGAAGTCGCGTTCGTCCTCGTTGAGCTTGAGCTCCCAGTCCCGCATGTCCTGGCTCAGGTCGACCTCCTCGACCGTCCAGAACGACGCGACCGCGCGCTTGTACATCTCCCACACGTCCGGGTAGCTGCGGGGAGGCGCGGGACGGCGTGGGGGGGACCCGGGGCCGTGAGCGGGGGCGTGGCGGGGGGCTACGCGGCCGTGGGGGCACGGTGCGGGCCGGGCGTGGCGGCGCGTTGGAGAAGAGTGCCGTGTGCGTCGCCGCGGCCGCGCTGGGCGCGCGTGGCGCGCGCGAGCGGCGCAGGGCGGGCACGGAACAGCGCTCTGTGTGCAGCCGGGCGTGGGCGGTCGGTGCGGACGGGCGCCGCGCCGCGCCTGCGAGCGCGCGGGGCGCGGGCGAGGGCGGCGCCCGCGCGCGCGCGCGGAGGGGGTCGCCAGCGGGCACAGCGCAGGGTGTTGCCGTCCACAGGTGCCACGGGCGCGCACCTGATCGGGAACATGCAGAAACGGTCCTCGTTCTCCTGGAGCAGAGGCTCGTTGTCTGCCTCGACGTACTTGATCGTCCGTGGGTGCGAGCCCGGCACCGCAGCGCCGCGGTCGCGCTCGCTCCCGCTCGCGTCCCCATCGGTGGCCGGTGGCGACGGGCACAGCGGCGTCGTGACCCCCGACCGCCGCTGCTTGTGCTCATCCGCGTCCCCCTGCCCCGCCATCACCGCTAGCTCCTCCATGCCCCGCGTCGCGGCCTCCACCGCGACCCCAGCAGCCTCCGCGGCCCCGCCCCCCCACCGCGGCGCGCCGTGCATGCCCACCTCGACCCTGCCGCGCGCACACGACTCCTCGCCTCTACCTCACGCGCCCACCCGGCCCGCACACGCCCAACGGAGCCCGAAGAGACCAGCCAGGGCCTCCAACGACCGGGACGGCTGGGAGCCAAGCGCGCGAGCCACGCGTGTGCCGGGGGTATAAGCCCGAGTCCTCCGCGCAGGGGTATGGTCCGGCGGTGTGCCGTCCCCGCGCGGCCTCGGCGCCCCAAGGGCCGCAGCCAGGCCGCCCCGTCGCTTTGGTTCCCCCTTGACACACGCCCAGTGACTCCGAGTCCGCCCGCGCCGCGTCGCCAAGCGGTCCGCGGGCCGGCTAGCGCCCGTACTGGGCTCGTGGTATTCAAACTCGTCGGGCAGGCGGGTTGAGCGAGCGCCCCGACGCGTGCACTCGCGGCTGCGACACCAGCCACCTGCCGGATCACCTCGGCGAAGCCTCCTCGCAATTCCGGCGCAGTCATGGCGGCCCACACCGGCGGAAACGCCCTAGGTGAGCACGCGTGCCGCCCCCGCGGCACAGGCGGCCGCACGGCGCGGCCCGCTGCGAGCTCCGCCGTCGCGCGGGCCCCGCCTAGTGCTCGTACAGCCTCGTACCCTCGTCACGGCAGCTGCGGGGGCCCCGGCGCGCGTTCGCGGGTCGAGAGACGGGCTGCGCGCGTGTCTCGCCGTTGCGTGCAGTGAGCGGGGTTCGGGCCGGGTGCAGGCGCGGCGCGGCGCGGCGCAGCGCAGGCGGGGTGCGGCGGGCCCCGGGGGGCCGCGCCACGGCCGCTGGGGGCGCACCGTCGGTCTCGAAGGACGCGTGGCTCGCGGAGACGATTCCCACGATCACCGGGGACGGCGCGCTGAGCAACGGACACTCCGGCGCGCGGGCGGCGGCGTTGGAAGCGCTGCGGAGCCTGCGGGTGCCTACCACGCGCGACGAGGCGTACAGGTGCGTTCCCGCGGAACGCGCCGCTCTCTGCGGCGTGCGATCCCGGCCACGCATCGAACGAGGCGCGGGCGCCGCGGAATGGCCGTCGCGGCGCGCCGCGGGCGGGGTGGGTGCGCTGCGGCCTAGATGCAGGCCGTGCCGCCTGCGCGGGCGACATGCGCGCTGACGCCGCGCGGCTGGCTCCTCGTGCAGGTTCACGGACGTGTCGCCGATCGTGCAGCGGCAGATGAGCGTCCCGCCCGGCGCGGATGCGGCGGTGCTGGCCGACGCGGTCGCGGCGCGGCCCATGGAGGCGGCGCGCGGGTCCACGGTCGTCGTCGTTGACGGCGTGGTCGACGCGAACCTCACGGACCTCTCGAGCATCCCAGAAGGTGCGCGTTCCGGCCGATCGTCGCCTCTGAGCGTCTGCCGCACGCTGCGCCGAGCGCTGGCGCCCTGCGGCTGCGTCGCCTGACGGGTTCCGGCGGCTCCGCGCGCGCAGGCGTGTACGTGGGTGGCGCGGAGGGCGCGCCGGAGGACGCGCTGGCGCGCGTGGGGGAGTTGTCGAACGAGATGGGGGGGCCCTTTGCAACCCTCAACACGGCAACGGCGCGGGACGCCGTGTTCCTCGTCGTGCCGGAGGGCGTCGTGCTCGAGCAGCCCGTGCACGTCCTCTACCTCTCCACCACCTCCACTGACGAGGGTGCGCCACAGCCACCACAACCCCCCCCCCCTCCTCTCGCGGCCGCAGGCTGGCCCGCGGGCTGCCTCGCCCCGCGCACGGCCCCCCCGCGCCAGCCGACGCGCTTCCTCGCCCCCCGCCACTGCACACCCCCCGCCACCCCCCCTCCGGCCGCCCGCAGGCACGCCCGCCACCTCGCCGCGCGCACTGGCCGTGCTGGGCGCGGGCGCGTCGGCGGAGCTCGTCGAGGAGTTCGCGACCGTCGGCGACGGCGCGCACCTCACGACGCAGGTCACGGAGGCCCACCTCGCCCCGCGCGCCACGCTTCACCACCGCTACGTCGAGCTCCAGGCCGCGCCGTCCTTCCACCTCAAGCTCACCGCGGTGCACCAGGCGGAGGAGTCGGTGTACGAGCACACCGAGGTGCGCATCGGCGGGCAGATCTCGCGGCAGGACCTCCTCATTCGGCAGCTCGGGGAGGCCACCAACACGAAGATGCGCCACTTCGTGCTGACGGGCGAGCAGCAGCTGCACGACCTGCACTCGCAGCTCGTGCTCGACTTCCCGCGCGGGGAGGCCGACCAGGTGCACAAGTGCATCGTGCACGGCGCCACGGGCCGCGGGGTCTTCAACGGCAACGTGCAGGTCAACCGGGGCGCGCAGCAGACGGACGCGGGGCAGCTGACGCGGAACCTCCTCCTCGCGCCCAAGGCGACCGTGAACGCGCTGCCGAACCTGCAGATCGTAGCGGACGACGTGGCGTGCACGCACGGGTGCGCGATCAGCGACCTCGAGGACGAGCAGCTGTTCTACTTCCGGGCGCGCGGCATCGACGAGGACGTCGCGCGGCAGGCGCTCGTGTACTCCTTCGGCCTCGAGGTCGTCGCGGAGATCCGGCAGGAGGAGCTGCGCAAGCGCTGCGAGGCCGCCGTGCGCGCGTCCCTCGGCGCGCTGGCCGCGGCGGTGCCCGCGGGCGAGGACGGCGCGTAGCGGCGCGGACGCGGCGGCGCTGCGGCGCGCGGCGCGCGGCGCCGCCGCCGCTGCAGGACCCGGTCGATGCAGTCGCGAGCAGGCCCACGCCGGGGCGGGTGGCGCGGCGCGGGGCGGAGGCGGGCCCGGCGGGCGCGCCGTGCGGCCCGCGCGGGCCGCGGCGGGCGGGGACGGCGGCCGAGGTGTGTGCCGGGGGGTGGTTGGTGCTTTTTCGCCGGCGGTGGGCCGGCCGGCGGCGGCGGCGCCGGCGCCGCGGCGGCGAAGCAGGGCCGGGAGTGCGGCGCGCGGTGGCGGGCGGGCGGGAGCGTCGAGGGCGCGGAGCGCCCGCGCGCGCACGTGTGTGATGTGTGGCGGAACCTGCGGCAGCGCCCCGGGGGGGCCTGCCTGCGCCAGCGGCGCCGTCCAGGGCACCACGGGGATCTTAATGGCGTGTGTGATCTCGCGCGGCGCTGCGGGTGCCGCTCCAGCGGTAGTACTGCCCGAAACACACTCCTCTTAGGGGTCAAAGGTGAGTCCACTGGCGGGGGCGCGCGCGGGCGGTTGCGGCGCCCATGGGGGCGGCGGCGCGGCGCGTCGGCCCAGAATTTTCTGATTGTCAGGACGACCTAGGCGCCTCGGCGCCCTTCACCACGCCCCCGCAACGACAAGCAGCTCCGGGATCGATCGGCTTCCTCCGCGAGGCCTCACGTTCCGGTGGGACTGTGACCCACGCACTTGGCGGTTTGCGGGAGGCAACGAGTGCTGGCACACCGGGATCGAGGTGCGGCGCCCGCACGCGGCAATGCCAGCACCTTGTGCTCGCTTCGGAACTGCACGGAGGCGCCCCGGGGCTTCGCGGGGCGCCGGGCCGGCGTTGACGCGACCGCAAACGCGGTTTCTCGAGGAGTGCCCGCGAATGCCGATGACTGCGCGCTGGCAGCGGGCGGGGGCCGCCCCGTGGCAGGATACAACCGCCGTTGTCGTCACCAATCCCGCCACGGGGCGCGGTCCGCCGCGCGCGCGCGCCCACGGACGTGTCTCCCCGCGAGCCATCGTTCGCGGGCGTGCACCGCCGCGCGCGACGCCACGCCCGCGGAGGGCGCGCGCTCCTCGCCCTGCTTCCGATCCTTCGACGGCAGCGCCGCGACGAGGGACCTCGCTGCCGCCGCGCCGGCCCATTGCCCTCGTCTCGACGCCGTCTCCGCTGCCCCGCGTGCTCCGCAGGAACGGAGGCCCCCCACACGCGGGAGGCCCGGAGGTTCACCTCGGCCCGCGAAGCAGCCCTGTGTTGCCCCCCTCGCGTCGCGCGTAGGCAAAAGCTCGGAACGCGCGCTGGAATGTCTCGCCCCAGAAGCCCGGAGAACAGCTGAATCGCAACCATGCAGCAAGGCCAGGGCGAGGCACACATACCGTTGAGCGAGCAGGCTCGCGTCGCCACCGCCGCCCGCGGTGGCGACAGCGACGAGGCGGCGGAGCTGCGGGCCTTTTACGAGAAGTCCTGGCAGGCGGTACGCACCTCCCCCGCCGCCGCGCGCGCGCCGGCAGTTGCTGGTGACAGTTGCGCGTGACAGCTCTGCCACAACGAACCAACGCCTCCAACGACCCCGCGCCCGCCCGGCGCGCCGCGGACGGCCGCCCGCGCGGCCGCCCCCGCCACGCTGGCCCGCCCCCGCGCGCCCCCGCGCCGCGCCGCCGCGCCCCCCCCGCGCTCCGCCCCTGCCCTCCCTTCCGCAGGCCCCAGGCGAGGCCCGCGCGCCCCTGCCGCGCTCCATCCACCACATGGGCGACGACTTCTGCATGTACCACTACAAGATCGACATGTGCACCAGCACCATCCCGCACGACTGGACGTCCTGCCCCTTCGCGCACCCGGGCGAGAAGGCCCGCCGCCGCAACCCGCTGCTCTGCAACTACGCCGGCGTGCCCTGCCCGGACTCCCGCAAGGTCCGCCCGCCGCCGCAACCGCCCCCTGCGCGCCCCGCGCGCCGCACCGTGCACCGACCGCGTCGCCGGGGTCGCTTTCGCCGCCGCACCACACGTGGCGCGTGATTGCTGAGCTCGCGGCGCGGCCCTGCTCCGCGGTCGACGGCTCACAGCCCCGCCCGCCCCCGCTTCCTTCCGCAGGGTCGTTGCCAGCGCGGAGAGGCGTGTCCGTACGCGCACGGGGTGTTTGAGTGCTGGCTGCACCCGCTGCGGTTCCGCTCGCAGATGTGCAAGGACGGCCCGCGCTGCGAGCGCCCCGTGTGCTTCTTCGCGCACAACCTCCAGGAGCTGCGCGTGCCGAACACGGCGGCCGCGGGGGGGCAGGGCGGGCACATTCCGCGCCCGCCGACGCTCCCGCCCGCCGCGGTGGTGACGTCGACGCGGTCGCGCACGCAGCGCGCGCCCGCGGGCGGCGCCGGGCACGCCCCGGCGTCGTTCGGCGCCGCGACGCGGCGCGTGACGTCGCCGCCGCGCTACCGGCCCGTGATGGTCGACGTCGCCACGCTGGCCGCGCTGGGCGCGGGCGACGCCGCGCCGTACGACGCGATCTCGCTCGTGCCGTCGGACCTCGAGGCGCTCGCGCAGCTGTCGCTGTCGCCGCAGAAGCGGCCCGCGGGGCACGTGGCGGGCGCCGCCGGCGCCAGCGCAGCGTGGCGGCCCCAGGACGGCGCCGTGCCGCCGGGGCTGACCGACGCGGACATCGAGGCCCTCCTGGCCGCGATCCCGGCGGGCCAGCTCCCCGGAGCGATGCAGGACATGCCGGCGCTGCTGGCGGCGCTGTCGGCGGGCCAGCAGCACCACCACCAGGCGGCGCTGCACGAGCAGCACGACGGCGCGGAGGACGGCGAGTGGGCCGCGGCGCAGCGCGCGGAGCCCGGCGCGCCGGAGCAGGACGCGGGCGCGCCCAGCGGCGAAGCAGCGCGCACGCAGGACGCTGTTGCCGCCGCCGATGGGCCGTCGCGCCCGGCAGCGGCCGGAACTCAACCAGACGACTCGGGCGCTCAGTGACGCCCTCGCGATGCGCGGGAGACCGACCACCATGGTCGCGTCGGCCGCCGTCGCTACCAGAGCAGGCGCCAAGCAGCAACACACACATGAAAAACACAACGCAGCGACCGCCCAATGACCCCCATCCCTCTGCTGCACGATACAGGTGTGGGCTCGCCCCCTCGCGGCGCCCGTCTCGCCCGCCGCTGACCGTCGCCCGCTGACGCGGCGCAGCGTCACGGCGGAGGCGAGACCCGCCGCCGGGCGGGCGCGGGGCGTGCAGGTTGCCCCGCGCCCGGAGCGAGCCCCACTGTGCTCCTTGCTGCAACCAAACCAACCCACGCGCCGAGAGAGGGGCCGAACCGCCTCCGGCGCGCCCCCCACCATGTGGGCCCCATGTATCCGGGGGCGCGGCCGCGCGCTGGCGCTCATGCCTGGCCGCGCCCCCGCGCTCCTCCGCGGGCCAATGGCCCCCCCGAAAGAGTCTGTACCGCAACCAGACGCCCACCTCACCTTCATTTCGCGCGACACCCCCACCCCACACCCAGCCCTCCATACGATCTCAATTCCCTCTCTCTCGCCCATCCGGGCTTTCTCTGTCGATCTCCAGCCCCGCCAGATAGACATGGACCCCAGGCGCGTTTTCCGCGTGCCCGCAGGGCGTGTTTCGGCGCCACTCGCTCCCCATGGAACTGACTGACGCCCCGCGACTGACTGACAGCTGCCGATGCAGCCGGGCGCCGGTCCGCTTTCAATATATCACGAACAACACCCCCTCCGTCCAGAGCCACGTCCGTTCTCTCACTTTCTCGATCCCGTGGCCCTCACGCGCACCGTTCACCTCTCACTACTCCCCCACGACTCCCCGGCGCGCCAGTCCTGCGCGTGCGTGTCGGCCCGCGCTGGGCCGACCCGCGTGGTGGGAGCGCACGGCCGGCGGCCTCATTGAGCTGCCCTGGGGCAGTCCCGCTCGCAGTCCGACACGGGCGCCCCGCGTTCCTCGCGTGCGCGGAGCGAATATCTCGGAAGTCTCGGCGATGATCATCCAGGCCACCACACACCGCCGTGATCATCATCTGTCTGCTCGTACCCATCATGGTTTGAATCCCCCCTCAGTACCCACCCCACCCCCCGTCAACACAGCGTCCAACATCAACCTAACACAACCCACGACACCGCCGTCTCCAGGTTTCACCCCCCCCCCTCCCCCAGTACAACACCCCCCCTTCCCTCCCCGCCGCTCCAACCACCTTAACACATCGGCACTACGTGCGACCGTATCCTGACTCCTCCCCCGTATTTCCAAGCTCCACGAGTTGCCGCGCCGCCGCGGCCGCCACGCACCGTCGCGCGGCCGCGGCAGTGCGTTCAGTTTCAACCACTGTGCGGGCGCCCCCGCAACCCGAACCAGCCCTCGGCCTGCCCGCACGAGCCGAGGGACAACCAACCGCGACGCAGTGTTCGCCGGCTCTTCCACCGGCGCCGACCCGGAACGCAGCCCGTGCGGCGCGGCGATACGATGCTCGCTCCCAGAGTGATGGCGTCGTCACCGCACGCCGCACGCCGACACGAACGCACCTGCTGTGTCCGCGGCCTAGGCGCAGCTCAGCCCCTTGGCACCGCGAACGCCTCCAGGACTCCACGCCGGAGCGCGCACTGTCCCCCCAGTTCAACTTTCTGCCCCTCTCGGTTCTGCCTCTCCACCGTCCGTTGCCGCCCCGCGTCCGCGGACCCCGCGGCGGCCTTTTCGCGCTGCTGCTCCCTGGTGCAAGGCCCCGCCGCGGGCGGCCCGCGACGCGGGCGCGTGCTCCGCACGCCGCCAGGGAGCACAAACACACCCCCCGCCCACACGACGTCACGACGACAGGCCGAACCCGGGCGCACGGACGGCTGTCTGGCAGGCACTTTCGACCAGCAGATCCGCCCCTCTCCCCGAGCCGGGAGTGGAGCGCGAAGCTAGACTGGTGGCTTCCACCACAGATAGCACAGGACCATTTCTCATCACTGCCCCCCCCTCCCCTCTTACTCTTACTCTTCAGCCTCCCGGCCGATGGGGCGAACCATGAACCACCCGTTTGTAGGCAGGGCAGCTAACTCATGCGGAGCCGCGCCCAGGTGCGCTTCAAGGCGCCCCTGGCGCGGCGGCTCACCAACCACGTGATTAACTCAAGGTAACCGTGGGCTTTATGTGGCGTCGACACGCGCCCTCGGCGCTTGTCGTGACCACGCGCACATCTCTCGCTCTGTTTATCCCCCCGAACGCCATCAACGCAACACGTGCGGCAACTCGAGCGAGCACCTCCGTACTCGCATCCACGCTGTAACTTTCTCGCTCCACGCCGCCCTCTTGTCTCACCCGCGCTGTCGCTGTGCTGTCCTGCCTGGCCGAGCGTTGTGCCGAACGTTTCCCACCGTACACGCGACCACGCGCATGACTGGTGCCCAGCTGGCCTGGCCGCGACACTGGCGCACCGGGAACGCGGGCGGCGACCTCGCATGGGGCAGGCGGGATATGCACCGAAAGTGTCACGCGCCCCCATGCGCCATGAATGGTCCGCGCTTGCCCTCTTCAACGAGTACGCGTACTCCACCCATTCCTTCGCAGACTGGAAGTCTGCGAAGGCCTGCTGCAACCATGCCCCTACGGCGGTGCGGTGGCAGCACAGCGTGGAAGTTTGTACTTCGCTGATCGAAGTTGACGACGTGAGCAGCAGTGCGCCTTTGTTCTAGGTCTGCGAAACATGATTCCGTCACTTCTCATTACAAAACCAAAGACGCACGGTGCGCCCCCCGCCCGTGCCATCACGCGAACGGATTCCCGGACTTGGGCACCGCGGGCGGCGGCGCGGGTGCCGGCGCAGGCGCAGGCTTCTTGACCACGGGCGCCGCTACGACGCCGCCGCGCGCCGCAGGCGCCCCCACCTCGCCCGGATGCGGGTTCACGTTCCGCAGCTTCGGCCCGAGATCCGAGAAAAGGTCCGCGCCCACGCCGCCCGTCGAGGCCCCCGCCGCAGCCATGCCGCCGTTGGCGGGTGCTAGCGAGAACGCCCCGGCGCCCACGAGGCCCGCCGCAGCGAGGTTCGAAGCGCCCCCGCCCTGCGCAGGCCCGCTGTCGAACGGCGCGCCGCCGTTCGCGGACGCCGCGGGCTGCCCGAGCGGAGCAAGCCCCCCCGGGGGTGTGCCAAACGGCGCCCCCCCCGGCGGCTGCGCAAACGGTCCGCCGCTGTAGCCCTGCGCCGGCACCGCAGGCTGCGCCTGGCCCATCCCCGGGTGCGCTGCCGCGCCCCCCTGCGCCGCAAACATCCCGTGCGGCAGCGGCCCTGCTGCGCCCGCCGCAGGCCGCGCAGGGCCAAACATGTCCTCCGGCAGCGCGGCGCGGCTGCCGGCGGCCTGTGCGGCCCCGCCGACGGGCGCGGGGTACCCCGGCGCGCCTTGGCTCGCCGGCGGCGCACTCCCCCCCGGCGGCGGCCCGCCAGCGCGGGGCGCGTGTGCGCCTCCCACCTTGAGTTGCTGCATCTGCATCGCGAGGATCTCCTCGGGGGAAGGACGCTTCGGCTTGGCCTGTGGCGCGGGGGCGCTCGGCGGAGCGCCGTTCTGCGGCGGCTGCCCGTGTGGCGCCGCCGCCGGTCCGCCGTAGCTGTGTGGCTGCTGCTGGAGCTGGTGGATGGGCGGCGGCGGCGGCTGCTGGTGGATGGGCGGCGGCGGCGGCTGCTGGTGGTGCTGCTGCGGCGGAAACTGCGCCTGGAAGCTCGGCGCGCCGTGTTGAGGCGCGGGCGGGGGAAGCGCGGCCTGCGGGGGCGACGACGACCCGAGCACCGTGTCGAAGAGATCCACGTCTGACTCCCGCGTCGGTGGCTGCGGGGCCGGCACCGCCTGAGCAGGCGGTGTCGGCTGTGACTGTGGCGGAGCCGCCGGCGCGTCGAACGCCGCCCAGCCGCCCGACGGAGCGCGCGCGGGTGCCGGCGCCGGCGCCGGTGCAGCCGCTGGCGCCGGTGCGGCCGCGGGCGCGTCGAACGCAGCCCAGCCGGAGCCGCCCGCGGGCTGCTGGTTGTGCGTCGGCGGTGCGTGGTGCACCTGCTGCGTTGCGACGTCGAAGGCGCGCCATGCGCCGGGCACCGGCGCGGCGGGCTTGTGCGGCGAGGGCGTGGGGCTGTTGAAGTCCAGGAGGTCCCGCGGCGGCGGCGCAGCGGCGATGGGCGGCGGCGTGCGCTGCTGCGCCAAAGTGGGGGGCAGCGGCGCGCTGGGCGGGAGCGCGCGGTCCGAGCGCGACGTGGGCCCGCTTGCCACCGTGGAGCTGCTGTCGCGGCGGTACCTCGCTGCGCCGCTTGCGTCGAAAAACTTCCTGCGAGCGCGGCGGGGGTGGCGGAGAGCGGCTGGGCGGCGCATGGAGGACGCGTGCGGTGCGCAAACGCCGAGGATGCGCGGAGTCAAACGCCACGGGCCGTCGGGGTGGTCGGGCGGCTGCGGAAAGGCCCGGGCGTGGCGAGGGCGAGCTGTGCCAGGGGCGACGGGGCAACCGCACCTCTTCTCGAACACAACGTGGATCCAGGTTTTCACCGCGTGCGCGTCGCCGCGCTGCGGACGGCGCGGAGAGCAGCTCTGGTCGTACTTGGCGAGGTAGGTCGCGGCCATCAGGCCGTTGGCGCCCTCCTTCAGCGCATCCACTTCAGTGGCGTCGAACTTCGCTGCGGGGACGCGATCAGCGGGAATGGCGGGGTTCAGCGGGAGACCATTGACCAATGCGTGGTGCGGGGCCCGCGCTGGCGCTGTGAACCGCCGAATGCGCGTCGCGAGGCCGCGGGGTGCTGCCAAGTGCCAGAAAGGGGCGCTGCGGCTTCCCCGGGGGGCTATTAGCGACAGAACGGCGCGGACTTGGCGGACACCGGAACTGAGTTTCGCGAGCGGGGCGGTGGGGGGGGCGGTGGCGCGGGCGCGCGTCGTTGGGAGCGGTGAAGAGGCGAGGCCCGGACCTGCGCTGACGCTCTTCAGCCGGTGGCCCGGGAAGTTGCGGTGCTCCGCGCCGCAGTCCGTACACACGAAGAGGCGGACCCCGGGCTTGAAGAAGACGACGTACGGCGCCCCGCGGCTCTCGCAGTGGAAGCACCTGCACCGGCCAGAAGTCGCGCCCAACGTGGGCGCGGGGCGGCCGCGATCGGACCCTTGCGCGCGGCGTGGTTGCGGAGTGGTATTGCTGCGGCGACGGCGGCTCCTCGGGCGCTCCCGCTGGCACCCGCACTTGCCTGTTGTTGTCCTTCTCCCTCTGCAGGGCGCGCAGCTGCCTCTGCAGCTCCTCCTCGGCGCGCTTGGCGCCCAACCCGAGCGACATCGCGCGGAGAAGCCTCTGGCGGGAGCCGTTCCGCGCTGGCCTGCGCCCCCGGCGTGTGGCTCGACGAGTCTACAGCAGGGAGCCTCCCGCGCGACGTCGCGGACGCTCCCGCAAGGCCCTAGATGCGGAACGCCCGCGCCAGGATTCGAACGGGGCCCGATGGCGCGCCCACGCGCGCGGATGACTGCGTCTGCGACCGCCCGCGCGGCGCCCCTTGGACTCGCTAGGAGTGCCGTCGCGGAGCACACAATCTGACGACGCCCGGCACAGAAGCGTTGCCCGGCGCAGCTCGAGTACAACGGAGCCCGCACTGGCCACGCGCATTCTCGCCGCCACCTCCGCCCGCGCCGTACAACGCCCCGTCAATTGTCCCCTGGTGAGTGTCGCGCCTCTCAATGGCGCACGCGGGCCCGACACAGCACGCGGCACCGCGGGACACCCGTTCGCGTACGAACCGAACCTTCCACGCAAAAACCGCAGACTATCGAACGACTCATTCGCAGACGCCCGCCCTCGATCCTGCAGCACAAAGAGTAGTAATTGATCACCCGCGCACGAAACGAAATGCGGGTGTGCTATCGTCCTGATCAAGGCGGCAGCGTGCTAGGAGTACTCGCGCGAAATGCCATGTGAGCGTGCCATCATGTGCCAAGGGAAGGCTCTGACCTGCAATCAGTTAGAGTGAGTGGCGGCCGTCGTCAGCAACAACGCGGCGAGCCGCGCGAGTACTGGACGACGCCCGCCAGCCGACACGCCGAAGTGCTGGTCCACGTCCTAGGCTGCTTGTACCAGGGGGTGTCGGCAGCCGGCTGGGTGACAGCGGTGACTGAGTCCGCGGCATTGTCCGCGTTGTGTGGCGACGTGCCGACCGCTACTCAGCTCCCCTCGTCACCGCCGTCCCCCGCGTGGCCTGTCATGCGAAAAGCCGTCATACCTCGGTCTAGCGGCCACGGAATACGCGCATGGCCAACATGTTCATTGACATGTTGCAACATCGGGGGGGCAACAAAGCGGATGTGCGGGCGTTCGTTCGTCGCGGGGTCTGTAGTCTCTGTAAGATCGAGGGGCCAGTGCAGACATATGATGGGAGGGTCACAACACCAGCCCCTGGTTCGCGCCTCGCACGCAATCCCTCACACCGCGAGCAGCACGCCGCGCTCCAGCCCCGCCGCCAGCCACGGCCGCGGCCCCGCGCGCGGCCGCCCCCGCCCTACACCACCTCTCCGTCGACGACGACGTCGGGACAGCGCCGCGCGTGGATGGCGTGCGTGGAGCCGTCCGTGCTCTTCCAGATGGGCTGCACGCCGCCCCGCACGAGCGCGACCTGCTGGTGCGGCCGCGTGAGCCCGCGCTCCACGAGGATGCTCAGCGCGCGGTCGATGGTCTCCTCCGCGCCCTCGCCAAAGCCGATCTTGATGGGCACGACGCCGTGCGCGAGCGTCAGCAGCCGCTGCAGGACAGCGGGTCCACGTGCGCGGTGACCCGCGGAGCCCCCGCGCGAGAGACGCAAGCGCGCGTGTGCGTTTGCGTGTGTGAGTGTGTGTGAGGGGGGGTGTTACCTGGATGTGGGTGGACTCGGTGAAGCAGAAGATGCGGTTGTCCGGGCGGTAGTGGCTGAGGAGGCGCGGGACGGTCCCGTAGCGCGAGAACGCGACGATGGGCGCCTTGAGCGTGTTGGCCATCATGGTGGTATGATAGGCAAACATCTCAGTGATCTCGAGCAGCGTGGGCTCCTCGTCGTCCTTCGGGCGGCGGATCCAGTCGATCCGCTCCGACTCGTCCGTCCCGAACCGCCGCGCGCCGCGGTAGCTCAGCATCGAGGCCTCGGTGGTGAGCGCCACGCGCGACATGACCTGCACCGACCGCAGGGGGTACTTCCCGTACGCCGTCTCCCCGCTGAGCATCACCGCGTCGGTGCCCTCGCGCACCGCGATGCTGATGTCCGACACCTCCGCGCGCGTCGGCGTCGGGTTCTCGATCATGCTCTCCAGCATGTTGGTGGCCACAATCACGTTCTTCCCGCGCCGGCGGCAGCCCTGCACGATGCGGCTCTGCCAGTACGGCACCTCCTGCACGGGGAGCTCCGCGCCGAGGTCCCCGCGCGCGACCATCGCGCCGTCCGACACGTCGAGGATTTCCTCCAGGTTCTGCACGCTCGTGGCCGACTCGATCTTCGGGAGGACGTGCGCGTGCGACCCGCGCTCCTCGAGCCACTCCTTGAGCTCGCGGATCGTCTGCGCCTCCTTCACGAAGCTCAGCGCGATGAAGTCGACCCCGTTCTCCACGCCAAACGTGATGTCGTCCCAGTCCTTGTCGGTGATGCTCGGGAGCGACGCGCTCTTGCCGCGGATGTTGAGGTGCCGCCGGGACTTGAACTGCCCGCCCTCCATCACCTCGCACACGATGTCCGTCCCCGTCACCTCGACGCACTTGAACGACATGATGCCGCCGTCGACCAAAATCATGTCGCCGACGCCGACGTCGTCCACGAAGCCGTCGTAGTTGATCGACACGACGTTGTCCTGCCCCTGCGCGCCCTCGCGGATCGTCAGCACCAGGCGGTCGTGTCGCTGGAGCTGCAGAGGCTCGCGCAGGTCGCCCGAGCGGATCTCAGGGCCCTTGGTGTCCAGGAGGAGGCCGATGCAGTGGAACCCCTTGGCGTTGATCTCCTTGACCATGTTGATCACCGCGAGGTGCGAGCTGTGGTCGCCGTGCGACATGTTGAGCCGCGCCACGTTCATCCCGGCCTCCGCCAGCTTGGTCAGCATCTCCACCGACGCCGTGCCCGGGCCGATGGTGCACACGATCTTCGTCTTGCGCGCCAGGCCCGCCGCGAGGCGATCCTGCGGGCGGAAGGGGGCGGGGGGCGGGGCTTGTTGCTATAGGGGGTGCGTGGTGCTGCATCCTGTAATTCTGCGCTGCCGGCTCTGCGATCCGCCAGTGCGTTCGGCAGGCCCCCGAGTCGGCGATCGACCGTCCGGCTCCCCCGCCGTCCATGGCAAGGACGCGTATCATACATCATATACTACAACAGTACCATCGAAACATGTAAATTAGTATTATATGAAAACACGTTTCGTATTGATGTATGACAGGGATGCGGCCCCACCGCCCTTGCTGCGGGGGCGTCAGGGGAACCGCGTGGTCGGTCGCCGACCGGGGGCCTTGTCCTACGGACTGGTCAACCTGAAGAACAGGAATCTGTGGCAACAGGGTTGTTGCGAGGGGTCGTCGCGCGTGCGTGTCACGGACCTTGCCGAGCGGGAGCTCCTTCTTCTCGGGCACCAGCAGCGTGGGGTCGTCCCGCGAGACGAACGCCGGGTGCGGGAACTCGACCGCGGAGCTCCGCGCAGGCTCAGGCCCGCGGGCGGCCTCGGCCCGCACAGGCTGGAAGCGCGGCGCCGCGCTGCAGCGGAACGACGTGCGAGGAGATGTGAGTGCGGGCGCGCGGAATCGGCGCGCGCGGGGGCGCTGGGTGCGCGGGTAGACGCGCAACGAAATGCCCTGGAGTGCGGGCGAGCCCGGGCCGGTGTGCGGCCGCCGCGCGCCGCTAGGGAGGACACCGGCGCGCGTGCGGATCGAGCGTGATCTGGAGACGCGTTTCGCGAGGATGGGGCGGCGGAAGAGCGATCCAGACGCACGAGACAGCGCCGCCACGACCAGAGACGTCGAGCTACCCCGCGGCGGTGCGTCGCGACGCGCTTTGCGTGCTGACACGGGAGTGCGGTGGAATGTTTGAATTCTGGGGAATCGTAGCGAGCCGAGACGGGGTGCAATGAACGACGGATTGTGCCGGGCTGGGGGTAACGAGCTCGCTGCTCTGCTGGCGCACCTGCGGCCGCTCCGCCTGGTGGCGCTCGCCAAGGCGGCAGTCAGCGACTGCTTCAACACGAGGCCCTTCATCCTACGCGACGACGCGCAGCCAGGCGCGCCTGGGAGCCCAGAAAGAAAGCCACGTTCACTCCGCGCAGATTCTGGGCGCTCCCCGCTCCCTCACACGACTCGATCCAGCGCTGCGCCAGCGAACAGCACGTGCTCCGGGATCCACAGGGCGCGCGCGCGGACCGCACTTGGCCCCCGCTCGGAGCTCGCAGCAGAAAAGTACTCCAGGGCAGTCGCAGGTAGGACACACGACAACATCGCGCCGCAGCCGGCGTTCCCGCCTGTGCTGCGCCCTCCCGGTCAGCGCCCCGGCGCTTCCCCATTTCCCGGCACGAACCCGCCGCACACGACGACGTCAATGACGGCTGTGTTCCACGCACGCGAGCGCCGGACGCCTCGCGCGCCGGTCGCGGTCAGATCGAGCGCGACATCCGTCACAACAGCAACAACCTCCCCGGCTCATACGCCGTCGGTCACCTCGGCACCCCACCGCGCCGTGGTACGTTCCAGCTCCACCATCCAACCCTTGACAATCTCGTACGCCCCGAAACTGAGCATCGCCATCGGAGCCACGCGCAGCGTCGCGGCCCCGATGCCGCCGTACAGCGCGCCGAAGCCGTCGGCGGCGACGATGGCCGCCATGGTCGCGAGCATCCCCCGGGCGCCCGCCGCCGCCGTCGCGCGCCCGATCGCGCGCGTCCCTCCCGCCGCCACCGTCGCGTGCGACCCGTACAGCTGCATGCGGCGCGCGACCAGCTCCAGCGGGTACGCGACGAGCTGCCCCGCAAAGGCACTCGCGACGCCAAACGCGATCGACCGCGACACCGGGACGTCCACGGACCCCGTCTGCTGCGTGTGGTACCGCTTGAGCAGGTCGTACAGCCCGTACGTGATGGCTGCCTCCGGTATGATGGCCAGGACGGACGGACCGAGTCCGCGGTACAACCCAGAGACCCCCTCCCGGGCGACGATGTCCCGCGCGACGCCCGCGATGCCGCCCGCGCGGAGCGCCGCGTCGCCGCACGTCAGCCGCGTGCGGATCACCTCGAGCGGGTACAGCACGGTGTGGGACGCCGCGCCCGCCGCCGCCGCTGCTCCCAGGATCTGCGCTGTGTTCGGCGCGGCCGTCTCGCTGCGCCCGCCGGCGCGCACGAGCGCCCGCAGCGCCGCGTCGAACACGAAGAAGTCCAGCGCCTTCTGCGGCGCGGTGCGCATCACGTTGGCGCCGTTCCCGCTGAACAGCCCGCGCACCCCCGACGCGCCGACCACGTGCCGGACCTGCGCGGCGAGCGTGCGCCCCGCGACCACGCTGCCCGTCATGCTCATCAGCCGGATCGTCTCCAGCGGCGCGGTGAGCGTGCGCGACACCGCGCCCGCCGCCGCCCCCGCCACGAGGTGCCCCCACGGCGACGCCGCCTTCGAGACGCGGGCCTCGGAGACCTTGTGCGCGTGGCCGCGGACCAGGCAGCCGCCCGTGTCGCAGTGCGACGAGTCCCCGAGTGACAGATAGAGACTGCAGTCCATCTGTGCAAGGGGAATCGACAAAAACAGAGTGCGGAACCCCTCCATGTCGATGGACGGGCCCGCGCGGTCCAGCGCCGCGCGCAGCGCCTTGCAATTCCTCCGCGGGTGGAACGAGCACCCCGTGTCCGGGCACGTGAACACCACGCTGCCCAGTCCCACGCGCGCCTGCTGCGGTGACAGCCGACCGTCGCGGTCCGCGTCCGCGCCAGCGAACGCGCGCTGAATCGCGGCCTCGCGGCTGCGCATCCAGTCCGTCGCCTGCTGAACGCGCATGCGCTTCTCCAGCGGGCAGCGGTATCGGATGCCGCCCTCGCGGCTGTAGTCGAGCGCGTGCACGCTGCTCATCACGGCGAGGAAGTTGTCGGCGTACGAGACGGGGATGCCCTCCGCGCGCACGTGCTCCCGGAGCTCCTTGCGTGACACCCAGGCCTCCTTGGTCCCTGCGGTGCGCGGGCGGCACGGGGCGCGTGGCGTGAGGCTTCGTGCGGGGACGGCGCGTCGCGCGCTCCGGGGCGAGATCCGGCGGCCGCGCGGCATGTTTGGGCGAGTGTGGTGTGTTCGCGCACCTGCGCATCCCGGTGTGATCGGCGACGGAGCCGGAGGCAGGTGCACTCGGGTGCGGGCCGCTACGGGCGGCGCGCGGCCCGCGAGCGTCGACGTCACGGACGCCCACATTGCCTGGAGGCCGCGAGGGACCTCGCTCTCCCGCCGGGCGTCCGCGTAGCTGCTCCACACGCCGCGAGCGTCCGCAGAAGCGCCGTCGTCAACGTCCCCGCAATCTGCCTGGGCCGACGCGCCCGTGGGGACGCGCTGCACGACGGCGACGGCGCACACGTCCGCGGAGCCGCATGTGCTCTTCGTCGCGAGCAGCGGGCGCGCCCCTCCCATGCGGAAACGCAGCTCCTGCCGCGCCGTGCGCCTTAGCTTAGCAGACCGGGGCGCGCGCGGCTGGTCCGCGGCGAAGTGCGGGGCGGAGTCGAAGGCGCACGGCCGGGAGCACCGTTCTCGCGCGACCATCGTCGCGGCGCGGCGCGGCGTCCCGCGGGCTGCCCGACCGGCCCGTGGGAGTCCGTTGCGCTGCCTGAGAAAAACAACCGCCGCGGCTCCAGCGCGCGCACAGCGCAACTGGGAGCGAAGCGACGCGCCGGGCCGCCTCCCGGTGGCCGCTGCGTGCGGATCCTGCCGTCGCAGAGCACGCTCGGCGCGCGGCAGGCGGCTCAGGCGGCGCTGAGTGGAAATAAGCTGCTGGCAACCTCTGTGGCGCGCGACCGCTCCCACGTGGTGCCTTTCGCACGGACGTCCCTTCCCGGCGCCGAGCGCGACAATGTGCGGCCTGCCGTGCCCGGCCGCGGGCCGTGAGGCCGCGCAGGGCCACGGTGCGGCCCACTGGACAGTCCGCAAGTACAAGTCGCCCGGTGCGCCACCCGCGGGCGACGTCGAGGCGGCAAGGGCCCGCCGAGCGACGCGGGGGCGCGCAGGGGCACGTTGGCGAGCACGTCTGCGAGAGGCCATGGGAAAGAGTTGCAAGGGACTCGTGACTCAGTATGTTCGGTGCTTAATGGAGAGCGAGTGCTACCAGGTGCGCGGCAGGAGACACACGCGGGCGCCCCCGACATCGTACGGTCATGAGCGTGGCCCTCCAGGCGCCAGACCGATGCGCGGCGCGCTCGAGCGATCGCAGCGGCGCTCCGGGGCGCACGCTGGGCTCGCGTGGGCCAAGCCCCGCTCTCCCGGCCTGCTGCGTGCCGTCTTTCGCCTGCGAGCCTATTCCTGCCGGACGTCGCGAAGTCCTCGCCGTCGTGAGCGATCGTACGCCGCTGCGCTTGCCCCGTGCGCCCACGCGCGCTGCCCGCCGGACAAGAAGCTGAGAGAGTTCCGTGCCTTTGCGCGGCGCTGGCGCATCCGCAGAAGCACCAGAGCGTCGAGATCTGCCGGACCAAGGGCGAGGACGAAGGTGTGCCGGACAAGTGCCGCGGTCTTGCGGAGGCCGTACGCCAGTGCAAGTACGAACACCGCGCCCGCGCGTGCCGCCACCGCACCGCGCCCGCCGCCCGGCCGCGACGGCCGTGACCGCCCCCACGCGCCGTCGCAGCCCCCCCTGCGACGCACCGCGTTTCAACATCGAACCGCGCACGCGAAACCCGGCCGACACTGAGCGAAGTTCCCCGCACAGCAACACGGTCGAATTGCCGCCGGCTGCTGCAGGTGGGGACAGCTCGACCGCACGAAGCGCATCCGCGGAGGCCCCGGCTACTGAGCGTCGCCGCGGAACTCCCCGGCCATGCCGTGCCGCCCTCTCACGCACGGGGCCCCGCTGCCCCCCCGGTGCGCCGCGCAGGCGCACGGGCGGCCCCGCTGGCCCCCGCGGCGGCCCGCCAGCTCGCGGGCGCTCGTCCGCGCGGCGCCCGATGGCGACGACGCGGCAGCGCGCGTCGCGGACCCGGCGCCCGCCGACGACGCCAGCGCGGGCACTCCCCCCCCTGACATCGACTCGGACGAATTCTTCGGCGAGAAGGGCGCGCGCGAGAAGGAGAAGAAGCCCGAGTACCTCGACCTCGGCGATCCCGTCGGGCTCGTGCGCGCCGCCGCGCTCCCGGCAGCCCCCGAGGTTGAGGCCGTGATCTCCGCGGGCACCGAGGGCCTCGACGCCGACCGCGTGCTGGGGATGTTTCCGTTCCAGCTGGACGACTTTCAGATCGCGTCGCTGCAGGCGCTCCTCGAGGGCAAGTCCGTCGTGGTCTGCGCGCCCACGGGCGCCGGCAAGACTGCGATTGCGGAATCGGCCGCGGCGGCGTTTCTGGCCCGCGGGAAGCGCGTGGTGTACACGACGCCGCTCAAGGCGCTGTCGAACCAGAAGCTGTACGAGCTGCGGCAGCGGTTCGGGTCGGCGCGGCTGGGTCTGCAGACCGGCGACGCGTCCCTGAACACCGACGCGGACATCACCGTGATGACCACGGAGATCCTGCGCAACATCATGTACCGCGTGCAGCACGGCGGGGACGCTGCGGAAGCCGCGGACGGCGCGGGCGATGCGGGCGGAGAGAGCGCAGAAGAAGACCCCCCCCCCGACAGACTGGACGTCCTGACTGAGGACGAGGACGCGATGGACGCGGCGGTGGTGGCGCCCGGGTCGCCCGAGGGCGGCGGCGGGAGCACGCGGCTGCACGACGTCGGGCTCGTGGTGCTCGACGAGGTGCACTATCTGTCGGACCCGCACCGCGGGGGCACGTGGGAGGAGGTGGTCATCAACTGCCCCCCCGGGGTGTCGATCCTGGCGCTGTCCGCGACGGTCGAGAACCCCGAGGACCTCGCCGGGTGGATCCGGCAGGTCCACGGCCCCTGCGACACCGTCATCACTAAGCTCAGGCCGGTCCCGCTGATGTGGCACTTCTGCCTCGACCCCACCGGTGCGGGCGAGGACAACGCGGAGCTCTTCCCGCTGCTGAACCCGTCGGGCCGGCAGCTCGCGTGGGACCTCCAGGTGGCGCTCGGGATGGCCGAGGACGTGGAGCTGGAGGCGAAGAAGGGGCGGCGGGGGCGCGACGGGAGCTGGGAGGACTGGGCCGACCCTGGGGAGTGGAAGCAGGCCGCGAGGAAGAAGTTCGGAGCCAGGGTGCGTTCCGTGCCTGCACGCCCGGTCCGCTCGCCGATCGCTTGCGTGTCGACGCCCCGCTCCTGACCGCGGCGTGCGCGGGGGGGTATTGCGTTGCAGGACCGCATGCGGACGATGATTCCGTCGATGCCGGGGGCGCTCGAGGCGCTGCGGCGCGAGGACATGCTCCCCGCGATCTGGTTCATTTTCAGCCGCCGCGGGTGCGACCAGGCCGTGGAGCGTGCCGGGCGGGCGTGCAAGGCCTTCACCACGCCCGAGGAGCGCGAGCAAATCGCCGCGGAGCTCGAGGCCCTGCGCGCCGAGCAGCCCGAGGCCGTGCGCGAGGCCCTCGAGGACGCCCTCCTCGCGGGCATTGCGTCCCACCACGCCGGGTGTCTGCCTGCTTGGAAATCCCTGGTGGAGTCTCTCTTCCAACAGGGGCTCCTGAAGGTCGTGTTCGCGACGGACACGCTCGCGGCGGGCATCAACATGCCCGCGCGGACGACCGTGATCGACGCGCTGTCGCGGCGGCGCGGCGAGGGCCACGTGACGCTGACGCACAACGAGCTCCTGCAGATGGCCGGGCGGGCCGGGCGGCGCGGGTTCGACACGCTCGGGCACTGCGTGATCCTGCAGGGGCGCTTCGAGGGCGCGGAGGACGCGGCCGACATCATCATCCGCGGGCCGGAGCCGCTGCAGAGTCGCTTCGCCGCCGGATACGGCATGGTGCTCAACGTGCTGGCGACGCGGACGCTCGAGGAGGCAAAGGCGTTCGTGGAGCGGTCCTTCGGGGCGTACATGGGCGGGGACGCTATCCGGGAGCGGCTCGCGGAGATCGAGGGGATGGAGGAGCGCGCGGCGGCGATGATTGAGGAGGTGGAGGGCAAGCACGGGGAGCGGGCGGGAGCGCAGGACGCGGCGGCGGCGGCGGCGGAGCTGCGGAAGTCGAAGGTGCGGCTGCGCGAGGAGCGGGCGACGCTGCGGAACCTGCGGCGTCAGGCCGCGGAGGACCGCGGAGAGAGGATTGCTGCGCTGTTGACGAGCGGGCAGGAGGGGCAGCTGCCGCGGGCGGCGGCGATCAATTTGTCGGCGCTGGAGGGCAACGGGATGGACATCTTGGACGACGACGCGCCGCTGCTGCGCGCGGTGGTTGTGGGCGTCGCGGGCCCGGAGCTCGCAATTGTGCCGCCGGCGGACACGGGGGCCGGGCAGCAGGCGGCGCTGGCGCGCGCGATGATGGCTGCGGATGCGGCGAGCCGCGCGGGCCGCGGGCTGGCGAGCGAGGACTCGGACGACGACGACGAGGACGACAGCGAGGGCAGCTACGACGACGACGACGACGACGATGACGACGACTTTGAGGACGCGTCCGAGGACGAGGCGGTGTCGTGGCTGCGGTGGCCGCGGCGCCTCGTGTGCGTGGCTGCGGACGGGTTCTGCTACATCGTGAACCCGGACTCCGTGGTGGGCCTCGGCCCGGTGCTGCCGCCGGGGGACGTACTGGACGCAGCGCGCGAGGCCGCGCTGGCGCTCCCGCAGGCGGAGTGGCGGTCGATTGGCGGGCCGCTCTCCGGCGCGGGGTACGCGGAGGCGCCTGGCGCCGTGAATGACGCGGAGGCGGCGATTCGCGCCGCGACGACAGGGCAGATCGATTACGTGGCGATCGACGAAGGTGCGGGCGTGGCGGTCGATTGACGCGCCTGTGCTTGCAGCAGCTGAGCGAACCTGCGCAGGTTCCGATGTCTCCGTGCTCGTTTGTGTCGTTGCGCGAGGCTGTCTGCGTGTTGCTGTGTCGGCGCCTGCGCCTGCAACTCGTGCGCGGTCCGGTCGTGCCCCCCGTGCAGACATGGAGATGGCAGTGCGCTTCCAGGGCCGCATCGTCGACGAGATCCGCGAGCGCGTCCGGTCGGCGCGGGCAGCCAAGTCGAAGAACACCCTCCCGCGGAAGGCAACAAAGAAGCTCGCTCGCGCCGGGAAGCTCATGCGCCGCGCCGAGCGCCTGCGCAAGCAGCTGGAGGCCCGTACGGCGCACGGCTGGCGTGCGTTCGAGGACGTGGTGGGGGTGTTGCAGGACGCGGGGGCCCTGGAAGCGGAAGAGTCCCCCGGGGGACATTTGGCGGCGCGGCCGCTCGGGGACGTGGCGCGCCAGGTGCGCTGCGAGAACGAGCTGTGGATGGCGATGGCGCTCACGCACCCCGCCACGCAGCTGCTGTCTCCGCGGGCCTTCGCCGGGCTGGTGGGTGCGCTGGTGACACCGGGCGTGGTGGGCTCGCGGCCGGGGGTGTCGTGCGGGTACCGGCCGAGCCGGACGGTGCTCGACGCGATCGAGTCGATGGTGGACGCGGCGGACAAGCTGGACGAGCTCCAGGCCGCCCGGCGAAACCTGGACTCCCCCGTCGACATCGACGTCAGGCTGTCGGGGCTGTGCGAGGCCTGGGCGGGCGGCGTGTCGTGGGACCAGCTGACGGAGGACACCGCACTGGACGACGGCGACGTTGCGCGGCTGCTGTCGCGCGTGTGCGACCTGTTGCGGCAGGTGGTGCGCTGCGACGCACTCACGGACGAGCTGCGCGGCACGGCGCGCGCGGCCCTGCGCGCGATGGTGCGTCAGCCCATCTCTGAGCTGTGAGACGGTCGCGTCGTGCTCGCTCTGGCTCGATCGAAACACCGTGCCGGGACATGATGACTCGAAAGAGGGGCTGTGGTTGTCCTACTCTGGTGGTTGTTCACCCATCAGGAGGGTTGTTTTCCTGTGTAGGGGACAGAGCGTCGAGTCGAGCACAGGGCATCTGCCGCACGCGCCCGATCCGCACAGAGCGCAGGTTCGACAACAGGGTGAGCGCTCGTGCATTGCGGTGAGACATCACGTTGGGATTGCTGCTATTTCACAGTCAGGTATCAATGGGGAGGGGGGGGGGAGGGGCCGTTCGCACAGCTGCGAGGTGGTACTGCTGAGGCTCGCCGAGCAGAGCGTCGCTCTGCTCGTGCGCAATTCGCGTCAGTGCTCCACTTACGCCAGGAGCGCGCTGAAGGCGGCGGCCTCGCCGCGGCCCTCCACGCTGCGCTCCTTGCGCTCGATGCCCGTCGGCGTGCCGCAGCCGCAGCCCGTGCCGCACTCGTGCACCATGTCGGGAACGACGTAGCTCGACGACAGGACGCCGAGCTGGCGCGGCGACAGGTCGGGCACGCCCGAGAGGTCCACGGCCTTCTCGACGCCGTCCGTGCACACGGTGAAGTTGACCGGGTACACGAACTCCAGGTCCGGGTCGTCCTTGGACTGGTCGGCGGTCCAGTTGTGGATCTGGACACCCGTGATGAGCGCCCAGTCGGCCTTCGAGGGGTCGACGGCCTTCGAGATCAGCTCGCGCATGTTCTTGGTGATCAGGCGCTCGGCGACCTTGGTGAACTCGACCAGGTCCATCTTCGACGCGTCCGTGACGCCCTCGTCCTTGAGCTGGTGCGCCAGGCGGTACTTCAGGATGGCCAGCTCGGGGTCCATCACGTCGTGCTTGCCCGGGGCGACGGCCTCCTTGGCCACGCCGCTGCTCTTCATGGCGCCGAGGGCGGCCACGAGGGCACCGCACGCGCCCGACTCGGGGCGGCCGGGGCGCGAGATGGCGCCCACCTTGCCCTCCGAGTCGACGGCGATGTGGGGGAACGACCAGAAGATGTACCGCTCCTTGCCCGTCACCGGGTCCTTGGGCGCGTGCGACAGGCCCGCGCCCATGCCCGTGACACCGCACGTGGGGATGGCGCCGAGCGACTGGGTCGAGAAGGACGCGCCGTAGACGTTCTCGATGCGGTTGCGGAGGAGCACGGTCGACTCGTCACGGCAGATGTTGGTCAGCGCGATCGAGTTGTCGCCCGTGAAGCCGTAGCCGAAGAGCGCGAGCTCCGACTTGGCGACGAACTCCTCGACACCCATCGAGCCCGGGAAGTGCGTGCGGACCGTCTTGTAGCGCGAGTCCAGGTAGGCGCGCTTGGCCATGCCGGCGACGCCCGCGGCGGTCTTGAGCATCTTGTTGTAGGCCTCGGCCAGCGCCTTGGCCTCCGAGCCGCGCTCCTCGCGGTAGATCGCCGAGGGCACGCCGCAGCCGCAGTCGCCAGGGGCCTCGTGGATCATGTCCGGGCACTCGGACACGGCGCCGAGGAGGCCGAGCTGGCGCGGGGTCAGGTCCGGCACGCCGGCCAGGTCGAGCGGCTTGGTCACGCCGTTGATGCACGTCTGGGCCTGCACCGGCCAGACGAACTCGAGGTCGGGGTGGTCCTTCGACGGGTCCGAGGTCCAGTTGTGGATCTGGACACCCGTGATCAGGGCCCAGTCGGCCTTGGCCGGGTCCACGGCGCCCGCGATGAGCTCCTTCATGTTCTTGGTGATCAGGCGCTCGGCCACCTTGGTGAACTCGACCAGGTCCATCTTCGTCGCGTCGGTGATGCCCTCGTCCTTGAGCTGCTGGGCCAGGCGCTGCTTGAGGATGGCCAGCTCGGGGTCCATCTCGTCGTGGGTGCCGCCGGGCACGGCGTTGGCGTCAACGCCGCCCGACTTCATCACGCCGAGGGCGGCGACGAGGGCGCCGCACGCGCCGGACTCGTGGCGGCCAGGGCGCGAGATGGCGCCGACCGTGCCGTCCTGCGAAGTGGTGAGGCCGAGGGGGCGGTGGGCGCCGGCGCGCAGAGGCAAACCATGCGCGACAAGAAGTTGCGTCGCGGGCGCGGCCGTGGCAAGCATTGGTGGCACTCACCGCGTTGATGGCGATGTGGGGGAACGACCAGAAGATGTACCGCTCCTTGCCCGTCACCGGGTCCTTGGGCGCGTGCGACAGGCCCGCGCCCATGCCCGTGACACCGCACGTGGGGATGGCGCCGAGCGACTGGGTCGAGAAGGACGCGCCGTAGGCGGCCTCGATGCGGTTGCGGAGGAGCACGGTCGACTCGTCACGGCAGATGTTGGTCAGCGCGATCGAGTTGTCGGTCGTGAAGCCCTGGCCGAAGAGCGCCATCTCGCACCTGCGGTGGAGCGCACGCGGGGCGCGGATCGGACGTGAGCGCGGGCCGAGGAGCATGTCTCGGACGTGCAGGAGGGCGCGCCGCGCCGCAAGCGAAAGTTGGCGCGCGGGTGCGGGCGGCGTGAACGGATGAGGCTGCCTTGCACAGGACACGTTTTCGGCCAGGCACTCACTTGGCGACGAACTCCTCGATACCCATGGCGCCCGGGAAGTGCTTGCCGATGGTGGTGTAGCGGGTGTCCAGGTACGAGGCCTTGGCGCCCGGCACGATGGCGGTGGCCTTGGCGGGGGCCGCCTTGGCGGGGGCGGGAGCGGCAGGAGCCTGCAGGGGCGCGTGGCGTCGAACAACGGGCGAATCAGGCCACGCGCGTCGCGTGCCGGGGAGCCCCGCGTGCGAAAGATCGCGTTGGCGGCGGGATCGTGCGAAAATAGGGGGCGGACGACGGCGCGCGCGGCTTTGTTAGCTGGGGGCCACGAGGGACGCGATGCGGCGCACAGGGCGCCGCAAAGTCCATGCGGCACGCTCTGTTGTCGAGTCCGGTCTAGCGACAGTGCGGCGAGGCAGCGCAAGGGCCTCCGGCGCGCGGCACTGCGCCGGATCGCGCGGTGTCAACTCGCAAGGTGAGGGTCGCAACTGACAACGGCGATGGCGGACATCCGGCCGCGGCCGGCCCAAACGCGGGCCGGCGCCGTACATCGTAGGTTACGGAGCGGCGCGTGGCGGGGTCCGATGCCCGGGAGCGGCGCGTGGCGCGCCGTGCCGCCCGGATGTGTGCCTCGGGCATGGGTTGGACAGGGCAAGGGTCGCGCGTTGGGGCAGGGTGCGCACCGCGACCGGCGCCGGAGCCGGGGCAGACTTCTTGCCCATCTTGTAGGCCGCGATCGCCACGCCGACCAGGCCCATCGCTGCGGGAGAGCGCGCGGGGGGGGCCGGGTGAAGGTGAAGGGCCTCGCACAGCCATGGGGCGCGCTGCACGCGCGACCCCGGCGCAATGCGGGCGCGCGATGCAGCGCGATGCGCGCTACCGAGAGCGATGCGTCCGCGGGGAGCGCCGGCGCGGCGCTGCGCGGGCGGGGTGCGCGGCATCACCGCGCCCATCCCGATAGTAGACTTTCGTCCACTCGGGGGGCGGCGCCGGCGCGATCAGGCGCGAATACCGCGTACCCGGCACGGCACCGGCGTGTCACGGTACTGAGCGAGGCATCGCGGGGGGGCGCGCACCGACAGCCGCGCCGGCGAAGGCGATGGTGGGCTCGGAGGAAGCAGCCTTGGCGGCCACCGGGGCCGCGTGGACCTCGACGGCGGGGCGCTCGGCGCGCTTCCGCTGCGCGAGCGCCGGCAGAGCGACCGGCTGGGAGCGGGCCGGGGAGCGCCCGCCCACCTTGGCGTCAGCCGCGCGCGCAACGGCGCACTTCTGGGTACCGGCAATCATCATCTTGGGCTTCGGTGCGCAGCAAACGCGTGGAAGGTGGACTGGGCTCTTGTGACTCCCCGATTGACGCTTGACTGCCGGAACTGTGCGCGCGCGCCGGGCAATGAAGCCTCCTCCGCCCGCCTCCTCCAACGGTAGTAGGGGCCCAGGGGGACAGAGGTGTGTACTGGCCTCAGGGCCCGGGCGCGGCGGGGCGCGCACGGGCCTCCGCGCGGCGCGGCGCGCGGCGCATCGCGCTCCCATGTCACGGTGGAGCGATCCGGTCGCGATCGGGCGGGGACCGGCCCGCGGCGAGCGCGCGGGCACAGGTTAGTGCACCCACCTCAGGGTCACGTTGGAGGCGTTGCCTCGGACACCCCAGCGGCGCTGAGCGCGCGGAACCGGTGGTGGATCGACGTGACATGCGCAGCTTTGGGCCACAATTGCCGATTGCGCCCCTTGCGGGCGGCGCGGGGGGACGGATGAGTTGACCCGCCGGGAGGCACGCGGGGCGTCCGAAAGGCGGGGTCAGCCGCCGTGCGGGGGGGGGGGGCGGGTGCGGCCGGACCGCCGGTGGCGTGCCCGGCGACGGCGGAGGTGCGGAAGGCGGCGCGGCGTCCCGGGGACCCCAGCGCCCGCTCTCACACGTGACGCTCTCACGCGGGACAAGCGTGCGCTCGTGCGACGGCGCGGGGGCGCCGGAGGCCTGTCGCGCCGCGGCGCTCACGAGCCTAGGTACGGACGACGCGGCAAGAGCCGCGGAGCCCCCGCCGGCGCGACACACGCGGAGCGACGCCGCTGTGTGGTGGCGGTGGGCTGTGCACGATGACTCGGCGGGGCGGCACGCCGCGTGAGGCCGCGAGAGGCTGCAGGGCCGCGAGCCCGTGGCGTGCGCGGGCGGCGCGCGCAGCGCTGGCCGCAGCCGCGCTGCCCCGGCGGCGGACCGTCCCCAGGGACTTGTGTGTTGTGTCGGGCCAAACGTGATGGGGGCCTCCCACGGCGCGCCGGCTGCGTCAGGGCCCCTGCGCCCGCGGTGTTTCGGGCGACCAGTTGGTGGCAACAGCGCCTCGTATTGACAGTTTCGGTGTTGGAGACCGCGCGAGCCTCGTGGAGGCGACGACGTGTTCGTTGCAAGGGGTCACGCCATCGGTCCTCCGCACTCGTGGGCAGTATATTCGGTCTCGAGGGCTCTCGCGGGGGAAGTTTGGTGCGAGGCAGCGATGGGGTGCGGGGCTTCGCAGCTCCAGGTGCGCAACCACGGGCGCTGCGGCATCCCTGGGACGAGCCCATGGCTGCCCAAACGGGGTGGCAGGCGCCCTCTCTGCGGTTCTTTCGCGTCGCGAACGGACGCTTCATAGTCCTCCCGTGGTATACTGACGGCGGGCCGCTCGCGCGAGGCAGCCACGGTGCCGGATTACGAACCTCGGGCAGCGACTTTCGCACCCGGTTCGCTCGCCGCCGCGCGCGACGCCGCGGCACGAGGAGTGCGACCGCACGAATCGAGTCCGTCTCGACGTCCGCTAGTCGCCGGACGTCAGATTAACCGCCTTCCAGGCCGTGTTTCCCGCTGCAGGAGCCTGGATCGCAAGTCCTGGTTCACCCGCCGCCACGCGACGAGCCTGACATTCCAGCGGCTGCTCACTTCGAGGAGATGCCGGTGAGTCTGCACGCGGACGGTGGCCTCGCTGGGAGGGGCTGCGCGTCCCCCCACGCTGTTGCCCTCCGCGTGCCCCTCTGTTGCCGCGAACGGCGTCTGCGCGGGGCGCCGGGGCGCGTACGTGCCGGTCCGGCCGACCTCAGTCACCGCTCGACGTTCCGCGCAGGAGGAGCGCGCACTATCAACGCGCAAGAGCGCGCGCAACGTCAACTTCCAGCGCCAGCGCACCCGGAGACAAAGCATAGGCTCGCGCAAGGACGTCATGCGGCCGACTCACGACGCCTCCCGGGTGCGCAGCCCAGACACCGACCTGCCCGACGCCGAGACGCGCCCGGCGCGGCACGCCCACCCTCCGCGACGCCGCACCGCTGCCCCCTCTACTACAGACCCGCACGCTCACACTCCGAGCCGCTCGTGCGCGCCGCGCAGGTCCGGCTCGACCCGGAGCTGCCCGCCACGCAATCGATCGACCCCCGTGGAATCAGCCAGAGCATGTTGGACCGCTCGCGCCGGCTTCACGCCGAGCGTCTGCGCGCAGCTAGGGGGCACGGGCACCGGCGGTCGCTCGAGGTGCCGCACGGGAAGGGCGCGCGCGCGAACAACCGATCGTCGATGGCCGCCGAGATGCTCAAGTACAGGGGCGCCGTGTACGACGACGAAGCCCTCGCGTCGCAGAAGTCCGTCGGGCTGCTCCTGGAGGCTCTCGGGCAGGAGCTCGGACAATCCTCGCGGACGGAGGAGTACGCGTGACGAGGAGGAGTACGCGCAGCGGACCGCGGACGTGCCGGGGCGTCGCGCGGTGCCGGCCCCGGCCGGGTCCGACGCAATTACCCCCCCCTTTCCTACTTGTCCATTGCTTTTTGTCCCGCCTTCGCTGACTCTAGGGCAGCGGCGCGCCCCCGGAGTGGCGCGCGCGGGAGGCTGCGCGGTCCGCGTGCGCCGCGGGCGCCCGGGCCGGTCCGCTGTGCCGCCACGCTGCGACCGCCATGCGTGCATGATCGTGTCTCGCAACACCGCAACCATCACCCTGCGCTGACCCAGCCCGATGCGCCACCTGCCTTCCCCTGTACGCCTCGCCCTCGAACACGCGGCGCGCGAAGCCGCCCGGGGCACGTCCGTCGACGGACAGACCTGTGGGGCCCCGAGCGCAACGATGGCGCGACTAGGGTGGGCGTCCTGTCATATTCCACCCCCTACCTACCTCCCCCCCTCCCCCCCCTCTTCTTCTCTGCGTACCCATCGCGCATCGTTGGATGCTCCGTGATGAACCCCCCGGGACAGCTGCGCTTCGGTCGAGCACAGACCTGAGGCCGTCGACGTCACCCCCGTGGGCGGATCGCGGCAAACGATCAGGACGAACTTGCTGCCTAGCTGTAAACGCTTTCGTGCGGAGCGGCGCGGCCTCTGCCTGCGCGAGTCCGCGGCGGACCTGGACTCATCGCATCTCACAGCGTTGTCGTATCTCACGCACTCCTAGAGAGGAAACATAGGCAGGGGAGGGGCGTGGCCACCTCGGAGTGCCCAGGCCCCTCGCGCAGGCACCTGGGCGTCACTCGCGCGCCGCGCCGCCCTTCTCGAGGACAAGCGTGTCCATCACCTCGCGCGACGACGACGAGATGGCCTCGAGCGTGAGGTGCGTCCGGTTGGCCTCCATCCGCGCGTACCCGTGTTCCAAGAACACTCGCTGGAACATGTCTGGCTGCGGGTCCAGGATGTTGTAATTCAGGCCCGCGCCGGCGTTGCCGAGAACGACGTGCACGGTGCCGCGCTCGCCCTCGCGCGCGCAGTGCGTGCCGTCCACGAGCGCGCACGTGCGCTGGTACGAGTGGTGGTGCCCGACCAGCGTCAGGTCCACGTCGTACTCGGAAAACACCCCCTCGAAGGCCTGCTGGAGCAGCTCCGACACGGCCTGGTCGCCGAACTTGTGCGCCTTGTCCTTGCTCGACACGTGGAACGGCCGGTGCCCGCCGACGATGAGCCACGGCGTCTTCGCGCGGTCGACGGCGGCGAGGTCCTGGACGACCCAGTTGTGCTGGACGGTGCCGCGCGTGAAGTCGTGCTCCGAGGAGATCTGCGTGAAGTGCACGGGCCCGACCTCGAACGAGTACCACGGCTGGTCCAGCGCCGGCGTCGGCATCTTCAGGCGCGTCTCGTACGCCACCCCGCACTCCCCCCCGGAGTCCTTGTTGCCAAAGAGGTCCCCGGAGTCAGGCCAGTCGCGCTCGTGGTTGCCGATGGCGACCATCCACGGCATCTGCTGCGCGATCGGCTGCACCAGGTCGTGCCACGTGTCCCACGACGCCACGTACCCCATGGCGTACGCGATGTCGCCCTGGTGCAGCACCATCTGCGGCTCCCGCCCCTCCTGCATCTCCTCCTCCACCATCGCCTTCATCACGCCTGCGCAGCGACGCACCGCACGCACGCACGCGTCTCGGCACGCACAACGACGGCAGCGCACCGCCACGGCATCTGTGGCGAGTTGCGTGTCGCACCGAGGGAGCCGATGAAGTAGTGGTCCCAGCTCTGCTGCTGGTTGCCGGAGTCGACCTCGTCCTGCCCCATGTCCGCGAGCACCAGCGCGCGCATGTAGTCGTCCCCAGGCGCGGGCGGCACCACCATCTTGGTGACGGGGCTCAGGCCCGTCGCGGGGCTGCCCACGCGGTAGAAGTACGTCTCGCCGTGCTTCATGCCCGTGAGCGTGACGGAGAAGAACGCGCCGGGGTCGATCCAGCCGAAGCCGGTCGACTCGGCGCCGCACAGGTCCGCCTTGCTGTACGTGTCGTAGGCGGCCTCCTCGCGGCGCCCCCCGGGGGTGTCGCCCTGGAGGTCCTCGGCGTGCTTCGACCAGAACACGCTCTGCTTGTCGTCCACGTCGTCGTCGCTGTCGGAGTCCGCGCCGTCGTCGCTGTCGCTGTCGCTGTCGCTGTCGCTGTCGCTGTCGTCGCTGCGGCGGTGGTGGTGGCGCCCGAGCGCGAGCGCGTCCGCGGGCGGCAGCGTGCTCGTCCACTGCACGACCACCTCCCCCTCCTTCCCTGCACGCACCCACACACGCGCTCACCATCACCCACAGTGTTCGCACGCACACCCACCCACACGCCGCAGCAACGACGGCGCCGGGCCGCGGGCGCACCGGTGAGCGCGAGCCTCAGGCCCGTGGGTTCGGCGTAGCTGTCGAACTCGAGCGTCGTCGACTCGGCCACTGCGTCAGGGCTGTCGAGACCCCCCTGGAACAAGTAGAACTTTATCGGCGCGCGGTGGTTGATGAGGCGGAACCGGAGCGCGCCGGCGCCGGCCGCGAGGTGCGTCCCGGACGCCGCGAGGTACTTGAACTTGAGCGGCGCCGCCTCGAGCACGGTGCTGTCGGTGGAGTAGGCGCCAATCCAGTCCTCCGGGGAGGGGTCCGGGAAGTTCTCCCACGACACCGTGACCCACGAGCCGGACCCCCTGAGGCGCTGGCTGTCGACCTTGACGCTGCGGGCGCGCGGGGCCGGGCGGGCGCGGCGGTGTTGGGCGGAGATGCTGGCCGCGGAATCTGACTGCGCGTGCGGGATTTTGCGCGCGTGCGGGGCGATGTGGCGCCTCGTGGAGGCGAGGAGGCCGGTGGGCGTGGGGGGGCGGGGGCGGGTGCGGCGTGGGTGGAGCACGCGCGGCAGTGGTTGCACGAGGACGCAGCGACCATGGTCCCGGCGCGTGCGGGCGGTCTCGCGCGGGCCGCGCTCGCGTGTGCGGGGCAGCGCGGTGGCGGGGTGCGCCGCGAGAGCAAAGACGCGGTGGATAGACGAGGGGATCGTGCGTGAGGGGGCGAGGAGGATGGAGGCACGCCGCCCAGGGGTTTCCGGGGCCGCTGCGGCGCGACTGCTGCCCCGAACGCCGCCGGCCGTGGATCGCATTCGAAATGCGGGGCCGCTGGAAGGCGTGCGCGGCGGCGCCTGCGGTCCACGTCGCGGCTCCGCGCGCCGTGCGGCCCACCTGATGTCCTTGTGCTTGTGGTGCTTGCCAATGACGTCAACGACGCGGTCCACGCGGACGCGCTGCAGGTCGTTGTGGAACTCGACCTCCTCCCGCCCGAACACCAGGTCCTGCGCCCACTGCCTCCACGAGCGCAGCGGTGGCCGCTGCGGGTGCAGGCGGAAGGGCTCGAGCGGCAGCCGCGCCGCGTGGCACCCCGCTCCGAGCAGGAGCGCGAGCGCCACGGCGAGCCTGAGAGCCATGCTTGCGTCTGCGCCGCGAAAATCGACCTCCTACCCCGCCACCAGTGCCAGCCTGCCAGGAGTGCTGGCCAGCACCCGAGTCCGCGCACGCTCCCGCTCCGTCCCCGTGCTGCTCAAACCCTGAGCCCCGAGACACGACTATACTAGGTGGAGCATAGTGCGCGCAGCCGGGCGCCGGGAACACCACTGCGCGGGCCGGGGGAGGCCGCTGAGCCTGCGTCAGCCGCGTCGGTGGGGCAGTGCCTGCTGCGCGCGCTCCCGGACGAGAGCCGCCGCCTTGGCCCGCGGGCGAGGCCAGCGGCCGCCACTGTGTCGGGCTAGCGCCACAGAATCCCCGAACGTCCGTTGCTCTTCGCGAGCGCCCTGCCGAGGATCTGCAGTGGGTAAGGCACCTGCTGCGGGCCGCACGGGGGCTGTCAGGGGGCGAGCGCACTTGCAGCGCTCGAGGTTTGATCTGGGAGCGCACGGCCGCGGTCCGCGTCCGATGCGTTCGTCCAGCATGCGCCGGGCGAGGGCCCTGTGCCTGGTGCTGGTGTTGGCGTGCTGTGCCCACGCGGCGCTCGCCGCGCGTCCGGGCATGGGGCTGCGCAAGATCGGCGACAAGATCAGCCAGCTGAAGCAGAGCGCCCTGTCGTGGATGTCGAGGGCCCAGGTGCGCGGTCGTTCCAACCACCTCGATGCGCCGCGCCTCGGATTCCGCGCAGAGGTCCCGTCACGCGCCCGTAATTCGCCCCTGCCGTAGCACAGTGCCGCTAGAACAGCGTGACCCATCCGAATTCGTCGCGCATACCGGGCGCGCAGCGCCACGCGCGCCGCCTACCAACCGCAGCCACTTTCACCGCCCCACCGCGGCTGCCCGCCCGCGCACACTGCGCTTCTATCCCCCAACCTCCTGTCCCACGCACGATCCTCCGCGTCCCCCCCCGACCTCGCGTCGCGACAACAACTCCCCCCCCCCGCGCCCCGCAATGGATTGCGCCACCTCCGATCCGCGCAGGCCCCCGAGCCGGCCCCGCCCGCGCCGTCCGACGGGCCGACGCCGCCGGCGTACAGCGACCAGTACGTCGTCGAGATGGACTACGAGCTGCCGTACGTCGCGGAGGTCCAGCCGCGCAAGATGGTCCAGCCGGTGAAAGTGTGGTACGACGACCCGGCGGAGAGCCAGCGCATCGAGTACTACGGCGGAATGGACACGTACCTGTGGCGCTACGACAAGGACATGGCGTGGGAGATCACGCCGCACAAGGACAAGGAGGTGTGCATGGAGTTTGCGGTCGGCGGGGGGCCGATCCGCGGACGCAGCTTCGACCGCGACGCCGCGCCCACGCGCGAGCGGGGCCTGCGCGAGCTCGGCGAGGAGAACTACGTCGAGCGCATCGCCGCCAAGGGCGCTGCGTTCACCCCGCACGACGTCGCCACGCGGGACGTTGCCGCGCGCGCCCTCGAGCAGCTCCAGGTGCGCCCGCGCACGCGTGCGGCCGGGCCCGGACGCCCGCGGCCTCCGCGTGCGGTGCTGCTGTTCCCGTGCGGTGGCGGTGCGTGTGGGTGAGTGTGGGTGCGTGCGCGTTTGCGGTGCAGGGGGGCGCGACGTGGGGGCCCGGGCACGAGATGGACGAGCGCTGGCGCGCGCTGGCGGGCGCGGCGGGCGGCCTGGAGGGCGCGCTGGGCAGCCACAAGAGCAAGCTGATTCCGATCCTGCCCACGTCGTTCGAGGGCTGGGAGTTCGTGGGGACCGACGACGCGGACGACGCGCAGGCGTACGTGTGGGAGCTCACGGACCAGCGCTTCGACAAGACGAACGTGTACCGCTTCTACGCGAGCGCGACGGAGACGGCCAGCGACGGCGCCGCGCTGCCGCTCAAGCTGGAGATGCACGGCGCGAACAGCGCGTTCGGGTCGCACTACGACATCTACGTGTTCCGGTACAAGTCTTACGAGCCCGGGCAGCCCGACGCGGCCGTGTTCGACGCGCCGGACTCCTGCGAGGAGGAGGACAACGTGCGCAGCCACCGCAAGCAGGCCCCGCGGGGGCTCCTGGCGGCCGGCGCGCAGCTGTCGCGCATGCTGCCGGTGCCGCCCGCGCACCGCGGCCTGCACGCGGCGTACGACGAGTTCGTCCTGGGCACGGGCCGGCGCCACACCAGCACGGCGGAGTACGTGGCGCGCGCCAAGGTGTTCCACAACATCGCGGCGATGGTCGCGCGGTGGAACGCGCAGCCGGAGGCGTCGTACCGCATGGCGCTCAACCGGTTCGCGGACATGACCGAGCTGGAGTTCAGCTGGGTGATGCTGCAGGCCAAGGGGTCGCACCCGCTGGCGGCGGTGGCGGGCGACGGCAGCGATGACGACAGCGACGCGGACAGCGACAGCGACGACGACAGCGACGCGGACAACGACGCGGACAACGACAGCGACGCGGACGACGACGCGAACAGCGACAGCGACAGCGACAGCGACAGCGACAGCGACAGCGATGACGACGACGGGCACAAGAAGCGGCACAGGCACCACCACCGGCACCACCACCGGCTGCCGGAGTCGATCGACTGGACGAACACGGGCGCGAACTCCGCGGTCAAGGACCAGGCGTCGTGCGGGTCGTGCTGGGCGTACGGCACCTCGCAGGCCTCCGAGGCCGCCGTCTTCATGGCGACGGGCAAGCCGGTCGTGCTGTCGGAGCAGGAGCTCGTGGACTGCTCGTGGGACATCCTGGGCTACGACAAGAAGGCCGACAAGTACTACTACAGCGAAGGCTGCGGCGGCGGGTTCCAGCACCTCGGGTTCGTGTACGCGATGGACAACGGGCTGCACACCGAGGCGGACTACCCGTACATCGGGCAGAACGCGTACTGCGGGCAGCAGACGCCCGAGCTGCTCCGCGGCGACGGCGCGCCGATCAAGGTCGACGGCTACGTCAACGTGACCAACTACAGCGTGCGCTCGCTGAAGAAGGCGCTGCGGGACTACGGGCCCAACACGATCTCCATCAACGCCGACCTCGCGTCCTTCCGGTGCGTCGCTCCCGCCCGCCGCGCTCGCTGCGCCGAGGCGGGGACGCGCGGGGTGTGCGGTGTTGACTCCGAGTGCGTTTGCGTGGCGTGGCCGCAGGTTCTATGGCAGCGGGGTGTACGACAACACGGACGAGTGCGTCGGCGACCCGGCGCACCTGGACCACGCGGTGATGGTCACGGGGTACGGCGTGGAGGACGGCTTGGAGTACTGGAACGTCAAGAACAGCTGGAGCACGTGGTGGGGCGACAAGGGGTACATCAAGGTGCTGACCGCAGACAACACGTGCGGCGTGAGCACCTCCCCGATGTACGCCTACATCGACTGACCTGCTGGCGCTGTGGCGCCCCGCGCCGCCGCCATCGCGACCGCCGCGCTTGTGATCGCGATACGAGTTCCTACGAGGAGCTGCGCCTGCGCGGGGCGCGCGGAGGAGCTCCGGGCAGCCGGGGCGCGGCCGCACCGGCCCGTCCGCGAGCTTTCCGGGGGTCTCCGTCGCATCGTTCGTTGCACTGCCATCCTATCGTAGCTCGCTGCCGCCCGCGTTCCAGGAGCCGCCACGTAGCCCCATCGGACCGCCTGCGCAGCTCCTGGGCTCCCGGCTCGCGCGCGCCGTCCGTCGCCGCGACACCATCGCCGTCGGAGCAGTGCGCTATGACCCGCTTCCTTCACAGCACTTTGCATGTTGTGGGTGCGCGCGCCCGGTGCTGGCCGCCACCACACCGGGCCGCGGACGCGCCCCCGGTCCCGCGCGACGCCGCCGGCCCCCTGCGCGGCCGCGGACCGTCGCGCCCCGCCCACAGGACTAGAGAGTTGTTTCACACTGTGCGCTGTTACGGATGTCGCGAGAGGCGCGGGTGAGGGGGCGGACGCGATGCACGGGGCGCCGGAGCAGCGAGGTCTAGATGTAGACGTGCGGTCCGGGCGGCCTGAGCGCGTGATCGTCGCCCCGGCGCGTCCCCGCGATCGGCACCTGTCTCGCGCGACCCAGGCCGCCCCGCGCCGACGCGAGAGCCGCCGCATCGCGCGTCTGCGCGCGCCCGGAGAGGTCCTCAGTCCGCGGAGATGGTAGATCGCGGGCACGATTGGCGCCTGGGCGCCGCGGCGGCCCGCGTGCGCGCGCCCTGGGACCTGACCGAAGGGGGAAGGTTGAGGTGGGCCGCTGTGTGCGGGCGATGGGGGCCGCGGGCGGCGCGGCGCGCCCAGAACCGGGCCATCAGGCAGCACTCTCACGAATTCGAGGTGGTCTCACGTCTCTCGAACACAGGTCACGATGCAGGCCGCTTCCTTCACCTCGGCCACCGTCGCGCCTACGCGCGCGACGCGCCAGGCCGGCACGCAGCGCGTGACCAACGTGCGCGCGCGTACTTCTGTGGTGCCCCGCGCCGCGTCGGCCTCGCCTGAGGTCGTCGAGAAGTGCATCAACGCCATCCGGTGAGCCCCCGGCCATCATCTCCGCAGTCGCCCCCCGCTGCTGCGCGGCCTCGCGTCTGGCGTGCGACGTCGCGCATGACTGGGCTGTGTGCTGCCGTTGGCGTTGCTCTGCCGGCTTCGATGCCCCTCGACGCCGGCGAATTCCCCGCACGACGATGACGCCCTCTCCCCGCCCGTCGCGCCCCTCCCCGCAGGTTCCTGAGCATCGATGATAAGTTCCCTTCCCAGGACGCGCACGAGTGCCGCCGCTGGCGCCTGAGCTCGCCCGCCCCGGCTGCGCGCGAGCGCCGGGCACCTGCCAATGGCCCGACCCACCCCGCTCCACCTCGACGCCGCGCCCTCGATGTCTGTTTTCATCGCCCTGCCCTCAGATTGGTTTGACTACGTGCCTGCGCACGCCTCCCCGGCTCCGCGGCCCCCGCCATGGCCCCGGGTCACCAGCTGCTCCATCCACCTGGTCAGCCCCCCCTCCGCTCGCAGCACCAATATGAACCTCCGTCCTCCCCGCTCCTCCCTCTGCACGTGTCAACGCAGGTGTGCATCAAGCCAGGAGCCCCGCGGGCGACCCCGCACCGCCGCTTGCGCCCTTCAGCTCCCCTGGGCGGCTTGCCCGCGCTCCACGGGCAACCCACGCCCCACACTCCCGTAAACGCGCTTTTGATGCTCCGAAACGTCGTCCTTCGGTCCCGTGACGCGCCCTTTTTCATCGCTCGACCGCCCACGACGCCGCCCAACGGCTTATCGTTTTCATCTCGCCGTCGGATCCCCGCCGGCCGCGCGCCCGCGGCCGCGACGCCGCGGCAGCCGCTGCCCAATTTCGAGATCGCCGCACGACCTCGCCGTGCGCGCTGCGCGCGCGGCCACCGACCCCCCCACCGCCGCTCACGAGCCCCTCGGTCCGCCCCCCTGCAGCCAACTCGGGCCACCCCGGGTGCCCCATGGGCTGCGCCCCGATGGCGTACATCCTGTACGGCGAGGAGATGAAGTACAACCCGAAGAACCCGGACTGGTTCAACCGCGACCGCTTCGTCCTCTCGGCGGGCCACGGTTCGATGCTGCAGTACTCGCTGCTGCACCTGGCCGGGTACGACTCGGTGGCGATCGACGACCTGAAGCAGTTCCGCCAGCTGCACTCGAAGACCCCCGGGCACCCGGAGAACTTCGTGACGAAGGGCATTGAGGTCACCACGGGCCCGCTCGGGCAGGGCATCGCCAACGCCGTGGGTCTGGCTGCCGCGGAGAAGCACCTCGCCGCGCGCTACAACAAGCCCGGCTGCGCGCCCGTCGTGGACCACTACACGTACGTCATCATGGGCGACGGCTGCAACATGGAGGGCGTGTCGTCGGAGGCCGCCTCGCTCGCGGGCCACTGGGGCCTGGGCAAGCTGATTGCCTTTTACGACGACAACCACATCTCGATCGACGGCCACACGGACATCTCGTTCACCGAGGACGTCGGCGCGCGCTACGAGTCGATGGGCTGGCACGTCCAGCACGTGCCCTCGGGCAACACGGACTACGACTCGATCCGCGCCGCCATCGCCAAGGCCAAGGCCGACCCGCGGCCGTCGCTGATCAAGGTGACGACCACGATCGGGTACGGCTCGCCGAACAAGGCCGACTCGCACGACGTGCACGGCGCCCCGCTCGGCGCCGACGAGACCAAGGCCACGCGCGAGAACCTGGGCTGGTCGTACGGCGAGTTCGAGGTGCCCGAGGACGTGTACAGCGCGTTCCGCGACGCCGCGATCTCCAAGGGTGCCGACGCCGAGGCCAAGTGGAACGCCGACGTCGAGGCGCTGTGCGAGGCCGACCCCGCGCTCGGCAAGGAGTTCAAGCAGCTCATCTCCCAGGTGCGACCAACCCCCACATATGGAATCCATATCTGCTGAATCTCCTCCCCAACAGATGACAGTCGTGCATCTGCGTGCGCGCTGGCCCGCCGAGCCGCCGCGCCCGCGGCCCGCTCGGCGTCGCTCGGCGTCGCTCGGCGTCGCTCGCCCCCTGCGCGGCGCGCGCGCTCATCCCGGCTCACGCTGCGTCGGTGTGCAGGAGCTCCCGGAGGGCTGGATGGACGCTCTCCCGCGCTTCACGCCCGAGGACAAGGGCCTGGCGACCCGCCTGCACTCGCAGACGATGCTGAACGCGCTCGCGCCGGTCCTCCCGGGCCTCGTCGGCGGCTCGGCCGACCTGGCGCCGTCCAACATGACGCTGATGAAGATGTTTGGGGACTTCCAGAAGGACACCCCCGGCGAGCGCAACTTCCGCTTCGGCGTCCGCGAGCACGCGATGGGCGCGATCGCGAACGGCCTGCGCCTGCACAACTCGGGCCTGATCCCGTACGTGGCGACGTTCTTCATCTTCACCGACTACATGCGCAACCCGATGCGCATGTCGGCGCTGTCCGAGGCCGGCGTCATCTACGTGATGACGCACGACTCGATCGGCCTCGGCGAGGACGGCCCCACGCACCAGCCGGTCGAGCACCTCGCGTCGTTCCGCGCCATGCCCGACATGCTCATGATGCGCCCGGGCGACGGCAACGAGACCGCCGGCGCGTACGCCGCGGCCGTGCTGAACCGCAAGCGCCCGACCACGATGGCGCTCTCGCGCCAGGGCATGCCGAACCTCCCGGGCACCTCGATCGAGGGCACGCTCAAGGGCGGGTACGTCGTGCACGGCAACCACGACGCCCCCGACGGCATCATCCTGGCGACCGGCTCGGAGCTGTCCATGGGCGTGGACGCCGCCAAGGCGCTGGAGGCGGAGGGCAAGAAGGTGAACGTCGTGTCGATGGTGTGCTGGGAGCTCTTTGAGGAGCAGACCCAGGAGTACAAGGACAGCGTGCTGCCGCCGGGCGTCAAGGCGCGCGTGTCGGTCGAGGCCGCGTCGTCCTTCGGCTGGGAGAGGTACTCGTTCGGGAACCACGTCGGCATCGACTCGTTCGGCGCGTCGGCCCCCGCGCCCGCGCTGTACGAGTACTTCGGCATCACCACGGACGCCGTGGTCGCGTCGCTGAAGAAGCAGATGTAAGGCGCGGGCGTGAGCCGCCGCCGAGCGTCGAGTTGAGCGCGGGACGGACCGAGCTGCCGCGCGTGTGAGAGAAGCTGCCTGATGTTGCGTGCGCGGGTGGTCAACGAACACTCTGTGTCGTCAGGCCGTCGTGTCGGGCGCGAGGCACTGTGCGCGGTCGTTGAGGGGCGCGCAGGTTGGCCGACCCGCGCGGGGGCGGAGGGTTCGACGGGCCAGCGGCTTTAGGTGTTGTTCCCTCGGTGCGCACCGGAGGGGTCATGGACGGTCAGTACCGTGCTTGAAATACGGTGTCACATCTTCACGGAGGACGCTTGTGGATGCACCGGGGCGGCGCGTTCGCTGCGGTGCACGCCTGCCCCGGGCAGGTGTGGGTGATTGTCAAATACGAAATGCCGTCTCCGCAGCCGGTCAACGGATCAAAAGGATAGCCGGCGGCGCGCCGCAGTGTCCTGCGCGCGGAGAGCGCTCTCCGCGTCACCGGGCGGTCCCGGCGTACACCACGCTGGACACGATAGCGGCGTTGTACAACACGTGCGCCGTGATCGGGACGACGATGCTTCCGCCGGTCCCGAGGTAGCCCGTGCCGAGGCAGAGGCCGAGCGCGAAGAGGCCGGCGAAGTCCCGCGGCGACGCGTGGATGCCGGCGAACAGCGCGGACGACCATGCCAGCGACACCGCGCGGCGCCTCCACGTGTCGAGAACCTCGTCGTCCCCGGACAGCGCCGGGTCGAGGGCCCAGGACCTGCGCGGACGAGCACGCGGCGGGCCGTGGTCAGCCGGGGGCGCCGGCGGCAGCCGCGGACACGGACACGGACGTTGCGGGGTGCGCGCGGCCCGATGTCACGACACGCGCAGCCGACACCCCTGTGCGGAGAGCGAGGAGGACGCACGCGGCGCGGGCGTGCGGTGCGCGGCGCGGTCGTCTTCCGCGCGCCAGGCGCACCTGTAGAGCAGCTCCTCGGAGACGGGCGCCAGGACGCACGCGGCGAGCAGGTAGGCCCCGAACGTGACGGGGTCCTTGCTGAGAGCGAGGGGCTCGTCGCCCTGCGTGATCCCCCCGCCCGGCCCGCCCACGACGCCCTCGACGATCGCCACGACGCCCAAGCAACCCACCGCCAGACACGCGCCCAGGAGCACCGCGCGCGCGACCGATCCGCGCTTCCGGGCGCTGGGCGCGTCGGGCCGGAGGGCGAGGATGACCCCGAGCTGCGCGAGCTCGAGGCCCGCGAGCGTCAGCGCGCCACGCTGCGTCGAGGCCCCCATGGACGTGACCGCGAGCGGAACGATGCCCTGGCCGAACGCGACCGTGATGCACACGGTCTGGACGAAGCTGCGCCAGTACGGCCAGTCGCCCACCTCGGCCGGGGCCTCCGGCGCACCGGCGGGCCCGTCCTCAGGGCCGCCCGCGCACGCCAGCACGGAGCGAGCGCCCGGGACGCCGGCGCCCTTCCGCCCTGCGATGCGTCGCGCGAACAGGATGCCGCATGCGTGGGACGCTGCCACGCGCGCTGCAGTGCGCCAAGAGCCCGCGCGCCCCGGCCTAGTCATGCAGGCGGAGGGTAGAGCCCTCGGCGGCGGTCTCGCTCGCGATCGTTCGGGACAATGTGCGTCACCTTGCGGCTGCGTGATGCTCTCCCTCACGTGGGACATGGTCGTCGTCATCGCGCGCCCCCGGCCCTGCCCGCCTCCGCGCGCTGCTGTGCCAAGGCAGGGACGCGCGCGCTGGTCGAGCACGAGCCCTCGGGCGCCGGACTGCGTGCGCATAGTGCGGCGGTGCAGCGCCGCGGCGCCGCACGTGTGGACCGCGGCGCGCCCCCCGCGCGTGCGACGGGTAGAAGAAAAGCGCACCGTGTGTCATGCGGTACCTCTTCGGCTCGGGTGGCGGGGAGGCGGGGCGAGTCGGCGGCTGTGCGCGAGCGCGTTGCATTCGATCGAACCTCTCGGCGCGTGGCCTCTCCCGCGGGTGGGTCGACCCGTCACCGCGCCCATTCGGCCGGCAGCTCGTCGGTCGCGCCTGAGAGCAGATTGGCGACCGAGGCGGTGCGCGGCGACGCCTGGACTAGACAGCCTCGTCGAGTTAGCAGCCTGACGATGTGCGCTGCCCCGCCCCGTGCCCCCCGCGCGGCCCCAGTATCTCTGCCGAGCATCTCGCCGGTCGTTGCGCGCCGAGGACGCCTCGTGCGCGGCCGCACGCGCTTGCGGGGGCTGCTGAGAATATGGCACGCGGCCGGGGCGCAAATGTGCGCGTCGGCGGCGCGGTCACGCGCGCGGAAGCCCCGTCAATGTTCTGCAGGTCCAAGGTGAAGCCCAAGTCGAAGACGGAGCCGTCGAAATCGTACAAGCCCTCGCCGGTGTACAGCGCGGAATGGACGGACGAGGAGCAGCGGATCCTGGAGGACGCGTGCAACGAATACCCCGTCGAAAAGCACCAACCTCTTGAGCGATACATCCTGATAGCGTCGCGCCTCTCGGACAAGTCCGTGCGAGATGTTGCGCTCAGGGTTCGCTGGATGCAGCGGCGAGATACAGGTGCGCGCGCACGGCCCCGCGGCCGCCCCGCCAGCGCGTCCGCGGCGCCAAGCGCGGCAGCAGCCGAGGTGCAAGAGCACCGGTTTCCCACGCGCACGTGCCGCCACCGGGCCCGTCGTCGCCGTGACGAACGGCCCACATCCGCGTGCTCCGCCCCGAGGCGCGTCGCACTGGGCGAGCCCGGCGGGGGCGCCCGGCGACGCGCGGGCCGCACCGGGCAGCCAAACCGCCCTCGCGCGCGCCGTGCGTCGCAGGAACCCGCAAGCGCGCGCCCGAGAGGGGGCCCGCGGGGAGTGGAAAGCCGCGCCGCGAGGCGCGCCAGTCGATTTTCGCCGTGCAGGCCCCGGAAACCGACCTGGAGCAACTGAACAACGTGCGCGCCCGCGCCGCGCCTGTCCCCGCGCCGACCGCGCCAGCGGCGCCGCGCCCCGACCCCTCGCCTCGGTCCCCGTCCGCCCCGCAGGAGAACGCGCGCGCCGGGGCGCTCGGCCAGGCGGTGTCGCCGACGATGCCCTACCTGCCCACCCTGGACGGCTCCTTCGACCACAAGAGCGAGATCTCCGGCCCCGTCGCGCAGCGCCTCAGCGAGAACACCTCCCTGCTGCGCAGCGCGCTCGAGGAGATCTCCCGGAAGAACCGCCACGCGGCGCTGCCCCTCCTCGCCGCGGCCCGCGAGAACATCGCGGCGCTGCTCGCCATGTCCACGGAGCGCATCGGCGACCAGCAGCTCCCCAGCCTCCCCGTCAAGGTCCACGAGGACCTCTCCCGCGAGCTCGTGCCGGAGGTCGCCACCGACACGCGCACCGCCGCGTTTGGCGGGGTCGGGCGCGTGCCGCTCGGGGCCATCCACAGCGCGGGCGCGCGCCCGGGCGTGGACCACCCGGGGCACGCGGCCGCGGGCGTGGCGCCGGGGTCGATGGGCGGCGGCAGCGCGCAGGAGCTGCTGCTGGGCGGGCAGGGGGGCGCGGGCGGGCTCGGGTACGGGTACGGGACGGGCGGGATTGCGTCGAGCGCGGGGTTCAACGCGTGGGCGCCCGGGATGGACCCGGCCGCGGGCGCCGGGGCGGCGAGGTAGGCGGGGGGTGTTTGTATGTAGACTGACTCGGGCGCGGGGGGGAACACCCGGCGACCATCCGCGACGACACGCGCGGCGGACGGAGTGTGACGGCGGATCGCTGCGCGCGTGTGGAACGCAGGCAACTCGTGGTGGTGGCATCAGGTGACCGCGTCGGTGTGCCTGCGTCCTTTGCCCGCCGTGATTGGCTGCGCAGGTCCCGCCTCTTCGTACTGTTTCGGTGAGCGGCCTCGCGGTGAGGGGTCCGGTGGGTCTGCGAATTACTTCGAACCCCCTCCGGTGTGTCGTGCTGACGTGGGGGAGTTTGTGTCTGGTGCTGCGGGGACTCTTGGGCCGGCGCTGCGGCGCGCGGCCGGCTGTTGCTGGCGGCGCTGCGCAGGGGCTCGGTGCGTGGATACGCGCTGTCAGTGCTCCCGCGATCGGTCGCGCAAGGGTGCGCGGTACAGCTGTGCAGGCCACGCGAAGCGCGCAGCCTTGCGACGAGCGCTCGCGGATCCAGTGGGAGCTGGTGTGCGTCTTTGGTTGGATGGCATCGTGATTCGCATGAAATCGATCAATACACCCCTCCTGTGGCACTCGATCGCGCGGCACAGGGACCGCTGGCAACCGCCGTGCCACAGGGCTCCCGCGCGCCCCGTGGGTGGGGCTCTGGCGTTCTCATCAAGAGGCCACGTAACTCAGCGCAGTATTCACGCGATAAGTCACCGGGCGGGGGCCTTGAGGACGGCGGCGAGGATGGCGTCCAGTGCGCGCCCCGCACAAGCATCCGCCGCGGAGCCGTGGCGGCAGGCCGCCTGGTGGAACGACCTGATCAGCGAGAAGTCGGAGTCAAGTCGCAGCTGGTGGGACGAGCTCAGGCGGCCCGGGTGCGTCGTCGGCGCCACCGTGCTCGACTCGGTGCACCAGCGCCACGCCAGCCTCTCTCGCGTGCGCCTGGACGTCGACGACGGGTCCTCGGTGGCGGTCGTCGTGAAGGACTCGGACTGCTCGGACGTCGCCGCGTTCCGCGACGCCGCGCACCAGCAGCGGTCGTGGACGTCGGCGGTGAGCGAGGCTGCCTTCTACGGCAACAAGGCCGACCTGCTGCTGCGGGGCGGGGCGCGCGTGCCGCGCCCGCTGGTCTCCGAGGTCGACGAGGCGAGCCAGAGGTGCGCCTGCGCTGCGGACCGCGCCGGTGCCGCTCCACGCGTCCAGGAGGTGCGCACACTGTGTGACGCGCACGCACACTGGTTGCGCGAGGTGCAGAGTGCGGCTCGTGATGGAGGATCTGACGGGCGGCGCCGCGCAGCCGAGCGGGACGCACCACAGGAAGATGCTCGACGCCGGCGACGCGAGAGCCGCGCTGACGCAGCTGGCGCGCATCCACGCCACGTACCTTGGCGCGCTGTCAGGTGCGGAGAATGCACACCCTTCGCGCTGTGCCCGCCACACGCCGGCCGCTGTCATGCAGAGCTGCGCACAGCCCGTCCGCGACGCGCCGCTGCAGAGGGGGACGCGCGACGGCGGGGGCTGTGGTCCCAGGGGTGCTACTGGACGCTCAGCAAGCGCGAGAAGGAGCACGCGAAGATGGGCGCGGAGTGGCGGACCACGCGCGCCGCGTTCCGGCCGTACTGTCCTGCGCTGTTCGACCATGAGAGCGTGCAGCCCCTGGGCGACACCCTGCGCGACGCCGCACGCGCTCTCGACGCGAAGCTGCACGGCGCCGGCGACGTGGAGACGTGCTGGGTCGGGCCGACGCTCGTGCACGGCGACTACAAGGCCGCGAACCTCCTGTTCGTCGACGCGGGAGGTGGCAGCGGCGCCAACGCCGTGCCCGTCCCTGTGGACTGGCAGTGGGCCGGGCGGGGCCCCGCGGTGTGCGACCTGGCGTACCTGATCCAGTCGAGCGTGGACCCCGCCGTCCTGTGTCGGGCCGAGGCTGAGTCAGGTCTGCTCCGGCACTATCGCGACGAACTTGCGGCTGCGTTGCGGGCGGCCGGACGCGCGGACGAGGTGCCCACGGCGACGGCGCTCGCCGCGGGGTACGCTCTGGCCACCCTCGACTACGTCAGGTACCTCATCGGGGGCATGTGGGGCCCGGTAACGCCCGAGACGTGCGCGCGCAACGTCGGGCAAGGCAACCAGGGCATCCACAAGCGCTCCGCCGCCGCACTGTCGCGGCTAGTGGCGCGCTCAGCGGACCTGTGCGGCACGGCGCTGCCCGCGCTGACCGGAGGGGCGGCGCTGCCGCGCGAGGTCGCGACGGCGTTCGCGGAACTCAACCCTCGCGTCCCCGGGGGACTCGAAATGGGGGTTCTGGGGGACACGGAGGGGGTGGAAGCGGCGTCGAGGGACGCCGGGCTCGTCGCTGCCTGTCTCGTTGCGTCTGTGGGTCTGGCCGAAGCGGCGGGGGACGTCATCCGCGGATACATGCAGGGCGTGCTTGACGGGGGCCTGGGCGTGCGGAACAAGTCCGAGGGGCCGCACGGGGCGAAGGAGGGGAAGCCGAAGTTCGATCCGCAGACGCAGGCGGACCTGGAGGCGGAGCAGCTCGTGGTGGGGGGTCTCTCGTGCCTGCATGGGGATCTTTTAGTTGTTGGGGAGGAGATGGTGGAAGCTGACTCAGGCAGCGGGGTTGCGGAGGGGAGCAAGGAGGCGCTGGAGGATGCGCTTGGGTCCGCGGCGGCGCGGGCGGCGCGGGACGCGGTGCTGGCGTCGGGGTGGTGGGGGTGCGTGCCCGCCAGCGTGCGTGACGCCGCGGTGGAGGACTTGACGGTGTGGGTGGACCCGCTCGACGGCACGAAGAGCTTCGTGGAGGGCAGCCCGGAGAACGTCACCGTCCTCATCGGTACGGCGATCAAAGGCGTGCCAGGTACGCCCCGCATGCACCTACCCCGCGGACCTGCGCGGCTGTTGCTTTGCCTCGGCGAGCCACGCTGCCTTACTGCGTCATTGCCGGCTCACTGATAGGCAGCGGGGCGACGTATTCAACGCTTCCTCGTCCCGAGTGTGCGTCCCGCGCAGCTCTCGGCGTGATTCACCAGCCCTTTGCCAACCCTCCTCGGACGTACTGCGCGCTGCCGGGCGCGGGCGGGTTCGTGCGCGCCGCGCCGTCCTCCACGTCCGCGGCGGCCTTCGAGCGGATCGAGGTGACGCAGCTGCCCGGCTGGCATCACATGCGGGCCGGCAAGGCGCGCGACGGGCTGGTCAAGGTGGCCACGACGCGGCAGCACAGGTCTCCCGCGGTGCTCGAGGCGGCCAACTCCGTGAAGCCGGACGAGATCCTGGGCATAGGCGGGGCTGGCAACAAGGCTCTACGTCTGTTGGATGGCGACATCTCGCACTACATCTTCACGGCAAAGGGCACGAAGCGGTGGGACACGTGCGCTCCCGAGGCGCTCCTGCGCGCCGTGGGGGGGTTCATCCTCGACAGCACCGGCGCGCCGTACCCGTACGACCTGCCGAGGGGGGTGTCGCTGCCCGACCTCCCGGAGGAGTCCTGGCGCAACACGCGCGGCATCGTGGCCGGCCTGACGCGGGCCACGTGGGAGAGCCTTGCGCCGCTCTTTGCGGACCAGGAGAAAGAGCGGGACGGCGAGCCGAGCCAGCCAGCGCCGGCGTGGGAGGGCTGCAATCCGCGCTGCTTCGCGGAGGACGTGACGCTCAGCTCAATGAGAAAAAAAAGTCCCTAGTCGAATGATCTTTTCAGGTCACAAAGCCTTATGGCTGACGACGCGAAGAATGTGACACCTCACCTCACCTCAGACCCCACCGTCGCGTCCGGACGGTCGGCCAGCGCGGAGCGTGTGAGGACAGCGTTCGTCACCTCCGGCGTCGCAGCAGTCACTCGTCGGCGAGAGCACGTGAACAGAATAGAATAGAAAACGAACCAATCGAGAAGAATGATCAAGACATGTCAGTGGGCGGCAGCGTCAGCTGAGCTGCGCCCCGAGCTCCGTCAGCACGGCGAGGAGCGTCTTGAGGAGCTCCTCCCGGAACGTCCCGTACTTCCGCACGCCCTCCCGCGCCAGCACGCAGCGCAGGCTCAGCTCCGTCTTGCCCAGCGACGTGAAGCCCGCCCACCCGCACGACACGGGCTGCCGGTGGTCCACGAGCGGGTGCTTGTGCAGCCACGTCTTCATGCGCGCCGCGATGGTGTTGGCGTGCACGGTGTCCTCCAGCCGCACCGGCACGCGCACCTCAACAGGTTTGGGGGGCGGGCCGCTGACGCCCCAGGTCGTCATGGCGCGCGACAGGTTCGTGACCATGAGGTCCGTGATCGTCTTGTTCGGGATGGACACGGGGCAGTCCGCGTCGTTCCGGAGGACCGTGCGCGTGGGCGCGATGTGCATCACCACGCCCTCGATCACGCGCCCGCCGGAGTTGGTGCTCAGCTCGATGCGCTCGCCGACGGCGAAGGGCCGCGCGAGGAAGATCTGCACGCCCGCGAGGATGTTCGTCAGCACCGACTGCGCCGCGAAACCCGCCACGAGACCTGCAGCGGCGCCCCGCGTGGCCACGCACATCGTCGAGGCGCTGGAGGGGACTTGGACGGCACCGGCGCGCTGCGGGAGGCGCGTAGAGGGGGCACGCACCGGAGACACCGCCGAGGGCGAGGAAGGGTCGGATGTCGACGCCGAGGACGTTGAAGCAGGACAGCGCGGCGCCGCCCAGGATGATCCAGGACAGCAGGCCCGACACGCCGACGAGGGCCTTCCCGACGTGCTCGACGGTGCTGTCCGGCTCGACCTCCTGGAGCTCCTCCTCGACGGCGATGAGCGCCGCGTGCTTGATGCGCATCACGGCCCAGGCGCCCACTGCGACCAGGAGGGTGCGCGACGCGCCGCCGAGGGCCTGGAAGACCTCGCGGCCGACCGCCGTGATGCGGATGAGGAGCACGTGGAGGGCCGCGCCGCCGATGAAGCTCGCCGGCTCCGTCTCTGCGAGCGCCGAGGCCCACAGAGCAACCGCAGCGCCCAGGCCGTCCATGACCTGCGCGACGCGAAGCCGCTCAATCGCGTGCGTGATGGATCGTTCACATGGTGAGAGAGGGACAGGGCGGGGTCGGGATGCGCGAGGGGCACCGACCTGGACGGCGAAGAGGACGAAGAGCATCGCACTCGCTGGCGTCGCGAGCGCGTGGTACATGGAGTGCACGCTCGTCGCCTTCTTCATGACGCGCTGGAACAGCTCGGCGATGTCCCCGGGCGGGAGCGGCCTCGTCCCGGCCTCGGCAGCGGACCCGCCATCGCCGCCAAAGGGAGAGTGAACGACCTGCGCTTCGCGTCGAGACACGCCGCGCGGTCGCGGCCGAACGGACGCGCGGCGCGACACCTGCACGGAGCTCGTCGTTGGCATGTCATCCCACCTTGGGCGCGTCCTGCCCCGCGTGCTCCGGCGCGTTGCGGGCCTCCATAGCGGGGGCAGAATATCACGTCCACCGGCCAGCAGCGACCTCGGAATCCGTCTCAAGCACCCGGATGGGGATCTCTACGAAGTCACAGTCTGTGCCGCGAGCTGCACCCGCGCGAGGCGACAAGCTGCGAGCGGCAGTCGGGCAGGAAGGAGCAACACAGAGGTATGACAGCGCGCGCTATGCCGCCTCGGGCGACGCGCGGCAAGGGCCTCGCACGCTCGGGCAGCGACAAGCCGAAGGCGAAGCGTCACACCGCATCAACTGAGCGGCTGCTGCGTGCGGCGGTGTGGCTCGTCCGCGCGTGACGCCGCCGCGGCCTCGCCAGCGAGCTGGAACAAGGCCTGCGTCTCCTTGACCCTGGAGAACTCGATGCAGAACGCCTGCACCTCTATCCGCAGCGCGGCGGCGTCCACGGCCCCGCTGCGCACCAGTGCCGCCACAAACGCGCACACCAGCCGCACCATCCTGCACCGCGGACACGACGACGTTCCGGGCGTCACCGGCCTGCCCCGCGGCGCCAGGCTGCGCGCGCGCGGGGGGCCCTGCGGCGCACCTGTTCTGCATGAAGCGGTCCTGGATGTTGCCACACTGCGACATGCAGCGCGACAGGTACTGCTGCGTCGCATCCGCGGACACGTGCCCGCCGGATATCATGCGGTTCATCACCTCCATGGCCTGCACCGACAGCGCCGTCGCCGACGTGAGCCTGCGGAGAGCACACGGCGCCGCGCTGCATTCGTGGGTCGAAGAAGTGCGGTCGCTCCGCACGTGGGCTTCCGAGGAGGAAGGGTACGCGGCAGCGTGCAGCGCGGTACCGTCTCCCGGGCACTTCGAGGTGGCGTGGGCCGCCACGTGTGCGTGTACGCGTGCAGTGCACACGTGGTGTTTGCACGCAGCGCGGTCGGCGCGACCCGGCGCAGCGGCTGGCGAGGCGGAGGGCTGCGTTGGTCATCGCGCACCGTTCGAGGAACTGAGGGAGGAGGGGTGTCCCTGCCAGTCGGACCAGGAAGGCGGTGGCCAGGGGGGGGTTGTGCTCGACCAGGGCCGGGAGCTCGCGCGGCGCGAGTCCGCAGCCGAGAGCGGCGTGGGCGGACCGCTCGAGGATCGCCAGCGCCGCCTCGTGCTGCTGCGGCGCGAGCGGGCCGTGGATTGCCTGCAGGGGGCGCGAGCCACGCATGGTGCGGTCACGAACGCCTCGCGCTGCTGACTCGGCCGAGGTCGTGCGATGGCGGGTCGCGACGAGAGGGACCAGGCGGGCTGCTAGCGGGCGGCCGGACCTTGACCATGGCCGCGCGGAGGGTGTCGCAGTCCTGCCCGCCCCACCCGTGCCACCAGACGAGCCGCATGTCCCGCTCCATGGAGCAGCAGAGGCCCACGCCCGGGAGAGAGGACTCGCGGGGGGTCGCAGGCATGATTGGCGGCGCCAGACGGATCCACGGCGGGCAGAGGGCGTGCGCGTCAGCGGGCAGCCCCGCGCCGCTGTCCGGTCGAGCCCCCGAGTGCTGCGCGAGACGCTCGAGGAGTTCGCGGGGAAGCTCGACGGCGCGGCCCGCTGGCCGTGCCAGAGGCGCTTGCACGGCGTGCGCGGACGCTTGTGGTGCCATCTCAACGTCTGGTCGCCGCGCGCGGGCCCAACCGGCAGATTCAGCGCCCGGGACGCGAGATATGGGATCTCTAGATATGTGTCGTATGCTCGATTATGCGTTTGCCGCTTGAACTGCTTTTCCTACGCCACATTGTGCACGACATCATGATGTTCCATAGTCGCTGGGCTCTTGCAGCGCGAGGTGATCTCAAAGAGCTTGCGTTCCGGTCTCTCAATGACGTGCATTGCGCGAGGCAGCAGGCGCTCGGATCCCTCATGCCCACCGGGGGCGCATGGCGCCGTGGGGGGTGTGAAACAGTGCCGCGCAACCGACTCCGTCGCTGCGACACCCGCGGGAGGCGACACCGCGCTCTGCACGACCGTGCTCGCATCCGCCGCGTCGCAGGAGACGCCCGTCGAGACGCCGTCGCGCGCGCGGAAGGTGTCCTGCGACACACCCGCCGGCACCCGCTTCCACGCAGCCCTCGCGGTACCTGACGTCGCCGTCAGGCTTTCCCCGTCTGCCGCAGGCAAGCATCTAGCGGCCGGGGACGCGCGACCGGCACACGTCGTCCGCCCCGTCCGGACCCCGCTTCCACGTGCGCAGGTTGAATGTCCGGGACGTGCGCGACGCGGGGGGGCGCTGTGTGGCCCGTGCGGACTGCTGCGGGGACGCGTGGACTCGGCGGCCGCGGGCCGGGCTCGTCGCGGCGCCGCACACCTCGCGGTCGCTGCGTCTGACATGCGGCGCGCTGCGTTGATTGAGAGCCACGTCAGGGGGGCGCGGACGAGGGCTGGTTGGGCGCGGGGGGGCGCACGAGCGCGCGAGTCGTGGCACCGGCGCGGGTCGGAGGGGTCGTTCGCGGGCGTTCACCGGCGCAGGAAGCACGCAACAAGTGTGGCGCTGGCTGGCCCACACGCCCAGCATTGCGGAGCAGCGGGGCTCGCACGAGCGATACCGAGGGGTGGAGACTGACGTGAGTCAGGGGCAGAGAGGGTGCATCTAGGCCGTCGCGAGCATGCGGAGCTGCCTGGCCGGCCGGCCCGTGGTGCAGCGGGCGGCGATCGCCCGGCAACCGCGCGCCCTGGTCCTGCGCACGCGCGCGAGCGCCGAGGCGCGGGCCAAGCTCGACGAGGGACGCAAGCTGTTCGACGCCGGTGAGCGACGGCCGCTCGCAGCCCTCGCGGTCGGCGTCGGGCCCCGCAGAGCACCCAGCGCTGATATCCATCCCCTCCGGGCGCAACCTCGGACTTTTTCGCGCGACTCCCAGATGAACTTGCACTCTCCATGCGACAAACGACGCGTCGCGCCCATGACTGGTGACCTTTGTCGCTTGGTGCCGCCTGGGGCTCGAGGGCATCAGGCAGCTGTGGTGTGATGGTTCGGGGCCCCGGCGTCGCGCGCGTGCAGGAGACCGCATGGGCGCGATCCGCATGTACGACGAGGTGATCGAGGCGGGGCCTACCCCGGAGCAGGTCCAGGAGGCGCTGTACAGCGCGACGTGCTGCCACGCGTCGTTTGGCGACATCGAGCTGGCCAAGATGACGCTCCGGGACGCGGTCGCCGCGGGGCTCGACTTCGAGGCCGCGGTGAAGAACGAGGAGTGGGTGCCCCTGATCGCGTCGACGCAGTGCAAGATCCAGCTGCGCAACTTCAGCAAGGCGGTGGCCAAGCAGACGCGCGCCGGCGCGGGGCCCGCGACGGACGAGCAGAAGGCGATGCAGAAGAGCCAGGGCATCACGCCGAAGCGCCAGGCGCCCGCGTACAAGCCCTCGCTGTCGGGCGACGCGTCCCTGCAGGACCGCCTGCGCGACGCCAACGAGCGCGGGGACGTGAGCGAGCTCCTCGCGACCGACATGGGCGAGGGGCTCGACACCTCCCTCGGCGCCATCGCGCGCCGCGTCGCGATCCTCCTGCTCGTGCTCACCGTCTCGGGGGTCGTGATGTGGTACGCGGGCCTGGCACTGCTCTTCCCACAGGGGTAGCGCGTCAGGGCGAGGCGCGCAGTGTGACGGCTGGCGCGAGCGCCCGGGGTCGCGGTCCGTTGCAGGCCTCACAGCTCTCAAAGAGGGGGGGGTGTTGGCGGTACAGGAAGAATGCAGGGGGCAAAATTGTGGCTACCAACAGCGCGGTGCGTGCGCCGCGCTGCAGGGGACGGATGCGGAACGGTGCGGGTGGGGGGGCCTGTGCCGCCAGGGGGGTGCACCGCGGTGGGAAGCAGCGTCCACCGCCGGCGGGCCGCAGGAGCTCACTGCTCCTTCCCGGCGGCCTTCTCCGGGCGCGGCGCCTTGCTCGTGTCCCCCTTGAGCTGCGCCGCGGCGCTGGAGCCCACGATGATCGCCGCGCCGACCCACCCGGCGGCGCCCCAGCGCTCGTCCAGGAGCACCCACGCGAACATCGCGCCCCACAGAGGCTCGGCGGTGTAGATCAGCGCGGCGAGCGGCGCCGACACCTCCTTCAGCGACTCCATCTCGATCCACAGCGTCAGGGCGGTGGTCGCGAGGCCCATGTACGCGATCTGCCACCACGGCACCTGCGCCGCGGCGCTGGTCACGGCCTCGACGGCGCCCTCGGGCGCTGTCAGCAGGCCGGCGATCTCGGGCACGCACGCGACCGTCGACGCGCCGGCCAGCACCGCCAGCTGGACGGCCATGAGCGCGAGCGTGTCCTCGAACCGCGCGGTGATGGACTCGGTGCGGAACTTGTGCACGCCAAACAGCACCGCCGACACGACGCACCAAATGTCGCCCGAGTTGGGCGGCGCGGACGTGGGGTCGCCCACGAGCAGCGACACGCCGAAGATGGCTGCGGGGGCGCGGGCGGGGGGGCGGGGGGTGAGGGTGCGGTGCGCGAGGGTGCGGAGAGAGAAGGAGGAGTAGATAGATAGGGTCTTTTGATTGATCGGTGGCTGGATCGATATGGTTTAGGAGGACGGGGGGTTGGGTGCGCTCACCTGCGGCGGCAGCGGCCCAGGTCGACCCGGCGATCTTGCGCCCCGAGAGGCCGACGAGGATGGGCACGGTGAGCACGGTGAAGGTGCCCGTGAACGCCCCGCGGCTCGCGTCCGTCTCCGCGAGCCCGACGGCCTGCGCGGTGTACCCAATGAAGAGCCACAGCCCGAGCTCGAACGCGGCCTTCCGCATCTCCGGGTCGCGCAGCCCGCGCGCCGCCGCGCCCGCGAACGGCAGCGCGGCGAGCCCGAACCGCAGCGCGTTGACCCCGTCGGGCGACAGGATCCCGGACTCGACCTCCTTGATCACCACCTGGTTGCTCCCGAACAGCGCCGCGCCGAGGTTGAGCAGCAGCATGCCCTTGAGGGACCCCTGCGGGGGCGGGGGCGCGGGGCGCGGCGCGGGTCGGCGCGGGAGGGCGCGGCGTGCGCGGCGCGGCGGTGGTAGGCTATGGGCCAAGGGCGCTGCGAGAGCCACTCACACACAGCGGGCGTGGCGGCGCGGGCCGCGCGGGGGGCCGCGCGGGCGCCGGAAGGCATAGTCCCGGCGGGGCCATGCGATCGCGGCGCGCGGGGCCGCGTGCGGGGCCCGTGCGGCGCGGGCGCGGGCGCACCTGGAGGAGCTTCTCGGCGCGGTCGCCCGCGCGCTCGCTGACGTCCGCGAGCTCGTCCGCGGCGCCGTCCGGCTCGCGGGGCGGGAGCTTGCGGGCGCGCTCGATGGACTCCGCGACCGCGGCCGAGTCCCCGGCGGGCGTGGAGGGCTGCGCCGCATCCTGCACGGGCACGGCGCTGCGCAGCTCCTCGAGCTCGGCCCCGGAGGGGGCGCCGTCGGAGCGTTCCGCCTGGTCCACGGCGTTCTTGAGGTCCTCGGCGGGCTTCTGCTCGACCGCGGCGTCGCCGGAGGTGGGCTGCAGTCGCGCGGGCGCAGGGTGTGTGGGAGCCATCAACCACACGACGGCGAAACGGCGCGGCGGGGCGCGGCCGAGCGGGTTCGCCCGGCTGCGGCTGGCTGAATTATTCCCAAAAACATAATTGGCTGGAAATACGCGGCGCGCGCCGGCCGGGGCGCGCTGGCCGAGCCGCCCAACTGGTGGCAAAAGCAGGGAGCGCCCTTTGCGGGCTGTGCGCGTCGTTCGAGCGCGCGCAGGCTCACCTTCACCGCGCGCAGCGCCGAGTGCTGCAAATTGAGGCGACTGGGGCGCACAGTTGCGCCCCTGTTGCCCCCCCGGATCCCCGTCGCGCGATTGGGCAGAGCTCTGCGAGACGCGGCGGAGGGTCGGATATGTGGGCGCGCGACGGGCGTCGGCGACGCGAACGGCCGAAACGTGCGAAGCGGTGGCGAGAACGCGCGGGGCGGGGCCCGCCTCGCAGCCGATGCATCACGGCCGCGAAGCCCACCTGGTGCGCAGCGACGCGACGCGCGTGGCCGTGCGGCCCGAGCAGACACACATCGTCTCGCCCCCCATCATCGTTGTGCCTGATCAGTGCAAGCCAACGAAGTGCGGACGCGCGCGCCTACGCGACCCCCTGGCCCGCGGAGGCGACTCGGGCTACCAGTACGACCGCTCCTGACACGACCGCGGGGGACTCTCACTCCCACGGGGGGGCGCCCCTGGGACGCCACGCAGCGCGCAGCGCGACGCACGCACTCGGCAACCACGGCGGACTCGTCGGATCCACCGCGGTGAGTCCCCGCGTCGCCCCGGACGGCAGCGTCACATGCGCAGTCCAGTACGCGCGCGCGGCGGGCTAGTTGCCCCCGGACGGCCCCGCGCTGGCGCCCCGCGCCCGCTCGAAGAACTCCTTGAACGACTTGATGTTCTTCGCCGCCACCGCGCTCTGTCCCGGCTCCACCTTGGGCATGTCGCCGACGCCGCGGCCCACGCCCGCCGCCGCCGGCTCCTTGCGCGCCGGCACGCCCTCGCCCCGCAGCCCGCCGCCGCGCCGCTCCAGCGCCTCGCCCGCGCGCACCAGCGCCGACTCCAGCACGGCCACGCGCTCCGTCGCCAGCCGCCCCACGCGCGCCTCCGCCTCGGCCGCCTCCGCCCGCGCCTCCGCCGCGCGCCGCGCGTCCTCCGCGCCCGCCAGCTGCTCCAGCAGCGCCCGCACCGCGCTCGCCTCCTCCGCCCCGCTGTCGCTCCCGCCCTCCTTCTGCCCCGCCCACCCCAACACCTCCGCAGGCGTCGGCGGCACGCTCCCCCCGCGCGCCGGCGAGCCCCCCGCGCGCGGCGGCGCCCCCGGCGCGCCCCCTGCGTCCACCGCGTCCCCGTCCGCGTCCGGCCACCCCTCCTGGGACGCGCAGATCGCCACCACGTCCTCCTCCGTGAGCAGCCCCGCGTCCACCATCACGCCCAGGAGACCGCGCTGCTGGAACGACGCCTGCGCGCGGACCTGCATCAGCCGCTCCTGCAGCGACACCACCATCCGCGCGAGCTCCTCCTGCACAGCCGCGCACGAAACGCACCGCGCCCGCGCGCCGTCAGCACAGGGCGCGCAGAACACGCGCGACGCCGCACGTCCCCGCAGCGCACGTCGTTGCAGCGGCGCGTGGAAGCGCACCTGGACCTCGGACGCCGTCGGCGGCGGCACCCCGCGCCGGAGGTTGGTCCTGCAGCACCGCCGCTCGGCCTCGTCGATGACCTCCGGGACCGACCGCGGGCGCTCCTCCGCCGCGGGGTGGCGCGCCATGCTCCGCGTCACGTCCGACGCGCGCCGCTCGGGGCTGTCCCCGTTCGGCGACACGGGCAGCACCGAGGCGTCGGGCGTGGCGGGCACGTCGGCCAGAGCGCGCCCCGCGTCGCGCAGGAGGCCCGGCGTGGCGCGCTCGATGCGCGACCGGACGTCGAGCGCCGCGCGCCCGCTCGCGCCGCCGCGGACGAGTTCCTGGTTCTGCAGCCACAGCTGCGCGTAGTGCCGCTGCAGGATGTGCAGGTCGCGCGCCCACCGCCGCGCCGCCGCCTCGTGCCGCCGCGCGAGCGCCTCCGCCCGCGCCACGCGCTCGTCGTACTCTGCGCCGCGCCGCCGAGGTCGCCGCGAGTGAGCGATGCAGCTGCGCGCGTGACAGGGCGAGGGCAAAGAAGGAAGGGGGGAGGGCGGTTGCACACGTGCCTGGGCCCGCGTCGTCGTCGTCGGCGCGCTCGTCCATCGTCCGGAGCGACTTCTGCCAGGTCTTCCGCCACGCGAGCCCCCCGTACGTCCGCGGCCCGACCTCGGGGTCGTATCCGTCAGCCACGCGGGTGCCCGGGCCGGGAGTCGCCGCCGGGATCCGGCTGTCCGGCCGCAGCGACGTCGACTTGTTCCACACCGGCCGCTCGTCCACCGCGAGCGCCGGCGGGCGCTGCCGCGGCGCCGACGCGTACCTGCGCTCCCCGTCGTACCTGCGCTCCCCGTCGTACGCCCCCGCTGGCCGCGCCCCGCGCGCCGTGAGCGCGCCGCCGCCGTCGCGCCGCGGGTCCGCCGACGGCGCCCCGCGCGCGCCCGTGCGGTCCGTCAGCGGCCCCTCCTCCGCGCGGCTCCGCTCCGCCACCTCCGCCATGTCCAGCGTCATGCCAGTGTACGACGGCACGACGTCGCGCGGCGGCCGGGCGGGGACCGCGGGGCCGTCCATGTCGAGCCTGCGCGGGACGGCGCCGCCCGTGCCCGGCGTGACCACGGACCGCACGCCTGGGTGGACGGAGTCGGCGTCCGACTTGCGCAGCGAGGCCACCCACTGCTCGGGGGTGTGCGGGCCGTGGCGCTGCTTGCCGGGGCTCGTGATGCGCATGTCCTCGCGCGGGGAGAGCCGACGCATCGTCGTGCGCGCGGGCGACGTCGCCGGCGGCGCCGTGGAGAAGGGGCTGAGCGGGGGGGTCACGCGCCGCGCCCCCGTGTCGGGCACCGACCACGTCAGCTTCGGGGCCGGCGGCGGCGGGGCCGCCTGCGCGGCCAACGCCGTGACGTCGCCGGGGCCGGGCGAGCCCGTCCTGCGCGCCTGCCGCGCGGAGGGCGCGGGCGGCGGGCCGGCGGCCCCCGGCCTGCCGTCCGGGCTGCGCTGCAAGCGGCTCTCCGCCTCCGCGATGACGCGAAGGTACTTGGTGGTCGCGGGGTTCCCGGCGGAGGAGGACGCCCCCGCGTGCGCCCCCGTGTCCTCCGAGTCGTCGTCCCCGGGCACCTGACTCATGCTCACCGACGGCAGGCGGTACAACGTCCCCGCCTGGCCCGTGCCGCGCCGCGTGAGTGACCGGCCGCGGTCGGTCGGCGGCCGCCCCGCGCTGTAGTCCTCGTCCGACTGCGACGCGAACGCCCCCCCGCGCACCAGCCCGTCCGAGGGGGGGTCTCCTTCCTCGGGGATCCTAGACACCCCCCCGCCCTGCTGCGACCGCGACGCGCCGTCCGCGGCCGCCCACGACGACGACCGCCCCGGCAGCGCGCTCTGCCCCCCCCGCGCGCCCTCCGCGGGCTCCCCGCGCGGCGCCTCCCAGCGCGCTGCGGCGCCTCCGCCCCGCGCGCGCCCGGCTGCTCCGACCGCGTCCGCCCCAGCGGCGGCCGCTCCTCCGTCGAGTCCTTCGCCGCCCACGCCACCGCCAGGCTGTCCAGCTCCTTGTCCGACAGCGACACCCCCGCCACCGCCGCCGCCGCCGCCAACGCCGACCCCGCCGTCTTGCGCGTCACGCGCGGGACCACCTGCGGCCCCACGCCCTTCCCATCCCTCCCCGCGCTCCCGCTCGCCGACGCGCCCCGTTCCGCCCGCTCCCCGCTCCGAGGCTGCAAGCACACAAACACACACACGAGGGGCGCGCGGCGCGTTCGGTCCGGGGCGGCTCGCCGCGGCGCTGCGTCGACGCGGGCACGTCCGCGGCGGTCCACGCGCGCACCTGGGAGGGGATGACGTGCACGAGGCGGTGCTGGGGCGACTCTGCCACCGCGTGGCCCTCCATGGACGCCCGGGCCTCCGCGCGCTCCCGGTGGTCCATGACCTCCGCCGACCACGACACGCCGCCCTTGTTCAGCCGGAACGGCGACTCCGCGGCGGACTCGCCCGCCCCGTCCCCCGCGGCGTGGTCCTGCCGCGCGGTCGCCGGCGCGCTGACGCTCTCCTCGCCCGCCGCCCGCGCCGTCTCGAGCGCGTCGTCCCCCGCGGCGCTGTCCTGCCCCGGCTCCGCTGGTCCACGGCGGCCGCTTGGGCCCGCGGACGGCCCCGCGGCGCCCCCGCCGCCGTCGCCGTGCGAGGCAGATGTGTCGCCGGTGCCCAGGGACAGGGAGCTCATGTCCAGGGCTTGGCGGGCAATGTCGCGTTCCGCGAGGGGCTTGCCGTTCGAGTTCAGGATGTCCTGTCCGCGCGCCTCCTCGGCGGTCCTCGCCACCGCCTTGCCCACATCGGCGAGGGTGGTCTGCTCCGAGACCACGCCCATGCGCTGGAGGTGCCCGCGCATGAGCAGCAGGACGTCGTCGGGGACCTCGCTCTCCTTGCCGGTACCCGGCATGGCCGAGCTTCCTGCGACGGGCGCGGCGCCGCCGCTGACGTCCCGGCGCGCCGCAACGGGCGCCTCGATTCAATTCCTCAGCGACCCGGAGCCTCCGCCCGCGCTGCTCAGACGACGCGCGCCGCTGCCAGCGCCATGAAACGCTGACTGGGTGAGGTGGGACCCGAGAAATGGCCACGCGAGCGCGGCGGGGAGGCCATGGAGGCGCGGACGCGACGGTGTTGAGGCTGGTCCCCGCCGACAGCAACCCCGCGGTATGACCGGCTCCCTCTCGCTTTTCCGGAACGGTTCCGGAGGTGCGGCGACGATTCACGTGCCAGAGGGACCGGAACGCAATGCGCGGCGGCGCGGATCACTCTGACTGAACCGGCGCCGTGCCATAACAGTGACGTGCAGGGGTGGCAACTCCCGCCAGGCACGCAGGGGCTGGACGCGCGCGCACGGCTGGGGCTGCGCGCCGGGGCGACGCCCGCCGCTGCTCCGCGGCACTGGATCACGCGGCTCGCGACGTCGGCTCAGTGCGGGCCTGTCATGCCGCACGCAGCGCCGTGTGGATGGATGCGCCCGCGCACGTCGCAGGTGGCCGGGTCGCGATGGAGAATCCGAGCTCCCCGCAGCACACGCAGTGCCCTGCCGCGCCGCTGCAGCCCAGGCGGCTGCGGCTGGCGGCTTTGACACGGGACTGACGGCGCTGGTGCGGGCTGCGCGCGCGTCCGTGCTCCGGAGCAGCATCGAGGACGACGTGCGCTGCGAGGGATCCGCGGGCGTGCTCGGCGGGACTTGGCGTGGCGTCCGGTGTGCGAACTGCCCCGCGCTCTCCGGGCCACATGGCGGCCCTGTGTGGGCGGGGCGGGCCGCGCGACAGCGCGTCTGGGGCGTGGAGACGGGAGGTGCGCGTCGGGAGGAGTGATTGTGACATCGACGGGGCGGAGATACCTCCGTTGCAACGCGCGCCGTGCGTCGTCGCGGGTGTGGTGCACCTCAGCAGGGGCTCGCCGGCGCTCGGAGGCGCCACACGTCCGGATCCTTCGATGGACCCCCCGTGCAGTTCAGATTCATGCTTCAGATCGTTTGGAGGTGACAGGCGTGATTGGGCTTCGCATGTTGGGCGGCTACCCGGTATTACAAATGGCAATGGCTGTCGGGGGGGCGAAGATGGGCGGAGCGCGACCCCGGCCCGGCCCCACTCTCGGTTCCCTCTGGCTCAGAGCGAGTGAGGATCACCAGGGGCATCGAGATTCCACCGTCCGATCACCGTACCTCGTCCCGCGCTGCGAAGGCCGTTGCTCTTCAACTAACGCGCAGTTTCGCCCCGAGAAGGCACAGAAACGGTCCCCCGCCGTGCGGGTACCGACGAACTGTCTGCTCTGACGCGAGTTGCCGCCACATCAGGGCAGGAACACCGCTGTCCAGGTGCGCGGCTGCCGACGTGTTTCATCGCTCTCCTTCCCGCCGAGGGACGCACTGCGCGTCTATATGTCGACCTCAGCATCCCCGATGACGCTCAAATGCACTTGCTGACCCGCTGGGCGCCCTCGGCTCCTGCACCGTGCCCTGCAGGGTCCAAGTCGGAGGCAAGGGAAGCAGCAGTGGAACCCCGTGCGGCCGAATGTCCCTCGCCGCGTCGCTGCGCTGGCTCTCTCGGCCAGGATGGCGAACCCTTGGCGCTGGGTTCGCAGTGGGCGGGCTGGTGGACTGCCTCCTGGAGGACGTGCTCCTGCCGCGCGCCAGGCAGCATCAGTGGCGGTTCGCCGCGCGAAACGTCCCGGGGAGCTTCACGTGGCAGACGGGCGACAGCGCCTCTGCGTTCCGAGAGCTCAAGCTGGAGGAGCAGTAGCGGCCCGGGCGCGCTCGCCGGTCCGCGACACGCCCCCCTGCGCCCAGCCTCGCACGTCTACATACTTGCCGGACGGGAGGGGCGCAGACAGACTCGACAGCCGTGGACGGCAGAATCATGTGACTTGGTAGCCAGCACGCGCTCATGCGCGTTCACACCGCCGCGCGCGCGGCCCGTCAGCCCTTGAGCTGCACCAGCTTGCCCGCGCACTGGAAGCGCTTGCTGCCGCGCACCTCCGCCTCGCAGGCCGCCGCGAGCGCCTCGCGCGCGCCCTTCGTGCCCCCCGCGAGCGCCTCCTCCACCGCGCGCGCCACCAGCTTCTTCATCTTCACCCCCCCCTCGCTCCCCTTGACAATGCGCACACACAGCTTCTTCCAGTTCACCGCCGCGTCGCCGGACGACCCCGCCTCCTTCTTCCTCCGCTTTTTCTCCTTCTCCTTCGCCTTGTCCTTCTTGCCCCCCGCCGGCTGCGCGCCGCTCTCGTCGTCCGAATCGAACTTCACCTTGGTCCCCTGCAGAAGGACACACCACACATACCTCTCGCTTCTGAGCGCCGCACACGCACAGGGCCGCGCGCGCACACGGCGCTGCTTCGTCGCGCGCCCCGCTGGCCTCAGCTTCTGCCCTATCATGAGGCGTATCCACACCACCGCGCGTCCGCAGACGCGGGAGGTTTCGGTCCGGCATCTTATCAGGACGCCTCTCATGACTTTCTTCATTGGCCGCGGGGAGCGCACGCAGCGCGCTGTCTCGGGCGCCGCCGTGCGCGTGCGCGTGTGCGGCGCGTGCGCACCTCGAAGTCCTTCCCCAGGGTGGACTCCTTGGCCATGCGCGGGGCGCCGGACCCGAGGCCGACCTTGCCCTTGATCGCCCTGTTGTGCGCGCCCATGTAGATCGCCTCCATGTCGCCCTCCGTGAAACCTGCGCCGCGTGCCGTCCGGCGGGCGTGCGTGAGAGGGAGGCAGCACGGCGCCGCGTCGGACGTGCGGGCGGGCGTGCGCGCGTCGCTCACCTCCGTCCTTCTTCTCCGCGTGATCCTCGATCTCGTCCTTCGCGGAGCCCATGAAGCCCGCGCTCCGGAACCGCTTCGCGCCCCACCAGTTGGGGTCCCGCGCTGGCGTGGTGTCCTCCGCGTTCGCCACCACGCGCACGCCCATCAGCCGCGCCGCCTCCCCCGCCCCCTCCTTGTCCTTCGGCGCCCCGTAGATCGTGTCCGCGAGGTCCGCGAGGCCCCCCCACCTCCCGTGCGCACTCCCCTCCACCCTGGCCCGCTTCGCACCGTCGCTGTCCGACCCCCCGCTCTCCGCAGCCCGCTTCTTGTCCCTGCTCTCCTTCTTCTCCTTCTTGCCCTTCTTCTCCTTCTTGCTCTTCTTCTCCTTGGACTTGTCCTTCTTCTTCGCCTTGCCATCGCTCGCCGCAGCACCCGCCTCGCGCTCCCCGCCCGACAGCTTCTCCGCCGCCGCCCGCGCCATCGCCTCCTCCTGCGCACGGATCCGCGCCATCTTCCCGTCCCGCCCGCCCCAACGCCCCCACTTCCCCTTCTCCAGGTCCTTCAAAATGCGCGCCTCCTCCGCCGTCGCCGTCGACCGCGTGCCGTCGCGGTGCCGCGCCGCCGCGCCGCCCGCGCCCGCGCCCGCGCCCGCGCCCGCGTCCGCGTCCGAGTCCGAGTCCGAGTCCGAGCCCCCGCCCGAGCGCGACTTCGAGCTGCTGTCGGAGGTGTACCCGCTGCCGTCGTCGGCGTCGGCGTGCGCGGAGCTGATGGTCCCGATCTTCGCCGCGACGTTGTTGAACGCCGACTCCCACCACTTCTCCGTCCAGTTGTACTTCAGGTCGGCGCCAATCTGCACGCCGACGCCACGGCGCAGCAGCGCGTTAGTGCCACCCGGTGCATGTGTGCAGACAAGCGCCCCAGTGCGGCGGCGCGCACGCGCGGGCGGGACACGGGGCCGGGGCCGCGCATGCAACGCATCCCTTGCACCATGCGCATGCGGTTCGCTGCGCGAGGCGAGCGGAACGCGCGCGCCCGCGCCGTGCGCCTCCTGCGACCCCCGCCGCCGGCCACGGCCAGCACCGCGCGCGCCCAGGCGGGGCGCCCGTCCGGACGCGCCACGCGGACGGCCCGCGCGCCGAACGAGCGGCGGGCCCGCGCGCACCGGCCGAGCCCGCCCGCGCGCGGTGCGGCCGCCGGGGCCCGCCCACGCCGGCAGGGAATGTCGGCCGACCCCCCGGCGGCGGCGACCTGGCGCCGCGAGCGATGGAGCGGCGCCCGGGCGGCGCTTCTCTGCGCTGCCTGGGAGCGGGGGCGCCTCACCCCGATGTTGTCGTCCTTCTTCTTCACGCGGATGTGCTCCTTGATGCCCTGCCCCTCCTTCCCGAGACCCTCGCCCTTCTTCCAGCCCATCTTCTCCATCAGCTTCTCGCCCCAGCCATTGTAGTGCTGCCGGACCACGCCGTGGCCCGGCACGTGCCCCGCTGGGAGCTTCATGGCGGGCGCGCGGGCCACCACCGGCGCCCCTGCGACGTGGACCCACGGGTGGGGGCGTCAACCACTGGCGCGCTCAGCGTGCCGCGCTCGCCGGCGCCGCCTGCTCAGCTGTGGGCGCGGCGCGCGCGAGCCAGCGCTCACGAGCGCGGCCGCGTGACGCCGTGGGGCCTCGGGTGCGTCGCCGACGCAGGCGGAGGGTCCCCAGCAGGCCCCTCGCGCGGCGCCGAAATGCCTGCGTGAGATGCAACGGCGTGCACCCGGGCCGCACCACATCAGCCGAGGCGACACGGGTGACGAACCTGCTCGACGCGGGCACCAGAGGCGCCTCGACAGGATAGTAGTCTTCAGGGGCCCGTGACGTGAGGAGGTCTTCGACTGAGTTCCGACCGACTGCCTGAGAGGGCCCACGGGCGGTGAGAAGGAGCGATGCGGGCCGTGGTGCCGCAGCGGTCGGCCTGTGCGCGGAGTGCGCGGGCCCCTGAGGCTGGAGTGGCGCAGGCGCGACCTCGCCCGGTCACGCGGCCCGACGTGGCGTCACGCCCGCGCCCACGGCGAGAGCGTGCTGTTGGCTGCGTATCGCGGACACGCGCAGAGCAGGACCTGCGCAGTCCTGGCCGCCGCGCGGCAATCTCGCTCATGGCCGCAGCACTGGTAGCCGCTGCACCTCGGCAGCCGGCCCACGCGATTTTGATCGACGACGAGCGGGAAGGGGAGAGGGTGTTCGACGCCACGACGCGCTCGGTCGTCTCCATCACGGACGTCAAGGTGCGTCACGCGCCCAGACCTAAGGCCACACACACAACTCGCATCGCCGCGGCGCCCACCGTCGCCGCCCCCCCCGATGCACCCCGCCCGCAGGTCCAGGGCTCGAGGGAGATCTTCGAGGGCGTGGGGAGCGGCATCGTGTGGGACAAGCTGGGCCACATCGTGACCAACTATCACTGCGTGCAGCGGCTGGCGCGCGACACGGCCGGGACGCAGGCGGTGAACGTGGGCGTCATGGGGCCGGACGGGTCGACGACCGAGCACCGCGCGACGCTCGTCGGGTCGGACCCCTCGCACGACCTCGCGGTGCTGCGGATCGACGCGCCCCCGGAGGTGTTGCAGCCAGTCCCCCTGGGGACCTCGGCCGACCTGCGCGTCGGGCAGCACGCGTTCTCGATCGGGAACCCGAGCGGGCTGCAGCACACGCTGTCCGCGGGCGTCGTGAGCGGCCTCAACCGGGCGGTGCCCGCGCCCAATGGGCTGGCCATCACGGGGTGCGTGCAGACGGACGCGAGCATCAACGCGGGGAGCAGCGGCGGCGCGCTCATGGACTCCGCCGGCCGCCTCATCGGCGTTAACGTCGCGTCCTTCACGCGGAAGGACTCCGGTACGTGCCCGCGCCCTGTCCTCGCCACAACGACGCTGCTGCCGCGCGTGCGGGACGCCGCCGCCGACTGACAGGCGGACCCGGGAGCGATCGAGACGGTGCCCGTGTCGGTCCGCGCAGGTCGCGGCTCCGGGGTGAACTTCGCCATTGCCAGCGACACCGTGCGGGAGGTGGTGCCCAACCTGATCGTGTACGGGCGCCCCGGACGCACCGGACGCGCCCGCGCCTGACGCGCGCCCGCGGCGCCGCGGTTTGGTGCGCCGGTGGGTGAGGGCGTCACAGCGACGGAGGCTTCGTCCCCCGCAAAGAGGGGGGCAGGCACACGTGTTTTTGTCAGTCGCAGGCACCCTGTGTGGAAACGTTTGTTTGTACTTCGCTGACCTACGTTGCTGCGTGGGTCTGACGGGGCCGATCGACACGGCGCTCAGCGGTGCACGTGCCGCATTGCGACTGCTGTGAGGCGCTCGCAGCCCGCTGGCGCTCGATCACGGCACCGCCTCGTCCGCCCCTGCGTCTCACACGCCCATTCTCTCGGCCGCGCTCGCCGCCGCGCTCCGCCGGGGGCTGGTGCGGTCCTTGAAGATGGCGGCGATGCTGACCTCGGTCTTCATCGGCGCCTTCAGCCGCGCGATCTTCTCGCGCACGCGGTCCGTCTCGTGGATCTTCTCCACGCGCCGCACACGCTCCGCCACCAGCGCCTCGTCCGCCTTGGGCAGGAACACGTCGCGCACCACCTTGCCGTACCGCTTGCGCTTCTCGATCAGCTCCTCGCGCCGCCGCCGCTCCTCCTCCTCCTCGCGCTTCTTCACCAGCTCCTCGCGCCGCACGCGCTCCATCACGCGGCTCCGGTACCCGCGCCGCAGCGGCCCGGAGTCCCCGCCCACGCGCGGGGAGCCGCCCTCCGTGCCGCTGCCGCCCGACTGCCGCCCGCTGACCACGACCTCGTGCGCGCGGATCGCGTTCCAGTCCATCGGCTCCTTCCGCTGCGCCTTGCGCTTCCACAGCAGCTCCTCCGCGCGCCGCCTCTCCTGCTCGGCGAACTCGTGCTCCATGCGCTGGAACGTGTAGGCCTGCGACTGCACGCGCGACGCCTCCAGGGTCCGGAACCGCTCCATGCGCTCCTGCCGCTGCCGCTCCTGCTGCAGCAGCCGGTCCTCGAGCCGCCGCTGCCGCTCCTGCTGCCGCTGCTCCATCTGCGCGCGCCGCTCCACCTCGCGCTGCTCCAGCCACCGGTGCATCTCCTCGATCTTCTCGCGCTCCTTCTCCGCCTTCTCGAGGCGCCTGCGCGGGCGCGGGGCGGGCGCGGAGGGCGCGGCGTGACGCGGCGCCCAGAGCCCGCGGGCTGCGGCGACGCTGGCAGGGCGCGCGCGTGCGGAGCGGCCCCGGCGCCGGACCGCGCGGCGGGCGCGGGGCGCGCTGGCGTGCTGCGGGGTCGGCGCGGCTCACCTGTGCTCGGCCTCCTGGCGGAGCTCCTGCGCGCGCAGCACCCCGAACCTGTGCTCCATTTTCGAGTCGTAGGACGACCGCATCGGCGCCGCGCGGTGCTTGCCCGGCGTGTCGGCGGCCTCCCGCGCCGAGGCGCCGCGCACGGCCGGGAGCGACGGCGCCCCGCCCGTGGACGCCCGCAGGCGCGGCCCCGCCGGCTCGAACGCCGCGTCCGGGAGCAGGACGCCGTCGTCGAACGGCTGCGAGTCGCCGTCGTCCCCGTCGTCGTCGTGCACGCGCACCGTGCGCTGCGTCGGCGCCCCCGACACGCTCGGCCCGGGCTCGTGCCGCGAGTCCGTGGCCTGTCCTGGGCTCGCGCGCGGCGGCGACACCGCCCTCTCCGGGGGCGCCGCCTCCGCCCTGCCGAAGCCCCCAGTCTGGGACGACGCCCGCGAGCCCTGCGACGGCCGCCTGGACCGTCGCTTCTGCGGCGCGCCCGCTTCACGTTGCGGCAGTGCGCCTCCCCCGGCCTTCGCCGCGCCGTCTGCCGCGGTCGACGCGTCCGTCGCGGGCGCGACCGAGCGGCGCGACGACGCCTTCGACGCTCCCTGCGCGGCGCCCGCCCCGAGGGCGTCCTGTGGCCGGCCCGGGTCAGGAGAGCGCGGAAGCGACGGGTCACCACCAGGTTGCGGGGCGGGCCCCTGCGCGGCCTCGGGCGCGGCGTCCGGGCCCGGCTCGGACATCGGCACGTCGTCCTCTTCCACGAAGTCCCCGTTCCCGGCGACGTCCTCCCCCATGACGACCTCCGTCATCGACGCGGCGCGCCCCCAGGTGCACCGCCACTACCGTCGCGGCGCACGCGCCCTCCACGCACTTCTGCGCCCCCGAACCGGCCCTCAATTGCTATACGTCTATCTGCGAGCTCCCGTGTGCTGTGCTCGATGCAGCAGGACTCCCGCTCCGCGCGCACGACGCTGCTTACCCCCTCCAGCGCCAGGCACAGGAACCCTTCGCGTGCGAACGCGCGTCCACGTCCCCGACCCGCTCGCGCACAATCTGCGCAGCTGGCGCCCCGCCCGTCCCCCTCGTCGCCCCGCGCGCCCCCCGCGCGCCCCCCCGCGCCCGCCCGCCCCGTGCATGTCGTACCACCACCGCCCGGTCGCACCACGCCTGAGGCGGCCTCCCACACGCCCCCGCGCAGCCGAGGGGGCGCGGCGGGCGCGGCGGCGCGCACTCGGAGGCCGCCTCGTCGCGAGGCAGCTCGCACGCACCTCTCCGGCCTGGTCTGACGCGGGCGGGCGCGCGACACGCAGCGCATCTCCGCGGACCTGCAGGGGCCCCGCCCGTCGACGCGCGGGGGTGGCGGCCGCCATGTACAGCGACCCCACGTCCACGCTCCATGACAGGACGCACAAGGGCCTGCGGCAGGCCGGAAACACCTCCGTCCTCGCCTTCAACTCCAGCCGAGGCATCCCAGGTGCGCGCAATCTCGATGGCCGCCGCGACGCACCGCGCGCGCCCTCCGCGGCGCCCTGCCGGCGCGGGCGGGGCGGAAGCGGTGCAGGGGTGCTGGCTCGGCGCGTGGCGTGACGTCGTCGCCGCCCGTCGGCCGCGCGCGTGCGTTGCAGGCTACACAGGGTACACGCCCCGGGTGCACTGCATCCCGGTGAACCCGAGCGGGTCGAACGTGCACGCGGGGAAGGTGCTTGACTCGACCACGCGCGAGCGCGTCGTGCGCGTGGTCGACTACGGCCCGAAGAGCACCTACAACGAGGAGTACAGGGTCAAGGAGGGTGACGTCAAGCCCTTCACCAAGACCGGGGGCGGCTACTGGATCCGGACGCACCGCCAGGCGCCCGACCCCGCGCCCCTCTCGTCGACGACCACCTACAGGTGCGGCGCACGGCCGACCAGGGGGGTCGATCGGCGCGGGACGGCCCGGGCGCCCACGGCGGCGGGCCATGCGGGCCGCCCCGGAGGGGAGCGGCCGCGTGAACGCCCGCATTCCCGCGCGTCGCTGCAGGTCCGAGATGTTCGAGAAGCCCCGGGACACCGCCCGCCTCACCGGCACCGAGAAACTCCCCCAGGTCCGCCGTCGTCCCACCCGCCCGCGCGGTCGGTTGGGCCCGCAGCGCGCCCCCCGGCGCGGACCTCGGCCGGCCCCGTCGGTCGGCGCCGTCCGCTCGCAGCCCCCGCCGCGTTCGGACCCCGGCGCGGACCGCCCACGGCTCGTGTGCCGCGCCCTGTGCTCGCAGGCCTACCAGGAGGTGGACCCTCTCTCGCGGTCGATCTCCTCGCTGGACCCTGCGCGGGGGAGGGCGAACCGCTACGTGACGACCTACGCGTCGATGACGGTCAAGAACCCGCTCGTCGGAGGCGCCGCCGCTGCCGGGAGGTGCGCGCAGTCAACGCCGGGCCGTCAACGCCCCCCGCGACGCCCCGCGCGCCGCGCGCAGACCAGACGGCCCGCAGGACCTGCGGCTCATCCCTCCGCCGCCCCCGGCGCGCCACGCGTCGCGTTCCCCCCCGCCCACGCTCACCGCCCGGCCTCCATCATCCCCACGCCCCACGCAGGCCGCGCTCGCGCGCCCCGCCGCCGGAGCCGCGCCCGACGGTGGCCCCGCGGGAGGTCGCGGCGACGTTCAGCGCGCAGTCGAGCTACAAGGAGCACCACGGCGAGTTCATGGAGGACCCCATGTCGCGCATGCCCGCGGGGAAGCAGGACTACACGCTGCGCTCCAGCACGCGCGCCCTCAACGCAGGTGCGAACGCAGCGCGCTGCCGGGGCGGACGTGCCACCGTGTGCGCCGACGGCGGCGGCTGAGCGCCCGGGTGCGTGTGTGTGTTTGTGTGTGTGTGCAGGGACGTCGCGTGGGTCGCGGCACATCCCGGGGTACGCGGGGCACATCAGCCAGAACGGCGTGTCCGGCGTGGACCCTCGGCCGGACGGCAAGGCGGGCGTGCTGCTCCACCAGCTGGACCAGTACAGCCGCGACTGGCTGCCCGGGTACGGCGGGCACCGGCCACAGGCGCCCGGCAACCTGCGCCTGGACATCGTCACGGACCTGGACACCACGCAGGGGCGCGCCAACCGCGACGTCGTGCACGGCCACCACGACAACACCATCTCGAAGGACCACTGCATCAGCAGCGCCAAGGTGCGGGCACGACACGACACGACACGACATGACCTCGCCGCCGCTCCGACGCGCTCTGCCAGCCCCGCCACGTGCCCCGCGCTGTTCTGTCCCGACCGTGCCGTCCGCGTGCGTGCGTCCGCAGGGCACGGGCTCGTTCTTCGCGGGGGGGGGTCTGTTTGTGTCGGCAAACGGCACGAGCAACGCGGAGCGGTACTTCCACCTCCTGCGGCCGATGGACGGCGCACCGCGGCTCTACTATCCGTCGCGAACGACTGCGGCGGGGTACAAGTTCCCCCGCTAGCCGCGGCGGCCCCGGAGCTGCCGCGTGCACCTGTTGTTGTTGTACCAGTCCCGCACGCGCAGCGGCGCCCCGGGACCGCCGGGACGCGCACTGTGAGCGGTTCCACAGCAAGGGATCCCCCGTCGCTCACATGACCGAATCCCTCCTCGTTTCTTTCCGTTCCATGCATCAGACACATAGGCGTCTTCCCACGCCTCCGCTCCCGACGGACCGCGTCCCCCTCTCCCGCGCCGTTGATCCCTCGAAGTGTCTCCCTTCCGTTCACCCGCCCGACCTGACGCTCCTGACCGGCGTCAGGTGCGTGGGCGGCTCCTTCTGCTGTGTGTCCTGCAGAGGCGCGGGAGACAGGAACAGCGCGCTCGCGACACGGACGGAGCTGCCGGATCGTCCAAGAGCTCGGCGGTAGGCCCACCTGTTCGCCGTCGCGCTGGTTGGTGCGCGGCTCGTCGTAGGCCAGGCTGGTGCTGGTGTTGTTGACGGCGCTGGGTCTCGGGGAGAACGGGAGGGCCCGCGTGCGGTCCTGGGCGGGCGAGCGCGGCGTCGCTGGGGCGCTCGGCGCGTCCACAGGTTGGCGCTGCTTCAGGATGTACTGCAGCCACGGGGGCAGGGCGCAGGAACCCATTGCCTAAGCGCGAACTGCGACGCGAGGGTGGCCGGCGAGGGGCTCGCTGACGTACCCGCGTCGTGTTGAGGACGGACACGATCGCCGTCCTGGCAGGGAAGTGCGCGGGATGAGGTCCGAACCTGCACGGCGCGGCACAAGGGGGGGGTGTCAGGATCCGAGGTGGTCAAACACGTGCGCGTCTGACCCTCTGGACCGCCCTGCGTGCCAGCATCGAGCGCGGGCGAGCACTCACGGGGTGTCGAGGATGCTTTGCAGGTCCAGGCAGCCCTGCAAGATGAGGTTCGTGGCCACCAGGAAGGCGTAGCACGACACCGACATCCACCCGAACCCGAACGCGCCGTCGCCGAACTCAGGCATCCCCGCGTGCAGCAGCGCGCCGTAGTACGACGCGACCTGCGGGCGTGCGGGGCGGACGGCGGGCAGCGGCTCGCGGGCGGCGTCTGTGCGGGAGCGCGTGCGGCGTGCAAGGGCGCGGGCGCACCACGAAGAGGTAGATGTGCGTCGTGAGGCTGACGAGCGCGACGTACGGGAACGGCAGCTGCGCGCGGCTCCCCGCGGCGGTCTGCGCCGCGAGCTTCGCCACGTCCGCGAGGGAGCCCCGGATCTGTGTGGCCAGGGGCGGCGTGCAGCGGGACGCCTGCGCGGTGGGCGGGGGCGGGGAGGCCGGGGACGTGAGGGGCCTGGACGGGGCTGTCGGTGCGCGCAGTAGCTGCGGTCCGCGGACGTACCTTGAGGGACGCGTCGACGGCGCCGCTGGCCCACACCAGAGGAGGGACGTACTTCTGGCAACCGCTGGCCTCGGCGACGCGCAGCAGGTCGACCTCGGGCCCGGTCGCGAGCTTGCGGATGCGCAGGAGATCGAGCTCGGAGCGCGAGGGCTGCGGGCGCTCTGCTCCGGTTTGCGGGTTCCGGGCTCCTGCCAGGCCGGCACCGCCGGAGCCCGCCTCTTCGAGCGCCAGGACGCAGGCGAGGCAGCCGTGGCGCACGATGACGCGGCCGAAGTCCTCGGCGCGCTCGTTCGCGCCTGGTCCCGCCGGCGACGGCAGGGTGATTTGAGCTGCCTGGAAGCTCAGCGTCACGACCTGGTCGCACAGGCTCCTGTACTTCTCGGCCGCGCTCAGGAACCTCTGCACTGGTGCGGCAGCGACATGGCTGCCGTTGCTCGAGATATTGCGTCGCGCGGGACCGTGGAGCGAGGAAGGCAGGGCACGGGGGCGAAAACGCCGCACCTGGACCACGGCGCTGACGAAGAACGCCAACATCAGCACCACGAGCGCGTTAAAATTGTTGAACGCTCCCTGCAGTGGAGGTGCGGCCGAGTCGACGCCCGACGAGCTCGGAACCGACCGGCGAAGGCCTCGCAGTCAAATCGCAACGTGCGTGCCGCGCCGCACGCGCCGCCGCGTCGCGGCACGTGGCCTTCCGCACCTGATACCGGGTGGACGCGAGCGTCGCGAAGGCGTGCAGGTCGTCGGTCGCCAGCCCGAGGCCAGTGGCGTGGAGGACGGCGCACCAGGCCAGCAGTGCCACGGCCTGGAGGTGTATCGCGGGGCGCCCGATCACGGTCGCGGAGAGCGTGCTGCGGAGGACCGGGAGGAGCGAGCAGGCGTGCAGGTAGTGCGGCTCGTAGCGCAGGAGCGTCCGGCTGTGCGGCCCCTGCCCCGCCCACAGCGTGCCCATGGGCCGGCCCCGCACTTCCTGCGACACCACGCCCGCGCTCCCAGACGTCCCGGTCGTCGCGCTCTTCGCCGAGTGGGTTCCCTGCGACGCGGGCTCGCTCTCGCTCAGGTCCGCGGTGAGGTCGCGCGGCGCGGGGGCGACGGGCGAGCAGCCTTCGAACGATATCCGGCGCCGAGCCGTGTGCGGCCCCGCGGCGAACACGTCGCGCCCCGCGCGCGGCGCCGGCCGTCTCCTGATCGACGAGACCCCGGTCTGCTCGGGCGAGGGCGGCTGCGGCCACGGCATGATGGCGCCGAACGTGGGCGGCGACGCCGAACACAGGGGTGCGCAGCGGCAGCCCGGCCTCCGCAGCGCCGGACACGGGTGCTGCGATGAGCTGCGCGGCCGGCATCCCGCGAGCGGGCAACGTACCGGCGTCGAGCGTTGGCTTCGGAGCGCGGGGGGGAATAGAAGTACAAGTGTGAGCGTGGTTGTTTGTGTTGTACCCACGCAGTGCGTCGACGAGCCAGTCGGACCGCTGGGCCCACGCGCAGGACGTTGCCGCGCGAGCGCCAGAGGCGAGGCACTGCTGTTCGCGTGTCGCACGGTGGCCGAACCGCCGCGGTGGCTCGCTGCGCACGTCGCGCGAGTGGACGGTGTCGCTCGGGTCGCGACGCAGGGGTTCGAACGGAGGCATGGAGCAGGGCTAGGGGCGGGGAGTAGCGAGGGCGCGATGTCGCAGGCCGGGAGCATCAGAGCGATCCCGAAGGCGTCGGTGCACCGCATCTGTTCGGGGCAAGTGATTCTGGACCTGGCCACCGCCGTCAAGGAGCTCGTGGAGAACGCACTCGACGCAGGCACGCGCGGCCCCGACGGCTCAGAGCCCCACGTGTCCGCGACGATGCCGGCGGTTCTCGGCGCACGCCGCCAGGGGCGCACGCGCGTGCTCCCGCCAAGCGCACAGGGTCCGCGCCACCGCGGGCTCTGCGTGGACATTCGCGATCGAAACGCGTGTTTCCCCGATCCCTCGGGGTGTCGAGCGCCCCTGGAGCACCTCGCGATCCTCGTTGGGTGTCCTTCGGGGTGCTTCTCGTCGCAGTGCCTGCTCTTTAGAGCTGCAGTCCGCGCTTCCGTGCTCGACGGGGCATAAACTGGAGGTCCGCAACGACCGCGGTGGAGCCTGAGCCCCCCTGAACAGAGCACGGCCCCCCAAACGCGGTCGTGTTGCGCGGCTCGACCCCCAGGGCGTGCGACGGATCGGCGCGCTGACTTCTCGTCGACGCCCACCCGTCGCCGCAGGCGCGACCAACGTCGAGATCCGTCTGCGCGAATATGGAGCAGACCTCATAGAGGTATCGGACAACGGGTCGGGAGTGCCGAGGGAGTCGCTGCAAGGCCTCACGCGCAAGTATCACACGTCCAAGCTCGAGGCGCGCCCGCACCCCCCGCTCCGCCCGGCTGCGTCGCGCGCTGCCGCGAAAACACACCTGGAAAGCTGCTGCTCTGCGCGCGTGCATCCTCCGGCGTGAGCGCCCGCGTGGGCACCTGCGGCCATGACTCGTAGCGACGTTGCTTCGCGTGCCCCGCGCCGGCCGCAGAACTTCGACCAGCTCGACGACGTGGGGTCCTTCGGGTTCCGCGGCGAGGCGCTGTCGTCGCTGTGTGCGCTCGGGGACATCCACGTGGTCACGTGCACCAAGGATGACGCTGCAGGCAAGCACGCGCCGCCGCGTACCCGCCAGCGCCGGGCCCGCACGCGCGGACCTCCGCACCAACCACCCCTGCTCCGCCCGGACCAGCGACGCGCAGCAGCGCACCGCAGCACCCAAGCCGCGCACCTGGTCGGACAACAACGCCCCCGCCGTTGTCGCTCGCGCAGGGGTCAAGGCCGTGTACGACCGCGAGGGCGAGCTGGTGTCCCAGGAGCCGTGCGCGCGCGCGGTCGGCACCACCGTCGCCGTGAAGGAGCTCTTCTCCGGGATGCCCGTGCGCCGCAAGGAGCTGCTGCGGACCATCAAGCGCGAGTACGCCAAACTGCTGACGGTCCTGCAGGCCTACGCCCTGGTGCGTGCAGCACGCGCGCGTGTCCGCCCGCGCAGTGCCTGCCCCCTCCTGCGCGTGCGCGTCGACAGAGCGCGGATGCGTGCGTGGGCATGTCTGTGCGGTGCAGATCGCGACGGACGTGCGCATGCTGTGCACCAACCAGGCGGGCAAGGGCCCGCGCAGCACGGTTCTCAACACGTCGGGCGCGAAGACCGTCCTCGCGGCGTTCTCCACCGTGTTCGGTCCCAAGCAGGGGGCCGCGGTGCAGGCCCTCGACCACACCGTCGACGCGAGCGCGCTCGGGAAGACCCAGGCCGACGACGACAGCGCCCCGTCTTCGGGGCCCGTCCCGGACTTCATGGACCTCGCCGCTGGTGCGCGCCCGCCGGGCACGCACGCGCGCCCGCATGCCGTACCCTGCGCGTGCTGACGGCGCGTCCTGTCCGCTGCGCGCAGGGCCGACGGGGCGGAGGTCCTCGGGCGCGGCGTCGTCGGGCGCGCGGCGGTCGCTGGTGGCCCCCGCGGAGGACGGCGGGGAGGGCAGGCTGCGCATCGTGGGCCTGGTGTCCAAGCCAGGGAGCGGCGGGGGGCGCGCGAGCGGGGACCGCCAGTTCTTCTACGTCAACGGGCGCCCCGTGGACCTCCCGAAGGCCAGCCGCATCCTGAACGACGCGTACAGGTGCGAGTTGGCCTGCGTGCGCCGCTGTGCGTAACGACGCCCGCAGCGCGCCGCTGACGCGGAGCCGTCCCTCTCGCGCTCGCAGGTCGCTCACCTCACCGGCGGCCGCGACGCACAAGCCGATGGCCGTCATCAACTTCCTGGTGGGGCGCGGGTCGTTCGACATCAACCTGGCGCCGGACAAGCGGCAGGTGCTGCTGCACAAGGAGAGGGCCGCGCTCGACGGACTCAGGTGAACACCGCCACCGCGCGCTCTTCGTGCTTCGCTCGGCGTGCCTGCGTCTGGTTTGCGTGGTCGGTCTGGCCTGCGTGCGCGCGATGGTGACCGCTGGGCCGCGGGGGAGTGTCTGTTCGCAGGCAGGCGCTGGAGTCGGTCTGGGAGCCGTCGCGGTGCACGTACAAGGTGCAGGACCCGACGACGCCCGCGAACGCGCCGCAGACCGCGCCGCCCGCGGCCCCCGCGACCCTCCCCACCCCAACGGAGGCCCGCGAGCTGCCCACGCGGTGCGCGCGGCGGCGCGGCGCGCGGGAACGTGCCGCCACGCCCCCGCTCGACGACAGCGACGCCGGTGGCGGGCAGGAGGTCGGCGCGGGCGCTGAGGACGTCGCCCCGTCGCGGCGCGAGTCGGACGCGCACACGGCCCCCGCGCCCGACGAGGAGGCGACGGAGCCGGCGGCGAAGCGGCCGCGCGTCAGCGACGACGCCGCGGACGTCGCTGCGGGCGACGAGCGCGCGGGCCGGCGACCCCCGCGGCCCCGGCACGCCCGGTCTGCGTCAGGTGCTGCCGCAACAGCACTTGAGGAGGTGGAAGTAGAAGACGGCGACGGTGCTGACGAAGCGGACGTGGACGCCGAGGACGGAGAGGAGGTGGAGCTGGTGGTGCAGGAGGCGGCGCCGCCCCCACCGTCGCTGCAGCAGTTCGGTCTGCGGGCCCCGCCGCTGGCGGAGCGACCGCGGGGCGGCGCGCCGGCGTCGCGCCCCGGCCGCAGCGCCCCGCCGGGCCAGCGGTCGCTCCAGCAGTTCGGGTTCCAGGCAGACGCGGATCCGGAGCCGCGCCCACCAGCACGGGCCCCTCGGGCGGGGACGCACGCGCAAGCGCCCACGCCAGAGCCACCACAGTCGCCTGCGGGAGTGCCCGCCGCCGAAGACGCCGAGGCGGCACGGACACCAGCCAGGGCGGCGAAGCGGCGGCGGGACCCGGCGACTCCCGCGCGTCCGTCGTTCCCGGCGAACCTGTACGGTTTGTACGCCATCACACCGTCGCGGTACGACGGGGTGCCGGGGGCGTGGCGGGGCGGCGGGGACTCGGACGCGTCGGAGCTCGCCGAGGACGAGTCCGCCGGGGCGCGGGGGGAAGCGAGCGAGGGCGCGGAGGCTCGCGACGGGGAGGAGTGTGGAGGGGGGGGCGTGGAGGAGGGGGGTGCGGGCCCGGAGGATCGCGGGGCGGCAGAGGCTGCGTCCAGCCCGCGGACGGGCGGGGACGGTGGTGGCGTGGGCGACGGGGACGTGGAGATGCTGACGGGGCGCGAGCTGTCGACGGCGCAGGCGCTGGGGGACGGAGGCGGGGACAGCCTCGGCCCGCGCGCGCGTGCGCGGCAGCAGGGTCCGCACGGCGACCTGGGCGTCGACTTCTCCATGGAGGCGCTCCGGAGCGACTGGGCGCGGCTGCTGGCGTCGACGCGCGAGGCGCAGGGCCGCGGGGGCGACGCGGGGAGGTCAGTGGGGTGCGCGCTGCACGCCGCGCGGCTGGCGGACGCGGGGGCGCAAGCGGGCGCGCAGCACGGACGCGACGCCGCGCAGGAGGTCGTGGAGCTCCCCGCGGAGGAGTGCGACGACGCGGGGCGGGAGCTCGAGCGCGTGTTTGACAAGAAGCTGTTCCGGTGCGCGGGGGGTGTTTTGTTTCCGCACGCGCAGGGGGGGGGTGTTGTGTTTGTGTCTGGCCGTGGGCGAGCGCGAGCTCCCACGCGCGGGCGGTCGCGCGTCCAACTCGGCGTCGTTCCACGGTGGTTGGTTGTTTGCGCAGGGAGATGCAGGTGGTGGGGCAGTTCAACCTGGGCTTCATCATCGCGCGGCTGGGCGAGGACCTCTTCATCGTGGACCAGCACGCCTCGGACGAGAAGTGCACCTTCGAGCGCCTCTGCAAGGAGACGGTCCTCACCAAGCAGCCCCTCATCAAACCGGCCAGGTGCCTCGCGCTGCTGCGCCCTGCCGCGCCCCCCGCGCCCCCCGCGGCCCCGCCGCCCGCGCACGACCGTCCCGCCCGCATCGCCGCCGCTCGCAGGCTGGACCTGGGCCCCGCCGAGGAGGTGCTGGTGCGGGAGAAGCTGCCGCTGTTCGAGGCCAACGGGTTCACCTTCGCGGACGACCCTGAGTCAGGGCGACTGGTGCTGACGTCGGTGCCGGTGAGCCGCGGCGTCACGCTGGGCGCGAACGAGGTCGCGGAGCTCGTCGGGATGCTGGCGGGCAACGAGGAGAGCGGGTGGATGTGGAGCTCGGGCGGGGGGCGCCGGGTGCCGCGGCCGGCGAAAGTGCGCGCGATGCTCGCGATGCGGGCCTGCCGGAGCTCGATCATGATCGGCAAGGTGCGCCCCCGCCGCTGATGCCTGCGCCGGCGGTCCCGACCATACCATGCGTTCTCGGCAGGGTCAGCGCGCCGACGCGCCCCCCGCCGGGACTCGCGCTGCGCAGGTGCTGGACCGAAAGACCATGGCGAAGGTCCTCGCGATGCTGTCGACGCTGGATTCGCCCTGGAACTGCCCGCACGGCCGCCCGACCATGCGGCACCTGTGCGTGCTGCCCGCCCGCCGCGACGAGGACGAGGCGCCGGAAGAGGACGCCCCCGCGGCGCCGGACCTCGCCGAGTTCGGGTTCCAGGCCAGCTGAGAAGCCTCGTGGGTGTCCGCGGCCTGCTCCGGCGCAACACACACGGTGCGTGTCAACGTCGCAGGGCAGCCGCACGTTTCGTGCGACGTGACGGTCGCGAGGCGCGCGCCGCTGTGACTCGACGCCGTGAGTACGGTGCACAGCGTCCATGCGGAGTAACTCTCGCGCGTGCGGCGCCCCGAGCGACCATCATGTGTGCACGCACCTCGCTGGCGACGACGCACCCGCGCGGGGCGCGGAGACCGCGGTCGTCTCGCGGGGGGGCGCCCCAGAGAGGCCGCCGTCGGCGAGGATCGACGCCTGTCGCGCCGTGACGCTGTGGGCGCCGGTGCCACCTACCGACCGAGGGAGCTCGTGCGCGCGACAAGCCCCGACAGCGCGAAACACAGAGTGGCCACACGCGACGGCAGGCTCGGGCGTGATCGGGCGGCGCACGCGACGAGCGCAAAGAAGCCGCGAGGTCGCCGTGACGCTCGGGCCCAGTTCCAGCACATGGGGGGATCTATTGACCGCTCGGTTTCGCGCGCGTGCTGCTCGTTGGGACGCCCTGCGGCAGCGGGCCCTCATCGCACCGACCCTGCTGAGGGGTTCTGTGGCAGCAGGCACCGGACGGAGGACTGCGCCGGGCACGAGCGAGCAAGGAGCAGCTGCTCCGCACAGCCCTCTCCGCCAGACGCTCCCTCGGCGCCTGCGCAGGCCCGTTGGCTCCGGAGGGCCAGAGAAGACAGGGGTCTTGTTTCCGCGCGCGAGGAGCTCGATTGCGAGAGCCGCGGGGCAGCGCAGCGCGAGCACGCCGCTCGCCACGGCAGCTTGGACTCGCCCGTCAGCGGGGGCACCAGGGCTGTGCGTCCGGTTGAGCCGGCTTCCGGGGAAGACACAGCCATGTCTGACGCCACAAACGGGCAGAGCAGCGGCGAGACGCCCAAATTGGACGGTGCGTGCGCTGCTGCTCGTGGGCCGGGCCTCGCGAACGCTGCGTGTCCGGGCCCTCGGGCGCGTGTGGACCCCGCGGGACGCCATGGGCAGGGAAATGCGGCAGCGTTGATCGGTTGGCGTGGGCGGCTCTGTTCGCTGCGTCGCTGTTCCGTGCCCACTGGTGGGGTGCATCAGGGTAGAGGGGGCACGGCGTTGCCGTGCACGCCGCGACCGGAGAGGCGTGGCAACGGCCCTCGGCGCACACATTCGCCTCGCTGCGACGCCCCGGGTCGGTGCACGGCCCACTGGAGACCCCCAGGAGCGCGGATTCCCCGTCTCTGTGCAGGATCAGCGGGAGAGCGCAACGCGCGCGGGTCGTTGGAGCTCGACCGGGAGCGAACCGATGCCGCACCCTCACCGCGCGTCAACATCTACAATGGGCTCGCGACGCCGCCCGGTTCCAGCGCCGCGAGCGACTACACGGAGGACGACAGCTTCAGGTGCCGCGCCCTCACCTCATGCCGCCGCAACGCGTCGCCGCCCCTGCACCGCGCGCCCCGTTCCGGCACATGCGACACACCGACTCCCCGCGTCCGCCGCGCGCAGCCGCGAGGTCCCCCCGGAGGCGGACGTGATGGCCAAGCGCAACCTCTCACGGCAACTGAGCAGCCTCGTGCCGGGACGCAAGCCGTCCGCGATCGGGCCGCTCACGTCCATGGTGTCGCGCCAGTCCATGATGAGGCCCCAGGTCACGCGCGGCCCGTCCAAGCTCGCGAGGATGACCAGGTGCGCCTGCGCGGCTCTCACCGCCCCCGCCGCGGTTGACCGTCGCCACGCGACCCCCCGCGCCGCGCACGCGCCCGCGCAGCCCCTCCCGCACCTCGCCTGATCCCGCCGCGCCCCGCCCCCGCGCTCCGCCCCGCAGCGCCGCCCACCAGCCCAGCCGCCGCGACGCGGGCGCGCGGTCCTCCTTGGACGACCCGCTGCTCGCACACCGCGCCAACAAGGCCGGGGACTACGCCAGAGAGTACAGGTGCGCACCCTCCAGCCCCGCGCGCGACGTCCGCCTGCGCCGCTCTCGCACCCAACGCGAGCACGCACACACACACACGTGCAACCCAACGCAGGAAGATGCTGGCCGCCAAGGGCCCGTCGATGCGCAACCTCGCGCGGCAGTCGGTGGCGGGGGCGCGCGTGTCCGTCGCGGGCGGCAACCGCAACTCGGTTGACTCCGGCGCGGACATTTACGACGTCGAGATGATGGAGAAGAACTACGAGGAGCACGGGGGGCTGTCCGAGGGGACGAGGAACTTCATGCTCAAGGTGAGGGCGCGGGTGTGTGCGCGGGCGCGGGGACCGGCTGCGCGTGCGTTGCGTGGGGCCGCGGCTGACGCGGGTGTGCGTGGGGTGCGGTTCGCAGGCGTTTGGGGAGCCGACGAACTACGGGGCGCGGTTCCAGCACGTGGCGCTGCGGGGGGCGGGGGAGTCGAAGTTCGTCATCCACCCGATGTCCGCGGGCCGGCGGTACTGGGACGTGCTGATCATGCTGATCACGGTGTTCAACGTCATCGTCGTGCCCGCGCGGTGAGTGCGCGCGCCGCCCCGCGTGCGACGACCCCGCGCTGCGATGCCGCGGCGGCGCCGACCGCGCGCGTGGTCCCCCCGCGGTTGCGTGCAGGCTGGCGCTGTTCTGGGCGCGCGAGGACGACCGTTCGCTGAACGCGTGGAGCGTGGTGGACATCTGCATGGACCTCATGTTCCTGTTCGACATCGCGCTCAACTTCAACACGGGCATCATCTACGAGTCGGACCAGGTGGTCGTGATGGACCGGCGGGTCATCGCGACGTCGTACGTCCGCTCGTGGTTCTTCCTGGACCTGGTGTCGTCCGTCCCGCTCGACCTCATCCTCGTCGGGGAGGGCGGAGGCGCCGGCCGCCTCAACAAGATCCCCAAAGTCTTCAAGATCCTGCGACTCTCCAAGCTGCTCCGGCTCATGCGCGTCACCAAGGTGCGCCGCCGCCCCTCCCCCCACGTGCGCGCCGGTTGGACCGAGGCCGCATGGTGCTGACACATCCGACCGCTCCCTACGCTGCCGCGCAGATCCTCCGGTACCTGCAACGCTTCGACATCTTCGCCGGGATGTCGAGCTTCATGACGCGCGTCATCAAGCTCATGGCGGGCGTGCTCATCTTCGCGCACTGGAACGCGTGCATGCAGTTCCTGCTCGCAGCCGTCAACGTGAGAGCCCCGCGCGACGCACCGCAACCCGCACGCGCGCCGCCCCACGCCCCGTCGCCGCCCCATCCAGCAGGAAAGCGACCTTGCGTTCGCTCAAACACTTCTCCGACCGCAGGACTTCCCCTACAACTCGTGGGTGGTCCGGGAGGGCCTGGAGTTCTCCTCGCCGATGCGCCAGTACTCGACGGCCCTGTTCCAGGCGTTCTCGCACATGCTGTGCATCGGCTACGGCCCCAACCCCCCAGAGCCGCACTACGAGGTGTGGGTAGTCATCATCTCCATGGTGTGCGGCGCCGTCCTCTTCGTCATCCTCGTCGGTATCATCACCAGTGTCCTCGTCCAGGTGAGCCCTTCCCCCCGCAGCCACGCCGAACCCGCGGCCCCCACCGCGCCCGCGCACAGGTGCTGACCTCCACCCCGCGCCCCCCGCCGCGACGCAGGCCGACTACGTCGACGGCCTGTACCGCAACCAGCAGGCCGTCCTCAGCCAGTACATGTCGATGCGGTCCATCCCCGGCGAGCTCCGCAACCGCATCCTCGAGAACCACGAGTTCCGGTGGCGCACCGGGAAGTTCATGCAGGTGCGTGTGTGCGCCGCGCACACCGCACGGCCCCCGCGGACGTGCGCCGCTCGCTCGTCCCGCCCGTCGCGCGTCCCGCCCGCTTGATCCGCTCGCCCGCTGACGACCCCCCCGGTTCCCCCGTGCGGTGCAGGAGAAGGAGATGCTGGCGCTGATCCCGGCGTGCCTGCGGACGGAGGTGGCGCTGCACAACTCGCGCGACCTGCTGGACTCGGTGCCGTTCCTCCAGGAGGCGGACGAGGGTTTCCTGGCGTCGCTCGTGGTTCGGTTCGAGCCGGAGGTGTACGTCCCCGGGGACATGATCATCCGGCAGGGGGAGATCGCGAACGAGATGTACTTCATCAAGTCCGGGCGGGTGCAGGTCGAGTCCGAGGGGCACCCCATCACCGTGCTCTCCGACGGGTCCTACTTCGGCGAGATCGGCATCCTGCGCAAGGCCATCCGCACCGCCGACGTCAGGGCCCTCACGCCCGTCGAGGTCTTCACGCTCAAGCGCGAGGACTTCTACGAGATCCTCGAACGCTTCCCGGACTCGGATCGGGCGCTCAGGTGCGCGCCCCGCGCTCTCACGCACCGCAGCCACGCCCCCACACGTCCTGCGGCGGGGGGCGCCCCGACCTCGTTCTGCGCCGCCACGCGCCCCGCAGAGTCATCGCTGACCACCGTCAGAAGATGTTCAAGAAGTACAAGGGGCGCGACCCGGGCGCCGCTGCTCGGGGCCGCCCGGAACCGGCGGAGCAAGCGGGCGGCATGATGGTCCCCCCGGCGATCCAGGAAGGCGTCGAGGCCGCGGCGGGCGACAGCGGGCCGCACCAGGAGAAAGAGAAGGTCAGGCGGACGTCGAAGCAGCTGGCCAAGGTCGAGACGGAGCAGAAGCAGCGCAAGCAGGGCGCCGAGTGGGGCACGCTGGTGCTGTCGCAGCTGCAGGAGATGGAGAAGCTGTTCGCCACGCCGGAGAATGTCGCGGCGAGCGACGTGGCGCAGCGGCCGTCCGACAGCGACGTGCCATCGCTCGGGCACGGGTTGTCCAGGTGCGCCACAGTGGACGCGGCGGCGAGCGCCCGTCACCGCGTGCACGAGGCTCGTGCTCCGCGCTGCAGCCCCCGACACCGTGGCTCCTGTCGCTGCGCAGGCACTCGATGCTCGTCGGGAACGACTCGATGGTGGGCGAGTCCGGGATCAACAGCGCACAGCTGCACGTGATCATATCAGGTGCGCGGAACGGACGGCTTGAACCGCCTCGATCGCGTGATCGCGACGCACCGCGAAGCGTGCCACGGCTGTGCGAGCCTGCGCCGACCTCCGCTGCGACTTGTCGACGCTCTTGCTGTGTCAAGCGCGTTTGCAGAGCTCAAGCGCAAGGTCGTCGAGCTGAGCAAGTGGGAGAAGCGCATCGTGGACCGCGAGCACACTCTCTGACGCGGTGGCCGGACAGGGAGTAGCCGGACCGGGGAGGACCCCCCCGGCTTTGCAGAGCGCCACCAAGCGGACAGGAACCATGCGAATGCCCCGCGACTGCATTGCGCGGCTACTGCTTTCCGACGCCCGCTGGCGTGGTGCTGTGGCCAGGACTTCGGCGTGCATATCGCACCCGCCGCGCAACCGATGCAAGATTGATGCTCACACTTGATGTTTCGTTTAGGTCGTGTTCTTTCAAGCAGCGCTCGGCCGCGACAGCCCCAGTGGCGTCGCGTGTGACAACAGACCGCTGGAGCTGAGTCGCGGTGGTGGTGGCAGCGAGCGGGTATGAACAGGGGGGAAGAGGGAGGCGCTGACACAGGTGTGGCCAAAAAATGACGATCGGGAGCGAGCTCAGGCGGAAAAATGCGCGATTGGGCCACGTGGAGTGGAAGTACGAGAATGAGAGCCTGTCTGGCGGCTGCGGGTGGTTTCTCCGCCGCTCGCAGCACCTGGGGGGCATGTTTAGAAATTGAGCGGGTGTGCAATGAGGTCGTACAGGCACAGGCTTGCTATGACTGACAAGCATATCTTGTCGTTCATGATCTCCGAGAGGTGCCTCCACGACCACTCGGGCGATTCTCGCGCCTTGCGGAGGTTCAGCAGCGTGACCGCCACCGCCAGCGTCAGGTTGCAGGTGATCCCGAGCACGGGGTCCGTCGCGTCCGCAAGCGCCTGCGATCGAATCAGCCGGGCCACGCGACTCGCTTGCGCGCGGCCCATGCGTCGACACAGCGCTTCAGAACGAAGCTTCGCGGTCCGTCGCAGCGCCGCCCCTCCATACGGAGTGGGGGGCGTCTCGCGCCGAAGCGGGCACCGGGTGGCGCTGAACTCCCGCTCCGTCCCAGCTTGGGGAACGGTTCAGGCACGCGGCCGGCGGAGGACGTGTCCGGGGGTCGCGCACCTGGGCAGCGGACTCGGTGCATGCCAGCTCGCTGGCCGCAAGCGAGGCCAGCGCCACCGCGGCCGCCTGCAGCTTCCGGAGCTTGCGCTTCTGCCTCCTGCGGTGCCATGGGTAGAGGAATGGTCGCTTGTCGGCGCGAACGTCGCGGCGCCGCGGTCCGTTCCCGGCCGCGCCCCGACGACGGTCGGCCAGCGCTCTGCTGTCACTGCGGACCGCGCGGCCTGGTGCGACGTCGGGGCGCGTGTGCTCGCGGGGCTGCGCGTGCCTCTCAATGTAGACGCAGACTCTGACCGCCCGCCGGCGGGACCTCCGCGCCGGTGGGTCCTGAGCCGCGGCGACACTGCAGGCGGGAGTGCAGATGCTGCCCTGATGGCGCGACGCAGGGCCCGTGCCGCGAAGGTCCTGGGCTTTCCTCAGAGGAACCGCATGCTGCAAACACATCGTGCGCATTCATGCATACATTCAGGGTGAATGACCGTCGAATCTCGCCCGACGAGGCACGCGGCAGTGCGCCACGCGGAGGCCGAGCAGAGCGCTCGTGCGGGCGCAGCCAGGGGGTGGTGTCCAGCGAACACCGGACCCGCGGCACGCTGCAGAACACCAGCGCGCAGGTGCGGCACGCACGATCGCAATGTATGCCTCGTTCCGCGGGGGCGCGTGCTTACCTGGGAGGCGCGCTTGCCGCAGGTCCGCGGCGCAGACCGCACCGCGGCGGACATATATTCCGGGCGACGGATGCTGCGAACGACGAGTGTATGAATTGTGACACACTGCGCCGCCGAGGCGCGCTTTCGGGGCCCCGGCCCGGGCGGCGGCCTGGACAGAAACCTGACGCGGGGGTGGACTGCTACGTGGCAGCGCGTGACGACATCGCCGCGGGGCGGAGCGATGAGAGGAGCGCCGCGGCGTACTGCATGGGCGTCCGCAACGTCGATGAGCAGCTGCACGCGGCGGAGTTCCGGCCGGGAGGCGGGCGCACACAGAGAGCCACCCCCTGTGTCGCGCATCACTCCGCGCCAGTGCTACGCACACGGCCTGTGCGCGCCGGTGGAACGGGAGCTGCCAGATCTGGGCTCGCGCTGGATCACATCGACGGACGCGGGGCCGCGAGGCGCCGAGCCATGACGGCACACAAAGAGGTGCCCGGTGTGAAACCGCGTCGTCTACGAAACTAGCTTGCGACCAGTGCGGCGCCCGTCACGCCTGGTCCTCGAGCAGCCAGCCCTCGAGCGCAGCGCGCATCTCCTCGCGCTCCATCCGCCGCAGCGCCGGTTCCGCGGCCCCCGCTTCCCGCTCCTCGCACACAGGGTCGGCGCCCGCCGCCGACGCGCCCGAACGCACCGCCAGCGCGGTGCGCACCGCCCGCGCGAGTTCCAGCATCCCGGGAGGCATGAACGGCGCGGGGTCGGCGCCCTGCGCGCGGGTCTGCGCCCTCGGCTGCAGGTACACGGGCAGGTCCAGGATCTGCTCCCGGCAGCTGTCGCAGCCCGCCGCGTCGAACAGATCCCGCGCCGACGCGTCCCCGTGCGCGCCGTCGTCCGCCGCCCGCGCCCTCGCCGCGCCCTGCTGGACCTCGTGCGGCGAGAGCGGCCCCGTGCAGATGGCGCAGGGCAGCGGGGGGCCGTCGGTGTCGTCCACGGAGCTCGCGATGCCCGCGCTCGACGCCGCCGCGCGCTTCGCCTGCTCGCGCTCCTGCCGCACCTGCATGCCGTGCGGGGCGCTGCGGTGACCGACGTCCATGACCGCGGGGGCTGCCGCGCGCACTTCGTTGAATTGGAAGGCCATGAGCTTCGAGCAGGTCTTCAGGACGGTCGACGCCGACGACGGCAAAATATCCTGCGTCGAAGGCGGGCCGCGCGGGGGGGAGTCAGTCGCGATGTCGGGCGCGGCGCATCTACTTGGCTGCGATGGCATGGGTCCTGCTGGGACGATGTCGCGCGACCGGCTTGCCTGCATGTCCCCCAGGAAGTTCTCAACGATGCTGTTGATGCTGCTGGACACGAAGGGCCTCTTCTGCAGGGACCGGTACGGAGGCGCGTTGGGCAGCCCGTGATGCCGCCCGTACTGACAGAGCTCCCGCGACGTCACCTCCTGCATCGGACGCACCACCGTCGGGCCCAGACCGAGCGCCGACAGTCGCGCGTCGCACCACCTGCGCGTGAGCGGGGGACGGACGAGCAGTCACGCCCGTGCAGGCACCACACCGGAACTGCGCGCACGTTGGCGCTCACGGGCCGCGGCGCCGCGCACCTCGTGTTGGCGGTCATGGAGTACCCGCGGCCCTTGGCCGAGTCGCACAGCGCGTTGATCGCCATGCGCGTCGCGCTCTCCCCGAGCGCGAGTTTGTTGCACCGCAGCACGCGGCACACCGTCGCCAGCAGGTGCCCGCGCAGCGCGGCGATCAGGTCCTCCCGGCCCGTCTCATCCCTGACGGCCCCGAGAAGCTGCAGCAGCCGCTCCGTCAACTCCTGCGCGCACGCGGTCCGCCCGTCGGCAACACCAGTCAGGTTCAACGGGCAGTCCCACGCGCGAGCATCGCGCGCAGTTCACACCGCGGCGCTGGACGGGGCGTACCTGCGGAGGTTCTCGCTCGAGCGCAGCGACGTCGGCGTCGCTCGGCCCGTCCGCGCTCGGCGCGCGCGCCCGGTCCAGCAGCTCGGCCGACAGCGCCCACTCCAGCCTGACCACGGCCAGGCGGACGCGAGGGCCGCCGTGCAGCGCCTGGACAGCCTCCACCGCGCGCCGCGCGTGCGGCGGGATGTCCCGGGCTCCGCCCGCGCCGCTCGCGCCGTGCGCGCCCGCCTCGTCGACGTGCACGCCCACCAGGTCGTACACGACCTTCCCGCGCTCCGGCCTGTCGACCACGACCGACTGGAACCTGCGCAGGCGCGGAGGTCGCCGGGGGACGCCGTCACGCCGCGGACGAACGAGCGGGCGCGTCGCACGTGGAACAGCCTTGTTGTTGCTGCGGGTACTTACGATTTGAGGACCTCCAGCATCGCGCTGGAACCTGCGCCCCCGCTGAGGCCCGCAACCAGCCGATCCCCGTGCCCGACCAGGCCGCCCATGCGGCTCTCCGCGGACACCTTCTTCGCTATGGCGCTCACCAGACACTCCGCACAGAGTTTCCGCCCCTGCCTGGCGACGCTCTGCGCCCTGGACTTGCGGCACTTCTCGCACAGCACCGCATCGCTCGGACGGATGCCTCGCAACGTCTCCGCGGAAGCACCTTTGCCCGAGCTGCACGGAGCGCCGAGGGGACCGGCCGCAACCTCAGGGCTCGGCGACGGGCCCCACGAGCAGTACAATTCGCGTTGCGTGCAGCAGCGCGAGCCAGTAGTCATCGGTGATCCGGCCAGCGCACGCGGACCGCTGCAATGCGCCTGAGGCGTGCGGCGCTGGGAGCTTGCCTGCCGGACATCTGGGCAGCTGCCTCCGCGCCCCGCCCCCACGCCCCGGGACCAGCGCGCACCGCTGGTCCGGACGCCGGCCCGCACCCCCCGCTCCCGCATCCCTCGCCTCCCCCGCCGCAGGACATCCTGCACCGCGGCGCGCGACACCACCACGCAGCGGACGGCACCAGGTCCAGCGCTGCTCGAATGTCCCAGTTCAGACCATGCCGCCCGCGCGTGCGCAGAGCGCTGACTATATCTGCCAGCTGGACGCCGGGCGCGCTGCTCCTGTGGGCGCCACGCGTCAGAATTGCCCGCCCCGAGGGGTGTGGCCTTTCCCCCACTCAGGGCGCCCATCGCGGCGTCTCAGGGGCTTCAAGGCTCCCGTGGCGCGCGCGCGCCTGCCGTCCACCGCGTGGAGGTGTCGCAGGCATACGCAGCGACCATGATTTCGGCGGGTGTTGTCGGTGCTCCGCAGCGATGCATCATCCACAGCAGGGCTGCCGCCCGGACGCGGGCCCTTGGCGCCGTGCGCTCCCAAGGTGCGCATCAGCGCGTAGCGATCGATCCCTTCTGCGAGGTCGCATGCCTCCCGTCCCACGTCGCGCCCCGTGTCACCCCCTGTGTCCCGGGGAGCGTGTATCCACCCTCCCGTGGTGCAAATCCATCCCGCTGGAGCCGTGCGAGGTTGCCTGGAAGTTTGTGCTGGCCCGAACGAGGGCACGAGCATCTAAGCATCGTCCTCGGCGCGTCACGGCATCGGTGACGCGCGTCCACGCCGCGTGCGCGCCCCCATCCACGCAGGCGGTAGCAGCGTCGCTGGGCGCGCGCTGAGGGCGCGCCGCAGCGGGAACCAGGCCGCGCGGCAGTCCCCGCGGAGCACGCGGTCCTCCGCCGTCGTCCGCGCCAGCGCCGTGGACATGTCGTGGCGCAAGAAGCCCGCGAAGGACATCCGAGTGCTGGTGGTGGGGTCCACGGGCTACATCGGGCGGTTCGTCACCAAGGAGATGATGGCCAGGTCCGACCCGCCCCGCGCGCGCGCACCGTGCCCCCACGCACCTCCACCAGGCAGCCACAGCGGTCCCCGCGCGTGGCGACGCGCGCGCTGCATCCCGCGGCGGTGTCGACGCCGGCCGCGACAGCGCCCGCCCGCGCGTCGCGCTGTATCGGCGCGGCCGGGGCTGCGCTCGTCCTCCGCGCGGCGCTCGACCCGCCCGGCCCGCGCCCGCTCCGCGCACAGGGGGTTCGACACTGTTGCCGTCGCGCGGGAGAAGTCCGGCGTGAAGGGCAAGAAGAGCAAGGAGGACGTGCTCGAGGACTTCAAGGGCGCCACGGTGGCGTTCGCCGACTGCACGAGCGCCGAGTCGCTGCGCAGCGCGCTGGCCGGCCAGCAGTTCGACGTGGTGGTGTCGTGCCTCGCCTCCCGCACGGGCGGCATCGAGGACTCCAACCTCATCGACTACCAGGTGCGCGCCGCCTCCCAGCTGCGCCCCGCCGCCGCGGTCCCCGGCCCTCGCGCTCCCCGGGCGTCGCCGCGCGCCTCGGCACAGAGCGGGCCGCGCACCCTCGTCCCCGCAGGCGACGCGGCACGCGATGGACGTCGGGCAGGAGCTGGGCGCGAAGCACTTCGTGCTGCTGTCGGCGATCTGTGTCCAGAAGCCCACGCTGGAGTTCCAGCGCGCCAAGCTCAAGTTCGAGGCGGAGCTGCAGGCCAACGAGGACATGACGCACTCCATCGTGCGCCCCACCGCCTTCTTCAAGTCCCTCGGCGGCCAGGTCGAGCTCGTCAAGAACGGCTCCCCCTACGTCATGTTCGGCGACGGCACCCTCGCCGCCTGCAAACCCATCTCCGAGCGCGACCTCGCCAGGTGCGCGCGACCGCACCTGCACGCGCCCGCCCGCGCACGGCCGTGGGTCCGGACGCGGCCGCTCGACCGCTCGGCCGCTCGGCCCACCCTCGCCCACCCTCCCCCCCCGCTCCCCGCGTCGCCCGCAGCTACATGGCGGACTGCGTGCTGGACAAGGAGGGCTCGCTGACGAACCAGGTGCTCCCGATTGGCGGCCCCGGGCGCGCGCTGACGGCGCTGGACCAGGCGATCATTTTGTTCCGGCTGGTTGGGCGGCGGCCGGAGTTCATCCAGGTGCCCATCCAGGTGATGGACGGCGTGATCTGGGTGTTCGACAAGCTGGCCGCGAAGATCCCGCAGCTCGCGGACGCGGCCGAGTTCGGCAAGATCGGGCGGTACTACGCCGCGGAGTCGATGCTCGTGATGGACCCCAAGACGGGGGTGTACGACCCGGACTCCACCCCCTCGTACGGCAAGGACACCCTCGAGGACTTCTTCAAGAGGTGCGCGGGGGGCGACGGGGGCGACGGGGGCGGGGGCTGCGTGCACGCCGCGTGCGTGCGTGCGTGCGTGCGTGCGCGCGGTCTGTTTGCGACGTGGTTCGTGCCGCTGTGTGTGTTGCGCGCGCAGGGTGCTGGAGGAGGGCATGGCGGGGCAGGAGCTGGGCGACCAGGCCGTCTTCGGAGTGGCCGCGGAGGCGAAGAACTAGGGCGGGGATGCTGTGAGGCCCGCCGCTTCCGTGCCGCGCGACGGCGCGTGTTGTGCGCGTGGCGCTGCTCTGTCACACGCGTCGCTTCCCAGCGTCAGTTATTGAAGAAGAGCTTCTGCGAGAGCTCGTTGAGGACGAAGTTGAAGCCGAGCAGCACGCCGGACGACGCCAGGATGATGGCGATGACCAGCAGCGTCTGGTTGAACGCCGCCCCCACAGTGGGCCACTCCACGAGCTTGGCCTCCTGCGTGTCCACGAACGGCGGGCGGCTGCCCGTCGGGGGGCGCCGCGTGGCTGGCGTTGCGGCGCGGGGGCGGGCACGCTGCACGCGAGCGAGCGGCGGCGGTCCTCGCGGGGCAAGACGGCGCTGGGAGTGCACCGCGCGCGCGTGACGAGCGCGCTGCGCACCTCGACTGCCCCGGCGAGCACGTTCGGCTTCTTCGTCTGCGTTCGTGGCACGGGGACCCCGTCCATCGACCCGAAATCCATCGAAGAGTCCGCCCCAGAGGACGAGCTCCCGCTGGCCTCCGCCTTCGACGCCGCCGCCTCCCCCTGCGCGCCATCGACGGGACCACCGGCCGACATGTGAGCGATCCGGGCACCGGCCAGCCTATTCGCGCGCAGGTCGCCGCTCGCGCGGCACGGATCACCAGCCACCAGCAGGCGGGGCGAGAGCAGCGCGCGAGGACGCGCCACCTGCCAAACGTGCGCCCAAACGCGAGAACATCGTCGGAACGTTCGTGTGCATCGGGGTGACGTGCGTGCGGCGGGCCCGACACCCTCGATGGGAGCGCAAAGCGCCTGCGCGGACTCACCTGCGCCAGTGCGCCACCCTCCTCGACCTTCTCCTCCGACTTCGACGCCTCGCTCCCCTCCGCGCGCGCTAGCATGCGGATGCCGCGCCTGCCGAGCGCCCCATGCCCGGCGCGCGGCGCCGCGGTGCGGACCAAGCCTGGCGCACGTAGACGGCAGCCCGTGGCGGGCGCCGCCAGGCAGCAGGCCGACGAATGCATGTCCGCCAGCTCGAGTCGTGATCGTACTGGCCGGGGCGCGCGTCGCACGGCAATCACGGCCGGCCCAGAGCAGCGAAGGGGGCGTTTCGTCCTGTGGCGCGCCCGCCAGGCGTCAGGCCGCTGGACGTGGCCTGGATGGCCCGGGTCAACGGGGCGGCGGCCTGTGCGCGCTCATCATGGTTCCGGGGGCCCGCGGGGGTCCTTGAGGGCGCTTGAACGAGCGCCGCCCCGCCGGGACGGGTCGCGGCACCTCGCTGCACGTCAGCGTCATCTCCACGTCGACCCCGGGGCCTGCCTGCGCGACGGCTCCTTGTCCCGAAATCAAGCACCAGAGCAGAGTTGGGCAGGCGCCGAGGTTGGTGGCCGCAACCACCCCACGGTTCTCGGCCATGCCCGGCTTATCCTGGAGGTGGAGGGGCAGGCCGCCCCGGTCCGTCAGCGTGCTGGTCGCCCGCCATGGACCTTGTGGCGGTCCACTTCGGGGATGATATGCTCGCGGTGCACCGCATGAACTTCCAGAGGCCGTGGATCCGGCCAGGGTCCAAGGTGCGATGCAGTGCTCCAGGGATAAACGCCCGCGCTCGCCCCATACGCGCTGCCCGGGCCGCCTTGCGGCGACATCTGCGGCCAACGCGATGGTTCAGTCGCATGCGAGGTAGTTCCGCCCGCCAGCGTGGCATGCGGGCCCCCGGCGCGTGAAGCAGAGAGCTGCCAGGAACAAACATTTTAGCGGCGGGCGACACGCGGCGAGATGTCCCGCGGGGACCAACGCCCACGTCAGGCGCCCCCGTGCGTGACGCGCAGGTAGCGGGGATGTGCTGGTCCCCGGGCGGCCGGGTGCTGGCGTGCGCGCACGCGGGCGGCGGGACGTTGCTCCTCGACGCCGAGTCGCAGCAGGTGCTGGCGACCCTGCCGCCGCTCCAGGCCGGGGGCGTCACCGAGCAGCTCTCGTGGACGCAGGGCCCAGAACTCGGCCCAGGCAAGTGCACGGCGGCCCATCCGTTGTGCTGTCGGTGCCGACTGCTGCTTCGCCCCGCCACGACGTCCGCAGCGGCCGCGGCGCTCCCAACACCGTCGCGCGCGGAACCCACCTATTGCAGGGCGCTTCAGCGGCTCCGGTCTCCCGACCGCTCCCCCGCTCGAGGTCCCGCTGTCGAACAACGGCGCGCCCGGGTCGGGGGGGCCGTACGACGACCCGCAGGAGCAGTGGGCGCCCAGCGAGCCGCCGCGCTCCGTGCTCGTGCGCGCCGCCGTGTCGGCCCCGTCGGGCGCGCAGGCGGCCCCCGCAGCGGTGGAGCTGCGCGCGTGGGGGCTGGTGCGGATGTGCCTGGTGCGGCTGGGGGACGACGGGGCGCGCGGGGCGACGGGGCGGATCACGGCGCAGGTGTCGCGGTCGATCGACTCGGTCACCGCGCTGTGCGGGTCGCAGCGCGCGGTGTGGGTGTGGGGGGCGCGCACGGGCCTGGAGGGTGACGAGGTGGCGGTGGTCGGGCGGGTGGCGCTGGACCTGATCGAGATCCAGCGGCGCGTGGACGCGGTGATGGCGACGCTGCGGGAGTCCCACCGCGCGTGGAAGGGCGCTGCGGACGAGATCGCCACCGACGTGCAGCGCTGGGAGCGGCTGCTGGTCGATAACGGCGAGGAGGTGCGGCGAGACACGCGCGCCAACCGTGGGCTGCTCGTTGCGCCGTGGGGCCCCTCACGTCGCCCACCTCCACCCTCCCGCGCCGCTGCAGAGTGGGATGTTGCAGACGGTGCTGTGTCGGATGCTGGAGGAGGGATACCACACGCCCGGCGTCCAGCAGGCGCTCACGACGTTCCTCGGCGACCAGCGGCTGAAGCGGCACGCGCGCGCGATCGAGTCCGCGGCGGGCAGGGTGCACCAGGACCTGGTGACGCGCGTGCGCCCGCTGGTGCAGGACTGCCTCCTCAGGGCCTCGCGCGCGCAGAGCCTCGCGTGTGCGGCGCTCGGGATGAACAAGGGCTTCCTGGCCCAGGTGCGAGCGCTCCGTGCGGCGCCCGCGCGCGCGAACGCACGCATGACGATGTACTTGACACCCTGCTCGATGTGGTGCCCGGCGCGGCGTTGGCACGGCCCCGGCTGCAGCGTGATGCAGCGTGCGAGAGCGTGTCGTGGATGCAGGAGCAGGGCCTGTTGGCTGGCATGTTTGTTCGGTGCGAGCAGCAGCAGGCCAACGTGGCGGAGGCGGCGCGCTCGTGGACGGCGTTCCTCTCGTGGCTGCTCGGCGCGGCGATGAGCCTGAACCTCGAGGCGGACGTCGGCGTCCCGGCGATGGACCTCCCGCGCGTGCACGCGATCATCGAGCGCATTCACGACCCGGACACGCTGTGCGCGGAGCTGGACGTGGACGGCGCGCGGCAGCCTGCGGGCGGGGCGCGGAGCGCCAGCGTGCGGCTCGCCGAGGATCTGTCGCTGGAGGAAGCGCTGCTCAGGGCGGCGGGGCGCGGCACGCGGGGCGGGGGCAAGCTCGCGCGGCACGCGCACAAGCTGGCGGACGCGCTGCACACGGCGGAGGGGTGCCTGACGGTGAGCGCCCGGGCCACGTCGCACGCACGGGCGATCGATCTGTTCGCACGACCGCTGCGTTGCGTGCAGCGCCCGTTGCGTTTCGACTGCGACGGTGCGCGCACACGGCTCGTGCCCTCGCAGGGGATGTTCGAGGCGCGCATGGCCAGGGTCGTCGCGGAGCACAAAGTCGCCATCGCGGCAAAACCGGCGCTGCGATCCCCCGTGTTCCGCCTGCACGTGCCGCGGCATCCAAAGCACGACGCGAGCACAGCGACGCAGGTGCTGGTCTCGTTCGACGACAGCGACCGGGAGGTCCTGGTCGCCCGCGGCCGCAACCATCTCACCGCAGACCTGCGGGCAGCGGCGGTCGCGTGGCAGGGCGGCGCTGCGGCGGGCGCGGAGATCTACAAGGAGGGCGCGGTGTGCCTCGCGACCGTCGACGGGGACCGGGGCGCGCTGCAGGTGCTCGCGGTGCCGGACGCGTGTCTCACTGAGCATGCGCAGCCGGGGGCATCGTTGGAGGAGAGCTGCAGGTCGCAGGGAGCCCTCCAGCTGGCGGACATCGTGTCGCAAGGTGCGCCGGCACGCGCCGCGGTGACGCGCTGCGCGCCTATGCAACCGCACGCGGCTCTAGATGCTGACCCCGTGACTGCGGACCTGCGGCTGCCTCCGCAGAGTCGGGCGCTGCGCTGTCGCGACGGGAGCTGCGAGGTGCGATCGCGCACGTGGCGGTCGGTAGCGAGCGCGGCCTGTGTCTCGTGTACGCCGCGCCCCGCCATTTGTACATTTTCGACCTGGAGGACGACGAGGACGACGATGCGTCGGACGCGGAGGAGGACTGATCGGTGACGTGGGTGTTTGTCGGCGACGGACCTCGCTGTTGAGCCGGCTGTCTTCGCGAGGCGCACGCGGCCGGCTGTCGGCCGCCGGCAAGCTGCCGGATGCGGCTGACGAGGTCAGTCGCATGCGTCAGCGGCGGTCCGTTTCGCGAACGTGTCGACGACGGGAGCATGTGGCTCCTGGCGGCGGGCGCTTGCGACGACAGGTTCGTCTGGTGGGCGACGGGATGTTCGTCGGGGCGCGGCTGGTGCGCTCGGGCGACACGAGCGTCGTTACCGGCAGGGGCAAGGAGCGGCCCGACCCAGCGCGGCCCTGCGCGGCGGGGGCGCCAGCGCAACGATGGCGACCGGGGCAGGGCGACAATTGGCCGCGCACGCGCTGGGCGGCGGCGGTGGGGCGGTGTTCGTAAGGGTCGATGCAGTGGAACTTGTTGGTCGCGTCGAGTGCTCACGCTCGAGCCGCCCTGGCAATGCGCGCCGGTGTCGCTGGCACGCACATGGGCATGCGCTGGTGCGCGACGAGGCTGTTCCTGCGGCGTGGCTCGTGCGCTTCGACGGTGCGCGTGGACCGACGGCCTCGATGCCTGCGCTGGCAGCGGGCGAAACGTCACGGCGCGGCGGCACGACGCGGAGGCGCCTGCGCATTTTGGGCACTTTTGCGGCACGGCAGGATCGTCGTGCACGCGCTGGCAGCTGGCCCGTGGATGGACACATCGTCGCTACAGGTGGCGAGGTGAGCTCCGGAGGAAGCGGCACCGATCGGAGCGGGCAGCGCGCAGCGACGTGTGTCGCGACGCATCACCGCGGGGCGAGGCGCTCGCGGCGGAGACGCCGAGCTCAGACGACAAAGCTCCGCGCACAGAGCCTCCGTCATCTGCACCGCACGGAGCCGACGACGAGTCTCCATGGGCGCTGCCTGCGCCGGCGCAGGGGGGCGTGGTAGGTGGTGACATTGCACGAGGAGCATGAGCACGGTGCTGGCCGCGGGACGAGGGCGGCACGCCCCGGCAGCGAGCGACAAGCCGGGGGCCAGGATTCGAGTGGCGCGCGCGGACAATGCGTCCCGCGAACGTCATGGGGAGCGGAAGCGCCTGCAGCGTCAACGCGGCGGGGAGTGCGGCCGCGGGGGGGCACGAGGGGCTCGCTTGGACGCCGGTCGCGCCGCGCGAAATGCACGTGGCGTGTACAAGGCCGAGCTCGGCGAAGATCGTGGTGTGCCCGCGGTGCGGCGGGCAACGGGCGTGACGCAAGGATGCACGCAACGGCGAGTCGCGCGCGGCGGCGACGTCGATCCCGGTCGATCAATGCCCGCGCAGGGAGCTCCCGTCGTGAGTGCCGCGCGGGAGCGACGACGCGTTCCCACAGAGGCCGCCTGCGCGGGCGCTGCGGAGCGCGCGAGGTGGTGACGTTGAAGGGGGCGCTGCTTAAGCACGGCGCTCGGTGCCAGAAAGCGGCACGCGTCGGCGACGAGCGGCGAGGCGAGGGCTCGCAGATGGTAGGCGTGCGTG